TAATATTATATATAATTATTACATTTTTAATTTTTAATTTAATTAAATTTATTTTAATTATTTTTAAATTTAATAATTATTTTATATAAATTTAATTTATTATTTTATATATTATTTAATATAAATTAATTAAAATATTAATTAAATTTAATTTAATAACGTTTATTATATTTTTAGTATATAATATATTAATATATAAAAGTTATTAATTAATTAATAAATTAACCCCGAAAAAACATTTATATAAAACTTTAAAATAATAATAAAATATTAAAAAAAACTTTTTATTTTTAATTAAATATTATATTTTAATTTAATATTATATTTATTTATTTTAAAAAATAACGTGAATTATATATAAAACTTATTAATTTAAAAATGAATTTTTATTTTTTATTTTAAAAGTTTTAAAATATAAAAAATAATTATTTTAATAATATAAATTATAATAATAAATAATAATTATAATTATATTATTATATTTATAAACGTTTTAAAATAATAATTTAAAAAATTATAAAATCTTTATTAAATTAAATTAATATAATTAATTTAAACTTAAATTTTTTTTTAAATTTTAAACCGGGGAAATTCCGTTTTTTTATATATTTAAAATTTAAAATTTTAAAAAAATTAATTTTTTTATTTTAAAAATTCTTTCCTTAATAACTTCCCCACTTTTATCTTTATATTAATGCATTTTATATTAATTAATAATAGAAAACTTAAGCTTTGAATCGGTTATAATTTTATAATTATACTTTTAAAATCCATCGATTTATAAACGTTTTTTTAAACTTTATTTTAAACGATTTATTTCGACGAAATAACCATTTTTAAAAATTTAAAGTTAATTATATAAGCAAGGGTTAAACCTTAACTTTAATAAAAATTAACCTTAACTTTAATTATATAACTTTAACTTTAAAAAAGCGGGTTTTAAATAAAGGTTAAAAATAATTATTAAAGAAAATAATTATCGAAATATTAAAATTAAAATTATACGAATTATATAATTAATACGTTTATATTAAAAAATAATTATTAAAATATTTTAATAATTATAATATAATAATTTATATAATAATTTAATCCGTTATAATTTAATTAAATTATTAAATTAATTATAAATTAACCGTAATTTAATTAAATTATAATTTTAATTATAAATTAATTATAAATTAATTATAATTTAATATAAATTTAATTAAATTATAAATTTAATTTAAATTTAATAATAATTTAATTAAATCGTAAATTAATTAAATTAATAATTAAATTAAATATAATTTTAATTATAATTTAATTAAATCGTAAATTAATTATAAATTAATTAAATAATAAATTTAATTATAATTTAATTAAATTATAAAATTAATTATAAATTAAATAATAAATTAATTATAAATTAATTAAATTATAAGTTTAATTTAAATTTAATCGTAATTTAATTATAATTTAATTAAATCGTAAATTAATTAAAACGTAAATTAAATTAAAACGTTAATTAAATTAAATATATTTTTAAATATAAAAACGTAAAAATATAATAATATTAAATTAATTAAATAACTTTAATTAAATAATTTATTAACGTTTTTTTATAATTTATTAACATTTCCAACCGGAATTAAAAATAAAATTATTTTAATAACGTTTTTTATAACTTTAACGCGTGGTTTAATAACATTTAAAATTTATTAATTAATTAATAAATAAACCTTAAAAAAACGTTTATATAAAAATTTAAATTAATAATAAAAATTTAAAAAAACGTTCGATTTTTAATTATATATTATATATTATAAAAATAATATATTATAAATTTAATATAAATAATTTTAAATATTATTAATTTATAAAAATAATATTATAAATTTAATTTTTAATTTATTTCGTTATTTTAAACTTTTTACATTTCGTTATTTTTATAATATAAAATTTAAAATTTAAAAATATTATTTTTATTTATTTAATATATTTTAATAATATAATTTTTTATAATTATATATAATTATAATTTATATAAAACTTTTATTTATATAAAATTTATTTTTTATGAATTTTATTTTAATTTATTTTTACGTTTATTAAATTAAAATTTTTTTTATAATTTTTTATATTAATATATTTTATATAAATTTATTAATTTATAAAATACTTTTTAACTTTTATTTTAAATGTCCCGTTTTTTTATATATATTTATATTTTATAAATTATTAATTTAAACCCGTTTTAATATATATTTAAAAAGTTTTAAAAACGTTTAATTAATTAATTTTCTTATATAATATTTATTAATTTAAATATATAAATAATAATAATAATAATATATTTTTTAAATTTAAATATATAAAAAAAATATTATTTAAATAAATAAGTTTTTTTAATTAAATTATTTATATTTTAATTTAATATATTTATAAATTTTTTTAATATATAATTTATTAATTTTTTACGTAAACTTTTTAAAAAATAATATAATATTAAAAAAACATTTAAATTTTTATTTTATTATTTTATATTCGAATATATTTTTAAATATTATATATAATATTATTTTAATAATAAAATAAAAAATTTATTATAATATTTCGGTTTTAAATTTTTTATTTTATATAATTTTATTTTATTTATTTTTAAATTAATTAATTTTATTATTTTTAAGTTTTTAATTTAAATATATATATATTTATTTATTAAATATTTAAATAATTATATTCGATTTTATATAATATAATTACGTTTTTAATAAACTTTTTATTATTATATTTATTTAAAAAAAATTATTTATATTATTTAAAACGTTTTAATATTTTTAATTATTAAATTTTAATTTAATTATATAATCCGTTATTTTTATTTATTTAAAATTATTTTATTTTAATAATATTTTTAATAATTTATATATATTATTATTATTATATAAAACATTTTATATTTATATTTATATTTAATATAATTAATTATTTTTATTTAAATATTAATTAATATAAAAATAATTTTAATTTTTATTATAAATTTATTTATTTATTAAAATATAAATATTAAATTTTATATATTATATAATTTTTTATATTACGTTTATTATAATATATTTTTAATTAAATTTTATAATATTAATTTTATTATATTTATTTTTATTTTAATTATTATTTTATTAATATAATTTAAAATTTATAAATTTATATTATTAAATAAAATTATTATTTTTGTTTTTTTTAATTTAATAATTTAATATTATATTATATTTAATTATTAAAATTAAATATATTAAATATATAATATTTATATAAAAACTTAATATAAATTAAATCGGTTATATTAAATTTATTAAATTATATTATTTTATATATTTTAATTTTATTTATAATTATAAAATTTAAATTATTTTAATATTATATTATTTATTAATTTATAATAATTTTAAAATATTTAAAAAAATTTATAATATAAATTTATATTAAATTAAATCATTTTATTTAATAAATATAATAATAAAATTAAAATTTTTAAATATTTATAATTATTTTAATTATTTTTATTACTTTTTAATATTAAACGTTTAAAATTATTTAAAAATAATAATAAATTTTTAATAAATTAAATTAATATTATTAAATTAAATTAAAATTTTTTATAAATTTAAACCGTGGTTATTCCGTTATTTTATTTATTTTTAAAGTTTTAAATTTTTAAAAAAATAATTTTTTATTTTAAAAACGTTTCCTTTAATAACTTCCTTACTTTTACTTTTATTTTAATATATTTTATATTAATTAATAACGAAAAATTTAAACTTTAAAACGGATATAATATTATAATTATACTTATAAAATCCATTAATTTATAAACGTTTTTTTAAATTTTATTTTAAATGTTTTAAATTTTCGAAAAATTTATTTTTAAAAATTTAAAGTTAATTACGTAAGCGGGGGTTAAACCTTAACTTTAAATAACCTTAATAAAAATTAACCCTAACCCTAGCTATGTAACCCCAACCCTGAAAAAGCGGGTCCTAGGGTCCTGGGGGTGGGGCCAGCCCTAGGCCCAGGTGGGGGCCAAAAATGGTTATCGAGGAAAATGGTCATCGAGGTACCAAAACTAAGGTCACACAGACCACTTGATCAATGCGCCTACACCAAAAAATGGTCATCGAGGTGCCTCGATGACCACAATATAGTTGTTTAGGGTAGGGCCAGGTAGGGGCCAAAAATGATCATCGAGGAAAATGGTCATCAAGGTACCAAAACTAAGGTTACACGGACCACCTAGTCAGTACGCCCATACCAAAAAATAGTCATCGAGGTGCCTCAATGACCACAGTATAGTTGTTTGGTGCCTCGATGACCACAGTATAGTTGCTTGGGAGGAAAGTTGGGACTTTGTTACAAGGTGGTTCGGCCTGGTGATGAGATTTGGGTTGTAAAAGGTTCAGACTTGCCTTTTATTTTCCGAGGTGTTCCTGAGGGGAACGAAGTTACTCATACGTACCATTTCATGGGGGATTGTATCCTAGATGGTATAATGGATGGGGAAATACCTCAATCCAAAGGCTATTGGAGCTCCTTGAGTGTAGTATAGGGATTCGATGGCGTGAGAATGCTGCGATATGATGTAACTTAATCACACCGTCCTCTTCATCTTCAGCTTTACAGTTCGTCCTAACGGTCGTCGTCAAAATCAAAGTCATCCCGTCCATCGAACAGGATGCTGATCGGTTGCAGTCAAAGTTGAGGTCGATTCGACCAAAATTTATACCTTCTTCAAAGAAAAGGAAGGGGGGAAGAATAACAACTGAGTCATCACTTGAAGTTCTAAAAATAAGACAAAGAAACTTACCGAGCTGGTTTCTAAGCGTAGCGGGAGGAAAAACATCGGTCTTGTAAGAAGAAGGTACGAGCCTCAATACAGGTTCAGTTAACAGACTACAATTAGACTGTAGATTCGATCGCAGTGGGTTCGCAGTTCAATTAAGAGGTTGCTTCAGCTGTAGATCAACAACAGTTCAAGTAGACTTTAGGTTTAATACAGATTCAACTGCAGTCTAAATCGCAAGTCAATGTAACTAGGAAGCGAAAAGGATCTCGCACCGGACGTGGTAATCGACCAACGTAAATATTCTAACTGATGGACTGCCCGGGCTCAACCCCTATCATCCCCGGTAGACCCACTATTTCATCGTGGGTCCTCCCACTAATACTCAAAGGCGTCGAGCGTTTGACAAGAAGCGAGCCTTCGAGATTATCCTGAGCCAGTACAGTGACTTTTGCCCACAGGAACTCAATCATGCCTTTCATTCCTTGGCCGTAACATGAGTCTCACCTAGAACGACAACGGACAGACGGGAGCGGTCGATGAAATGTTCTTCGTCGGCGGCCATTTTAGCGGCGATGTCGGGCTGCTGCATGACAGCGAAGAAATTTTGAAACGCGGTGGCGTCATCGAAGATAAGCTCAGCGAATGCATCATAATCGAAGTCCTCCTGTCTGCCGATAAGCACCGACGCCGGTGTAGTGGCATTTCGCGTAGTGCCTTCACCCTGACCCTCGGACCGGTGGATGTAGCGCCGAGTATGCGATAATGGGAAGTGCGCGCCGGCAAGTTCGCGTATCAATGGTACGTGCGATCCTTCATAGTGTGCCTTGAACTGTTCTGGTGTGGTGCCGGGCTTGCGGTAGACGAAAACGAGGATCGAGTAAGTCATGTTGATAAATGAATTGAATTGAATACGAAGGATAGAGAAATGATATGTTGTTGGAAAGCTGGGAGACTAGAACAGGAGACGACTTGAAAAGCTTGGACGTAGAGTGATATAGTTACACCAGGCGGGGTGTTGGGGAGTCTGTTTCATCGATAAAGACATATCTCTGTCCCTTTGCCCCTGGCATGCATAGCCTACATGTTGGCTGCATTCCCACCTGATTGGCCAGGCAAGTAGGACTCCGTGATCAAAGTTCTTACGTCCAAGGCTGTCCCTACTTTCGGTTCCTTCCAGGTCTATCCTACATGTGAATCTACCCCCTTAGGCCCACACCTTCAAGAATTTCTCGTCAAACTGGTCCCGTAACGTCGCAAAAGCCCTGTACACGTTCACCAAAGACTCTCCGCCGCCACGAGACCAGCTGGGGACCGATGGGTTGGGCGAAGACTTGACATCGTCGAAGCGACTTGGTCGCCCTCGATTAGGTCCGGGGCTCGTAGCGTTCGCTCGGAAATTTTCTGTGTCGTCCGACTCGCCGTCCGGCTCGGCGTCCGAGGATTCGGCATCCCACGATTCGGCAACGTCCTTTCTTTTGCCTTTGCCCTTGTTCCTCGAGGCCGCCATCTTATTTGTTCGGCCCTTCGCGATGTCATTTTGACCGGTCTCAACTTCCGTTCCATCCGTGTCGGCGTCTACCCCCGCGTTCTCGTCCATCCTATCTCCGACGTCTTGGACATCCATCATGGCAGCATCGTCAACCTCGGTATTTGGATCGAGAAAATTTTCCAGGCTCGTCACGATGGTAGCGAGGATGAGCGAGAAGTCTTTAAGGCGGAACCAGACGTCCCCGCCCTTGATCCCGTTGTCACGCACTAGCGCGCCCATGTCGCCGTGCTTGAAGAAGTCGTAGAGGTAGGCGTTCCACGGAACCCCGTTCGTTTCGTCTGGCGCTATGGGGATGTAGGGGATCGCGGACTCCTCGAGGAAGACGCCTGAACGCGCCGTACTGCATAGCTCGCCGATGGTCTCGAACTCGTCGGTAAATCCGGAGAGCGCCGCAAACGGAGAGCGCACTGTCGTTTCGCCGAGAGGAGACAATGTGCACCTTATGTTACAAGGCTCGCGAGGCTCGATCTTGTGGTTGGTGAATGGAAGCTGGATGTCAGGTTTATCAGATAGGTGCTGAGAAGCGTATGTGCTGACATAGTTTTGGAAGATGCTCAAGGTTTTGCGGTTATGCTCCTTCAAGACCCGGGCGGCCGTCTGTGGAAGTGCGGGAAGCAGAACGAGCGACGGGGACCGATGAACCGCATTCTCCAACCAGGACTTGTCCTGGTATCGGTAGCAGGGGATTCGGCAGAAGAGGTGGGACAGGACGAGTAAGATCTCCAGGATGACGTCGGGTTGCTCGGATGCATAGGATATCGTCGAACACAAGTTGTGGAAGTAGCCTTCCTTCAGCAGTGAATGAAACGCGAAGACGGAATTCTCGGTAAAGTAAAGGTGTCCTATCAGACCCGAGAAGTTGAGCGGTGCTCCGTCTTCGGAGAGGAGCTGCTGTCTTCGCAGGTAGTCGATCGAGAACCGCAAGTGATGCTCTATAGACATCTGCGCCGCTGGGCCGCCAAGGTATAGCCGAGTTTGAGTTAGCAGCGACTTCACGGCGTTGCTGGCGTATTCCGAATTATTCGTGCCGTGGAGGAGTCCGAATAAGCGCAATACGAGAGTTACCGATGTCGGGAACTGCCCTCTTAGATCTGGCAGCCTTGCCGACATGATCTCGAGAGCGCGCTTGGGTGGGATGCCGTGGAATACGACGTTACCGAGGACGTCGAACCCACGCCGCCCGGCACGACCTGATGCCTGTCGATAGTTGAGTGCGGTCAAGAAAACCGAGTCGTCGGAGAACACGACTGTTTTGCAGGGCATGTTGATACCGAGCGCGAGGGTGCCGGTTGCGATCACGACCGTCAAGTAGCCCTTACGGAATAGCATTTCGACGCTGACGCGAGTTAGTGTGGTTGAATGGTAGGTAGGCATTCATGAAAAGGAGGTCCGAGGACAATTCCAACTTACACCTGGCGATACTGTCGGTTCATGCCTGCGTGATGGACGGCTAACCCTCTTCTCAGCGCTCTGATTAGATACGGCTTGATATTGTGGCCTCTCAAAGTGTCAAGTCGCTCGTCCAACTCGGCTTGAGTCATCTTGGTCGTATCTGCAAAACTGAACTGGGATAGAGGCGCGTCCGGGTCGAAGCTAGCCCAGGGGCTCTGTTCTTGGCTGGCCATCTCTCGCATCATGTCGGCTTTGCTCATGCCTTCGTCATCCTTCCCCTGTTGACCGCGAAGCAGCTTTTCGGCCTTACCCTGCGCTTTACTATGTATCCGCCTCCACCTCTCGAATTCGGCGATCGTACCTTTCCACTTGGCGCTGTTCTGTTTATGTTTTGTCTCCGCCGACTCTAATGTTTCGAGGATGGTCTTTAGTAAGGCCTCGCATCCGACGCGATCATAGTTGAAGAAGATGGCGGGCAGCGCGCCGCACGATCGGAGGTCGACGGCTAGTTGGAAGATTGTTTTCCTGTGGTCTTGTCTTTCCGCGATTGCCGAAGGTTCTTGTTGGGATTTAGTAGTACTCAAAGTTCTGTAGCGCTCGCCGCGCAGCTCCTGTTGGACCGCCTCGAAAGGAGACTCGGGGTCGACCAACCAAGCTCTCAGCTCCTTTTTCAAGGAAGCTTCCCACGAGACCACGTCGGACTTCTTGACCGGGGTAGATAGGAACTTCTCGGGGGCCAGAGAACTGTTAAACTTACGGCGATCATTCTCGTATTTCTTCACGCATTTCCATAGGCTAAGGCAATCTCGTGGTTCTAGGCTTGCATCGTTCAAGGTGTCGGGGTTCCTGTCCCAACCTGTCAGTAGTCCGTCGAGGCATTAGAGAACATGATGTTGCCTCACCTCCCAACAAGTGCTCCTATAGGATGTACAAATGCAAACCGATGCGAAACGTCGGCGTCTGATTCCAGGCCGGGGAATGGCAACCTCTCGACGGAATTAAGGCCCTGGAACTCCCAAGGAGGGGGCGCGTCGTAAATATACTTCCGCAGGTCGGAGTAACGGGAGCCGTGGATGATCATGTCGAGTTCGTATCCCTTTATCCTCTGTGTTCCCTCTAGCCACGTCTTGAACTCGAGAGGATTGCCGACGGTAGCGGAAAGAGCAATGATGGGACACGGAGCTAGCAATAAGAGCTGTTCCCAGATGACGCCATCTTCGGACTGGCCGATGCAGTGCACTTCGTCGAATATGATCCTCTTTACCCTACGAGACCATGAATTTGGCGTTTTGGCGTTGGAGGGAGCCAACAGCATGATCTGTAGAACGTGTGGGACAGTTACCAGTACCTGGCATCCCTGGGGGTTGTTAACACGATAATCTCGCGTGTGGATGGCCCAGACGGATCGTCCTTCGCGACCGTGATACGATTTGGTGAAGCGTGCCTGGACCTCGGCCGCGATCTGGTTCACTAGGGCTTTCGTAGGTGCGACGTACACGATGACGTCGTCGTCGTTGGCTAGCAAGACCTTTTTCATAGCATAGAAAGAAATGAAAGTTTTGCCAGCCGAAGTTGGCGCGACGACGAAGAGACTTTTGTCGGCGTCGATAGCGTCGAGGACCTTGCGCTGCCACGCGTCCGGATAGAAAGGAACTCGGCCATCCGGAGTCGAGTCGAAACTCCGCTCCATGTAAGGGCCGCAAAAGTCGAGCTGGAAATTCACCGGCTTAGAGTAGGTCGTACTTTTCAACTCCGACTCGATCATCGTGAACGGCAATTCTCTTTTCGGCAAGGAAGAGAGAGGACCGAGGTTTAACGGGATTCCGCAGTTGTCTGATAGGAGACGTAGAGGGGAGGCAATATCCCGCGTAAGTGGCAAACTTTTGGTTGCGAGAACCTTTGACCACAAAATCGCTTCGAGATCCGGAACTGAAGCACAAGTGTCAGCTAGCTAACACCAATCCAGGCAAACTCTGGGTCGGATTACCTACCGTTTTGCTTTGGGCATTGGCCGGTACGACGTAGCAATACCAAGATGTGACAGATGTATAACGAGATTTCTGCGTTGACATAGGACTTGTGAGCTGACGAAAGACCAGACAAATGCCTCTCCGCTTTATGGAAGCGCTTGATCAAGGAACGTTCGTTCTCAAATTCCTGCAGTCGATCCTTCCAAGATTCTGCAGCCGCGAGGGACTTCGCCTCATCCTTAGCCATCCTCGTAGCTTCGGCTTCCTCCAAGGCCTTTTGCTTTCCACTCACGACGCCGCGCTTAGGGACTTTCTTCCTATTCTTTGCCGATGCTTGTTTCTTCAAAGCCGCCCTCCAATCATCCTTTAGCGCGTCCGTGGATTTGGCGGTCTTTTCTTCGCCAAACTTGCGTACGACTATGATTTCGGGGTCGATTTTCTTCCCCGATGCGCCGGTCAAGCTGGCGGAGTAGGAGAGGGTATCCGCCATGAATTTCTGGTTTCGTTTCCGGGCAAAGAAGCCGGGGGCTCTCGATACATGTTTAGGGTCGATGAGCTTCTTGGCATTGTGCCAGTGAGTCAACTCCTGGAAAATTTGAGAATGTGGTGGGTCGGGGTCTTCTTGGGTTTCTAGTTGGACCTGCTGTAAGTACTGGTCTACCACGGGGTGACTAAAAGGAAGGACAGAGGAGTCCACTCGGCTGTTCAATTTCTCAGGGGACGATTCCGTCGCGTCCGGAAGGCAGCTAGGAAGCAAATCCGGAATTTTCACCATAGTCAGCGCCTCTAGAGAAATAGCCAGTTCGGAAATTTCGGCCCTCAAAGCCCCAGATAGCTTGAGATTCGAGGCAGTATTGTATATTTCGAGATAGAGGCGTCCGTCGACCAAGTCGAATCCATCCCACCTGGTGGCTGCTAGCCCTTCGCTGATGCCCGTGTCAGCAATCTCTATAGCCGCTTCGCAAAACTCTTTGAAAATGGCATGGTTAGTTCCAACAAGGCCATGTCCGCTTTGTGCGAAGGAACGCTGCGAGAGATTACAATGGCGTAGAATGACGAGCTGAATAAGGACACACATAGCCCCTTTCCTTCTTGCATCTGTCGCGGAAGAATCCAGGACACAGGAAAGGGCGTAGATAGTGACGATATCCCTGTAAGTCAAATCCGGGTGTTGGCAGATCGCTTGCTGAACTGACGACCGCTTCTCGAGAATTGCGGTAGATTGATCACCATTTTCCAGGGGGTGGTCTTTCTCGATAGGGGGGAGTCTCCCTGTAGGGGTCGCGACGGAAATATTAACCTAAGAGTCGGTCAGACCAATGTGTCTTAGGACGGCCGAGCAATACCACGATTCTCACTTTTGAGCTCCCGAAGCTAATTTCGTCAATGAAGGCCACGCAATACCCTAATGAAGACATGTGATAGCCAAGACTCAAATGCGCAAGGGTGGTAACATGTGCATCTGAATGGGCGGCTCGACCATCCGAGCACATGAAAAAATATAGGGGATTGTGTGTTAGATATCGACCAAACTCGTCGCAGTTGACTGCATCGAATCTATGACTTAGATGCGACGGAGATTGCCGAGCAAAATGTTGGATAAGCACCGCTCTGGTGAGGATATACTTATAGCTGTGCTCTTCAGGGGTGCCATAGGGAATGCAGAGATATTTCAGGCTGTCGAACCAAACAATCTCAAAGTTACAACCACGATCTCTCAGCTTCTTGAGGAATGACTCGATGGTATGTACCGCATGTAGCATTTGAAAGCCGTGTCCATAATCGACTCTCGCGGCGGAGATGCAATGAGACACGAGCGCCTCCCCATGAATCGCGAAACGCTCCTTTCCGGCGAAGTCGCCTACAATGTCGACAGTGAGTGGTTTCAAAGAGTCACGCCAGGTTCGGAGACGCGCGCGGCTCACTTTACTCCACGAAGCTCCGAGAAATGCCATGTTGGGGTAGAAGTGTGAATATGTGGATGGAATTATGCTGTGCAAGAGAGGTTTCGTCAATGGGAACGCCTAGGCTACCTATATACACTATTTTCCATATGCAGGCGCATTTTTTGAGTCCAGTTGGGTGTATATCAGATTAGGCAGGAAATGACAAGTATCAAAAATGATATATGCAAACGCGGAAAATGCAGACAGCCTTAACAAGTTTTTGTTGGGCTGCAGCCAACCACCACGTTAAGCCTCGTATGCGAGCTGATTCGTCAAAACTATATTAATGGCTGAGGAGAGTCTATCCCGTCGTTTCAGAGTCACGGTGTTGAGTCAAATTCGATCAATCAGTTGTCCTTATCCACGACCATCTTGCCGCGTGAGCTGTGACTTGGCTGTGATTCGTGACATGTCATGATATACCAAGATCCAGGTCCTACAAACCGTTAACCATTAATGCCCGAAATCGTCAGGGTTATGATATCGTTAGACAATTTTAATGGTTCCAGAGCCCGTATTGAAATAATGCACATAAGATCATGTACGCGAATGCAGCGCTTCTTTTCAAGCTCTCATTTTGATTCAAGCCCCTAAGTAGGGATCTAACGTAAGCAGATACCACCTTCACTCTAGGCTTCCGCAATGTGGATTGTAAATTTAGAGACGCGGGGACAGTTAAGAAACAGTCCAGAGTTTCGTCTGTGATATGATTCGTCTTCGCCCTGAGTAAAGGTGTTACCGATGTTATCGAACAATAAGATCGTTAGCGTGCGAACTTCCGTGAAACCCAACTTCTTGCTCACGCATGCAAAAGGCCTTGAAAGTGACATTGCCTCAGTTAGCGGCTACCAATATATCCAATATTGATATCATTTACCAGTACGCCAAGACATGGATGTTGTCCTATTCGTCATCATCTCGTGTCTCGACGTCCATCGCTCTAAGATAACTTCCTTAGCCCGTTTGAACCAGTCCTCTCCTATCACGATATAGTCAGTAAAATCTTAATAATGCCGGTAAAATGTCTCGCTTGTTATGCATTTACTTCTTCCGCGTGAGTACTGCGATGCAATAACCGTCCTGCTTCCCGGGATATAGGTATTATTTATCTGCAACCCCTCAAACGGCGCTATACGTACCTGACCACCGGAGGGGATCGATCGATGTCGGCGGAACGTCTCGTAAACACAGCCAGTAAGATGACTAAAATTGCTCAGTTGCATCGATTTGAAGTAAATTATTAACGTCGAAACTTCTTTTTAAACTACGTTGCCATAATTCAAGTTATTAACCAGGCGGTAGAAAAGGAAAACCATGGTAGAAATAACAAGTTCCTTTTCGATATATTAATCACCGTCGTCACCACTTTCTATCATACTATGTAGGTAGTTACGTATTTATTCATATACCACCCGTAGATGTTGTTAAAAATTCACTTGTGAACCAATTCCAGTCTTTTTCTATACTGCCATTTTCCTTGGTGCCAGCGAGGAGTCAGACGATGGTCTAAGATATTAGCAAACAGAAACACCCAACCGTAGATGGGTGTATAAACATCATCCCTCGGAGGTTCATGCCATACCATTAAAATAGCTTATCTGGGGCACTTGGGCTTGATTTCGTGTAGTAGTGAGCACCCACTTGAACTCTCTGTTCGATAGTCTCCTTAACCCAGGAGACGTAGTTATACGCCTCCGTAGAAAGTGAATGAGTCAACTATATGGATCAACCAAGGGACCGAACTCATGTAGCCTAAGACGATTGTGCCAGCTTTTAAGATCTTCAGGGCTCGGTGGTTACGGCCGGACTAACATAATTACCGAAAGGCAGGTCATACGGAGCCACGCCCACAATATCAAACCTGTGATGCTCGAACCATTTGGCACGTAGATATGCTGGTCTATTCAAGCACATAACCTCCTGCAATAGCCGGGATTGCTCCAAAAGGGTCCCCTCATGGCCCTTGAGGGCTTTGAGCTTCGCAAGATTATATCTTCCTACCATGTAGATTATGCACACTATGACACTATCGCTTTGTACAGTTTTTGCAATTATAGCCTCGGACAGCATCTATTTCGATCTAGCCGAATAATTATCAGGTATGAATTTGCAAAAGTGGCACTGGATTGTGCACACCTTAGGGATATCGACCCTCTCCTTTTCTATGGGCAAGGTTTCTGCCGTATTCTTACTCAAGCGAATTATGAATTAGACCGCGACGCTACGGGTATGGTTTTTGTAGATTAAACATACCATTTTTCACAGCCAGTATGATCATCTCATCTATTCTCAGCTTCACCTAGTGAAATCCTCCTCGTGTGGGCTAGACTGACGTTCCAAGAGCCGATTGCTTGAATCCATCTATCCGGCCACAATTGACTAAGTAATTACATACGCCTATAGCGTCCTCCTAAACTCTGCGCCATCTCTTATTCCGATCACATTCATACGAAAGCTCAAGGTCCTATCCCAGAAGCAGGTCGGCCTATGCGTCTTTCTAGGCATGGGAGTATTGTCAGGCGTGTGGGCGGCAATAAAGACAGCGACCTCGGGATCCGCGAAGACGTATTACAATAAATTTTATCACTATACACATGGAGTTCGTGGGCGGGAAGTGTCAGCTCTCAATATCAAAGAAAAACATATCTTACGACAATATCAAAGGTCTGAGATACCGTTGAACATGATATATGCTTGGACCCAGTTACTTACGATTACAGCATAATGTGCAAGCCTCTAGAAATGACGGCTACCAAGGACTCCCAATCAAGGCGTATTCATCTACTTACGATACCTAAATCTTTCAACAACAGCTACCACGCCGACGATTTAACACCGCAGACTGTGAGTAGCGTCCAGATAAACAGGACTTCTCCCGGTGCTGGAACTTACCATTGCATTTTCACTCAGCATTATAAGGTTTATTGCAAAGCGAGGGGCTTTTAAAAGGGGGGAATTTGGGCCTAATGCAGGGTGATGCGCTGTTGGTCATTTAACAATATGGATGTGTCAGAACGGCACAGCTTCTGATAATTTTGTTTTCTGGCCCACCGCTTTCCATCGTAATTGTCAGTGATAGGTCCCTAAGTCAAGCGTAAAGTGAGTGCAGAGGCGCGGCGTAGCCGCTGCTAGTATATAGCAAGTATGATTGAACTAATAACGCTACTTCTTCCAAGGTTGAAAGGGGCAAAGCCCCCTTCTTATACCTTGCTAACTCGCATCTGCCTAGCAGGAGGTCCGCAGGACCTCCTTCTAGGCCTACTCCACTTATGCCCCTGACAGTAATTGACCCCCTCCCAGAACACCACTCTTGGTTTCTTGCTGTTTCGCGTTGAAGTACTACTGCGATTGTAACATTTGCAGCCTAGTTATACCTTTTCTCTACCTGTCTCTAGTTTACTGAGTCTAGGTAGTCTCTAAGTTAAGTACCTAACCTACTCAATCATCTACGCACACCGCTCGTATCAACTCGACCTTCATTCAGGGATTATCAAGACCGGATAATTCTAATCTTACAAGTCCGAGACGCAGAGCACATGTTTTAAAGTTGTGCCAGTGTATAGCAGAAGATGTCCGACCTTATTGCACAGCTTGAGGCTCTTTCCAAGTCCCCTCCTTCAGATCCCGCTGCGCGTTCGAACCTGTACCGAGCGGCTAGAAAGCTTCTGGCCGCAACAGAAGACCCGTTCAATACTATCTGTCGGGTCAATGGGGCAGTATGTGGTATCTACGTAATTCGCTTCTCCAGATAGTTAGGTTATGCCTTGTCTAAGACTAACATTAGCCAGCCCATGATCCTCACATTTGCGCAAGTGGCATGCAACTTGGGCTTGTTCAAGAAACTCGCCGAAGCCCCCATTCCCTTGTCAACTGCCTTTCTGGCTAGCTTTTCGGGGGCTGATACCATATTGCTGAGTATTTACGTCTGAGAGAACTGTATATCGGACGCAAGGGTTCTGACTGAAACCAACCTAGGCCGCATACTCAGATTTCTAGCATCGATGGATATGATCGCCGAAGTCGGAGAGGATGAGTTCACTTCTAACAACGTTACACATATTCTTGCCCGTCCTGGGTTTCAGGCTGGTATAGCCCACACGTGAGCTCATCGATGAAACCCAATTTTGCCCTACGGAGCCTACTAATGCGAAGCTCATTCATGCAGTTTTATGGTCGTCATGCCATGCCTTCAAGTCACGCCAAAGTTTCTCGCCGACACAGGGTATAGGAACCCTACCGATGTGTTGTTCAGTCCGTTTCAAGTTGCCCATAAGACCGACAAGCCGGCTTATGCGTGGGCGATGGACCAACCGGAACTCATGGCGGACTTTAATTTGTGGATGACCGAGCAACACCGGAGCCAGAAGACTTGGTTGGATGTATTCGATTTCGCCGCCCATATCGGCGACTCGATGCCAGAGACGCTTCTCATGGTCGACGTAGGTGGTGGCCTTGGACAGCAGTGTGCCCTCTTCAAGAAGACGCACCCCGAAATACCAGGTCGCGTGGTTTTGCAGGACCAGCCGTTCGTCTTACCACATGCTATCTCCATAAACGGCGTCGAAACCCAGGCGTACGACTTTTGGACGGAGCAACCTCTGCAAGGTGAGGTTCTCATATCGGGTATCCAGGGATGCGACACGACTCTAACGCATCTAGGTGCCCGCGTTTACTACATGAGGAACATATTGGAAGATTATCCCGATACCAAAGCACTCAGTATCATCAGGAATATCCTGCCGGCTTTATCTCCTAACTCAGTCCTCATCATCGATGAGATGATCATTCCAAACTCGGGTGCAAATGCGCGTTCTACTGTACAGGACATGATAATGATGACTAGCCTGGCGTCGGCCGAGAGGACGGAGAAGCAATGGAACGCTCTCCTCGACCAGGCTGGTTTAAAGGTGATACAGAAGACTGCGTATAGACCAGAAACGGGCGAGAGCATTATCGTTGCAGTTCCCAATTAGATCATCGCAAGAAAGTCACCCAGATCAAGATGGGATATCGAAGATGCTTCCACAAAACTAATTGATTATAGTGAGATGGCAAAATCATTGGTACCTACGCAGTGTGGCTCAGAACCCGAGTATAAATCAATTGTTCTTGACTTAAGCTATGTTCGGTCCTAATTAATTATAAATTTCAACCTATGTTATTTATTCCAAGTGTGCCTTACTTCCTGGCTAGTAGTTATACTCTTTACATTGACTTGTAGTTATATCCTTGTTAAAAGGAGAACTAGATGACCCCCTGAATGACTAAGCAACCCCTGAATGAACCAAAATTACCTATCTAAACTAATTATCAATCAAACTCCTTTCTCAATTCAGCAGAAGTCATGCTAGGAGCTATAGGAAGAACTAATAGTTGAACCAATCGATAACTACCTAGGTAGGCATAAATTGGATGGAACTACCCGAGTTCTCCGGTGGAGATGATTGGTGACTTAATAAGAGCTGATTGCCATATGTAAGATCCAATCCTCCTTATGAATTAGCCATTCTAATACTAAAGGGGTTTTTTCTTGAAATAATAAGAACATTGTTCCATCTGTAACGATTTAAACTAAGTGAGACGATTGATAATAGATGGCGTTGACTGATTCACCCCTTAGTCCTTTTCGGATTTATGGTAAGAGGGACCATCCTTATATAGAACAATACCAGAGAGCAAGCCAAGCGGAATCCACAAAAGTTGGGGATTCTCCAATGGGAGTTTGGCCGAGTGGTTAAGGCGTTGTGTTTAGGATTTCCATTCGTTCTTCACGAAGTCCATGGAACATTTGACCCGCAATGGGAAACCGCGCAGGTTCGAATCCTGCAGCTCTCATATGAATTCATTTTATGCCCTTATAGCTCAGTGGTAGAGCGCAGCACTTGTAATTCTCCTTTACAAGTCCATGCTGAGGTCCATCGTTCAATCCGGTGTGGGGGCATTTCTTCTTTGATACAATTTGTAGATACCTTTTTGTCGCTTATCGAAGACTAAATCTATGTCAATCTTCTTTAGCAGGTTAGATAGATATTCTAGTTTATTAATAAGTAGAAATAAATTTTTCTTTTCGCCGGGTATTGATACTAAAATTTCGTGCGTGATTCGCCAGTCAGAATACTCCACAAGAATGCTTAAAAGTACCTATCCACCCTTATAAATATTCTCGTAGCGCAGTAAGAGTATCACTTTTCTTAAACCCTTGGCAATAGAATGCCATCACCTTCAATAGGCGAAAGTCGGTCCTGTAAATCGGGACAGTCTTGTGAGAATCTATCTTGGCTCTTTGAAAGGGATGAGCGGACGAAAGTTCTTTTCCCCACGAAATTCCAAGTTACATTTAAATCAACTAGTAGAACTAGAACTAGACGTGGGTATCACAACGTCTCGAATGGCAGAAGCACTTGCTATAATGCATTGTGCTACTAGAACCGACGCAAGAACCGTCGAATTTGCCTTAGGAAGGAAGCTCTGTGCAACAGGTATTAATATCTCCTAAAAGTCATTCTAAGATCCTCAAGATGCAGCCCGGCTCTTTCACGGGTCCGTCGTCACGACTCCACGAAGATTTTTCAACCTGAAAACCGAGCTGTGGCTATTAGATTTTAATCAAGTTCGAGTTGTTACGTTGGGCCAAGGTGTGAACCAAATGGTCGAGGCTTTCAAGGTCAACGATCCTTATTTCACGAAGCCGCTCCAAGAGGATCAGTTGACTAGAAAGATTTGGAATTTGTTTGTAGCGAGCTATCCTACGATAGCCGATTCCATTCTCGTCTAACATGACAAGGTACGGCAACTGCTTACAAGTTTCGGAACTGATCAAGACAATATTATGGATCCATGGTACACTCAAGATCCCAAGAGTATTATAAGATGTGCCTATATAGTATTTAAGTAGTTAAGGTTGGTTAATCGCATCCAAGAAATTCAAAACCTGTGAAATTGCTGGCGTCTAGAAACGTGACTTGGTAATCATAGAAGAGCTTTTGAGGTAATAAGCAGATGCCACTCCAGGATCTCCTAGTCTTAGTACTCGTTCCGTTTGAGTCGATTATACGAGGCATCCGAAATTTAGAGGGTTAGCTTCGCCCCGAGCCCGGCTTTCTTTGCAAACATCTTAACATCGCCGACTAGATCCTCTGGCTTTTCAATCGAGGGGAAATGTCCCCCTGCCTCGTGCCGCTTCTCGTACACTACTGGTCCCACTGACATCGCCAAAATTAGCTGAGACCGCTCTCGTTAAGGGATAAGAAAAACTCAGGAGGACTCACAAGTCTTGCCCCACGAGCTCGGCAGCACCAGCACATCTTTTGGAAAATACGATAACCCCAGCGGTAACTTTCCATTCCATTCTAATAGCGAGTCCATGCCCTTGGGGTTATGCGCCGTCTCATAGTACAACCGCACACTTGCGTCCGCGCCGGCCTGGCTGAACGCGTATATGCTAATCCAGGTAAGAACCTCATCGTCAGTCCATCCATACGCATCCGTCCACCCGACTAGCTTTTCATAAATCCATGCCAACAGCCCGACCGGGCTATCCGCCAGCGAAAATCCGGGGGTATGAGGCTTAGTTCCCTGAATACGGCTGTACCCATTCCCTTCGTCGCGGAACCACTTCGAGCGCTCGAACCCGACCTTCTCGTGGGCAGAGTACCACCCCAGCGCGTGCTGCAGGCACAGCAGAGGAGAGGTCAAAAGTCGCGGAGGCCGTGCTATTATGAGGTTTAGATGCGAGCCGATAACGTGAGCCGGATACTGAATCCCTAGGGAGCGAGTGACCATGAACCCCCAGTCGCCCCCCTGCGTGGCGTACTTGGTATAGCCCAGCTGTAGCATAAGCTTGTGACATGCCTCGGCCTGCTGCGAGATCCCAAACCCAGGCTTGGAGGTTCCCTGGGAGAACCCGAAATTCAGGAGCGAGGGGGCCACGACGTGGAACGTTGGTTCGTCGTCCTTGTCGCCAGTCGTAAGAAGCGGCAGGATTTTGGAGACTTCGATGAAGCTCCCGGGCCCTTCCTCCGTCGTTAGTTGACCATTGTCAATAAACTACTTACGCGCGACGTGAACTCACATCCATGACAGAATAACAAAGGGATCGCCCCGGGTTTCTCGCTCTTCTTATGCACGAAGTGAACCTTCAGATCATCCTCGTGCCCTTCAACGCCAACCTTGGTCGTGAATTGCGGGAGCTTTTCGTTCAACTCGGCCTCTGCGCGCCTCCAGTCGTAAGTCTCCCTCCAGGCGCCTGCGAGCCTCTTGATATCGTCGAGCGGCGCCCCGTAGTTCCAATCATTGGAAAAGCTGGTCTCCTGCGGAAACGTCGCCAACTCAAGCTTCTTCTTCAACTTCTCGATTGCCTCGTCCGGCACAGCGATCTGGTATGGTTCGACGACGCCGTTAGAACTCATGGTTAATGGCCTGTATGTTTTAAAAACCTAGGTAGGTGAGCATGATTGTAAACTTGCCCCTCATCTGAATGAGGTGGCCATTGTATGCATGCCACCGGATACGCCGCAGCCGGGCTGCTCGGCAGCGGGGTGAGGTCGGTGCCTGCGCATCAGGGATTGAATCCCTTGGCAGCAAGCCACCGTATTCGCATGCGACAGGTAAGTTTTGCTATACCACCTCGACGCCCCTTGAATACATGACATACTTAGGTGCGCATTTGAGAACACTACATAAAACACGTTGCAGGTCTGTTCAATTCGTAATTTACTATCTACTACCTGCCAGCACCAGTCTGTGGCATATTATACATCCGACTAAACGAAGCCAGCCAGCAACGCCTCAAGCTTACTTCAAATGCGATGATTTAGAGAAAACACTGGAGATTAATGCTCCAAGATCGCAGCGTAAGTAGTCAGCTTACCGATCCGTTGATATTCGACTGCCCGCATCAATAATTATCTCTGGTCCTTCATCGTTGTGACGAGATCCGTCGAGTCCGACCGGCGTGGTGGAATCGCACTGTCGGAATCCCTAGAAAAACTACGCCTCCTTTTCCCGTCGCAAGGCGAGGCCGAACCGGAAGAGCTACGGGAAGACCGCCTTCTTATCCTTCCAAGCGACGAGCTTCGAGAACAAACCTCGCTGTGTATAGACCGAGTCTTCTCACACTACAACGGGACTCCCTTCGTCGTCCGTTAGATTCGTAACTCTTCGACCTGAAACGCGATCTCCTTGACCTAGACCTACACCTCATTGCATCCTATGAGCCGCTACCCCTGCCCCCTTTTCTAGACGGCTAAGAAGCTTAATCCCTATCTCGGCCTCTGTTCCTGACATCTCTTTTAGCGTGTGCCGGCGACCCCGACCTCGACCTGCTCCGGCTTGAGCTGGAGCTATACCGTCTTCTCTTCGCGCCGGCCGGGCTAGGCGACCGACTATCGTACCGAGGTCTCTTCCGAGGTGCGCTGCTGACGGAGCTCGTGTTCCTACGCCGCCTTACGGGTAGTGGAGAAGGCGACTTCCGCGAAGGGCGATTCCGCTGCGCGGGCGGCGATCGGGAACGGGAATAGCTCGAGACGCGGCGCTGTCGACGGGGAGGTGGGCTAGCCGAGTATGAATCTCGTCTCGTCGCGGGTACCCTGCGCGGGGGCGGACTGCGGCTTCGCGAAGGTGTGTACGAGCGGGATCGGCTAGAGCTTCGATCGCGACTGTACGAGCGGGCCCTAGTAGTTCCTCCTCGTGCAGGTTGTGGAGTCACCGACCTGTACCGAGAATAGTTGGAGCTCCGGCGGCCGCGGGGAGGGCTGGGGGAAGCGGAGTACCGCTTGCTAGTTCTCCGCGGGGATGGGCTCCGCGACGAGCTTTGAGAGTACGAGCGGGCGCGCGACGGACTCCTGCTCCTGCTATACGACAGCGATCGGCCACGTCGCGGCGGTGTTCGTGACGTCGAGCGACCCCTATCGAGGGTTCTTCGCGGCGTGCGAGACCTAGATCTAGAGCGGGACGAGTAGGAAGAGCCGGTGTATGACGAGTAGCTGGACACCGAATCGGAGTCTGAGTCGTCCGCGGCGGGCGGTGCGGGAAGAGCCGGCTTCGGCATGTTCGCCAAGTACTCTCTCATCTCCTCCGTCAGAGCGCCCATGCCGATGCTGGTAAAGTAGTTGATCGAGAATCGCACGTTCCGGGCGTTGTCGCGGGGGAATAGGCCTGTGAAGCTTTCCTGTAGCGTCTCGTCTCGCATTCGCGCCTGCAACTTTGCCATGCCGAGCTCTTCGGAGATTTCCTGGAATAAGATCTTGATAAATATTCGGCTGGCGGAGGTGGTCTCCTCTTCGTTAAGGTGAATGATAGCAAGCGCATGCCAGCCGATGGCGTCCGACCCGAACAGGTGGCCGAAAAATCTAGCAATATTTCGTAGTCGATTGGTCTCGTATCGGTGAATCGTCTCGTAGTACTTTTCGAAGCTCTGCGTAAATAGATCGCACCAGACCCTGTTGATCTTCGAGAACCGTTCCCCAATTAAGCCGAAGAACTTGGAATAAGTCTTCTCCTGACTGCAGCACTCGACCACCATGGAAGGTAGCTCCGCCTCTTGTCCGGGAGGTAGGCTGACTTTCAGAAGCTTGTGGACGCACTCTTCGGGATCCATACTACTCATGATGGTTAGGTAGATGGTCTTGCGGAGGTTCACTAGGTCGGTATTGGACTGATCCTTGATCTCGATAGCTTTTTGCTCCTCTTCCTCTTCGTCGGAACTCTCATCCTCGTCATCATCTTCGTCGTCGTCGCTGCCTTCTCCCAAAATCTCAGCTCTTAATCTCTTATACGCCGCCTCATTCTCCTCCCACTCCGGGTCGAATTTAAAGATATTGAGCCCGTCTTGTACGTCCAGGTCGGCGCTTAGCTCGACTCGGTGCGTGATCTGATCCTCTTCCTCGATCAAGTCCAGTTCCTCCTTGATCGTGGGGTTGTCCTTGAATTTGTCTTTGCGTACCTGGAACAGTACCTCGATCATAAACTGCACCCGCTTATCTATGTCCGCCTCGTGCAGGATGTTCCTGAACTGGTCGAAGACGATATTCGCGATCGCCGGGCTCATCTCCTCGAGATGCTGCCCTACTTCTTTCGTCAGACCTACGGCGATTTCCACGCTGTCGTCTGTCGGTTTTTGCAGCAGGAGGATCAGGATCTGAGCGGCCACCATCTCGTGTACCACCTGCTGATTCACCAGGTGCGCGATGAACATCGTCGAGGACAAGCACACCGCCTTGTCGTTCCGCTTGAAAGCCTTCCTGAACTGCATGACCAATCTCTTTACCAGCAGCTCGCCGACTTGGGGTAACTTGGTGTTGACGATAGCTGCCATAGCCGCCAGTACCGGCGTGAAGGGCAAGCTGGCAGCTTGCGCCTTCATGATGCTCCTGCAGAATAATCCTCGACCTCTGACCAGATTCTCTTGGAACAGTTCCGGGACGATGTGCTTGATATTCGAGACGTTGACCTTGTTGATGAGACCGTTGATGCTCTTTTTCAATGCTTCCCAAGCCATGCGCTGGTATTCCTTGCTCGTCTTGTCCGTGATCTGGGCCTGCAGCGCTCGGAGGCGCGCGGGCGGGATGTACGTTCCGCCCGATCGCATATTTAGAAGCTTCTGATACTCTGCCTTCGCGGCCGCCTGCTTCTCCTCCTCCGTAGGCATCTTCGGCGGCGTACGCTGACGAGGAGGCGATCGTTGTCGGGGAGGTGGCGAGCGACGGCCCCTATCGCGTGCTGGTCTGTACTTGTCGCCGCCATCTCGAGGTCGGCCACGGTCGTTGTCGCGGCGCGGAGAGCGAGGGATGGAAACCTCATTCGGCGACCGTTCGCCTAGGTGGCGCGTCTCGACCTCCGCCATGGCTTGCTAGCACTGGCTAACGACTATGTGCTGTGGCGTCTTGAGGTGCTAATCCGAGTACTAAATCTACAACCATCAAACGGATAGTAGAATTTGCTCTCGGGGAAAAAAAAATAGATGACTGATGGATAAAAATTGAATTGAGCCAGGCAAAAAGCGACCGTTAAACTTACCGTGACGAAACTTTTTGGCGAGGCTGGCCCATATCCCTGTAGGTGGGTCCTGTGTCCACCATTTCCACCATATCATTGGCGCACTGAAGGAGCGCCCCTGCTAGTAACTTTACTCAAGCCACAATCAATTAGCTACTAGCCACGCTGCAACTTTAACCTAGAATTGCTCAGTCGTGTCGCGTCTCATTTGACGGGACAACTCAATTTCTAGCCAGGTCATCCACCTCACGAGGCAACAGAAGTTCAACGAAGGCGCATCCTTTTAGACGAAAGCTTCTAGACGAGACTTGTAAACTGTCGATCCACTCACTCACTACGTTTCTTATAAAAGCCGACAATTATTCATTTACCACTTTACAATTGACAATGGTATGCGAACCCATTCACCTAACTTGCGCTTTGCGGCCCTCAAGTCATACTGTATACAAATAATTATCTAACACCTACTCACAGCTCGGCACTCTAGTCGGCCTCGCCATGCTTGTGGCTGCTTCCGTCGTCTTTCTCTACTACTCCATCTGGACACTGGCTATGGTAATTCCCCTTCCCCGGCTCTCCCTCGCATTCTCTCTTCTTTCCTATTATACCCCTATCCCCCTTCCCCCTTGCCTACGACCGATCTAACGTCTAATTAGCCATTTGTCGACTCCGACCACCCCCTACACGCCTTCTTCCCCCCTCGCGTCTGGGCTATCCGCATCCCCGTGATCCTGATCCTCCTTGGTTCTGCCGTCGTTGGTTCCTTCCTAAGCGTCGTCATGATCCGCAGCAACCGAAAGAGGGCTGCTAAGGCCAAGGCCGTTGCCGCCAAGAAGAAGGCGTAGGTTTTCGTGCATTTTCAAGTTCGGAAGGTTATCTGGCTTGGGCGCGCGTGGGCGGTTGCGAACAGGAATTGGGGCAAGGACATATGACTTGGATTGCTTACAAAATCCCCATGAACGCGAGCTACGGATGTCATTACAGGCGCTTCGCCGAATCGGATGAACCCATGTATACTGCTACTACATACCTTGAGGTAAAAACAAAAAAGTTACTAATACCAAAAATAACCATATATAATCGCGTTTGTCTACTATGTTTGAGGACCGAGCGTGCCAAGGTGACTTGATGTATCTAATTGAGTTGCGCTCAACTGACTACGGACGACGGGGACTATACATCTCTCGTGTCTCGATGATGCGACGTGGTTTATGCAATAACTCCAGTTCCTACCGTTCCATATCATCCAAAAAAATTCACAAGCCTGATCAAGCGAGGGTCTTATAGGATGTCTAGTCGCAAGAGAGCCTTGTTGCCGGCCTCTTGCTGACGTTTGCGCAGTCTGAGCATCCAACTTCGTGTTGAACCAAGACGCCTGTTCCAGTAACCCAGAGTTAACTCAAAATTCGGCATGTGTCTCAAACTCTCTGGTCCGCAAAATCAAGCACTTCGCAATCATCCTCGAAGAATCCGTCTTCGTCAGCGTCTGTAGATCTGTTCCCACCCCTGCGTCGTCTGGTAGTAACGACGATCTGTTCGTCGTGCTCACCGACTTGCAGTACTCGTTCCATAGCCGACGCAGGCAAGGCTCGGTGGTCGTCGATACTGTTGCTAATGTCCTCATCGATCAAATTCGCCAATCCCGCATTCACGATGACACCGCTCACGGTCTGCCCGAACGCCCACGGCTGCTCCGACGTAGCTGGGGCTTGGCGACGTCCGGCGCGTCTCGACTTGTCTTCCAATGTTGTAGCGGCCAGAAGGTGCGATACGGAAGTTGACATATCCTCCGCGTATACGTATAGACCCACTCTTCTATCGGTATGGAATGGCTGGTAGGGCGCGCTAGACTCTATCTCAGCTTGCGGGATAGAAGCCTCCGGGCTGTAATCGGAATCGATCGATTGAGGTCGAGGATTGAAAACCAACGTGTTCCCACCCTCGTGCTCCTGGTTGGTAATGTCAAGGTCTTCGATGGGATCGATGATCTGTTTGATAGAAGGCGCGATGAGATCGTCTGGGAGGCTCCTCAGTTTGAAATCCCTATATCTATTGGTATGGTGCAGACGAGGCTTGTCTTTCGCGATGGTTGGCCTTCGACTCTTGCCCGGAAAAGTCCTCACTAGGCCATCCCCCAGCACGAACAAGGTATGGTATTTCTTGCCGGTGATCCACGTCGCGCAGAACGGTCCGGGCAACATACTTCCCGGCGGGAGGCTGACGCGGTTCTCGCCAGTATGGCGCAGCTGGTTGATGGCTGTCCCGGCATTACCCAGAGAATGACTAATTCCCGCGGCAAGCACCTTGCCTCCGTAACCGGCACGGTCCATTATGGTGGATGTGGTGTGCGAGTTTGAGATGCTGCGCTGGTGACGGGAGGTCAAAGTCCGTGTAGCCCCGTAAGCAGAGCTGATGGCGTTTGACGCTAGCGAGACTGCCGATTGTGCATTTTCGGAACTTTTAGGCGACCCGTCTTCGACTCTTACGCGACGGCGGGGAGGGGGCCAGGTGTAAGCACTCGATGGCATGTCCAACAAATGCACGGTACCTCTCTCCGTCACCATCGCGGCTCGCTCTCCATTTGGCTTCGCCCACGAAACGTCGACGATCCGAGCGACGGTCATCCGTGAAAACTGAGCGACTTGCCTTACTCGCGTCGTGTGTCCGTTATTCAGCTGCGAATTCTGCAGGGCGGAGGACTTGGTGTATTGAATACGCATCAGATCCCAAACCGTCTGGACGTCACCCTTGCTGCTCGCTGTGAAGAGAGACAGGCCAGTCGGCGAGAATGACAAGAAGCTACAGCCAAGCGGCGCCTTGAACGTACTGACATGGTGGATCGTGGTCGAACTCGTAAGGCTTTGCAAGTCCAAGATTGACACGAGGCCCGGCTCCTTGGTCACCGCCTGACCCGGTATCCCGTAGGTTGGCGGAAACTGAGCAGCGTCGGATCTTCCCGAGTATCCTCCGCTCCATGGTGGAGAGCCCATCTGAGGCTGTCGGGGTTGTGCTTGCTGACCGGGCTTAGACCAGTAGTTCTTCCAGAGCTGAGCCGACTGCTTCCCAACCCATCGGGCCCCCTGGAGTAAGTCCTGGGTGGTTTCTCTCATGATACGGTTCACTACGCCGTCAGGCATAGGCTGATCGACGTCGGCGCTCTCATTTGGCAGGATAGGGGGGGCAAGCGTTGTTAAGCCGGGTACTTTGCCTTCCAGAGGCACAGGGATGGACGGATTGAGCGACTTTTGAGGTGAGGGCGCCGGTGGGCAGTACGCCAACCATCTGCCGCTCAGCGATATGATGGGCATCTGCGGGCGCCTGCCGGTAGGAAGCTGGCCCGGGCTCATCTCCTGCTCAGGCGTCGAATCGCCATTCAAGCTTGTCCACAATTTGCCTACGCAGCAGAACTGATACCCAGGTTCTTGCTCAAACTTTGCCTGTCGAAAAATCCAGCACTCTCCGGTGGCACCGGAAGACACCACGATACTCCCGGCATCGGCGCGGATCTGAAAGGCACCGGCCGGCGGAGGGCTTCGGAAGATGGGGTTCGACACCGAAGTCTTGATGGGAGTCTTCGGTGCTTGCAAAAGCACGTCGACTAACCTGTTCGTCGACAAGGAATACACCTCGACCGTAGTTTGGTAGGCGTCAACCACCGGTAGCGTTTTGCCAACACTGACCTGCCGCTGGTTACCGTCCGACTGAGGTGTATGGATGCCTTCCAATCTGGGACTAGGGGACCCGTCGGAACGCGGGTCAACGGCTATCTCGGGAGCACTCGGAGGCACCACCGGCCCATGGATAACAAGAGCAATCAGAGGGAATATGCCATGCGGATCCTGGACGTCGTTCCAAGGGAGGATCTTGGCATTGTAAACTCCACCACGCAGCCCTCTCAAGCTAGCGAGTGGCTCTACGGCATGTTTTGAAACGCTGTAGATGTCAATGCCGCCTTCGTAGCCCGTAAGCACGACGTTGTCGCCACCCGGCAAGTGAATTCCGTCAGAGGTCGGGAGAGTATCGAAGCCAAAATAGAAGCCCCTCTCACCCGGTTTCAAGCCTGCCTTGGCATTCAGATCGAAGTCGATGTCCGGCGCTCCGTAAAAGTGGGCTTGAGGCTGGTGAGGCAAAGGCGGGTGAGACCCGATTCTCGGAGCAGGAAAGGGAGAGTGCATCGAGCTTCTCCGCACCCCGGGAGGCGATGACGCTTGAGAACGTATATCATTCGTAGGGTAGTGCGACTCTAACTGGAAGCTCAGAGGTCGTCTGATGCTGTTTGGAGGGGACGCCGAATAAGCGTTGCCATTCGCAAACTGCTGCCGTTGTTGCGCACTCCAAGCATACGGTAACGCCCGCTGGTCCTCGTATGAGGAGGGTTGGGTAGGCGGGGAGTCGCCCATGATGCTTATCAGGTTTGAGGGTGATCCGGCAAAAGGTCCCATAGCCCTCGCCCATTCGGTAGCGCTCGGCGCCGTGCTAGCGGACACCGACGTTGTCGAAACCGCATCTAGCAATGGAGAGGCTGCCGCATTACCGTTCGTAGGGATCGTTGCGGGGGTGGCGGGCTTCAATTCGGGAGACTGGGCCAGGGGAAAGTCGAAGGGCGGCGAGGCATCTTTGGCGATACCGCCATTACTAATTCACGGTCAACATTATTCTTACGTGCTAGGACCCGAACAGCCGGTACATAATAGATAATCCGGTATTAACTAGGTAAGAGAAGGCATTCCGTAGAAGACGTACGTAAACTTAGCTCCATGTCTTGTCACCGCTGCGACAACTCCGCCGCTTTCCTTGACATTCTTTTCCTTCTTCTTTGAACCTGGCGCATCACTTCCAGTAAGCTTCTGTTTTCGTTTACTACGACTCTTTCCCCCCGCGGAGGAGGACGAGGCCGGGGAGGTATCGCGGGTAGACGAACCGGGCATAGGGGGGTGCTAGCAAGTTGGCTGGGGCAGTTTCCTGCTCGCCAGCGGAGGAGCTCAGGGATGAGCTCAACTCGCAACGGAAAGGTCGCAGAGGCTTATCGCGATACGTTCTGGGAAGGGGAGGGAAGAGTCACAAGGAATCGTAAATAAGGTGATTGTCAGAGTCTGGTTAATCGGGTCGAGGAGGTTGATTCGATAGGAGAGTCGGAGGGACAAAGGCACACACAAGCGCGTTGTACGCGATCGACAGTTGGAAAGCGGGAAGCCGAAGCTACCTAGGTAGGATTGGGAGAGGGGTGAAGCACAAAGGAGAGGAAGACGCGGGAAGACGCAGGTAACCGAATAGGCACGGCAAAAGTATTATTACGATCTCGTAGGGGCTCTCATGAATTAGTCGTAGTAGTCGTCGAGGGGTGGTTGATGGAGATGATTATGCCAGCACTGCTGTAGGTATTGTATAGTATTCACAAGAAAAGGGTATCGGATCTATGGTATGTTTATTCGGACTCGTTGTTTCGCTTTGTTGTTTAAGGAGAGAAGATGGATTAGTTGAAAGACGTGAGAGGGAAAGAGGTTAGGGAACCAAGGATACCAAGGATACGATGTATGACTCGTTCGGAGCGAGGCAGGTCCTATCGGGGGCTTCCAGCGAGTCCAGCAGCAGCGGTCCAGATAGAAAGGCGGGGCAGAGGGCAGATGCGGTACGCGAAGATGAAGGTACCGGGTACATTCAATACAGGCGATACGACGCTATTGACTATCGACTACGGTACCTAGCGCTAGGTAATTGCATTGGATAAGGGTGGATATGGGGGAAGGAGGGGGGAGATACCTTGAACACCTTTAGTCTAATGACTTAACAGGGGTAAGGTTCCAAGGTTCTACGTGTGTAGGTCACCAAGTCACTAATCTGGCAACTTCCTGACCTGTAGATAGGCGCGATAGGCACATGTGGATCAACGTTTTAGAACCCCAAAGGCAAGGAACATGGCCGAAGTGGATATATCCTACGTATTGGAGCTTCGTTGTACCTGGCCTACCTGACCTACTTACATAACTCCTCCGTCTTTTCATGCCTACCTACATTAGGTACCTAGGTACGTATAACCTAGGTAGTATCATATTCATATACTCATTATCGTATATCTATTTACCTAAGTAGTATTATTGACTTCCTCATCACGCATAAGCTACGGGCAAGCCTTTGTTTGGTTGAGCTGTGTAGGACTGCATAAGAGTTAGACTTGTCCAACGACAACTCACCCACAGCCTACAGCGGGAACGACGGCTGTCCTTCACATTACATTCAATTAGTATACGATGGATATATCATATTAGGGCCTTTGAACCTCAATCTTCAAGGTCTACCTACCTACCAGGTTGTGTAGGTAATTAAAGTATGTATGTACAGAATACAGGAGCGATAAGGTCGAGAATGCAACCGACCAGTTCCCATTGTACGAACAATTAAACACCTAGTACTACATACCTACATACAACATAGATGCACATGCGCAATCAGCTTGGAGCCCCTCACTATACCCAGTTTAGACATGCTCGAGTGGGGCCCTCGAACAGCTTGCTGTGTTGTTCTGTTGAGCTGAGATGAGCTGGAGTTTCTGATTGTCAGTCGAAGCTGGCCCTTGTCTCATGGATAATATGGATAATATGAATAAGAGAAAGGGGGAAAGGGGAGAAAGGGGAGAAAGGGTAGAAAAGGGGAAACAGATGACGATGCCGAATGATGTCGATGCATTCATGTGAATTCCATCATAAACCTACGTCATCGGTTCTTTGAGACAAGCGACTTCGAGAATGAGTGCTCCCAGCTGATAATAAGCACATACAGCTTGAAAGGATCAAAGAGATATCGAAGAATTGGAATCAACATGGTGGGAACCTAATACATTTGTATCAGCTATCCAGGTCCTAAGCAAAATTCACAATTACTCTGAATGGTTTCATCACGGGATCTATCGTCATCATCGTAATATATGCCACCTGGTCCAGAAGCTCCCCGCGCTCACCTCCCATTTTGCCATCGTGATCATGAACGCCTATGGTACCTAGGTAGGTAAGATGGAGGGGTAGGCGGTAGAAGGTCAGCTGACACCCAATCGAAGACCCAAGCCACGCGAACAGCTTTTGTCGCTATTCCTGCTATTCCTAGACCAGTTCCTCAATAAAGTCAAGGTGACTACATAGGTAGTCTAATAAATAAGCTCGGGGTTTTCATCGTGACAGAGTCATAGCATTGCATTATCACCATCATCATCACTAGTATTTCTATAAATAATAAGGAACGGGATCATTTGAATTTTCTTTCAGGATTCTAAGGTTACGTGATCAACACACACCTTAACGGGAAGCAAGAGCAGTCATCCGCGCAAGTAGACTTGATAGAACTGATATTTCAACCTCCCTTGCGCATCGTTCAAGACAGCATGTCCCGCCCACGACACCGCTTTCTGTTCTCCATTCTTCAAAACAAAGTCGACTGAGCCTTGGAGCACTGCAACCTCTCGAGTCAGCATTTTCTCTCTTGAAGGATGCTTAGTGATAAATCAGAAGTTTCAGTTCATATTGTGCAAAGGACCATATGCTCACTATATTCTATCGTCATTCCTTCGCCTTCGTCGGCCCCACCAAAGGTCGCCGGAAACACTTTGCCCGGTTTATGTCTCCGTGATTTCGTCCTTTCCCACATACCCTGGCGCAACTGACGGATTTCTGATGAGAATTTCTGAGTTAGCCTCTAATGATACTGGATTACAAGCCAGCCTTTTATGTGTAGATAGATATGTCAGTACCATCAGTTCCCTTGGCCGACCTATCACCGATAATAACCACGGCGTCGGGCAAGAAGTAATCCACCCACTCTTCGTTCTTTGATGGATCGTCGGATATGGCATAGAATTTCTCCATAAAACTTTTGATTCTCTCGTTAACCGCAGAATCAGATGGGAGTATAGGAACGTAGCCGGAGGAGGAAGCCATTGTGTAGGTTTGCAGATGAAATGCAGAGAATGAGAATTCTAGGTATCGCGACTTTCTAGAACAGGGAAAACGATTAAAATATTTGGAAGTGTGTCGAATAATGTTGGAAATCAACGAGTTATAGGTAATACTTAGTGTGACGACCGGATTTAAACCCAACTTGCACCCCGAAGCACCATCAATGTTCTTACGTAGATACGCGTAGCATACCTAAATAGGTACTAAAGATGATCTAGGAATGAAAGTAGCTCTCATAATCAAGCCATGCTGACGCTCACTACCTACTACATTTATACATGTCCTAATTACCTACATAATACCTAGCAATCGGCATTGCTTCCTATTGACATCTATTGTAAGACGCCAATATCGGGCTAGTGCACAAATAATAGCATCAACACATTTCTAAAAGCCTCGGGCGCGCAAACATCACATGATCTTAAGTCACAAAGGGCGGTGGGAATTATATAGACGAGAATTATGTACAATTACCCTTTTCTTCCATAGACCTTCCTCTTGCTACCCGTATTGCCAGTGCCCTGCATTGGTAGGAAAGTACGGAACGGGCTCGGGGTGTAATTCTCGAATATATCACCATCCTTGGTGTCCGCCTAAAAAGATCCGCAACGTGTATAGGGTGTTTTGCGTGGCCAGCCAGCTAACCAGCCAAACTGCGCTGCCGACCAAATATATCATCTCTCCCAACTTCACTTTCGACCGCCATTCAGAACCGTCTGGCATCTTTTAGGTTTGTTGGGTATGACACGCAAGTTGCAAGAAACGTAACCGTATGGAAAAATGGAATCATTGATAGACCGGGGTTAATTGTGACGTACGTGACCTTCGATTTGTAGCCGAGGAACTGTAATTTGATGTAGGATATTGAAGGACAAAAACCTCCGCAATCCACAACATCATCGCAGTCCGCCTATAGCCCCATAATTCTCCTATTTTCCGTACTGTCTCCTCGAGTAAAAATCTTTTTGGGTATCTCTCTTTTTTTCACGTCTCCATATCGGTATGGATTGGGTCGTATTAAGGCTCGATAGAAAAAAGACCCCTGAGTAGAGGTCTATGATCAGAGTAAAGGTTGGATGAATAGCATCAATCGTTAGCGAAAGACTAAGCGTCTTCTCATCATATAGGTCGGGAATTATGGAGATTATGGTAGGCGTGATCACATCCTCACTCCTCGCGAATTCACTTCTCCTCTTCCTCCGATGTTCAGTGCAATGCGGCATTCGGGGCAATACCACTTTGTCGTACGTGCGGGTATCTCAGTAAGTCCCACGCACCCTAGATGGAACCATTCTTGCTTGCAATTCTGTATGCGGTTCTCGGTTAGTTTTTTCACGCGTCTTGTCTTGTCATCTCGTGCTGGGGTTTTGGTGTTCTTTTTGGCGCTCACATCAACGTTGTCGCACTGTATCATAGTGCCAAAGCTAACCCCATTGCAAAGACAGTATCTCGGTTCATCGGGATCGATGACGTTGCCGTCGTCGTCCACTTCGCCTTCAACTTCCTGATTCGCGCCTTTCTCTTTCTTACCGATGGCCTTCTTGCGAGGCGCGGCCTTGCGCTTCCCTATAGCGCTAGTGCCACCCGAGTTTGTAGTCACCACACCAGGAGCAGGTCGTTTAGTGCGCTTGCTAGGTTGGCGCAGCTCGGGAGCGGGCGTGTTCCGAGCGGTGCTCGCACGTCGAGGACGTTCGGCTGCTAGCGTTGGAGGCGGCTCCTGACTCGCAGCTTTGCCACGTGAGGTGGGCCGACGTGCAGATGCTGGCTGCGATTCGGTTACGGAAGTGGTTGTTGGGGTGTTGCCCCGAGAACTTGGCTGCTTGGGGTTAGCTGGGGTGGGGGCAGGAACTTGCTGTAAGTTCTGTCTAGTTTCCCGTTTGGGTAGCTCCCGAGCTGGAGGGGGGATAGGCGTGGTTGAAGTCTTGGGAGGCAGCGGGACCGGTGTCTCTGCGGGCGGCTTGACAGGAACGGTCGTGGTGACGCTGGATGGAGGTGCCGGGCTAGTTGTCGAAGATGAAGCAGCAGACCTTGTAGTAACCATAGACGTGTCAGACGAAACCGGAAGCGGTACAGGTACCGGCGTCTTCGACGTTGTCGCAGCCTGAGAGATCTTTCCTAGGTGCGGGACGGGGACAGGAGTTTCCGTAGGAGCGGATGGCACCGTAGAGGCGGGGGGCGGGGGAGGTACCGAAGGTGGCCGAGGAGTCAGTTGCGGCAGCGGAACCGGAGTCTCCGTCTTAGTTCGCTTCAGCTGAGGTTTCTCAGGTTGACTAGCCGGTTGGTTGGCAGGCAGGCTCTGAGCCGCCTCGGGTTTCTCCGAGACAGGAGTCTCCGACATGGAGTTGCGCTTTCGCTTTCTCGTTTTTGGCTTGCTGGCCTTCCCTTGACTCTGGCTTGCCTCAGGTGGTCTGTCCTGGCCCCCGTTGACGGATGGAGAGGCTTCGTGGCTAAGAAACATTCTGGCAGCTTCCACCATTTTCCTAGCAGATTCTTCTGCTTCCTCGGCTGCGATTCTTGCCATAGATTCACGTTTCAGCTTCTTGGCCTCATTCAACTTCATGCCACGGTTGCTTAACTGTACCTCGTCTGCTGTCAGAGCTTCAGCGCTGATCGCACCTTCGGGAGGATGCTGAGTCCCGGATTCAGCATCTACCACCGGGGCGGGGAGAGCTGCCTCGAAGGGCTTTCCCTCCTCCTCCGCTTGCTTCTGGGCGGCCCTGTAGGCTTCGACACCACGTCCCAAGTTCTTAAGTTCGCGGGCTATCATGGTATCGCTAGGGTTCCACACCGCGTTCTTCTTCATGCGCTTTCGTAGCTTCGCCAACTCGTAGGGCGTCAGTTGAAGCCACGGGGCGTCAGCGCTGCCGGGAACCGCATTCTCGGGAGGCGGCTTAAGCTGGGCCAAGGCGGTGCTCGTAGACATCATGGGTATGGTGTTATCAGACCTATGCATAGATGCGCGAGGAGGTCGCGGTGGCTTGGGTATCTTCTGCTTGGGGGGTTTGGGGGACTTGGGCGGTTTGACCACCTTAATGCGAGCCGACGGCGCCGCAACTTGCCTTGGAGGGGATACCGGCATATCTTCCTCTTCTTCTTCGTCGTCGGAGGATTCGTCGCTCAATGAGCTGTAGGAGTTAAAATCGATCTCGTAAGGCGCGAGGACCTCACCCGGAACGGTGATTCTGGGTGGCCTCTGAATTTTCTGTCCGTTGCTATCTAGCCGAAGAGTGATCTTGGGGGTGCGAACCATCTGCGGGGACTTAACCTGGGTAGGGCTCTTCTGTTCCTCCGCGGTAGGAAAATTGTCGCGCATCGCTTGAAGTTTCGCATGGATGGTCTTGGCCCTGTTGTAATGCCTGATCACGTTTTCATGTATGCGAACAGCTTCGGCGTGAGAAAAGACGCGCGAGCTGACGGCGCGATTTAGATTCTCGGATATCTCTTGGCGCAATCTTGCGGGGGCAGGGCGCTGGTCGGCTGGCAGAGTTGGCAATTTTCCCCATGTGGCAGTGAGGCCATTTACGGTTGCTGAGGCCTCGAGGTAGGCTTGGTCAAGGTTCCCGATGAGGGTAAGAGATCGCATCATGTCGGACGGGAGGTATTCGGTAAAATCGAGGAAATCAGTTACTGTAGCTTGCGCATCTGGATCTGCGCGCATGTTGAGAGATCCGAGGCCATTATTCGTGGTATCGAGCGATGGGATAGACTGTGCCAAGGTGCTGGAGTCCTTGTTCCTTGGTGAGATGTCACCATCGAGCTCCCCACCTTTATCGCTGTTTGCTTCTACTGCCGTTGCCATGATTATAACGCAGACTGCAGAAGACAAGTTGTTGTGCTGTGAAAAGGTGCAGCATAGAAGGCAGTTGAAGAGTTTGGGAATGATGGAAATTAATGACAGTAGGTGGAGGACAAGGAGTGATGAAAAGTGTGCGGTGATAAAGTTAACGCGATTGTACGATGAAGTGAAGGTATGGACAGTGGAAGGTAGTCGCGTCAAGGTTTGTTGGCCCGAGCTTCATGGTTTAAATGTTCTTACCTAATCGCTTATGACAGTGTAAGGTACTTCGTACAACTTAATTGTACAGGGGCTGGTGGGGCAGGACCATTGAACAGCATGAGTAATCACGGCAAATCTTCGGAAGTGGTAAGTGCATCTTAGGATGTACCTAGGTGCTTAGAACTCAATCGCTTACATGTATATAATGATATTCGTCAGGTCCTCCTCTATCCTATAAGCTTCATATTGTCGACTTAGTTCACGCCTGTAACGAAATTTATCCAGGCTACAATCAACTTCAATATAATTACAATTTACTTCCGCTCTTCTAGGCATTACCTATTACATACTTTCAATGCAACTGCCTATTCGAAATGATCAAAGCAAATATAGGTACTCTACATGTTCTCCCATTTTCCCTATCCCCGCCAGTTTCCGTTTCCCCATCCCATCCAAGCTATGGCTAAGCTTGCAGGTATCGGCGGCTGAATAAAGCCACCGCGAATGAGCGCGTCAGAATCCTCCGCAGTGATTTCCCCTATTAGCCATGAACTCCAACTCGAATATACTAGGAAACTCCGGCAGTTACCAAGAACATATGAGTTCAAGTTATAAGAATGATGAACAGGCATTGATAGGAACGTCACTTGTTTCACTCGCTCTCCTGATATGTGTATCCCTGGCACCTCCCTAGCTTGTAGCATTGGACGACTACCTAAGCACTATGTTAACTACCATCATACTGACTTCGCTACTCCTGGCTACGGCAGCAGCAGGTTCAGCCTCGGACGCTCAGGAAGCCAGGAAACGCCCTATCATTCTTAGTAGATCTGGCGGCTTCGTAGTGGGAGGCAGTATCATCAAAAGCCCCGCCTTTGCTAATTCTACCCTCTCCTGCGACCATGGGTACATGGAATACTTTATTCCCTGGAGGCCGCGGAGCACGAGCATTGTAATGTGGCATAGCGCAACTACGCAGGCATTTCAAAACCGCTGGGACGGTGGTGAGGGCTACAAGGACATGTTCCTACGTCGCCGATACCCTGTTTACCTCTGGGACGGGCCTCGGGTCGGACGAGCTAATTGGGCATGCGAACCATATCTCTACACACCCTCATACAGAGACCAGGGCAACTTTGTGGCCTGGAATTTCGGTCCCTCATATCCAAATTTCTGGCCAGGTGTGCAGTTTCCTACTGAAGACCGTGAGGCATGGCAACAAGCGACTAGTGCCCGCTACGTCGAGTTCGACACCAATAAGAACGTGCATCTCGAGTCTCAAGCAGCCGCGGTCGCTGCAGACTCGGGCCGACTTGGAGATAGCATTGTGTATCTTACCAACTCAGCTTCCGGCCTACGTGCCCAGTTAACGGCCACCAAGAGCAACTCGACAAACATAAAAGCCATTGTAGCCTACGAGTCCTACGGTTCCGTGTTCCCTGATACGTACAATATTACCGCCGGAGAGCCATTTGGCCCCTTGAAGGTTCCCCTTGAAGAATTTAAGAAGTTGGCCAAGCTTAAAGCCATCCAATTTGTGTGGGGGGATCACAGAGAGGAAAGCTTTCCATTTCTTCGGCAGACGAGACAAGTGGCCAAGCTCATTAACATGTATGGTGGGAACGCGAAAGTATTCTTTCTAACCAAAGACGGAGGGCTCAAGGGAAATACTCATTCTGCATTTGCGGACATGAATAATGACGAAGTTGCAGGGCTCTTGGACGAATTTCTCGAGGAAAATGGCCTCGACAGCTATGATAGAGCTACAGAGGATAATATCGATGATCTATTAGATCAAGACTGGCTGAGGAAGAATTTCAACTAGTTGGGAAACATATGCTAAGGCTCGTCGCTTTTTGGATTCATACCTACCTATCATGGATGCTAAAATACGTCGAAGAGGCTAGGTCATGATTTTGTGTTGTTTAATTTTTAAACCACGTCCGTGACAATGAACGTTAAACTCTCATCGCCCTTAACTAGATAAAATTTTAACTACCGTTGCGTAAATATAGAGGGTTTGGTATATACTTGCAGCATGTCGTTACTGAGAGCTATACATCGCCGTCGTAATTAGGTCTTGTGGTAGAACAACCAGGTACCCAGGTGGGTGTATCATAAAACCTAAGATGTTTTACTAGCCCAGATTGCAGGACAGTATTAATACAACTTGCTACTATGATAAGACAACGAATAATACGTAGTAAACATGTATATGTAGATCTTCTTCCGTGGCCTCTGAGCACAAGCTACCTAAGTTGAGCCTGAGCCATGAGACCTCGCTATGGACCAATACCCAATGATAAAGGCGTTCCGATGTCAGTATAAGAGCTAATAATGTAACTCAAGAATAACTCAGCGCCCCTTGCTCTGATATAAAACCAGAGACCTTTAGTTATCTTCGAAAGAAATAATATCCACCGTGATCCAAATCTTCTGTAGGTACTAGATCCGTTCTCAGTCCCCCCATATCCAAGTTCATATTCCATCATTTCGACTTCTATTCCTCCTAATATGTACACTCGCATGCTTCAATCTCGCAGCAGATATTGCTAATACCCTGCCTGTCCTGTGCTCCTGCCTGTTGAGCCTGTCATCGCATGTCACTGTGCTTGCTAAGCATGCGTCGTAGCCGTTGTATACCTGACATCCACTAGAGAAGTAATGAACAGCTGCTACAGAATACACGCCTATATAACTTGCTTTAAGGATGGCCGGTAAGAAATTATTCTTCCCGCTGAACCAGTCCGGATAACCGGGACTCGTAAAGAGTTGGCGTGGTAGTGGCAATGCATGCCAAGGCGAGAATACCATTACACCAGAGATATTTTCACGATGGCCTGAGAATATTGGAGGGAAATAAAGAGAATACCCGCCTTATGATTCTTGTTGGTTCCCTAGATGCTGACCAGAGACCTAGACCCCAGGTCTCCCAGTCTTCATGAGCCTATGTGCCATATATCCTAGATTGCTACATCTCTAAATCGTCTGTAAGTGGATCCTTGTATGTAATGGGATATCAACGAAAACTACGCAGGAAGGGATGGACCAATCACGGCATAGACTAATTACCAATTACGGTAATATCCTGCAACGCGAAACCACAATAGGTACCTAGATGTTGCTCTTCGCTCGTTCCTATTAATTACTCCTATCCTAGGAAAGTACCTAAGGAGGCTAGTAAGCAACGGAGGTATACGACATTGGATTGAACTTGGACAACCTTAATCAAATTTCTTTGCATTCTTTTTATCTCCTTAACCCCATCCAGATACTAAGCTGATATTCACTGCAGCCCACCCATCAAACGATACCCAGAAGTGGTAAACTAAACATTAGAAGGAGTCAGCACGGTTATAAAAGACTCAGTCCCGGCGATAAAGCACACCTAACCCCGAAATACGCCCCCTTTCCCGACCGTTTTATATTCGACCATATCCGTCACTTCGCTTTTTCTCTTATCATACACCAGGCCCCCAGCCCCTACTAATGTTAATCGACTACCTGGACGCGTGTGTCTAGACGCTCCCGACAGCACCAAGACCCACCCCCGTTACCGCGGCGGCGAGCACCCAAACACTACTCCAAGCCGCAGCGCCCGGGGTCTCGACGCCTTCGATCGTATAGCGCGTCAGCAGGAACGTATTTACGCCCGTAACCAACATCAGTAGGACTGTCCTCTGAATCACTATCTTGGTCTGGACACTCCAGCCCCAAAAGTTCCAGCGCATTGTTTCCGACAGACTGGCGTTCATCGGATCGAACTTCTTCCCATCCTCATCCTTCGGAGCGACTGTCCCTTCCGCAGGCGTGAACACGAACACTTGTGCTGCGAACCCGAGGACTATAGTCACAGGTAGGAGTCCGATGTAGGTAGCCTCGTGGGCGGAGGCGACGGACGGCAGGTTCGTAAAGTGCACGACAAGGTATGTGGGCAGGTACGTGGCGTACGCAAAGAACAGGGTCACGCTGTAGATCGCACCAGCGAGAAGAGTCGTCAACAGCGCGATGGGTCGGTCGGCGACGATGTCGGCGTTGGGCGCGTGGTGCGGGTCCGCGTGCGCCGTGGAAAGCGGGCGCAGGAGGCGGAAGGGGATGTACGTCGCGAGGGTTTCGATAGCGAGAGTCAGGAGGAGGGCGCTGGGTGGGGAAGAATAGAAGGCGTATAGAAGGTAGAGCTGTGGATACTGTTAGTTTGTCTGTTCCATGTCACAAAGGTATCGTTCACGAGACGAGGTCGCCCTGCGTCTAGAGATTGTACGTAAGGGGTTTACATGAGAGCATCTTAACTTACCAAGGGGCCGTGAGAGAGGAAGTTCAACGCCGTAATATCGTAGCCGTCATATTTCCCGAACCACCCAAGCGCGAGTTCAAATCTAAAAGGGAAGTTAGAATTATGTCAAGAACATCGTCTTTATCCTCGCGTCCACGGGTAACGCCTATCAAATTTCATGTACTCACATTCTCCAGCCCGTCAAGATTCCGAAATCTGACCACGTATTCAGGACTCTCGTATGCTGCACGAGCGGGCCCTTCGTATAACTCCAGCTCAGCGCGAACCCCAGTGCCGACAATGATAAACTAAGGATAGCGACCAAGGGAAATTGGACCAGCTGCGGTAGCTTAGACGGTGCATCTCTTCCGATGTGCTCCTTCTTCGAAAGCGTGGTTGTCGGGCCCTCGATCTTAGTGACGGTAACGACAGTAGACGCGGTAGATGTAACTTCGGCGCTCTCCTCCTCCGCGCGGGTCTGATTCCTGGTTCGCATTGTCGCGGATCGAATCGGGTTGCCTGGATTGATGAACGTTCGATTGCCTGAAACTTATGACGAATCGAAAAGAATCGAATAAATCCCCGGGCGCGAACGACGTGCCTATTTGATGTCGCTGTTGTATAATAGGGGTAGCTGTGCCTTTTGGAATTGAGTTGAAAGGATCTAGAACTAAAGTTGGTGGAAAGGAAAGTTCGAATGTTGTGATGATCAAGAGTAAGATAGCTGGAGGTGCCTAGGCATGTACAAAGTACCTTAAACTCAAAAAGTCCGGGAGCTTCCAAGACCTAATGTTTGTACGATCAACAAACGGCAAGTTCGGTGGTGGGGGTTAGGAAATCGCATTGGAGAAAGAGCTCCAGCTCCAGCTCCAACTGCCCGTTTGGTATGTGGGGAACCTTGGAAAAGACCCATGGATTTACACTACTTAGGTACCTAGGGCTAGCTGAAAACATTCCAGTGCCACTGTAGTACCGCTGTGCCTACTATTGTATTGAACGATACCACCACTGCACCATTGATAGAACCTAGTACCGGTGACGTCTACCCAACCGTCCCCTCGTCTCGTCTCTCGAGCCGCCTTACCAACCAGCTGTCATATACGCATGTAAACCCCACTGCCTGGCTGATCGACAACGCAAATCACAAACCACAAACCTCGCTTTTCAAAAGGGAGCCCAAGTCCCCGATCCTCGATCTCCCACTTCAATATCTTTCTTCCTTTCTCTATCAACTCCCTTTTCCTTCTATCCACCTATCTGGTGCGACCTTTTACCAATGAACCCTTATACTTGAATGGGTCCCCCGTGTGTTTGTTGCCTACCCGCGGCGCCGTCCCGTTTGCTACCCGTCTATACCAGCGTGCATTTGACGCAGGTCGAAAAGATCGCTGGCATCATAGATCCACTACCGGTAGCATAGTGTTTGGTAAAGCCAGTCCTTGGTTGCTAGCCCTCACTCTCTCGGCCTTCGCAGGTCACTGTCGTTAGATCTTCCCTTCACCTGCGAACTATCGTCTCGTCAGTCAGCATCAGAATACATAGGTAATCAGGCATCCACTAGTAGTTCAGAATATTCATCTTAATCAGTTTTTCATTCATAAAGAACAAATAGGTGTTCTCGGTCTTATTATCAGACATCACACACTTTGCCCCATGAGAAACCGTTCCTGTCCTCTCTGCCCTCCCTGAAAATCTCGACTATGTTAGGTGTTCGCTCGACGCTCCCTCCGATCCTCACTTTAACCTCTTGGAGAATGTGGGTTATCCTTTCCCCAGCGCCCTCCATTCTTCGGTGCTGAGATTTCGGCCGCGGAGCGAACCACCTCCTTTACAAAATTTGATATACGGCGATACACAAAGGAAATCAACAAAACGCCATGATTCGTTTCATGTCATCTCTCGAGTGAACGATCCAGAGCCTAGTCCTCCATACGGCCAAACATCATTTCGTCGTCCTCCTCGCTGCTACGCGCCCTGGAGCGCATATCTCCCTCGTCTTCGTCCATCACGCTGCTCTCGCTGTCTTCCATCTTCACATCTTCCGTGTGCCGAACCTCGCCTCGAGTGAAGCTCTCTGGCATCTGACCGGACGGGAAACTGTTGATAAAACTCGTGCTAGCGAAGGATACGTGGTCAAGGTATTGAGCAGGCAGCGGCGGTACGGGGGGAGCGTCGTTGGGCAACCTGGCATCTCGGCCCCCTCCGCTGCTGCCAAAGCTGCAGCTAAGCAACTCGACCGCTGCGGCAAGGTCGCGATCATCTTGGCCGGTACTGTTCATGCCCGAAGATGGAGGGCGTCGGTCCATGCTCGCGTGTCGGAAGTGACCAAATGCATTCCCATTAGGCACGCTGCCCGGGAAGAACGAACCTGACGCAGCCGATTGGAGAGACAGCGAATAGCCGCTTCCATTGCTGTTTCTCTTTGGCGCTGTGCGGTAAGCAAGAGTATTAGTCGTGCTGAAGGCCTCCGGTTGCGGCGGTGGGGTGGTGTCAGCAGAACTGCGGCCGTCGTGGACCTCCGAATAGCCCGATGCGGTAGGAGAAGCCGATTCCGGGTCGCTAGCGAAATCTTTGGCAGAGTCGGGCGGGGTGGTCGCGTCGTTGGTGTTCATGGCGACGAGAACCGAGGCCGCCTCGAGCAGTTGAACTTGTTGGTGCTTGGATATGAGCAGCTTTGACGTGAGAGACCACTCGGGAGTATGTTCCCACCTAGCAAGCAAATCGTCAACACAGATTCACGTTCAATTACCCGGGGCTTGATGAGAGTCTCGCGGCCAGACCATCCTTGTTTTCCAAGGCAGGAACGCGCATTTATTATCCGGCGGCCTGGGCAAGTGAATGCATAGGAGAGGCATTGGATAAGAAAATGGGCACCAACAAATGCTTGGTCAAGCAACTGCTGTGCTTGTATCCTTTTCCACACTTGTCGCAGCGGAGTTCAATTCGGTTGCTCTTCTTGCCCTCCTTCGTCAAGGGCTGACCGTCGCTCGCTCGCCTAATGCGAGCTTTCTGCAGCCCTCCCTCTCCTTCGTCGGCCGACATGTCGTTCGAATCGTCGTCGATGGCATCCTCCGACCCTTCGGGCTTCATACTCATGGAGAACCTATGTGTGGGCAAGCTCGCGGGCGGAGAAGGTAAGCTGCCGACGATGGCTGATCTTGCGGCGGCGGACTTAGACATGGTACCGCGACGGGAACTGACGGCGATGGGGAGGGGTCCAACCTTGTCGCCAGCCTCCTCGAGAGCGGCTGCAACGGCTGCGACGTTAGCGGCGGTGTTGGTCATACTCTTCCGACGGGTTACGCGATGGGTGGCATTGAGGGCGCCGGACAAAGCGGAGTAGGTGTGAGAATTATTGCGAGAATGGGACATTGGCCTCGCGGCGCCCAAGGAAGACGTCGAGCCGGAAGGGATAGATTGACGGTGTTGGGTCAATGGCCTCGCTGATGTTTGCATTTCCTATGGTCGTGGCAGACACGAATGATCAGCATGGTTGCTCTGTTCTGGGAAGCAAGCTGGGAGCGGGTAACGGTGGTCAATGGTGATCAATGGTGACAGGCGAAAGTAGATTGGTGCAACTGCTGGGTTACCTTGGAAGAGGCCATTGCCGAACACGTAAATAGTAGAACGACAAAATATTCGCCTTTACTAATGGTAGTATTCCTTCTTCTCTTGACTTCAGCTCCTGTCTCACACGATCGTTGAAGAATGCAGCAAAATTCGAGCAAGCAAATGGGAGCAAAAAAGCAAAGCAATAGGAATTTAACGGCAATGGGGGGTGGATTCTGATATGTATTGGTCAGGAGGAAGAAGTTGGTGGTGGTATGGCAAGTAGTAGTGTAGTGGAGGGCGGATGTTGGGAAAGAAGAAATGCCGTCCGAAGTTCGAAGATAATTATTTTTTTTTTCTTTGGCCCTTTGGGAATTGAGGAAACAACAAAGGGTCAATCAATTGCACAAAAAAATAAATTTTATGGATTCAACCTTGGGACTTTGGGAAGTTTACGAGTAGCTACAACTTTGTACCGGCCCGTACGTTTAGGCAGGTACAGGACTGACTGTACAAGTACACAGATACTCAGATACGGATACTAAGATACGCAGATACGCAGATACTTACAAGACATTAGATCCATACATCGGTCGTTCGTCAGGTGGTCAACCGACCTGCAATAATATTGGAAATGTTCTCGACTGCGCCATCCTCTAGCTCTTATTATTCTGATTTCAGCATTACTCCTTCTTCCTTACTACGTAGAATATTATGAGTGTACCCACATACATATATCTAGGTGTGTCCAGTATGTATATTCTGTGTACGTAGTATGTCAATGTACAATATTATAATGCGCAAGTAAAGCACAATATATGCATATTATGCATTCCTACATAACGCAAGCTAAGCGTTTAGAGGGAAACTCAGCTAACATCTGCTTACATAGGTAGGCATGTACGCATTAAAGAAAGCATTAATAAAAGCGAACATTAGGAAGTGGCATGTGGTGCGCTGGGTGCGTTGTAGTGGTGTGGTAGTCATGCTGGATTGTCCTTGTCTCGCTTTTAGTCTTCTTCCCCCCTCTCTCTCCGTTGATTCGCCCCCCATCTTTTTTATCCTTCCCCCGTCCTATTTTATCTGGGCAGTTTTTGGGTAGAATCCACAAGAGCGCATTGGAAGATTGATACAACGCACGCTCTGCACGTCAAGTGGTCCTGCCCCTGTATCTTAGGTAGGTACGGAGGTACCTACATTTCTAGGTACATATTTAGTGCGATGCAGTGCACACATGGATGTGCACATAGATTAATAAGCTGGGTCTAACTAGAGAAGATCTAGTGTAGTTCCAAGTCCCAAGTCCCAAGTCCCAGTCAGGGTTCAGTCAGGCACAACTTCGAACTTGGAAACTTGTCGAAGCAGCATAAAAAAGGTACACAGCTGTAAACAGGTTATTTGACGTGACAGTTTCTTACTCAGAGCTAATCGTCGATGAATACGATGTGTGGATCAGGAAAGTCATTTGGCGGGAAGACGAGATGAAAAGTCGCATCTCAGCTACAACATGCAGAACATATAAGTCGAAAAGGGTCGAATTATCGCAATCAAGTTTGTACATATCTGTGAGTCAAAAGAAGAGCAAGTCTGCAATATGACCTAATGACTATAAAAAGGAGCAAACTACGCTTGGCAGAGTGCGATTGTGGAATAATTATCTTGCGGATTGTTGAGTTCTGTGGTATTTCGTATGCCGGAATCGGTGAATGAATAGCATAAATTTGAGCCTATTCAGACGTGGAATAACCTCACTGACTGTACTTGAGTTTCATCACAGTGCCTGCCTACCTGCCTAGATATGAATGAGCAATACAAGAGGAGATCGTTTCCTTGCGGATGTAAGATGAGACGGAGAAGTTGGACTGCTTAGGTACAATCTTATAGCACGTGGCTAACTCGAATATCCTAAGAAGTAAAGTGGTAAAGGATCGCGGAGTCGGACAAATAAGACGCAGCTTCAGGACAGGTTAGGGATGAGAGGAGCTACCTGTTTCGTAGCTCAGATATTCGAACATAGAATCATTCAATTATACCTATATTTGATAGGGAATTTATTATGCAAAACTTGCCTATCAGAAAACGACAGCGTCGATTTGTTATGCAAATCTCAGTTGACAAGTGGCAGTACCTAGTATCAAACGTGGCATATGATAATGGCATTCGCGAATAACCTTACTGAAGATGTGCTCGCATTCTGCATAGGGTATTTGATAGTATCATAAGTCAAGACAACGAATAATTACCTACCGGTACTTACATATAGGTACCTAGGGCTGCTAGAGTTCCCTATCCAGATTGGTCCAAAGAGGGCGTACGCGTAATGAAAGGAAGAGGGGTCAGGGGGGTAATTGGCTTGATATCTTCATATATCTACACTACTAGGTAGGTACACAGCAGAGGTACTAATCGATATTCCTATTACCTACTACATAGTAGGTATATAGCTTTTCCCAAGGCTGCCATTTATCTCGATGTCTGGAAATATAAGCCTGCGAGCATACATACAGACTTGACAGACATAATGGGTTATATGTACACGTGCCTGTTGTTCGACCTTGTTACCAAGTGTCTTCTATCCATACATTCTACGTACACGCCTAGGTACATAACCCCGGAAACGCTAACAGTAACAACCTTGTGACCGGGCCGGGTCTATAAATTGATCAAAGGACCATCGATTTGAACCCCGGACTACGCGGATCAACACTAGGTACGATCGTAAGCGCGTCACCTGGCGGGTAGGGTTAACCCCTGGCGATTCTTAGCACCGAGCATCTTGTACTAAGAATATCCGTCCAGACTAGCAGTTAGACGTGAGGTATTTGGTACTCTGTCTCTTCGGTTTCAGAGGATCCTTTGCGGATTTCGGATTTCAGCTTGGTCAGCGAGCCCTAACAAAATGCTACTTATATGTGTATACTTGTACGAAAAGAGCGAGGGCATACATAATTCCAGCATAAAGATCGACAGAAGTCTGAAATGCTTGTAACTCCAAAAGCTTTGAAGTATCCAAGTTGGAGTAGGGAAACTAGAAGTGGAGAATAGGTACTCTGGTATGCATTTCTAATACGCTATTTTAGTATGTATGTACTAGTTTACGGAATATTAACCGTATTGCAGAAAGCACCAAGATGACCTTAAGAATTTTTTGAAACAATTTCAAATAGTTTCATTAACTGACAGATAACAACCCTTCAACAACCTTCTTCTAACAACAGTAGCAGTGGAAGCAACAGCCATTTATATTCGGTATCTGCGTGCCCATTCATAACTACGCCAATTTAATAGTATGTTGTTTAGGCCATGAACCTGGCCGCCGCCGTGGTAACACCGGGTCTCAGTTTTGTATACTAGTAAGTGTCCATAAGTAGCATCGGACGTTGATTGAAGAACGTTTTACTGCCAGAAAAATACATAAGATCAGCAGGCATATTAACTTTTCCGGATGCCGCAGGTACTTTCATGCATGAACTTCCACTCGCAAGCCGGCAGGTGGCAGAATTTGGAGAAACGATATTATACTCACGCCCCAGCACCTTCTTCTTATACACTACCATCCTCCTCGTTTTGTCTTATTGGACAACCGTTTCCACACTACTACATCCACGTATCCAGATTAGGGTATCGACCCAAAGACACCCCTCCCCCGATTCTTGCGTACGGCACCTATCAAATCATCCTCCCATCAGATTTATCCAAATTCTTCTACTAGTTTCCAACTTCCTACCTGTCAAAGAAGATATTCCTAGGCAGTTAGGCAGTTGAGCAATATTCACTTACTGCTTATATGAACGAAGTAGGAAGTAAGGGATATTTCACCCACTTTCTTACTAGTTCTTCGCACGCGTTAAATTCTCAATTCGACGTTGTGCTGCATGGTCTCAAGAGTCCAGAACCATTCCACGTTGGTTCTTTCGTTGGCTCCTTTGATATCGCACTTCCAAGCGGCCAAGGTATTGAGTGGTCCAGACCATTCCGTAGAAACGCATACCAGGCAAATTCTCATTAACCTCTTTTTTTTCACTCTAGCTGGTGCTTTTCTAGACGAGTGCTCGCTTCCCCTTTCCTAAGTGAACCATCTCGCCGCAACCGCGATATTTCAATCACTTTCGAAATAAAATAAATGGTGCCGGTTTAAGAGCTAGCTGTCTACTAGGCATTCGAGCCCTCTCGCCACAAGCTAGACTTAGAGAAGGCATCGTGGCAAGGCGTCACGGGATGAGAAATCGGCGTAGTCTATTTTTCCGTGTATGCTGCGGTCCTTATGATTCGTCCTCTTCATTGCATACCTAGCTCAAGGTAATCTATCATTGGCGAATGAGATGCCACGCGCTAAGATCGTTGATAAGCTGGGGTATTTCGCTGCCAAGACGACAGTTCCTTCGATTGGGCTATACCTTTTTCCTCGATATCTTTTTCGAGACAACATTGACTATGTTAGAATTCTTTACCATAGTACTTATCCGTTTAGGGCTATGAGGAATCCGCTTACAAGGGCAGACACAACCTTATTATTAAATCCAGCGAAATTCTAGCGAGTTGACTTCACTTAGTCGCCGTCCATATAGCTAGATATCCGCCGACCATAGCACCAGCATGGTTGAATGAGAAAGCCTGTTACATTACACCAAACCCCTTTAATTTGAGATTTTGAATTTTATTAATTCCGAAGGTTAAATAAGCCTCAAACACCGTCAGTGCGTCCGGGAAAAGTAATGATTTCACCCGGAGAAGACATAGTGCCGTGTTGTTATTAGATCTAACTTGTCAGCCCTATCACACTAGCCCTAGCATTATTATTACGTTTCGAATATCTGTTCATAAAAGAAAGGAAAATCTTGGGTTGGTAATGATATGAAGAGCCTTACATAGATAAGCAGGTGTCGGGGTCGAGAATTTAACTGTCAAGTGGACAATGATTATGCGGTAACTTAACCGCAGGCTTGGAATATCAAGTGACTCTACACCTTGTATGTATGCCACTATTCCAAGTTATAAAACTTGCGATCCAGGAACGGATCCCGGGACCTGCACGTAGACAAGGCAATACTGGCGGCAGCTTTACCACTTCGAACAACAAAAGCGGGTTATTTGTCCGAAGGATCAACACTGCCTACCCGCCTGCCCGCCTTACCGGGTGGCACATCACCTACCTAAATATCTATACTGGGTACGTGTTGAGCATATATTCTGACAGCTCGCAGAGCCGGGTAATGAGCCTCGTCACTTAGGTATAGAGTGTCTATATGTACCTGTCGACGTGTCTATGTACAGCACGTACGCGCAAGTTGCCACTTGGTTCGAACGAATGCAGGTACGAGAGTGTTCTCGGGCACCTTGGCGGAGCCTTCAAGGCTTCGACGGCGGACGATAGTACCGAATCCGCCAACCCGCCAATTCATTTTATGTACTGCGATGTATACAGTAACAATGCACAGTACCTTGAATAATTGATACTGTATTTTTGAGCTTACAGGGACTACAGCGCTAAAGAGCGCTATAAATTACAGCGTGCTATAGCGCACACTCTCGTTATCACAGCGCCTTAAATCCTACAGGTAGGTAATTAATCCTTAAATCAGTTCAAGGGTCAATTGAATAGTTAATTGAACAGTTAATTGAACAGTCAATTGAACAGTTATTTCAACAGCTCTTTGATAAGTTCAATGATTACTGTTCAAAGGTCAGCCCCAAGGTGACACGTGACTTACGACACTCGACGTATGGCACATGACTAGTGTCACATGACCTCCCTTGCTAGGTACAATATAATGTCGGTAAACCTATCCAATACCTACCCATACTTACCTCTTATACAACGTATTTTGACCAGGTTTGAACCTAGCTAATTGATTAATCAATTAAATAATTGATTAATGAAATCGCTTTTAAGTTGCAAATGTTTATTCAAGCCTAGCGAATAGCTAGGTGAAGCTTGCAATTCAATTGAATGGATTAATCCCCTATAAATTATAAGGAGCTACGCGCTATAGCACGCTGTAATTTATAGCGCTCTTTAGCGCTGTAGTCCCTGTAAGCTCAAAAATACAGTATCAATTATTCAAGGTACTGTGCATTGTTACTGTATACATCGCAGTACGTAAAATGAATTGGCGGGTTGGCGGATTCGGTACTATCGTCCGCCGTCGCTTCGTACCTGATCAGAGGCGCAGCCCTTCTATGGCTACCGAGCCGTCAAGGTCTTTTCATGAATGCGTGCCGTCACATAATACTTTTGACTTATGACATGAACCCGAAAATGGAGTGATGGCTTCAATGGCATGATAATATGAATTCTTAGGTATCAGGATGAATTATGGATACCTACAGAAAACTCGGGGAATAAGTCGCGGCGCCCCTCAGTGACGTCGCCATCTACCGGAACTTCGATTAGGCAGGTTGCACAAGGTAACACACGGCAAGCTAGCCGCTCCCAGTAGGTTGGAACTACATGTATGTTAAACTTAATTAATAGTCCTGTACTGATTATGATAAATACTTTATACATACATGTGGATATCTCTCCATCTGCGTATAGAACAGTAGAATAATAGTAATTCAAGTTTCACCGATAGGTTTGAACGTCGCCGTCTGTTGGTATTTAGCGCGCAGGTCTTTAATTGTCATCCCTGCCCCTTTACGCGCGCGGTCGATTTTAATTAAAGCCCCGCGAGCAGGCGTCTATATATGTATATCTAAGTAATTCCGGTTCCAATTAGCCGCTATTAGATCTCTCCCTTAGCCTAGGTAGGATAGGAGCCTGGGTTAGATGTCTTCGATAGAATACTTCTTCCAACAGATTACCAACGTGCGTAGTAGCGGTAACACATTTGCAAAAAGAAGGTATGCCAAAATCATACGATAGTCACGATCGGTCTGCCAACGTTGAAGGTACAGAATACATATGTCCTCGTAGACAATACGAGCACAATTTACATCCGAGCCTCCACACAGTATGGCAGACGTATACCGCCGCAGCGGGCGGGGCGGGGCAGGCAACTTCTACTCGCAGAAAGACATCGAGGAGGCGACGAAAGGGAAACCCGAGGTCTCGTATACACTGCTCTCGTACGGGTTATCCACCGACTCTCAACTAAGACGCTCAACAGGATCTCGAAGCCCAGAAACCCCAACACCTCGTCGACGATGAACCCTTAAACGACCCCGCAGATGTTCCCGCGCAGGCGGCGCCGCCGATCGCAAGCACGAACACCGCGAACGGATCCGGAAACGGCACGAGGACATACGCGCGGTCCGGCCGCGGCGGCGCGGGGAACTTCGTCGACGTGCCTCCCTCCATCTCCGCAACCACAGACGCATCGACAACATCAGCCCCCTCTTCTCCCGGCTCTTCCACCAGCACACCCAACCCCCAATCTTCCACGCAACCTCCAGCGCGAAGCGGGCTATCAGGCCGTGGCGGTGCCGGGAACTGGGTAACCACGGACCCGGAAACCGCGTACGATCCGGAGCAAGAGCGCAAGCGGCGCGAGGCGCTAGATGCGCATATCCTGCAGGATATCCGAGAGTCGCTACCGCAGCCGCCCAAGATCCATTATATGCACGGACCGGGGAGGGGACGGAAGCCTGATTTGCCTTCTTCGTGATTTGATGCTTCAGGTTTCGCTGGTGTTGGCAATTAAGGTATTCATGGGTGGATATATGGATGAATGGATAGCTACCTACTTAACATGTATGGCTTTTCGGTGTTGGGTTTGGTTGCTAAAAGAGGTCGGAGAACCTGAAGTACGGAGACGAAAAGGGCACTGGCTAGAAAGGCGTCTGCTATGGGACCACACACTTTAGTAGTAAGACCATACACCAGACATGTCCTGTAAATAATCATAGTTTTTAATGCATAGCACTGCGAGAAAAGAGCGACATCTCGTTATAGAAGCACACACTGTCGGACTAGACCGTGCAGCTCTAAGGCTTCGTATTGCGAAAAGGAATCAGGCACCTAGAATCTAGAATCCACCAACGCCAGGGCATGCAGAAGAATCAAAGCAATCCACACATGAACGCCGCGGCCCGTAATTTTCTGGCGTCTCCCTTCGCGTAGCCTCTCGTAGTTTCCCCTGCGTCTCGATCGTATCTATTCTCCAGTACGGTATCATGTCGTTTAGTCGGAATCCATATCCATACCACCGTCGTCTTCGCCCACGACCTCGACACCACCATCGACGCGCACTCTCTGGCGTAGCTTCTCCTTGCCAAACACCTTGCTCTTCTCGGCAACCATATTCGTCTGCTCGAGTTCCTCGATCTCCTCGGGTGCGAGCCCTTGTTCTTCCGCCAGTCTCCTCTTCTCGGAGCCGCGCATCTTGGGCAATAGATGACCGTGGGTCTCGACCAGCTTGCGGTCTGTAGCCAGCTCTCTTGCCCTCTTGCCGGCCAGTCGTCTCTTGGCGAATACACGCTCGCGCTTAGCCCTGATTTCGGAGACGCGCTCCATGGCCTTGAGGGTCTTGGCCACGAGGTCGCGGTTGTAGCGAACGGGGACGTTTCTGCGGGCGGCGAACTGGAGCGTAGAATCGACGGTCATTTCTTTGCCGGCGGCTTTACGGAAGGCCTTGGTCCATTTCAGCTTGCGCGGGTTGCGCTTCATGACGAAGTTCTTGTGGCATTTGGAGCGGCAGAAGCGGAATTGCTTGGCATCGTTGCGGCAGAATGTCTGTTCGGCGAGAATGGTCTAGGTTAAAATTCCGGTCTTCGTGGAGCAGAGATGAAGAGGGGAGGACTCACTATACCCTTGCCTGGGTAGGCGGGTCTACTACAGAAGTAGCACGTCTCGATTCTATAGACATATAGTCAGCACCAATTCGCTTTCCATCAATTGTCAACAGAAGAGCAAAATGGATTAGCTCAAAGCTCCCAGCGGTATCATTAGAATTCCTAACCGAGTGGTCTGTAAAATTCAACAGCTCTGAGATCCTAAGAGCTTCAAATGGATGACGAGAATAAATTGAATACATACCTAACCATCTTGACGGACTGACTTGACTCTAGCTCAAGTAAGCACGGAGACGAAACTTGGTTGAAAAGGTCGAAATCGTGAAGTTTCAATATTTCGATATTTCTTTTAGGCCCCTCCAGAAACTTCACACATGGATAATTTCAGTGGGTCCTACTTGTTATCGCTACGATATGTAGGCTGGATTAACCTTTATCCGCCAACACCACTGTTTATATCGATAAACTTTCAGCGGAACAGCCCCCCACAAGGTCCGTGCACTTCGAAAGAAATCGCAGCGATCAACTTCACTTAGAACCCTTCAATCCTTAACCTCAACACCAAATCCGCACCCGAAAATGGCCTCAGCCCTCGCAATCGGAGGTGGCGTTGCAGTCGCTGCATTTCTCGTACGTAGCTCTATTCACATTTCCCTACATACCCCAAATATCAGCTAATGACCTCGATCCAAGGGCCGCGCAGGTCTCGTCGCATGGCGGCGCTCCCGGGGCGGCGTCGGAGCTCTAGGCAAGGCCTTCTACAAGGGCGGATTCGAGCCGCGCATGACCAAGAAAGAAGCCACCCTGATACTGTCCCTCAAGTACGACTCCCTATTATCTGCCCAAGTATATTCCGATTAGGGGGGCCAGTTGCTAAACAAATCGCATCAGTGAACGAGCCCTCACCAAAGAAAAAGTCCGCAAGGCCCACCGTACGCTAATGCTCCTGAACCACCCGGACCGAGGTGGAAGCCCGTATTTAGCCACAAAAGTCAACGAGGCGAAGGAATTCTTGGAGAAAAATAGTTAGCGCCTAGGGAGGCCTAGATGTAAAATGTATAACACGGCGGCATGCATAGAGCGATGGCGTTATGGTCACGGTTTAAAGGGGGATTTCGATAGGCCATGGGTGGGTTCCATTCTGCTTGTATTACAAATATGGCCCTTATTTCAGAGGCCGACCCTCTTCTCGAATCCATCGCAAATTCGCATCCATTATCAGCACGGGAAAAAAAATTAGGAAATAAGCAACGGGACAACTGCACGCCCCCTTCATCGCCCGAATAGTGAATTCTCATATTCTCGTTTCTGAAGACAATGTTGCAGAATGGTTAACACAAGCCAGGTCGGAAATTTCGAAAGCATAAGTAGCTAGTGGCATTGAAGAAGTCGCAGTTCAAAAGCTTCACCATTCTCCTTGTGCTCTCGGCGCTAGGGAACGCACATTAGTACCGTTCAGAGCAGCTGAAGAGCTATTAACTTACGAAGGTGAGCTGTATTCGGAACCGGCTCTGACGATACTTGAGGTTGACCTCCATCGTCTAATGCACCGTCGCTCCACTCGTCGTCCCTATGTTCGGTAGGCGAGGAATCAGCGTTTATATGATCAAGTCCATCCGTACGTAGATATACTTACCCTGGTTCAATAGCATTGTTATACCCCTGTCTTGAAAAGTCCTTGGCCGCTTGTTGCACCGCCATGGCTATCATGGCACGGAGTGTGTACGTCGCATCATTCCCTGCGTTGTGGAAGTTATAGCCTGGTATCCCTAACTCCTCGCAAACAGTGGAAAGGCCACGGCCATTGGCCGTCTTCCGAAGACGTTGGAACATCGATTTCGTGTCTATCTCGTCCGTAAAGTGCGGCACTCGCCAGACGTTAAACCCAACTTTCGTGAGATAATTGAGATCTTGAGCCATGTCATGCCCGACCATGATGACTGGCCGTTTATCCTCGGATTCCGTGTCTCCGATAATAGTACCTATCATCCGAGCAATATCCCTGGAATAGACATATTCAGAAACGCTAGAAAACGTGAGCTTCGATCCTCATTCTGGACAAGAGAGCCATACCCAAACCCAAACAGTTGAGGGCATCCTTGGACATAGGTCGAGTTGATCTTGTCCATGTGCTCTCGGATTACGAAATGGCGGGATTTGATCAACTCAAACCAGTTACAACCATCCTTACCCGGCGGGATACGTCTTGTGTCCTCGGTATCGAGGACTGCGAATCCTACTTCGGTAATTACATGTCTTGACCTCTCCCACGCCTCAACATCGACACAGACAAATCGCACCGAATCCTTCGTTTGGAACGGAACTGGCTTGTCCACGTCCCATGTTGCCATCGATGCCCCTCAGTAAAGAGTTAGTCCCTTGAAAATAGTTACCCGGATAATGAGGAAGCCGAACCAGGATTGAATCCAAACCCAAACTCATTGCGGCCTCGGAGAAGTCCGAGGTACCTCTGTGATCGTTTGATCATTCGTCCGTAACCCTTTTGGCGCTCGATCCTCTTAATTCTAGTCGCTTCGGGGTTCTTCTTTTTCTTGCCTGACTTAATGGAATTGTGTATCTCCTCCATCTTGTTCTTGAAGACCTCCAAGGCAGACGCGTTCAGGCCTGTTAAGTCATCTTTGGGGAGCCCTTTGGCTTGGTTCTTGAGCCGCTCTAAATCGTCGAGGCTCCGAGCGCGACCCAAAAAGTGAGGAAGAGGTAATCCCCAATTTCCAAAGGCAAGGGAGAATTTCTCACCCGCCTGGCCCCTTGGAATGGAGAGCGGTAGGTTCAGCTGGTTACTGACGACATTGAGGAAGTCCTTGAATTGGGAAGTGGGAACCAGGAGAAGGGGATCTCTGCCAAGTCCGCTTGGGTCAGACAGATAGTAGCTATTTTGTGATTAGCACAGGTACATAATTTAAATAGACTAGTTAGCTGTTCATGGTCTCCACAGCGAAAGATAAGAAGGGCAAGGCGGGAAGAGGGTAATACACACGCATCCCAAGAACGATTCTTAAATAAGACCAAGTTGAAGGTCTCTCCTACCTAAGTCGAAGTCAGTAATTTCATCTTCCACCTACCTGATTTAAGAAGTATGCATACCAATTCTTGATTCTGTTTGTTACCGTAGGCATATGGGAAAGCTCGAATGGCCTTCCAGGCACAAAACTCCATGCCCTTCTTCGATACTTCACCTATATTCATCATCTGTAGTCTTGATGATAAGCCACCCGTAACTGCTCGAGCAGTATCATTCAAGGTAGCCCGAGAGCCTATAAAGGAAGTAAGCAAAGCTGCCTAATCGTGATAATCGTGACGATGAGTCTTGGGTATGAATTATAGACCAGCAGATTTCCGTAGAGTTTGTCTGGGAGTTAAAATTATAATGACTGTTTGCTTTGAATACTGAAGCTTGTCTTGAAAGTTGGATGGGAAAGGAGAAAAGGGCAAATAATACGAATGATATGGGATTCATTAATAGTGTTAGACGCCATACCTTCGCCGAAGGGTATGGAACTTCTGGCGTGCTCCATGATTTTCCCTTTATGAGCCGAGGAAGTCTTTTGGTGGGTAGTTTTGTGTGTATATCTCAGGTTATCGTTCGCAAGGCTGTTGTCATAGAGATAGAATTCGAATTTGGTGTCTGGAAGAGAATCCAGAGCCTCGAAAGAAAAGGAAATACAGGACTACACAAATCCACGTCAGCTGTGTAAGGCTACAAGGTAGGTAGCAATCGCAAAGCTTCGGACCACTAATTTCTACTGACTGGTTGCTTCCAATGTAGAATGTTTTCTCTAGGTACCTAATTCAAACAGGTATAACTTTAAATATATGTCTACAGACACTTGTTGGTAATTGCCTGGGTACCTCCTACATAAGCTTGGTGCGTACTTGCCTATCTAAACCAAAGGGATATATTTCAGGTAAGTGCTACTCTGTTATATAGGTCATTTAAACACTGACATTCATTGGTAGGATGACATCAATTGAGTTGTCCCAATATCCCGCTAAGCAGTGTGATCAGACAGTGTGATCAGGTCATACTATGTACCTAGGTACGAGGAGGGGTTCTTATGGTAGACTACATATACACATCAATAGTTGTGACTTCCTCACACAGTATTTGCCTACCTAACACATAGGCACCTACCTCTCATATGTTCGTTCTTAGTAAGGGATCCGAGTGAGAGTGCAAACCTTACACATCCATATTGTCAGGTTTGGGGCGGCAAGTCAACGTGAAAGGTAGTAGGTAGGTAGCAAATGGGTAGAATAGTGACTAGAGTATCGCGCAACCCCTCTTAAATCTAGGGGAGGCGAAGCCTCCCTTATATATCTGCGGCCTAGCCGCTAGCTAGCCCCTGTCTCCACTTATGCCCCTGACACATATAAGCAACGTCATACGCAGCAGGTAATAATATTAGGTATATAAATGTCGGTCGTGGTAAAATCAGGCTTCATAGGTAGGTATGTCACTTAGCCCAGCTTCTCTCGTAGAAGATACTAGAGATACAAAGGTCCATAGTTAAAACATAGTGGTCTTACACGAACGTATAGTTTTTATCAAGTTTGATGGCTAGAAGTTTCCAAACCGCAGCTGGTTCACCTAATTTGAAACGAATATCTTCTATCTCTTTAATAACTTGTTACCTTCCCTAGAATATACAGGAATTTATCTCTAATTATAAGACTGCATTAATGCCCTGAAAAAAAAGGTCTCTATTGGCCCATGTTAATGAAGAGCGGGTATATGTTGTCAGTGTAGGTAGTTATTAAGCTATTTTACATTCGGAAATCCCGATTCGTCTGCAATGTAGTCGGTGCTGACCAAGCCACGGACGCTCGGGGATCATAAACCCAACAGGTGGTGAGCGTCGATTCTCGTATAGCAGGGTGTGAGAAATAGAAACTTCAAACCTTTTCCGCCTTATCCTACTTTCCATTCATCTTGTCGAGGATGAACTGGGTGACTTCACTTCGGAAAGGCTCTTCGTATGCTTTTAGAGCCTCGGCCATGTCCGTAGGGTCAAGTTCTCCCAAGATCTCGTAGGATTTCTCGTACAGAAGTTCGCGAAGAACACTTCCGCTGTCCGTTGGAATGTGTTCCCATACTTTGGGAATTACATCGCAGAGACAACCATCGTCATTTTTAATGGCGCAGGTATCTCGTATTGTATAAAGAACAAATTTTTGAAAGTTACTCGCTAGGATCGCTTGACCGAGTAAAAAGCAATCTACTAAATTCAATAGCCTGTTGAGTAGTCGTTCCTCCCCTCGGTCCCCATGATCGTCAAGAGAGGGACCGGCAAAGCCGTGGTCGAGCCAGTATTTGAAGGTGGCGAGGGAAGCCTTTGTTGCGAATTCCGATTCCACTTCCAATAAAATCTCCTTAGAATTGGGTCTAATAAGCCCAAATTGCCACTTGAAGTAGTCGGAATTGGCTACCAGCTGCGCTTCATATACTGTTATCTCATTACCTGCTTCATTCTTAATGGTAACAACAGACCCATTAGGGACACTAAAGGGGATGGTTAGAGATGAAAGATGAGACTCTTACTGTTGTGGGGTTGAAATACCTGGGTTCGGGATGATACATCGTGCTAGTTACGGTCTTGCAATTTCGATGAGTAGGAATATTTGAAGGACGGAATCGGGCGAGATGGTGTGCTGTCGTAAATGGATCAAGCGAGGAATTTGTTGTCTGCAACTTTGGCTATTAGACACTGAGCTTATTAGATCCCTAAGGTAGATTTAGTGAGCAAGAAGTATAAAACTATTAAAGCGTAATAACTAGCCAGCGACCGAGGATTTATAGACTTTTCTCGCGGTTGCTGGCCTGGTAGGATTGCGAATACTTTATAAAGAGATGGATACACTTCTTGTTTGCTGGAATTATGGCAAGTGGTGGAAAAGGTGGTCCCATACCAGAGAGCGTAAGGAATTAAATGGTTGGCGTAAGTTTGGAAGGTGTGGATGATTCCTAATGAAACGCAAGGCTAGGGGCTGAGGTTGACTAGAGTGAGGATCTAATAAGATAGAAGTGCTAGATAGATCAATCAGTGAGAACTAGAAAGCTTTGATTGTCAAGGCAATGCCTTGAAAACATGGAAACACGATTTTACGGAGAAAAGCACTTTAACTCTACGTTGGATAGATGAATCTCGTTTTCCTCATGAGACTTGAAGTCACAAAACTAGAAAATCTTTTGTTAATTGTTATTAATTCAATGGGGGGTAATCGTCTCTGCGTTGACTAAGTTCCCAGTGGAGATATAGAAGATGAATTATTTAGTTATTTGTACTTATAAGGGTTATATTGGAATACCTGTAGTAACTTTTCAATTGGCTTGGAAGGGAACAGGAGAGTAGAACTTAGGTATGATTGAATAGTAATTGAAAAGGCCCTCAAAGGGTGAATCTACGTAGGTACCTGTAAAAAGAATATTTCTATCATTTAATCTCCAAAGAGCTACCCATATAGGTTCAAAGTGAAAATCAACTAAAGATGGGTTAGGAATACCGGTTATTTAGGTGCAGTTACGTGACTACGACTCTCCTTTAATACTGGGATCAAACGCTCCCCTGACAGGCGATAATCTACTAGCACTGGGTTGGGAAAACTAGTACTAATACGCTCTTGATATTAACACTGAGCCCTATTCAACTTGATATGTTCATACTCGCCTGTGACTTCGTGGGGGTATCTTTGGATACATACCCACCTGGTACTCAAGGATCATTTGCCAACTTGACAACACTTATAAGAATGACATATTCCCAAGAGTCTACTACTGTGCTATACAATGGACCATCTAGCACTCACATATTCTTTCTTCTTAAGGATCTATTGATTATATAGAACTCGGAAGAATAGAATACCCTTGTCTTTTCATCAATTCCCTTGATATAATGCGCGTCGCTTCTTGCAACGATCTCATTGTTTATCGTTTCACGATCGTTGAAAAGCTTAATACAGATGATAAAGGACCCAGAGAAACCAATATAGCACTATTCTGAGCAGGACATGATGGCTAAGCTTGGAACCTTACTCGCGAGTAATGTACATGAATTCATTAAATTTTCGGCCTTCGTATTAGGGTGGAAATCAGGAGAATCATTTTCTAAAGAACTGAACGACAAGTTAGTAACATAAGCAATGAATGTGGAATATAAATGAGTCATACCTCTGTAGCCTCCTCAGCAGATACGTCAGAAGGTTCGGATACGCTCTTGTCAATGAGACCTAGTGTGGCTCTCGCTCCTTTCATCTGCCACCACAACTCTCTTCTATCACCCCCAAGCTCACCAGAGAGCAAGCGCTTCTTCAAGTCTTTCAAGAATGAGTTGTATAAAGCCGGCATCTCCCACCTTACCATCGTATCTCTAAACACGCCAAGGTCTTCTACAGCCCGGTCGTACCCGCTGTCTCCGAGGCTGTTTGAGATGAGCGAGCGGATGATACCGCCCATCTGCTTCGCAGCGTCTTCGATCTCGGACTCCTCGCTAGCATACTCTACCATTTGCTTGAACTCGGGGATGGCGTTCTCCGGGTCGATCTTTTTGCGCTTGTTCTGAGGCTGCTTAAGGAGAGCATCGACATCGAGGCCTGAGATTGGCTCGGGTTTATTGCCCTTCTCTCTCCTACCCTTGGCTTTAGGTGGTACTGTACAGAGGTTAGCTCAAAATGTCGAAGATGCTTTAATGCAATAATATACGGCACCTTTCTTGACGTTAGCTTCAGCTATTAGATCTTCAAGCCTAGATTTGGCTTTGGCGATTAGATCTTCTGGCGGGTTCGAGTATTTGAGTAATATTGGGGCAACTGGAGGAAGCGGCTGGTCTGGATAAATCGCACGGTGCCGAACGACCTGATTAATACGATGAAGCGGGGGACAGAACACATCCTCAACTGCGGCATATTCTAAGCTACGATTCCTTTGAGATGTTAGCCCTGCAGTGTCCTTGAATTTGCTTATAACGCTTACCCCTCTTCATTCTTTACCCAGGCGGAAATGTCCATAGCATCGACATAGTCATCCATGGCCTCCGAGAGGTCTTTGCTGGGTAAAAGTCGATGATCTTCGTATTTTACATTGCCAGTGACCGTAATCACCTTGTCAAGGGGAGGGAACTGATAATTTCTGACGTCTTCTGCAAAGGGCAACGGAACATCATATAAACACTCAAAATCAGGTTCGATATGAGGGGCAAGGAGGACGAGAGCAGGCTCCTTTCCGTCCTTCGTTACGATGCGGGCTACTGCGTAAGACTCAAGCTCCTGAAGGGAGTGGATGAAGGAGGAGAGCTTAAGCGCGGCCGCATCGTTCAATTTCTGGGCGACCGTCTGGCACGTCTCCCCCATGTTGAAAAATGGATCATACTAAGTAGGTTAGCGTACGAAATGGATTGATAGTCAGGGGTTATCCACCTTCTCTTGGTGTACGAAGCCCAAGATAGTGAAACATTTCGTGGTCTCAATCTTGGTAATGTTGTACTCCGACTCGCTAATGTGGACAGCCGTTCTTCCGTATTCATATCCCTTTGCCAACGATTCGAATTCGACATCTCGTTTCCCTCCCGGTGCTTCGGGATCATTGACCTTATATGTCCTGGCATTTTTCACAGCGGCGAATGCGCCAGTAGGTTCCACGCCTTCCATCTCATCGCTTCCAACGCCCTGAGAAGGGCCAGGGTTGGTCGAGAGCACCACTCGACTAGCAGGTGGAATCGTCGCCTTGTGCGTCTTGAAATACCGTTCTACGCTGATACTCATAGCATCTTTATGTTCTGCGGGATTCCCTAAGGTGAGTTCTCCGTCATACGTCTTATATGGCCTGACGGGCTTGATTCTCGGCGTCTCAAGTTCGGAAATAGCCTCTGCCATGGTGCCATATATCCCATCACATTTTTCGATGAGCTCCTTCAGTAGTCCCTCATTCGTACTCTTTTGACCCGACTTGTCTTCTTCCTTGAAGCCAAATTCCGCATCATCAAAGTCTATACCCCTGAATATAGCGAGCATTAATATAAGATCGAGATCGCCACGTAAGAAACTTACAAGACTACAAGCTCGATTCCGCAGTCCTTGATCTTCGCTGCAATGTCGTCGAAGTCATCAGGATCAACGGATCCCTCGCCATCTGTAACCAAGATAATTTTGCGCTTGTATTTCAGCTTCTTAGTAAATCTCTCGATCATATCCACGGCTAGCACTATAGCCGAGATAGAGTCGCCGGATACAGTGTTGCTGGGCTTGATGAGGCTTTGCAAGCTGCGCAGGTTGGTCAAGTTCATGGGGCCGAGTTCTTGCAGAATCGAGATATTCTCATAGCCGTCTCCTTGCTGGTCCTGTAAGGGGTTGCTAGTCTCGTCGGTCCTTACGCCAACTGCTCCGACGGTCCACGTCTTTCGTGACGCGGCGACGGTTGTAGTAATCTTGTCCCATACATAACGCATACCCCAATCAAGATCAGATTCGGTTCTTCCATTGTGACAGTTTCCCATCGACGACCCGAGGTCGATAATGTAGACTGTAGCCTCCTTATCTGCCATGGCGGCGAATGTATGCGGAGAAATAGAATGCGTGAGAGGTACGGAACTATGTGCAATAATAGGGAGTAAATATCAGTCAAGGCACTCGTTCAACACCATGAATGTCCATATTGTTGGAATTGTCTGCAAGGTACGACATCTGCCTAGAAAAGACAAGTACTTTGTATACTTACCTGATTTATGGATCCATGACTTGAACTTGCTCTTTGAGGCGCGTCGTTCCCACTAGGCAGGCGCGTAGGCACCTGACTGGGAGCACATGCGCCTAATCGGCCGAGACCAATCAGCACCTTGACTTGGCCCAAGCTCCCCCCGCTCCAAATTGCCGTGGATGGTACGATTGAGTTGCCGCAACGCACGACACTTCCCAAACGTCACCGTTCTACGAAACTTTAACAAACCCACTAAACTTTCCTCGTTGAATCTTTACCAATTTTACCTCATTGTGCCCTCTTGTCTTCATATTTTAACCATCGCACAGTACATAAGTAATCGTCAATATGGGTGAAGGATCAGTGCTCTTTACTTTAGCACCATACCAGGTCCTATCGTAAGTCCAACTGAGCAACCAGCCAATCACCTGTGCACCGTATAATACGTAGCACCAGCAACATCAAGCTGCATGAACTAATCTAGCATACCTAGCTACGGCACACTTCTCGGGACGCAGGTTTTCCACGTAAGTGGCTCGTCGTTCGAACAATACTCACGAATCTTCACGAATCCACTATACCCTACCAAATTACCAACCCTTAAGTCGAGCACGGCGAGCTTTATAGACCGAACTGACCAATGTAAAACAAAACCTAGACTTTCTTCAACTCCATAGCCTCCTTCAAAGTCCTCGAGCGGCCTCAGTTCGCCATCCTTCAGCGCGCCGTCTTTCCCATATACTTTGGCATTCAGACTGCTAGCCCCGTAGTTCTAGCCCTGACATACCCGGGTAGTAAGAGCGGCCTCGGTGTGCCCTCGAGTCTCGTCGGTGTATTGCATGCATCGAACCGCTGGGGTGTGTTAGTACCTCTCGGGACCATATTTGCGACGGGCCTTTTGAACCTGGCCTACCTACTCCCTGAGACGAACAAGATCACCGCCCTAAGGCGAGAGCAAGGTAAAATATGCAGAGAATATAGCTAAGAATGCTTTTTGTTAATACATATTAATGTTGCAGAGACGAAGGACGGAAAAGCCAGCTACGATGCGAAACCGCATTCGAAGGAGATGGCTGAATTGAACAAGCAATTTGGCAAGATTCACGGCATCTCATCGCTAGCGAACCTCATCACCTTATTAGCAACCGTCGTCTACGGCATCAACCTATCCGCCAGGCTCGAATAAGGCGAAGGTGTACCAGTGTCTATATGTAACGAATCACGTGTATATGAAAGAAAAGTTGAAACGTCGGACGTCGATCAAGTATCTCAAATTGGAACCAAATTGTCAATTTATTATAACAACGCTATCTATCCAGCCTATCCAATCACCCTTGAACGCTTCCATAGAAAAGATCATGTGAGCTTCCAGACTTGGCCAGAACCTTTCTCCCGGTCTGCTAGGGGATCTTATTTTCTAATCTCCACCGCCCTAAAAATGCGCCGCTTAAAACACTCCGAAACGGTAAGCGTATCCAGCACGCCCGGATCCCTGGGTATAATGCATACAAAGGGAAAATGCCAAAGCTCGGCAGCCAATGCGATGTTTGAACTTCGCCGTGACACATGGCAAATCCCCGAAGACGAAAAGTTGGAAAATGTGCCGCTGGTTCTGTTTATCCCTTTATTTTGTTAATGAAATTGACTTTTATATTTGACCCGCTAAAGCGAGCAGTTGCCTCTTAGCGTCAGCTAGTTTCTTCGCTCGGGTTTCCTCGTCTTCGACGACGGGCTTTCTGGATGGTTTGGTGGCTGCTCGCTGCAGAGAGCTGTAGAGAGACCGTGGCAACGGCTTCTTAGCTAGTTGACGGGCCACGTCCAGCTCCTCCGTCGGCGGTGCGTACTCTCGCTCTAGCGGCGAGATTGGGTAACTGGTGCCAATCATCTGGTTGATCTTGGTGTTCGGTGACGGTGCTGGCGACGGTGATGTCTCTTCCTCCGACTCCGAAAGCGACGATGTTGTGGGCGATGGCGAAGTACCGCGAAAGTAGTCGCCCTCTGTTTCGGAGGGCTTGCTAAAGACCCTTCGTCCCTTGGTAGGGGTTGTGCGAGTGGGGGCTTTGGGGAATGTGATAGGAGCCCCCATCCTGAAAGTGAACGTCTCTCTGTGGTCGGACATGGTGGTGAAGTAGCTGCTTCGTAGTTTGCGAGCGAAGTGTATGTGGATTGTGGAAGACGGATATGAGACGCTTAGATAAAGCCTGTAGTAAGCAGAGGTCCGGCCGAATTCGTTGAGGTATAAGTAGTCGAGTTGTAGAAGGCGTCTTCCCGCTTTGGTAGATGGATCGACAGATAAGTAGCTCGCTTGGAATAGTAGATGGGGAAGTTGAACTAGAAGAATAGAACGAAGAGAGAAGAATCGAAAAAAGGGAGAGAGAGACACAGACAGAGAGAGAGCACGAGACATATATGTATGCGTATGCGGCATGGGATAAGCACAACATAGACTCCTCATCCCGTTACGAACTACGATACGACCCCCACTCCCCACTCTCTAGGGGACCTCGCTCGGAAGAGGGATCTACTATGTTACTAACGCCGCATCCTCTGTGGAGTGGACTACATTCACCGCCGAGTTTATCAACAGCTAGCTGCAAGCAAGGGTGCCGTCAGCGGGTGAATTATGCCACTGTATGGGATATTACATACTCAATTAGTTGAATTAGCTGCAATCAGGGTCTCGGCCCCACTTTCCTACTGGATCCAAGCAGCCCAAGCACACCACTATGCAGGTAGTATGCATGGTATCGTGAATGAAATCTCTACAAGGCGGCGCCAATTGGACGTGCGAAATGGGTAGCTTGATTGGCAAGGCGGTGGAACCCTTGGGGTGGCATCGTTTCTGACTATTTCACGACTACAGGAGACGGCTAGCTTTGTATATAGTAGGAAATCAACGCCGGTCCGAAGATCTTGATGTTTTTTTGGAAGGTATTAACATGCCAACTTGTCCTCGTGTACTGCTGCCGAGCGGGAAAATGGACATTTGATAGACGGTCATACTTCGTTCCGAACGGACACGTGATTACCCTCTCGGCAGACAGTATTAATTAACAGCATTTTATTACGGGAGTAACACGAATTCCGCTAAGCGAGCTCACCCCGTAGTACCAAGGTTTATTAGCGACTTAATTAGCCCGTTGAACCCGTTGTCTGCTTGAATCCGATGGTGTAATTACTAAGAAGCTGTGTTTATGAATTACAAAGTCACTACAGTCGGGATGTGTTATAATACTTGGTCATCTACGACGATTAAGTGCGACCTTCTCATCGTGAATGCTACTCATGCAGGTAGGGTAATCTGTAGTGTCCGGACAGATCGTCTTCGAAGATCCAGGAGGGTTCAACAGCGACATATAGCGTCAAGATGCTTGTTGCCGTGTAGACGAGTCAAAAGCAAGGCTTACGCTACCGCACCAAGAACTGCGGATGTGCTAAGCGGCGACGCCTCCATATGTTGTCCGTCATCATCGTCGGCCATAAGTTCTTGTCGGGACTCCGGTACTGGTGGGGCTGGAGGATTGTGGGCTGCGTGACAGGCCGCAGACATGGGCTCTTGACATAAGAAAATATACGTATTTCACCTGCAGTTGAATTAAATAGAAATTGTTGGCCACCTGCAAGCTATTTTGTTGAATAAGACGTTGGCGTCTTTTCTTTCCTTTTTCTCATGGATCTATCTAGGATTAACTGCTTATCCTCATGCATTGAGGCGTCCCCGCAGCCCGCGAGGACAAATAGATTTCGCGGTCAAGCTTTGATGTTCCGGACCGAGCTGCACGGTTGCGTCATACTGCAGTAGAATGTAGACATATATGGTGGGTGATACACCCCTTCAATGCGCATGTGAGGACATCTAGCATACGCCATCCGACCATTAGAACATAGCGAGATCTAGGGCTACTTCTGCTTGGCCTTCTGTTTCTTGGCTAAGTCGCTCGACCGAATCACCTTGGGCGTTGCTGCAGGTGTTCTATACGGAGTGAAGCTAGGTATGAAAGCACCAACCTGCTTCTTGTAAAGCTCGTACTCCGAATACTTTCCGGAGCTGATTGATTCCGTAAGCCAGGTTGATCCCTGAAACACCATGATCAAAGACAGAGGACCTAAGCCGGCCCAGCTGTAAAGACATTTGCTTGCGTAACAGCTCCATTGGTATAATAGGACCCAGATGGTTTGTTCGGCCGCAAAATTCGGGTGCCTACAGTATGCCCACAGACCGGATGTGATGAAACCTCGGTCAAGGTCTTCCTGCGTAAACCCGCTTCCTCGCGGGATCTTTGCCGTTTCTTGGTACTGCTTCTTCGCTGCTTGGTAGTCTGGAATGCTAACAGTCAACGATGAATCACACTGGTTTTGCGTCGTGGAACTCACCCCATTGTTGCTGGTCGCTGACCCATTCGGACAGAATGAGCCCGAGTTGGGCGGCTGCGAAGCTTAGGTCCACTGCTGTAATATCCTGCTCGAAGTTCGCAGTCATCATTATGATATATGTCGGTGCAGCGAGAAGAAAGAGTAATATGCTTTGGATAAACGAGATGAATGTGACATTCAACAGGAAGAAAAGTGCCGGGTGTGTTTGGCTGCGAATTATTGCCCTGTAACGATTGTCCCATTAAAATACTGACTCGAATATGACAAGATAGAATACGCACCATCTATAATCCTCTGATCCAACATTGTAACCACCTTTCCGTGTGTAATTATAGGTTAATCGAGCCTTGTAAATGGATGTCAGCTACCGGTTCCTTAACGATGCCATGTTCTTATATCTTCACATACGCTCCATATCACACTCCAAAATAGTATTAAATCCACCCTTCGACTCGGCAGACCGTTTAAATGAGACCAAGCAGCAAAATGAGCATTGTATATCGTAGGCAACAGACTCCACATACGGTCAACCTGGGAATAGTTCCGGTTGAGTTCGGATACGACCAAGAATATGACGCCGAGGAATATGGAAAACCCAAGTCCAGATACCAACGGATTGGTGTCTTTGTATAACTCGACAATTGATTCATGGCTTGAGACAGCATCGATTATCTTCGCAGGCAAATCGTAGACTTGAGATAGGTATGGTTCAACCACTTGGGAGTAATCGGCACAATCTTCGAGATTCTTCACCCGCGGCAACGCCATCTTTACTTATTAGATATAGGTAAATTGATGTTCGGTCGTATCGTAGGATTGGAGAGGCAGACGACAGTTACAGATTAGAATATTGATGTTAATGGTTAAGGTACGTCATGACTCTCCTTAAGTTGATAAAGTCAAAAGTGAAGCTAGTACGTAGCTTAATCCTTACAAGTTTCAATAAAGCTTCGGATCTTAAGATTGTGTCGCACGGACCAATCTGCTCCACACTAGGAACTCTCTAACAGGGGCAGGGGTAAGCTCCAACGTCCAATCAAAGAGTTTATTTATTCCGGGATCATACGTATGCAGTTGTGAAGTTTTATCTTAGAAAAATGAAAAAGTTGGGAAGGCACGCGACGATGATATTAGAAAATGCTCAAGCGGAATATCCAAGCTCATAAATCGCTCCAAACAACTATCGAAGCTCATAGGGCTAGAGAACCACTTCCGGTTCTATTGACAATGAAATAGACATGGAACGTCGTCTTCTAAATAGTTATTTGCCGTTCTCGACCGCGAGTAACGGCGTTGCTCATGAGACGCATCCTTAGCTGCTTGTGTCGTATCGGGAGGACACACCAAATCACAGCAGTTGAATTTGGCATTTTCAAGTTCCCTAAACGACTCAAATCGACTATGAGAGTTCTTTGCGTCGCCGAGAAACCTTCTATCGCAAAAGCCGTTGCGGGCCATCTCTCGGGCGGTCGAGCTCAAAGTGTTCGTTCTTAATTCTCTATCGACTCGCCAGCTAGACAATGCCTTTTGCTAACCCCGAATTAGCACAATACACCCGAGAAATACATCAAGAACTATGTTTTTGACTATGATTTTGGGCATCCCTGGGGCCAGTGCCAGGTTACCATGACTTCTGTACTCGGTCATATTACCTCAGCCGTTTTCCCTGCCGAGTATAAGAGCTGGGAATATCCACCACCCGAACGCTTGTTCGACGCCCCTGTGAATATCATCATATCCGAGGTCCACGCACCAGTGTCCTACATCAAAGCTATTCACTCTTCTAACGTACATTGCAGGACAAAACGAAAGTGGCGGACAACATCGAGAAGCAGGCACGCTACGCCAACGCATTATGCATATGGACCGATTGTGATCGAGAAGGCGAACACATAGGCTACGAGATATGCGAGGCCGCTAAGAAGGGCAACAGGACTCTGGATATTAAGAGGGCCAAGTTCAGCAATATCGAGAGAGCGTCAGTCACCTACTTCATCTGCTCTTGCATGGTATCCAACTAAATATACTTAGGCACATCTTGAATGCATCCCGCAACCTCATCAATCTTGATCATAAGCAAGTTAACGCAGTAGCGTCCCGTATCGAACTGGATCTCAGGATAGGATACGCGTTTACTCGATTCTTGACTACGAATATAAGAACACTGGGTGGGCCCCTTCAAAGGCTTGTTGTAAGCTATGGTTCGTCCCGTCACCTTATCGGCTCGTAAAACCGTACCCCTCTAATATCGCAGGATCTTGTCAATTCCCAACCCTGGGATTCGTGGTAGATCGGTATTTCAAGGTGAGAAATTTCAAGCCGGAGCCGTTCTGGAGCATCAAAGTCATGCACAAACGAGAAGGCATAGACGTCAATTTCAGTTGGTCACGTCATCGCCTCTTTGATAGGGCTTCGGTAGTCGTTCTTTACGAGAGATGTCTTACGGCGAAGATGGCCAAGGTGGTTAAGGTCCAGGAGAAACCTACGAAGAAGTGGAAGCCGTTGCCCCTGACCACGGTTGAGTTGCAGAAGATGGCAACGAGATTTCTGCGTATGACAGGTCAGCAAGCCATGGAGGCTGCGGAAAGCCTCTACAATAAGGGTTTCATCAGCTACCCCAGAACGGAAACCGACCGCTTCGATTCCGGTATGAATTTACGCGCGTTGGTTCAAAAGCAGACGCAATCCGATTCCTGGGGCGAATTTGCGCAGAATCTAGTCAATGGAGGATTTCAACAGCCGCGACAAGGTCGAAACGACGATAAAGCGCACCCCCCCATTCATCCTATCACCTTTGTAGCACCGCCAGTCCTAAACGATAGAGAAAAGAAAGTCTACGAGTTCGTTGTTAGACGCTTCCTAGCCTGCTGCTCGGAGGATGCCAAGGGTGTCGCCACAGACGTCGATATCCTATACGGCGAAGAATCCTTCCATGCCCATGGCGTTGTCGTGCTAGAGCGAAATTACTTAGACGTATACGTCTACGACAAGTGGACCGGGACTGTGCAGCTTCCCAAATTCACTGTGGGCGAAGTCTTCGAGCCTACCGAAGCTCTTATGACGGAGGGCAAGACCGCGGCGCCTAATTATCTTACTGAAGCTGATTTAATTGCTCTCATGGACGCCAATGGAATCGGAACAGATGCTACAATGGCCGAACACATCCAGAAAATTCAAGAAAGAGAATATGTCCGTACTGTGCCTCGAGCTTCCCGCCCAGCAGACGAGGGCGAAGAGGATGATGATGCTCCGGCCGCGCGGGGAGGACGCGGTAGCCGAGGTGGCCGAGGTGGCCGTGCCCGGGGAGGTCGAGGCGGAGGACTTACAGCCAGCACTAGAGGGGGAATTATGGAGTTTATCCCAACGCAGCTAGGTGTAGCCCTGATCGAAGGATTTGACAGAATGAACTTCGAGACCAGTCTTGGGAAACCGTTTTTAAGAAAAGAGATGGAACTGAAAATGAAGGCCATTTGCGAAGGTCGTACCACCAAAGAGGTCGTCCTAAGCGAGAGTATTCACCAATATCGTCAAGTCTACATGCAATCAAAGGAAAAGCTGACGGTTCTCAAAGCAGTAAGTTTATCTCTTAGTCTTATCTCATCCAGGGCTATATACTAACTTAAAATGAAGGCATGTCGGCAGTATATCTTCCAACAAAATGGCGGCTGAAGGAGAAGGTACATTTGGGTTTACTAATTGGCGCGGTCGAGGTATCATCGGATCCCACCAAAGAAACTCACGGAATATGAGTGTTCACTCGTGTGCTACCATAAAGTAGTAACACATACGCATACGGCACAGGATTTTTACGGCCCGACTCCTTGGTGGAAGATTACATATTGTTGATCGAAGTTGGCCCGCCACCGAGCCTTGGTCTACGGCGGCTCCGAACATCGGCCCTCCAGTTACTCAGACGTTGACGCTCAGCATGAAGGTATCCTTCAGGCAGAATTCAGTTCTACGGTGGGTTGAGCGAGTTTGAGACGCGTGCGAAGCACACATTTGCGAATTGGATGAAACTCGAATGCAGGACCCAGCGAGCCAATTCGTCGGGATGTGCCTATATGGACCATACGTGCATTCAAGATGTGTATCACGACGATAGTGCAAAACATACTACATAATACCAAGCTATATTACCCGCGTATCCCCACCGAACTAAGTAAGAGCATCTCGTCGGATCGCGCTATGTCAAAACGTGGGGGAATCATACTGGATGATGGGCAGTTCTCGCGAAACTCTGGCGGGGTATTCAAACTCTACGAAGTCGAGATGCAGACGCAACATGCGACCCTGAGAGCCCCTCTTCGAATACGACCATTCAGGATCGTGTACTACCCGACCTGCGTACCTTTTTCTTCCCTTTTCTGCTCTATCACACCTTCGACTGCCGAGGCAACCGTGCTAAGATCTATCGCTGTCTACCTCTTTCTTGGCCATCATCACCATCGTCATCACCATTAGCTCCGTCAATGATGACGGTGCTGACTAATAGGACTAATTGGCTTACGTCTGAATACCGTGACTGCGGCGTAGGCGGTGGCTATCGCAATGACGATGCATAATCAATGCAAAGGCTACTAAATCTGAGTCTTCGACCTCGGAGCCAATCCATCGGACTACCATGGTATGTGCGTCACGTCTTTTCGTCACTGGCTAAGACCACGGCTAGCCCAAAGTCGCGCATCACGATACCAGTTCTTGACCAATCACAGCTGGGCGCATGCGCAACGTGAGGAATTGCTGGGACGATGACATTTCAAAAATCGGAAATCATGTGGCACCGAGCCAACCTATCTAGTAGCGTAGCCTTGAATTTCAATGGCTTCAAAGTGTGTGCACCATTGATAGCCGGCAAGCTAGCAAGGAACTTACTACTAATGATTCGGAATATACATCGAACTGTACTTAGGTAGGTAGGCACACGAAAACATCAGCGTAGCCGACGAACAGGCGAAGCTGAGATTGTACATGGTCCAACAATCTTTGGTCAATTGGATTGACGGGAATGAGGTCCCCAGCCTTCTTGTCTTGCTTTTCCTTGCCTTGCCTATATCGGTATCGTTGTCATTGGATCGCAAGAAGAACGTGACGCGAAATGTACCTGCGGGAGATTTCCTGTGAACTGATAACGCGGGTTTCTAGTCTCGGCTACCCAGCGAGGATCGATTGGCTTCCTGGGTTAGAGATAGTACCATTCCATCCCTTGACATGCGAGATAGCCGGGTGGCCAAATAGGTGGGTGGCTGGATGGATGGCTTTGGAGTGCCCGGCTCAAAGGCGATTTTTAGTATCAAGCCGTCCCTAAAGCAAGACCGGCACATGCCCCACGAACGGGTTTCTTTGTGGGACACCGAAGAGATTCAGCATCTGCGCAATGATGGAATGGATGGGGATGGCATGTCTTTTATCTTCTTGACCTTACTATATCTATCCATGCCCGTCACCGGGATGACATGTGTATGTATTGTCCATGTAAGCAGCTGGGCAGGTTCAGGGCAATCGGAAAACATGTGGCCCAGGGCGTGTTGATCGGGTTCATACCCATACCACACGGCTTCAATCTAGGAATAAGCTGCATCTCTCGGGAATGTACCGAAGGTTCCATAGCGACAAACAAGCCAGGCACCAAATAAGGACGGGGAAACAACAAAGATCTGCGAGGAGGCTGCATACTTCGTTTTTTAGGTAGGTACACGCTCTTCAATGCTTGACGCTGCTTGCTAGATCTACAGTACCTAAATGTCAACTAACGTCAACTAACAGCGGCCGGAGGACACGCATCATGAAATGAGTCAAGTTGACGGGCCAGTCAAAGATGGCTATGTACCTATCATAACCCTGTCTACCTACCTGTTTATCTTTCGTCTGTGACATTAAACAATGATAAGGCCATAACAGACACGACACCAGAGTCGCCACGGTACGTACAACCTCAACCACACCACGAATTGTATGTTAGGTAGAGTTGGGAATTGGGAGTTGGGAGTTGGGTATGTGTTACGTGTTGTTGGCGTATGTACCTATGTAAGGTTCCTGAATAAGACTCAGTCGGATTCAGGCTATGACATGATGATGAATGTAAGTACCTCAGCCGCTGTTTCTCGTCTTTAACAGCGCTATCCCGAACTTCGAATTCAAGTTATTATTAGAGACATTGATGTACCCATGTAGTGTACTTAGGATGCGGAGTATTTCAATGAAAGCATTGAAGTAGCAGCCCAGCCGTACCGTGCCGAATTGATGTACGTTTGGGTTTGGGTTTGGTTTAGGTTAATCTAGTCCTAGTCTGGCTTGGCTTGGAGAAGAAGAATCGGAATGGGAGTGGAAAAGGAATTCGACATAGAAGGTTCGATGTTCAAATGTTCTTTGGTATGAGGTAGGTACATACAACACTTGTAGGAGCAGAAAAGGTACTCTGCACAATGTACCCCATATATTAGAAGCACCACCCGTAATTTGCTAGGGCCACTCTCGAACATTGCGTCCAAGCAATCAGATTCGTAGGTGGCTCCTTGTGCCCTGTGCGCTGTGCAATGCCTGCTGACCAAGTCGAACAACACCCCCCTTGACTTCCCATCCATTGATTCATTGTCTTAGGCACTTAGCGAGCAATTACATTAGTAGGTCGCAGCCGTCGCCTTTTCCCACGTTGATCTTTCCTTTCGTCAAGGAACATCAACAACAACAGAGAAATCAACATCACCGCAAAATTGTTTTTTGCAAACCCCCAAGAGTCATCCCAAGTCACAGTCAAGATAATCGCGTCAGCTTTGGCCATCTCCGCCTATTTTTGAACTTTTTGTTTTCCGTAAAGAAAACAAAGATCAATCTGTTTGCCATTACCGCTTTCCACCTACTTCGGACTTGTCCTTGTAAGTGACTCACCCGCCTGCGCTTGTTCGTGTAGTGCCTTGTCATCGTCACCAAAACATCGTCACCTGTCAAAAGAACCGACTTCGCCTCAACACTCCACATCTCAATTTTCTATCTATAAAATCTCATATTCCGTGTCGCTTACATCCGCAGACACGACCCGAAGTACTCAATACCAAAAATGGCAACCATGGCATCGGCTACTGCTGTTCGCGATATCCCAAAGACCTCCCATCCCAGCCGAGACAACTTAACTGCTGTAGCGGCTGCTCGGAGTGTTCCTGTGACACGACCTCATTCCCTTCCGACTCCCCCCAATTCCATATCACCTACGCTACCACCCCATGGTCTCAAGGCCCAATTGCAAAGGGCCAAGCTCGATACCGTCGACTCCGACCTGGACCTTCACGAAGGTGCTGATCATAGTCCTATCGGCTCACCGAGTTTCGAGTCAACAGGAGCCATCACTCCAGCGATGCTGGCCAAATTCCATCTTCCAGATATCCTGCTGAACCACGGACCCTTGGCCATCCGCTATATCATGGGTTACCTAACTACCTCGGTCCCCGGCTTCGCGGGCATCTCTCCGCCAAAGGCGCGAAGGTTAGTCGTGGCAGCGTTGGAAGGACGTGGACAAGGGCACGGTGCATCTGAAGGTGGAGGAGTGGGTGGAGTTGGCGGTGTCGTGGAATTCCAGAAGGTCGGATGGGGCCGGTGGGACGCTAGGCGACGCGGCCAGCCTTCGCGAGATGCATCTCGACAGTCCGGCGGTGAAGGCGATGCCGGATCCTATCCGACTAGCATACCAATCTCGAAAGGTGCAGGGTGGAACGCTGACCGCTCCCGATTGAACGCACGTGCCACTAGCCACGGCAATTCTGCGGCCTTCTCTCACGACGATAGGGACGTTAACATGATGGAGAACGAAGCCGATAAGATGTCTCTCGACTCTCTAGACGGCCCCGCGTCGGCTTCGTGCTCGTCGGCACCGGATAATGAAGACATGGTCATGAACGACGATCCCGAAGACGCCACCGACGATGAAGACTGGGCAGCTGTGGGAGCTGCAGCACTGCGGGCGGCCTCGTACTCTAATCCTACCGAGGCTCGCCAAGGATCGAACTTCCCCTCTCGTGTATATAACTCTTGCGGCTTTCGATCGTACTCCGGAAATACCGGGATGCTTCGGGAGCCACGTCTCGACAATATCGACCTGGACGCGCTGGCTGCCTCGTCAGATGCTCAAGAGCGCGAGGCTATCCAGGCTCTTTTGCAACTCGGTTCTGTATAAATATTTAAGCATGGGCGGCGTTTTATGAGGATAGCCCGACTCGGACGGGCTTGGTTTGGTTGGCTGTTTTACTGGCTGGGCTGGTTAGTCATCTTGTCATTCCTTGATCGAGATGTGGCGTTCCTCTCGATCATCATTGTTATCATCTGGCATCTTCTGTTTTTTCCGACATCCGGCGTCTCTGGCTTCTCGACGGCATCTAGGACATCCCCATATTTCCGCTCTGGAGGGATCACGGTTTTGGAATAATCATCCTTATTGATGGTACAATTTGCATGGCATTTCTCTCAACCTTGGAGGCGGGGCGCATCTCCACGGTTGTGAGTGGTTCGGAGTTTTTGTCTTTCAACTTCTTTCTTCCCCTTTTCTACACGAATCACGAACGCTATGCCGAGTTGCCCGATATACCCTTATCGGGAATTTATCGGCTCCAGCCCAGAGGAATCGAGTTACCTTGAGCCAGTGGGAAATCCCTCGTGCGCTCGGTGCCGACTACTTCCGGGGACATATTCTCTTGCACATTATACCCCTTTGCGACGTACATACTCGACTTTTAATATCCCAATTTCCGCTGGCAGAAAATTCCCCCTGTTTGAACATCACTTGCGGAGGGAGCAATACACGATTTATCACCCTTCCGATGTCCGCCGAATATCGGAAGAAGGCACTTGCACGGTATATTTATTGCAGGGCCACAGTTTGATACATTTAGCACTTTTAATTAATGCGTATCGAGAAGACGAGGAGAGACGAGAGACGAAGGAAGTTGATATGTTTAGCTGGATATAGACGGTAGTCAAATTGATGGCACTACGTTTAGTATAGGTTTAGAAGGAACAGGGCCGATCAGACATTTGTGAGGTGGTTGTCGTTCAACCTATGTACCAACAATAGTCTTATATGTCGACTACAACATGTCGCATACGGTGATGCAACTCGGCCGATGGAAGAGGATCAAAGGAACAAAAGCGTCCGGTCTTTTTGGAGGGTCGTTGGATTAGCTGTAACCGCATTCTAGCTCTTCTATATCGCCACTCAGAGGAATGAGAGCACTGAATATCCAACATGGATATGCATTTTGTCTTTGATGATTGTCGTGAAGTCTACCTGATGTGATAAGTTTTGTGGCGAGTAAAATGTGCAGTTATTCGAATAACGGTTTGTGACCTATGTATTTGCGAATGCACCTAAAAGCGAGGGACAATAGGTTCGTTTCTCCGTACAGCCAACATAAAACAAAGGAGGAGGATACCAAAAGCTCGACTTGCTGAGTGACATAAGGGAAAAGTAGATCATCAGCAAGTCAATACGTTCGAGACGAGACGGTAGAAAAGATATGATCCAAAACTATCGTTTACAGTTATTCACCAACAAATAAACAGTAGTTGGGATAAGATAAGCACTGGGAAATACCATTGGTAAAATATATATGCTCGCTTTTGAACGAGTAGATTTATCGATACTTCCTGAAGTTAGGTATGTTTTGGGGGAAAAGGGGGTGGGGTATGTTGATGGATAAATGTCGAAGATACATGTGAGTCCGAGCCCGCCAATGGTCTTCTAGCCTAAGTCACGTATCATAGGTACCTAGACAATGAGGACACGGAAAATAAGAGAATGGGATTTGGATATTCTCTTGGAATATGTATTGATTGAGAACCTATCTGAAGACTTCTGCTAATGTACCGCGCCGGGGAGTAGAGGGCAATCGAAACTTCCAGCCATTGATCTATACAATGCTGTCTTGTGAGATCGACTATAAGCAAAAAGCGGTCAAAAAGGAACTGTGTGAATAGGTACAGGAATATTTGATAATTGTAATCTCTCTTTAACCAGCGGTTGTGTATAGGTATCTACCTAGGGATAAAAAGGGAGGAAACAGCTTCACACGACCTGGTGGACTAAATTCGGAATATAGATTATACATCCATCTACTTTGCCTTATACCATTGGTATCAGTAGTGCCCTGGACCGAGTTTCTGTGGATAATTTGCCTCCTAGTCCATAGCATAAGCATTAACGTTCCCGGCAAAACTGAGAGGTATTTGATTCGGTATATTTCGCACTCTCCATCATCAAAGGGAAAGTCATGCTAGGATAAAGCGAGAAGAAACATAGATCGCTTTAGGTTTTACGGGGATCGGATATTTTCCATTTAAAATTAATGGAATGCGGTATTCCTATTAACATCACATTTGGCTGATATTGTAAAAGTGGGTTTAGGAATAAGTAACATTGATAGGCTTGAATAGAATGACTCTTTGCCTTTGTTATAACTGAAGGTGAAGCCAAGTTCCAAAGCTTCATAATGATATTGACTATGGTGTAATGTTGCTGTGGATTCAGGAACTGAAAATTCAAGATCAAGACTGCATTGCCTGGAGAATAAGATTAACCCCTTGGATATAGCTAACTCCTTACTCCGTGGATAGAACAACGTGGGCTCTCAAATCTACTCAAGTTCTTAGAAGGCATATAACCATACATCAGTTTTGTTGTCTTCGACTCGTATATTGTGGATTGGCATCTACAGGCCACTGAATGCCGTATTTCACCGAGTCCAAGATGTCAATGGTTAAAGCGGTGGTGGCTTTCGAAGCTTAACCCCTCTCCTCGGTCAAAGTCATACGCCCTTGGTTAGACATCCTCAGTCTTAACGGTTGCTCTCGAGCGTGTCTGACCGTTGAATGGGCAGCTGAAACTGAGTGATTAACAAAAGCGGTCTAGGTAAGGATAAGTCAATGTCAGCCGATGACTTCGAGTCAGCTAAGAACTCAGAACGGGTCGTGACACATCAGTTGGTATTACGTAGTAGCTAGCATATACGTTCCGCGGTCTATTAGCGGCGTCCGCCCGGCGAGCCAAGGTGCCAAGATGCTAAGGATACTTACCTAAGGTTTCAAGGTTGGCATAAGATTGGATTGCCTATCCGTTTTTATGTAAGCTTCCTCAAGGCTTTGACGAAGATCAGTAGTAGATTCGTAACTTGGTATTGATTCAAGTCGGATTGGAGAAAAATATTCTTTATTGATAATCCTAAATACCCTTGTGGCCTCGACACACAATGTCTTGCGCCTTTACTTAGTCAAAAAGGGTTGAATTCATGGCAGGTGATAGTCTTCTCCGATTTGGAAATATATGCTAGAGAGTTGGTCACCGAATCTACTTGTTTAGTAGGGAGGCTGTGAAACCGTTAGACTTACTAGCAGCCCAGCGATGTAATATTTTGAATCTAAAGGTACTAAGTGTGGGACGTTGATATTAAGCCTGTTGGAATCTACTGATATCAGCTGCAAGAAACGTCCGACCGGAAGATTGGTAGCATGCATAGTTCGTAGACAGTTACAGCTGACTCAGATCTCGAGGTCAAGTAGAACTAGCGGGGACTGAGGTTACGCGTAGCAACGGCTTGACAGGATGCCCAAAGCAAAAAGACGGCAATTGATATGGGAACTTCACCGAGTGGCGAATGAAAACGGGTTGGGCTAGATACCAACTCTCCTGGAGCGGCAGTTCGCGGCTCCAATACCAAATGTGGCAAGAGACCAATTTAGCTTCCATATCTTGTTTCTGCTGAACCGGTAATATGTCTGGTTTGAGCACTTGGAAGATGGCTGTGCAACAGAAGACCACGAGATCCATGAGATATCCTTCTGGAATTTCCAGAGGATTGGATCGCCCGAGGGTGTTTCGACTGGCCGAGCCAAGGCCATAGGTACATCTCATGGCACAGGCAAAGGAGGTAACTGATAAGTCGTCCGTCTGTGCCCCATTCCGTCGTTGCCGATATGAGAGATGTTGTTAATAAGTGCGTGCTCAAGCAGCCAAGAACTTGGCGGGCGGAGAGGAAAACCGAGGCTTGGCCACCAGCGGAGTATCTACCACCTCTCTATAAAGAACACCTTGTCCATTATACCAAGAGAAAACCAAGACTTTCTTCCGCTATCACAACATCAACAATGTTTTGTTGGTGTGGGTTCTATGATATCGGGAGAATGGAGGACATGTAAGTCAAGTGTCATATGGGTGCCATAGCACCTACACTTCTACACTTCTACACTTGCTGTTCCTTTCAACGGCAAACACGCCGTAGTAAAAGAGTAGCTTTACTAATGAGGAAACATGTGACGGTTGGCATTTCGCGATTAGAACAATAAGAGTGAAAAAGAGATAGAAGATAATAAAGAAAAGGGAGGAAATGGATGTCTGTTGTGCTCATCATAAAGCTGTTACAAATTTACAAATTAAGATATACGGATTGGCGGGTGACCGCCCTGCCGCTGCAGATTACTACTCGGGTACTGGAGTACATAGGCGATTTTCGGAATGGGTATTTAGCACGGTTCGCAACTTCAACCTTTGTCCTTCAGATGATTCGAGCGATTGTGCAAGAATTGAAGTACCTAGGTAGTTTGCATATCGTGTGTAGTACTCTGGTACGTAATAAGGCAATGATCACTTGAGTGTGATGAAGAATTATGCGGAAAATGTGAAGGAACAATCCAGCGCGAAAACAGACGGTTGCTAAGAAATGGAGTGCGAGAAAGTGCAGGAAGTGGGCGCAGTCGAGTCTCGGCGCAGGAGGAACCCAGCGGCCAAGGTTTTTCCAAGCAACCGTAAGCATTAAACGGGCAGATATGTCGAGACAATCATCAAATGCCAAGAGCCGCCAAGAGCTTGGCGGAGTCTTGGCACGGAAGTCGCTACTGAGGAGGGGTGACTCAAGATTGGCAGTCACGACACACTGTAGATTGAGTCACTTTCAGAGGAGCGGTACTTCGGTCGTTTGCCCCCATTTCCCTCCGACCAATCACCCAAAGCCGACCGCAACACCCAAGACCCATTGCCAAGACTTTCCGCCTCGATATCGCCAAGGTCAAACGTCCATAATAAGAGCGAGCACGACACTCGATTTACATAAACTCGTCATTCCTCTCTTCGAACGATACATGATTTCTCCCCTTTGCTCATTTGGGAATCGAAATCTACGAATCGACAGTATTTACGGTTGCTGTTGTCAGAGATTCGAGGAAAACACAGCTACTGTGCTCGATTATTCCACAAAGATCCTATAAAAGCGAATCATTTCCCGTTTAGTACCACTGTCTTAATCCTTCCAAGGTTTAGTCACATGCTGCTGAGCTTGGACCCTTCTGTTACCTAGGTGTCATCCACGGCCGAGAAAAAGGAGAATAAAAATAAGTTATTTTTTTTCGTTCTTGGGCCGAGAATTATCCGTACGGATCAAATTTTTCTCCCTCTGAACAGGCCATTACGCGTTGATTGGTTGGAATCAATCCACTGTTCCTCCCGCACTGCGCCTTTTCGGCCAACTTCATCACGTGCGAAAGTCACGTGCATACCCCCCTATTATACCCCTATCCATTTTATTATTGCAATAGAAGCTCGAGGTTGGAGCCATGTCGGCAGCGCCCGAGAACTCGATCCAGTCGGGAGGCGAAAGCTCCAATTCCAATGGAACCACACCGGCGCCTTCGACTGCAACAACTGCCACCTCCCAATCCAGTGCTCCGGCGTCAGATGATTCCCTCCAATGCCGATGGACTGGCTGCAGCGACAAGTTTAACTCGGCCGAGACTTTATATGTATGTTTTTATCGTGTAAAATCGCATTAATTTGAAATTGGTTTCCTCGATCACTTTGTAAATTGTTTGTGACGAATTAACAGCGCTGACTCCCATCTCTAGGAACATATTTGCGAGAAGCATGTTGGACGCAAGAGCACAAACAACCTCAACTTGACCTGCCAGTGGAATCAATGCAAAACCACCACGGTTAAACGTGATCATATAACCTCGCACATTCGTGTGCATGTTCCTCTCAAGCCACATAAATGTGACTTCTGTGGCAAGTCATTCAAGCGTCCGCAGGACTTGAAGAAGCATGTCAAGGTATGGATTGTCCACGTCTTACCCGTCTCGGGTTCTCGCCTCGTCTATATGCTAACTTATGGATATAGACACATGCTGATGACTCTGTCCTGGTTCGCTCGCCGGATCAGCATGGATCTATGAACGGTGGCTACCGCCCTCAGGGCAAAGGTATGTTTTTCCCCTTGGCTAGAACCAGCCATCTCCTCATTTAGAGGCTAATTCGCCTCGTAGCTCCATCCAGTTATTATGATCATAATGGTCAAATCCGTACTAACTCGGCCGCCTTCGGTCAGCCGCCGCACGCTGCCGGCCACCCAAGTAGCTACTATCAGCATCACGCCCAGACTTCCTTTAGTCAGCCCATGTATTACCAGACTATGGGTGGTCGCACTGATCACATTGGCTACCAGGCTGCTCCCGAGTATGACAGCCGTAAACGCACCTACGACGTGCTAAACGAGTTCTTCGGTGATGCCAAACGTCGCCAGCTCGACCCTAACTCGTACAACCAAGTTGGACAGAGACTCTTGCCCTTGCACGGAGTCCTTCCCATTCACTCAGGCTCCCTTGGTGCTGAGTATGTATCGGCTCCGGGTGTTATGGCTGTCGAGGCCCCTGCTCATGGCCCTTACCAGCAGCATTACTCTCTACCGCCTATGCCTAATCTTCGTACTAAGACCGACCTCATTCAGCTCGACCAAATCCTTGAGCAGATGCAGAGCACGGTATATGAGAACTCAAACACAGCAGCTGCTGCTGGAGTCCACCAGGCGGGAGCTCACTACACGCCCCTGAACCTCCGCCCTAGCCAGAGCCCGCCGCACTCTGCGGCGCAACAACCCATGCCTAATGGCGCATACTCGGCCGCACATGTGGCTTCGCCTCTGACGGCTGTCTCATCAACACACTCCAACGGTACCCCTGCTGTGACACCGCCATCGAGCACGATGTCGTACACTTCAGGCCACTCTCCAAGTGCCTCTTCGTCTGGCCTGTCTCCCTCAACGCGACACAGCTCCACGTCAGCATTATACCCGACGCTTCCGGCAGTCACATCAGGTTACCCCGGCCAATCTGCCACCTCAACCCTAGGCCCAACCTTCGACACAGATCCCCGCCGACGTTATTCAGGCGGCATGCTCCAGCGCGCCAGCGCCGGCCCCCGACCCCACATCGAACGCGAGTCATCGACCACGCCGCGTCCCTCGGAGTCCGCGATCTCGGCAGTCAGCTCGCCGTCCGCAGAGTCGGAGGCCAGTGCCGAGGCGCGAGAAGACCAGAACTACGAGAACTGGCTCGAGAACATCCGCGTCATCGAGTACCTGCGCGAGTACGTGATCGACCGCATCAAGCGCAAGGAGTACGATGCCGACAGCCCGGCGTCGAGCTCCAGCGACATGGACGTCGACTCGCCCACGCGCCCGCCCAGCCAGCCGGCGTATCCGGCGCTGCCCTTGTAGGAAGGGGATCAGAGCGACTTTCAAGAGGATAATTCGTACTTTTGGGTTGATGCAGACGGCTACATACGTATTTAATACGGTGCGGGCGATGACTTTGTATTCGAGACTCCACGATTTGGAGCGAGCTGCTTATGCTTTGATTGATGATGACGCGAGAATTTCGATGGTTGGGGTGTACATACGGGAAGGGAAGGGAAGGGAGGGGAAATGAAACAACACGGCGTTACGCATGCAAAGTGATGACTAACAAACTCTCTTCTATTTGTCCTATTGCTTTATTGTTTTCGGTATTTAGTGTTTAGGTAGTTACGTTGTCTTTACGGAGAGAAAAAAACTACTGTTATGTGAGGGGGGCTACCGGCGGTTTGTCGTCAGAAGAAGCATGTTAGAAAAAACACGAGTGGTATTACCGATGTATTCTCGGTTTAGCTGCGAGAAGCCGTCTTACGCCGATGGGTGGGGAGGGTGTTGATGCTGGTTATATCTGTACTGGACAGAGATCGCTTGTTAGCATTAGTCAGTTAATGACATTATGCGATGACCTTGAACATTGTTTACTTCGATTAGACGCAGACGCCTTTGTGAATTTAGTGGTTGTGATCATTTTGCCTGAAGATAGGGTAGGATGAGGCTTGGTTATTGTCCATATGGATGTTCGTAGCTTGTAGTAGCAGTTGGTGTTGAGTGAGTCTTTTCCCTAGTAGTATACCTAGGTGGTTTGCATATCTCTAAAGCCTTGTTGTGCTCCGCAGCCAAACATGTGAGTAATGAGTGACCCTGACGAATAGGGGAAGAAAAAGAAAATAATAAGCGATTACATTTCTCAACTACAGCATACCCATCTCTGATTCCTTCCCAGTGTCTCATAGATGATAGTCAACACATGCAGTGATGGAGTCGTTCCAGAAAGTACGAGAAGTCGTCCACGGGAGATAACCTCTTAAAGATAGGGGGTTTGCCATAAAATATGTAATATATTTCCTATTTATTACCAGAAATCCTTTATCCCTCAATTCGTATCTTTCATGATCATAATTGTCTCCTCTTGACCCTTGTTTTACCCCTTTTCATCCCTCCCTTTGGCTGGACCATTCTTAACCCTCCCCCCCCTGACATGTGGGATTTCTCCCAATATGATCTTTTTAGACTCTACTCCTTTCCTTACCGAGTAAGGGAAAGAAGGAATTGACTTCGCGTCCCAAATAAATCTCCATACATCCCCATGGCATTCCATGGAATATAAGAATTTACATTAAGAGCAGTCCTCTAATTTTGCAGGTATACCAAGAATCATTTCTATTTAATACTTTACTAGATAGTGGTATCATTCGTTTACTGATTTGAAACAACAGCTCTCGACTATGTTACGCTTAGTCATTCCTTCGCTTAAAAATCCCTAAAACGCTTCCTTCATGTTGCTAATACTCAATGATCCTTCTATATGATATATTCGTGAGCTTGCCGGGAAAACGCGAGGTCGGAATAAATCAAGAAACAAAGTTTCGTGTACGGAAGGAAAAGGGAGTAGACAGAATTCAGAAAGAGGTAAGAGATTCGACAGAGATGGCGTATTTTGTGGGTTCTCATTTCAAATCCGGCTTTGAACGTCCTGCCGCAAGTTTCGATGGGCCTAGCAAAGGTTTAGTGGAGGCGATTCTGCCTAGCCCGGATCAACTTTGCTGCCTGTCATCCCTGAAGAACTTGTGTATCGTGTGCTCAGGGACAGAGATTTGGGTTTACTTGTCTTTTGCAGCGGGACGGTTCGAAGAGGAGGGGCGAGAACCCCCGAGCCGGCAATCATGACACGTGTATAATCATGAAAGAACCAGACTCATCGCCGCGGAGTACGGGTTGTTTTGAATTTAACTGGATGAGTTTCGAGAGTGATTTGGGGCAATTATCCGGGGGAATTGTTCTCGGACTGGGAAGCTTCTTCGCGACACCTGCGACACATGCACCAGCCGCCAAGGCTTCCCTGTGCCCACTCCCTACGTTGCTGCACGGGCAGGTCCACGTCGCAGTAGTGATTGAGAATCTCCTCCCCCGCTTTTATGCCGCCTGGTGCGTTGCCTACGACTCTCCTCTCACGGGCTCTCAATACCATTCGTCCACCCCATTCCCAAGTGACATTGGGGTCGCAGTCGTGGTTGGCAAGACACCAGAACGGGTGGACGGCGGCGACGTCGGGGCGCCCGTCCCTAGGATTTTTGCGGGCCGAAGCGGTGCCACGAAATTTGCTGTAGAGCGTATTGAACACCCATATATCGTGGTTGGCAAGGGTTGCGAAGATATCGATATCCATCTTCTCGAGAATGTGAAGGGGCGTCTCAATGTTGTAGGTAAAGGAGAAGGGAAGAGTCCAATCGGGAGGTGGTCCCGCTTTGGGGGACAAATCGATCTCGTTGGTTTTGGAAGATACGAAATCTCCCCATATATATTTGATTTGATTAACATCAAGAGGATTTATCTCTTGATGAGCTGCCATGGCCAAAACACGCGCGAGCAGCAACAGATGAAGAGTTTCGTCGGCCTCCTTCGCATCGGGATCCCTGGCGATTGAATCGACGTCTTTTTCGCAAACGGCTGGATGGTACAGCTTCTGGGCCTTTTCGAAACAATATTGATCGCAAAACACGGTATCATGGCATGCCGGACAATTGACAGCAGTTGAATCGTTCCCTAAGGGCGGCAGCTCGCCGCTGCAAGCATCGCAGACCGAATCTTTTAGGCGATTGTTAGCCGTCACTAACGAGTACTCTACAAGCACATCCTCTCCCGGCGCGATATCCTCCTTCGCGAAAACACCGAGTTGGCTGCATGTTGGAATTATGTCGTAACTGTCAGTGCGGCTTGGACATCCTAGCAAAATGGGTAACTGTGCGACTTTGACGGTACACTTAGGTGCTATCTTAGCCAATTCGGCGTTGAGAAATTTCAGGGATTCGTCGGAAAAGCGATCGGGTTCGTAGTTGTTCCAAGGATAAACTTCCCTACGCACCATGCCCCAATCTGGAAGATCATTCACGCTGGAGATCGACCTGCGAGTTCTGCGAATGGCGACCGTGTGAATATGCCCTCGCGTGTTCAGAAGCTCTTGGTTGTCGGGGGCAAGAGCGAGACCACGTTCGCAGAAGTTATAAGCACTCTTTAGACATCCACATAATAGAAGGCTCAACGATAATATTTGATAAGAGCGGACGGAGGCGAGCGAAGCGAGGGCAGCAATATCCATTGCGCCACCGTCAAGTTTGGGCAAACTTGACTGCCTCTCCGATAACGAGCCATAGTCTAAGATGTCCAACAACGGACCGCGAGAGTACGCTTTTAGAGCATCGAGAGCTCGGTCATGATATTCAAAACTTTCGTCGCGAACTTCGTCGGTCAGCAGCAGGGCCTTGTAGGCATCACCAGCGGCCAAGTCCGGATAAGCTAGGTCGGCATAAACCAATGCGCGCTTTATGTAGAGGACGAGATCGTATGGACTAGCCAGCAGGTCATCGGTTAATGATTGGCGTTGACGTAAAAGAGACTCGATCCGAGTATCGACCTCTTCCTCGGACTCGTCCATCGCTCAAGATAAGAACGGCTAGTCCTCTTTATAGGTAGGAATCGAGATGGATACCGATACCGTAACTGTATGGGGGTAACTGAGCGACGGTATGTGGGGGATGAACCGTACTTCTGATCAAGGGCACGTCATGCTTGGAGTGTCCGTAGATATCTTGCGTACCCTGGCGAGTGCCCAGGTGGCAGCTGGGAACTGATCAGCGCGCGGGCGAGCACACGGGTGCGACGCTTGTTTGGATTTGGTATCAAGACTTTTATTATTATTCTTTGTCTTTACCTTTTACTCTTGGATGATTGTCAAGACAGGATGCCTGCCAGTGTTTCCACCGTTCTGGGCTTCTGCGGGATGTGTTGCTTGTGTGTGGTGGGATGTCGATGATCGCCGGCGCGCGTTCTCTTTCTCGGTTTAGTTCCCGTCCCCCCGTTTTCTCTTGCAGTTCGACTCGAGGAGGATAGAAGGGGAGGGCCGTAGATGTAGTTTCTTATGTCGAGTGATATAATTGCTTAGGTGTTTGATTTAGGCGGGTCTATAGAGCGGTTATCCAAAGAATCAAGAGTTTTTCCCTCCAGAAGATATTCTTGCAACCACACGAAAAAAAAAAGGTGTACAAGTCCGAACTAGACCCCTCACACCCCTCCAAGTTTGTGTGCCTGTGTGCCCAAGCTAAGGTTAGCAAATGTGGCACGACCCTTAGGTGGAGTCGACCATGGAAAATCTGGATGGAACGATCAACGGAGGGGGACCCTTGGTGCGTGTTTCCCAAGTTCTAAATTCAGGGTCCACTAGGTATTGGTAGTATAATGGATCTGCTAAGTACCTAGGTACCCCAATATTAGCGGTCCCGGCAATGAGGGGCTACCTACTGATTTAACTTGTGGCTTGAAGATATATAGGTAGCTTAACATGAGAAGTATCTATACTTAGGACTTTGGGTATGGATTGCAGAATGTAACCTGTTGTGGCTGAAAGAATACCCAACCGTTGCCAGTAAGTAAGTACATCTATGTTTCGTTTGTTAGATTATAGTCGAGTGTCTCGTAATGTTTTAGTCCTATGTTCTATGTTCTATCTAGGGAGACTAAAAATACGTCAAGAAAAAAAAAGAAAGTTGACATTTTACTCCGGTCATTCCGATGAAACATCAACCCTTATCAAGAACATCAAACACGACATTGAATGGTGTGATTTAAGCTACTACGGAAGCTTCCTGCAATGCAACACTGTGGGTAGTTCATGACATTTCTAGAACGCCCCACCCAGCACGTTTCTCCATCCGCTTATCGCGTGAGGCTCTCTATTTAGGTACCCTTAGGGTAATGTGTTGTGTCTACTACGTAGCTAGTAGGTGGTCCAACCTATGTAGGAAGCATCTGGCAACGAGAGTGACTCCAACCATTCAAATAAGCCAAATAGATAAAGACACTATCCAGAGACATGGGAAGAAGAGAAGTCATCGGAAGGGTCCGTGATGGATATTCACTCTGTGAGAATGTGAGACTTAAAGTGGCGCTTCAATCAAGGTCCCACATAGCTCCCGTTCCGTTTTCAGGGGAATTACGGCATCGTAATTTATCATTTCCCATCATAGTATGACGTGCTGCGCTATTGATAGGTGACTTTGAAATATTGATATAGGTGCCTAGCTTCGAAACTCCAATTGCAGCTACTTATCCAGTCAATTTATATTCAACTCTTTTCATAGGTGCAATGCGTTAATTTGACCTTCACTTGTGAAGATGGGTTAGGTCGTATCATCATCAGTGTATCCCAAAGAATGATTTACACCAATTAAAGTTTGCGAACGTTGTTTTATTGGCCATCTCCTAGCCAATGATGGGGATATGAAATAGCGCTGATAAGAATACCGAATTCGAATTGGATCTGGGCACCCATAGCATCCGTTGATTCCCTTCTATTTGTTATACATGGTATTGATGTTGTTACATGTTATGGGTACATGGGTATCAGTCCGACTTCTTGCTCGCCTCCCCTTCTTTAACCATGCCCTCGCAGCCGGTGGCCTGACCTAGCTTTTGCTCGACTTTCCCAAATCCCTGAGATGCATCCCGGGTTTCGCCGGCAGCCTTCATAGTATCCACAGCGTGGGCTTTGGCTTGCTCTCCGGAGGTTGTCCATGCCTGCGAACCTGTCACGCTACCGATGGTAGACTACCAGCTGTCAGTACGTCTAGAATCTACCAAAGAGTACTCATATTTTCAACGACTAGACTGACCTCCGTGGCTCCCTTAATGTACTCGGCATGTCCGCCTACGAGTGAGGGTTGTTGCTTGTTGCTTTGCGAAGACATAGCCGATGTTGTGGAGAACGGTATCGTGTGTATATGATTTGCTCTGGTTGTTCACGGAATAATTTAATAACAGACAAAATAATGTGATTGAATGAGCATAGCAGCACACCTAGGTAGAGAAATCATTCATATAAATGTTTAGTTCCGCTTTTCAACATCGTGACGTCAATGGGTAATGACACAATTGCGTTACACACGGAAATATCTTGCCTTAAAGTGTGAAGTGTGGGGGCTGGGGGGCTTATTGCAATAAGGAATCTGGGGAAGATCCGCGAGGAAGTCGAAGTCCGGGAACTTTCTTGGCATCGAAGATCCATGTAGCCAATCGATCGTTCGCAATCGGTCAAGAATGGAAAGCGTGTAGTATAAGTAAGTACCTACCTACCTATGCACCTTGATTGCCTGGCAGTTTCCTGCGTAGGTAGATCCACGAGTGCTAGACATTCTCTATAAGATACGTTGTAGTATCGTTGGTTGATATACAGAATACACTATACCACATTCAACCAGAACAGTACCTAGTTCTAAGGAGCTGGTTTATCTCCGAAAGTAACCATGCACGGTCGTTTCAGAAGACCCGAGCGAGTAATTCGGCGAGTGGTGATGTCAAGCAGACACGATGAAGGGGTCTATAGGTCTATGTAATCCACTTGCAACAGCGAAACGAACGAACTTCTCCTCTTCATGATCAATTCTTCACAGAGACCTAATCAGCAATTCAACGCTTCATTGTCGAACATCAAACAACATGTCAACTGCGATTGGCCTTTCCACACCGGTGCTTGCGCCTCTATTACGTATGTACTGACTACCCAAGCAGCTTCGTCCAAACTAGAGATCTAGCTTGAACTAATATGTTCACTCGACGATAGCTATCAGTGGTACATTCGCCCTACCATTCTCTGCGTACTTCACCCTTCTAAGCTACCGCGTCGTCCATTATCGCCTCGCAGACAAGCAGTACCTTGGTGATAACTCATCTAAGGACGGCGACCCGAATAACAAGCTTTACTTGGCCACCCGTTGCCACCAAAACTTCATCGAGAACGTGCCGCTAGCACTCGTTCTGGCAGCGTTTGCCGAACTCAACGGTGGGAACCGAAAAGTTCTCACCACGGCCCTCAGCGCTCTCCTGGCTTTCCGAATTGCGCATGTGGAAGCAGGTCTTATCAACGGGACGGGCGTGGGAAGGCCAATTGGATACTGGGGTACCTTTGCTACTATTGCAACCTTGGGTGGCTACGCTGCATTTCTCGTGAAGGGGTACTGGGGTCTCTGAGGCGGTGAAAAGCATTGCCTCTGATAGCTGAAGGCTTCTTGCTCCTCGTGTAGAAGATTCAGATTACATCCATACTTATGCTGTACAGTCCTTAATGCAAGCTTGAGGAATAAATTGGATAAGTCGAATTTCACTCCTGTCGACATTATTCTGTAGCTTCGAATAAAATAAGGTTATAAAAAGGGGAAGGCATAGGTACATCAATGAGGGTAAACTGTCGGGGGTTCGGGGTACCTACCTATGTATACTTCTTGACAGGGGCTGCAGGGGTTGATGTCATATGGCCCAAGCGCCGAAGTTACCCACTTTTCAAAGGTCGCGAACATCCTGAAGATTTGGCAAGCATTTCAACTCTTCATCCACCATCATCTTCGTCGCGCAAATAACATAGCATCTAAATAGCTACTCCTCAACCAAAATCAAAACCATGACTCAAGCGCAAGATCCAATTATAGACGAAGAATACGCGTCTGATGAAGACTCCGACTTTGCGCCCGATGCAGTACCGTTACAAGACGAAGGTGGTTCGGACGCTTCAGAATCCGAGGATGATGAGGTTCAATTAGTTGCGGCGCCGAGCAAAAAACGCGGAGCTGACACGAATGCCGACGACTATTTCGGAAATTCGGGCGATGAAGCGATTATACAAAGAGGGAAGAAGCGCCAAAAGAAACATAAACGAAAAGATGCCGACGCCGAAGACGACGAAGGTGGCGAGGGTGGTCTTATTAAGACCCGGAGTATGCGGGCGGTTGAGAAAGCAGAGAAGAAGTTGCGCACAGCTACTGGGCCAGTTACGATTGATGTAGACGAATTATGGGCTAAGATGACAGCTGCTCCCATTATATCATCCAATGCGGACGTGGAAACGGAGAAGGAGAACCAACGGCCGACTCAAGGTGTGGATGACTCACCCAAGGGTACCAGAGATAAATTACAACAACAAAAGGTGAACGAAGACAATCCGTCAGTGATGATCAAGATCAAACGAACCTATAACTTTGCCGGGAAAGTGCATACCGAAGAGAAATTAGTTCCTCGAGATTCGGCGGAAGCTAAACTGTATCTCGCTTCTCAAGACCCAAAGGTCGCCGAGGATGTCGAAGCTGAATATGGCTCACCTAGAAGGAAACCTCGGAAAGCTTTTCGATCTATCTTCGAACCCGTGGTCGAGGGTTTAGCTCAGCGCGCAGATCTGAATCTTGGTATGAACGCAAGACTTCAGCTACGGGAACAGGCGAAGGCCAAGAAATTGAACGTAGTTGAGAAGAGTCGTATGGACTGGGCAGGCTTCGTTGATAAGGAGGGTATCAAGGATGAACTTGAACTGGCTGGAAAGTCTAAGCAGTCTTACGTCAATAGACAAGATTTCTTGGATCGTGTTGCAGCCAAGAAGGATGAGGAAGCAAGAAGAGCTAGGATTGCTGGCCGAGCGTGAGGAGATCTGGGAACATTAAAATACCTATCTAAGATACGCCGGTTTGCAAGCCCAGCGATCAGGAGGAGCCGATGAATACCGTCACACGAAGATCGTCCCGTCTAGGGTTCTGTCGTAATTACGATTTATTACTCCTTGATAGATCATTACGGGTTTAAAGAATGGAATTCTTCTGATTGAATTCATTCGAGTACCACATATCTACGCAAGAACCTGCTACGACCTGGATTCGCTTGAAAGATACCTACGACACTACTCATAATGGGGCGATCTTCATGGTGGATAGCGAGGACGCTTAAGTCGAGTCGTTAATTACTCGAACAAGTCTGACGGAGGAAATTTTAACAGCTTAAGCTTCTCCGTACCATGGTCTTTTGATGCAGTGTGGCTACAATGTACTAGTGTTAGACGTATCGGAACCGAATTATATAAATTTATTTCAAGACTCAAGCTCTCATTATGAAAGGCAAAAGACTATTCCATGATCTTTATATTTTGGAGAAGACTGTGTACCTGAAATTGGGCGAATTGGTACTAACTCAGAGTCATCATCTAGGAAAGGGGTCTAGAAAATAGAAAGCCTGAAGACAAGCTGAGAACGACTTCTAAATCCTTCCTAATCGGGAAGGGGCTTGGACCACCATTTACAAACGGATCCACAGTTTCTAGAAGCAAACCCCACTGTGACGAAGCTGCCTGCCCCACCATACAAAGGCTGAAGCTGAACCTTGATTATCGGAGCTTAACAGCTTTAACTTTTTACACATCCCCTACGTATTTATACCTAGCCCACTTCTACTTCGACACCCCGAACGACCAAATCGCCCACCATGGCCGCCCACGTAACCTCGCCCAACGAGCCGTTCCCGCGAGCCGACCACATGGCACAAGCGACGACCTCGCACCGGCAAGGCAACTTCGTCATCTACTCGCGCAAGCTGCCCATCTCCAAGGCCGGGCCCATCGACGCCATGGAGCGGTCCCTCGGCATCCCCGTGCCGGAGATGATCTTCGGCGACAACGTGGTGGCGGTACGGCACGCGCCGACGGGCTGGGGCATCGAGTTCAACGCGTACGACGCGCTCGACGCCGTCGACAAGACCGACCGCAATATGCTGCAGGTCGCGTACGCGAAGAGCTGGAGCGCGAGCAGGGAGCAGACGAGCGCGGGCATCAAGGATGTGGTTAAGCCGTACGATTGGAGCTATAGCACGGAGTATAAGGGCACTGTTATATCGGGGCCGGGGGCGGCAGCGTCGAACTTACCCCCGCCGTCGCCGCCGCCGCCACCTGGTTCGGGTGTTGGCGCCTCTGAGGCGTCAGCTACGGTTACCGCGAACCCTGCAGACGGCGGGAACGCAAGTTCTTCCGAATCAACTCAAGGAAATGCGCCCGGCCAGAACAAGCTAGCCTTCGCACCCTCATCCAAACCCATACCCATCGAGCTGCTCAAGCGCCGCGACCCGATCCTGTTCTTCGACGAGGTGATGCTGTACGAGAGCGAGCTCGACGACAACGGCATCAGCGTCCTGAGCGTCAAAGTCCGCGTCCACGAGCAGCGCATGCTGCTCCTGGCCCGCCTGTTCATGCGCCTGGATAACGTCCTCGTGCGCATCCGGGATACCCGCGTCTACGTCGATTTCGCGGCGGAGGAGGTCACGCGCGAGTATACCGTTAAGGAGGCGGGGTTTGGGGAGGTTAAGAGTGTATGTTTTTTATGTCTTCCTTTTTCTATCTTATTTACAGAGGCTCTTTTCATCCTGGGGTAGAAGATAGTGGAGGGCATTCGCTGACTTTAATTATAGAAACTCCTGATGACGGGACTTGTCCCCGATGCTATAACGGTAGCAATGCGCGATGCAAACAAGATCGCCGATTTACTTCCTACTGTCGGACAGACTTTGGAAAGTGTTTCGTTGAAATTATGAAATCATGATGGGTAATGCTGGATAGCTCCTTGAAAAGAGGATTCCTCGGATTAGAGGCTGCGGCGCATACGAATAGTGTAAGATTAGAGGTTGACTGGCTGGCCAATTTACGAGCTCTCAGATACATGCATGGATTGGCGTTTAACGGATGGGCATGGCTAGGGCCCGGCTCTTTCTAGCGTCACGTTTGCGGGTAGATGCGCTGCTGATCTGTTACATGGATATAGGTTCCATAGGTAAGACTACACAATGAAATCATCGCGATGCATAGCAAATAGGCAGCTTTGGTATTAAGCGAGCTAATGAACTTTCCATCTCCATCCAATGTGTTTGCGACCCCGTTGCCCAGTGCCTAGTACCTAACTCATTTGGTATTTTCAAGGCACGAAGCACAGCCATGTACAAAACGCCAGCGAACTCAACAGTGTCCATTCAAAGCATCATTCATGAGTAAGCAACCACTCTCCCTCCCCCCTTCCCCTATTACAGTCATTTTCTTCCTCCCAAGTCGGAACCCCTTCAATAGCGAATTCTCGCCTCCCCTTAGACTCAGCGCGCATCCCGCGGAGAACTACTCTGCGTCATCTCCTCGTAGTCCAGCTGCCACTTGTCCACCTCCTGAAACTTTCTCGCCGCGTTCTTCAACTCCTCGCCCACACGCTGGACCATAGCCTGGCTGCTTTCCTCGTCGCCCACGGGCCCCAGACTGTCGTTGTCATCTTCCGCGTCTTCGCCGTCCTCTTCGGAGCCCTGGTTCTCCTTGTCGGAGGTGCGGCCGTATGTTATCGTAGTACGCCTGTTGGCACTGGCAGGAGTCTGCTTGCCCTTCCCACGCGATGCGGGACGCCCCTTTGCAGCGTTCTGGGGTCTGGAATTACCCGCGCGAGAAGCTGGGCGTCGTCGCGCACGCACGTCCATATACGAGAGCTCGTCATCGTCGTTCCCTAAGCCAGAGATATCCACCTCGGCCTCCGAGTCGTCATCCTCGGTTCTAGCGTTCCGACGGCGTCTGCGTGGTAGGAGTCCCGCTAGATCTGCAGTTGTGATCTTGGGCTCTGGTTTAGAAACTGCGGCTTTGCGCTTGGTCTTGGCAGCTTGTCGCAGCGGCGGAGACGGTTCGCGGTAGTTAGGGGAATAAGTGAGGGACGGCGGTGATGAAATATCGGAGCCACCATCGTTGGGAACGGGAGTTCTTCGGAGCGCCGAGACGGGGCGTTTTGATCGGTTTCTTGCCAAAGTTTGGAGAGGAGGCCAGATTTCTGAATCGCCGGCTGAGGAACCGCTGCTTAAAGGAGGAGCCATAAGTTCTTCGTCCATGATCGGTGTAACCGGCCTGCTGCTATATTGTCGGACGGGTGGGGTAGATGGCGGAGAGGAGAGATCTGATTCTGATTGCTGTACTACTGCGTTCCCTGCAGGCTCATTCTCCTCAAATGGCGAGGATCGGGCACGGCGTTCATGGCCCTCGGTAGACTTTCGCTTGCGCGGATTTACGCGCGGCGAATGCGTTGACGTCTGGCCAGCATCGATCTCAGTATCTCCGGAACGTCTCTTGGAGCGCTTGAGAGGAGTTGATTCGTCCTCAGGCGCAAATGCATTATCCCCTGCTGGCTCTTCATCACGCTCTGATTCTGAGTCCGACTCAAATTCAGGATCTGGCTCGATTCTTTGAGGGGGTGGCTTTTGTGCCGTACCAAGGATGCTAGGTTCTCGTGCTCGTCTCTTGAATAAGCCGATGTTGAAAGTCGAGCTATAGGCAGGGGTGTTGGGACCTGTTCGGCTACTTGGTCGAATGTAGCCTTCCTCCTTGCTTAGAAAGCTTCCAGCGCGGGGCCGTCGGTTGAATACGCTAGCGGTCATTGTAGACGTCTCGGCTGATCGCTGGGCGCTTGCTGGGCCAGCGGTGTCGAAGGTGGTATTCAGGTCATCAAACTCGTCATCATCCAGATCCAGTCCTGACATATCTGCCATCCTCCTATGTTGCGGGGTTCCGGCGACTTTGCGCCCAAGCTCAACAGAGGCCTCTGATGGTTCGATAGACTCGATTACTTCGTTGCTAGACGTGGAGGTCATGGTTTCCAGTCGATCCAAGGCGGAATCGCGTCGCTGTCGGGCAGCTTCCAATGCCTTGGATTGTTGCATAGTAGATGTTTGCGCGTGCGTGGTTGATTTTTTATCGCGCATTGATTCCTGTCTTTGCTTTGCTTTTCCCTTCTCACGATCGCTCACATCGTAAATATCAGAACTTGGTTCAACGGGTTGTCTGGATGCTGGCACAGGTTCTGGACTTGTCGTTTTTGCGACCGTGCGAGTGGACGCGACGCGAGTTCTCTTAGGTCGCGGCATGATTCCGTCGCAGTTAGTAATTACGGGCCTGCGGTATGCGATTCATGAATAGGTAAGTAAAATATACGAAGGATACTAAACCTGTCACCGCATGACAGAGAAGGCGGTGGTGACAAGATAAGAAGTTAAGGTTGGTTAGTTTAATGTTGTTTTTGTTATGTTATGAGAGGTTGGGGGCATGCGGAAGGTGGGAGGAGAAGTGGGAAAGAACGAGCTTGACGCGTTTGAACCGCTAAACCACTAAACCGTGTTTTGGTGGACCCCTCTAAGTACCCACCCAATCGTGTTATTGGGACCCATATATTTGTGCATTGTGCACATCGTTCAAAGTAAAAAGCATGACTTCAACAACATCCGTCCTTCTTTCTTTCTAAAGAAATAGGAATAGGAATTACTATGATGCAGATATATCGCCTGCAATTAAATCATCAATCAACGCTAACCACATAGCCAAACTAGTAGACCGTACCTACTTAACAACTCCAGCTGTTCTTAAGGAGACCATTACCCGAGTACATTGCAATAAATGCCCACCCCCTTTTCATCGGTCCATAAAAATGAGGTCCTTCTTCATACCTTCGCTAATGTTATCCATCCAACAGCTCAAACAGCTCTCATAATTCTATATGCCCATATCCTTCTTGTCTCTAGACTCCCCAGAATTGATTCCATGTTTGGTCATGGGACTGGTTCGGCGATGGATAATAAGAATAGTCTAGTTGTGTGAAGGTATTGTTGTATGCCGTCTGCGAATAGTTCTGCATGTTGCTCTGCAGGTTGCTGCTAAGCTGATGCTGTCCCTGTGGGTATTCCATCCCTTGACTCTGGGTATAATAACTGGGGTTTGTTGGTTGTGAACCCGAAGTTCTATTGCCACTAGTGGAGGCTTGAGAATGTTGATTTTCACGTTGCCTTTTCGCATCTGCCCTCCTATTTTCAAGGTGCATCTCACAAAACATTCGCTCTGCCACTCTCTCTCTGGGACAGGATTTGCACTTATTCTGCTCCCCATTTTTCTTGCGGTACGCCGCCCTGGTTGACGTGCGCTCTTGGAGGTGCTTTTCGCAAAGACGCATGCTCGTAGGGGACCTCGGACTGTTACACTTCAAGTACTCACAGAATCCTAGACCCGAACGATTCTTCCTTTTACACCAACCGCATGTTGCTGGGTCGTCACAACTGTGAGGTTTCCGATTGTTTGATTTGCTTGAGGAAGTTGGTTGACTCGAGGAACCTTTATTAGGGAGAGGGAGTTGGCTAAGTGGAGTAGAGTGTTGACTCGAAGGTAGAAGGCTTTGCTTGGGGGTTGTAGGAACTTGGTACGAGGGGTTCACGTACTGAACCGACGAAGCAGTATCTTGGGCCTGAGGAATATAGTTATTGCCATGGGCATTGGTAAAATATTGGTCTGGGAAATAGTATGAGTTGTTGCCGGGATAGTAGTTAGGATATTGATTTGACATCTTGAATAGAAATATATAGAGCCTGAATTGCCACTATGACTGAAAATGAGCCGGATCCCAGGAAAACTGGTATTATGCGATTTTTGATGCTCACACGATAAGAAGTAGACGCAGGATGGTCTAGAATGGCGAGAAGTTCTCATAAAATAGACTTTAGCATCAAGCAATTCTGCCTGCTTTGCTATGGGTCCATTCACGATAACGACGTTGAATTGTGAATCAGATATTAAAAAGAGTAATTAGGTGACAGGTGTAGTGATTAGGGGGAAGTGGGTTAATTATATATTACGAGGTAGTTAGCTACGTAGGTAATCACTTAGTTCAAGTGGCTTCCATCTCTGACCTTTCTTGACTTGATATAAATATATATCTATAGTAAATAAGCATATTTCTAGGTATCTTATCCTTATTGCTAGGTAGGGTTTGATTCTCGTGACAGTGATATTCTTAGAAAGAATTTAAAATAGTAAACAAGCTTCTCATATCGTACTCTCGAGAGCTGAGGTGTAAAGTTACAATTATAAGTGTATATTCTTTTCAATATATATATATATATATAGAGAGAGAGAGAGAGAGGTATCAAGCCATTAGGGTGACGTTCTTAGTCTGCGACTGGGTTATGGGGGGATATAGTAGCAAGCAGCTTGCCGCAGGCTCATTGGTAGATAGGTCTTGTTGACTGCATTTACACCTGTACGTCTATCAAACTCCTTGGGAACGAAGGTTTCGTTATACACTCGCCTTGCGGCACCCTGGTTTGGTACTATCAATAAGCCCCTAAAAGAGTAGAGTAATATTTTCACTATTATACTAAACATCTTCTAATGAACAATCTGATTTAAGATTAAGACAACCTCGCCCAGCATAGTATTACCTAATACTCCTTACCAAACGCAATATCCCCGGCTCCTGATCTATATGCCTATTCCTTTCCCAACCTAAGAGATAACCTTTTCCACGAATATGATTATCGGACAATTGGCCATAGTGTAATGATGCGACGAGCATCTATCTAAGTAGGTAGATGTCAGCCGATCGTTATCTCCTCCGATCATCTCTCTGTCTATTGTGTTGTGTATACGAGCTTCCCGATGCCTGATTTCCAGTGCTGGCTGACGAGTCGGTATAATATGTCTCTCTTTCTCGGTTGGTAGATCGGCCAGACCTTCTTGGCTGAGACGATGATCCCGATTGAGATCCATAGGAGCTGGAGGTGGCATTCCGACCAGATACGTCGTAGTCGAGTGCTGCTTGTGCAATCCGTTGAAGTTGCTCCCGTGAATTTTCCGCCTTCCTTTCCTCTTCCTTCCTCGCCTTGTCGGCATCTCTTCTTCTTTGCTGATGTTCGTTGCGTATCCTGGCATGGTGCTTACAACGTTGGTTTCCCGGCTCTGCAGGCTGGCTACAGGAAAGACAAGTTCTCGACTCTCTCTTTTCCTTCTGTCTTTGGCGTTCCTTTTCTATCTTTCTATTACGGTGGTATTCGCAAAGGCCACTACTCGTAACTGGAGGATTGTTGCAACCACTAAACGGGCAAGGGACTCTGGTGTCGTATTGACGTGACATGTTGATAAAAGTTGTGCGTACTAATTTAACCCTAGAAGTATCGATGGGGTATGGGATAGGAAGTGAAAGATTGGAAGCATGGCTGGAGAACAATGTATTTAAATATACTTTTGCAGTTGTTGTTTGACCTAGGACAGCATCACCGCCTTGAGAAATAGGCCTGGTGATAATATTGCAGTCTAAGGGGATCTGGTTGGTTGTTAGTGACTCTGGGATCGGATTTTGTCGATGAGCCTCTATATGGCTGACAGCGCAATGTATCATTGCAATTGAACAATTCCAACGACAGCGTGGATGTGTGACAACTCATATACGCGAATATTATAATTTCTCCTATGCATGCTTACGTATCAACTGTCATATGAAGTCCATTTTGGCTAAGTCATGGCTTTACCATTTCTCTACTTAATGTCCTAGTCAATGCATTCAGCAAAGTCTACCAATATTTAGAAACAGACAATTTGTCCCCCTCTCATAGATATAAGTCAGCTTCAAGTCCCCCTTTTCAGGTTTTAGCTTCCCAAGTACATTATGCTAGGAATAACAGCATCTTGAATGGCTGGTCCGGCTGATTTCTTACGTAGGCTTTAGATTAACGCTCTACTATCATTAATATATTCCTCTGCACCATTAGCTTGGTCAGCCGCAGCCTTCGCGGCAGCATCAGCTAATGTGTTGTAGTTTCTCGGAACGGTCCAGAATGATACCTCGCATCCACTCTTAGCATAGCTGCCTAAGACTTCCGACAAAGCCTTCCAAAGATCCTGGTTGGCGACTTGCTTGCCGCCGGAGGTACGCCAATTTCTACCAGCCCAGCTACGCAACCACTCGGTCCCGCCCTTGCTTACGTACTCGGAGTCGGTTACCATGACGATACGCTCCCATCCCTCACCCCACCAGGTACGAAAATGAAGAGCCGCAATGATGGCGCGAAGTTCTGCTCTGTTGTTTGTATGGGCGTACACTTGACCATCTACCCCTTTCTTCTCTAGTCCAGAGGAGTAGGTTCCTGTAGGTGAGTTGTTGAAAACGAATGCGTAGCCACCACGAGGGATTTTCTCGGCCGAACCGTTGTTGCAGCAAGCTCCGTCAGCATATATCATCATGGTCTTCAGTCCCGTGACTTGAGGGACGAAACGCCGGCGGATACAGAACCGATTGAGAAAGCGACGTTCGGATGTATTGATCATACGGGCGGGGAACATGAATTCTGGACTATCGGATGCTTGGAAATTCGAAGCTGTCCAAACGTCATTCTGGCCATGACCCATAGCTGATGTCGCGCGAGCTACACTTGCTGATCGAGGGACAGGGCGGCAATTAACCAGAATTCCCGCCGCAGGTTTCAAGATTGTCCGCAACTGGGGCAGTTTAAAGGTTGCTGTTCCATTGGAACCTTCCATTTCGAGACCGGGTAGGTAGAAATCACCATCGACGTCGAGGACCACTCGGGCTTCATTTTCACCTTCCGACTCATCATTACCATGTTCTAGAGACGACATGGTAATAGTAGATACCTAGTACAGCTGTGAGACGTTGAAAAGTAATGAAATAGGGAGTTTATAGAGTTATCGCTCTGCCCCAGGTTGTCAGATAATAGTCTCGAATGATGATGACAAGACGATTAGGTATCTAATAGGTATAATCCAAAGTAATAGTGACTCTGTTGATGATCACAGCAATACAATTCGCCTACGCGTAGTACAGTTAGTATGATAGATATATAGATATATGCAACTCCCAAATGAGCGTGTTCCAAGGTTATCTCTTTATTTACTACCTCGGTAACATGATTCCTTGGAGAACATGATAAAAGGGGGAATGAACGAAGGAAATGAACCTTATCGTTATCTATTATTTACCTAACGCGGAACGGGCCGTAATCCAGGCTAGGCCGTATCGAGGATAGTGTACAACAGTCACTACCTGTACTTTTAGATCGAGTTATTTTATGTCCCATCCATGGATAGACCTACCTAGGTACCTATCGGTGGAGGTCCATAGATAGTAGGTACATATACCCCTGAGATACAGGGCGCAGGCTTCCAGCCACCTAATATCCCAACACCTACCTAGGTAGGTAGGTAAGTATATAATGAATGAAACTCACAACGTTAATAAGGGGCAGTGAGACATCTACCTGGCCTAATCGGCTTCCTGTATTTTTCGCAACTCATCTAGTGCTTCACGCTTATGCAATTCCATGTCCAACCCAAAAATGAAGTTCCATTTCGGTGCGAGCAACCCCCTCAACTCGTTAGCATGTAGATCTACCTGCCCGCAAAGTATTTGACCCGTCTCTCGGCTCGAGTCGATGACTTGCTGGCACCGAGGGCGCCTGAGCAGATCATATGCTTTGAACGCAGAGCTAATCTCCTCTGATGATGAGATGTTGGCGAAGAGAGTTCCGAGAATCATGGCGTCCTCAATGGCTAACCCCGCCCCGGAACCTTGCCATGGCGTGGTCGCGTGGGCAGCGTCGCCTACTAAGCAAACCCGCTCGTTGGCGTAAGTTGGGGTCGACTTGTGTTCCCATTGGGAGTATCCGCAAGGATCTGGTTGATCACAAATGAGCTGTGAAATGGTTAGCACCTCTCTTTGAGAAGGGAGATCATTGTAGCAAAGTGAAGTATGATACGAAAGCAGCACGTAGAAGGACGTACACTAATCATGCCATCGGCAATAGGGCCGCCCATCCAGCTACCCAATGTTTCTGTCAATATCTCCCGTGTGAGAGGGCGCTTCCTGTCTCGGCTCGTTGAGGAATCTTTCTCAATGCTTGATACCACACACTGGACCATGGTTCTGTTTTCTAGGACGTCATGCATGATGAAAGCACCATCACCGACCCAGCCGTACTGTCGATCAACGTCAAAATACTTCTCGCCAAGAGTCGCTTTTGCTTTCTCAAATGGTACAACGTTCCTACAATCCCAGAACCCGGCTGGTAATGGAGAGGACTGTTCAGTAGCGGCGACACTCTGAAGAACATGCTCCCGAACTGTGCTAAATATACCATCTGCGCCAATCACTGCATCGAATTGGAAGACTGTGCCGTCCTGGAAAGTTATTCCAACGCCGGATCCGTTCGCATTGATAGTGATAAGCTTTTTATTGGGGTGGAGAGCCTCTATTGGTAATGGAGCGAGGAGCTCACGGAGGAGAGAAGCTCGGTGAACATTCATGCCGGGATCATCCGCGGCAAGGTCGAAGACGATATTTCCGGCCTCTGGCCCTGAGCCCTGAGAAGTTTATTAGAGAGCGCCCATCAACCTTTCAAATACACTGCTTACCAAGATAATTCGGGAGGAGTTCATAGGCACGGCTCCCGCCTTCTTGAGCAGGACCGATGCTGAAGGAACGATTTGAGCTAAGGCTAGCTGAGCATTCTTGGCCAGTCCCACGGCCGCGCCACGTTCCGAGAATTCAGTCGCTGATTCAAAGACATGAACATCTACTCGAGACACGCGAACAAGGGCGTTCGCCAATGCAGCTCCAGCCAGCCCTCCACCGATGATAGCTACACGAAGCTGGTTGTGCGTCATTGGGAACGAATTGTGAGTTGGAATAGTACCTCAAAGATTCAGATCAAGGAAGAAACCTGTCTAGATAAACAGCTTAATTGATGGGCGAAGGAATTTTGTATTAATATACCTAGCTTCTCGAGAATGATATAGGTAAGGGAGTTCTTTACTTACTACATGGGCCACTTACCGATAGGCACTGAAATTACCCATGGCACCTTAGGTACCTAGGCAGGTAAGTACCTACAGGCCAAATCTACAAGACCTGATCTTTAAAAAGTTATGACCATGGTTTGCGGGTATCCTCAGGTGGGTTGAAAAGGCATCCAGGCGGCAAAGTAAGAGCTTGAGTGTCAGATTTGTTGGATGCAGTTGGCCATTGTCCGGTGTGAGGACATTGGAGACCTGCAATGCTACCTTAGGTAGTAGGCAGAGGCCCTCCAGTTTACCAACAAGAGAATTCGTGCGCGCTTGCTTGCAGGTGATATAAGCATAAATAGACTCCAGTGCTGCGTGTTGGTAGCTCGGGTGGTCACTCTGATGTTCCATTCCGGCGTTGGTTCTCAGCCTGCTCCAACTACATTGTCAGGTAGAATCTCTTCTCGAGACAATTATCATTCAAATCCTCCCTCGCCTTCCGCACCAAGTCCCTTGCTTCCGCCTTCGACATGGCATTGTGACCAGTGAGTAAGGCTTCGCCCGCTACGTCAATGAAAGTCAAGAAATTTTGCAATGTTAGCTTGCCGATTTGTTGTTCACGAGGCGTTTCGGTCCACTCTCCTAGAGGCCTTCTGGTCTCATGCTCGTTGATCTCTTCGAACCCGAGCTCACTCAGTCGTTGTGTATGCTTCGTCGTGGCATAGTAATCCAGACCGTTGCGAACCCATGTCCTCTCGGCTAGATGGCCGAAGTGAATGAATGGTGAAGAGGCAGCATTATCAAACTGCTGGTTCGCCGCCCGGAATGGGTGACAGAGGTCCAGAAATTCGAGCCTCCCGCCAAGGCACAGATGCATGAAACTCTTCGCGAGCAGGCCCGGCCAGTCATGGATGCCCGATGCAAGCATCCGACCGTGGATGAAGTCGAACTTTGCAGGCTCCAGATCCCATTCTTGATCGGCATCGCACTTCTGGAATTTCAGATTGGGAAGGTCAAGGCTCTGGCCGTCATGGCCTTTGGGGGGGAGTAAGGTCTGTGGCGACGACGGTTGCTGGAGGTCTAGAAAATGAGCTGAGTTCTCCGGCAGCTTGGACTCGGAAGGGCATACCTAGCCTGTCCTGCTCAGTCTACATGTGATATTCACAAATTGGTGTCTGTCTCTTGGCGATAAATTAGGGGATAATCGTGTAGCCTTACATCAACGTCCGGCGGCGTCATTACGTAGACTCCGAGGTTGCTATCGTCGGCCATATTTGCGACTGTCAGATGGTTTCATCCGCTAATGGGAAAAATCATAAATCTGGATAGGATTCTATTTATGCGCGACTTTTCTTAATAAATACTGAGCCCCTTTTTACGGGTCCACAATAGGAGGTACATGTAGCTTTAGGTATTGTACCCCTAGCCAGCCTACCTAAGGCACCTACATATGTACAAGGTATAGTCCTGCTTACGGTCGCCTACCCCGCCCACTGACTTGTCCCCTACCTTAGGTACCGGGTAGGTACCTAGGTCGCCAAGGTCGAGACTACTAGGTACTTGACGCCGTCCAAGTGACTGAACTGTTTTCTATCGATTCAACTTCTCGTGCACCGCTATCTACCTAAGTACAGCTACTTTCTCATCGTCTTTCGTTTCCTTAACGACCTTAGTAAATTGGAAAAAGACTCGAGATGGGTTCACCCACGGAAACTCCTACCATTATCATGGTCCAAGGCTCTTTTCAACTGCCAGACGCATACTATAAGCTAGACGATGCCCTCAGAGCTCTCGGCTATCCTGTTGTTCACCCACTCTTGCCAAGTCTGACTGACGAGGAGAAGCCGGGCTTTGCCACCAAATCTTTGACTGACGATGCACTTGCCATTCGATCCGAGGTCCAGCGCCTCGTGGAACAAGGGAAAAAGGTGTTTGTTGTGATGCATTCGTACGGCGGGCTCGTGGGCACCGAAGCCGTGACCAAAGACCTGTCTTTCGATGAACGACAACCTGCTGGCCTTCCTGGCGGCGTTGGTAAGCATCCTTAGCCCGCATATCTCCCATTGCACCACGACGAGAGCACCAAGCTTATAAGTCATCTATATACTCTATGAGGAACCATGCATCTTCCTTGTAGGTCAATAGAAGAAAGAATTGCTAACTAGGGCTCCTGTAGTACACTTGTTCTACTTCGCCGCATTCATCCTCCCTACAGGCCAGTCCGTGCTAGACGTGTTTGGCGAATCCCCAAACAACGACGTCAAGCCAGATGGCCGATTTACCATAAAGAACGCGGCTAACATACTCTACCACGACCTTCCTGACGCTGAGGCGCAAGAGTGGGAATCAAAGATCATCAACCAGTCCTACGCAGTACAGAAAACCAAGATGACCAACGAGGCTTTTGGCTTTGTCAAGTCCACTTACGTTGTCTGCGAAAATGACCGGGGTCCGCCCCCAATGTATCAGGAGAAATTTGGCGAGATGGCGGGATCCAAGATCCAGAAGATCAGCTCTGGCCACTCGCCTATGCTAAGCCACACGGCGGAGCTGACGAGAATGATAGATCAAGTGGTAAAATCTGTTATCGAAACAGGGGCCCAGGTCTGAGTGCCGGTAACTTTATACTACGATCAGCTAACAGAGAAAGCCACATTCTTTTTCCTAGCCAACTTTTAGGCTGACAAGATTCAATGGTTGTTAGATCCTAGTCCTGTACCCACACTCCTAGGAGAAATGTAGTAATTATATGCAATGTCACACCGATAGAATATGCAGTTGGTTCGCAAAAAGCATGTCAAGCAAGAGTTTGTCGACAGAAATATCTACTAGGTATGAGCTTGCAGCCCTCTAACCTCAATCCATTCACACAATTTCATGGAACCATACGATACCTTGTTCTTAATATCATTTCAATCCGGCCGAGATCATCCCCTCATATCATATAACGTGATGAGCAGACTATTGGCAGACGAAGAACAACCTCTACAGATGCCAGATGAAGGCTTCATCAATCAAGAACATCATACCTCACCAAAGAGCCATAACAGGAATACCTTAACAACTCAATTTGTTTATATACTTGTCCTCCACCTGATAATCTTTATCCTAGTGGGAGTTATTTGGGGCGGTGAATACCGAAGAGCCCAACTTAGGATATTGAAGGGTGCCACTTGGTGTACGCATTCGTGTAATATAAGACTGTTTTCTACTCATATACTTATAACCTTCTAGCTCCAGCTACTGATTATATTCGGTACGAGATAATCGGCGACCACGCTTTGAAACAGAACTTACCCAGCGTCTATTCTGGGCCACCATCGGCTGAGAATGAAAATGCGTGGCAGGACCTTTTAACGCGTAAACTACCTTCTTCCTTATCTAAAGTTGAGTGCTAACATTCTAGCAGCAATGTACTTCAAAGCTACTCGTGAAGAGATGCTTCGAGGGGAGCAGCCTTTAGAGAACGGCACTCAACTAACTGGTGGAGGTTACCTCGCCACCCTGGGCGTTTACCATGAGCTTCATTGTCTGGTTGGTATGTGAGTGCTGGAAGAGTAAGCAACTGCTAATTTGTGCAGCGACAATTACGTCTGTATCTATACCGAGACTATTATTATGCAAACCTCACGTCGACACAAGATGAGTATCTTCACAAACACCTGGGTATGTATCCGTAAACACAATTAATGTAAATTACTGAGAACTGATACTGTTACCCTAAAGATCATTGTCTCGAAGCTCTTCGGATTGCTATAATGTGCCACGGCAGTACTGCCCTATACACATTCGCATGGGAATCCTCAAATCCAGGCAGGCCAACAACTAAGTCTAATTCTAGATCGGTGTGTGTCAAATGGACTTCAATCAAGAACTGGAGCTATTCTAGAGAAATTCTAGAAAGTGACCAGGTCGTCATTCCTTCTTAGAAGGAGATATGACGAGGCGAGGGATGTAAGACAGCACCCTTGGGTTATCTATGACAGGCGCGCAATACTCAGGTTTCCATATTGCCATTATTTAGGTATCCCTCTTGGCATATTAACATCTCTCTAAGTTTTTTTTTTAACTATTGAAGGCTTTCTTTACTATTGGTTCCGTCCGTTGTATCGTTGGTTTCACTAGCAATACCAACGTTTTGTCACTTCAAAATTCAAGGTACTTATTAAAGTAGCAGCATAACCTAGGTAGTGTCGTGGTCCGTGGATTCTTTTCGACGTAAAGTTGTATCGACTATTTATTGAAAGTGATCCATCGTTACATAGCCTAAGTGTACACGGTTTAATGAGAATGGGATCAGAATGATGAGCGTGTTTACGTCCGAAGGACGTATATACTACATACGGGCAAGTATGGTATATACATCAGCGCGCACTACTAGCGCATGGGACGTCTAGAGTACCTCTCTAGGTAGAGAGACAGAGCTAGAGTTTCGCTTGACATAAGAAATTTTTATCCTCCACGCCTGCCTCCAGCATTACTCTAGCTAATAAGCGCCAGCCTTAGCTAGCCGATTATATTCAGGAAAAACCCTACTCCGGGTCCACCTTCTTCTAACGTCTCAGAACCACCCTCTAACGCCCAGTGAGCCCTAAAGCGGGGTGAAAAAACCTGAATAAATCGGACCGTTGGTTAAGTTGCCCACAGCGGGATTCGAACCCACTCGCAATGCGTAGTCGTACGCTAATGCGCGGCCAGACGCTTTAACCACTGCGCCATGTGGGAGAATGGGATCAGAAAAAGCTACCTTGTGCTAATACTCCTGTGCTGCACCGTGATCAAAACTATCTCCTCGTTATATAATTGGCATCCATTGACTCCATTCTGATCAGATCGATTTAACATATGGACCACCTTGTTGGATAGAATCTGATTCAGAACACTTGATGATAAAGCATATTAAATCATCTATTCATTAAGTTTCTAACACGTGAAGTCGGGTATGCACTTCTGTATTGCGGCGCGAGCATAGCTGAGATAACATAAAGAACTTCCTACCCCCCTTTTTTCTTAGCTACGGAATTCCGGGCATGTTTTATACATATATCCACTTGGTCACCAAGCCGGCGACTAACACGATATATATCTCGGAAAGATAGCTTTAACCCTGCATCCTTGGCGAGACTTGCCAGTCGCATAGCCGCCAACGAATCACCACCTCGCTTAACAAAATCATCATCCAAACTCAGCATATCAGTTTCAAGTTTAAGCACTTTAGACCAAAGCCCGGCAACTCGTCGGTCCATGTCCGTGACTAAAGGCCGACCAATTGACAGTGTCGACTTTGGCGTTCCCCAGGCTAGAAGCTCTTGCTTGCTCAAGGAGGCAATCATTTGCTGTAACTTCCGTCGATCCCTTTTACCCGATATCGTGATAGGAAGAGTGTGGAGTGGTAGATAGGCTACAGGCAACATGTAGCGAGCCAACTTGCGGGATAACTTCTCTTCAGCATCGTCGAGCAAACCATGCAGCTGAGCTTGCACTTTCGTGTCCACAGAAGATAGGTCGTCGGAAATTATCGACTCAGGTCCTAGACACAAGAATGCGATTAGCATCTTCTCGTCTTCTTTACATCCCCGAGGGACCCCAGGCTCGACGGCAAGTTCAGCAGCAACGATGGCTTTCAGATGCGTCTCGACATCGCCCAATTCCATGCGCTGGCCTCGGACCTTGACCTGCATATCTTTGCGGCCAATGTACTGAAGGGTTCCATTTTCGCAACGTGTTACCAAATCTCCGGTCTTATACATGCGTCGTATCTTCACCTCGTTGCGAAATTCGGCAAATTTGCACCACTCGGGGTTCTCGATGAAGACTTGATTTGTCCTCTCCTTATCACCAATATATCCCCTTCCAAGAGAGCAACTCTCGAGCACAAGTTCCCCCACTGCTCCCACAGGCACGAGTTGGTTATGATCAGACGGATCCACGACCCAACTTTTGTTCGCTACGGGATATCCTATGTTGATGGGGTTCGATTGGGATGTCATCGGACCCACGACGGCAGAAATCGGACCCACCTCGCTTGGTCCATAACCACCAAAAAGATCGACGCGGTGTACCCAGGCGTCCCTTGCATCGGTGGTAAGCGGCTCGCCTACCAGGACAAGAGTCTTGATACACTTTGCATTCTCAATGTTTAGCCTTGAGACAAGAGACGGGGTTAACATAGCCCAGTTCGCCTCCATCCGCAGAGCTGCTTGGCCGAGGTCATTCATCCGGTCGTGATCCGATGGCACGCATACGCAGGATCCCGAGAGTAGGCCTACCAGGATGTCCACTAAAGAAGCATCGAATGCGTAGGAGGAGAACTGAAGTATTCGACTATCAGTTCCTAGTCTGAATTTCGGACCGTACGCTAGAGCTGAGGAACAAAACGCTTGATGCTCGATTTCACAACCCTTGGGCTCCCCTGTGCTACCAGATGTAAAGATAACATAGGCAAGATTGCTTGGGCTGATGTTTTGGTTTGACCAATCCTCCATTGTCGACAGAGTCTCTTTGGACACAAATGACTGGTCCAAGACGAGAGTTTCTAATCCGACCTCTTCGTATTTCGCAGATAACAATTCATTTGTGATCACAAATCGTGCGTTTGCTTTCGAGGCGATGGATTTAACCCGATCCAGAGGGAAATTTTCATCCAGGGGAACGAAGGCAGAGCCGGCCTTCATGACAGCAACCATACCCACTATGGCCCAGATCGAATGAGGAAATACTAAAAGAACTTTTTCCTCTGGACGAAATGCAAATTTAGTGAAGAATGTGTGGGCCAATCGGTTTGTAAGAACTTCGAGATCGTGATAAGAGAGAGAACCATCATGAGCAACGATCGCAGGAGCATCTGGATGTAGTCGAGCTTGACTCCGTGTGATCTCATGTATGCAGCTCTCACGCTCCTGTAAATCCCCTCCGTTCCAGCTCTGGATCATCCTTATATCATTTTGACTGCAACGAGGAATATCTTTGACCTTGCAGAATGGGTGAAGTAAGATAAACTCGAGTGACTGGACAAACATATCAGAAATGCTCTTAGCTAGCCAACGCTCAACTGAACAGCTTGTCCACAGTTGTCCCATCAACTCTTCTCCAGTATAAACTAGCGTGAAAGTTATATCGTCCTGGTTTTGTTAACGAATGCTGGTCTCATGTGGGAGATCTCCTAAACTCACCCTTGCAAGCCCGCTCGCTTTGAGAGGTACTAAGCTCAAATATCTGTCCGATACATATGGTATGGAGGTGTAATCGAGCCAGCATATAATTGAGTTGCAAAGTCTTTTGCCATTGTGCATCGTGCTTGATGTTCGAGCACTGACCGTCTCATCTTCCACTGTTTGATCGTGCAGGCTTTTGATGACATCCGTGACTTGGTAGTCGTATGAAATATGCGCTGTACATAATAAATTCTGCTGAGTGAACTTATCACTACCAGATCCAGCATCATTCCATGCCGTGGTGTACCTGCAACAAGGCTGGTCCAAGTTAAGGTAGATTTTCGACAGGATCAACCACACAGCTTGGAGCATATTTATAACAGCAACTCCATCATCTGAACACCGAAGGAGCAAGGCCCTGCCGAGTGAAACTGGCACGGGTACGTCTGTATATTCGGCCATTACCATTTGTGACCGAGCTTGGTTGGTTTCACTGTGACCAAAGATCGTAGGTTCCGCATTTCTGATTCTTTCTAACATATAAAGCGGCAGGCCTTCTCTGTCTTGAGAGACGAGCATAGCGTCAGAGTGTGGTGACGGAGAGGTCAATAACCGATAGGCCAGTGATAGATCCGCCTGTATTCCGACTAGACAGCTACCGTCAATAGCAATCTGGCTGTAACAAAGTCTGAGTAATGGACAGGAGTTGCTGTCGTTTGTATAAATATGGATCATGTGCATCGGCACCTCAGGGGTGAAATTGGGCAGTGGTTCTTGCTCAACCTTCGCCTTCAAGTCATCCGTCTGTCTGAAATGCACATGAGTGAATGCAGCAACATGGTTTTTAATAACCACTTGGAGTACGTCCTTGGTCCTTGGTTCCAAGGCGAATATAGTCCTTAACATTGAACGTCGATGAATAACTTTTTGCCATGCCTCCTTGAGTGTGTCGATAGCAATAGCTTTCCCGTCATGGAGATGGACTTCAAAGAGCATAATTTGGCAATTTAAACCTTCCCCTTTCGCCAACGCACGATGTTGGTCTTTCGAGCATTGAGAGACGGATTCGATCTCTCGGTTGTTGACAATGGTGCGTAATAGCGGTATGTTGAGTTGTCGCATGGTTGGTGTAATACGGAGTATCCCGAAAGGCTTCCCGTGATTGAACTGAGCGGCAGCTTGCTTAAGAATACCGATGATCTATATTTTACTAAAATGACCTACTGTTTAGGCACCTGATGTCAACGAACCTTGAGCATATGCTTTGCAGCGTACAACAGAAAAATCAGGATTCCGAGATGCATCGGTATTCGGTAAATAGTGTCATCGTCACGGATTGTTCGGCTATCCGAGTTTCGTCATCCGAAATTAGGAGGAAAAGGGGAATAAGTAAGGACACTGAATTGATCAAAACGGTATTTATCTAAATCTACCTAATAGCGACTTCACGAGGATCTACGAGGCACCATATAACCGCCTGTATAAGGTAGCCCTACTACCGAAAGCAATTATCACAATCTATCATCTCAGATTATCAAGGAAGATGCTGGGTGTTATCCCTGCGCTCATACAAGACGACCCAGAGTTTTCGGAGTCGCCATCACTTGTGCTCATTCATGACGGAGGGGGAACCACCATCAATTACTACTTCTTAGGCGACCTTGACCGGCATGTGTGGGGTATTAGTAACGAGAGGCTCGTTGAGGATAATGCTTGGCCTGGTGGCATCACCCAGATGGCTCGGGTATACGCAGACCTTATTCAAGTCGAATTACCTCGAGGGCCTTTGATATTAGGAGGTTGGTCTGTCGGCGGTCTCATCGCATTAGAGATGGCGAAGGTCCTCGCTGAAAATATCGAATTCCATGTTCTTGGTGTCGTTATGATTGACACATTTCATCCATTAGCGAGAGATGTCGGAATCAGTCAAGACATTACAGCAATAGAATGGGGCGAAGCGACAACGGAAGAGTCTAAGCATATAACCCTGAAGAGCATAAGAAACTGCTCTAAGTTCGCTCAGCAGTGGGGTCGAGATTCCTTAAAAGGATCCGATATGCCAACAAAGCTACCCCCGGTTATCCTTCTCCATGCGAGCGAGGGCTATGAAATCTCCGCCTCAGAAGATAAACTGGGTTGGGAGAATTACCAGCATAATTTCTTCTCCCACGTCATAAACGTGCCGGGAAACCATCACAGCTTGTTCGCCGATGAAAATGTGGATGGATTAACTGAACAGTTATCTAAAGCGTGTCAAATATTGGAAGGGGATCGTTGAATTGATTTGTACATACCCACATAGTTTTATGGATGGCTAGGGACACGTCACAGTAATGTATCTATGTAGGTAGCTATTGCTGAAGGTTCTTTTTATATCTGAACGTGTCGTAGCGGCTTTTAGATTCATTACGAAGATTCCAGAGATTGCTTCGAGGATCATAAACCATATTGCATACCTACTTACGTAGATAGGTACCTCCCTAGACAACTGTGACTGATGTGTCTTAGGTTAGGTAGGTATATCTGGGATGTCCCAGTAAAAGATTGATCTGAAATGCTGGAGATCATTGAACTTTCCGTTGACTTACTTACCTACTATATAGGACGTCTCGTTCTGAAAATATCCATATGTGGGACGGTCATTGAGTAGAAGGCGCTCATGCCCGGCTCGACAGCCTTAGACATCATGGTAGACTTAGGGGAATCTTGTGCCCTTGGCAAATATTGCCGTAGCTAGTAAGGGATAAACTCCACACTTTTACATCATTCCTCATCTGTTTCAAGTTTAATCTCATGCCCGTCACCTTCGTACACATAATAACTCAAAATACACGCAAAAAGAGTCACGCCGCTCATTATCCACCAAGGAAGACCAGTAACGCCGTGTGATGATCCATACGAGTAGAATAGGCCTGCTGCGATGGGGCTGACAGTACGGGTAAAACTGCATATCATTTCAGCAATGCTGTGAGTCCTTCCGAGGGCCGAGGGGTGCGGCGATGAGCTGTTGTATAGTTCTTAGCACCAGTACAAGCAAGCGAAAGATGCGGGACACCGTTTACTTACTTGTTAGTTAGAACGATCTGCGAGGGTATGACAAATGATGCGCTACACATCATTAATGTTTGTGCAACAAAGATTGCTATCCAAACGAGGGGTCCATCCCGAGGAGCAGGTCTAGATGAGCTTGATGGTATGATAGAAAGGTAAGGGATGAATAGATAAACCAGTGGAAATCCTCTCAGGAATATGCGCCACGTCCTCATCATTCCTAGTCGCTTAACAACTCGGGAGTAGCCGAAGATCTGTAGTGGGATTCCAAGTACTCCAGCATAGGCCAGTGAAATGGCAATCTTCTTTGCCGGTAGGCCAAGGCCACCGATGAAGCGGAATGGGAGTTGGATATGGTCTTTTCCTGGGTCTGCTACCGGATCGCTGAGAAAGCTGGGCCAGAGTGTGTTGTAGACTGCAACATGACCTTCCATGATTCCATGAGCTATCAGAGTAAGACAGAGATTGCGAGTAAAGATCTGACGCAGAGGAAGTTTCTGCTTTTCTACTTCGTGGTTATGTGAAGGAGAGCTCATTTCGATCTCTTCTTCTTGACTCAAAAACTGGTCTCCTTCATTCGCTTCTTCTTGCGCAACTACAGAATACGGTTGATGGTGCGAATCCTTTCTCCATCTCGTGAATAATGATGTGATTCTAGCTGTGATGTCAAGGCCTAAGTCATATTTATGACGCGCTACTACATGCGTCTGAAGATAAACAATTGTCAATAAGAGTCTAAGAAAACAAAAGGAATGCAATGAATAGGACACACAAACCTCCTTTAACCTGAAGAAAACCAGTAGAAATGCGGTCAATGTGACCAAGGCACTGGCAATAGCGGGTGGCGCATAAGGGAATTGGCGAAAGAAAGCTATCTGACCAAAAGATTGAGGGTACTGGCTTGCGAGGTCAGCCAGTAGTCCGGCGACCATAGGACTTACGATGGCAGCAATGTTATAAGCCAAGGGCATGAGAACGAATGCTTTGGCTTGGTAACTGGGGATAGAAGCTGCTTAGTAAAATTCTGCGAGTATCTGCGACAGCAAGGTTTGGAAGCGTATGCTCACGTACCGACGTTCCTTGACAATCTCAGATACCATAGTCCTAATCATGGCAGTATTACCATTAACCGCGCCTTCTAACAGCCGGAGGATCACGGCCTGGCGGAAATCGCGAACGAAACCGAAAGCTGTCGTGCCCAAAACTTGATGTCGGATCGTTGTAAGTTGCGGTCCCTACTGAGCTGTCTCATGGACGTGGAACAGCCTTATACTCACATGACCCTCCCAAGCTGATTAGCAACACCATTTTCCTACCTCCTCTAGAAGAGTCGGCTAAGTGACCCCATAAGACTGCCGTACATCCTTGAGCGAGGGTGAATACTGTTTGAAGCATAGCGGCATCGCGGACGATCGCGTCGGTTGGTCTCGATGGGTCAAGGGATTGTAACTGATAGAACACGTATGTCTACGGGAGCATGAGATTCCTGGAGTCGACAAGCTAAGAGCATTATGCACCTACCGAGATGGACGTTCGTACGACAGGCTCAGAAAAACGAGCAAGGACAATAATGAATAGCTGGCCTTTGTTTGGCAGAGAAGACCAGCTCACATCCCCTGAACTTTCTGACATCTTGCACTTTCGCTTGCTCGAGGTGGAGCAAATCAAAAGATACTAGCTAGAAGTCTAACTAGACTAGTGCAACAGGAACGGGATGGCCTATGTAGATTGAAGGCATACATCTTCGGAACTCGTTCTTCTTTCCCCTCTGAGATCACGTGCTAGCAAGCCTCGCTGTTTTCCGTTTCCGGGAGGTGGGTCGGCTCTTGTCGGCTAGGCACGGGCTCGGACTCGGAAATCGGAAATGCGGAACCGGTAATCAGGTCCGCATTTCCAGCTTCCGGTAAAGAAACATTCGGCTAAGCTACATTACTGTTTATAATAATTGTGGTGTAAGTTTTGCAATTGATAGGAAATAGTGACGACTGTTACTAAGGTAATGAGATCTTGTGTTGGTGTGGCATTAGAAGTTAACGTGGTCTGCATGGAATGGGAAGTAATAGGTATTAAGGAGCGCCTGATTACATAAGCATACGAGTCTGGGACATCCCTGCAGCTGTTCACAAATTAAACCCGTAAAAATTGAAGCGTTGTGGCACTGTGAGGAGCTTTTCACTGGTGACCAAGTTTCAAGTTTTCGGAGAAGATCCCTAAAAATATAGTGATTATCCACTAAACTCTAGCGGAACGAGCACTATCAGGGTTGAGGCTTAGCTTGAGGCTGACACAGTAACAACAACAACTACACTAAGCACGGGTTAGAGTCGCGAAAGGTGCGCGAAACTTTTAGCCAAGACACTTCGTAATTTCTTCATAACCAAAAAAAAATGAACAGCACCCGCCATCCATCCTCCTCAACCATCCGAACTCATTCATATGCCATGGAGCTTCATTACTAATCGACAATCCACTCCATACTCACGCAGCTAGTCGTAAGCCTTCATGCGACATTTTGCGTTTTGCAATTAACCAACTAAACAATCGACGAGGTAATCCTCGTTAAAGATCCTCGTGGTGTTGAGTGCCTTGACGTCCTCCCATTCTGGATTTCCGTTAAACCACAGACAATGCTGAATGTGGTCCTCGCTCCTACAGAGCGTGTCCAAGACCCTCGTGTCCTCCTTCGACATCTCGTGAATTCGATGCATGACGTATGCGCAGTGCAGATGATGGAAACGTCCGTCGGTCCAAACCCATCCATGCTCGCCTGACTCTACAGCTTCGAGAGAGATTTCGTTTGTCATCTCCGGCTCCAACCAATATGTGAAGTCCAAATCTCGCAATATGCCTTTGTATTTCTCGTGCAATCCCACATTGAAACAACGGGGATGCATCCAGGTTGACAACACTAGGTCGTATACACAGCCAGCTTCTTTAGCCTCTTTCCAGTCTGGAGGACATGTCCCGAGCGATTCGGGCTCCGTTACTTTTGCCTTAGTAGAAATATACTCGGGGCTAGCTGTCTTTTGGCCAAAGGCGAAGGATCCTATTACGAGTAGAGCGATTGCGGCACACTTGATGACGGTTGTCAGGCGCGAGCTCCGTGAACTCTCTGAGATCTTAGATCGATTGGACCATTCCCCTCTATTCAACTCGGCTGTCCCTCTCACGTCTTCCTCGCCGTCGGCGGGGGTATTCAGTGGCATATACGACATTCTCAAACACGATTATAGATTTAAAGAGATTCACCGATGACTTAATTATTTTGTCGATATAGACGGCGGAAAAGAAGATGGAGGAGGAGAGGCAGGAAAAAGCACAGTCCTACGTATGAGACTTGAAGATACAAAGCGGAGCAGTTCCGGCGGTTTCCGAGATAAACTTCGGAAATCACTCAGCATGCTAATAGGCTAGGATCACTCATCAGGAAATCCGAATCTTTGAAACTACGTTTTGCTCGGTAATGCCCTTGCAGGGGGGCTTTCCGGCGCAGCCAGCTCATTTGCTCAGAGATTCCTCCCTATTCGAGCGACGAGGACCTGCTATCATGACTTGACCCCACGGGCTACCAATGAAATCCTTGGAGTGTTCATATACGTCACGCCACGTTACGCCATAGGTTCTCTTGTCTTACCGGGCTATGAGCCTAGATATCGAAAGTGGCTTCATTTCAGCTTGAAGGGGAGCCTACTTAGGTTGCAGAAAAGGAGAGTTCCGTGCTTCATGACGAAGTGGAAGTTCGAACCTATTAGGTAAGCAGGTGTTCGAACTTGGGGGTGAGAATGAGTTGATTTGTATAAGCATCGGGGTATCGTCCGTATAGCTAGAGCTGGGGTACTAGGATATCGGATTATCTGGATCCTTATCCGCGCAGCAGCGGTCCCAGTAAGAAATGCTTTCCGGCGGTATGCCGCCGGAAAGATACGACATCTATAGAATGGTTGTTGCTCTAAGCTCCTATGTCCTTTTGATATTCATGCCAGCAAGGACACCTTCCTTTCTTGTCCCCCCAAAGAAGATAACAGTCGGAACCATGAATAATCCCGTGGAACAGTTGTTGCTTCAGTTATATGCGGAAGTGTTATCAATCCCCGAAGACCAAATCAGCCTTGAAGAATCATTCATAGCATTAGGAGGTGAGCAGTTCCCCGGACCGAAACCTAGGTAGTTTATATTGAGATACGTATCTAAGCAGCGGACCCCACGTGCTAACAGCTACCGTTGCTAGGCGATTCTTTTAAAGCAATTAAGCTCAAACGAAAATGTGATCGATTGGGTATTCGACTGGCGCTTCGAGATATATTTGCTCGAAAGACTATCACTAGTATAGCTGCGGGACAACGCCTTCTGAATGATCGCCCGAAGCGGTCTCAGAAGAAGGAGAAGAGACGCATAGCTACGGACGTACATGGACGTTTCCCTCTTATTCCTTTGGATTATTCCTGGGATGTAATTCTCGAAGAACTCGGTCTTCAAGGTTGCGGCCCTGAAGCATTGGATGAGCTTGTCGAAAACGTGTATCCTTGCAGTCCTATGCAAGAGAGTATATACGTGGCTAGAGAAACTAGGGGGAAGCATCTCTATCGAATCCACGCGCTATTCGAAATAGGGTCTACTATCACGAATGATGTATTGGAATCATCTTGGCAGTCCGTTGTAGATCGCCATGAGACCCTACGTGCTGTTTTTGTCCCATCTACGGACAACAGCTCTTCAAGAATACTCGATGCTGTCGTTCTTAAGAAGGCACACTGCAACCTCGAACATACCGAGTGCAAGGACTATGCGGCTGTATTGGCCCTCTATCAAGAGAGTTGCATGAATCCCCAAGATTTTCCAAAGGGACCACCTCATCGACTTACAGTTTACCGCACCGAACATGGCCAGCATTTTTGCGTATTCGATCAGAGCCACATGATAAGCGATGGAACTTCACTTGTCAATACGGTTACCGAGCTTTGCGCTCTAGCAGGCGGTTCGATCCTTGATGCTGCGCCAGGATACAGCGGATTTATTAATCATAGACGAGCAGAACAGCACTTAGATGAAGGCCTTAGCTACTGGAAGTCATACCTAAGCGGTGCACAGTCTTGCAACTTTCCCTCACTCTGGACAGGCGGTCTGTTGGCGGAGCCAAGACTACAAGAACACTGCCAGGTTGTGGAATTTCCCTTTGTGCGGCATAAGGAGCTCAGCGAGTTTTGTGCCAGACTGGAGACTACGATCTCAACTGCTCTCCAAGCAGCATGGGCACTCCTTCTACGGGCTTACACGGGGAGTGATGAAGTTTGCTTCGGCTATACCTGCTCGGGACGTGATATATCAATAGATGGAGTCGAGTTGATGTGTGGGCCACTAGTAAACCTAGTCGTTCGCCGAGTAAGTTTGACGAACCAGACTCTCAGGAGCATGATTGAAACCATTCAGGGGGACTTCGCCAACTCGCTACCATTTCAGGAGGTGCCATTCATGCGTGTCCAACAACTTCTCGGCGCCTCAGAAAGTAAATTGTTCAACACGATTATGACTATACAATATGCGCCTTTGCTCGTCGATGAGAATGATGAACTTCCCTTGAAGTTGAGGAGTAATTTCAATGCCTCCGACTTTGGCCTATCTGTGCAGGCCATGTATTCAGACGTTGCCACGAAGATGCAACTAACATACTCTACGAGCCTACTCTCTACGAAAATGGCAGAATGTGTGACTACAACTTTTGTTTCCATGATCGAGAGTCTCATAGATGCGGCGAACACCGACGACCCTGTTGGGCAGCTTCAAGAGATTAGTCCTTCAGACAGGCAGCAGGTCATTGAATGGAACCGAGAAACACTGAATGGGATATCGCTTCCGAACGCCACAGTACATGGACTTATTGAAGAAACCGCATTTCGCACGCCCAGGGCACCTGCGATATACTTTTCTGGAGAGACGCTCAGTTACGAATATCTGAACTACATGTCGACTCGTCTAGCAATCCAGCTGGTTGATTCTCTGAGTCATGAACAACGCTTCGTTCCATTATTCTTTGAAAAGTCTGCCTTGTACTCAGTTTCATTACTGGCAGTCCTGAAGTGTGGCAGGGCATTTGTGCCTATAGATATCTCCAACCCGCTACCTCGAATACAACGGCTTCTCGAGCAGCTGGGTATCACTGAATCTTTCGGTCTCGTCCTCACTTCTGCGAGTTATTCAGAAAAACTGCGTTCAGCTTACCGGCATATCCTAGTGCCTAGTATTGAAGGCTTCCGGGATGAAAACACTAAAACAGCGGTCGACAATGTATCTACGCTTTTGCCAGTGGTACAGCCGAGCGATCCAGCATATATCATCTTCACTTCCGGATCTACTGGCAATCCGAAAGGGGTTGTGGTCAGTCATAGAGCTTACGCGCATGCAGCTCGTACTCATGCCGATGGAATAAGCATCGGACCAGGATCTTTAGTGTTGCAGTTCGCGTCATACGCATTCGATACAAGTATGGAGGACCATTTGACAAGTTTTATTACGGGGGCTTGTCTCTGTGTTCCCACCGAAACGGAACGCGAGACGGGCTTAGTCGAGTTTATCAATCGATCAGGGGCAAATTGGCTTCATATCACACCTTCTATGATCGATATGATCCCTCCAAATTCGGCCCCATCATTGACGACGGTGGTTCTTGGAGGTGAGCCTATGACTGACCGTAATGTACGCGAGTGGGCAATCTCAGGGAGGCATTTGATACAGGTCTATGGACCTTCAGAGTGTTCTGTTACGAGTACAATCAATACCGACGTCTCTATACATCGCGATGCCACCAATATAGGGAAGACCTTTAGCGGCTGCGCGACTTGGATAACTGCCCCGAATAACCCTAACACTCTCTACCCCATCGGAGCCGTTGGGGAGCTGCTGATGGAAGGCCCTATCCTGGCTCAGGGTTATTTGGGACAAACCTCTGGAACGGAGTCTGCTTTTATTACCCGTGTTTCCTGGGCGCCAGAGAAGAGGCTTTATCGTACTGGAGACATGGTCCGATACGATGAGCAGGGCAGCCTCCACTTCGTTGGAAGGGCCGATAGCAGAGTCAAGATTCGTGGACAGAGGATAGAGTGCGGTGAAATTGAAAGCCAGCTGTTAATGCAGAGTTCAGTATTACACGCGGTCGTCGTCGTCCCCAAATTAGGACCTGGAGCAGAGCATTTGATAGCTACCGTCTCATTGAAACCGAGCTCGAAGTCACCTCTTGATCATACAAGCGACGATATACAACTAGCGAACTTGGAGCCTAGCAAAGTGGCTGAGACTGCGAAGACTCTCCACGATTGGCTAGGGGATCGATTGCCAGCTTACATGTTACCAGATCTATTCGTCTTTGTCCGTCATATACCAATGAATTCATCTAGAAAATTAGACCGAAGACGTGTTAAATATTACATGGAACATATGAGCAAAGAGTTATATCGAAATCTCGTCACTCAGATTGATGGACCAAATCAAGACCGGCCGGGTACTGAAGTAGAATGTTCGCTTAAGAGGGTCTGGTGCCATGTGCTTAACGTGCCCGAAAGCTCCGTAAATTGGAATACTTCTTGGTTCTCTTCAGGTAAGTCTCTGAATGTCTCTTCACATCCCTCTGTCGGTTTCTCGGATCATTTGTACCAGAGCTAGGAAGCCCCTAACTTGTTGATTTAGGGGGCGACTCAATTTCGGCTATGATGCTGAGTAGCGAATTGAGAAAACAGTCCATCAGCATCGCCGCAGCCGATATTCTTCGACTACGTACCATTGAACGAATAGCAGCTCGTATTCAAGATACAGCGTCCAATGATCTAGACGCGAAATTCCGGGACATTAAACTCACAAGCACCGTTATTGGCGTGCCATGGGAACTTTCGCCGATTCAGCAGTTAAGTTTGCAATTTGCACCGGACGCCGATTGTTTGGACCAACAGACAATGGTTGTGGATACAATGTTGGACCTTCCCGACAATGCGATCATTGCGGCTTTGAATGCCCTTGTGACAGCTCATCCGATGTTGTTGGCCAGGTTCACACGGGAGATAACTGCCGGAGAACCCGTCTGGACACAACATGTGGTGCCTCTTCCGTCCACCGAGTCGGCCTTTACCATTCGGTTTCATCAAGATGGGACTACTGCGTTCAAAATCGGCCGTATTTCTGAGACTAAATTTACCGTGGACGTTTTTAGGGGGCCAGTCATGGGAGTAGATGTCTTCCGATCAACTTCATCGACTACAATTTCAATCACCATACACCATCTAGTCGTAGATATGGTCTCATGGAGGGCAATTTTCCAAGATCTCGAAGACTTCATTGAAAATGGAAACTCCATCCAACCGGAGCCAATCTCTTTTCAATCATGGTGTCAAGTACAACGTATCTACTCACAAGGCATTCGGAAATCATGCGTTCTCCCCGAAGACAAATTCGAAATAGATCTAGGATACTGGGCTATGGAGAAGACCCCAAATTTATTCGGAGATGCCACCGTAGCAAGTTTCAAGATTGAACGACCAGATATGGCAAATCTGTTAGACGCCTGCGACAAGTTGGAATACGATCAAGTGGACGTCGTGTGCGCAGCAATCATAACGTCCTTCTCCGAATTGTTTCCAGGACGCACATCGCCAGCTATCTTCGTTGAAGGTCATGGAAGGGAATCTCCCAGTAACGCCATTGACCTTTCCCGCACTGTAGGATGGTTCACGACACTGACCCCCGTGGCAATACGAGCCCTAGACGGTAGAGAGCCAAACGCCAGGGTGACAGCCCTGGAACGTATCAAAAGGTTCAGAGAAAATATACCATCGAAGGGCCTCGATTATTTTACGTCGCGTTTTTTCCAACCGGAAGGAGTCGACGCATATCGTGAATATCACGCGTCTGCTGAGATTGTCCTGAATTTTCTAGGCGCTTACCAGCAATTCGAGCGCCACAATTCTGTCTTTAGACGCTGTAATGATATAGAACTTCTCTCAGGTCTTTCGGAAATGCGCCGAGAACAGCGAAAGAAATCAGAGAGGTATGCTTTGATTACAATTGTTGCCGCTGTTGAAGATGGCGCGCTGTCCATTGAGGTCGAATGGAACCGGAAGATGGACTACCAGCATGAGCTCGCCTTATGGCCGTTTAAAATCAAGGAAAACCTATTACTATTGATCAAAGACTTAACGAATCTGCCCACTTTGACCCGCGAGGGAATTCCCGTAGCTCAACCTGAGCTCACATGCTTCGGCGTTGACAAACAGAAAGCGCTCGCAAAGGTCACGAGCTTGGGTCTGCCTCTCGACGAAATTGAAAGCATGTACCCATGTTCGCCTATGCAGGAAGGTCTTATCGCGAGTCTATTAAGGGATTCGGACACGTCTTCGGCATATAATCAAACGTTTCTTCTAAAATTCACCCCTGCCGAGGGGAGAACGGTGGAAAGTGCGCAACTTGCAGAGATCTGGCTCCGAATGGTCCGAAAACATGCTATTCTACGAACTATTTTTGTCGAAAGTGACGCAGGAGACTACGTTCAGGTCGTTTTACGTCATACTGATCCGGTAGTGCTAGTCAAGGGGGATGTTAATATGGACGAGCTCAGGGGTAGTCTGTTCGAGTCAGAGAATCAATCATTGAAATCGCCCCTTGACGGTGTTCCTTTACATCGCCTCATGGTTTGCGAAACTCACGATAAGACGATGTACATTATCCTTACGAAGAGTCATCTTCTCACAGATGGTACGAGTACGCAGATTCTGATGCGGGATATTGTGAATGGGTTTGATGGGATTGTTGACACGTACTGGAACCCGCAGCATTACTACCGTGACTACATTCGATACGTGAGCAGCCAAGACACCGATCAAGCAAGAAGCTACTGGGCTGCTTATCTCGAGGGGGCTGCGACTTGTAACTTCCCAAAGCTCTGCTACACAAATGATTCCCAGGCAACGGTCACATCGCCACGTTCGAGTGTGTCACTGCAGATGCATGGTCTGGAAGCCGATATACGACAACTATGTCGTTCCCACGATCTTACAGTGTCGAATATATTTCAACTAGCCTGGGTTTTGATCCTAAGGGTCTATATAAATTCAGAGAGTATCCTCTTCGGATGCCTGTCATCAGGAAGAGATCTCCCAATATCCGGCATACAAGACGCTGTTGGGCCTGTTGCCAATATGCTTCCGATTAGAAGCGAGATAAGCCGAAATATGAAAGTCATCGAAGTGGCCAAGTCATTACAAGCCGACTATATTGAACACCTCTCCCGGCAGACACTCTCTCTTGCACAGATACGACACGCGGCCCGATACAAGAACCAGAGCCCCAATTTCAATACGATCCTCAATATTCAGAAGCTAGAGACATATGCGCTTGGGTCGAAAAGTGGAATGTCCAAAGTGGAGCTTGTGAAAGGGTTAGATACCACTGAGGTATGTGTTTTTAAGTACATGGATATCGTTGTCACGCTGCGGACATTGTAACAGACGCTAACATTTCAACCTCCAAGTACGGGCTTGCTTTGACGGTCACCGATAATGAGGGCGAGTATGGACTATCTCTAGAGTACGACACAAGCCTAGTCTCCTCCCAACAAGCCGAAGGGGTCGTTTCAGCATATGCGAATGTCCTGAAGAACGTCATAGCCAACCCAGACCTTCTTGTTTCGGACGTTGATCTAGTTGGCGATCAAGACCGGAAACAAATCCAGCGCTGGGATAAGCTCGAGCTTCAGACCAGAGAAGAATGCGTCCATGACCTCTTCCGGGCAACAGCTCTCAGCATTCCGGAGAGACAGGCCATCCACGCATGGGATGGGCGCTTAACGTATGGAGAATTGGAGGGGTTGACCAACAAAATAGCACGAAGGTTAATTGACCTTTCTGTCCAACCTGAAGAGATTGTCCCTCTGTGTTTTGAGAAATCTATATGGGGCATTGTCGCAATGCTTAGCGTAACAAAAGCAGGAGGTGCGTAATGTGCATCAGACTAACAAAATATACATTCGCGTACCAATCTAGGCTAACCGGTGCAATATAGCTACATTCGTCCACCTTGATCCCTCAAGCCCTGCTTCTCGAAAGCAGAAAATCATCGGACTTACCGCCCCGCGAGTGGCAATCGCCTCTATCCGCAATCAGGGGGTGATGAAATTATTGGTACCAACAACACTTACTATTGGTAACGAATCGTTCCCATCCTATGATGATAAGATGGACGAAGTTGAATATAAAGTCCGAGATCAACATACAAAGCCTTCCAATGCGCTCTACGTGATATTCACCTCCGGGAGCACAGGCGAACCGAAAGGCGTCGTTGTCGAACATCGGAATTATTGCTCGGCCATGGCAGCAAATACAACCTGGTTGCAGATCCTTCCATCGTCTCGCATCCTACAATTTAGCAGTTTCGTCTTTGATGCATCTATGGAGGAGATATTCACCGCTCTGGTCGCCGGTGCCTGCGTTTGTGTGCCATCGGATGACCATCGGCTGAGCCCAGAAGAACTGTCTTCCTTCATGCAAAGCGCTCGTGTCAATTGGGCTGCCTTGACACCATCACTCTTGCAAACTCTCAACCCGGACACATTGATTCCTCCTTTAAAGTTTATCACGGTTCATGCCGAGCCGATGAATGCATCGCTAATCAAGCTTTGGAGTCCAAAGGTGCACATGCGTCCCAGCTATGGGCCAACCGAATGTACTGTAACGAGCACTGTCGGATCGGCCTTTGATGAATTTTCTGACTCGTCAAATATTGGTTGGCCTGTCGGTTGTCATGGACGAGTAACCGATCCGCATGATCCTCAGCGACTAGTACCTATAGGCGCGGTTGGCGAGCTGGTACTCGAAGGGCCCATTCTCTGTCGTGGTTACTTGAATAGACCGGCCGAGACGGAAAAGGCTTTCCCACACATTCAGGATTGGTTCGATGGGAAACCAAAAAGAGTCTACCGCACCGGGGATCTAGTGCGTTACGCTGAGGATGGGTCCTTACGAATTCTCGGGCGGCGAGACACGCAGATCAAAGTTCGCGGACAACGAGTCGAACTCAGGGAAGTAGAAAGCCAGCTCGAGTTGTCTCCAAATGTCCGCCATGGCTTGGTTTTGCAACCCAAGTCTGGACTGCTACAAGATCGCCTAGTTACCGTGCTAAGTCTCACACGATCATTCCAAATAGCTCAGTCAACCGTCTCCCGTGATGACACAATCCAACTCGTAAACCATCACCGGAATTTGAGTGAAACTGATCAATCGACTCTATCGGAACTGTTAAGCCAAACACTGTCCTTTGTTTCAACCAGGCTTCCATCATACATGGTCCCTCATACTTGGTGTGTGGTAAAAACCATGCCAATTTTGCCCTCGTGCAAGCTAGATAGGAAACAGGTGAATAGTTGGTTAGAAGCAATCGACGAACCAACGCTACTTCTTGCTCGTCAACTTATGAGAAGCTCGAGAAGCTCAGGTTCCGGGGTCAAATCTGATGCCGAAAAGTTGGTGAGAGATGCTTGGTCTCAAGTCTTAGCAATTCCCGCAGGTATGTACATTTGAGCTTGGGAGCCTGCTACTATGGTATTTCATAAAGGCTGACGCATACTACCTAGACCTCATTGATGTAGATGATCATTTCATTGCTCTTGGCGGAGACTCAATATCAGGTACGTCACCTACATTCGATACCGTCTTGAGACTTTAGAACCCCATCCTAACTTGTTTTCAACTCAGCCATGAACGTCTCGCGCTTCTTGAATCAAGCCGGGATACCCGTCAAGACGCAGGATGTATTGAGAAGCAATAGCATTCGAGAACTGGCATTAGTGCTTACATCTCGCGAGCTACCAGACTCTGTTTCTACCAAGGCACAGTCGAAGGTCCTAGGTAGAGGCATCACAACGCTTCCATCCGTCGAATATATAGTGTCCAAGTACGGGACCAACTTCAGTAATCGCTCCAAGATCTTATCTGTTCTTCCTGGTACCCCTTTTCAGTTCAGAACGACTTCAGCTCTCTACAAGTCTTCCCAGAGGCCTTATCTCTACAACTTATTCGCGGAAATCGGAGGTTACCAGTCATTTGGGGAGAACCTTGCCGCTCCTACTCGTCGGCTTCTAGAAGCCTGGCGCGCAACAGTGGCACGACATGACATCCTCCGTACGGCAATACATCTTGAGAAAGGGGGTAACAATGCATATCAAGTCGTCCTAGATGAATCAGCCGCAGCATGTGAACTATTTGAGGTCGCTACGGAGCAAGACGCTTTGAATGCGAGTATCGAGAAGACCAAACAGGTGAAAACGAGTCTTTCTGAGGTATCTTTAACACCGCTACTATGGCTCACTCTCTTCACCACCCAAAAAGGGCGAGTATATATGCACTTGCTGATGGGTCATATGCTGATTGACCATGTCTCACTCTCGCACGTGCTTTACGACTGGGATATGTCTTATCGAGGTCACTCCTTGCCTGAGAACCTTCCCCAGTTTGCGACTTATGTTCATGACATAGAATCGCGCGATTCCCGCGCTAGTACCGACTTCTGGATACAAAAGCTACATGGAGTAGAACCGACAATTCTACCCTCTACATGTGCGTTACTTCACGATACCTCAATCTCTGTTGAGGGTCCGTCTACGATTAACTTCAAAATCGACATCGATGGAAACATGCATCAATATTGCCGGGCGACGCGAGTAACGGTCTCTACATTACTTCAATTCGCTTGGGCAGTATTGCTTGGTGTTTATACAGGCCAAGAGTCTGTGTGCTTTGGGCATCTTACTTCTGACCGAGACATTGATATTAACGACGTTGACGAGATAGTGGGCCCGATGCTATCCATTTTAGTTACATACGTGGTCCTAGGAAATAGGGGTACCCCAGCATCACCTCTCACTGAAACGATTCAGAAATTACAACACGAAAATACCGTCGACATGGCTCATAAAGTCTTTGACCTCACAACTGTTGAGCACCAACTTGGTTTCCGACCGTCCACCTGCATGCTCTTCAACACCCTTTTCAACTATCGGAAAGTGAAACACTCAGGGCCAAAACCAGTCATGAATATCCGACCGATTCTCAAGCAAGACCCCCATGAGGTGAGGAGACAAACCCATACATGCCACCAAGGAAAAAGATATGCTGACTCAGAAGTTATAGCAACAAATCATTATCAGCTTCAACGAAGTTGGGGACGCAGCCACTCTGGATGCGGCTCTGACTTATTACGAATGTATACACTCTACAGAAAGCGTTCAACAAATGGCAAATGTCTACACGAAAATCATCACGTGTTTGATCAGCAGAGAATATCAGACTGTGGACCGGCTCTTGGGTCATATGTCAAAGGAGAAAGCTGCTTCTATCGCCATATAATCCTGCAAATGGGTTGGCTCTTATTTTGATTCATCTTACTAATTTATTGCTTATCTAAGCAAAGTTCCTTCCGCACATTGTAAGAACTAACGGGTGACGACATGATTTATAACAAGTTACTCCGCGTTGAGCTGCAGCCGCCGCGTGCCCGGTTGGTTAAAGCTGGCTGGGGAAACGGGCAAGCTGCAAGATCACACCGGTGGCGCGATCAAAGCACGTCAAAATGTAAGCAAATTTAGAAATACTGGTATTATTTCCAAACTGTAATAGAAACCGTACGATAGGCGAATAATACCCCTTTTTTACCCCTCAGATCGAAGTGAGATTGAGGCGTAGACGCTTACCTTTACTGGGATACAATTAGCGACGCGAGGGGAGTTACGCATGTATTCACCTGCCAAGGCTTAGCCTGGGTATATTTCGTATAACTAACCAGTATGCAGCTGGCAAATACGCGTCATAGAAAAGACGGAAAAGTTCAAAACACGAATAAATAATAGGATGAAGGAAACCCCCGATATCTAATAAATGAGGTTTGGGGATTGCTTAGGTAGGTACTTATAGTAAGATCTACCTACCTACCTACCTATCAAGTTATTTCATACCTACCTCCTACCTTGGGTATGGAATAATAGGTGTACGTAGTCTAGTTTAGGTTCTCGGCGTTAAAGCTACTAATCGCCTATTTGTTCCCTATAGGCTACATGTATTCCCTGCTCTGGCGCTACGATGTGAGGGATCGAATTAGCTTCACCGCTAGCTTCCGTCAGTTCTTACTCGCTACTGACGATGCCTCCCGCAGGATCCTTCTCTAGTATAAACGGGCCTAGCGCGCAGCAGTAGCTCGAAATCTTGTCTTAACTAGTTTCTAAAGCTCATAAACCATGCCAAGCATCGCGGAATTAGACGATGCTCCCTTCGATCGCCGACCAGACGAACGCTACAGAAAAATCGCCGAGAACTATCACGAGGCGTCGTGGAGCTTGCAAAGGATGTAAGCTCAGGAAGATCCGCTGTAGGTATATCTAATTACCTAGTCGTGACTGTACCAGAATGACGCTGATTCGGGAATTGGGAAAAGGCAATGGAGGAACACCTTGCTCTGCATGTGATGTACGGACATCCATACCCATCACTACCGTAGCTCGTCGCTGATTTACATTCAAAGCGGAGCGGTTTCGTCTGTAATTATGAGCCCCGACAAAGGAAAGCCTCTTCCAGCCGGGAGTTTGATCTACACGCGTCAGACCCGCCCTACGCGTTGGACCGCTTGGACCAGGACAGAGATTCATCGCCAAGATCCGTAGGGAGCGAGAGCATAGGGATTACCACTGGGCCGCAGCCTTCTTTGCTGACAGATAACTCTTCCATGATGTTCTCTTTAGACGCTACGGATTTCGATTTTCTACTTTCTCCAGAGACTGGTTCAATCCCGAATACTTCGGAGAGTCAGCACATCGCTCATCCTTCTCTCCAATATGAACACGATGCCACGGAGGGAATTTCAAGTTCACGACACCCTGTATTTAATTCCACAGCATTCGCACCTCTACCGCTAGAGATAGGGAATTTCGGGGACGGCATAAACATCGACACTGCCCACGCTCCTTCATCGCCAATTTTTGAACGGAGGATCACTTCTATGGTTCCGCATGTATGTTATCGTCCATGAACAGTGTTGGAGCAGGAGACTAAGCGTTCTTGAAGGAGTTGTTAGAATATTGTCGAGAAGGTGCAGAAATCGACTTTCGTTCCTCTACGTCCTTCGGTTTAGCAAAGTTACCTCCTCCACGCAAAGACTCGAATAAGCATCGCGAAATATGTCGAATACTACACAACCTAACATCTAGCGGACATCCCCGGAAACCGTCGTCTTCTAGTCTTAGAGGCGGCATTAAGAATGTTCGTTCACTCTGGGTAGGAGAGAACGATGCGACTATTAGGAGATACGTTGAAGGTAAGTCTCATGGGATACGAAACTTGAAGCTTCAACTAAATGTTCACTCAGCTTGCTTCGAGAGTAACGCAGAGTAAGTGCGATCGCCCTATCCATACTGCCAGTACGGATTCATTAATAATATGTAACAGTGTTCGAATGTTTGTGCGAAAGGCAGATCTCGACAAGCGCTTGTCAGAGGCACGAGAAACATCCTCGGAAGCAGTCCTATCATCCCTCTTCAGCGATGCCATCATTACAATGGGACTTGAGTCGTTGCGAAACCAAGCTGCGGAAAGACGGGATTCTTCGCTGAGTGATACGGAACACCTTCAAGCAGCCTTGGATGGATGGCACAATCTGCATGAAGCGCGCAATAGCCTGCTAAAACTTCAAGTTGAGTCCCCCTCGCTTTAATTCTAAGAGGTTCGATTTTACACAAGGACCAGGACTAACGTATGGTGCATTTCTCCCCACTTCTGCAGACAGCTGTACTGCTTGTACGTATCTTTCTTGCTACCTGGTAGGCATAGGTAAATGTCATCACGCCCATGTCTAACTTCGACTAGAGCATCATTGCCTCGAATATAAACGATTCTAGGCTCCCCGAGATCCTGAGCTTGGGAGTTCGCTGCGTTCGAGATCTGCGATTTACTGATTCGAATGTAATCCGGAAAACGTTCAGACACGCAGACGATCAGAAGCTCGCAAAACGCACCGTCTGGGTTCTGTACTGTCTAGAGACCAATTCTTCTGTGCATTGTGGGATTCCTCCGGTACACAACACTTTCGACTGCGTTCCTCAGCATGTATAGTGTCATTATCCCTGATACTAACGTCTTCAAGTTACTCCATTCCGACTTCATAAATCATCTTCCTACGACGCCTGATCCGGAAAAACATGACTCATTAGCTCTTCAGGTAGCGGCAGCAGGGCTACTTGCCAGGGGTTTTAGTCATGTGCATGGCCAGCCAATGTCGGCAAAGACCACGATGGAATTGCAGGCTTGCGTATCGGCTTTGGGGCAATGGCGTCGGTGTTTGTCGGACCATGAAAAGCACCTCATCGTCGGCCAGCGATTTGAGAGCCTTCACGAAGAGGACGATGCCGCTGTGATGCTACGTTTATTCTGCTGTTACCACGAATGCGTTTACCTTTTATTCGCGCCCTGGCTCCCGCCTCTGCTGGACACCATGTCACAATCTCTTGGCCGGGATCCGGAGCCACTAGATTCGACAGCTGATCACAAGTTTTTGTTAGCCGACGCACTTGGCAGGTGTTTGGAGTCAGCCTACACGATCATCTCTCACGCTAACGAAATTGTAACCGTAGACAAAACATTAGCAAGGTATATTATATCCCTTCATCTATTCACGATGTCATTGCAGTTTACTAACGACGTATCTGATAAGGCGTTTGCGTGGTTTAATGATAATCTCTGTATGTGTGATCACTTACGGTGTCCAGTACGGAGATCTGGAGATGAGAAAAAGGTCCCTAGCTTACCTAGGACTTTGCTGCGGAACATTCAGTGGCATGTATCTAGCCGACAGTTCGTTTCCGTTTGAGGAGATATTAGATTTAGTCAGAGTTGTACGATCGGATAACTAATCACTAGGTGGAAGTATACAATTACGGATAGGGGTAATTCGAAATCAGGCGCATAGGGGGCTGGTTGACTGGACAATTGGAAAATTCATCACTGAGAAATTGCATAAAAACCATACTTTATATATTGAATTCATAAATGGGTACTTGGATACGTTCCTTTCGCAAATCCGATCTTGGAATGATTTGGTGTTTTGTGATAAGTTCTTCCGCGAGTTCTTCCGCAACTAAGTGTAGGTACTTATTTGTTTGCATGATTCTAATGCTACAAATGTTCACGGAAAAACTCTAAGGCAAGTTTATAGCCTCTTTCATACTCGGATTTCGCATTTTCCTCTCCCAGATTAGCGCGAGCGCTCATAAAACCGTGCAGTTGATCCCCAAATATTTCCATATGCCCTGGGCCCTTCAAGGCCTCTTCGTACTTCTTCACATCTTCGGCAGACTCCTCCTCGGATGCAAGTATCATCATTGGGATTTTGACATTTGCAGCATCTACTGGATCGATCATGGCTGGTGACGTCTGAACAGCAGCTTTGAAAAGGGGCTCCTCGTCACCAGCAAGTATGCTCGCCATCTTACCACCCCAGCAGTAGCCGATGATGCCCCAAGAGCTAATATTAGGATTGTGTTTCTTAGCAGCCTCGAGGATGCCTGGAACCTTAGGAAGATGCTTTGGCCACTGGGGAATCCAGAGTCAGTAGCTGCGTTGCCGTGTAATAGAATGAGATCTTTTTTTTCCCCTCATGCATGTTAAAGATTTACCCCTAAGAAATATGAGATGAACATACCACAGCACCTTCGAACCATTTACCTAACTTGGCTTTCTTTTCGTCGTCTGTTGGTGGATACCACTCTATCTTGGCCGGGTTGCCCTCGAAGAAATCGGGCATGTACACTTGATACTTCTTCTCCACATCACCATCTGCCAAAATGTCTGCCCCCTGAATAGTCTGCGGGAAAAAACCGAAGATGTCATAGACTGACAGGAGTGCTTTATCCGAGTTCTCAGGCCCAGTTACATCTAAGTGCAATTTCCGCATTAGGACTCTTACCATTATTCCCAGCATATCATCTATGAACAACTTACATGTCTTAATGCCATTAAGTTCGACATACGTGCCTTTCGGCTCATAGCCCTCGACAATGACTGGGGGAATTCTGCCGATTTGATACCTAGTATTAGTTATCGTATTCAATTATTGAACGGTCGAAAAAGTGTGAGGCCCGCACCTGCAGCAAGCATCGCTATGTTTCGACATGCTGTCTTATATTCCAAGTGTCAAAAATAGGTAAGTCTTAGATGTGAGTGTTCTTGATGATAGGTACAGTTTCAGAAATAGTGAAATTATCCCGAGTCTCCGAAGGAAAAGCTGATATATTCACCAAAGTGTGAAGAAATCGTTTCCGGCCTTCACTAGTCCCGCACGGAGGTAATAATGGGACCATGCATTATCTCCGAACTTGATGCACTATTACTGATGCTGAAGAATTCAGGGGTAATTAGATGTAAGCTTATGATTACCTAAGGTGTATTTGTAAGAAAATTGCAAATCACGTAACTACTAGGTAAATAGCGGTGGAAAGGGGGCGCCACGTCAAATGCAGGCTTTCATCGGATCATGAAATATTCCCAAATCTGAAATCTCTACAGTAATTATGACTAGGTAGTATAATTCGTCGCCAGAAATCTTGTGTTGGTCGTGTAGATTCTACGCTGAGGTGTGATAAACAACTCTCTGATTGTTAGCGCTGCTTAGAGCCTTAGATAGGTAAGTAGGTACCTAGGTAAGTAGCATAGGAATTGAGACCTGAGAAGAAAGGCGTTCTAATTGGTCGTAGCATTTTGCAATTTGATCCATCTATTGGTTGAAACATTATATGTACACTAGAAGAGTGTTCGCTATTGAGGGGCTGTAGCTTTAGTGAGCTATAGCGCTGTAAGCCCTATAAATATAGTGCTTTCTTGTATAAAGTGGGCCAGATCCTATGGATGGATAGGTACATGGATGTTGGCGGCTCATCTTCGCCTAGACGGCGCGCTTTCACAACGAAGGAGACACTTCTACCCATTGCTAGTGGTGTACAGTGAATATCAAACCATTTAGCACATGTCCAGGCTTTCTATTTATTCATGAGTTTATAGGTCTATTTGATCGTTCGATTCGCTTTCGCGTGTCTGCCATTAGGCAGATCCCCATGCTTCGGGACTGGGCCATTCACATGTGGGAAACAGTAAAGCGATACCGCGGGGAAGACAAACGCAATCAATTTGCATGGACTAAATATGACTTTTATAAAGAGTACGGTTTTGCCTCGGAGTTGTGGCACCTAGGGACATTGACTAAGAGCGGTTCGACGCACCAATCGCATCATTGATACTATAAGGGAGGGTACTCCAGATGTCCTGTGGTGTAATTACAATCCCGGTTGTACTTACGTCCCTCGGGATGTTAACAAGCTCATCAATCATCATCATCATCGACATCCCTTACGACAGGTCGGCTTCGGCCAGAGTGACCTTGGCGATGGAGCTTCCTCTTTCAATAGATTATCGCCGACGCGCATGCAACTACGTACATGGAATGGATTACCCCCGAGGGAATTGGCATTGCGTATGGGGCACCGACTGACGGTGGGTGTTGCTTCGAAAGACCAACGTGTACTCGAGCAACTACTCTTATACGAGCCACACCTCACATTCGATATTACAGTAGATCTGGATCTACAGGTCGGGAATAAACTTCTTACCTGCGTATGCATACTTGAGACCGTACTATGTAAGGTGCCAACTTGATGTCGCATGTAACCATTACCCCACACACTAAACCGGATCGGTTCGTCTAAAGGCGTGGTGGTCCACATCGATTATACCTAATCTAGGCTAGTCCTATGGATACCTACCTACTTAATCGTACAGTACAACTCCTACACAGATCTGGGTTAAGTACCCTTTGGACCTGTTGCTCCTGAAGGAAGTCTTTGCCATCGTTGACATTATAATGAGTTGTGAAAACCAACCCTTGTTCGACGACGTCGATTTTGGTATAGATATCGATATACCCGATTCAGTCCTTAATAACCCTGCCACTCAGCTACCAGGAGAGCTCGTTGGCGAGTATAGAAGACTATCAACAGGCTGCTAGGGCAGGTATGGGGAGCGACAGCAAGGTCGTCGACAGAGGGCCTTCCTTCGTGTCGAAAAGATACTTGAATCTATATAGACGTTGCACCGTAAGGTCAGGTATCCATTTGACTAGCTTGGATCAGGTATAGTCAGTGTGGAGCACCGTGCCTTTGGACGGACCGAAGCAGATAGATCAGGTAGATCAAATCCGTAGTCTGGGGTAAGCTAACTCGCATATAGAATTGATCGGTGGGTAGGTAGGTCGGCATAGAGGTGTGATGTTACCGCAGAGAACAAAGCCAAACTGCTGCGCGGAGCATATATTTCACCGGCTAAGCCGAGGCTGCCGCTATTTCACGTAACCGGACCCGATATGTTGAACCATACTCCGAATATGGGGTCGATTATAAATACGACTCTGATACAAAGGTATGAAACAGGTATATATTCTCCAAATGATCAAAACTCTGCCCCGAAGTTTCCTTGCATCGACTGTACCTAAGGATTCAGCATTTGAGTTAGTGCATGCATTCAAACATGGCTAAACCTTCGATTGTTCTTATCCCTGGTTCCTTTGGGGTTCCGGAATTGTATGACAACAACATTATCGAGGCCATCACAGCTAAAGGTTATGAGATCAAGGGGTTACACTTACCTAGTGTCGGCTTGAAAGACAGACCTAGGGAAACACCGCCAACAATGTACGACGATGCTGCTTTTATTGCCAAAGAGGTAGCCATCCTCGCAGATGAGGGTAAAGATGGTGAGCAAGTCCATAAACTTCTGATATCATCGGTTGCTTTTATGAGTAACTAGTATAATATTAACTGAACATTCTATAGTCATGCTCATCGGACATTCATATGGTGGCATCCCAGTTACCCAGAGCACCAAGGGGCTAACAAAAGCGGAGAGACAAAAACAAGGAAAGACGGGCGGCATCGTAAGACTAGCTTATATGACAGCATTGGTACCTCCCCTGGGAGTGTCATCTGCGAATATCCTTAGCACGCTACCTGACGAAAACCGCGTTGAGTTTGGAACTGATGTTGGTCCCCTCCATTCTCCTGTTCCTACCTATGCAGGTAGTTAATCCATTCATCCTCTAACGTGGGAACAACAGGATAAGGGCTGGCTTTATATCAAGAATATACCAGCAGCGGCTTCGGTAGTACTCTCAGACTACTCCGATAAGGCTGAAAGGGAGGCATTGATTGAAATGTTCCAAGTCCACTCATCAACCTCCTTTACCAATGAATTGACACATGCCGGATACAAAGATGTCCCGGTGTCTTATCTACTGTGCCAGGGGGATCTGTGTATCCTGCCCCAGACCCAGAAAGGTGGGATAGAGATAATTGAAAAGGAGAGTGGGAATAAAGTCGATGTCACGTCTATTAAGGCCGGGCATTGCCCAAATATTACTGCCCTAGAGGAAGTGGTCGACTGGATTGAACGCGCGGCAGAGAAGTGCGAACTTTTCTAGGTGAAGGATATATTATCTCTTTTTTCGCATCGACAACCAATACGAAGCCTGCAAGGATGCTGACGTTTTCCGAAGGTTCATAAATTTTTCTCCTGTATTGATTTAGCGATCTATTCTGTACATTATTTGGTCTCAAGATAGGCTCATAATTCATTGTAGTGTAACATTTGCTTTCTCGTTACTCTCTTAAGTACATATTAGATCATCATCTAGAATGAGCTCATGAGCGAAAAAGGGCGCAAGAATATCAGGGCTGTTGATATTTCTGTGATGCGTCCGCTGATATCATGTTTCTCGGCCATATCACGGATAATACCTACCAGTACCCAGGTAGCTATTCAGGCTTGAACAGGAGGCTTTCCGTAAAGTGTGCTGTGTACTTTCACAATGTCGTTCTAAAACTGTTTTCTGATTAGTACAAGCTAGAAACTACGACTTCGGGGACTTACGTCGCCTTTATACCGACTGGAATCGATGTTTTCATATGGCCTGAGGAAAGAAAAAGGCCGCCTGCTGTAGGACTAACGCAAATATCGAGTTAGATTCAGGTTACTCATTCTCCCGTATTGACCTACTTATAAGTATCAAATGCGATATTGTGTTCACATGAGAGTGGGAATAACTCCTTTTCGCCACCCCTGACAAGCGGGTTGTGATGTCCTTGGTACAAGTCAGTGCTAGTACCCCTTTTCTTCGCATATTTCGATAAACCTCTTCACTCCTGTTGCGGTGAACTTAGATAGGCCGAATTTCTTGAACTTGCCTTTCTGGCAAGTGTCATTCATCGCCTTTGCAGTATCCTCAAGGGTGTTTGGCAATCGGGTACATGTAGAAACATGGTCTCTAAAGCGGAAGTTTTAAGGGCTTCAAGAGATTTAGAAACGTTCGACTCAAGACCGCGGAATCAATGGTAAATTGAGAGGCTGCCATAGCTCAGTTGAGGCGTTCGTCGCTAGTAACCGGACCATCCATGGAATAATCTCGACCGGTATCAAGATGCGTATCCCTTTGGCTGGAATAAGACTACAACTCCACCACAATCAGTAACTGTATTGCCAGCAGCCCCCGAGTCTTCGTAGTCTCACGCCAAGTAAGAAACCACCGAGATTTGTTAGTTTGTTGGTTTGTTGGTTGATATGTGCTTAGGCAATGGGCAGATGACCCTTCCTCGTGAACCTCCTGAGGCGTATGCGGCGTGTAAACCTATTTCTAGGTCTTATTCTATTCAATCATACCTGCATAAGACATTGAAGATATCTTCCAACAGAATGGAATATCCAACATATCTGACCTAGTGACACATATGATGATGCTTGAAACGTTCCCGTTGGCTGCTCTGAGCTCATGTCCGGCGTGAGGTCAGCGACTATGTTGAAAGCGACCAAACGCGACCAAACAGCATGGCTTGGACACTTAGCCACGAATCATCTTTTAATATCCATCAGAATAGTTTTTTTATTCCTTCCTTGAAAGAAATCTCTTACCATTTCACGTGGAAATTTCGGTTTATAGTAAATGTTTAATCATATCTTTTTATAATGGTTAGGTGAAGATAAGATTGTGCACGCCCCCAAGGTTCCTCATCTCGAAGTGAATCCCCGAAGGAAGGTGCATGCGCGGGATATAGATCACATAACCCACATGATAGATGGCCAAGATTTCCGTGGTGGGGCCCAACTGGTTCGGAGCGTAACCGGAGAGTGGAGCGATCAAAGACGGTACCTGGCCTATTAAACGCCCGGAGCCTCCGTTGAAGATAAAAACCGATGTATACCCCGGTCAAGGAAGGAGTGTGATAAGGTGCTGTGCCCTTGTTACACAGCAGGTCCGGGGTCCCTGCCTCAGCTCGGAAGGTGTGTGCCATTGCGTCAACCGTGCGCAGCTGCGTGCGCTCAACAATCAATCGGCCAGGAAAGAGCATGGCATTTGCATGGCTCGTACCGGGATCTTTCAAGATAGAATTACGTTAGACACGCGAAATTATTGGGTGCCAACTTAAGAATTGCTTTTGAGTAGCATTCGATGGCTCTAGTTCTTACAGATCACCTTCCAACCCTTCTCCAACCTGCACCATGACACCCTCACATGACGAAACCTTTTCCAACGGAGGTCCCCGGGTTTGTTTTTCCTCTTCCGGGGGCTGAAAACAGAAAGCCGAGACGGAGTATATAAGTGAAACATGCCGGCATGGCTTCCAAGCGCGAAGCTGAACCGCGAAGTCGAGTCCGACGAACAACACCGAAGACGGCATTACTCAAGTACTACTATTAACCTTGATAAACACTATGCCAGCCACAATATCCCCAACTACCGTCCTGATCAGCGGGGCAAATCGAGGTCTCGGTAAAGAACTTCTTGCGCGTTATCTTGCCAGACCAAACCATGTCGCTGTTGCTGCCAACCGCAACCCGGAACATGCCACGTCCAAAGCTCTCGCGGAACTACCCAAAGGTCAAGGTAGCCGACTCGTCGTTGTGAAGCTCGATGCTTCGATCGAGGCCGATGCTGCCAAAGCCGTAAAGCAGCTCATTGCGCAAGGCGTCGATCACCTAGACGTCGTCATTGCCAACGCCGGTGTCTCCTACGCCTGGCCCAAGGTTGCGGACCTCAAAACCGAGGACCTGCAAGGACACCTTATCCCCGACCTATTTGGTGTCATATGGTTATATCAAGCCGCATTCCCGCTATTGAAGAAATCCATGGACCCCAAATGGATAACGATAGGCAGTGTAGCAGGGAAGCTAGAGGTTAGCAACCCCTTTACTGACTGATTAGGAAATCTGTATTTGCCAACGCGTACTAACTAGTATCCAGTGAGAACCCAACCCCTTCACCTTTACCGTCAGCGCCAGAATTAACAAAATATAGGGATCAGCCCCCGATACCCAACGCTGCGTACGCGACGTCTAAAGCTGCGGTACACTGGGTGACCAAAAGGATTAATCAGGAGGAGGATTGGATCACAGCTTTTGTGGTCCATCCAGGCTGGGTCGAGACTGACATGGGCCAGGCGGTTATGCACGGCCTCGGACTGGCTGGTAAAAACGTCAAGCTACCAATTATAACAGTCGACGAATCATGTGACGGCATAGTACATCTGATCGACGTGGCCACGAGAGAGTCCCACGGCGGAAGGTTCTGGGATTACGACGGCGCGCGGGAGTCTTGGTAAACGTACCTATTTCCTCGTTGATTTATGCTATACCTCTTGTTGTTGTACTCACTATTAGATATTATTTGCCTGCACAAGCAGCATAGTCTACCTAGGTAGGGAGGTGGATTAGAACGTGTAGCTATGTCGCTATGTCGCTATTTAGGGTTAGGATGGCTTCATACCTAGGTATATTTCAAGTCAATTGAATAGATGTCAAGCTACGTTTACTATCCGCCGCCATATAATATGAAGCTTGTGAGGTTTGTTTAGTAAAATGACAACATTATGTCTCTGGACCTCTGGAGAAAAACAAAAGGCTCATATCAACTAATTTGATCCCACAATCGTCCAGTTAGGACCTAATGGTAAGCCTTCCCATCTTCTGTTGAAGCGTTAGACGTCACCCAAGACTTTCGTCTTCCTTAGGTTAAGATATTTCCTACTTCCACGCATCGCAGATCGTTTCGCGCTAGTCGGTGTCATATTTTTTTCGCTAGGATTCCTGCAGTTTATGACGTAAAGACTTCTCCAAAGCTCAAAACGTCAATATCAGAGCCATGAACATATTCTGGCAGTGCAATAGATTCCGCGCGGACGAATTCTTTGGTCATTGATGTTCTTAGGGCCCACCGTCGGTCTTGTGGCAAGTTAAGTAGGTACCAAGTATCGGTAGGAAAAAACGGTGCGGAAGAGAAAGGCTTCAAGAAAAGTTCCCAATCATCGATTCACCGCACAAAACAATCCCCATAGAGAAAATTGATGTTCCAGAGTTTATGGTTCTATCTTGAGATTAAACCTCGTCCTTTTCAGGGGCAAGCATGTGTCGCACTTGAGTACCTAGGTACCTAGCATGCAGACGTACCCTAGCATGGAAGCTGACTAAGTGGATCCCGTACGTAGTCTAGACTATTGCCGTTTTAGGAAATAGGTATGCAAGGGCTCAATTCTTGTTATCGATAGCGCAAGATGTACAGAAATTTTGCGAATTTGCGAAATTCTGAATATGAACATTCACACTTTTAATACCTAGCATATTCCGCCACAGCAGAAATCGAGATCGGGGTCAGCCTCGCAGGATGCGTTCTTTCCTGTCGGCACCTGTATGTCCAGCATGTCAATTCGCAGCGAAGAGTCGAACTATTATCCCGGTTACCTCTCGAACATGGGCAGCGCAAAGATTCTTCTCTGGTCGAGCGAGACCTGGTCCCTCGAGAATGGTGCTGTCTGATCGCGTGGCACGTCCCCCACGAGATGCCCAGGACCGTGATAGCCCAACACCTCGCCGAAGATCGCAAGGGCCGTTTGGCGGCATGAATCAGACATATGCCAACATACGGGAAGGTGAACCGAGAAAATCGTTCCGAAACCAAGAAGATAGAGGCGGCGGGGATAGGAGGGGCGGCCAAAAGGATGAGCGGAGGATCAAAGCCATGAAGATGCGGGGCTCACTGGCGACAATACCATATGGCCATAGGACAAGAACGAAAGCGAGTGTGGCAGAACTACAGTCATTTGACAAATTCGACCTCCTGCCCTCTATCAAAGAAGCCATATCCGAGGATGCGCTGAAAGGCATGGTTGACATAAAACCTACCCCCATCCAACGTCTCGCTATTCCAACCTTGCTCGGTCAGAATATAGGCCGGCGGTCTTCTCGAACAAATAATCTCGACCAGAGGCAAGAATTCCTCCTAGCAGCCGAAACTGGCTCGGGCAAGACTTTGGCCTACCTTTTACCCGTAATTGATGCTCTCAAGAAGGCGGAAGCGGCCGATCCTGCTATTGCCGCTTACCGAGAATACTTCGCAAAACAGATGGAAGCAATGAAGGAACCAGGATATACAGGTCCCCGCGAATTTGATCCTCATCCGACTACAGCAAGACCAAAGGTCGTTATACTGGTGCCAACGGCTGAGCTCGTCGACCAGATAGGCAGCGTCGCTAAGAAATTATCGCATCTAGTCAAGTTCAGGGCGAGTCTTTTCTCCGCCAACTATTCGGCCGTTGTTATAAACGCGAACATGTACAAACCCTCGGGAATCGACCTCGCTGTGGCAACACCTCACTTATTGGCATCAATCGCGGACTCGGATCCTAATGTTCTATCTAGGGTCAGCCATCTGGTGGTAGATGAAGCTGATTCTCTTTTCGATCGTAGTTTTGCCCCTGTAACAACATCTATCTTGGATCGCGCCTTGCCCTCCCTGAAGCAACTCATCCTGTGTTCCGCCACCATACCCAAAAAACTCGAGAGCTACTTGGCTTCTGAATTCCCAGCCATGGTCCGACTCACCACACCAAATCTTCACGCTATTCCTCGCCGTGTTCAACTAGGAGTCATCGACGTGGTGAAGGACCCCTACCGAAATAACAAAGACCTTGCCTGCGCGGACGCCATCTGGTCTATTGGTAAAGATGCAGTGCAGCACGAGAGCGCCGAGCCCGGGGAAGTAGACGTTAAGCGCATCATGGTTTTCGTCAACGAGCGCGAAAAGACGCAGGAGGTGGCCAATTACCTTGTTTCCAAGGGGATCGACGCTGTTGCGCTTCACCGAGACACAGCTGAGCACCGGCAATCGGAGATGCTAGATTCGTTTACAAGCACTACACCGATGAAGGTCACGATGGAAAAGTCGGCTGTCCCTCCGCCCGGCAAGGGGCGACGGGTTTTGCAAAACACCAAAGTTATCGTGGCCACGGACCTAGCTTCGCGAGGAATCGATACCTTGGCAGTTCGTCACGTAATATTGTATGATGTGCCTCATAGTACTATTGATTTCATACACCGGCTAGGCCGAGCGGGTCGTATGGGCAGGAGAGGACGGGGAGTCGTCTTGGTGGGCAAAGATGACCGGAAAGATATCGTGGCCGAGGTTAGGGAAAGCATGTACATGGGCCAGGCGCTGATTTAGAGATGGATAACTATATAAAAAAAGTCAGCAGGGTGCGACTCTGTATAACAGGAACCTGTATATCAACTCTATGAACTCAAGATATTCTTGGACAATGTTCTCTGCGCATCTCCGTGTCATTTGTTGGCCATAAGTCTCCTTCCGTGTAAGAAAAGGGCCCCAAAGCATTTACCTAATAAATGACAACACTATTCCAGATGCATACCCAAAGTTCATGTCGGAAATGTGGCATTTTCTGTTCGCTCGCATGGGAACATTGTTGGCAACCAGCACCAGCTATCATCCTCAGACAAACGGAGCAAAGCTAGCAATTGTTAATATCATCGTGTTGTTCATATATAGTATTCCCTTTACGCATTTCAAGTTCACCACAGCATGCATCGCACCGAAATAACTGGCCTTGGAATTGAAGTCTACCTTTCAGTAGCCCAACAACTGATAGCTCCACTCCGTTCCGACGTACAAAGCTCCCATTGAAATATCCTCGACAACATCTTCGAGCACAAAGTCCTCCGCGTCTTCCTCATGCTGTGGATCATCTTGTGTGGGTAGTCGTGATAAAGAGTCGAGAACCAGATTCCTTTTTCCAGCTACCTAGGTATGTAACGTACGTTCTTTATTTAGGCTGAATGATGTAGAAATAAGGTAATAAGGTTGCATTACCCTAGGTTCTCTCGAGACCGAATACGTTTCATGGATGATGGGAAGCCCTATCAGTTTACAAATCACCAGTACGAGCTACGAAGCAGTTACCGCCGTGTTTTGCTAGATCAGAAGAGGAAGTAAGATTTCTGTCCATGTCATCCTATCCATAGCACTCATTCCGAGTAACTGAAATAGGGGTTAAACTGAAAGCAACACCAAATCAAGCACCATCGTAAGTAGTTCAACGTAATATAAGCACCATCATGTAGCTACACGGCGTAATTCGAGCACCTGTCATGAACAGCATGTTAATTTGATACTACTATCCTAATGTATGGAGTGAAAACAGCTTTTCACTACTAGTAGATTTCAAGCTTAGAGGTCGCGGAAGAGTGCCATCTGGCAGGTGGAAGAGAGAAGAGAGTTACACAAAACAATCTTCACCTCCTATTCAGCGACACTTGTCTTGGACCCTTACACCGCTTTCTATGTAGGCATTCTTACGGCATCTTGTCCGAAGAAGCAGATCATTGTCTTAGATGAGTGCTCGATAAAATTAATTTTGAAGCTATTCCTCACATAACTAGTCTAGTATCGCTACCGCCCATCAAGTCATTAGTTGCAATTGTAACGCCGGGATGTCTCAATAAGAAATGGGCAGTATGATACATTTAGGAAATCCATGTGGAGCAAAATAAGGGTCTCGATTTCTGTAGACCCCTATTCTCCATCGACGATTGAGTCAAAGACCCTGGATCTTCGCAATCGTCAGCTATCATTAAATGTCGTAAGTGATGAGGCGCGAGTAGTGTATCCATTCCGGCGGATGTAAGGTCTTAGTAAAGGAAGGGATGGACACTAAGACAACAAGAACGCGGAATCTGGCCCGCGAGTTCAAATAGGTAACTACAGGGTCATTATTATTTTATAGCTCGACTTAAAGTATTGGTAAATCATTGCTGATGGGCGCATATATTATTTACGGACGATGTTTTATACCCATGTATCAGTTAGGTAGGTACCTATGTAAATAGCATCCCTCATAAAATATTCATCTGGGTTACCAGTATCTCCGATAATTTGAAGAACAATAGGTAACCTCGACTGGGTATAATATATCCCAACATTTCCCTGCCCAATTTCCATGCATCATGTGCAGGATTAGGCTCTTTGACTCAATGTCTATGAACCCTTTTCCGGATTGGCAATGATAAAACTTGCTGAGAAGGTGAAGAAAGTCGCACATAGACGTCATGTTCAGCCACACTATTGCATACCAAAACTACGACGGCGGGATCGCCAGAGGCTCAGACGTTTACGCCACCACCCATGCTGAGAGCTAGAGTATTCCCTTGGGAAGAATCGTTGGACCATTGTAGCAACTTATGTGTCGGAATACGAGGTAGATATCGGCGAATAATAAAGCTTTATGTTCTCTTCGGTTGCATTCAAGCGTTCGCACTATCAAGCTTAACATTGGACTTCGACGGGTCTCTAACAATGGTGGCAGGGTGGTTAGCGCCTCGGTCAGATCGTCAACCTGAATTCCTAACACATCTTAGTAACGGAATCTAAACAATGGCTGAAACCAGGTAGCCAATTAGCGATTACTTGTTGCTAGTAAAGGGTTCTCCGCAAGCCCTCTCAACATTTCCTTTTTTTTTACAATATAGCTAAGTATGTGGCAAGTTAATAGTTTTCATGACCTGTCACAATGCAATATTTGTTGAATAACTCCATGCATCCCCTAATTCCTAGCCTGCAGCAAACCTCACCTTTACTACCCATCTCAATATCTTGCTACCCACCAAGTATAGTTAGGTCGGCTACTAGATAGACAAGGGGGTAGGTTGGGATTAATAAATGGATCTCAACTGCAGCACAGAGCTTTAGGGGCTTTCCGTTGGAGATGTGCAGCGTGCAGCGTCGATGAAAGCTTGATCAGGATTCACCGCAAATTATGGCGGATCCCGGCGTGTGATCCCGCTAATACTTGACCTTTCCAAAAGGACTCTCTTTCTATTATGGACGAAGCCTAAATGAAAATTTCAAAAACTAGTCTCATGTCCGATGCTGAAACTGATCTGCGTTTAAAAAGCCAAGGACATGTTTTTAGTCCTTGGATAGGTACCTACCGAGAATAGAAAATCCAGATTAGTAACAATGCTTACTTGGAGATATGAAACTACGCAGACATATTGCTGAGATGTGATATCCGTAATGGATACACGGGAAGTCGGTGCTGTCGTCTAATCTCCGAGACGACAATGAAGCCCACTTAGTCACGGTTGTGCTCGGCCGTCTTTACCATAGTACACGATTTGTTTCCTTGGTTTCATCGCGTTCCTAGAAACTTGATATGGGTGATGGTTAGGCAAATTAAGGATAAGGATAAGGTTAATACGAATTTCAGATGAGCTAGAGCCTAGAGATGTTCGCGAACTAGATGCCAAGACTGGAGGTTGCATTGGTAAAGGGCCAAGAGAGATGAGGATGGAACCTCGCACGGAGGGTCTGGGATTATGGACCAATCTCAAGATTTTCCAGTGCCGGTTACTAAGACCTGCGCCAATCAAAGATTGCCATAGGATTGCTCGCTAAGGCCAATCCATGATAGTCCCCGGGACCGTGGATCTCTTCAACGACAGGGACTTACTATTTTCGGTAGTCTTGGCGCTTCTTGTGTCAGATCGCCGGTTTCTCCCCCGTTCTAGCGTAACGAAGCTGACCAATGAAAGCTTGAAACAAGTGCTTGTAACCTCTCCCCCATATTCTGGACGTCCCACCCTGCCTCAGATCTTGCTGAAACGTCGCGAAATCCTGCCTACGCCTTTTTGAGCGACGCTGGCACTAAATGCCGCTGAGAACTGCAACCCGTCACCGCGAAGGGAAAACCAATTCAGCAACTGTAGTGCGACGGCACGTGTGTTTTAGACCCTGTTACTTGCGAAAGAGAGGCGCCTCGAGCGCCAAGCCCTTGACAAGGCTTCAAGCTTGGGGCTCATTTCGTCATGGCCCCGGCGAAGCTGTAGTTGAAGACTGGGATGTGGAATATCTAACGGCAAAAGTGTATAAGTAGCCAAGAAACTCGCGATAATTCAGACGATTTTTTCCCTTCTTCTCCATCCCGTTCTCAACACTCAAAGCATCCGCTTCATTTTTTCTTCATTCCATCTCTTTGCTCTACTTCGTGTTCAAACCCTGGTGGCCGGTCTACCGTTTAATTAAATCACTCGTTTTCATCGATCCAGTGGACGTTCATTGAACAATTTCAGCTTTCGCCTTTTCTCAAACCAGTCAAAATGAAGTTCATCAACATCCTCGTTCTCGCTACCGCCGCCTCCGCGCTGGTGATGCCTCGTCACCACGCCGGTCAGAAGGCTAACGGCGGCAACAGTGAGTTCAACGGCCTCGATCCGTTCCCGGTATCTTTCTAACGATGATTTATAGATGTTGCAGCTGCCGGTGCCAACGGCGCCAATGCAAATGGTGCTAATGCCAATGCGGCGAATGTCAACGCTGCCGCCGCCGGTGCCAATGCCGGCAAGGCTGCCAAGGCCGGCAAAGCCGCTAAGGCTGCTAAGGCCGCTGCCGCCGCTGGGTAAGACGCTCTCACCCAATATCTGCTTTTGATCATTGCTAATCGTGAATTTAGCAATGCTAAGCGACACCATGCCGGACAAAAAGCCAACAAGGGCGCTAAGGGTGCGAAGGCTGCCAAGGCCGCCGACGCCGCGGCCGGTGCTAATGCCAAGCGACACCACGCTGGACAGAAGGCCAAGGGAGCGAAGGATGCGAAGGCGAAGGGCAACAAGGCCGCCGCCAAAGCTGCTGCTGCTTCTTCCGCCGCTGCTGCCGCCGCCGCCGCTACCTCCGCTGCTGCTGTCGCAGCTTGTAAGTACACCTTGCTCTACTCCACAATGGTGAAAGAGGCTAACCGGGTTTTGTAGAAATTTAATAGCCTCCCGCATACGCTAGCTACGAGGTGTGGATTCTTGGATTTACTGGGGCCCACAATGATTCTCGGGTTGTCGACCTAGTGTTGGACAAACATCTCGGGATGTTCATAGGAAACTATAGATTAGTGCGCATGAGCAGAGTGTACATACAATAAGGAATGAAGATAATGGGCGAGATCGTCTACTGGATATTTTGACCTGTCCCTTCGAAATACGTGCGTTCTTGCGGTGTACGGCCGTTCTGTTGTGGCTTTTGATAAATCGTATTACTAGTACTTCGTATTAGGAAATCGTACCTATCCAGGTAAGTATCAGATGGGTGGTTATGTATTAGTAAGTATCAACAACATTGGTCAGAAAAGCACGAAGGCTAGGAAATGTGAAAATATTGAAGTTCGAACAGTACCTCGACCGGTACCTAGCTAACCTACCTGATTGAGTAACTAGGTAGGTATGTACATATGGAATCGGATCCGGATTCGGGGTTGATATGTGACACGCGACTCTTGATTACGCACCACGTATGCGTACCTCACCTAGTACTGAGGCCAACAGGTGAGACATCTCCCTTTGCTTAACTTAGTACTCCTGGGGCTGTCACGCCCTATGTGGTCAGCCAGGTACGTGGTGACGCCACAGCGCTTCTTACCGCTCTCTAACACGGTTACGCAAACACTGGAATAGTTGATATGTTGTTTACATGGGCTTGGCGGCACAAGTATGCCGAGCTTACGTACTAGAATATTGCGAAAAGGGGTATGCGATGCACGTGATTTAAACAAGTCATAGCTTTTCTTTGGAGTCATCACGTGATGTGCTATGACCTCCCTAGTAATTAGGTAGGTATGTAGCTATGCCCGAAAGAGAACTTGCCTCGGCCTCCTCCACATCCTCCACATTCGCAGCTTACATAACTAGTAATGTTCCTAATCATGAAGCAACCTATTGACAATTCCATATTCAACCATCTGGCCTAAACATTCATCTTATAGTCACAAGTTTCTTGAACCAAGTCCTCTAATTATCACCTAACTGTGAAACCATCCACGTATGTATATCTCGTATAGTACTAAATAATCAAATACGTACTTACAAATGAGTCGATGCCCGCTGAAGCTGATCCTTCACAATATCGAAGTCGCGAACTTCACGTTTGATTTCGGACTCAACCAATTGGAGGAAGAGTTTTGACATTAAGAAGATATCAATGTCTTTGGAGGTCATTTATGTAACTCGGCACGGAGTAAGTTACCGCATTTCCGCATTACCTATACAAGAAGCGATCTTGTCCGAGTCTAAGACTGTCCTTTTTCACCCCTGCCCCTATTTCCTGGGCAAAACCACTTAGATTCATTCTGTCTATTCAAACAGAAGCTTACTTTTCATCAGTTCCGTTCTCAATGGAGTGTTGACCCGTCCACCGGCAACTATTCGTCCTTCATTCGTTCTCCCACGGGGCTACCTACGGATCCTGCTCTCACATCTCACGGTGTGGACCAAGCAAATCAATTAGCCGCACATCTACTCGAAGTCAACCCGCCGATAGAGCAGGTCTATTCTAGTCCTTATTATCGATGCCTGCAGACTATCCAGCCATTCGCACGCAAGCTGAAGCTTCTCCAGACCCAATCGTTTGGTAATGTCTCGGGAGATATTCCCAGGATTCGCGTAGATCTCGGACTTAGTGAATGGTATGGCTTAGCGCACTTTGATCATCCTTCGTCCGCACCCCTGAATGAGTTGCAAAGTTTATTTCCTGAGCTTGATCCAAGCTACGTCTCTAGCCCGGCCCCTTCACGCCGCGGGGAATCTCTCCCGCAGCTACACGATCGGGTTGCGAAGGTGATCGAATTTATCATCAGGCGTAGTGACCAAGAGGGCCACAAAGCTGTGATATTGTGTACTCATGCAGCGGTCGTCATCGCTCTCGGGCGAGTGCTCACTGGACAGATGGGAGAAGATTTTGGTGCATTTACTTGTGGACTAAGCAAATTTAAACGACGTGGTTTTAAATCTGGTCAAGCGTCTCCAAATTCTGAGAGTGAGACGAGAATTAAAGCCACAGTCCCGACGGCGCGGGAGGAACGGCAAATCGGAGTGGAAGTAGGATCTAGAAAAGCCCAGTCAGAGACAAATCCTGCAAGCAACGTCGATCCCTATCCACACGACTCGTCACAATCTAATCAAGAATCTCTGGGAAGAGACGGGGCCGGACTTTACGGAGGCTGGACCTGCGAGCTGGATTCTGACTGCAGTTTTCTTCGCGGTGGCGAGGAGAGGGGATGGTGAGTGTCTCTTGTTTGAGTTTTCCTCTTTTAGGTGATCCTTTGGCAATTAGCTGAACAATAATAGGAAATTCTCTGGCGACGAATCATTTATCGAAACAGATGACAATGGCCTATGGTTGCCGACGCCTTCTGGCTCTGATACGGCCGTTGACAGCCACGACAGCCACATTGACCCAGTAGTCCGGGCTCCAAAGCTCTAGTCTTAAGGCTACCTCAAACAAGTCGCTGGCTTGGATAGGAAAGCCCGCAATTTGCGCACGGATTGAAGGGTTTGGCCAACCATTGTCTAGACTACCAATGTCTTAATCGGATGTAAAGTCTGCGACACCTTCCTACTTTTCCACATCATCGGCGACCTGCTCGACAATACTTTAATGCAAAGAGTAAATCTCCTGTTACGAGAACTCTCCAGCCGTTTTTGTCATACTAAAACTTCATCCAACGGCTTCTCTGCGTTTCAGTGTAACCGTAGCACGATAACGGCTGTCATTGTCACAGTAATGTCGGCGTTCTGAGACCGGTGTCATCACTTCGTGAAATAGATGGCTTATCACCTGACATGTTTCAACCCAAGGAGCCTCAAAGACTATTGAAACATCCTCTAGTATATCAGAGTGCCGGGAGCCGGATATAATCGTATTCACGGCAGCGACAAGGGATGCTGGCCATGACAAAAGGACAACCTTCCACTAAAGCTGGAGATTGAGACAGTCTTAAAGACGTGGACCTGCTCATTGAAAGTTCAGCATCCCGTCATTTATGATATGTCATAATAACTGCATATCTCACCGTAAGCCAATTTTATCATAGAGTCGGCATAACCCATTACTTCCCCGATGCGGACTGGTCTGCGGGCACTTGCCAGATCTCGGCTTTCACCCCCGACAAGCGCTCATCAAAGGCTCAAAAACACTGTGCACTGGAGCTTGATTTTTGACGGGCCGTGAGCCTTCGCCCTTGGCAAGACGTACATTTTTCGATCTAGCGGAAGGGTTCAATGGCTGCTCAAGGCTCGGTAGCTACAGAATTCTGAAGATCAGTCTGGAGAAACCCTGCGATTTAGCTTCGATGTGTCTTAGTCGACATCGACTGGCGTCCCTCCTTTCATCCAATAAGCTCACTCAACTGCCAAAAGAATGGAAGCTGCAGTGTCATATCCTAATACCTACTTCCAGCCCCATACACCTATGTAAGTATATTCACATCCCTAACAGACCATTGGTTAGGTAGATAGATGCCGCAGACACGGCAGGGAAAAACGAATGATAAAAAAACAAGACTCAACGGCATGGATATTCGAACCGAAACATTCATTGGCTGTCTACCTAAACTTGGAGGCGAGAATTAAATAACACCATTGAAACTCAGAAGTTGCATACTGTCACAGCATTACAAGCCGGATCAGCTCAGGGTGTCATTGCGCTCCCGTGTATTGGTTTTACTCCTAGATTAGTGAGCAGCAAGTTAGGAAGTTGAAAAACGGGGGGTGGTTCAAGAGTTGTAAAAATAATATCGAGGTAGAGATATCGGTATCGAGTGTTCCACTCGGCTTGGTAGGCTAAGTCACAAGCTCTTCGAATGATGCGCGGACGCTTCCAACCAACATGAAAATGTGATTTAGGTGTCATTGGGGTCCCGTTACAGATGAATCCAGGGCATGGGCGCAGGGAATACAATCTGCAGAGCCGTTCTAGCAACTTCGTCTACAACTCTGCGCTGGCTTCTTATCCTTAGTACTTAGCGCCGCCCCATGTTCTGCACGAGTATTCTAATCTGGCAAGAGTCCACCCCTCATGCGTAATTTGGACCGCCTGGTTATAAGTGCAGGGCTAGGTAACTAAGAAATCTTTATCTGCAAGGAATGAAGACATAGCCGAGTTAGGAAAAGATTGTCTTAGAGCCGACTATCCACTTGTGCTCTGCCGGCCCGAGAGTCGAGGAGTCGAGACCACAATAAACCCCCACGACGTCGACAGTCCAATGAGGACCCTTAAGTCCCATCACCGCGCTTATAATGGTGATTAAAAAAGCAGTCTTACCGCGCGCGCCTTGTGGGTTTGAGGTAGCGTCAACGTCTTATATGAGAATCCTTTTTTTTATTTTTATTTTTTATTATTATTATTATTACCTATTCGCAATAAGCTAAGCTCTTACAAAGATGGTACGTCCATACGACGTTCTGCAGAGTGGTTGGAGGGATGGCTGATTTCTTTCGTGCGCTGCCTAACACAAGATCCTCTTCGCAGGCTGACAGCACACCTTGCACAATTATGCCTCCCTCTCCTCCCTTCGCAACTATTCAGCGCATAACCGGCCCGCCTATTTTCATCACCTCCTCGGTTTACTGCCCCTGGACTTTCTCGCGGCCACCATTGGTTTGCTGGTCCCGACAGTTTGGGAAGCTTCCGGGGTCGCCAGCGAATGGCGCGGCAAGACACATAAGGTGCCGGCCACAGCGCAAAATCCGGACTAGTCAGACTGAACAGGCTAAGATAGAGAAGGATAGCCCCGAAGTGTTAAGTTATTCACTACCTCGGGGTACGTTCATTATTTCTGAAGTTCTAACGTACCTAGACGATCTCTACCTTACTACTAGTGTCGAAGGCGCATTTGGCTCTGCACCTCGGTTTATCAGTTCGGTGGGCTCTGATTCCCGGCTTGGTTGTTCTATGCACGATCGGACACCATCGATTTAGTTACGTAGTGTCTTGAAACAAATGTGTCAGGGTACCAGGTTTGTGTCGAGGGTAGCCTTAGCAAGACTCGAGCCCCCCTTGCGCCGTGGTCTATCCACGACTTTGGGTTGGATTGGCTCTTCTACTTAGATACACCGCCACTGGATCAAGCGTTGTCATTCTACATGTCATTCGTTCGCCATTCCTTCCATACCACCTCGGCTACCCATCTCTGTCAAGTTTGGATTCCCCAGTGCAGAACGATCTAATTCTCCGCAGCCGTTCATGTCTCTCATATAGCCACTAATCTCCTGACTAGAGAGGCTAAGATAAAAAAATCCTCTAATGATATATTATATCCATCGAGACAAATAGGCGTACCTATCAATTCGAGCCGTGTTATAAATCAGGAGCTAAGAGACAATCAGCAATAGTTTCCTCTAGCGACACCCTGGGCGTTTGTTTGTCTTCAGGTTGCATCCGAAGAGGCGGATCTACCTATTCTTCAGTAGATGTGGCCCTATGTGCCGGGAAGTTGTTGGTCTCATATTAAACACAAGGATGGTGCTTGGCTCACTCCGGCCTCCACTTGCTCGCGCTTCTACATCGATTCAGGAGTCATATATAGTCTGTCTCCCTTCAAGCTCCGCTCCACGACTAGCGTTCTTCATCATCCAGGCCATTTAGTCAGTTGTTTGCCCTTGCTTTCTGTGAGGCTATCCTCAGTCTGCGTTCTACGGACGATACAACAACAACGTAGTAGATATGGAGTCGAATACTATTCAAAGGAAGGCGACCCTGCATTCCTCATTCCCGCTCCGTACATTGCAACCACAGTCGTCTCAGCTGAATTTCGGTCGGCTTCCGAGCCCTTTTTGGCACAAAGGAGCGGACGGCACAACACGACGTACTCCTATCACTCCTATCCCGGAACCGCCTTATTCCCCCACAAGTGATAGCTCCCGCGCCTCATTCTCCCAAGCTTCAAACACAGATTCTTGGGACATAACCTCAACCGCACCCTCGCTCTTCCAAGATTCAAGCGCGGACTCCTGGGAGATAATCTCAAACGCACCCTCGTCTCCACAGACACCTTGTTCAAAATATGAACTCGATGAGACTCCTATCAAACTTGAATCAATACCGCCTCACCGAGGAACTCTCAAGCATAGGCGTGACGGTTTGGATGAAGCTTCCAAGGACATCAAACTCCCCGTACCCGAATTACCAAGTCTCAATCATGTCCTTGCCCGATATGAACATAGAAATTATCATCCCTCTTCGCGCCCAAGGGCCAGGTCTTTGAACGGATCTTGTGCCAGTCCGGTACCTAAGAATGAACATACGCTCTCAAACAGACTAGCACATTCCCTATCTGAAGATCCTATCGTTCAGTGCCTCAATCTATGGAGAAAGGAATCTGGCGATACGAAGAGTCTCCTATCGCAACCACGAATCCGAGAAGGGTCTTCAATTTTACACATCGATTTAGATTTTCGCGAACCGGCACCAGTTCTCCGCCGTGAGAAACGGCAATACACGCCACTGCTCGGCGACCGCTGTCGACGGTCCCCGCCCGGAGAAGAAAAGGAGGAACCTAAGGATGATGCAAAGACCCCTCATAATAACGTCAAGTACTCGATAGAGGAAACGGACTACATCCGCTTCAACAGGTACGAGAAGAAGCTCTCATGGGAAGAGGGAAAGCGTCTCTTCCGAGAAAAATTCCCGATGAACCGCGAGAAACAGGGCATCCAGGGTGTCCATTACCGGGACAACATGCACGTCCCCCACCTTGTAGACGGGGGGAGAACGCTAGTATTCTTAGAAAATGGACACATCGAGGGCGTCCAGGCACAGGTTCGACAGCAAGGCGAGGCTAAGCAGCAATACGGCCTTACTCACCTGTATCCCGAACGAGCCTTGCTTTACGACTGGGTGCCGCTTGAGTTCAAGCAAATCGCCGCGCGTCTCGGTAAGTCTCAGATATATTTGCTTTTCCCGGACTAGGGCGAAGGCTTGCTGACGGCCACAACCAGTGAAGGAACGCGTCGCCCAAAGAGAGGCCAAGAAACGAGAGCTCATAGCAACAGGCAAATGGAAGGAGAAAGACGATACTGGCACTTGCGCTTGCTGCCCGAAGCCGGATCGCAAGAGGGACGAAGACAAACAATTCACTCCTAAGCGGTTACCGGGACATCGCCTTTCGCGGCCGAAACACATGCGTGGCCATGGAAGGCTATACGATGCGAGGTATCTCTCGCGAAGTGGAATGGACACAGCATTTTACCCTCGCGAATACGAGGCCAAGCGACGAAAATTCGGATCTGAAAATATCTAAGAGGGCACGACTAACACATTCGGTTCTCTCTACTTGAGTGCCTAGGTGCCTACTTGGGTATAATTGGACGCTACTGCCTTCGTCCCGTCCTTTTCGTTTCATCCTACCTAGATCGTACATACAAATACGCGCAATTCACCTCGATTCATATTGATTTTGATGTATACTTGTTCACCTCTCAAGTAAATACTCGAAATTGGTGCGACGTCAGCTCAGACTCGCCGACTACAAGTTCACCACCTATGAGGACCCATCCATTCATCTACGTACCTATCAATTTTCTTTCTTTTACATATTACGCAACGGGTGATAGCTAGGTTCCGAGCAGGAAAAGCAGGGATATAAGGGGGGGCGGTGGTACAATAATGGCTCGGAGGCGAATAGGGGAGCCTAGGGTTGAAGCATAGGTAAGAGGTCAGGGGAAAGGAAAAGGGGGAAAGGGGAGGCATTGCTGATTTGAAACTTGGCACTTTGGGATTAAACTGAACCAAACTGATTGTGTGCCTGGCATGGGATATGGATTAATGAGCGATGGAAAGGGGTCATGGACATGGGTCAATTGTACTACTACTACTACTATACCTCCTTTCGGGGGTTTGAAGCGTGTCTGATATTCTTCTCTTTTTCTTTTCGCTCTTACCAACGTCTCTCCGAGGTCTATCTCTTTACTATCGGGTATTCTCACATTTACAATTCGGAGCATTTACCTATTCAGTTGGTCAGTCGGTCAGCAAGCATTTGTTTGTAGCGGACACGCAAACATACTTTAACACGGGCAGCATCAAGGCAAGGAGGTTTTTTGTCAGCAAAATGGTTTTACAGGTACATTGAGTCGAATCTCTGATATATTATTAGTCGTTTCAAATACTGTACTGGCCTGCTTCATGTATCTATCACCTCTATTATCGTCGTGTACAGAGTAATGAACTACGAGGTATTATTCACTTGCCCCCGGGGTTTGAACAGCCCCTTAAAATCCATGCTATATTGGCGCATTGTCAATGTCATACATATCATACGGTGAAGACGAGCCTCGGGACGAATCTAAAATGTCGAGTGATGCAGAATGTATGTGATTTCATCAGAGACTGGCCGGAATCACCAGCTGTGCTACCCTCTTTACACGAAGCGTTCGGACCTAAGTTTGCCTGACGGTGCTACCGCGCCAATTAGAGCCATTGCTATTTCACATTTCCTCGGCGGTTGAATGCTGCTCGTGCTATTGTAGCGCAGTGCGTACTCGGACCACTCGGAAGCCATATGTAGAGCATGTGAATCGGGGGATACAGAAAACTAGGGCGAAGTGTTTGCTTGAACCCTGTTTCTACAAGTCTCGGCATAGTCAGATAGACAAACCACCTTCTTCTCCCTCGCGGGGTTCATATGCCCGTGCTGCCCCATCGTCGGCGTTTAATTCTTCGCCGATACTCGGTTCCAGGCTGTCGGGTTTTGTTGCAGACCAACACACGTTCCACTAAAACTACCTATTCGTAGATGCTAGCGCAAATTTCACGATGTCTGCGTCCCACAGGATTGCCGCGCGGCATTATTGCGCGCTGCCGTTATGCTCGTAGCGACACCCTTACAGATTTCTTGCCGCGAACTCACGATTGGGCCGTCCGATATATGTGGTGAATTTTCCTCCTTCCTCCTTATCGCTGAAGGCTGCATCATCGCCATCCTCGTCCGCCAGATCGTACTCCTCGAGGTCTGAAGCATTGCCGGTTCGGAAAGAATAGGGATTCTTATCAAACTCATCATCTGAGGCAACTTCCTCGTCAGGGTAGTCCGCAGTATAATAATTTTCGGCTGTAGGTGTGTTAGATATATTAAAATTCGCGATATTGCGGCATTTGTGCAAAAGTAGTACACACCGTTCTCGTCTTCTTCATCCTCGGCCCATTCCTCTTCACTATCACCATCATCCCCGTAGAAATACTCCAGTTCGGGTTCTGCTTCGAGTACCAAAACACCAATCTTATGTGCTGGCACGTGATCTCCTATCTTGCTAGCAGGAACACGCTCGTAGGTCTCGATGATGTAGTCGCCGTCATCGCTCTCGCTGGCATCAGCGTCGGCGTCTGCCATCTGTTTATCGGCTGGGACCGAATCCTGTGCTTCTTCGGGATGTCGTTCAGCATATCGCTTGATCGGCTTCGGCTTGAACTTGAGTTGGGCCTTGGCAGAAGATCGGCGCTTGTCCTCCTCGGCCTTTTGAAGATTAAGTCCAATTTGCTCCATAGCAAATGCGTTCATCTCGGCTGTCATCGTATCCATATTGACATTCCATCGTTCCGTTAATGACTTGGGAAGATCAGCCTTGTACTTATCGCGAGCTTTCTTCTCGTCGTCCCTCCCGTCCTCTTTCACGTCCTCCTTCACGTCCTCCTTCTTCTTAAGGTATTTTGAAATTCCAGGCTTCTTTTGCTTTCGCGGCTCAGGTCTGTCCATATCCACCTCCATGTCCGCCGTTGCCGTAGGTGCAATCACATTGTTGACTTCATTGGAAAGTGCTTGGAACTTTTCGATAGATCTAGGAGAGATGCGTTTGGTCTTACGTTCTACGAATAATGCTGGCGTAGAGCGCCTTTTAGAGACACCTCCATCTGATCGACCAGATAGAGAAGATGATGCTCTAATCATGTCCCTTTTTGACATATGAAATCTACGTGGTTCGGACGCGAGATCAGTAGAGCCAGTTGATCTTATAGAGGCAGCATCGGCCGCCGGTTCAGCACCGATGCCGTTATCACTAGAACCATCATTGGTGGTGGTTCCTGGCGGAGTGGGAACTTGGAAGGTTAGGGTCTCGGAAGGACTCGAGGAGGTTGATGGCTTATTGCGTGGTGATTGCGCTGAGTTGTGAATAAGAGGGTTGGGAGGAATGTCGAGGAAGGTGGCTCGTTCTTCTTTTCGTTGATACACAAATGCTTCACTTCGATGTCTCTTGTTCTCTTGGACACCTAGAAAAGAGACTGGTCAATTATGTATTCTTTTCATGACATACATTAATTCTGCGACGACTATGATTTATGCAACAACTTACGAATGAAGGAGACGGGTGCTTCCTCTGTAGCCTTTCGCTTCACGCGAATTAATTGGGGCGGCACAGACATGACGACTCGGGCAATTCAAACAGATCTTCGATCCTAGTCACTATCAATGTTGGGAGTTGTGCGATACTTGGTCGACGAGATCGTGAATGTGAAGTGTTCTAGAAAGAATTAATGTGGGGAAGTTGGATGTTGAATGCGACCGAATGCGACTGTCCTTTGTTTGTGTCACCTGTGTGTCACTTGTGTCACCAACTATGTCGGCTTCAGAAGTGAAGAGGCCCATAAAAATTTCCCACCGCCCGGCAGAATTGCGGGGAGCTAGTAGTAGCTGAGGTCCCCAGTATTTTTCGACGCCTTCTAACTTATCGATAAATCTCGCGTAGCAGTTACCTAAGTACATACCTAGGTCTGCAGGGTCAATGTGTGAACAACATTGAACGGCCGCAGCCCGCCGGTTCTTACTTGCTCAGGTGTTTACATCCAAAGGTTACTTCCATTACAACCTAAGAAACTCACGATTCGCACTTGCCACCTAGCTGAGGACCTTTTGTTCCGTCGAGTTCCGTTCAGCCGTAATCAATTGTTTCTTTTCTGTTTTCTTTCCTTTTCTTTCACCATCCCAACTCACCCAGACAGCCAGACTCAACGTAGTCGACACATTGACCGAGTCAACAAAGGTCCCTTTTCTCCACCTCTCTCCACTTCTCCATCTTTACATCGTAAATCATACGCTACTATCCTGCCATCTCACCGTCCGGCCATCCACGATGAGCCTAGCGTTGCACGATTCGCAGCCCATCATTTTTATGGAAACCTTATGTCAACCGGACTTACATCATACAACCTTTCCTGATAACCCAAGAATCTCCATAATCTCCTGGGTCGTACATGTTTCCAGATAACATCCAAATTCGTCTCTTACGTACAAGTACACATATGTGCATGCATCATGGACCTATGTACCTATGTACGTACACGTACAAACGGCGTACCGCAGCACGAGAAACATCGCCGTGATCCAATGGTAGGCGTGAGTACGCCGACGGGAGTGATAGGTCACCCAGTCACCCTGGATTTCTATATCTTCTGCATCTTGCACATCAGGTGTGGCTCAGTAGAGCAGACGCTGATAGCCCAGACTCCCAGAGAGCCCAGAGAGCCTTGGCTCTACAAAGGATGGTTTGTCCGGCAGATGGAGCGATCCAGACGAGCGTAAGGCATGCGTCAGGACGACGCAGCTGGCTAAAGCTGGCCTTAATCAGGACCACCACCACCATATCATAGGCTAGTAGGGAGCAGCAGTAAGTATGTATGTAAGTATCTGCATGTATCTTCCTACTTGTCTCGTATGATGGATGCCGCCACGGCCTACACGGCTCAAAAATTATCCATATACATATACAATCCCCAAGCTAATTCTTATTTCCGACGACTATTGTTTCCTTCTCTATCTCTTTCTTCAACGACCTACCTCATTGCTTCGGTAGTTAACTTCGTTGATTAATCTTCTCTCGACGAGGTCACTTATGCTGCCTCATTAACCATTGCCAATCCGGAATTTCCAAACAGCTCATCAACTATCAAACTGAATTGTAAGTCGTCGGTTTAACATCCGTCAGATTCCTAGTTGTCCATTTGTATAAGAATCTCGACCACCAAGCTACCAGAGCATCCAATTGCAAGCTGTGAATATTTAAGGTGGCAGAGACTGCTATATCAGACCCTCTACATCTATTCGCTCAATTTCCAAACCCGCGCTCCGCGATAGAATACTGATAGACAGGCACACAGTTAGGTCTAAATCTTTTATCGGCAACGTTGGGTTGTTCTATCCGATTGTTTGACTTCCAAGGATCACTCCCGAAAGTCCTCAAGTTCCCTCCTACCTAACTACTTCCAGACCTAAATTCGTGCAGTAGCTTCCGAAGAAACGGAAGCCCAGTGCAATTTATGGCCTCGAAATAACATAGCCACTAGCATCCTCCTAATTTCATGGAGGCTATCGTCGACCCTAAACTTGCCAAGCCGACTATCTCGCACTCAATCGACCCTCGACAAACTTCCATCAAGCATGAGCTCGTAATAATACAGAAACTAGCACCGGTCTCGCCCGACATGTCTCCCCGAAAAGTCCCTATTACCTTGACGTATCAAAAGAATGGAACCGGCCCTCCCGTTTATGTGGCGGGATCATTTTCAGATCCGCCATGGCAGCCGCAAGAGATGGACGTCTCCATCGACCAACACGGAACCCACATATTCACTAAAAAGGTCATGGTTGATGATGGCACCGAAATTCAGTACAAGTTTCGAATAGGGTCAGGAGATTGGTGGGTCCTGGATGATAACGCGGATACAGGTAAATATTTACCCTTGCAGCATTTCATAAATGTTGTGTGCTAAGACCTGATCACAAGTCGTTGATGAGATGGGAAACATGAACAATATTCTTAGAGTTTCCATCGACACTGCTCAAGAAGCCGATACTAAGGCGCCAAATCCCCGGATCGATTCGTTGAAAGGTTTGCCCACAAACAATGGCGGGCAAGCCCCTAATATCGCGAAGACCGCCGCCGAGGTGGCTGATACAGCACGTGTCATAGATGCTGGAACGCCCGAGCCGGAGATATCAGATGCTGAAGCAGGCAGAATTGGCATCCGTCGTCTGTCCCACACGCCAATCAACGAAGTTGCACAGACGGCTATGGAAGTTTCCAAGACCGCTGCAACGCTGGATGCGGATCACAGTTGGCACTCGGACGACGAGACCGACGCTGAAGACGGCGAGTGCCCTGTTTTTTCGCACGAATTCATGGGACAGGCGTGTGACGCCAAGAACCGACGGGAAAGCAAGACTGCGTCGGACTTTGACGATTCAGCTATCGATATAGAGAACGTGGATTTCGACGATCCTCAATTGGAGTCGTTCCCGTCCAACAATCGCGACTCTATTCTAGCTGCGGTACGACGCATTTCGACTAGCGTAGACGCCGATCGCACGATTGTTGAGGGAATCCCACCGTCATCTGTTGTTCCGCTATTCCAGCAGGCAATTACTGCAGAAAATCCACCGAAAGACCAACAAAATCTGCATCCCGACGATGCCACGAGGCCGTCTGGTTTGGTTCAGTCTAGTACTAGAAGTTCTCTGGGCTCCATAGCGGAAGACGACGAGTCCCACAACGACAACGCAGACGAGGAGCCGCAGGAAGAAATGAGCCCATTCGTCCAGCATCCTGGACCATCGTGGGGCGCTGGGTCGGAATGTTCTGCTAGCGTAGATTCCAACGACGAGGGCATCGCTATGAGCGTCGAATCTAAGCGAAGGGGCAAAAAGCCCGAAGGCTGCTCTCCCCTGGATTCTGCCCCAGTATCTCCACCCAGCACTAAGGCTTTAGAGGTCGCGGACTCGAACTCCAACGAATCCGCGTCCGCACCCGCGCCCGAAAACGACTTGAATGCTCCGACTGGCGGAGATGATCCACCTGCCGCTAAGAAAGAAGCTTCAAAGAACAGTCCCACTATTGTAGTACGTGGTACATCCACTGACACTTATGGGAGTGACAGCTCTAATACAGCGAGCATAAGCGAGGGAGAAGCCAAATCGACGTCTATCGATCCTAGTAATGAAACGGGCCTGCGAAAGCGAATGGCCGACAAGCCAGTCGTGTCCTCGGCGTCCGCCCAGGATACGGACCGGACCCCAAATTGGCTCGACATCTGCTTGCGATTTGCACTCGTGAGATGGATCGGAGGTTTCGCCGGGTGGCTATACCGTCGTAGAAACAGGGCGTACGTGTTTCTTCTGTTACTTCAACTTTGCGGCGGTTCTATTTATGTTTATACTTCTAACACATGTTTAGGCTCATGGCTGCCGGTACGGCTGTTATCGTCGTTGGCGTCGGCTTGTTATGGCAGAACCCCATCAGCTTGTAAGGGACACATGGACATAAAAAACGTGGCGAGGCTGGCGGAGATTGTTCGAGACAGGCTGATTAATATTGGATCTCCCTTCCTACAACCTATGGTCTTATCAACTGCCGCCGAAGGTATATCGGATTAGAGCTTGGGTCGGTCCGTTTTGTATATTTTACCCAGGTATCTAATATCAAAATTGTGTGGAGTGGTCTATTGTCCATTATAATGACCTAGTGGTTGCATAACGCATAACACATGTTTGCTGTGCCGGGCCGAGGTTATCCTCACTCACTCGGTTCATAATCATCCACCGCCAAGCGCTTACACGAGTGGAAAGATTGCAGTTGGCTGAGAGCCTTGCGGACAATGTTCCTTCTCCGATCCGTCGTAAGACGGCTGCGCAACCCTCAGCACATGCTTACCAACCTCGCTGAATCTCAATCACCTACCACATGTAGCAATGCCTCCGTAGCTTCGTGTAAGGGGGAGGCTTAGGATTCTTGTTCTCCCGACTCCTCTGGTACTTACTGCATATCGTGCATATCCAGTAGAAGGTTAGTAGAAGTATCAAAAAAGCGGGAATACTTCTAGAATGAATGAATGTAACACCAACGGCATGCGGTGCAACATCAACGTAGCCAGGACCCGACGGGGCGGAACGTTGACCTCCCAACACTGCAACACAGTGCCTCCCAGGTCTACTATATATAAAAGAAACTTCCCAAAGTTAGTGTTAGAATGTGTATGGAACATTGGTAGCATCGGCGACGCCGCGGGCTTGCAGCGTAACGGCGCTACTACGTATACACGTGGATTAGGGGGTAGTAGGGAGAGGGTGTGTGAATATGAGATGGGGTTCATCTCACTGAGTTGGTTTCAGAGGAATTGGTTTTCGCGCAGGAGGGAGGATGATGTAAACTACAAACTCCTGACGAGGAGTGTTTCTTCGCAAATTATATATCTATTTATATGAAAGGTACATAGTACCTAATTGATGACAATCTATATGGATTCTCAAGTCCATGGAGGCTCGTTGACGTGTTTTACCAGTCTATCAAATGAAAACATGCCTGATAATTGAAAGCAACAGGAAGACACCATATCCAGGCTCCTTTTTTTCCCTTTTTTTATGCTTCTCTCTTGCTGCATTATGCAATTCAATCATATAAGCAGATTTCATAATGTTGATTAGGTAGAAACTAAACAAGTGTCTTCACATACCTATCCCCATACAAATCCACCGTACCTTACACCACCCGTGAAAATGTTCCCCGCTCTACAAGAGCCGATTTTAGACTTAAATTCTATCTAGTCCAATATATATGTCTAAGTACCTCTAGTTATACACGCGCTGCTTCTATATGACAGTAGTCGAACTTCCCATTCACCATACCTTTGGCCCAAAGGTCTCGCCTGGCGGGACCACGACTTGGATGGCCTTGCCCTGGTAATCCAAAGTAGACGTAACGACATCATTGCCCCACCACCTCGGAGCCTCGATCTCGTTTAGGGTGAAAACGAAAAATATAATCAGCGTTCCCAGCGCGAGGCCTAGGTCAAGTCCAGCAGAGGTGAGGTAATTCAGGCGGCTCCACCATCTGAAATGATGTTTCTTCACCAAGTGCTGGAACACATAGCCCACGAGACCCCAGGACAGGTAGTTCAGCGGTGTAGCAGGCGGGATGGAAGCCGGACCGCCGAATATAAGTGGCGCCATAAGGTGCTTAGCAGGTGAGTGGGGCCATCGTTTCGCCGCGTACCAAATGGCTATGGGAGCGACAGCGCCGATGATAAAGAAGATTAGGAGTCCAGAGTAGATCTCCCCTGGGGAGAAGACACGGGAAGGCCCTATGAGGCCCCATATCACGGAAGCTAAGATGAAAACACGTAAGTCGTTACAGTCAATATAGTAGCTCTGAAGGTAGAGACCGTACCTGAGAAGAATACTCGACCTCCAGGACATGTAAAGCGCTGAGGCTGTGTTAAGTCGCAGACGCCATCAATGTTCTTAAGAGCAAAGTTGAGAACAGCGACTTGGATAAAACACGATAATGTCGTAGCTACAACTTGAGCCATGAACATAGTTCGGGGAGGTATCTTCATATAATGCCCAAATTTGAGGTCGGAGACGAAGCTTAGAGCTTGCGACATCGTGATATATCCATACGTTTTGAATCTTTTCGTTCTGTCAGCATCAATGCGCATAGAAATGATAGGATAACTAACAGCATAAGAGCAAGTGGCCGACCGGGCTGAATATAACCATAGACGAACTCAGTCAAGACATTTAGGCCAATCTGATGGTTTGTGACAGCCTGGATGATGCCAATAGGTAAGGAGAATGCGAAGGAGATGCCCACGGCGAGCAAGAAAGCCCACCAAGTCAGATTGGTCGGGTACGCTAAGACGGCAAAGAAGCCGAGAGCAAGTACCTGTTTGATTGTTTAGCGATTGAGATACTAGGATTACTTCATTGATGATATAACGAACAATTGCGAACAGAATAAAGTACCAGGACGATGGTGCCTCCTTGTATTTCTGCATAAGTTTCATATGTACTACATATTGAGTTAGCAATTGACATTAGAACAGTGGCATAAGCCAAGGTTACGGGCATTTATGAAATTTACACGTACTATCAGGTTTTTCAGAAGTGCTATTCCTATATTGAGCCCAAATGGTCTTGCGATGATGGATGTATGTATAAACAACTAAGGCGGTAATGGCCGCAAACGACAGGCCGTAAGATAATGCGAAGGTTGTGCTATATCATCTGTGAGCTTGAGTTATAGCTAAACGATGGAGTTATCGAACCTAATGAAAACTGGCGAATATGCCTTATACGCTTCTTCATCCAGAGTGAACTCAGGGGTTAATATCTTCTTCACATCGTATGTCGCACCAGTGTTATCGTACGTGGAAGAATCGCTCATGGGCAAGAATTGAGAATACCATACACCTGTATAATGGAAAAATGTAGTGAGTATGATATAAAACAGCACGACGCCGATGGTTGTGTTGGCAATGGCGCTCCTGGCGATTCGTTAGTCACTGGATAATGTCATTAGGCTCTAGGCCGAAATTTGACTGATTGGCAAAACAAACCATGGAGGGATTAAAGGCGACCCGATGTATCCTGCGATCTGCGTCCAGTCGAAGGTAATCGGCAATAAGGATATGCCCGTATTGCCGCCGAACAATTGGTTCACCACAACGTTTTGAGGTGCCATCCAGGTTGCGAAGGCGAAGATACTTAAGCATTGAACGACGTAGCCGGGAATGAAATAATATAGGGCGGAAACGAGTGTCACGATGCCAAACCATCTATATCTCGGCATGCGTCCGCCGATAATCGACGGGTCCGGAGCTTGGTGTTTTTCATACATTGCATTCATCAGGGCGACGGCAACCAGGTTACCAGGCCAGATCATAGAGGCCGGGTAAACTAGAAAGGGATGGGTCTATCAGCAACCTATGGCGCAAAGACACCGGCAAACACTGGTAAGCAGACTCACCTAAGAATTTTCGCATCATGCCTGCGATCCCGTATCCCAAAGACTGCGTTGAAACTACCAATACAAGTTGAAATATCATGCCAAAATCCTGCTTATAGAATACACGTTGGGCGAGAATGATATCGGTAGCGTAGGCTACGGAAAAGGAGACGCCAGCCATGACGACGATGATCGAGTGCTCCTTAATGTTGAAAGGCCCCGGATTCAAATGGCATCTTAAACCAAAGATCTTAATCTGTCGATTAGGCATTGCTTTCTCCCAACCGCGACCGAGGGGCCAGGCGATGATCTGGGCGATGAGAGTTCCTAGGCCGATTGAGGGCTGTCTTAAGGAGAACAAAGTGTTCGTTGAAGCGCCGAGGAGCACCAAACTCAAGCCAATTGTCCAGGCTCGCAGAGTATTACACGGGAGATCCTCATCGTAATTGGGGACCGTAGCTCGAACCTCTTCATATGGTGAATTCTCTTCAGCCGCTTTAGATGAGGTTTCGTCGTCGAAAGATTGCAAGCTCTCAGAGTCCATCCTGCGAAGTTCTATGGCCTCCTCGCCACCGAGATGCTCGTCGGGGTGGTTTGGATCTAATAAATGTTCGAATTCTTCACCCTCTTCATAATCTTCGTCGTTTCGAGCGCTAGACTCGGCCCATTCCGAGAGGCGACGCTTTGAACCATTAGCAGGGCCGTTCGCTGGGCCAGCATGATGACGCGCATCATGTCCTCTTGCACGGTGCCTCATCTCAACCGCACTTTCATCGAGGTCTGAGTCATCGGAGGGAATACCATCATCCCCTCTCATTCTTCCCTTTTCAGCCGTGCCAGACGGCTTCGAGGTTTTGCTATTCATCTTGAAAGACTAATAGTTTGATGATCCAATCAATCTAATTCTTTAGCCCTCAAGTACCATAGAGTTGACTCTTGGGTGAAGGGTCTCCTCCAATGATATGCCAATGGTCAATCGTCAATGGCCCCCAGGTGCGGCTTACACGGATTGTCCGTGAATGTTGAAGCAAGTAGTGAGCCATAAACTTTCTTTGATCATGCAGATATCGTTCGTTTCCTAGTAGAATCTCGCAATATAACTACCGTTTACATAGGTAGGTATATGAAAGTTGGTAAAGGGTTTAATCGAGATATGTAGTTCTGACATAAGATTGTGGTTGTCGTCCCCTTAAACCACCGCCTGGATCCAATGTGTGAAACGTGTTCAAATTCGCATCTGTTTATGATGTAGGCTTTCTCTTCGACGGCTAAGATGTGATGATTCGAATTGACATAATATTGTCATTTATAGATCGTTGAATTGGGCTAAGATTACCAATTTGGAGTTACTGTCTTGAGAATTATGTAGGAGTAAAGATAAGGTGCAGCTGTGTTAAGCTCTGGATAGTTGTATCATTAATGTGAATTGGTACTAACTAAAATTAGATCAACCGCGTCCCTCCGCGTGGCATAAACCTGGCGCTCGGGACGCTATTGCCCTCCTTGTACCTACAGCTTGTGTCGGGTAGCTGCATAAGCCAATGCCGCTTGCCGCAGTCCGATCCAATAGAATAAATATGGTTAACTTCATAATCGCGTAATTAACTCATCCACATCTCATCCGCTGCTCACTTTTAATGAATTTTTATGGATTCTCAATAATTATCGGTTCTAAAAGTCAGCAAATCCATCCCTAAAATTCAACACCAAATGGCTTGATTTCTTAGATATACTGTACAACTCGAATATCCAGGCTAACTCAGGTAATCCTGATTATGGCAAAGAATGCGCCGGGTTGTCATCACAGGCCTCGGCGCCATCACACCCCTTGGCGTAGGTGTTCGACGTTCGTGGAATAGGCTGATTGCTGGACACTCCGGCATCGTAAGTGTGGCAGGGTTTGAACCACAGAAGAAATGGCGCGACCTTACTAGCACCGTAGCTGGAATTGTGCCAAAATCGAGTACCGGTGAAGGTCAGTGGCGACCAGATGACTGGCTGTCTGCCGCAGATCAGCGCCGCATGTCCGCGTTCACGCAATATGCGATAGCTGCAACAGAAATGGCTCTCAGTGACGCTGCGTGGAAGCCGCATAAGCAGGAGGACCTGGAATCAACTGGAGTCTGTCTAGGAAGTGGTATTGGAAATTTAGATGAGATATACGACACTAGCCTCGCCTACGAACAAGATGTGAGACCGAGTGCATTCTATCTCATAAAACATTTCATGTTTACTAAACATCTATTCGCGTAGGGCTACAAGAAGGTATCTCCGCTCTTCGTCCCGAAGATTCTCATCAATATGGCAGCCGGGCATATCGCTATGAGGTACGGCTTTCAGGGTCCCAATCATGCTGCAACGACGGCTTGCACTACAGGTGCGCATTCTATAGGAGATGCCTCGCGCTTCATTGCGTTTGGAGATGCGGATCTCATGGTTGCAGGAGGGGCAGAATCGTGTATCCATCCTCTCACATTTGCTGGATTTGGAAGATCGCGTTCTTTATCTACCGCTTTCAACAACGACCCGCCTTCGAGCTGTCGGCCATTCGATCGCCAACGCAACGGATTCGTCGTCTCTGAAGGCGCAGCTGTTGTAGTTCTGGAGGAATTAAAACATGCGAAGGCTCGAGGCGCTCGAATATATGCCGAGCTAAAGGGGTACGGGAGTAGTGGAGACGCTCACCACATGACGGCACCTCGCGAAGATGGATCGGGGGCATACCTCGCTATGAAGAAGGCTCTAAAACATGCCGGGATCAAACCTCGTGAAGTCGATTATATCAATGCGCATGCGACTAGCACTCCTGTCGGCGACATTGCTGAAGCCCTTGCGATTCGTTCGCTGATGGTCGGTGAAGAAGGGTATTCCAATGAAAGCCATGTTGCGGTTAGTAGTACCAAAGGATCTATAGGACACCTTCTCGGTGCTGCTGGTGCGATTGAAGCTATTTTTTCAATTCTAGCGATTACCGAGGTGAGTGTTGATCTCTACGCCCTAAACTTGTAGCGATTATACACAACTAATATTTTCCTTCTTCACAGAACGTGCTTCCTCCGACATTGAATCTAGTAGAACCTGATGTTGAGCCCAAGTTCAACCTTGTTCCTCTTGAAGCCCAAGAGAAGAAAGTCAACGTCACTTTATCCAACAGCTTCGGTTTTGGCGGCACGAACGCAACATTAGTCTTCTCTGAGATTTGACTGGATTGATACTCATCAACTCTAGATATTACACTCCACGACCTATGTAACAATAATAGTCTAGGGCTATAAAGCTGATAATCATATATCTTATACACTACAAAGCCGGTAAACTTTAGATCCTTGATGCATGTCAATTTGAGGGAACAAGTACAATGTACCTTCCGTACCCACATCTAAGCCCTGTCAAGGATCGTGGGGAATGAGCAGGGGTCCAAGCTTCTAGCTCTTTTAAAATTCAATCTTTTCTCTGATGCGCACATGTCAATGACGTTGAACATTCAACACTCGACCTCAAAGGCACTTCATCGTCCAATGGTCCAACGGTCCAACACCAATGACCATTCGCAAACTTGCAACATCGATACCACGGTAGCAAATGGCGTGCCGAAATTGCAGACGGCAGTTCGCTCTGCTTATGCGACGTGCCACCACAGCCACGGAAGTCCAAAATGTCGCTACCTTCCGCCAGCTCGTCGCCGTCGGGTCTCCTCAACTTAACCAAAGAAGGGCTTTCAAGAGCACTCCCCGCCAATTAGGCATCCGCGACGCAATCGCCAACGCCTTTACAAGATCGGCCGAGCCTTATCGAGTAGTGCAAGCTACTGAGGATATATACAAAGCATGCGCTCGCCAGGCGACATACACAATATCCGCGAAAGATAGGACAGCTGGGACAATACCGAAGACGGCCGAAGGCGAGGACTTGGGCGAAGGGGGGACTATGTGGCACAAGGGTAAATAATGACCTTTATAATCTTCAATGATCTCCTACCATTGCCATTTTTAACATTCGATATCTCGATCTCCAGAATTCGGGCTCCCACCAACCTTCAGCACATGGTCGCAAATTACGATGCTACACATGTACCTAGTCTTCGCGCGGCTCCGTGACCTCGAACAAGAGTCGGCTCGATTATGGCAGCGGCAGCTCGTAGACCACTACTTCTTCGACGCCGAAGAAAAGATGGATTTAGTCCACGGCATAAGCTCGCGAACTTTACGACACCGCTACCTTAAAGACTTGTTCGTGCAATGGCGCGGCATCATAGCGGCTTACGACGAGGGCGTCATCAAGGGTGACTCTGTACTGGCTGCCGCCGTGTGGCGCAACGTATACAAGGCCCGGGAAGATGTCGATGTGCGCGCGCTGGCGGCCATCGTTAGCTGGATGCGGTTGTGCCTTCAGATGCTGGATAAGATACCGGATGAGGCGTTGTATATCCAGGCTAAGTCTGTTTTCAAGTGGAATGCTATAAGCGAATTCACGCTCGTTGATGCGCCTGTGAGGGAACTCGAGAAGGTCTTACAACCAACAATAACGAAAGTTCCCGTGGGCGATGCCGCGAAGGCTGTTGCATAGGGCTTAGACGTAGAGCAGTATGGTGTAGTTACGGAGATATAACGACGGCATGGCATGTCATGTTGATGGGGTGTTAAAAAAGTCTGGCGTCATATATCACACTAGTCTTTGGGTGTCAAAATACGCCCTACATGCGATAAAAGTCACAATCTCACTTGGAGATTACACTTCGTAAATATTGTATAGCATATCATAAAATCAACCAACCCTCTCCCATAGTTGAAACTCATACCGCGTTCCATTCTCCTCTTGCACACCCTCCGGCACCGTCTCCCCCGTCCAAGCATCAAGTTCATCCTTAGACTTCCTCACCCAGCCATTCGTGCCTTGCTCGTCCAACTCCAGCGGGAAGAAGGTATCGCACTCAAAGTCCAGCGATTGAATTCGCGTCAGCAGCACACGCTTTGTCGCAGGTAGCTTCAGCGCCGCGTCGTAGATCTGCGCGCCGCCGATGACAAACGCTTTCCCCGTCCCGGATGCGGACTTGAGGTACGTGAGGGCATCCTCTAGAGACTGGACTTTTACGGGACCTTCGACTTGCGCTTCTTCCTGTTTCTGAAGAGAAGAGTAACTAGGATGCGAGCGACTGACGACGATGTTGAGACGCCCCTTCAATGGCCGGAATTTAGGTGGTATGCTGTCCCATGTCTTGCGTCCCATAATGACGGCATTTGACGTAGCGGTAGGCAATTGCGCAGATACGCGCCTGGTTACACGTGCGAAGTAGGCCATCTCCTTCTTGAGACCTGTCCAAGGAAGTGTGCCGTTGAGGCCGATGCCCATGTTTCGGGTTGCGGCCACGATGAGGGTTAGCTCCGGGTGAAGCATTTCTGATGAAGAGTCGGACATTGGCCTTTCTCGTTTTCAAAGAGTCGTCGGGCAATCAGAGAATCAGACTAAGTGATATATTCTGACTTATGAAATCAATAATTCCGACAGTTTAATGATATAGGATTGGTCAATTTCATGAGTTGTTTGACTCTACAGTAAGTTGATGAAATTTGAAGATAAAGTCACTAACAATTAATTTTCGAAAATTTAGCACAATTAAGTCTCCTCCAAAAAGCATCTCATCCCTCGCCATTCCTATTCATCCCCAGCATAACATAAGATAAGTATAAAGTAATTGTACGAAAATTAAGTATTTTCAATTTTTAAAAACTCTTAAAGGAAATTTCGATAGTTTCAATAAGAGAGAATTCTTAAGCTGTGTTGTACTACTACGATGAGAATCTCCCTAGGGGCATCATCATCTCTCAAGCAAAAAGGAACTAGATACCTACAATATGAAGTAAAATACTTGCGTTTGGTATTCATTTAGTTCAAGATTTCTAAGGAGTCGATGTTGCTATTTAAGCCTATTCTGAATCCCCAACATCAGAAAAGGGGCACACAACCTTATCCAAACACAAGGAGTTCAGTTTCGACCATAGGTAATTAGATTCAGTTTCATCATATACCAGTTACTCAAGCAGCAGCCGCAGCGATCTTTCCCTGTCCTTGCTCCTCTCTCTGCCTCTGATTCTGTTCCTCCTCCATCCTCCTCAACTCCTCCCTCTTCATCGCCTCCTGAATGTGCACCCTCTCCGGCACTATCCTTTCCCTCGGCATCGTAGTCTTCCACCCCTTCAACATCTCCTCGCCACCAACCGCATCCATCGTTTTCCGCTCCACCAAACTATACTCCCCCCCTTTGCCCTCCCCCCTATCGAAGCAAAACGGCTCCTTTAGGCTCACCGGCGGATTCGTAATGATCCTAACATCGCGCCTCGCATTGCTCGTCGCGCTATGCATCATCAGCGGGTGCAGCAAATACACATCCCCCACACTCCCCGTCGCCTCCACGAAATCCTCATCAGCGCAGCTCTGCACAACGTCGCAATACCACTTTAAATTCCGCTCCCTCGGAAAATCCGGATGCGCCCTCTGGACCATCCTCGGCGACAAGCCCTCAGGATGCTCATACAGCTCCCTCGCCACGTTCCCAATCGCCTTCGGACAAATCATCGTCCCGCCGCCCTCGCTCACGATATCCGTGAACAGCGGAATGACCAAGAGAGCCTGCTCAGGACTATCCAGAAAATGCACGAAGAAATCGCCATCGACATGCCAGCCGCCCAACTCCCTCGGCGGCACCGGTCTCCCCTCGCGCTCCGCCGTGCCCAAGTTCACGATAAGCGAGTCGCGCCACTCCCCGCTCTCGGGCGCGACGCGGTCTTCGCCGCCGCACAGCTCGCAGATGGCGGCCCAGGCCCGGGGCGCGAAGGCCGCGCACGCGAAGGACCGGTGCGAAGGCATGTTCGTGCGCTCGCGGCTCCACGTGGATTTATCCGTCGGGGACATGCCGAGGCGCGTCCACACGCCGTCCGTCACGGACGCGGCTTGCGCGCGCGTGAAGCAGTTGCTTAGCTTGAGGTACCCGTGCGCGAGGAAGAAGGCTTTTTCCTCTTCGGTGAGGGGCGCTGGGGGGGATGCCATGGTTGGGGGGTTGGGGAGATATTTTGTGTGGTCTAGGAAATGTGTGAAGGGGCTATGAAGTAGAGGTATATCTACAACATAGGTATGGATGTGTATCGAAGGGAAAGTCCGAAAGAAACCTCCTTTTCCTTATGATAGCTTTTCTGTAGTCTATATACCCCGGAAGCTTGAGCCTACTCATTCACGTCCCCTCTTCTTGGGGTAGCTCTATATTTACGTGGGGAAGTCGGCAGATCGAGCCGTGATTCCATTCTCCAACGGAGAGTGAGGCGGTTTCGGAGAACTGTTGGAGAACTCGGTTCGGTTTGCGTGTTTTGTCGATAACATTGTGCCGATATTTGGGGATGGCGAGCTACATGATGAGACAGGCGGGTATGGAGCCTTCGAAATAATAAAGAGTATCTATATATCCGGGGTTGCGTGATACAATTAAAATGATTTTCATCGAAGGAATTTTTTATCTATAGAGACACTTTCTATATATCTATAGTTACCCATAGTGTACCTATAGATAGTCGCAATAAGCACCGAATCTATACGAATATCAAATCTTGAAAGGGATATGATACCAACAGACAAGAATGCCATCTATCATGACGTCGCACCACGGAGATCACTTAGCTTGTCAACGTAGTATGCCGGAACGGCCACAGCATCCTCGGCCTCCCAGTGCTCCTTTTTGCTCACGCCAGTTAGTACGGCTAGAGTCCCTCCTAGGCCACCCTCGATACCGAACTGGATATCGGTGTTGAGTCTATCGCCGACCATGCAAGTCCGTGCTCGGTCTAACTTGAACTTCCCTTCGATGGCGTCCATCATGGCCTGGCTCGGCTTTCCAAAGGCCAAAGGCGTTTGTCCCGTCATGTTGACCAGAGGTACGGATATGGAGCCGGCACCGGGAAAGAAGGTATGGTTCATGGGTAACGTGCTGTCGAGATTGGTTGCGAGGAACTTGGCGCCCCGTCGGATGTACTGGAAGCCCATAGCTAGCTTAAGATAATTGATGTGAAAGTCCAATCCCGCGAGCACAATCCCGACATCCGGATCTAGTAGTGAACCATCGGCCAGCCCGTTAAAGTCCTCGGGCGTGATATCCCGTCTTAAAGCCGGGTCCGTACCGCCGATAAATGGTACACCCTCGGTGCGTAATTCAGATTCAATACCACTCTCGCCGATAACAAACACCTTGTTCTTAGGCGCCGACAATTTCAAGATGCGCGAAATATAGATCGCTGATGAGTAAGCCGAAGCGAAGATCTCCTCAACGTCGCTCGGGATGCCCAAAGCCGTTAATTTCTTCTGATAGTCGGGCCGGGATTTTGTAGAATTGTTTGTGACGAAAACAATTCGTTTCCCTTACAGACTTTAGTTGTCGCTGCTCACAACACGCAACACGTCGGACTTACCCTTAGATCTCAGAAACTCTAGAGTTTCGACGATACCCTCAAAGAGATGGTCACCGGACCATAAGACTCCTACACATTTTCAGCCTTTAATCCCTTGAAATTTTCTGATCATCCTAACCATCGCAATCAAGTAAGAAGACCTATAAAAGTGAGATTCGCAATGCAGTTATGAGTGGTTGGTCTTGAAAATAACTCACATCAAATTTATCGAGAAACTCATTAAGAGCGGTAGAATCGCCAGTTAGGTACTTAGGTAATTGAGTCATTTTGAATCTAAGCCCGCCGATGAAATAATGGCAAAAGGAAAAGAGAGACAAGTCTAAGAATAGAAATAGGTAATGAAATATTGACACTGTCGTCGAAATTAATCTGCCGTGTAAGTGTCTATGTTTAGGTAGAGTGTAGATACATAGTAGAGCGTAGAAAGTTGTAAAAGTAAAGTTCTTAGACAGTCTAAGACACGCAGTCCGGTGTTTGAATCAAGTACCTCGGATCCGCTCTCCGTCCGTTCCCGGCGCCAATGCTGTACGCCCGGTTAAGATAGCACCTGTAATATACGGGGATAGGGGATACCATATCTATGCTCAACACTTATTCCCAGATTTAAGCAGCAGGTTAACTGTTGAGACATACAATTATATTTGTATTTATTAGGTAAATTGAATTTTGCTTTAATTCGTACCGATACAGATACACACCCCAGCACCAAACTGACGTACCGAATATTCGCACGCAAGGTACCCGACGAACCGGATCTACAAGCAGCATTGCAGTGCCGAGAAGCTTCTGCAACCCTTCCGCCCTTCCAAGCTTGACCGTGCTGCGGCTTGATTGATTGCCATGGGCGTATAGCCAAGTATTATCGTGGCAATCTGGAATGAAATTCCATATATTGGCGTTGGTGGACTTGTCAGGTAGACTCAGCATCAACATCATCGTAACCACACACTTCCGTCATCCTATATAGGTGCTCGAAGATAGATAGATAGGCGTTTCTAAAGATATTTTATCTGCTGCATTGAAACCCTACCTGCGCAACCAGCGAGTCTGTGCCTGGATGGGGTTGCGGGGAGGCTTGCATGTGAAAACATCCTAGGCTATGGTTGGGCCGTGATCGTGATGTCGTATATCGTGATTGACGAGTTAGGGCCCTGAGTTGATATAGTCGACAGTATTCCCGATCATGCATATTCACACCGAACTAAGTGACTTGTCGCCTTACCTCTTCGGATAACAACAGACGACAAGGTTTTCGAGTGGTTCTGATCCCCCACCGATGAATGGGATCGTGTAAATTCCTACCGAGAGGCCCCATCGCGTGCTACCTTGATTAGGTAGGCTCTGCTCTAGTTGTCCATGAATAATTCTCTGCCCTGCCTTGCCTGTTACCTTAGATATACCCAATCGCCTACTTTTAGGTACCTAAGGTGAGAAGAGCGGTGGGCATCATTCCATAATAGCCTCATAAATACGACATTCGCCACCGCTGACAGACCAACTCCGATAGGTTCTAATAGATATTTTCATCGTGAGCATCGTTGACAACATCGACTTGAAAATCATCTCCTGGTTGGAACGTGAAGGGATAGGGAATTGGTTGGTGGTGGGGTCCTGCAGATATTAATAAGACGCAAGGTGAATGGGCACAACGGGCTGAACGGCCAGAACGGCCAAAGATTTTTAGTGACCCGAATTAACCTTCTTGGGGATCCTTGGATGTTGCGCAGACCCCCACCAATCCATTATCGAGACCCATTAAATCTTGCAAGCCTGTTCCCTGTCCCGCCCCTCTGGTCCGTCCAAGATCAGTAAGCCCTACGTCAATCCACCCCGCCATACCTTTCCTCGCAGTCTCGTCATTGTTCTTTCCTTTATTCTTCGTCACGTCGATGTACGTTATTAATGATACTAACACCAGACATGAACAACCTTGTAACTAATAACTTAACCTAAACATCTTTTCGCCACATGTGAATAAGACCCAGACTGAATGGCCGCAAAGCCTTCGTCTTCTTGTTTCGCTCATACCTAAAACACACGATATTCGTACCTATACATACTATATGGATCAAAAACTTTAGTCCTTTTCCCTTGTCATGGTCAATTGACAAGCGCCTGTCAGTCCAATAACGAAACAACCAGCTTCGACGCCAAGGACCTTAGTGGCTAGACTACCCAGATCCTTAAGCATATCCATACCTGGTACTGCTAGGTACTAATGACGAATGAACACACCTTAGGCACGAGGGGTATTCTATGTACGTCGTTCAACATCGATCCTTAAATCTAGCATCGTCACATCGTGGATATCCCAAGGAACAATATAAACGATATTCACCTTTTTAAACCTACACCTGTTATACCCATACCCATCGTACCCGTCATATATCTTCCCAATTCCCAACATTTTGGCCATCACAAAAGTCTTCCCTGTCTTATCGATACTCATTAACCTTACTTGAACCTTCCACCCTTGATAACAAGTACCTAAATTTAGGTACGTAAGGTGCTTCCCTCAAGAAAAAAAGAAAAAAAATCACTCGTGAAAGCTGTACCTACCCCACTATCGTCCTCCGCAAACAATTGACAATTCCCCAAATTCTATTCTCGTCTCGATTATTTTATTTATTGATTCATATCATATCATCTTGTATTCCTTTCTAGCCTCCTAGTAACTCACTTATACCCATCCAGGACCACATCATTATCAGCACTCGCGATGCCGGGAAAACAGCCCAATCTATTCGCTTTCAGCGACGTCGACGCCTTAGCACCAGCCCTGCGATCATATATTATCACAGCTCAAAACGCCGGTATCACGCGCCATGGCGTCTTCAAGGTTGCCGTTTCCGGTGGCTCGCTACCTAATACCCTTGCGAAAGCCCTTCTAGGCACCCCGAAATCCGAGGAAGATTCTGTCAAGTTTGACAAGTGGGAAATATTCTTCGCCGACGAGCGAGCTGTGCCTCTCGATCATGAAGAAAGCAACTTCGGACTACTCAAGAGAGAGCTGCTAGACAAGATCCCCCCTGAGCTAGGAGCACCTACTATACACGCCATTGACACCCAGTATCTGGACGACACGCAAGAGCTGGCAGATCGGTATGAGAAAACCCTTGTCGGTTCGTTTGCCAAGGGTGATTCCGTCAAGCTTCCCATCTTCGATTTATTACTCCTCGGTACCGGCCCAGATGGCCACACCTGCAGTCTTTTCCCAGGTCACCCGCTCTTACGTGAGACGGACGCGTGGGTAGCTCCTATTGAAGACTCACCTAAGCCGCCACCCCGACGTATCACCCTAACTCTCCCCGTCGTTACACATGCCGTTAAGGTCGCCTTCGTCGCCACGGGTCCTGCAAAGAAGGAGATTATGAAGGAGATATTCGAGCAAGGAAACGGCCTTCCATGCGCAATCGTTAACGAAGCGACGGGTGAGCGATGCAGCTGGTTCACCGACAACGCTGCCGTAGAGGGCGTCAGCTTCCCCCGGCGCGGGTTCCTTTAGAAGCTGATATCCTAGGGCTGAAAGTGAATATGCTGCCGGGCGTGGCGTTTTGCTAAGGGGATCGACAGGTCGGAGGGGAAAAGATGGGAGAGGTACTGGCGTCCACAAGCGGCTTATGAATGTTATGTGTTCGACTGATGACGTTATTAATCTAAGTTAGAGTGACGATGGGTGGTGGTATTTACGGCCATGATGAAACGTGCGCATTTAATTAATGCATCGCCACGCCCACTCTGTTGAGGTGTGATCGAGGTGTCTATCAGACAGGATTCTGGTACTGAGCACGCAGATTTATTCTTTTAGAGAAGTTCTCGATTTAGACCTTCTTTTCGCAAAGAGGGATTTTGGAATATTGATTATATTTTATCATAAGTCCTTCGGAAGGTTGTAGGATTTTGACTTGTGTTGTCTTACGATTGCTATACGTCGTGTTGATGTTACCTCGATGAGTGTGATAATGGTTCCTCGGAATTTGCCTGAAGTCAGGTAAGGAGACCAAGTGGCGTGATAGGTAGGTATAAGTTAGCCAAATACTACATAATTCGCTTTAAAGAAAAAAAAACCAAAAAAAAAACCGGTTACGACGGTCACGTAATTATTTAGCTTCAAGGCCTTGATGTAGATAAATCCCCTTGCGAATAGCCAATGTTGAAATCATTAGACGTGTCTGCCATGGGCTTAGGAGAATAAGGGGTTGGAGAATCGTCCTGACTTACTGAAGCTTTTGATTTATTGAGATGAGATTAACTCACGATTTCTGCACTGGAGAGAGCGATTTACTAAAGCCGAAATATTCATGATGAGTTCTGATGTTGATACTATAAAGCTCATCACAATCAACACGAGTCAGTAGAATTGTAGCGAAATGAGTCAGAGAGTTCTGAGATAGCTCTAACGATGATCTGATTTGGTAAATGCCTAAGTGTTACCCCTTTTCTATCCTTTATCTATCACAATTTTCCTCGTCTTAAGCTAGACGTAGTATAATATCCGTAAGGTAACATTGCATCTATACCTTCACGCGCACACACCCACACACCTTCAATACACTTCCCTCGTCTCCTCCCTCTCCTATCCTAATCAAACCCCACGCCCTCCTTACATGCTACCATATCTACCTCCCCTCAAGTTTCTTCTCCCTAACCCACGCGCTCGCAAACACCGCCATAAACGCGAAAATCACAACCGGGAGAAAAGCCCATTGTACGGCAACCGCATAGCAAGATCTCACCAGCTCCGCGATCTGGGGCTCGAGCTGGCGTATGTAATCCAAGCTCTGACGGACTCCCTCCTCGATCTGTCGAGCGCGGTTATCGTCGTCTCCGAGGGAGGCGGCGAGTCCCGTGCGTAGCACTTGCTGCAGGACCGCTGTCGATATGCTAATTCCGAGTGTTGTGCCTAATGATCGGAATAGGTACGAGCACGCGATAGCTACTGCGGTGTCGCCGGGAGCTGCGTTGGCGATTATGGCGATGAGAGTGCTGGTGATTGCTGTTACTTACTGTTAGCGTTGTGTTACATGACCCCCTTTTTGAATATTTTCCTATGAGAGAAATAGGACCATGGAGAAAGAGTGAAAATGATGGAAGAGATTGGATAGGAGGGAGAAAACGTACAGATACCTCCACCAAACGCAGTAATACACAATCCCACGATGACACCTACGGTTGACTTTGTCACTACACCCGTAAATGCCACCATCGGCGCCACGCTGAGAATCATAAGAGCATATCCAAGCAGCGTGATCCAATAATATTTCCCCGTACTTCGCATAAAAATGCCTCCCCCCAGAGACCCCGCAAGTCCGAAGAACGTGCTGGGTATGAACATGAACCCGGACTCGGTAGCCGAGAGGCCCATTGCAGCTTGGAAGAACAGCGCGATGAAAAACAGAACGCCCATCTGCGCCGCGACACCAAAGAAGTTGGCCATATACGCTGCCAGCAATGGCGGGTCTAAGATGATGTGTCCTGGCGCGAATGGTTCCGAGGCTACTTTGACTTCAACTAGGATAAAGAGGGCGAAGAGGACCGGAGTTAAAGCTAAAGGGATGATCGTGATCTTCTTATCCCAACCCTCGTTACTTCCATTGTCAAGGCCAAATAGCAGCACAAACGCGGCCGAGACGAGAATAAAAGCACCCAAGAAGTCAATACGGAGTATTTTGGTAGTCCAATGCGCGTGATCCGTCTTGGGCAGATGGAGCACCAGATATACGGCAAGCCAAGCGATCATAGACAGTGGAAATTGCGCAGTGAAGGCCCATCGCCAGCCGATGCTATCAGCTATCAGGCCGCCGATAGGAGCACCCGATGACATACCAGCAGAGAAAATGATATTGATGTAGCCTTGCCACATGCCGCGATCGCGAAGAGACACGATATCTGTGAGAAGGATAGTGACGACGGCGTTCATGCCACCGCCGCCAATTCCAGCTACGGCACGGGCTACGCAGAGCTGGATAATATCCTGAGCTAGACCACATCCTAGGCAACCCACTCCGAAGACGAAGTACGCAAACAGCAGGGACTCCTTACGGCCGAAGATATCGGATACCTTGCCATATAACGGCTGGAAGGCCGTCAAGGTAAGGAAGTAAGAAGTGGATATCCAACTTGTCGAGTTCAACGCGTTGAGATCACTACCCATTCTGCCATAGGTGGCGATGGTTAATGTCTGATCCATAGCGACCAGGAAGACCTGTTGTTATAGATTAGCCTTACGCATATTTCACCGAGACCTGCATGTATAAATTAAGGGGAAAGATGGCTTAGATATAACGACAAGCCGTTTTTGGAAGAATCTACTTACACCAATGGCTATCGCCGGGAACAACGCCTTCAAGTTTACTTTCAGCTTCGGGGCGTCGCCTTTCGGCACATCGTCGTCAGTATCACTAGCCTGGCCGCTTTCTACGTCGCCCGTTTCGCTAGTACTGACGACCGAACCGTTCTTATTCGGGAATGTGCCATTAGACCGTACCTCGGCGGCATCGCTTGCGGCGGAGGCATTGGGACCAAGCAAAGGAGCGGTCTCTGAGGACGGCGGCCCTTCGGCGTGGATCGGTAATTCGGAAGGCATTGCCAAGGCCAGACAAGACTTTCACGATTCACCGTATATGTAACTATAGGACAAGGCCAATGCTCTCATCGAACAATACGGGAAGTTGCCTCGAAGTCAATTTAGTGAAAGAGAGCCGCGCGACAATGAAAGGCTGGCGGATTTCGCGGATTCGGTTCCCCTCCGAGAGACGGAGATTGTGTAGGACGTGAGTTAACGGTGCTGCATCTCCACCATCACGCTATCGGCCGATTCGATTGGTCGTAGATGATTGCTAATCCGTAAGAAGGATCGCATGCAGGTTCGCAGAGATAATGATACCCTACAACCATGGCGATGTTGCTTTCGAAGTCCTATATTTCCATTAGGATGTGATAGTGCTTAGACAAATGAAGTAATAGATAATTGGAAAGTCAATTGATATAAACTTTTATATTGTATTGGCTTTTATTCGCCTAAATGCAAACAATTATGTCAGAAGTTTACTCTACGCGGGCTAAGTTCAAGCTTGCGTTGCACCAACCTCTAAGTGCCGGCGCTATTACACTATCAATTAATACTCAATTGTTCTCCAGTACCGCTTAGGTAAATACAATGTGCGCGCCTCGACTTGAATTTTGCACTATGCGAAGTACTATAATCACGAGAATATCGCATCGGTATATGCGTCGGTATATGTAGATGAACCCAGATGCAGCATCTCTTATCTACCGAATTGCAGAGCTGCATGTCAACAGCTTAGAATGTATGACCTGCTAGATGCACGTAACCGCGGTGTGTTCGTACACACATGTATAGTAAATGGGTTCAATTTAGCAGACCGGGCGTGTGGAATTCGTGTTGCGTTATTCGGGTGAAATACTGCATTTTTAACGCTAAGACACTGGGTCCAGAAAGTCTTCAGGGGTCTGTTTCTCGTCGGTCACGGGCTTACCTCAGGTTTGACCTTGGCTCCATTCTTGAATATTCCTATTTGAGAGAATGTGATTGTGGTAAGAAACATTCGCTTCTTAAGATGAGTAAAATGTAAACAAATAGATAGAAAAATATATCGAAATGACTGTATAATGAGTATTGTCAATCACTTGGGTTTATCCCAGTCTTCATGAAATCATTGTTGACTTCGTCCAGCTCGTCCCGTGCATACGGAACATCTCGATCACAACCACGCTATCGTCCATATCGTCTGTGATCTGCATTAGTGGACCAGTGGAACCGGAAAGGCTACCTAAATCCCGTAACAGTGACTGGTTTGCCCCATTTTTGCCAATGCCCCCCTGATAATCATAGACAATTTGACATCACAACTTGAGTTTAGCAGACTGGCAGAAGAGAGCTGAAGTTTTCAAGGAATTCTGTTTCTTGTTTCAGCGACTTTGTGCTTCACTCCGACAGTCCGAAGGCTCAATCGCCGCTAGCTGGAAAAGCCACTTGCTTCTTGAAGATCATTGACCGCCGATCAACGTGGCTTTCTAAAATAGCATCCTCGCATGAACTTGACTCTCGGTTTCCAAGATTCTGCCAAACTCTGAAGCTCTAACGTCAGAAGTTCATTCCGATCGTGTCTGTGCGATAAGCCCTAATATTATGTACAGACATCTAATACATACATATGTAAATGCATACATACGCGTGTATTGGATGCGTGTACGTCAAATAGACACTCATAGCTAACTGTTCGTTCGCTCGATATGTAATGCGTACCAGTTCCGGAAGCAATGGACCGGATGCAAGGGAATAACGCTCTTCTTCAAAGTTTGATTCGCGAGCAACTTGTAGGATAACCTGGTTGCCTACAATACCGCGCAGGCGAATTTCCGGTTGTTCCGAACTTCGAAGGTGCCTACACGTGAAGTTCTGATAGGTAAGGTCTTCCAAGCCGGGACATAATGCTACATATTGATTTCTATCCATGTCCCCACTGGCTCGTCCCATGCCAAAGACGGGATTACCCATGCTTCGAAGTAACGAACTATCGGTCACATCGGTCCTATGGTCAGCCCAATGAACCCACTTCGTGGACGGAGCCGACGCGTGTTGAGCAGGTACATTTCACAGATGCCTTTTGCAGACGACTTCCACGGCACGGCACAGCCTCAACCTATTTTGAGCCTTTCAAGCAGGTATCGGCTCCTGCAAAATGCCGTGGCTGTATTCCCGAAAACGCGTCTTATTCGAACTCACTGCAGTTCGGTGGTAAGACCTTCAAATGAGACTTATTTTCGAGATCTCCACGCGAGTGCAGGTACCCGAGTGAGATAACAAGGTTCTTCCATCTTATCTGCCTCTACCACTTTCCTCCTTGAGGTTTTCATATATTATCGTTAATATCTTGATAGTTTTCTTTATATAGTAAGATGCTTTCAAGATGTTTTCATCTAATAAGAGATGAAACCTACCAATACCGTTCATTCACAGCATCAATAAGATCAACAGCATCGTTAGCAGCAGGATGAAAAAAAAGAAGAAAAAAATCCGCGAAAGGTATCCACTTAGCCCCCTGTATCGATCAATCAATTAAAAGTAGATCACCTTCTCTTCGAGATGACCCTGTGGCTGAAACGTCCGGTCAAGGGTCTATCTCCACGAGGGGCTAACGCGACGTGCAGATTCGCTACTCGGCCCTGTTCAATGAAGGGAGGCGAGAGGATTCGCATATTGCAGTTGATGGTCATACGTAACAGATCGAGCAGGCCTCCAGGCCTCTAGGGTTATTCTCGATCAGCACAACAGACTCCCGTTCCCATTTTCCCCTTGTTTCCCTTCCTTGTTCAATCCAACAGAAGTCTCGTTGGAAGCTCTAAAAAACAACGTTAGGACCCCATAAATGCAGAAAGTCATTCCTCTTCGGCTCGTTGATACTCTCCTTGTGGATCCTTCGAGCGCGGTACCTGCATCAGATGCGCTGTCATCCCTAGACTAGTAAGTACGCCAAAACCGTAGAGCAGGATCAGGTCAAGGGTACTGGCAGACGCTTGGTGAACCCACCCCCGATTCGACGGGATATCACTTATTACATCTGCAACCCTGATTGCAGGCCCCCGTCTCTTTTTCCTCGACCTTATCGGACGAAATGATCGGGCAGTGTAGACGACTACGAAGTGTCTTCCGTCATTCTGGTATCACAACGCATGTTGTTTCGCCCTTCTCACCCCTTTCTCCTATCAGACCCTCTTATCCCCTCGCATCCAGGATAATACGTAGCCATGGACCGTCCTACCCTCCAAACCCCTAAGACGGGTCGCTCGCGTTTCTCAAAAGCGTTGCCTGCCCCTCCACCAGAGTTGGAAGATGACAAGCCACCGAAGGCTTCTCGAGACCCTCCATCTTCGACGTACTCGCCATTCCCGCCCAGGAAGGATAGTGTTAGCGTAAGGACCAACACCAGCATCAGCCAGATCAGTCCAAGTATCAAGTCGGATTTGAATTCGCCTCTACCCTCGCTGCCTCCCACTAACACCATCAACACTAATATAATGGCACCCACTGTTTTGCAAACGCAGACTCGGTCTATTCCAAGGAAGCCGGTGGGACTGCCTGCAAATCCAGCCCCGGTGGCTGGGGCTAGCGCTGCGAAATCTAAGAAGATGAAGCGCGTCTCTTCCATATCAAGTCTCTTATCGGCCTATTCCAATACCTCGTCGGACTCTGTTCAGCGGTCGTCGCAAGGCAGTGTCTTCACAAAGGATAGCGAACCATCAAATTCACCCGAACGGGAGGGAATGAATGATCCCCAACAGTCGCTGTCAAAGACTTTGCCGGTACTTCCAAGCAATCCATACGCAGATGAGCTGCCGTCAGTGACGGATGAGATAATAGCAGCGGACTTCCCACCGCCGCCACCATTGAAAGACCCAACTCGACCGGGTACGCCTTCGAGTTCCCGGCCCGTAGATTCATTCCCGGCACCACCCCGATCTGGTACTCAAGATGGAAGCCCTGCGTCAGCGACACCTAAACCCGTAGGTGATTCACCACCGAGAAAAGAGATCTGGCGTCGGCGTGCGTCAGTCAAGTCAGACCGAAGCCTGCTCGTCCCGGAGCTCAAATTAGCTGATTCACATGGTTCTACCGCATCCACAATCACTTCACAGCCTCCAGCTGCTAACACCGCCAATACCGATCTTCTTCCACCACCACCAATTACACAAACAAGTAGCAACACCACTTCTCCGTTGCCTCCCAGAAGCGCTTCACTTCCCGGAAGGAATATTCGGCCAACTAAACCTGAACCGCAACAAGAAGACGAGATGCACAGGCTTTCGTCAAAGCTCAAGGGGCTCACCACCCGAAGCGAAAATGCTAAGAAACTCGCTAAAACGCCCAACAGCTCTACCGGAACTAAGGATGAGTTGGCTAAGTCTGCGTCTAAGGCGCAACCCGAGATGAACCCCGCCGCTCCTATTAAAGATCAGCCCAAGGTGGAGCAGTCTATTAATGCATCCAGAACTCCAGCTGAGACGGTTGTCCATGCGCCTAGCCCGGCTACCGCGTCGCCGGAACCTCCCCCAAAGGAGTCCGCGCAAAAGTCAATTTCGCGCCGACCCGTCGGAAGTCCTGTCGAGACCCAAAAACCGGAGGTCCATAAGAAGGGAAGCTCGTCCGATCTAAGAATGCAGAACCTTGGACTCCCACGTCACCCACGATCTGCGCGAAGCAACTCATCGTTGCGCTCACCCCAGACCACTCATGATGTTCAAGAGGCCGTGAGACCTAGGGTAGTACCGCAACCGCAACCGATCCCAACTATCGAGATGACTACCACGATGCCGGCCGACTCTATTGAGCCGATGAAGAAGCCTGAGCTCTTCAACATCGTGACGGCGCTGAACGAACCCAGCATCTCGCCGAATCTGATGGCGGCCGATCGCAAGCCTTACCGTAGAGTTTCTCCAGATATGCACGCTACCAACCTCAGTGACATTGGCGAGTCTATGGAGAACGTTACCCCGGAACATGCGGAGAAAGTGAACGAGGCGCTATCTCGCTTCCCTCGAAATATTAGTCAGAACTTTGCGCCGACCGATGCTGTCTGGCAAGCTCCTCCTATTACCTCTCAACATCACAACTGCTACGTGCGCCATTCTAAATGGGTTCCGGTTAAGAACTCCAACTATCCATTGGCGTGTCAAACATGTAGCGTCCAGGACACCAACTCGCGCAAGACTTGTTCCTGGTGTAATTTGCGCGTGTGTTACGGATGTCACGAGAGACTTATGGGCCGCTACAAGGCCGACCTCCGGGCGTTGATGCAGAATATGGAGACAGACCAGATCGAGGAGAAGCGCCGTGAGAAAGGGAAGCAAACGAGTGCTGCCTAAACCATCTCCTTTTTCGGGCTGTTATGTTCGGCTCAAATGCCGCATATCGTTGACATCGACTTCGTACACTACCATTTCTCTACTTCGACTTTTCTTGACACTTCGAATTTACCTTGGCGGTTTTTCCTTTTCGACATTCACCGTATCTCGAGTACAGAAGTTTTCTATACAAGAAACACTCTCTATGCTCGACGATTCGTCTATTCTATTCTTGAAGGATTATGGCCAGAAAAGAGTAAAAAGGGGGGGCTTTGCATGCGGACTGAGGCGTTTATTGGTACGATGATACCACTATGCGATCACCATTGATCGATGTATATATGGCGTGAATAGGATTCATAGGCCATGATCCTATGCTTTTGAGGAATAGGGGACATACTACGAAAAAGGAGGCAAATGGAAAGAGCACAATGGGGATTCCTGGCTTGAAGCCGGACGATGATACCTTTTGCTATAAATGAATTGAAGTGATCAATAATTCAACTGTTCTTGCTTAAGATCTTATGTGAAGATAAATGTGAAGTTAAACCGCCAAGTTCTGAAGTTCCTAGTCCAACATTTGGTAACCTTAAACTTTATATTACTTCATCTATAACACCTTCTCGTCTATCTCCCCACAGATCTCTTACCCGAAAGTTTAATTCTAAATACCGAGACATGCGAATCTCGTAGGAAAGACCTACTTGCTGTAGGTATACCATCTAACAGAGACCAGGTGTAGTTACAAAATAGCTTGTGATTTTAGGTAATACCCGTTATATATCAAGTGGAAGGCGTAACGTTAATGACGCCTCATGCAACCACCCATCTCAGCTCTGTCACTGCCCAAATCCATATTGATAGCTGTCACTGGCTACTAATTAGCGGGGATCTCTGTATGTCAGGTACGACGAATTTAAGCCCTATGGGTAATCGATAGTGGGGACTAGAGCTTAGGTTATCCATCTCTCCACCACTAAGGTGCACCTAGGGTAGGAACCATGGTAACTTCGAATTCAATTAAAGTCGCGTGCACGGGACCAAATACAATCAAATACTACAACCAAATAAGAAACAAAGACCCCTAATCCTAACCGAAACACCAAACACCCGACATCTTATACTCACCTAAATAAAAGAAACTTTTTTGTTTTATAGGTCCTTATTATGTCATCCTCAACCGGCTTAGGCCGCACACGGTCAATTCGTAAACCGACAGTTGGCAAAGACGATGTCAGCAAAAGGGACGGTCCCTCGGTACGGAGCGAGGCTAGGGGACATTCGCCTAGCCGACTACCGGTGAAGCCCGCGATGACCACACGGTCGGCTGCAGCGAGCGCGGCAGCTTCCTCATCTACCGCCGCCTCGCGAATTAGAGCAACGAGCTCGACTATAAGTAGAAGCGTATCCAATTCTCACACCAGGACTTCATCCACAAGAACAGATAGCAGCGGAAACACTGCGACGAAACCCGTGGGCAGAGCAGCCTCTACTCGTGATCGTGACAGGCCGCCAATTACTTCGACGAACCGCACCGCGACCGGTCGACCGCGATCCTCTGGCGGGCCACCCGCAACGGCGGTCGCTACCCGACCGGGACCGGGCCACACACGAGCGAAATCCAACGTAACGAGCCTGACGCCGGCCACGACACTTCGCCCGGTATCTCAAGTATCTCAAGGGACCGTCACGACGACCTCATCCGGCGGCCGGACGAGTCCGCCCGCAAGCACGATCACAACGAGTTCCAAAATCCAGACGCGCTCGCAAACCCGGCCACGCCAAACATCCCAATCTCACTCCGCCACGACAACCAGCACCCAGGCCCCATCCCACGCACCCACCACCGGTCTCGCCAGCCGCCCCGCCTTCAACACCCATCAGCAGCACTACAGCCCCGCCAAATCGCTCGCCCCGAAACCCCTAACCTCGACCTTCCTCGCGCCCCCCTCTCCGTCCAAGCTCCCCGCGAACGTCGCCATATCCGCCGAGACGAGCCGCCTGCAGACGGAGCTCCTGCAGCTCTCGCTCCTGCACCGCGACGCCGCCGCCGTCGACGGCGAGTGGCACGCCAGCGCGCGCCAAAAGCTCGGCGACAGGTTCGCGCGGCTCGCCAAGGACAACGACGCCCTGCTCGGCCTCGAGCGGCGGGGCGTAGAGGCGCGGAACGTGGCCGCGCTCGCGAAATGGGGGAATCCCGGCACCAGAAACGGGCTGGGACTAGAGGAGAAGATACAGATCCTGGACGAGGTCCTGAACGGGGTGTGGCAGCTCGGGGAGCCGGGCGGGCGGTATGCGCGGGTGGTTGCCGGTTTCGAAGTTTGGGCCGAGCGCATGGCGGCCATTGTTACCGCGCAGCGGAGCGACAACGTCGATGTCCTGGTCGAGGGCGACGAGGTGCTGTTCCTGGGCGAGCTAGATGCGGGTTGGAAGCACGATTGTGTCAGTCTTCAGCGCAAGCTCGAGGGGTGGCGTGTTGCGCTACGAGATTTAGGTGATATCGACGATTCTCCCCCGGACACCGGCTCGGAGCTAGAGTCGCGTTCTAGCTTACTTCGCATGGTAGACGGGTGTCGGGCTCTCGTCCACGATATGCTGTCCGAATTAGCGGTGATGGCGCAAATCGAGCAGGACGCGGCGCGGGCGGAGGACGAGTGGATAGAGCGCACGAATAGGGCGATAGAAGACGAGGACGATGATACGCCTGCGGCGCGGGCGTACGTGCCGTTGTGGAAGCTGGCTACGTGATTTACTATCGTCACCTTACCTGCTTCCCCACGTCTATTATACCTACCTACCTACCTTTTCTATCTGTGTACCTTAGGTGTATACTGTGTACTATAAGTCAAATTGATGGCATAATGGGAAACGAGAGGATACGATACGAAACCGGAACGGCGTTCAGAGCGATACGTTACATGCGTACTAATGATTAAGTAATGATAATAAGATAAGAGTGAACTAATCGTAATGCGTATGATGGCGATGCGATTGGTTGGTTTCTATATATCTATCCGTGTGACGAGACGAATCGCATTTAAAGAGAGTATAGGGAAGCAATATAATCCATGATATAGGGTTGTACGAGGCGGGCAGTAGCAAAGAACTGGATTAAAAAGAGAACAAGCGTAACAATATCGAGCTATGAATGCAAACTGCCCATCGACCTGCTTTCTAGAAGAGATAGAACATTCCGAACTCGTAGTAACGTGAAAACTACCTTTTGTAGCAACCAGTAGCAAGTATACCAGCCACTATCTCAAGACATAACACATAACATTTCCATAAACATCACTCCCCAATCACCGATAATTCAACTCCGGATTCGCCCTAAAATTGCACCTACACCTGCACTCAGGCACGGGACACTCGACATGTCTCGCGAACCACTGCCTCGCGTGGTCCAGATGAAGCACGTGTTCGCACTTGAGACAGAACGTGGGAAACCTTGCGGCGACCCTGATCTGCGGATCGGGCGAGGCCTCGGGCTTATCGGAGCGCGGGACGCCGACGACCTCGAGACACACGACGCACCGGGGCAGGTGGCGGCCGCAGTTGGGGCAGCTGACGCCGGCGTTGATGTTCGTCGCCGTGAGCGGATTAACCGCCGTCTGCTGGGCCTTGCCGGTCGACGGAAGGGCCGCGCCGCCCATCTTCGAAAGCTCGTACTCGGCGTCGCAGTACACGCAGCGCAGGGCGATTTGTCTAGAGGGTGGCGTGATGGTAGGGATGCCTCCCCGCTTGCTTTTCTTCGTGCTTTCCACCTCGAACTTGGTCCGTTGCATGAAGGCTTTGTGACGCTGGAGATAGGCTCTGTACGCGTTGCGCCACGCGCGGCATCGGTAGTCGTTGATGTATTTCGGTGAGCATATGGATAGAACCAGGGTAGCCGTCTGGACGTCGTTGAATTTTTCGATGTATTTTGCAAAAATATCCACAAGCTTATCTGTTATGCCCGTGAGTACGATTCCTTCGATATCGCCCGTCTCTATCGCTTTCTTGAGCTCTTTATCGAGCCACTGAGTAAGCTTGGCGTCGTCGAAATATCGAAGCGCCACAAATGTACGCTCACGAAGAGGTAATGATTCTTGATCTGCTATGTATTCCCAATTATCTGTTGCGATGATAGACGATATAGCTCTCAGATATGGATCTGTGTTAGAAGCGGTCGTGTCGTCGAAGTTTAATCGTGGTTTGCTGATACTTTTATCCTCTTGGCTTTTGAGCTGTAGAGCCAAAGAGACAAATAGGAGATTCGGATACTCCGCGCTAGCTTCCCTAAGTATTTGGACTGCTTTGTCGAAATCGCCTTCAAAAAGAGCATGGGCAGTTCTCATGGTGTGCCATAAGGAATTTCTCTCAGAAGGCAGCATATCCGCGTATTCGCCGAGATTTTCATCGGGCGATCTACCCCATCCACAGATCCGTAAGGCAGCTAATCGCTGTGGAAGCTTTTTGGTCTCGACGCCGTCGTATATTGGTTGTCTTGATCTCCGATTTATTTCCTGCAGGCAGCGCTCCCATGCCGCAAGATCTGGAGGCCTGGTACCATCTAATAGCCTTGCCGAACCGTTCAGTCCTATAGGGCACATTAATTTTCGCTCCAAATGGAAATTATTCTTGTAACAAACCTAGATCGCCGTTCCATATGTTGCAGACTCCCATATAACTCAGATCGATTCCTTGGGATACCATTCCCATGTCATAGGCAGCCTCGTCAGCCCCTAAATCTATTAGCATGTAAATGCAATACGTCGAGGAATGAGATCCATACTGGAAATCCAACCCCATAATTCTCTTAGCCATGGATCATCGGCAACGATGTCCCTATTCGCAACATAATCAAATAGATATTTCTCTTTAGAACGAAGGAGCATCAGGTGGTCCAGGATCACTTGTGCTTTCTTAGGGAACCCTTTTGTGTCAAGTGTTGATGAGAGTAGTCGCTCATGTAACTCTCTATTTGATGGCAGCCCGTTGAGCTTTCAAACGCAGGTTAGTCAAGAGTTATGGGCAATATAGTGTTGTTAATGGGAATAACAGTACCTTATCATCAGGCTTCTTAGAAGTCTCAAGATTTTCCTTGGAATATTTTCTCAAAATTCGTAATTTATCGGCTATCTTGAAGGCATTTGCGAATGATTCCGCGAGTTCTATATCGCTGGCCTCTGAATCATATATAGGATCGTCAGTAGGTGCAGGAGACAATAACGCTTCCTGTACTATAGCGTGGGGAGATCCTTTGTCGACTCCAAATAAGGGCATATCTTCAAAGGCCCTGTCGATATTAAGTGAACTAATCATATCAGAATACTGCGCTGGTTCGAAACTCATCAGAGAGTGATAGCTATAGCCCCCTTTAAACGAATCAGTACTGACTGAGTACATACTCATATAACAGAATGGCTTACCTTCTAGTCCACGGTGAGGCGCCTTCCAAGGTATCATCTTAAACAGATGTTCCGACGTGTAGGATGGTTTCTCAAGAATGTCAAAAGTTCCATTGGCTCGCAAGACTATTGCTCGTGGCGTCAAAGCGGGAGAATCAAGATTCAACCAATCAAATGAGACGATTCTCTCATCCTTCCGATCTCTCACATAACTCATATCTAGCTCGTAGGATCTCCTGACCTCGAGGACTTCGGGGCTATCCTTAGGATGCACGTCAGAAGGGATAAATTCTTTTTTGATGTCTAAAACCTTGAGCTGGCCAGTTCGGGAGAGGACAGCAATCAAGCCGCTGCGATCTCTACAGAAGCGTACCGATCGTGTCAACGATCCCCTGTCCTGGAAATTGGCATCTTTGACGTCGATTGCCCTATCGATATTGAGAGCAGCCCCCCATGGTAGTTCGTCTGTATCGACAGCGTCGAGGTAGAAACGAGAGGAAGACGATCTCGAGGTCGCACGTCGATCCCAGATTACTAAGCCTGGCTTGTCTAAGGAAGTCGAAGCGAAGTAGTTCTGGTCCGCATAATCAATTGCCAAATTGTTGTTACACTTGGTCGCATAGTTTATTACTGCGCCTTGTGGATCTTTAGACTAGTTAGCAAGGTCCCAGGAGTACTATCCAAGATAATCTCTACCTCGTAGGTCGTAGATCCGAATACCCTGATTTTTAATACCGGCAACTAGTACCTGAGGGCTATCTTCGAAGAATTTGGTGCTTGATATAGAAATACTAGCCTCCAAGCCGATTACCGGGTTCATCGAACCCTCGAGGGATTCCCAAGTAGCCCCAGACTCCAATGCCGTAAGTTTATTTACGTCGAAGATTTTGAGACACTGATCATTTCGCACACGTTCCAGCCCGACGGCTAGCAGAGTGCCCGTATTGAATGCTACCGCCTGGCAAGTACGTGTAATCCTTATGGGGAGTTCAAGGTGAGCGCTAGAATCGCTGTGGAGGTTTATAAGATCCACGGTACCACTCGCTGTCCCGATAGCAACGAGTCCGCGATGAGCGGGAGACCAGTCGTACGTGGTCAACGGAGGTATCTCATCATACTTGGATGTCTTATGGAATTGGAAATTGCCCGGCTGCGCATGGCCGGTGGGCTCGTATAGCTGTACGACTCGGTGTTGTAGATTGACATGGAGGAATGTATTGTAGTTTGGGTTCGGGGACCACTTGATAAGGCCTGGCTCCGGTCTATCCATCTTAGAAGATTTGTATTGTGACATTATTTGAGAGACCTCCCTCTACTAGCTCATAAAGAGCCAAGACGGGTGATCATGAGAATTGACCAAAATTGATAGTTGCCATCGTTTGGTGGATCTCGCACATGTCAAACTAGTGAGAGTACCTACTCGATGAGGCCCATAAGGAACTATAAAGAACCTAGTGATGAAGGAAGAAAGCAGGTCGTAACTTGAATCCATTCAAGTCATCTCTGTTTAGTAAAGAGCTTATAGCTCATTGCAAAGCTTCCAAGGTTGTAAGTTGTAGGTTGTCGTCGTGTTAGCCCCTGCACATGGCGATTCGACTATCGATAAAAGCTCCAACCCCGCCAGCGTTAATGAATTGGCCAATGAAAATTGATTGATTAGATTACATAATATGTATCAATCCGCGATCTCTCCGTGGCACCAAAATCCAAAATAGGTTTAGAGCCATTACTGCCGTTACTTAGTCTGACGTGTTCTGTAGTCGCTTCTACCATCCCTCCAGGGCATCGAATAGGCATACACGGGACTTACATATTCAGGCGCTTACGTTAGTTTTATTAGTATCTTTGATCTTAACGATTGTTTAGCTTTTCGCTCTTATTGCCGAACGCGAAGCATTGGGAATGATGGATCTAGTGGAGTTAAGTAACAACTCCGTCCCACTCGCCAAGCTAGTATTCACCGCTAGGACAGTATTTTGGCAGGGCGTATATATTGTCGACGACCAACTAGTACAATCGGAAGCGGGAACGTAATAATTGAGCTCTATATTTAAGCCTGAAATTTATAGGATATATAAGACTAGACATCTCCTCCGGCCGGTCTGGAAAGGTTTAAAAAATCAATACGAGGATACCAACTGTTTATTCAAACCATTCGCAACAAAGATGGGAAGCCCTGAAGCATATTATCTTCCACACCTCTACAGTGGCCTAAAATTCCATTCCTCTTCTGAGCCTCCCTGTTATGGAGCGCTGGAGACTCCGATCGTCACTACCGGGACCGTCATCGTCAAGCCGCTATACTCTATCATTGTTCAGTACGCCAATGAAATTTTCGCAAACGGGAATCCTAGAGGTTATAAATACCCTCTACCCATTACTCCCGGCGGTTCATGCATCGCTCGCATCGCTGCCGTACCATCAGATGCTACGAGCCTAAAACTAGGGCAGCTAGTATTCGTTGAGTTAACTGTAAGGTCTCGAGAAGACCCTAACATCAAGGTCCTAAGATCGTTCCACGAGGGTCCTACCGAGGCGACAAAGAGGTTAATGCGGGAGTGGTGCAACGGATCCTGGGCCAAATTGATGAACGCCCCGCTCGAGAGTGTGCATGCCCTAGACGAGAGCATTCTAGTAGAGAAGTTAGGATACAAGATTGAAGAGCTTGGATCGCTCTCCCAACTAGTCGTGCCATACGGCGGTCTCTCAGACGTCGATTTGAAGGCCGGAGAGACTGTTTTAATTGCCCCGGCTACCGGATCTTTTAGTAGCGCTGCTGTTCATGTCGCTCTTGCTATGGGAGCTAGAGTCATCGCCATGGGAAGAAATGAGACTGCTCTTGCTGAATTGAAGAAACTCGCAGAGCCCGGAAGGGTCGAAACTGTCAAGATTAGCGGCGATGTGGAAGAAGATTTTGATGCCTTGTCAAAATTTGGGCCGATAGATGTGTATTTTGACATCTCTCCGCGTCCGGCCAGTACGAGTTCGCACATTAGAGCAGGTATATTTGCTTTAAGAGCAGGAGGCCGTATGAGTCTGATGGGAGGAATCCCGGGCGACATTAGCTTGCCCTACTGGCATATCTCAATGAACGGCCTCACGATTAAGGGGACTTTTATGAATACAAGTCAACAGGCGAAAGATTTGATCAAGCTTCTCGAAAGGGGAGTATTGAAGATTGGTACTAGAGCGGGTATGGAAGTAGTAGGCAAATTTAGGCTGGAGGATTGTGAAGAGGCATTTAATACTGCCGCGGCGAAAGGAGGACCAGGAAAGAGTGTGTATTTCACCCCGAACGAAGAGTGGAGTGTTGCCTACAGGTAGATGTACGAAGTAGAATAGAAATGGATATTATATCTTAATAAAAGATATTGGTTTATCAGTATTAAACGGCTAAAATATTACGTAGTTCTTCCGTCGTACAAAACCTTGTTGGTTTCATGACTAATCAGTTACTACCCCTCCATCTGCGTAGTACACATTACCTAACTTCCACATGTTTAGTCTTCTTCTTTCTCTTGACACATTCTTCTATATTCTCTGTATCGCCAATCGTCAAAACGAGAAACCAAAAAGCAAAGGAATAAATCACTTGGTAGATGTAACAAGCGCAGCCACTACGCCACCATCTCTCAGCACGACCTGAACTAGTTCAACGACCGCTTTCAAATTGTCGCCATAGCTCGCGCCCTTGGTCAAACTCCACCTACTCTTCTCCTTCAGTGGTTTGGGGGCATTTTTCTGGATCAACGCAGGAAGTTTCTCATGAAGTCGATTGTACAGGTCGCATGGCTTCTCTTCCTCTTTTGCACGCTCGAGCGACTCGAGCTCCATCCGGCGCCGCATCTCCCCGTATACTATGCCGAGAACATGAAGCAGTGTCCCCGACTCAAGCGTCGCCTCGGCTCCTCGATTCATGACTGCGCGCTCTAGGAGCAGCGTGTTCTTGGCCGTGGTTAGTTGATTCAACTGCTCTGGAGGGGCCCCCTGCGCACGTGCAGTCTTGATTAGCGTGTCGATGTAGTTGATGAGCGCATTCGGGTCATGAAGCAGAGCCGTAGACATTAGCTTCTCCGTTAACTTCGCCAAGAAGACGAGGTCTTTGCGGAGCTCTTCTTGCAGCCCGAGGTAGGCGTCTATGGCATCGAGAAGAGCACCCTCGAGTGTGTTGTTGTTGGTATTCCAACGTTTGATTAGGTCCTTCGGCACAACATACTCCTTGTGCTTTTCGGTCACGATAATGAATTGGGCATTTTTGTGATCGGTCCAGTGGCAATGTCCTTTGCATTCGTCACAGTTGCCGTCAGTCATCGCTGTGCAGTTTTTCTTATCTTTATCGTCAGAAAACACACATTCTTCGTGGCACGTATGATTACACTTAAGGCAAAGTGTAGTCGCCGTGCCGTCCCGCACCGGTTTCTGGACCGACCTATCCTCTTCAACAAGGATTTTAGTGGTCGGGGCGGCTCCAATAGCGTTGGCAAGAGCACCCAGGTTTGCGATGAGAACCTGGGCATCATTAGCTGTACGGAGAATCTTCTTCTCGACCTGTACACATTTGCGCTCGAGCTCAAGGCGGTCTTGCGTCACTTTAGCGCTTGCAGCGGTTAGTATAGCTGGTCTGCGTAGGAGCGTCTGCATCAATCGGAACTGGCCTCTAACAGACATGAGCCACCACTCGCGGACTTTATTTTTATTTCCGACGTCTATTTCGAGCGTAAAAGCAGCATTGTTCACTTCCACTTCGCCGTTCTCCACAGGCCAATTCAGTTCTCGAAGTGCCGCGCGTGCAAGCGGAGCTCCAGCATCGGCGAAGGTGTATATGGTGCGCAAACAGCTCTTCACGTCCTTGGCAAAGAGCGAGAAAACATATGTTGCGATGGGGCTGAGGAAGGTGGAGCGAGCCTCATTCGCGCGGCACGTGAAGATTATAGCATTGACGTGCTCAATGGTCCGGAAAAAGTCAGACATCGCAGCCGTGACGAAAGCATCACGTTCGATGCCCCTTGAGTCCCCATACCCGGGCGTGTCAACGATGAGCAACGTCTTGCCCTCGAAGAGGGGAGAAAGCGGCCTGATACGGTAGCAAGTGACGTATTGAGTTACCGATTGTGATTGCTTAGCACCACGGTCGTCAATGACCATGAGGCGCGCAGGGTCGCTAGGATCGCTGCCAAGCAGGTACGAGATAAAAGCGTTGATTTCAGTGCTCTTGCCATGACCACTGCTGCCCGCGAAGACGGCCACCATAGTTTTGTCCTGGTCTCCAATGTCTGCAGCAGGGATGTTAGGCTCGAATTCTGCGGCGACATCAACGATGCGCACGGCAACCTCCCCCTTGAAGCGGCTATCGGTACAAGTACGGACAGCTTTAGTTCTATGACCTATAAAGAGGGTCTTCCTGCTACCAGATTTGTCAAAATCCCATGGTCTCGAATCCTCGGCGCCTTTCGAAAGCTCGGTGCTTTTTCTCCGGTAAAAGTCGATAATTTTAGAAGCTGTGGAAGGGAGCTTAGGCGTGCGGCACACCACAGGCTCGCTCCAGTTCGAAAGCCCTACGATCGTCTCGACACAGAGCATGACCTCATAGTCACAATCATCAAATAAAGGGGAGTCGTTGATGCCCCTGTCGATCAACACAGTTGTCTCGGAAGCCTTGCAGTGGACTTCCGTGAAAGCCTCGTTCGATGTCGCGTGAGGAAAGGGACCATCTTGTAACGGGTTGGGCCGTGGGCGGGAGCGAATAACCAAGCCGGTTGTCGGGATGGCTAGCCGCTCATCGTCGCTACGTTCCTCGGACCAGGCCGCGGTGATAGTTTGGCCTTTGGTCGTCAGCGTTGGAGCTGTTGGGACCTTAGGAAGCATGCTGGTAACAATGAGAAGCTTTCTTTTATAATCAAGCACGATATCGCCGATGTTGGTCCTTGTGCGCTTTGATGTGCCTGGGCGGTATGCCCTGTCGATACTCGCCACTCCGAAGACGACGCCCGGAAGGGCTAGAACACGCTGCTGGCGCAGATCCACGCATGCATTTCCTAGGTTGGAGACAATCTGTTGGTCGTCGAACCACTCGCAATCATCTTCGTCGTCCTCGTCGTCATCCGGATCATCGTCTCCGACAGCATTGATCCCGGACGATTCAATCTTGCTTTGGAGTGGGTGCCGAGGACGGTTGATTCTTTTGCCACCGAATGACAGCAGAAGCCTCGGCGCTCCTGTATCAGTTAATGATTGAGGTGGCAACCCACTCAAATGATCCTCGAAACCGTCGGCCAGTAGCGAAGCGACAGTTGTACGGAGGGTGCTCGCCTCCTTGAACTTGTTGGCTACAAACTGTTCCGCAATGCTAGTACGCTGCTCGAATAGAGCAATTGCATCACTGAGCTCCTTCATCTTGGTCCTGTGGTCAGTGGTACCATCTCGTAACTCTGGCAAAAGGCGTCGTGCAGCCTGTGTAAATTCCGTTTCTCCTGCAGTAAAGGCAGTTTGGATGTTTGAGATCTGCTGCCTAATCGCAGGAAACCATTTTCGAAATACATCTTGCTCCACGACATTCTTTAGCTCAAGTCGTACCATAGTGCCAGCCTTGAGCGCAGCAGCTGTCTTGGCAACAAGGTTGTCATCGAGCTTACGGATCATGCGGTTCACCTTGTTATCAAGGACTGAGAGCGGTAGAAGCTTGTAAGAAATCGTATTTAGCTGTAGTGCTAGTTTTGCCGGCATCTCACGACTAACGCGGCGAGCATCCTCAATGTTGGAGACGTTCTCTGTCATTGCACCACTGTAGGAGATATTGACATTGTCGAAGATGAATTTGCTCTCATTTGAGTAGTCGACCTTGGCACTGCTACTGACTGGGATTTTTAGGATTTCCACCTTGAGCTCTCCAGAAACTTTGGTCGCTTCCTCGGACGAGGAACAGGACTGAACGAAACTGAGCGTCGCGGATCCGCCTTCAACCACCTCTGCGACAAAGTGTGTGAAACGAGGGTTATCAAGGTTGCGCTCGTACTTCATAGATGATAGGGTCTCCTGCGAGATACGACGCGTGCAACGGACGATGGTACAAGAGCTATCTACCCGTGCCTCAAACCTGCTAGACTTATTATCGTTAAGATATTTGGCCGGACCTGTGGCTTTAACGATACCGAGATCTAGACTGAGTGAGCCTTCGACATCGAGAGCCGCGTTACTGCGGGACTCATCGAGGGAAGTCGAGTAGATAAAGCCGGCGTTCTGCACTTTGTGATCTTCAAGCTCCTGATGCGCGTTGACGACTTTGTCGTCCCACAACGACAGCCCAGCGAAGAGCTGCGCATCCCGTACGTCGTATAGCATGCCGAGCTGAACATCCTGACCGAGCGCAGGCAGTGTTATCACCGCGTCGGAGCAATCCATCATATTACGCAGCGAAATCCTTTTCAAGTGTCTTGGAACAAGATGAAATAATTGCTTTAGTCGGGCCACCGAAGCTTAAGATGGAGCGAGCACGAGCTCTATCTCTTTGAATACTACAAATCGATGGGCACAGCCCCAGACGGTGTACATATCAGAGGAATTTTCCTTTGGGCAGAAATGACGCAGTACAGCATCAATATGGACCTATTGTTTTTCTGCTCTCATCTATTTGTCCGGCAGTTAGCATCACCTCCCCGCAATTCGATACATCGAGTTGATAATTGACAAAACCTTTAGGCAAACGGATATCACTGGCTAACTTAATGCTTCACTATCCACGAGCTATCTAACATTACCTTGCAGGGCCTGGCGAGCTGTTATTGATTTAAAAACGAGGTATTGACTACTGGTCAAATGAAAAGCGTAATTTTCGGCTGCCGCGCGAGCCCGAGGTTAGAAAGGAGAAACTAGCATGGGAAGGTCAGGCGGCACTGTTTTTCACCTATACGCCCAAATTTGTTTATATGCTCTAAGCTATCAGGTAAGTCATATTATCGAGAAGTTGAGCCTCTACAGCTGAGATCGAAACATGTGAGCTTACCCCTTTCGCATGACGTCCCTTTCCTGGTGCCGATACCCCATATTGCTTCCCTGCCCAGTAGAAATAGTAGCTAGGAAATTAGATGCCAGGTTCTGTGCTGCTATAGTTGAGCGTTGTGCGTAGCCTACATTATCAAATACTTGGATAGACCCGTACTGTGAGCGACGTTCTTGGTTCTGTATGCTGAGCTGAAGCTCTGCCTGCTACTTGAAGAAAAGAATGTCTGCAGCTGAACAGCTGAAGATTACGTGTAAATTGAGAACTAGTTTTATCCCAGCCAACCACACAGGTATAAAGATTAAGCTCACTGATTCGCTGCATAGGTGCAGAACAGGACAGGGGAAAGGCTTAGGAGGCTGTGGATAACTTGGCGTCGTCGTATGTAATGACATCAGCTTGGAATGCAAGATGCAATATTATTGTTAGAGGTACATTCCTAGGTGTAGACATCTTCAATCTAGTTCTATTTAAATAGACAATTTCCTTCTTCATTCCCCTTCGTCATCAACAAAACACGACTAGTTATCTTTCAAACCTTACGTAGGTATAGCTTAGCAAGTAAGTCTTTAGAATGTCCAATGTAAACGACTCGAGAATATCGCTAATATGACATGACCTAGGGCTCTGTTGAACAACCAACCACGACCATTGCCGCAAAGTCGACTGCCATCTAAATCAACAAAATGGCGGAGCAGAACCCAAACCTTCAACGATGCCCGGACAAGTGGAAGCCAGCCTTCGAGTTCCTCATCAACGAGTGGCTCGACCCAATGTTACCCAAGACCGCGAAGGCGCGACAGCTGTCGCACATCAGCGAGAACGACATGGATAAACTGGGCATAAAGAAGCCCGCCGACAGAGCGGTTGCAAGGAGCATCCGGATCGACCGACAGGGCAGTTTTACTAGGAACGGGAAGACTTTCGTGAACGTCCAGAGTCAATACAGCACTGAGAGCGTCTTCCATGTTAACGTTCTGGCTGATCATCAGTTTGGCAAAGCTAAGATTCAGGAGGCGATGATGAAAAGCTTGAATACTGTGACTAGTCAGGTGCTAGATGCATAGCTTATATATGCATGGTCGTTACTATACACATTGGTAGTTTACATGAATAGATATTTTAACATCTCAGCCCCTTTCCCCACTTTTTAAACAGCCCCCCTTTTCAAGAATTGACAATGTGTATAATTCGTACATGTTGCCTACCCATATAATATGAAAAGACCCAGCCGTAAGATTTAGACCGACTTGAATGTTTATGCATTGCTGGTATATATTTTGAGTGGATCGGACACTGTTTTTACAGCATGTCATATCCTTCCCCTGAACGCCTTCATGTAGGTACCATACCATATAAATACATCTGCCGCCGTCCTGTCACCCCCATATATACACCCCTTCCAGCCTCCCTTATCCGCCCCTTTTATTCATCCTCTTTTCATCTTCAACCCCACGGCCCTCACAACTCCCCCCTCCTCGCCTCAGAATCCATCCCATCAACCCCGCCAGCAAGCGGCGCCATATCCACCTCCACCTCCATCTCCACCTCCACCCCCCTCCCCTGCTGCTGAAAACCCCTCTGCACAAAAGCAAGCAGCCTAACCGCCCCCGCCGGCGTAACACCCTCGATGCGCCTAGCCTGCCCGACGCTCTCGGGCTTCGCCTCCTTCAGCGCGGCCCTCTCATGAAAACTCAGGCCCGCGACCTCGTCGTAATCGAGATCCGTCGGCAGCCGCAGGCTCTCGTCCTTGAGGAACGCCTGCCGCTCCGCGGCCTGCATGTTGACGTACGGCGCGTATCGTGTCTCGATCTCGACGCGGTACCTCACTCGCTCCGAGAAGTCCGCGATATCGGGTACCTCGGCTGCGAGGTCGTTGACTTTGACGCCGGGGAGCCGGAGGATATCCAGCGCGCTACGGACCTTGCTATCGACTCTGTTCGCGAACCCAGCCGCGTTCCAAGCCGGCGCGCTGCGAACGCAGTCCCTTAGCTTGCGCGTCAGGTCCGCCATCAGCGCCTTATCGTCTAGGAACTTGCTCCACCGCTTATCCCCCACGACGCCCCACCCGCGCCCCATCTCCGTGAGCCGCAGGTCCGCGTTGTCCGCGCGCGTGCTCATGCGGTACTCGCTGCGGCTCGTGAACATCCTATACGGCTCCGACACGCCCTTCGTGATCAGGTCGTCGATCATGATGCCGATATACCCATCGGCCCTTGTAACCTTCACCTGCTCCAACCCCTGCGCGCTCCTCCCCGCGTTGATCCCGGCAATGATGCCCTGGCCCGCCGCCTCCTCGTACCCGGTCGTCCCGTTGATCTGGCCGGCGAGGAACAAGCCGGAGATGGCCTTGGTCTCGAGCGTCGACTTCAGGCTGCGCGGGTCCACGTAGTCGTACTCGACGCCGTACCCGGCCTGCGTCATCTGCACGTTCTCGAGGCCGCGGATCGTGCGCAGCAGCTGCTCCTGCGCCTCCGCCGGGATCGTCATCGACAGCCCGTTCGGGTAGATGGTGTCGTTGTCGAAGCCCTCGGGCTCCAGCCACACGATGTGCCGCTCCTTGTCCCCGAACTTGATGATCTTGGACTCGAGCGACGGGCAGTACCGCGGTCCCCGCACTGTCTCTCGTATGTGCACTGTCTTGTCGAGGTTGGCCCGCGCGATGTCGTGGGATTTCTCGTTCGTGTACGTGGCGTGGCAGAGCAGCTGGTCCTGGACGGCTACGCGATCGTTGAGGTAGCTGAACGGTTCCGGGGGATCATCCCCAAGCTGCTTTTCTAGGATATCAAAATTTATGCTTCCCCTATGCAATCGCGGAGGCGTGCCCGTCTTTAGCCTTCCGAGCTTGAAACCGGCTTCCCTTAGAGACTTGCTTAGGCCGAAAGTTGCTTTCTCCCCTATCCGTCCCGACGGAAAGATATCAAGTCCGATGTGTATCTCTCCGCTTAGAAAAGTTCCGGTTGTGATGATCACCGCGCTAGTTGGTAATACCTCGCCCGATTCAAGGCGCACGCCCGTGATCTTGCTTTTTGGAGGGCCACTAGTAGAGTCTACTTTCTCACCTAAGACAATGTCCGACACGGTATTCGTGATAATGGACAAATTTGGATACGTCTGGAGCTCCTCGCGCATGTGCTTTTTATACAGCGCTCGGTCGATTTGAGCGCGGGGACCCCAGACGGCCGGACCTTTCCTCCGGTTTAGGATCTTGAACTGGACACCGGCCTTGTCAATAATGCGCCCGGCAACTCCGTCCAAGGCATCTATCTCGCGTATTATCGTGCCCTTCCCAATGCCGCCGAAACTAGGATTACACGAACAGACCCCCAAGTTGTCGAGTTTGGGCGTGACTAAGGCTGTTCGTGCGCCGGACCGGGCAGCGGCGGCACTTGCTTCGCATCCAGCATGACCGCCACCTATTACTATAACATCAAAAGGTCTGATTGTCTCCAAATCAGCTTAGGTCCGTGTGCAATGCTAGGGGCAAGTTATATCGCTTACCTCGCATCATGAGCTACTGTGGCAAAATTACTCCGATGAAGGCGTAGGGCGAGGGTTTGTCTATGTGCCGTGCTAATAGGCCGGCTTAAACCCCTAGGTCTCCAGGCTTTCTTCATGTCTGAAGTAATATAACGAATACCGAACTCGATTCGGAGATGTCGTGGTGGAGCATCGTCGTCGGTTTGTCGTTTGTCTAAAAAAGAGAGGGAAATTTCTCGATAAGAGGTCGAAGATAAGGAATTAAGCTTAACTAAGCAGGCGGTGTGGATCTATTTACCCAATACGGTAAGTGGTCGAGTTTCTGCCCGCTATTTACTTCAATGGAGTACTGCGCAACCTCGGAGCTTTTAATGGTGTGCAACCTTGCTAAGATTAAAGCCAATGAAACCTTCAAGAAACTGTTTATTTTGACGTTCATTCAATGTGAACCTATCAAAAAGTGCTTAGGTATGTTGAGCTGAAAGAAGTAAACACTGGTAATGTATTTTTCCTAACTGCCTTAAAACCCCGTAATATACAAAGCCACATGTTGATCATGTGCTGACCTCAACTCCCATTTATCTATTTTTTCTGTGACGTTTGGAACTAGGTGGTGTTGCGCATAATTTATTTAAAACACTATTGACCTTTAGGCTTATCCTTCTGGGACAGGATCCTGACAGCATCTTTGCTAAACACGTAGCTCAGACCGCTCCAAACAGTCGTCGTAGCTACCAAATACCTGCCCTCTCGTTAGCCAATACGATGATAAACTAGGCGTAGAGAAAACACATACTGGAACACCGTCATGGCCAAGCTAACATCCGCGGTAACAAACGGCGTCACCATGGTGGTCCCCATCAGCCCTAGTTGCAAGAATGTGTTGTACTTGCTGATGGTTGTAGGTTTCACTTCCGCCGACGGTAGAGAGAAGTCCCAATACCGCGTGAAAGTCTTCGGCGGCGGGAGAGATATCCATCGGTAGTATATAGCTGAAATAGCCAGACCGACATCGCGCCCGAGGATTATAAAGGCAAGCCAAACTTAATTGGTTTTAAGTTAGCATGTTCGATGGAAGGGGTTGTATTGTAATGAGACAGGATAGCAAATATACTAGTCATATCACGTGGTACTTCGTATAAAGGTTTAAGATAGCCTTACCCGGTAGTGCACCCTTGTAAGCCAGGCACACGGTCAAGATTGTCATGAGCATCTTGTCCGCCATCGGATCGACCACGCTTCCGACAACAGTCTGAAGTTTCCATCGGCGAGCGATCCAGCCATCAAGCAGGTCCGAGACTCCCGCGTAAGCAAATAGACCCAGAGCCCACGCGTTGGCGTCGTGGAGGATAGCGTAACCGACGAAAGGTGCGGCTATGAGGCGCGAAAACGTCAACAGGTTGGGCACTGTGTATATGTTCTCATGGATCGTCAACGCAGGTATTACCTTAGGGATCACATTTCGGATCCCTCGAGGCTTAGTAGTAGATGGTGGCCCTGACTGTGCCGGCTGAGAAGAAATCCTGAAATTCTAGTTAGTTGGAAGGCCTAAGGCAAAGTATTTTCGCGGACTTGGACAGTCGGAGCTGTAGATATTCATTATGGGAAAATGGCAAGCTTATGGGCTAAGGAGAATGACAACATAGTAAGGACGACATACTGATCCTTACTCTTAGTCTCATTCTTCTCTTGGAAAGACCTGTTGTATTGGGAAAAGCACCTCCTGGCCCCAGATCCACGCCAGATAGAAGCTCTAGAACTACCTTTTGCAGCCACGTCGAATTGTGAGCATGACCATCCCCTCACACTGTCCCTTGGATCCTCTCCAGTCACATTCAGAGCAGCATTTGGAGGCCCCAGATGGTTTGTACGTATGCTATACAAGCACCTTGTCCATCCATATGGAGCTGCATTCGCCGGATTTCTTGTAGTTGTTGTGAAGCCACTAGAAAACGAATTCCTGCCTAGGCTCAGTCTCGAACTCAAGCTCGGACAGCTGCGGGAAGCATGAGCGCCGCCGCGGAATGCCCGTGAACTCATATCGAGCGTATCATATTATGGATCAATCGCAAGATCCACCGGAATGGGGCTTTTATTGTCCGAGAATGAAATAGGAAGATTGGTGATCGAGGATAGTACGCTCACAGTTGAAAGAAGATCTTTCTGGCACCGTGTTTGAATCAGCTAAAATCAGACATCACCTTACTCGCCCCACTATATTGGCTGCTATGCTTAGTAATAACCCTAAATTGGTACGCAGGTACGAGGTAGGTCAGCAGAAAGCATGACATAATATGGTCCGAGCGTCTTATCTATTACCCCTATTATTCTTATCTCTTCAGCCCCTGAACCGCCAGTGTTAGGTACTCACATATCTCTGGTGTAGGTACATGTATCGTATCACGAGCATCTTGTCGCCAAATTGTTGTTATCGAAGCTCAAATATTCATTTCTATCAAAGTGCAATTGTCGCAACTGTCACCAGCACTAGCGACTATTTCATCCACTGGGTAACCACCTAACCCCGCATAGTAAAGCCTGTATCCACGGTAGCCCGCAGCAAAAAGCATGTGCTAATGCCCTTTCCCCTCCCTTCCCAACCGTACGCTCATAGGACATCTCAATGACTTTTATCTGAATGACTCTTCCCAGGTGGCACATCTGACAAAGGAAATAGTGGAAAAAGCATAGGTACAAAGAAGCAATCCCATCATCAAACTCCTGGTTCCGCATGGCTGTTATGCGATCTTCTATGACCGATACCAGACAAAGGGAGAGAAACCGGAGGTATCGAAAACCTATCATTTCCGAACCTCATTAAACACCAACGCCGACGCCAGCCCATTGTAAATCTTCCCTTTTTCTTGTTTTTTCCGCGCGCTCCCATATTTCCCAGCTGGGGGTATTTCTTTCCCCTCCAAATCCAGCAGGGTGTCCCATGTAACCCCACACTGTACCGTAACGCCTTGCTAGAGAATCAAGCGGACAAATCGCACACTGACGTTGTAAAGTATGAAAAGACATAAGGAATTTTCTCGATTCGACCGATGGAATCCGAAGCTACATTCGTGGTTGCTTGTTGTTGTCATTGTTGTTGTTATTGTTATTGTGGTTGTTCAACTCGTCCATCGACATGTGCTGTAGTACATTTTGTAGGCCACTAACCTCCGACTTGGTCATTCTGATAGTTGTTAGTTTGATTAGGATTATCTTCGGGGTCGTGTGGCATTACGAACTGTTGGAAGTTGTCGCTGCTGATGAAACCGTTTGTCCATTCCTGCCCAGGCACCATATTTGACGTAGCCTCCGAGTCATCGAGACCTAGAGGCATGGGCGGGGGCGTAGTCTCTTGACTAGAAGATACATTGTGCGTGTTGTGTTCAGGCAAAGAATTGCCGTAGTCAGACTGTGTCTGGTGAGCACCCCGAGCATCGTAGCTGTTGTCCAGTTGATTGACGAATGCAGCTGAATGGCGCCCAGGAGGTTCGGTAGTATACATATCGCCGTTCCCCCCTGTGCTGTTATGATCATAGGAATTGCGGTGGTGGTTTGAAGGGGTGGCTGCCGCTGCCGCCGCCGCCGCCGTTGCCGATGATTCAAACATGGCGCCGTTAGAATAGGATGACTGACTAGTCATACCATGATTTCCAAGACTGCCGCCATTGCCAAGGAACTGGGTTGAACCCATTGGAGCTCTGTCAATAGGGCTGATGCCCGAATAATCCAGGTGGCCCATTCCATTTGCTCCATGTATATTCGAATGACGGCGAGAAGCTAAGGGCGTTGGGTGAGGAAAAGCCACTGAGGACCGTGGGGTCATGCCGTAAGGTAGACTGCTCGACTCGTAATTGTAGTTTGGCGTTGCAGGCGGAGCGTATGCCACAGGAGGCGGCAAAGTCGGGGCCATGGTAGGAGCCATGGTATATGTTGTGACATATTGTTCTGGTCCCCAAGTAGGCTGCGTGAATGACGGCATGGTCGGCATCGACATCGATCGTGATCCTGCACTATTCACGAATCCAAAGGAGTGATTCATCATGGCGTGTCGGAAATGCGGCTCAGTCATCAAAATTTCCTGGTCGTCGACTGGAGCCCTAAAGCTCCCTGAGGATATTAGGGGCCCGCGAGGTACGACGCCTCGTAGGCTAGGGTCGTGGCCTGGCGTAACTAGCCTATGATTGATAATATCATCAATGCTATAATAGGACACCATGTGGTGCTGTATGCCCTGGTAGGTAACGCTGATAGTCTTCTTGACCAACCCCTCTTGCTTGAATTGATATGAATCAATGAGGGATCCGACAAGGGCTCTTTCAGCATCGTTGCGGCTGTTTGCCATGTTGTCGAAGTTGGACATAGAAGTACCCACGCTCAAAGAGGTACTCATGCCGTTACCGACGGAGTTCGATCGTGAACTGTTAAGGGGCTTTGCGACCCCGCCGTCCGGCTTTGAGCGCTTCATAGCTCGCTTCTTCTCGCCGGGTTGGAAGGGTTTGTCGAGCTCGCGATACAAAAGGAAGTTGCCCAAGATGCGGCTAGGACTCCAGGGCACACCGTCGGTCCAGCGCTTTATGCCTGATGAATGCTCCTCGTAGATGAATACGTTGCCACTGACGATGAGGCCCGCTCGTTCTCTGTCGTGGGGCCGTCTTGGTACGTGGAAGAGATGACCGCTGAGACATGCTTCGAATAATATGAGGGCATCCATCGTGCTGGCGATGTAACCGCGGAAGGTCGGCTGCAGAGGACTCGCCGCTATCCCCGTATGTCCTGATGATAGCGAGCCCGACGGCGCCGTAGGTCGGTCGGGTCCGGGCAGCATGCCGCCGGAAGACATGGCTGCGGTTATGGACGAGCGCGTTCGACGATAAGTTTTACTCTTGCTAGTTGAGATGCAAGCGATAGCTTAACTGATGAAAGCTTTTGCGATGATAGTTAAAAGAGTATTGCTAGGCAGAAGTAAACTATATCTCTAAGGAGATGTCCCAGCACGTAGGTTGGATAGTTTACTGCGTGTCCAGGTGTAGGGTAATGTTTGTCGCGAAATGAGAGCAGATATGCTCGCAACTCGAGACCTAGTTGCTGGCAAGAGAGTTAAGGTGCAGGTTCTGAAGTGCCTAAAGGACCTGGCGTGAATTGTAAGCTGGAGGGGAAGGAAAAGAAGAAAGAACGTAGGGGAATTATCAGAATCTTACCTGGAGTTGAATGTTTTACAGTTTTCGATGGGACTGGAGAGGAGGTTGACAAGCTTCCCTAGAAAAGGATAACTGGCTGCAGGGACTTCAATATATATGAGGAAGACCTGCCAGAGAGACCATGCGACTTGTTGCTATGTGCTGCTCTGGCAACAAGATAGGCTGGCTCTGACGCCTCTGGAGTTTATTGCCTCGCTTTGAGGGCTCTGTCGGTTTAGAGGGAAGGGAAAAGACCCTTTGTGGCACTAGGTAGAGCTGGTACTCGGACCTGTTGTGGACTTTGACTCTCTAGTAAACCCAGACCGAGCGAACCTTAATGGGGAGGGAGGGAATTGGTACACTGCCGGCGTAGATGCTTGGTAGGGTACTTCTATGCTTGGGGAGGTCTGAGATCTCCGAAAAAGGCGTATTGTAGACTAAACGGAGACGGCGCTACGATTGAGTTCGTGGCTGCCGCCTCAGAAAGCTACAAGAAGCTCCCTACTTGCGTCTAACTAGATACCTGGAGTAGAGGGAGGTATGGTCGGAGCTCTGAGGTGGTGGTCCAAGTGGCGTCAATCAGCTTCGTTAAGCTTTCAGATACTCAGGGGAATTGTAGACGGACTCCGAATTGGTGTGATGGTGGTCGTCAATTTCCGCTGTTGGTATATTTTTTTTCTAACCGAGATGATCTGAATGCTGGATGACGATCAAATAAATGAATGATGTTGACGGTTTTGTTGTACTGAAGGAAGGCTTTCTGCACACACAAGGTTAGTTATCACGACACTGTTTTCTATTAGACAAAATATCGACGGTGATAATATCACCAAGTATTGTTAACGATTGTCTCGGCTTGTGACTTACCAGGGGCAGCTTCCTGTCAATAGAGTGTGCGTTAAAGTAGGTTAGCGTCAACAACACTGAAGTCTGAGTTGAGGCTCTAAACTTTGTTGTGAAGTTGGGAATTGTCTGGTATCAACTGGGTAATGTCAACTAAAGTGTAAGATTTAGAGTGGGAATTGAAGTGTCTTTGATCTGCTCAGATTATTTTTTGTAAACTGAGAAATCGTGGGAAAATTGGGAGTCATCGGTATGGAGGAAGATCAGAATGGTACGCACCGACCGCCTCGCAGTATTTTTTGAGAAGACAAGGTACAAATGTAGTTGCCTTGTCAATTGCTGGTTTCCCGGGTGGTGATAAAGTGCAATTTGCACCTACCATCTATGCTCGCCGTGAATAACTTCGACAACGAAGGCAGAGAAGGAACGATATGGTCTACGACAGGAAATATGACGCATGGGCCAAGGCCTTTTTATAGGTTGGGAAGTCGAGGGTCATTCTTTCGAAAAAAGGAACGAGCGAAATGAATATGACAGGAAGGACCATAGAACTCTTGCACAAGTAGTCCCCTGTAGCTGGTATTCTTCTGTAGGTGGATGGAGCATTCGGTCCTCTAAGTATTCCTCTACTCGTGTTGTGACTACGTACCCTACCTTCCGTAGGTACCTTACATATCCGTCGTAGTGTATCTCAGCAATTTGCACCGGTAGACACTTGGGGCACGTACATGCAACAAGTATGGATGAGCACTACTTGCATCATTAGGTAATCCCTAATACCTACATACTGCCTGCAGGTGGCGTTGATTCGTTCGTAGTAGGTACGCCTCGATCAATTATGACCACATGGGCGATACCGATACTACGTGTGGAGCTGGTTTGAGGTCGTCCATACCATACCGACATGAGTGCCTACCTATTATTTAGGTATATATAGAAGCTGTGGCTATGTATATACTAGCTACATGTACTTGCTTTGGTATACTTGTATTATGTACACGTATATGACTCTATTTTTGGTCTTCAATGTTTAAATATCGCTTCTATCCTTATCCACTTCGTTATCGATCCTCTTCCCGTTCATTAATTTCCTAGTCTTGCTACTCGTTCTCTTTATTTTGTTAGCCCTGCTACTCCATGTCGTACTGGGATATACTCTCTATCTTCGGATGGATTAATTCTTGCCACCCAAGTGGGATGTTACTTTTCTGGGTCGGTTGACAGATGATTTATGTGCAGTATCCATCGGATGGGAACCGTTATTCTTTCTGGTCTGTTTGTTACCTACACTGTAACTTCATGGATACATACCTTGAATTGGGTAATCAGTTTCAAACAGGCTCCGAAGAGTGGCAGCTGAGCTAGGCATAAGACGATCTAGAGAGAATTCCGGGATACCCACGTCAAGCTATCTACGGAAACCTCTAAAGATACAGCATTTAGCAGTGTTGGGGTATATCCTATATACTCTTACCCTGTTTACTCTTACCCTCTTTTCCGATCAACATTCTCCCCTTTTAGAGGTGGCGTCGACAAGGAATACTATGATACCTAGTGCATTAGAGGATAAAGAATAAGATAGTTAACTTGTTACTATTGGCGAAATAGCCACCTAGGAAGCTATGACACTCGAACCCACCTCCTTTCAATGCTATACGGCTAGAGCTCTCGAGTTGTTGATGTAATATGACGGATAGATGATGGCGTTTCAAGGACCAGCCATCTAGACGGTGTACGCTATGCTGGGAATTGCAATGCCAACCGGACGGTAACTATTTTGGTTTATTCAGTCTAGATTATCTTAGAGGCTAGTTCTCGATGAATCTAGGTAATGTGATGATCTCAGTAGGTAGACAAAATCCTCTGTTATGGCATGTGTACCTAGTTACAATCTTTAAAACGAATTTATATGTATTTATTGTAATTACTAAGACTATCGTTGAATGAGTACCAACAAGCCTGGCAAATTTTGAATATTTTACATGTATCAACTATTACTCAGGTTGGCCGGCAAGCTAGTAAACGTGCAGTAACTGAAACCCCTCTCTATGTCATAGGCAGCTTGTCGAGCTCTACACGTAATGTCTGCCGAACATGATCAAAAATATCTACACATCCAACTAGTTAATCACGCGTCGTCATTCACGATCGATTGTTAGGGGTTCTATGTGTGGTTGCGAAAGGCTTCCGTTATTTTTTACTCTTTGATTCTTAGATGAGAAGTTTTGGGTGTGGCATTAGGCCAGCCTTCTGTGGACAGTGTCCTAACCACAAGATGTCGTAGCCCTATTCACACGTTTGCTGATGTGATCACACGAGAGAATCCGAAGCCGGTTAGGAGGTGATCCTGTCACCTTTAAGCGCGCTTCTAGTCTGGATCTCGATGGTGTTCGGAGCAATTAAGCTTTGTGCTATTCCCTAGCCCCGGTCTCGAGCTCAAAGACTGCTGACACGACACGGTCCTGTCGACAGGCCAACCCAAATGTGGAAAGCTTTTAAGGTTCAGGTTCAACCTTGAGGCGAATTGGGGAGGGGGTATCCTGTCAGCTCCCATCCCTCTCCTTTCATAATATTTGATCCAACTAGTGTGTTTGCTAAAATTGAACATACACTTCATGAATACTTGGAATAATACTCTCTTCCGGAACTTGAACATTCTGTCATTAACACTTGAGGAGGGTAAAAGTGGAAGGAGACCCGATGGGTTGTGTTTCTGGGCGGTATTCTTGCACTATGACCTCGCTGGCCGACTCCTTTTTAAGCGTCCCCCGTAGTAACATCAACAGTAGGTAGAAAGCGATGAAATAAGCATTATCAAGACTTATATTAACCTTCAAGGCACCAATAATATTTTTACGGAACCCTCGAGCTGACATAGCCTCGTGGAAGACAGTACATTCTTTCTGTATGATTGTAAGCGGGGAGTTCGCATTAATTCTCTCTGCTTAGGTAGATAGCTGCTCACCTAGAGTCTGTCTCGTGGGTACCTTATTTTCGATCAACTTGGCAAGCGAGAGTATGCAGCATCGTAGTAGCAAAACAGCTAAAGATACGTCCGTAAGGATGAGCTTTTTCCTTGGCTTTTATATAGCTCCCCGACCTGCCTTATTATCAGCTCATCTTCATAGAATTCATAGCAGATCGCCCAAATGCAGGTACGAGGCCGGCAAACTGAAAAACAAATATGCTTACCTTCGTCTCAAACCAACCGAGGGCTCGGTAGGCTTGCATGAGAACGATGTGCGATAATAAGTTCTCACGAAGCAAGAATCCGCGAGACTTGTTCCGAAAAGGGGATAGCTGATCATCCAATCTGGCAACTGAATAGGGGTTAGACGAGCCGTGATAGCCTCTGTGGGGGTGCCACGGGACGATTCCCGGTCTAATACATGCGACCAGGCCGATCCAGGCAGCTGCTAGGACACCGATGAGCACCGCAAACCTTATAAGCACGGTTGGTTGTAACATGGAGCTACCCTGCGTGGAGTTCTATCTGCCGCTTGACTATTTCATGTGAAATCTGGCTAGCATCTAGCCTTATAGCTAGAGTGGATCTGGGGGACACTTCATGATCTAGACAGGCATTGAGGGGCGGGACTGCGCTACTTGCTCCGCATGCTTGCCGCGTTACGTGCTTAATTCCGAGTCTCTTATTTTCGAATCTCGTAGAGAAGCGTCTGAGTTGCTTAGTAATGCCTCATGTGTACAACGGGAACATTGAAGCTTGAGGAGGTTAGCAAATGTCGGGCGTAGAAGCCAGCAGTCACTAACAGTGAACATGGGTGATTATAGGGAGCTATTTAGTATACGCACGAGACGCGCTTTGATGGTATCCATGTGTCATATTCAGAATCGGCAGGCTAGGTAGGGTATATGCAGCTGTCGCCACTTAAGCTTTAGGAAGACTTAGCGTAGATCATCCGGAGAACGGATGATCTTGGCATTCAGACGTCGGTCCCGCTAGATTCTAAGCTTCCGTCCATTAATTGCTCACACTTTACCCTCTAGGATTATAGTACCATGGGGTCTAGGGCTCTAGCGTAAATGACCGGGCGTCAGTTATCGAGAAAGAACCAAGGACGTTTCGATGCTGTAGCGCCGTATGCTTCGCCAGGAATTTCTATCGGTACTGGGATGACATTGCTGAAGTCGGCTGGATCAGAGGACCCGGCCCCTTCTTCGCTAGAATCCCGAGACGGTATAGGAACTATTTACCATTTAAGTTAATAACCATCGTCTGTGCATGAATTTGTAATCCTCAGGATAGGCCAAAGAAGCGCTTCATACCCAAACAGGGATGGAAGAGGTAGAAGAACACCGATTCTTACTTACCAACTACTCCGCATTCCCAGTTGCGGCATGTAATCTTTGGGTTACCGGTCCCCCTCTCTTTCGTCAGGCGACCCCTGAATGCCCGAATTCCACATTAGTACCGAAATCGAGCCTGGGAGGGTGAAAACTTACCATGCGCTTTCAGATAGATTCGCGCTTCCAATATAAGCATAGGCGGCCTTGGATTTGCCTGAGCGGCGATGGCGGACCATCATAAGCTTACTATGCACGAGAATACCAGTTCTGACGCTTCTGGAATCGCGAAACAATTCTCGAGGAAACGTGGCCGAATCCCACCACTTGGCATGTGCACAGATGGTTCCCGCAGCCTAGAGGACCTTTTGTTAATGCTTTTCCTTTCTAAAATCTTTCAAGCTTGTGCTTACATTCTTTCCGCCACGGCTTTTCACTACCGTATCGTGAGATGGAAAGTAAATTCGAAACCTGTCCTTTAGGGCGATCTTGGCTGATATTGACTCCTTAGTTTTGCCGCTCTTCGCACCCCTCATCCCGTATTCTTTCAGGCCGTTGTCGCCTTGAGCAGCATAATATATGGCTAATACTAGGTCTATGTTTAGCGATCCTAGTGATGAAGTCATTAAGTCAACCTCGATCTCGTCAGTAGTATTGAGTCCGAGAGACGTTATAGCTCGACCGAGCCCGCAATATCCTGTTCGTCGCCACTCGTCGCCCGCATGTGATGCCGCGCTACACTGGCGTTAGCCTTCAATAACAAGACATCCTCTAATAGCACAAATGCTCTTATTTAGGCCTTACATTGTATGAATGAATCTGTAATGATTTGCTTCTGAGAAATCGTAGTTTGCAAGGCTATTTACAAGGCTCTCGTCTAAGTTTTGAGCTCGAAGAAAGTAACAGAGCTCGTCGCCGAATGGGCCGAGCTTATTAGAAGTCTTTGATTTGGGATCGTCGATTCGAGGAAGGTCTATAAGAAAAACCATGTTCTCAATAATCCCGTTCTCGCCCCACTACACCACATTAAGTTAGAAGTCGCTTGAAATATTGCCATTAAGCTAAGATGCTTCAACTCACGTCGTAGGGAACGAAATTCCCAGTCGGTATCACTACTCGCAAATATTTAGGGTATTTTAGTAGCTGTAGTTTCGAATGCATGTTTCCGGTTGACATCATAGGCGGGAAACAGAACTTGATAGGCGCGCCCCGGGGCACGTTGGCCTTCATTTGCTCTTGCTGTCGGAAAGGGTGGTCCTGTTAGCTTAACGGTACATAGAAGCGCTGATGGCTTTCGCGAGGACCATACCTGGTCTTCGTCCGAAGCGAAAGCAACTAGAATAACCTTAGTCTGGGAAAATTCGATCTTGGATAGCAGCCATTCTTCATCCCACTGAAATGAGCTGATCATGGCCAATTCAAGCTCGTCCTTCTGCAGAACCTCCTCTATCTTGATATCGTCTTTACGTGGACATCCTGCGACCCACGTCTTCTTGACTATACCCTTCGGATACGGGAGGTGGGGAGTAGCTTTCGTAGCTAAGCTGGCTCGTGGCTTGAAATCGACCTTTGGTCTTTGTCGACGGTCTTGTTCTTCGGGTTGCGAATCTGACGCCTTTCGCTTCACTGATCTTTGGCGCAACCTCGCAAGTCTTTCCTCCTCCATCTTCTTCCTGTCCATTCCTGCTAGTCCTAGGGCTGTGGAGCTGCTTGGTGTTGCAGATGTGGGCTGTTCGGGGTTTGATGGTGTATCTTTCAGCGATGCATTTTCGGGTGTTTGTCTGGTAGGGGAATTATCGGGCTCTTTGGCGACCGAGGAGAGCTTAGGTTTCTGTTCCGATCTGCCTTGGCCTTCGTCTTCGCCCGAGTCGAGTTCAATAGGTTCCTTGGGCGAGGCGCCGCCAGATTCTTGCAAGGACAAAGCTATCGCGTAGCGTAGTGCAGCATCTTCGTCGCCGCCAAAAGCATCAAGACTGTCCATGATGAAGAAAATCACTGACCATCGAAAGCGTTAGTAAGGGAATCTCGGCAGTTGATTTTGTGGAATATGGGATTCCATTGGTGGGACCATCTACCTAGGTAATGGCTACATGGTTGAAGCATTGACGTAAAATGGACCGCGTAACGGGCAACGCGACCTCAGCACGGCATCACGTGATAGCCCCTTGGCATTTTCCGGCTTCGGAGGACATGACATCACACGAGTGTACCTATGCACTTACCTGCCCCTTTATATGTACCTAGACGTCACTATCGATTCTAATAGTTCTCGTTGCTAGGTAATTACCTGAGTTTATGGTCTAAGCATTTATGGGATCCTAGTTAGTTAGTATCTATGAATACCTAGTTATAACGGCAATTATGTCCGAGTTCACATCTTTGAGCTCGAGGTTTGACGATATATCTCGACCTTAGAGGTCTTTTGTATTAATGGCATGGGGTCATCGGTAGACGTTCCGTTAGACCAAGTGCCTGAATATATCATCATCAAAAAAAAAACCACCTTTTTCTCTACCCCGAAATCTCGTGACCCCCTGCGACTAAATCGCCTCTATCCCTTTTCATCATCTTTGAAGTATCGAACCATCACTCCTTTCCGAAATTCCATACCGCCTTAACGGCCCGGATCCGATCCATCTTCCCATCTAGAAGCCGAAACCCCAGATCCGACGCCCGATCCGATACCAAGTCCGGTCGATTATGTACGTGGTGATTCCATGACTCCAACTTGACAAGATCTACCTTTAAGCCTTAATGAAAACAAGTTTTCAGGAAGTTAAACGCAGATTGCCAAGCTGCCAACTACCAAGTTGGGCTTAACTGAAAGAGGCGCCGTGCCTCATATTCCGTAATACATTGTCATGTGAATAGAAGAAAAGAAAAAAAAAGAAAAAAGCGAAAAAGAAAAAGCAAGAATGCGTTGCCCTGGTGTCTCTTGTATCATGCGTAAATGTCGAAATGCCTAGCCGTGACTATTCCTAAGTATCACAGTACAGCAGACGCCGTCCCTCTGAAAAAATAAGAGAAAACAAGAGACGAAATGAAGATGTAGTGCGCCGTGGTCGTATGGTACCCGTGATACCCATAACAAAGGGAAATGGTAGTTTCGTTGTCAAGGTAACCCATTATCTGTCTCTAGACGCCAATAGCACCATACGTAAAGTTGGTTCAGAGGAATGTGAAAGTGGTTGTGGATGTAGTTAACGTGAAGACACCGACCGGCTAGGCGAATCTAACTTGAGCACTCGGCGAAGGCTATCCTCCATTGACGAGATTTGGTCTGGCTGATAATGCGTTAGATTCGCCTGCACAGGCGGGATTGCCGGCTGGCCAGTTCGCGCGTTTCCCGTAAGAACTGAGGCTGGAAACATCCCACGAGGCATACGACGTGGCAAATTGGGATGTTGCGGGCGCTTGTCAAGCTGCGGGGAGAATTGCTCCGGAATCTGGCGCGCGGAGTCTGATAGCTGTTTGGCCGCCTCGTCATCACGAGCAAGGCGGCCGGTGAATAAGTATCGTTTTAAAGTGTCTGACGAGTTGGTGTCTTGGTTTGCAAGTGCACCAAGTGTGGGGCCGTTATTAGAACGAACCGCTTGCATGCGTTCATGGAAGGGTGTGGAGAAAGCGGCTCCAATTGGTTGATGCGGATCACCATCTAGCTCATCCGCAGAGATCCCCATGCTCCCAGGGCGCTTGAGATTAGCTGCCGGACGTCGCATGGGACCGGGAATGGTTGCTGTCGGGAAATGGCTGTATTCCTTAACAGAGTAGCTGTGAGACTCTAGAGGTGGAGAGAAAGGACTGAGGCTGTGGGCATCCGCATGGGTAGAGCTCGCTCTACGAACTCTAGCCTTCTCAGCTCTGTCGGCACGGAAGAGTAACTCCAAAGGGGAGTCTTCAGCCCGCGGAATGGATACCGGGCTTGGGCTTCTCGTTCCCTCTGTGTCCGTGGTCGAGCAAGAGAGACCTTGCTCGGGGCTAGACATGGTGGTCTTCGTCTTCATTGTCTGGGGAGTGTCGACCGCTGCGGCACTGAAGAAGCTTGGGATCGGCAAATCCGAGGGGGCAGGGGAAGCATGGAAAGTTGAGCCTGCGAAAATAGGGACATCGTTGTTCTTAGATTGAGGAAGCGGACTATTGCGATCCGACTTAGAGGTGCCGATTGTTTCGGCAGCATCCTTAGCCTTAGGCTTCTTAGGCTTCTTGTTACTGTTGCGCGACTTTTGGCCGGTGGAACTGGCGCGCTGCGACTTGCGAGTTTCTTGATTAGGTGTACCTGGGCTTCCCGCAAGAGGTTCCGACCGGCGAGAGGGAACGTCGTTCTCAGAAGCGTAAGTAGTGGTCTTAGGGGTGGTGCGATGCCGGCCGCCTTGGCGACGACGGTTAGGTGTCTGACTCGATTGCGTAGTACGCTGCATGATTGAACGGCATGTAGTCCGAAGAGGATGAATTTGATGATGAAATGAAATTAGAGCCTGACGAGGCTGTTAAAGATCGGTATGTAAATGTCAAAGCGACGACGTAGTGCGGGGATAGGTTTAGCGATGAGAACATACTGTATTTTGAGGTGTTGTTTTGAGTAGCAGGAACAGCAGTTAAGCTTGGGGGAAAACAAGGATGATTGGGAAAAAAGGCAGTGACTGCTATTTTTCAACAACCAAAGACCAACTTGATTAGTTGATTTGCCTCCCCGGCTCTGTCCCAGGAATTCCTTAAGATGACCTGGTGAAATGTGGTGAAATGTGGCTGTGCAAGTCAGTACGTTTCGCACGTTATACCCGATGTAGGAATGGGACCCAGCATACCAGGCGAACGTTGGATTATTACTGGTAGAAACCAAGACGAAACCAAGCGATGGTGAGTGACTTGGTAGTGACTTTGTAATTTGGGAAAGATTGGGGAAAATTGCAAAGAGAGAAACCGTGCTTTGAAGTACTTGGCTAGCAGCTAGGTACTTCGTTATGTAATTCGTTAAACCAGTAAACCTAAAAAAAGACCCGGCGGGGCACCTTGCAGCAGCTGTCAAACGGCTGATTTCCCCACTCTGACAGTTAATGCTTATGTAACACTGTCCCGCCGCCCGCAGTCCGCAACCTTGAAGGCTCCAGCTCCATCGTAAAAGTAGGCATGTACCTAGGCAGGCCAGGCAGGCACATCACATATTGATCACAAACAGCACTGAGGGGTATTGACGTGGAAAAAGCTTCTGTTCTACACTGTACAAGACTTCTTTGATTTATTCATTGCATCACCAACACCTCCATTTCCAAGCTCTACCAACAGATCCGACCTTTTCTCCGCAGCCAACCAAACTACGTCAAATCACCGGCCCCATTCTACTATCGACCAAAGCTATCCCGATAACGAATATTCCGACCATAAAACCACCGCTTACTCTCCCGAATTAATCAATACAACATGGCCGACATTGACATGACCGATGCGCCCAGCGCCTCTACGGTTGCCAAGAAGGGGCGCAAAGGCGGCGACGCCGACAGTAAGAACGAAGAGAAGAAACGTTTTGAGGTCAAGAAGGTAAGGAAGACCCGGGGATTAGCTATACTACTTTCTGGAGGTAGTGCACCAATACTAATATTTGGGGACTAGTGGAATGCCGTTGCTCTATGGGCATGGGATATCGTCGTCGACAACTGTGCTATCTGCCGCAACCACATCATGGACCTATGCATCGAATGCCAGGCGAATCAAGCTTCCGCTGCTAGCGAGGAATGCACTGTTGCTTGGGGCATCTGCAACGTAAGTCATATCGACAACCGTCCACATGAGATACTCAGGTAAATTAACTAGCTTACTTAAAGCATGCGTTCCACTTCCACTGCATCTCGCGATGGCTCAAGGCACGCCAAGTATGTCCGCTAGACAACCGAGACTGGGAGTTCCAGAAATACGGTCGTTAGGAGGGGAATATTTACATAGGCAACATCGCGAAGGCAAATTCGACCTCGATCATCATGCCATCCTAGTGCTGGATGCATTTGCCCGGAATGAGACAAGGACAATTCACATCACATACTTTGGCCACATTTATGGTGGTAGCATCGCAGAATTGAGTATCATTCGCATCACATCCCACCCTTAGTTTAGTGGGAGCCTCTATCCACGTCTCAGAAGTCCATAGCTATGCCTCTCAGGTATGAATAAATCCTGCCTTTTATTTCGTAAACATCTTCTCGTCGATGACTATGTTCTGCTGCGCACTCGTGATCGCCGATTCGCCTCCGACGGGGAGCCACTTAACCGGATGTCTGTTGAAGAAGGGCCATGGAGGAACGACAATGAGGAAGGTAAGGGCTGTGCCGGCGAGGCCAATTTTAAGCGCGAGAGTGATGTCTTGTAGGAAGAAGCCGACGAGGAAGGAAATGCCCTATTCGATGATACCGGGAGTTAGCAAACCATTCAATGCTCGAAGAACAGATAGCGACATGAAGTGGTCCTCTCATACCCCGACGATTACGAGAACAGCTGTAGCTAAGATCTCGGCTAGCTTCTGGCCTTCGAAATCCTGTACGTAATGAATAATTGGTTAATAACGTAGTTTGTTAAATTCGTCTCGTTACGAAGTAGGGAAACGGTAACGAACAATTTGACCATCTACTGCGTCTCTAACTTTCTCCAAGAGTTGGTCTGCCATAGTCGCGTAGAACCCAAGATATATCTATAAACTTCCGTATGGTGATGAAGGTTGTCTCTCGGTCGGTGATGGAGTTGTAGTCAATTCGAAGCTATCGTGTACATGATAGTTTCCACATATGTAAGTCTAAGGTCCAAGAGGTTTACCTGGCAAGAAGTACCCAGTTGCGGCTGTTCATGCGACGTGGTACCTTGTCGACGGTACCCAATCAGGAAATAGTAACGATCTTAGGTAATTTTTAGTGCAGAAGTAGTACGTATCAGCAACCGAGGTGACCCCCGCCCCGCCCTTCCCACTTTCCATAACAGTTCCATAAACAGCCACATGGAATAAGCACATGCATCTCCAATGTTGATTAGAGCATGTACTAATGTACCTCGATATGAATTGAGGCCTCAACGGCGCTGGCCTATCCAAGCTCGCACGATAATCAATATTACATGTACTTGTAATAAGTTGTCAACCACAAGTCCAAGTATGTGTACAAAACCAAGTTTGCCATGATTGTCCTATTAGATCTGTTGAATGAAGAAGAGTTATGAAAGAAAATAGATTTACCAGTGTATTGGATTATGGAGTCGGTTCCAGATGCCCATAGACGGTTTGTTAACGCCAATGATTCAAGTTCCTTATTTGCAGCTTGATTCGTGTTTGTTAAACTGCTGATTTCAGTACTTACCTAGGCAGGTACTTGTGTTCCGTCATCAGAAAGGGGGTTCCAGATAAGCAGCTGAGATCCTATTGCATCCAACATTGGACTGTTGGATGCGACTGTTCAAAAGTAAGGTATATATAATACATATACATATATCATATATATATACAGAATACATGTGAATGCTATCTTACAGGTACTAGGGGCATAAGATCCGTAGATTACAATTGGATGCAAGATACGTACCATGTTGGGTGGGTCTTAGAAGGTCGAGATTTCCTGCAGGAATTTTCGCCTCTCAACGCAGTAAACGTCAATTCCCCTCTGTTTGACTGGCTAACCGGACCCAGTCAATAGGCTAATTAATTTTTTTCCTTCTTTTCATAGGGCCAAAGCTCAGACGAACCTAAAAAATCTGGAAAATCTGGTTAGCTCGCTTTAAACCTAACTTTCCATCCTCGTCGATTCTTTCAACTTCATCGTAACACTTTTTTCATCTTTCAATTTCTCACAAAAACATCGACTTCTTGCTGGTTGGTAGATAATTGCGCATGCAATCTACTTATTTCTCAGCAAATACATACTACTGATCCGTTCGATTCTATCCAATTCGGAAAACCCCTCTTTAATCAGGAGCTGAATCCGTTCTCATACATCATCACAATCTTTGTCGATCCAGACGTTAATCGCGACTAGAGACGACTACAGACTCCAAATCTGCGCACTACCACAGATATTAATCCGCACACCCATCGTCGTCCTGACTCGATCCCGTTAGGCCAACAACTAGTTCAACACCACCAGATCATCCAACCAGTATCTTTGGTCAGCTTAACCAGCTGCGTTATTTCCCTCATCCCGTCGAGGTGTCCATTGCGGTAAATACCGCCGCTTCTCAGAAACCACCAAATTGGCGGGCCTCAAATCCCACCAGTTTTCATTCTCTCGACCGCTTCTTGGCCCCTTCTGCTGGGTCTACAGCGGCGCCAACAAGAAGCCACCTTAACTTGACCGTCGCGCATGCCATTTTGACAACAAAGTCTTCTCCCCTCGCCAATCCGTCTGTGTAGGCTTATTTTCACCGGAACCCGACCTTGGTGTTCATCTCCAGCATTGGCCTGGACATCACACCAAGTTCCCTTGCAGTCGGCGTGCTGCCACGCCTACTGCAGATCTCTGATGCTGGTAGTCTGAGTACACCACCCAGTATGCACGCCTTCCCTTAATTACCACGCGGAAGGCTTTCCTTAATTGGAGTATATTATTCAACTTTCCAATTCTATTCAGCTGTATAGATTCCCTTGTGTCGTCATCCGTCAGATAAATTTAACGTTTCATGGACGGAACCGGTATTTCGTACGAGATGTCTGACCACGAAGAAGTCACCTCTGGCTCGGGTTACAACACCCCGGTCCCGGAGCTCGACGATCATCGTCACCAAATCTCATCCATTCAGAGAACGGGAACCGAACGTGCCCGCCGTGGTACCGTTGACACCCTTTATGGAACCCGCCAGCATCTTCAACCGCCTGGACCTTACTCCCCTTCTAACGCCAGGGGAAGAGACTTCGAAGAAGCAGTTGTCGATGAAGAGGATGGGAATATATCACCAATGGCTACTCACAGTCGTAGACCCACCTTCGACTCGACCATTGAACAACAACGGGCTGTATCCCCGCCGAATTCTGTCAAAGCATTCGCTGAAGCTCGCCGTCGAGAACGCGCCCTGTCGGTGACAGATGGCCGAGCACAGAGACAGGACGATGAGGATGCTCTCCATCGCACCTATTCTTCCGTTAGCCGCAGAAGCCAAACGAGCCAGCGATCTGGACGAAGCAAGCCTGCGACGTATGTTCCTGACGATGGCGCCAGTTTAGCGACTAACAAAACTGCGGAAGACGACGTGTGCTTCCCTATGCAGGATGAACACCGCCACGACCAGTTACATATCGACTTTGACTATCTCGAGAACTTCGTCGCATCCGAAAATGCTGCTCGACGAGACAGCGTTGGTGCGCAAGGAGCTCTTCGAACATTCCCTAGCTTAACACAAGACTCGGCTCCCGAACCTGCACGTATGGTTACTGTTGATGGCGACTTCGTCAACCTCCCCTCTGGATCCCTGGATGCTGACCAGGAGAAGTCCGAAGAAGCAGGCGAAGCCCAATTTCCAAAGCCAGTAGAGAAGGAGCCGCACCTGGACCCGAACCGATTTAGCTTCTTTTCTTCAGCCTGGGAGTCCACCATCCACGCTGCCGAGTTTGGGGACCTTGTTCTCCCTGGTGAAGACTTGCGTGGCCTTTTCACCTTTCCTCATGACGAGCCGGATGGTGTTTGGTGGTTGAACGTCAATAGGCCAACTGAAGAAGAGGTTCGGGCTTTATGCAAGGCCTTTGGAGTTCACCCCTTGACTATCGAAGACATCACTACTCAGGAGGCCCGCGAGAAGATTGAAATCTTCTCGTCGTATTATTTTGCATCCTTCCGGTCTTTCAACGTCGTTCAAGACGACGAGGACGGCCCCGATTATGAACCATTCAATGTTTATGTCATCGTCTTCCGCGAGGGTACCTTGAGTTTCAGCTTCGTCCCTAATCATCATGCCTCTCAGGTTCGTAAGAGAATTTCTAGCCTCAAGGAGTACGTTTCCTTAAGTAGCGACTGGATTTGCTACGCCTTCATGTAAGTACTGGATATAGCTGGCGAGGAAATGTTAATAGCCACAAACACTAACGATTTGCAGCGATAACATTGTCGATTCCTTTGCTCCCGCACTTTCAAAAGTCGAGACACTCACGGAAGCCATCGATGATTCTGTATTTATCGCTCGGCCCGAGGACAACCGAATGTTTCTGCGCAAGATTGGTGGCGTCCGCAAGAACACGTTAGCACTTATGCGTGGGCTCGGAGGCAAGGCCGATATCTTGAAGGGCTTCACTAAACGCTGCAACGAGGACTACAAAGTCACACCCCGCATGGATATCGGCTTATACCTTGGTGACATCCAGGACCACGTCGTAACCATGATGACCAATCTCACCCACTTCGAGAAAATCCTGTCACGAGCTCACAGCAACTACCTTGCTCAACTGACGGTCGATAGCATCACGCAAGGAACAGAGACGAATAAGGTTCTCGCGAAAATAACGTTCCTAGCCAGTCTGATTGTCCCCTTCAACGTGGTCACTGGTCTATTTGGCATGAACGTCGGGGTCCCTTTCAAAGACGTCGACAATACAAACGCCTTTTTCGTCATTGTAGGATGTCTGGTATTTTTCTGCGTGGGTTGCTGTGCCTTCGCGCGCAAGAAGCGAATGCTCTAGTGGGGCCGTCCCAGCCGTCCCAGCCGTTCTATTCATCATTGAGTACAGACATCCCTTGGGTTATCGAGGATAGATTCGAATATTAATCTTGTTATCCTTCCACGGGCTCCATGATAATCATCAGTCACTCGATGGAATGGCACTGTCCTTGGTTATTATCACCGAGTTAATATTTGAAGAACTCGATTAGCATAGTGCGCATGGCTGTGTTGCACTTGAAATGCTTTCATCTGAATTAATAACATAGTGTGCTTAGGTAGCCACTACCTAATTAATACGAAGAAATTTTCAGCCTTCGGACCGAACTCGTGTTTTCATGATATAATTATAGGCGAAGAAACCGAGGAACGCGATACTGTCAAGCTTATTTTTGCCAAAGTCGATGTTTTATCTACTGGCTGGCTACCTTGTCCTTGTTATCATATACCATCCATAAACCGTGATACGCACTAACTACTATTACGCCAGCAATCGTATAGTCTAGACACATGTATACACACCAGATACATACATCCCTTAAAGTTATTGGGTTTTCTACCAAAACCAACCTTGAAAGATTTACCCCCGACGAGATCCACAATCACCATTTTCATACTATCACAACCTCACTCTCTTCGCAGCCAGCAAAACAATCGTTCAATCTCCTCAAGTTCGCTTCGTAGCCATCTTCGGCCCGTACTCGCTCATCTCCCTTAATGTCCTTCCGAAATTCGATTTGGGCTACGCGATCGTACGCACCTTTTCTTCCTTTCGAGGGCGCTAGTAACAAAGCTCCGACCTCAATGCGTCCAGTGTTCCCGTTCTCTATCTCCGAGAAGTTTTTGGACCAAGCGGCAAGCTCAATTGCGACGAGGTTTTCCAACACCATTCTCGGCGAGTCTTCCTCGGTATCTGAAGTGGCGTTGCCAACCCATCCGTTTAAATCGCCAAAGGGTCTATCTTTTCTTACGAGCTGCGCTATTCTGGCTACTGTATCATTTTCGTCGCCATCGATATTCTCTACCAGGTATCGGACAAGGTCTCGCGCGGGGTGTAAAACTCGGTAGTTGTTTAATTTCCATGCGAACTGACGCAACTTGACACAGAACCAATGGGTTATACCAGACGCCTTGGTTAGCCATTCGATTCTCCGCATCCGCGGGCTCAGTTTAAGAATCCAGGAGATTCGCTGCAGAAAGGGAATCCGTAGCCTAACCGGGGCAACTCTCCCAGATAACCGGATTGACCCGTCTCGAACTTGGCCGAAAGGCTCCGACGTCGCAAGCTCACAACTTACGTCGAGGACTTTTGCGAGGACTAAAAGACCGGATTCCCCAGGTCGCTGACACGGATTCCACCATGTGATTGGTCCGGATCCGGACGCCCACGCAAAGCTAGGCGCGATATAGGGTTTGTCGCGGAAACGTTTAACGTTGAAAGAGCGGCGCCATAAAAGCTCGCTTACGAGCTCACCCGTCCAAAGGCCAGCCACGTAGCTACCGAAAGCCTGTTTTGGCATTCGACCTGCCACACCAGCGAGCGCTGGCAGTCGGTCTGCTTTGAAAGTGAAGTCGGTTGTGGCGTAATTCGCTACCATATCGCGCCATGCCAACCAGGCTTTCTGGGCGTTTAAACCGTTGAGAATATCCGCGGCAGAGCCTTCGTAAGGTTCCACTATCGTCGCATATTCTGCAAACCCTTCTTTGAACGATTTGTAGGGACGACTCCCCATAGGATCACTGCCATGAGGGAGCAATTCGTCACATTCGCATTTGGTGCCGGCGAAGCACTCGAAAGTAATCTCTTTGGGGCGGAAGTGGATGATTCTGGATGCTAAGAGCCGTTCTTGATAACACCACCCTCTTCCTGTCAGGGCGTCCGGAGTTATTGGATCATCCTCGTGAGCGAAGTCTCCTCGCACCACAGTAGAACAGGTCGTACCGGAGTCATCTTGATGGGAAATTTCACGAAAGTGCTTGCGCTCGAGAAAACACCCATGAGTTGGAGATGCGTTATTAGTGGCAACGTGTGCGGCTATGGTGAAATAGGATTGCCTGTAGATATTGCCCATTTGAACTGACTGCTCTTCCCAGTCCTTTGCGTCATCTTGGATGATACAAAGCGAATCTATCCACAGATACTGGATATCTAGCCACCTCGCTATCCGGACAGCATCACGCAACGTAGGTGAAAGCTCATCGAGGTGAATAGTAACCCCTAGCCGGTTTAGCCTATCATGGGTCATCCTCAGTGGCTGGGAAATCTTCCAGAAATGACTCAATGTAATATACGGAGCCCGTCCCGCGATATCTTCCTCCAGGAAAATGATATCCCCGTTCCTAGGATCTACATTCAAGAGCCTCTTCGGCATCGTCGCCGGGGTGAGTGGGCCGCAATAGAGATGTTCATCCGCGCATTCGCTGATCCACTTTTCCACGAAATCACGATATTGATCGTTCAAAACGCTTACTGGTGAGCTTTTAAGGCGACCGATGATATTCCAAGGGCTTGGCTTATCTATAGAGTGACGGACGAAAGCGAAATAGTTAATCAACTAAAATGAGGGTAGACGACATAATTGATCAAGGGCACCTACTTGCTAAGGCGAAAAGTTCATATGAGATCACGTCGGTACGCGAGACAGATATGCGCCCTCCGTCTCGCGTTGTGACATCGACACGCACCTTTCTCCCAGGCGAAAGCATCACATGGAGATAGAGTGATTGCACGGCTTCTTGAAATGCCTTCTCGGAGCGCTGGTCGGGCTCAATCGCATCGCTAGTCTTCCATGAAAAGAAGAGTGCCATGAAGAGAATCTGGCATGATTTACAACCTTCTCGTGCTTGCGCCCAGACTTCCGATACCGATTTATCTATCTCGTAGAGGGGAGGTTCTCCACTGGACCCTTCCTCTGCCTGGGTTTCTTCGACCTCGGCCTCATTCAACTGAGAGAAGATAGGGCAATCCGGATCCGACGACTTCACCCCTAAGGTTAACCCGAAGGGATCGGGCGAGAAAATTGTCTGGTTGACTTTGGTCACGCGAGGTGCCAAATCGGGATCGAAGTCACGACAAACTGGACATGGCTCACCCTCTTCCCCTTCACTCTCGCTCCCGCTAGCATGTTTTTCGGACATCTTACAACGTGATTAATAGATTTTGAGCATGGCTGAAGAAGGAATTCAAGTTGAATATTGTCGATTCCGTGTCTACTACTTCTTGACTGAGGAGCATGTTGCTTATAGTCACTTGACTGCCTACCCGTTCCTGCGTAGGGGGCTCAGCCTAAGAAGGGTGGAGATGGACAATCAGAACGTGGATCAATCGACGTATGCCACCTAATCCGACTAGCTATACCGGCCCATAAAACGCCACCTATCAAGGCGTATTAGGCACATCCCATAGCGGCTTGCTGCATGAAGCTGTGGGTTGACAGCGCCCGCCGAAAAAGAAAAAAAGCCTTAGTCAAAGCAATATTTGAAATTCATTACGAGAAACTTGGCGGCGTTTTGCAGCGGCCGTCATAACATCAATGAAGAGATCCCTCGGTGCCCAACGATGTTAAGAAATACATTCTGTAAACATATACACGGATTTCCAGGGGCAATTGCGAGAACTGCTGCAATGAATTTGGAGATATCCACATTCAATATTCGAGATCGCTTGTCCGAGGGAAATTTATTCGTGTACAAATTACCCAATTATGTGTCCGGTATTCGATACTGATTTGCCACATCCGGAGGTAGTTCTTAACTTGAACGCGCACATGGCTGCCCGGACGAATTGTTTCGATCTCAGTTGAAGAACTCACTTGAGGCATAGAAAAATGCTGCTGTAGAGCGACTAGTCTGTGCGGCGAGAGACGTTGGAAGTTTAAAGGCTACTTAAAATCTCATGCCTCACAGTCATTGGCCGTATCGCATCGTCGTCAACCCCCTATTCAGCTACGTAACAGGAACAAGCTTAGCCTGAAACACCAGTCGCAATATATCTATTCGTAAGAAGGCAAAAGGAAGTTCTCTATTCTGATAGCCCTCAAGATTTCCAACGTCCAACCATCGGTTTAGCGCTTTGACTCACCCTACCTACTCTCCTTCTAATTATCCTTAAATGGCAGTATAAATGTGAGTCCTACGAAACCTAGTTTCGCTATTAGCTAAGCCCTACCACAAACTGGCAGTAGAAGCCACTGGCGCATAGTTGACATATGCATTACCAGGATTGATCAATGAATAGCAAGGGTCTTAATACTCTGAATGCTTTTATTTGCGCACTTATCTTTCCGTCCCCTCCTTTGAGGCCTTCATTACAGACCCTATTTCGTTGCCAAGATCTCGAATGGTGATGCTGGTTCTCTTCATGCAACCCATTCAAGACTCCCTTTACACTCGTGGCCGTGTTTCAAGCAACTCGTCAACTAAGTCAATAATGGCATTCTTCATATTGAACAGCAGCAAGATGTGCCACCCCTTGTCCCATGAAGGTGTCTTAAGAAGCTCAAGACGACCGCGGAGTGTGTTCTCATATGCCTTTTTGCGTAATCCCCAAAGCTCGATACATGTCCATGCTCGAATACATGAAGGCCCTATGACAGGACCAGCAGGAACTCAGTCGTTTCTTTCCACAGTTCCCTTCCCGACTCCCACGTAGGAAGCCAGACAATATGAGGTACTTCCGCTGTATCTATCTAATTCCTACCGTCGTTCACCTGGCGGGCGTCTTTGCAAGCCTCCCCGGTAGGTCCAACGAGATTGAATTAAGGAGAGCCAAAGGCCATGCTCTTTCTCGTGGACGCGCTTCTTCTGAGGCCAGAAACTTCAATCACAATGGCTTTAGAAATGAAGGGGGGTCTGTGTCCACAGATGTGAAAGGACAAAGTAATGTTCATGGTTCATATCGAATCGACACCATCGTCAACGCTATAAACTCGGCCGACGAGCAAGTCCATACCGTGAATCTTGCCATACGGAGCATAAAAGCCGGCGGTACCATCGAAAACCTCGACTCGACATTACAATCGTTAACATCTACTATCAAGACGACTTCTGATGCTATTTCCGGAGCCGAATCATTCCAGTCTGGAGACATTCAGACTCTGAAATCGGCCATCCAACCCTTTCAGAAGTCCATCGGTACACTTGTCACCCAACTGGTGGCAAGGAAAGATACGATAGCGAGGCTATGTGGGTGTCGCGCCGTGCAGGGTGCTATGAACCAAATACGGAGCTCGACTCGAGTCATGTTTGATGGTATCAAGAATCGCATGGGTCAAGGCAATTCTGGCCATGGCATCCATGGAAGACGTGGCTTCAGCGACTTGCATTCCTTGGATTCAGGAATAGCTAGTTTCCTGAATCATGGATCTAATGCTTTTAGCTACGGCAATTGTATTGTAAGTGAACCTTCATCCAAATATCCCAACATATCTTCTCTACTTGTCTAAAGGTATACTATGCGCCTAAGATAGCCCTCTTGCTATACGGGCCAACTTGCTAAGAACCAGTCTTTGCTGACACCAATTATATATCAGGATTATGGAGACATCTCATCTGCAGTAAATACATGGGCATACCCGACGGAGACAGCAGCAGTAGGCCTTACTCCCTTGGCTTCCACATAATTTCCTTATACTCCAATGTGCAGTTCATGCATTTCTTATCCCCTTCAAATCAAGACTTTTAAATTTTCAGCTTAGCTTGTTTCTGGCTAACGTTTAATTTAAGTATACCGGATACACCTCCGTTGTGTTGGCAACACCTGTAAGTAATACATACCTATCTTTCAGTAATCGTATCTCCTTATACTCTCACAACTCGCTATTCTAATCCTACCTATACATCCACACCTCTATTTTTTTTTTTTTTCCAAGAGCCAATATTAACATAATCTCAAAGACAATTGCTGCTCCACCTGAAACCGTAAGCGGCGTGCCAGGAGCAACGTCTGCCCCTGCAACTGAAGGTGAAGGGGGAGACGGCGAAGGCGAGGAAGCTGAGAACACTTTCGGGTCAGTAATCACTACTGTTGGTACGACTCCGTACTCTTTGGGTTTTACTGACTAACACTGACATGAGCCGCTCCTCAGCCCCGGAAACATCGATAGCTAATGTCGTCACAACTCCAGTTCCTAGTTCGCCTACAATAATACTCACAACTACAGTTATAAGTTCTCCAATTCCAACGACTACCATTATAAGCTCTCCGCTCCCACCCACAACTACTCCTATCAGCTCTCCAATCCCCACGACAACTATATTCAGCTCGGCTTTCACTACTTACACGACTACATATAGCTCATTGTATTCATCAAGTTTTATATCTAGTATTCTATCGAGTTTTGCGTCGAGTTTCACATCGAGTTTTGTTTTTAGCACAGTCAGCCTGGCGCCTTCTACGTACACATCAACGTTCATAAGCACTATTACCGGGGCTAGAAGCACCTATTTGTCGACATTCACAAGTACAATAACTGATTATACCTTAATAACATCTCTCTCGACACGCACCAGCACGGAGACGGAGACGGAGACTGAGAGTAGCCCCGTTTCGACTTTCACATCTACTTTCACGGACACCTCGACAGGCATCTCGTTGACGAGCACTGCCTCAACAAGCACTGAATCGACAAGTACTGAATCGACAAGTACTGAATTGACAAGCACTGAATTGACAAGCACCGCATCTGACGGTGAAGCGGCTGCGGACGCTGTATCAAGTTCCTCAGCCTCCGCTACTCCTGTTACTTCAACTTTTACTGTTACTATAACAACCACATTCGTACCTGGGACCTTGACCACGGATACCAGTAGGAGTACTGTTACCCGTACCATTACTCGTACTAGGACTACTACGTCAACGTCTACTTCTACTTCCACCTCTACATCTACGCGTACTTCTACATTGACGTCGACATCAACAAGCACGAGTAAGAGCCGTTCGGTCGTCACTGATACGACGACTTTTACAACTACAGGGACCTTGACGGAGACGATTACACGTACTCGTACTAGTACGAAAACACCATCTACGTCCAGTTCATCTACATCTACATCATCCACCACATCCACCACATCCAGTCCATCATCTTCCACTACTTCTTCAACTACACCTACTACATCATCTACGCAATCCAGTACCCTGGTAGAAACCACAAGAACACAGACTCGTACATCGACTTACACGAGCTCGGGAAGCACGTTCACGTCTACATTCACAACTACTAGAACTACAACCTCGAAGACAACAGATACGGATACTTCGACGTCAACTGAGACTAGTACATACACAAGTCCGGCCACAACGATCACGTCTACTTTCACTAAAACTCTAGGCGGTTCGGCGACAGGATCTGCCACGAGCACAGTAACGTCTACTAAGACGAGTACGTATACGAGTGTAGCTAGCACATTGACGTCAACTTTTACGACTGCGAAGACAAGTACCTTGAAGGATACGTCAACAAAGACTTATACATCTACCTCCACGAAGACGTATACCAGCTCAGGTAGCACATTTACGTCGACCCTTACGAGAACATCCACAAGTACTTTGAAGAGTACATCAACGGAAACGCTCAAAACAACTCGCACTAGTACATATACGAGCGTTGGAAGCACGCTCACTTCCACTTTCACCAAAACATCGACTGATACTACGACTGAGTCAGACAGTCGCTTTACCTCAACCGTGACAAGTACATACACCAGTGCGGGCAGTACACTCACGTCAACTTTTACAACTACGGCAACGAGCACCTCGACAGCGTCTGCGACGAAGACATATACGTCAACTGTTACGAAAACGATTACTAGCCCAGGATCTACAGCAACATCCACCTTCACATCTACGGACACAACTACGCTGACGCCAACGAAGACAACACTTACAAGCACAACCACCTTCACGTCCACCATCACAGCGACGCGAACGAGTACCTTGTCTGGATCAAGGTCGAAGACCACACTCACAACAACCTTAACAAGCAAATTAACGTCTACCCTCACCGACACAGTCAAAAGCACCCTAACCAAAACGCGCACCACGACGAGTACCTCGACGGGCGGGTCCACCGTCACGATAACGCGGACTCGAACCAGCACCAGCACCAACACCGACACAAACACAAGCACGCTCACGCTCACCAGCACGCGCACCAGGACAAGCACGAAGACGCTCTCCAACACAAGCCCTAGCACTTCTTCCCCTACGGTAGCGACGACGACGGTCGTCAGGGGCGCGTCCACGTACACGACGGTCATAACGCGGACGCAGACCACGACGTTCACGTCCACGGGCACGATATCCGCTGCGGCGGCGGCGGACGCGACGGCGACGGACGCGAGCGCGAGCGCGCTGGACGCCTCGGATACATCAGATACGGATACAGATTCGTCGAACGGCGGCGCGACGACGATCACGGTCACGCAGTCGGGTGGTTCGGTCACCGTGCTTACCATCGCTTCGAGCGCGGACCCGGGGACGGGGTCGAGCGGGCGGGTTGTGACGGTCACGCGGACCGCTGATTCGAGTAGTGGCGATACCGCTGCGACGGGGGCCGCTTCTACGGTTACTGTTACTAAGGATGCTAGTTCTACGGTGAGTTTGAACTCCTGATCCCCTCTCCCCTCTTCATCTTTTTATTCTTCTCTTTATTATGAGAGAGAGAGAGAGAGAGAGTATGATATTCTGGTTAGTTAAGACGCGGTGCTAACCGGAGCTTTGCAGACTACGAGCGCGCGTACGAGCACGACAAGCACGCGTTCTGGTTCATCTGGCGGCGGCGCACATAGATCCGGCGTGCTGCTTCTGGGCGGGACCTTAGTCGGTATCGTTGGTCTATTGTCGTAAGCCCCAGGACAATGAGACTCGTGAGATCACCTAAAATGAAGCCATGTCTCCTGTGTGGAATTGTTCAAGATGGACAACGCTGCTCCTGGACACCTGACAACGCGGTCGGTTGCCGAGCGAAAAGAGATTTGGGCTTCAGGGGACTAGCAGTTTCTTAACAAAGTTGATTTTTATCTTGATTTCTAAAGATGGTTCAGTTTATAGATTACCGTAATATGTATCTAGGTAGTTATTATATGTTTATGTTTGTGTTTTGAGTTAGGTTGATAGCAACTTGTAGGATTCGGCGCCGGATACCACGTTCGCTTAATTCAGACTTCTCCTCTCTTAGCAATCGTTTCCATCGTGAATGATGAACTAGGTAGAGATTGCTAGTTAGAGTAAAGCTGGTTTGCGAGATAAGTAGAAATGAAAACAGGGAAGAAGTGGAAGGCGATAGCGAGGTCTAACCTTGTCATTTCATGCATTTAAGGCGGATTTGGTTATTTAACCTGAGATTCAAAGAATATGCGCTAATCGAGATGCCGACGGAAGTTGTGTAACACAGAATTAGTTAATCAGAGATCGGAGTAAACTTTGTAAATTAATGGCTAAACTTTTCTTCCCTAAACCAATGTCAATCGCCATCTCTCACTTCTAAACTCTTCACTATTTGCCTCTCATCTACTAGTTCACCTTACTAGAAAACAAATAAACGAAGAGAAATGTCGCAAAAATGTCTCGAATTTCTCATTCCAACTCGGAAAAGTGTGTGCCGCGTATGTATGACGAGAAGAAGCAATCAGCAATGGAACCCTCGTTAAGAAACCCCCGCATGATAGCGTCGGCGTTGATAAGTCGTTGTGAGATTCCTATTTAAGCTAGGTCGTCGCTACACTATGCGGACCATGCGGATCCCGGACGAACACGACATCGCAGATAGGACAACTTTGACCGCCAATGGCGTCAGCCTATTACCACAGCTCATTACCTGATATGGCTACAATTGGCAGGAGGCCAGGATTTTGTTCCTGGCCCCCATAAGATTAATCCATGCCAGCCATCCGAGCGCCAAGATTACGGCTCTAGTGTAAAGTAGATCTAGCTTTCTTCTGGAAGTCGAGAAGATCTTTTATGAGGCGCGACGCATCGCCCGGTTTTTGCTTTCTCTTCTTTCCTTACGCGTCGTGAGAATCGTGAAATTCGTCAATTGCCCTCGCGATGTCTTCTTTCGTGCGACCACTTCTTCTCGTCGCGGCTGCAAGCCACGGCTTAGCTCAGTTCGTTGCCCCGCCAACAACTCTGAAAGAAGTCACCGGCTATGCTGGAGTTCCTGTCAGATATAAGGAGGTGCCTGCTGGGACCTGCGAGCTGAACCCCGATGTGAAGAGTTATTCGGGATACGCCGACGTGGCGGAGGACCAACACATCTTTTGGTGGTTCTTCGAGGCTCGCAATCAAGATCCGTCCGAGGCTCCCCTGACCGTCTGGATCAATGGCGGTCCGGGTTCGAGTTCGATGATCGGCCTCTTTGAGGAACTTGGACCATGCGGAGTTGACTACTTCGGCAAGGTTTACAATAACCCGTACTCCTGGTCTAACGTGAGCAACATGCTCTTCATCGACCAGCCCACACAAGTCGGTTTCTCCTACTCCAAGCCCGTCAATGCGTGGGTTTCCGATGACGGTAGCGTTGTATCCCTACCCGACGCCACGTGCCCAGATTACGCCGATGAAAGCTCATGCGGCACATACAGCTACCCCAACGTCACTCTTACCGCGAACAGCACCACCAATGCCGCGCCCAACTTCTGGAAAACTTTACAGGGCTTCATGGGAGCCTTCCCTAAGTATTCCAGAAACGGATTCCACTTCGCAACTGAGAGTTATGGAGGGCATTACGCGCCGGTATTCAATGCGTACATTGAAGAGCAGAATGAAAAGAAGATCCCTGGAGCGAAGGAGATTCAACTAGAGACCGTTCTAATAGGCAATGGGTGGTATGACCCTATTATACAGTACCAGGCTTACTACAACTTCACCGTCTTCCCCGGGAACACCTACGACTACGCCCCTTTCAACGCGTCCATAGAGTCCCAGTTCTACAATAACCTATACGGCCCTGGAAACTGTCTCGACAGGTTGAACGACTGCAAAGCCACCGGATTAAACCAGGTCTGCAGAAATGCGGACAGTTTCTGCGCGAACCTAGTCGAATCCGTATACGACAATGTGCTAGGCCGAGATGAGTACGACATGAGGGAATTGGTCCCGGACCCGTTCCCGTACGGCTTCTACAACGATTACTTGAACACGGAGGAGTTGCAGTCCGCCATCGGCGCGTTTATCAATTTCACCAGCAACAACGTCGTAGGTGAGGCGTTCGACAACACCGGCGACGACGCTAGGGAGATGGGTACGATCGAGGATATCCGCTACCTACTCTCTAAAGGTATCACGGTGGCCGTATATGCCGGCGATGCGGATTACAACTGCAACTGGCTCGGAGGCGAGGCTGTGGCGGAAGAGATCGCAGCTCCCGGTTTCTCGCAAGCCGGATACGTGGACTTAGTCACGAGCGACAACGTCACGCACGGCCAGGTGAAGCAAGCCGGCAAGTTCAGCTTCACTCGTATATACGAGAGCGGACACGAAGTACCTTTCTACCAACCCCTTGCCGCTCTCGAATACTTCGAGAGAGCTATCAAGGGCCACGATATCCAGACCGGAAAAGGCCCTATTAGCGCGGATTACCTAACGAAGGGAACGAAGAAGAGCACGTACCGCCAAGGTAACTCGACGATGCAGTGGGAAGTGCTGCCGGCCAATGCTACGTATGATACCACCACGAACGAACCCGGTGGTACGTGGACGGAGCAGGCGGTGCTCATGAAGCGAAGCATGAAGAAGAGCTTCAGGTCCCGCAGCGGACGTCGAGTGAGGTAGACGGATAAGTAGCATATGAAGCTATGATGGATTAATGAGGATTATGAATTCTCCGATCTATATAATTCCATATCTAAGTTAATGTCTTGAATAAATTAATCACTATTATTAGATGTCTCTTAACATTCTCTTGATTTTGCGACTTATGCTGTCTTGCACGGGGATGCCTTACAGATATCGATTAATTGACTGATACTCGGGATATCATCAATTCCATCATTTCTTTACATAATGTCTAGCCACGATATACAACCATAACCAAGTCTATGAAACGGATATTAGAAACCTTATCACGGAATCTACACTTCTAAATCTATGATCTGCTCTAAATTCATTCATCAGCTAGGTATATATGACCCCCACCAACACACCCTTCACCCACCTTGAAACCTCCCAAATTCTCAAACCCTCACGCCGCCCTCCCCCACCGAAGATCCCGCAAAGCCCTCCACACGCCCCTGGCCCCCTTAGCGATCTCCCGGCGCCCGTCGTACAGGGGGTACACGGCGACGGCCAAAAACGAAAAGAATTGCCAGGCGATAGCTACCGTCGTCCAGCCGCTGAAGAACGGTCGAGTGAAGACGTAGTCGCGGTACAGCGGCATCGGCCACGCGACGAAGGTCACTAGTACCACGAAGACGAAGAAGGCCCAGGCGAGCCGGTACCAGCGCTGCAGCTCGAGGAGCGTGGAGGCGGGGAAGGGGTGTTGGATCTCGGAGATGGGGATGGGCGTTCGCATTTGCTTTTGCGGTTTGGGTCTGTGGGAGGTTGGTTTCGCGGGTTGCGGGGATGTTGCTTTGGAGACTTCTTCCTCTGACGAGGATGTGGGAAGTTCTCGGGACAGGAAGATCGGTTCAGGCGGTGCAGGATGCTTTTCGTCGTCGTCAACTTTCCTATCGCCAATATCTTTCTTCTCATCGCTAATCGACGATTCCTCAGAATCCCCAGACTCGTGCGGGTTGATCTGGTACTCATCCGCAAGCTCGATGCGCAGAAACTCCCTCCAGTCGAATTTATAAGGGCGATACCTCGAGATCAAAACCGAGTATATCGCCGGCGAGAAGAACGACCCGCACGCACCGTACAGCGCCGGGAGCCCCTCCTCCGTCGTCGCCAGGTTGATGCTCCCGTACAGCGACTTCGCCGTGCCGAGCCAAACCGCGAGCCCCGTCGCGAAACCCAAGACCGGCGACGCGACGGCGGCGAGCCGCGTCTGGCCCGACCAGCACAGCGCCAGGCCCAGCGGCACGATGCCGCTGCACGACAGGATGGGGCGGAAGTAGCCGATCCACGTCATATCGGCGCCGCCGTAGTTGAGCGCGAGCGAGACGCCCGTGATAAACACGGCGTGCGCGACGACGGCGAGGTGGCTCACTTTTAATAGTCGTCTGTCGTCCGCCTTCGGGTTGACGTAGTTCTTGTACACGTCGAACGAGAGGATGGAGCTGACGGCGATCATGCTGGACGACACGGTCGAGGTCAGCGCCATGAACAGCAGCACGAAGAAGGCGACGATGCCGCGGTCGCCGATCAGCGCTTTGACCGTGTACGGCATTACGAGCCCCGCGTTGACCTCCGCGCTCGTGAATTCGCCCGGGTACGACGGGAAGATGGGCGTGTTGTGGATCGCGCGCGCCGTGAGCCCGATCACCGTGCCTAAGCCCCAGGGAATCCCGAAGATGGCGATGGCCGCGAGGTTGTAGCCCGGCACCGTGGCGCTGACCTCCGAGGCGAAGGACTTCTGCCAGAACGCGGTGTCCATGACGACGAGGGCTAGGTTGCCGAATTTCAGGATCAGGCCCCAGATGATAGCGTCCTTGGACTTCATCGTCAAGAGCGATCCCTGGTAGTTCCCTGGAATGTAGTTCTCAGCGGCGGTGGCCATGACTTTATCGTACAGGCCGCCGAGACCGCCGACGGCTTCGTGGGTTAGGATGCTGAGCGTGAAGTACATGATGAGGATTAGGGCGATTGTCGTGTGGAGATAATCGGTGAGGAAGGTTGCTTTGAGGCCGCCTACTGCTGTGTATAGGACCACTGTTTGATAGGGGTCATAATTAGTTTCATTGCTCAAAGTTCCCCCCTACAATGCCATTTTTATAGCCAATAATTTTCATAATGTGAAGACTCACCGCCAAGAGGGATAAGAATAGTCGCGGCAACGAAGTGCATGCCAGAGATCCCGTAGATGAGCTGGGAGCCAGTGAGGATCATAGAAGCACATCCGAATACGTTGTTGCTCAGGTTCAGCACGATGAAGACGATATGTCCGATCCTCCCGTACCGCATCTTTATGATCTCGAGCGAGGTGTGGGCGTACGGAACGCGGATCTTAGCGATGACCCCAAGCGCCGCCATCAGCGCGATCTGGAAGCAGAGGCCTGTTGCCCACCACTGTCGTTGTCCTCGTTAGCAAGGTGTACGTCCATCTGCCTATTCCCTCCGTCGCTGCATTCTCTTATCTCCCCTTGTAAAATATTATAACAAATAAATAAAAAATACGTCTAACTCACCAAAGGCACCGCCAACCCAAACCTATAACACATCGCGGCCGCGAACACCGTCTCGTTGATCCACATCCACGAGGAGAACACCGCCGAGGCCGTGAGCCCGATGCCGACGGACCGGTTCGCGACCATGAACATCTCGGACGTGCCCGAGTCCTCGGACAGGTACGCCTTCTGGATCTTGATGGCGGCGAGGATGACGGCGCAGAAGGCGACGCCGAGCCCGATCAGCAGCCCGTACCCCGTCGACTGGGGCACCAGCGTGATGCCGCGCACCCCGATCTCGAGTTGCGACATGCCGGGTGCGTCAAGATATCCAATAGTGTCTAGTTTATCATACAGAGTTTGCGCTTGCTCTTGCTTTTGCTCTGTGACCAGATACCGGTAGGTATTACTACGCTCTAGCAGGCGTTTCGCTCGGTGGATGCTGCGTGAGGCTCAAGAAGGAAGGTCAAGTCACATAATCAGGTCAGGTACAATACCGCGCGCAGCCCTATTGCCTTAATAGCCCTCCACTACCTACCCCGATAAACTACCACCCCCGTTTTCGCCTCCGGAGCGCGACCCAGGAGACATCTCCGACAACGCCCCATGTCGCGCGTCACGACGTGGGGTGGAGTGATTGCGTTATGCTACCGCTATGCAATACGCTGTACCTACCTCGGCACTACTCGTAGATATAAAAACACGGGTCTTACAGGTGTGTCGTGCTTGCGCGCACAGGATTGCGGGCGATCGGGGATAAGGAGACGTATGGGTCGGATGGCGTGCGAGCGGTGCTCGATGACGGAAACGGCATGCTCATACCGATCGGCCAACCAACCACAAGTTGTGATCTTGTTGCGTGCCTGCTCTCAGATATCTCTATATAGATATAGTTAGCGTTTGATAGGAAATAGCAAAAATTATATTGGTCCACAGGTAATTGCGAGAACGGGTGTAATCATCGACCAGGAAGATGGCGTCTAGGAAGTAGGGGGAAGATGGAAAATTAGGCACAGTTGTATCATATATTTTTTCCACATTCATTCGTTCATTCATAAAGCACAGTAAATATCTTTCTCATCTAGGGCATGATCCGTCCCTTGATTTTACCCCTTTTGACAGGTTCTATAATTATCTCATTTTTAGCTGCTGGAGATGATCTTCTCCAACTCATCGGGATCCTTGACGGCGTCAGTCAAGTTAATAGAACCGTCTTTCGTGATGAGTAGGTTATCCTCGATTCTGTATCGTTCACGTTAGTGGTCCACTCGCTATAATCCAATAACGGGTGATATGATAAGACTTCACATACCTCACACCACCGACGTCCCAGTACTTGTCCAGCACTTTTTCATCAATATACTTCGAGTGCTTAGGGTCCTTTAAGTAGGGCCTGATGATGAATTCGCAAAAGTAGATCTAATTGCTTTGTTAGTCTTGCTCGGGTTGCTAGATTAATCAAGAAACTTACGCCAGGCTCTACAGTAATCACGCTTCCAGCAGGGAGATTCTGTCGGACCCTCAAGTACCTGAATATCGGGTCGGGGTCGGAATAGTTGGGGTGGCCTCCAGTATCGTGAGTATCTAATCCGAGATAATGGCCTAGACCATGAGGCAGGAACGCTGTGCTAGTACGCGCTTGAAGAATCTCCTCTCGGTTGCCCTTTAAAATGCCTAATGACAACAGACCGTCGATGGCGATCTTGTGCGCAAGTAGATGTACCTCGTCCCACGACACGCCTTCTTTCAATACAGCAATCGTGTCTGTCTGCATCTGTAGAACAATCTCGTAAATAGCACGAGATTCTTCTGTGAACTTTCCCGAGATGGGGAATGTTCTTGTCTACGGCCTAGTCAGTTCATTTACTGCCACTTGACGCAATTTCATGGATTTCATGGCTCTCGTGGACATATGCTAGTGGTATTGGGTAACTCACTATATCAGCAGCATAGTTACTCCACTCGGCACCTGCGTCCAAAAGCAACAAGTCCTTGCCCGCCAGGTCCTTGTCGTTGTGGACATAATGTAGAGTAGCAGCAGCTCGTCCGCTAGCAACGATGCTAGGGTACGCCTGCTTCTTGGCTCCGTAACGAATGCTAGTACCTATGAATGCACCTTCAAGCTCATACTCGTTCTTAGCACTCTTCACACTCTCGAGGACGGCCTTATGAGCAGCACCGCTGATCTCGTTGGCCTTCTTGATGAGAGCGATTTCGTACTCATCCTTCACCACTCGAGATTCGTCAACTGCCTCGCCAAGAATCGTGAAATCCTTGTTGGTAAACTCGAGGAATGTCACTGCATCCGAAACTCGATCGGCTATAGCAAAGACGGTAGACTTGGGTGGGCTTCCAAGTCTGACCAGCGTTGGGTTGAGCTCGGTGGAGGGAAGAACGGCGTCAACATCGTACTTCGCTAGGGCCTCCTCCGCAGAAAGTGGTAGGCCGGACCAGATAACAGAGTCGGGGTCTATGGGAGGAATGAAGAGGGTCGAGTGTGCGGTTGCGATGTCGTAGATAAAGAAGCAGTCAGCTTCATCCACGCCTGTCAGATAAAAGAAAGCTCTCCGTTGTCTACGCGATTATCGAGGTTAGTATAACGTAGCCATTATTTGAGCCTACGTATCCATAACTCACCGGAAAGGAACAGGTTCATCACTATCCTCTAGTAACTTATCCGAGCGTCCTTCTAGGTACAGTACTCCGGTAGCATCGGGAATCTTGGACCTGATGTACTCGACAACGCGCTTAGCATGCGCTTTGGCCGGATACTTGGCGCTCAGGACCTTCTCCACATCAATATTAGCCTTCGACATCGTGGGCTTTGCCGCCGTAGCTATGCTTCTTGTCGCAAATCCTTTCGTAGCAGATCGTGAGATGACTTCGTAATACGGATACGGATGCGGGGTAGCTTTCGGATCCGTGTAGAGCTTCTGGGCAACACGAGAACCTGTAATATTCCGAGAACTGCAACTACGGGTGATCTGTGTGTAGGTTGAAAATGATTGGAATAACTTCCGAGATTTCGAAGTCACAATACCACGAGGTCTAATGCTATTAAATAAAGTTAATGGCATGGGGTATCACAGAGTTACAGTCGACGTTTTGCGACGGAAGGAACAGCGCGGGGAGCGGGTTGCTGCGGTTAAAGAAGCTTTGACAAATCAGATCTCAGATAAGAAGTCAATTGCCTTCCCTTTCTGGTCAAATGGCTTTAGTCGCGATTGCGGGGCTTCACTATCGTAGGTAGCTCATTCTCGATTGAAAATCTCACGAGTAAATGGTTAAAGCTCTCGATACGACCCATATAGATCTGGCCAATAAAATATGTAAAATAAAAAACAATAAAATTCGGGTATCACGTATGAATGAGTTCGCCTAAATATGCTGCTTTCCTTCTCCGTTGGTACCTTTCGACAAAGCTGAAATGAAATAGCTCCCGCCTCGTATAATGCAAGTCTCATATCAGCACCTCCTCTTGTCGGTTATGTATTTCGCAATTGGTGCTGAGCACGCCTCCTGCTGCCATATGTTATCATCTTATTCCTTTATCCTCTAGGATTTAAGCATTAGTCGGTCTTTCGATTTAGGTCCGGGTTTAAATCTGGCCTCAATATCTCCAGTCGAACTGCGTAACCTCTTGTCTGAAAGAATCGCTTGATTTGGATATTAGTAATTAGAGGCCAACTAAGAAGTAATTTGGATTGCTCAGATTCAGCTTTATCCCTTCTTTGGTAGTGCATCTAGTTTCAGCGTCGGTATCGCATCATCTGACAGGGCGCCCTGTGCAGTTATCAAGCCATAGCTTTTCTTCAACGTTTCCCAATGATTCCTCAGAACCTCCTCGCTGATGATCAATTCGAACCCTGTCAGGAAACAAAAACTGATCTCCAACCTCGCTAATTCGTTCTCGGTCACGCCACCAACCCGCGCAATCTTAGCATGCGGGTAACTCAGATCCTCGAGCGCCTTCATCGCTACCCTCAAGCCAGCTAAGAGTAGACGATGGCAATTCCTTCGCGTAACAGGAATAGCACGTTCTTCTACAGCGAGTCGGAAGATGTAGAATGATGTTGCCAGATACACAGCCGTCGACATGGGACAGAATCGGTGTATCCGTAATAAATAATCCTCAATGCTAATTGGTGGTGGCTTTTTACTAAAGAATTTCCGGGTGATGGCGCTGTGTTGTTGGTTGAGGGGCTTGGAATTTTCACCGATGATGATGTATGGTTCGGGGGTGCTTTTCGGCGACGACGACGTTTGTTTCAGGTGGACGCCGTCAATGAGTTGATTAGATGTCGTCCGACCCGCAGCCGAATTCTGAGCCTGAGCCCTATCCTGGGCTTCGGCTTGCTCTCGTAGCCGGGTTAAGCTCCTTTCTGATAAAGAACGGACAATCTCTGCCTTCTCCCTCTGCATACTACGCATATTAGGAATAGTCGGGCTCGTGGGAGGAGGCGTTGGTGGTATGTCGCCTGTAATTCGAACGAGGGCTTCGACACCAGCGCATAGGAGCTTAAGGGCCGCGATCGGTGTGAGTTTGAAGAGGTCATGGGAGGACGGGCTCGGAGCAACGTGGAGCGGGGGCGGCGTCCGGGCTTGCCGTAATAATCTCGGGTCTGCCGAAGGAATCGGAGGTGGAGGGGGCGAAGTTGGCGTCGTTTTTCCCTCTCCTTTTTCGTGGTCTGCTTGTGGCGCTTGAGCGTCCGAGTGACCTGCGTCGTCTGCCATTTGGCTTCTTTGTCTGCCTTGCTCCCTTCTCGTAACAAAGGCTGATGTAAAACGGTGCTGTCTCGTGGTAGTACGACGGACTAGTCTAGTATGGTATAGGATTGACTCGAATCGCGGCGCAGTCGCAGTCGTAGTCGCAATAGCAGTAATTCGTTCGATGATACTCGTTGTCCTCAGCCTTCAGTTCGGCCTTTTAATTTATACTGCCAGGCGTTATTCTTGTTATGTTGAGCTTCTGTTTCTGGCCCGACTCCTCGCTCATGGTCTCATAGGAGCAGAGGCGCAGATGGCGTCGAATCCGCTAGCGCACTAGGGACGATGTTGTGGTCCGTTTACGAATTTGCTAGCCGTCGGAAGCCGCGTATTGGTCACCCGCGTACGGTAGCCCAACAGAACTACCCAATCTGCCTGAACAATGGCAATGGGATCATGGTGAGGATAAATATCTGGGGTATCTGTATTCGTTATTGCCACTCATCGGGAAGAAGGCTTAAGAGATGGGTGCGGCCGGGTTTCAGCGCTGGCATGTGCAGCTTATGTATAGAACTAGTAGTAATATCTGCCGCGTGACGGGCGAACTAGACACAAAGTTGGGGCGGTCAAAGTCGAGGCCGTACAATTAATACAATGAAGAGGGGACAAGACTCGAGGTAAACAGAAGTAGCAAGCCGCTTTAGGTTTATTTCTTTAGTCTTTCCCGCCTTTCGTACCGAGTCCCTTGTAGGTGACCGCGTTTGACCGTTAATTAAACTATTAAAGTCAAGTACCCAAGCGGCTGCTAGGTACAGATTATAGTGCCCCGCCTGCACTAAAAAAGATTCTAGCCCAGAGCGAAAGGGTAGAAATATGGGGTTCAATCGGCCCTGAATGTAGTGGCGGGGATTAAGAAGAACAAAGGCAACCTTAAATAGTACGAGACGTTTTGGAACTTGCAGCCCAACACCTAGGCTAAGGCGACTAGCTAGGATTAAAATAGGACTAATAATAGGTGTCAAATGTTTCTGAACTCTTACAAGGTCTTTATAGTGGGGTTTTACCCAATCGTACCTTAATAAGGGTCCTCAAGTGCTGGAGCTGTCCAGAGCTACAGAGCTACCTGCATTTTACCTGCACCCTGCCTGCAGTATTTTCTGCAGGTTCAGAAGGCTCGTGACCCTATTCAAGGATGCTTTTAGTGCGTCCCTCAATTGGGAATTCCGCAGTCCCGGCCCCCACTGCCGTTCAATCTTTCTCCTCTAACCACGCGGTATGAATTCAACAAATTCAACCATTGCCTCAAGGACAGCTACTAACCTAGGTGATGAATCGATAGATGGAAAGAAACTCGCCAATGAATCTAGGATGACGAATATAGAGGAAGATAAAGAAGTATCCGTGTCGAAGTTTAAGTGGCCCGATTCCACGTCTTATCATCAATATAATCTTCACAATACTTGTCCACAGGTGACAGCAGTGAGGTTCTACAAAGTATCCAGGCATGTGCGAGTAGCTCGAGCAACCAATTATCAATTAGTAGGACTAATACATACCGAATCTTGATCAGTGGTTGATCAATGGCTAGTAGACCAATCGGTTGTGTTTACTATTTCAACTCATCACGAGTGAATACGATATAGCTTACCCGGGTAGTATGTTTGCTTCTCCAAATGCTATGATGTTCAGGAGTAAGAGATAAATAAATGAGGGGAACATAGTGCCAGGGGCGACGAAGGATTTGCGTGGCAAGGTGACATTCCGCATCCACTAAAAAATGTACGATTCTTACTAGGATCGAAAGTGAGTAATACGATCCAATGTTAAGAACTTCATATCCAGATAAAAAGAGGGTTGTTGAGGGCAAAAGCCTTTCACATGTATAAATTACTCAAGACCAAACCTCGATGAAATGCTCGAGATATGTATCTCACCTTCTCAGGGGCATTGTCTCTTGTCACTCAGAGTTTTAGGTATTCTTGCAAAAGCCAGTAGTCTCTAAACTAGGACCTAGATCTAGATTAAGCCGGCCGTATCCATATGGCCTCCCCTCTTACCCAGCCCAGATCGACTAAATCAATCGATCACGGGACGGGTGGCCACGTACTCGTAATTGGACTATCTAACGTGATGGTTATGATAATCAGAATGACAACAGTAAGAAGTATTGGAAATATCACAAACGAGTGTAACCGCCAAGGAGGTTGAGGCGAGCACTTTATTAGTTATAGATTTCGTTCCCCACGATCTCCAATTCTTAGGTGCCGCCACTACAATACTTAGTCTAGTACCTTTCAAGCCGGGGGCGACCTAGATGGAGCATACTAGCTGAGGCAAATCTTCGTTTTTATACGAGATGATAGAATTAAATCTCTACCTCACGTCTCAAAGAACAATTCATGGCATTTCAGATTTCCCCTACCTAGCCTCTACAAGTGATCAACTAACCACCCTCATTATGGCCGCTGACATGCATTGCTCGCTTAGCTATATCAATCCCATCGCTTGGCATTACCCCAGATATACCAGGGATCGACGAAACCGTCAGCGCAAACCCCACGGAGGTCCTGCAGGGCTTAACCTATGCGATGCTAAAATTTCCTTCTTGAGCCATGTTAGCTAGGCTTGAAGAAATAGAAAAGGGAAATTTTCTGTTCATCACGAACGCCATACCGCCTACAGGAAAGATTACGGCAACGTTACCGCCCTCCCGAAAGACCATGAGACCGGTCGCTTTTTCTGCAGCACACCGCACATATCATGGCTGCCCCACGACGCCACATACTTATATTGTACTTAATCCCTCAGCGCAGATGCGGCCGCGTAGCACCTTTCCTGCATGGCGTAAATTTCAGAAGGCAGGTTGTTGCCTTGCCATACCATGTGAGAAGCTACGCAAGTAAGTAGGTAGGTACCTAACAAAGCAATCGAAACGCCCCTGTACCTAGGCATCAAATCTGTAAGTTGAAGCGATGTTCCGGGTTATGTGGATAACTATTATAAATATCTATTCTCCCCCAAGATCTCAATTTCACCCCTTCTCCGTAGAAAAGGATATGTGAGCCCAATCTGACGAGCCGTGCCCTAGGCAGCTACGTAGCTCGAGGCCAGGCCGTGATGAGTATGGTGATACCGCAGCTCCTCTGACCAAGAGGAGTTCTAGGATGCGGGAGATGGATTATTAAGGTGCGGTAAGACAAGTAAGCACCACCCAGGCTGACCAGCCACTGACGATAAAACGCGACTATCAGATCAGGTGTATATAAAGATAAATCACTCATTTAGACATGTACATACAGTATTAGAATCTGCGGTTGGGTTATAAGAAAGAATCTGAATGCATCATTATGAGACAACCAGTCGCTTCAATCCACAGTGTTTGTGGGAAACACGAAATACAGTAATATTTCACTTCGACTATGTATCTATTCTAGTTATAAACTAAACCCTCCATAATGGCAGATCTATCAATACCGCAGCAACCTTCCATCTCGTCGCTCGTTAGTCGATATATACGCCCAATCTTCACGGTATAAGTACGTTGACATCCACATCAAATACAGAACCATCCCAAACAGGTACCTAGAGAAGTATTAGCAGCCAAGCGTGACCTTGCAGTCCAAAACCGCGCTCTGGCCGCCCTGGACAGCCTTTACAGCCTCCTTGATAGTCCGCTCCAGATCCTGCGCCTTATCCACCCTTGCGGCGAACAAGTCGCCTCCGGCAGCTGCCTTAGCGATGCCCGAGTAATCCGGCACGGGATCGAACGAGATATTAATTTCCTCGTTCGTCGCCTTGGAACCTAATCCATCCGGGTGCACGAGGAGCAACGATTTCCGCGGAGCGTTCCAGCCTGCATTATTAATTAGCAATGCCGTTCTTGAATAATATTAGGGCGGACTCACCTTTGTTATTTAAGACGATAGTTAGGACCGGGATGTTGTAGCGCTTCGCGATCCAGTGGACGCTGCCCGGAACCGAGAACAAGAATGTGCCGTCGCCCACGATCTGTACGACGAATTTGCCCTTGCCCTTACCGCCATTCTGGACATCCGTCGCCAACTTGATTCCGAGAGCACCGCCACCGGACCATCCTAATCCGCCTCCACCACAGTTGATCCACGATCCCGGGGCTTCTGGTTGCAGATTATCATGCACGAATGCCGTATGCGTAACTGACTCGATAGCATAGATCGTGTCAGTCGGGCATGAAGATTTCAAAACCCTGGACAGGTATCCCGCGCCGAAAGAGCCATCTTCGGCAGGAGTTGCCTTAGATGCGATGGAAGCCAAGCGCTCCTTGTATGACGCTTGAAGGGCGTCCCATTTCTTGGCAACGACGGCGGCGTCTAGCGCCGAAGCCTGACTCTTAGCTTCGGATGTAATCTGTTCGACTGCTACTAGCGCGTCCGCACGGTATCTATGTTGGGCCGGTACGTAGAAGAGCGGCATAAGTTGCTTCAGCGGGTCAACATCGATGTGGAAGATTTTTACGCCGTCTTTCGGCTTATTAATTGTCGGGATCCAGGGGACGTCGCAGTCTAATATGACAATAACGTCCGCCTTCTCTATCTCGGGCTCAATACCAAATCGGAGTCCAAGCCAGCCGGGGTGAGACGCAGGAAAACACATATCGCTACCGCCGGTATCAAGCACACGCAATCCCTTTACGGTATTTGCTAGTTCCACGAGAGCGGCCGGAACTTTTTGGTTTCGACCCGAGAATCCCGTAATAAGAAGAGGATTTTCGGCTCCTAGCAATGCCTCTGCGATCTCTTTCGAAGTCTTCGGTGTTAATCCGCCGAGTTCGACCCTTTCCCACTCACCTTGGTTTAGAGAGTAAGGGTTGATCTCTTCCTCCATCACCTCTCTCGCACCAACAAGGTAGACCGGACCTTGGGGATCACTCGTCGCGAATTGCAAGGCCCGACCGACCATCTGCTTAATATTCTTACCCGTCTTGATCTCTCCCGCGTACCTACAGTACTGGCCGAGAATTTGCTTCTGGTCGGGCACGTCCTGGATCCAGTGAATGTACTCGGTCCGCGAACCCCGCATCTCTCCCTCGAGCGTGAACGGGCTCAACCCGGCGAAGACGAGGACCGGGGCTCGTCCGGTACTCGCGTTATGGACAGCAGCCCCTAGACCCTGAGTGCCTACGTCGACATGGACAATGACGCACTGCGGCTTGCCCGTTAAACGTGCATAGCCGTCCGCCATTGACATCGCCACCATCTATTTTCCGGGAAGTTAGCTAAAGTCATTCCGATTGGTGCTACAGATGCAAGCCGGTCCCCTTCCGGAGCCGCTCACCATGCGCTGATGAACGAACCTCATTTGGGCATGTGATAATACGTGGGAATTTTCCACTGTTTTGTCCCCTGACCATGGCCTCGAGAATACTAGGATGGTCCGAACCCAGGTTGACGAAGCAGTGGGAGACTCCGGCCTCCCACAGCGCCTCGAAAAAGGCGGACGATGCTGTATACATGGCGGGCTTCGAGGTGGAGAGGGTGCGAAGTGATTGGTTTCTAAATAAGTCCAGTGCAACGTGCCTCTGTCGGATACATGTGAGAGCTGATCTCGATTTCGACTCGAGATGTGTGAGAGCCTTGGTACTATATGGTCTAGATGGCCTAACAGCAAATGTTGGAATGCCCAGAGTATTTATCGTGGGAGTGGAAATCGTACCCTTACGAAGACGGGAATAATGACGATGGAGAGAATGGAGACCATTGATAGTCGGCTGATGAGATAAATCCCCATTGGTTACACCAGGCGCGCCACGGTAGGCCAGTCTCTTGCCGAGGGAAGCCCCTCCGTTCCGATGACGGGCGCCACTATAAGGCGTAGCTTCGGTGCACGAGGGCACGAGGGATAAGGGGGACAAGAAGGATAAGGGGTCGCTCTTTGCCAGCTCTAGCTTGGCCCCGCCATAACCGGCAAGACGAGATACGTAGAGATCCCGTGGAAGATCATCTAGCCGATAGTCCCGGTGTGGGGATGTTGGGGATAACAGCGCCAACGGTATAGAAGGTGGGGGAGGGGTTATCCCAGTTGACTTAGGCGGGGTCAGGGGTAGGGGCCTGCGCTTGTTCTTAGGAAATTGTTTCCCGAGTCTTCCTCCTTTCAACATCTTGGAGACAGCTTCTCTTCAATTGGACGATGGCTTTTGACAGAGGGCGTACAGAACGAAAATCGATAGATTACGATAAGCTTTGGCAAATTATGATTTGCTGTTGATTGAGTTTGTTACATTAATCTTAAGTGCGTAAAGAGGGTAAATATTGTTTGTAATTGATCGAAGGGACAATAACCAACTTTGGTGTAACTGGAAACAAGCTCTAGAATTCTAAGTAATAGATGAAATATAGATAGAACCGCTAGCTGTGAAACGAATGGTAGCACTGTTGAAGGGTTAACGGTAGAAAGAAACTCTATCGATTCTATGCGTTCCTAACAAGAGTTAGTCAAGATGTTACGAAGCTCGGTTGATGTAAGGCAGCAAGCAGTTTACCGGATTAGCCCCTCTAGACGAGCCTAGATTGGGTTATTCGAAGAAGTATTCGATCAATAGACGTGACATACAGATAGCCTGACCCTTATGACAAAGACGAAGAAGGCCTGGAAAAAGAAAGAGAAGCTCACTTGACTATTATACGCTGGAGAGCAACAGCATTGCTAGACCTCGAACTGCTTAGTCCATACTAGCTTGTTGGTCCATCTCGCGGACACTTGCAGCTTTTGGCCATTAGGATCATTTTTTCGTTATTTTAGTGGTGCCTGTTCCACTTTGCATAGTAAGGTCAGAATATAGTAGAGATAGAGAGAGAAATGTTTCAAACTGGAAGCTTATACGCCGTAATTCTGTGAAACGGGTATAAAGGCTGGTGCAAGTCTTCTTAGGTTTGCTGAACTTAAACATTATACCTTTTGAATTATGCCATCCTCGAAGATTTATTATGACATTGGATGTATAGGAAGGTACGAATGTAGGTATGTATTGAGTGTATCCATTGGTACAGCAGTTGAATAGGTAGTTCGCCTATTGTCGGTAATTCAAAAGCTTAAAGGGTCTAACGACTATCTGTACTACCTTCCTTACCTAACACAACGGCCCGCTATATTTTGTTTCGGACGACGGAACTTAAGACCGAATCAAGTATAAATCTCAGCTTCCTAGCGCACTAGCAACTTCGCAGTCTAATACCCTTATTTTGGTGCACCATGCTAATGTTGAAGAAGAGTAACACGATGAGGCGCAATTCTAAGACATCGTGAACTTCAGCGCGGCTCTGCGCGGTCCGTCATCTTCGGTACCCAAGTACGACACATTCTCAAGAGGTACCAAGGTGTATTACTCCGAACTGTCCGAAGTCATCTGGGCTGTTTATTACCACCGACATCATCACAACTCACCTTCACTTTTCCATTTTCCTTTCCTTTATGCGACTTACTGGCAGCGATCAATACAGTCGACGCTTAATCGCAGCGCATCTTCGCGGGTGTACATGATGGCAAGTTGGCAACAGCAATAGCAGAATTCCCTTGATTTTTCTATGCCGCTAGTATCGCTTCCCCCCTTCATATTCCCGTCGGCGAATGCGGGAGTATAACGGATGTATAATGCGAATAGAAATAACAGGGAATTCCGGCCTACTACCCTACCCAGCCTACCGTAGTAGGGAGGTTGTTTTCTACCCCAGCCTCACCCCCGGCAGCTCCCCCGGTCGGTCCCCTCCATTTGCCAGATTCCCTGGGAGGGTAAACGTTACTTTCCGTGAGGTCATTTCTGCATGCGACGAATCACATGCCATAAATCCAACCCCAGAAATCCACTGGTGTCATTTAGGGAAGTTAATTGGTCTAGATGCCGCCACGGATCGAGCCCTAGCAGCTAACTTCTCTTTAGCTCTGGGCTGTCATGGCTATGCAAAAAGCAATGTGGCACGACCTTGCCTGCTTGCTGAAGAGTATGACTGCATACATCTCCCATTATTGTCCGTGCAGCTAAGACTTCATCTGCAATGGATCGCCTGACGAAGCCGCAAAGCTTATTATGGCGCTTTTTAAGATGAAAGCTTGGACAGGCCCTTTGCCACATTGTATACGACAGCCCCAATTACCCTGTTTCTTCCATTAAAAATTGGGTGGCTTCATCATGGGATTGGTCTATCAGCCGTTATAGAGACCAAATCCCACCTGAGAACTGAGCTGAGTGACCTCATTTTAAAATGGTCCTCCACACAGAACGATCGGTTCCTGCGGATCACCAATGAGCACGGTTAGCTGGGGCGAGGAGCGCGACCCCTGATATGGGCTTTGCCCTCGTGGATCCTTATTGGGCAAGTAGCATCTGCGGGTAGTATTAATCCTGGAAACAATCGTACAACGTAGGAAAGGTAATGTAAATAATAAAATGCGGTTGCTTGCAACTTCTCCAGGACTTGACAAACCTGACAAACTCGCCCCCTCTCCTATTCGAACAGGAGTCACGGTTTCCCACAGCTCCCGCGACAAACATCCCTTACTCCAACTCCAGCTCACCGCCAAGTTTGGATATCTCGACGCTCGAGGGTCAGGAGTCTCTTTTGGGCTCACAAACCCTTTTGACCTAGTATATGTACCTTCTACCTACTTACCTAATAAGATATCTTTAAGATTATGAACGTAATGGGCCAAACACCGAGCACCCCGCTGTCCGACTGTCTGAACGCTGTTTGCAATGGCCGCGACAACTGCGTCGCATTTCCTGACAACCCACTTTACCAAGTCTCCTGGGTCAACCGATATAACCTCGAATACCCCATAACGCCCATCGCCGTGACGAGACCGAGCACTGCTCAGGATGTATCGGATTTTATCAAATGCGCCGTCGCAAACAATGTCAAAGTTCAGCCAAAGTCGGGTGGTCATTCTTATGCGTAAGCGCATTGCCGTTTGCTAGTTAGGAATCATTTAGTTTTACTAATACCGAAATAGAAATTACGGTATGCGCAAACCTTAGAAGAGTATAGGTGGCGGACAATGGACTGATTTGCGGGTGATAGGCTTGGGCGGACAAGATGGCGAACTCGTTATCGATCTCGTAAACCTCCAGAACTTCACCATGGATACCAGTACGTGGCATGCGACGATCGGGGGAGGCACTCACCTTTCCGACGTAACGACCAAGCTTCATGACAACGGTAAACGAGCGATAGCGCACGGAACTTGTCCTGGTGTCGGTATTGGCGGTCATGCGACGATTGTAAGTCTTGATGTGCTTTTGCGAGAGGAAGAATTATTCACTGACATTATCATTGTAAGGGTGGACTTGGTCCCGCATCTCGCATGTGGGGATCGTGTCTCGATCATGTCATCGAAGTCGAGGTGGTGACTGCGGATGGCACCATTCAGCGGGCCAGCGAGACTCAAAACAGTGATCTTTTCTTCGTAAGCTTGTTATGGCTCTTCCCCTGGAACTTGAGCACTCACATGTGATAGGCTTTGAAAGGTGCGGGCGCAGGTTTCGGCGTCATCACCGAATTTGTTGTTAAAACGCATCCCGAACCTGGCGATGTCGTGCAGTACTCGTTCTCGCTATCTTTGGGCAAGCACACGGATCTGATTCCCGTTTTTCAGCAGTGGCAGGATCTCATCTCGGACCCTAACCTTGACCGGCGATTTGGCACTGAGTTTGTTATGCACGAACTCGGTGTTATCATCACCGCCACCTTCTACGGAACTGAGGATGAGTGGAAAGCCACTGGTATCCCCGAGAAGATTCCTACTGGGAATGTCTCCGTCGTTGTGGATGATTGGTTAGCTGTTATCGCACAGCAAGCAGAGGATGCTGCTTTGTACCTTTCCGATATCCGCAGCGAGTTTACAGCTAAGAGCTTGGCCTTCAAACCCGATGAGTTGCTATCACTAGATACCACCACGCAGGTGACGACTTACATCGACAATGCGGACCGTGGAACGCTTCTTTGGTTTCTGATATTCGACGCCTCTGGCGGCGCAGTCAGCGATATTCCAATGAACGCGACCGCATACTCCCATCGTGACAAGATTATGTTCGCTCAGGGATACGGTATCGGTATTCCGACCTTGACCAACAGTACCAAGGAATTCATAGGAGGAATCATGACCACGATCCAGGGCGATACCGCGCAGACCTTGACGACGTATCCCGGCTACGTCGACCCGTCCCTCGCAGATGCCCAAGAGTCGTATTGGGGCCCGAACCTCAACGCCTTGGGCCAGATAAAGTCGAAGTGGGATCCGAACGACTTATTCCACAACCCCCAGAGCGTTAGGCCAGGGGAAACCGATTCCTAATCGGAAGGAGTGAAGAGATTTTGGCCTTGATACCCCATAACACCCTTCTCTGTTGATAATTCGATATTAATTACCTGCCTACTTAGTTAAGAGGTACTCAACATTAATTTGCCATCTTAATGCTCTTGTTCCCGTTTTCTCGATTGAGTCAGTGATACGAATTGACATGGAAGAGATTTTTGCTTTTCCAGAATGCAGAATTTTTCCTGGGCAGCCTTCCTAATAGGTTGGGCACAGATTTGACAGGGCCCCCTTATTATGAGAGTTGTCAAAGTCCATAAGTCTTGTTTTTCCTTGATGTTCCTTTGGGTCAATCGATCGCCCCTGCTCCGGCGCCCCCGTGGATGCTTCCGCTAATCTCACCGGCGACTCTTGGCGCCTACATTCAATCCACCCCCTAAATTGGGTAAGCCTAGGCAGCTCGAGTGAGTTACGAAATACACGGGATGGCGATGCCGTTCAGAATCGGTGAGAGGAGCACATGAATTCTGTCTCTAGATTCGTTAGATGATGTCTAGGAGCTAGGACAACTCGACGGATGCGATCCGCTTACCCGCCTGCCGGATCCCGACAAAACTAGATGCAACGATTACGTGCATCGATCAATCTTCAACTAAGGCCGCCGGAAGCAAAACAACACGGCGCGGAATTTTTATCTCATTTCTTGGCTGGCATGTGTACGTCTCGCCACCTGGTTCGAACTTGCGAGAGCACGAAAATATTCCGGAGAAACTTACCTTGGTCTGGACACAGCCCCTTCGCGTTTTCTCGGCCGTACTTCTGTGATACTAAAAGTGCGGCTTATGGTTACTCGGTGTGGACTACACTAGAAAAGGTTGGTGTTAGCTGAGCACAAAAGCTTATGCTGATGTTGCCTCTAGACGTATGTTTTCGAGCGTTGGTCTACGACTGTGAGCGCTTTATGGTCTCATGTTAATAGTTCTTCCGTAGGAAAGCTGGCTCTTGATACAGCCATCTGCTATACAGACTACCTGCGCTTATTCTCATGGCCATTGCCCCGTGAAGTTCCTTTGCTTAGAAAGCCATTTGACTTTTTAGGTAGGTATACAGGCTGAGACATTAGAAATCAACTTCCAAGATACCTGCAGCACCGATACCTTGCAATACCGCCGACAAGGTTTTTACCCATAACGGCTTCATACGAGACTAGGATAATGGCGTGCCTACGCGAGTTGGATAGTATGATTGGAAATTGATGGATTCTCTCACGGCTCCCTAACCCGGCGGCAAGATAGAACATGCCAAGTTAGCGCGATATTTTCTAACTGGGAATACACACATACGTGACCCAGTCCTCTACTCGACTCTTCCGCGAATACACTTTCGTGATTACAACGTTTCATGGCTAAGACTATCAATCACGGCCGAGAGACGCTGGTGTGGTTATTCGAAGGCGTTCGTAGCCGTTTTATCCGACCTAGTTGCCAACACCTATGTCTGGTATCCAGAACCCTATAGAAGGTGAATCTACGTAGATATCGATTATGGTTGGGAGTTGTAACCAGGAAACAATCTACACGATGATAGGAGCCAAGGACTCACAAGGTAGTAGACTTGGGTTACCTCTGGGCTCATTCATCATCGAGATTGAAGAATTCTTGCACGAGCCATAACTAGGTAACATCTATCCGTGTAAATGGGTGTCCCGTAGGGCATGAGGAAAATGGAAGCAGGAATCCCTTCCCATAGACCGTGTATTACAATTTCTTAAAATTTTTCATCTGGCAAATAGTAGGCCATAGCGTATAATGCATTCAATATGGTTCATTATATGTACGACGCTTGGGCGTTGGATATTCGTCAGAGCAATTCGCTTAGGGCTTATGTATAATTATTCTCCTAGTATGGAAAAGTCGTGATAAGCCTCATTATTTCCTTCGAAGCGGTAAAAATCCGTCGCGACTATAATGTGTTACTGCATCCGGCAACGAGTTCTGCACACCCAAATCCCATGATCGTGATGGGCTGCAGCAGAACAGAAGAAAAAAACCGAAAAGAGGAAAAAATACCAAGCATTTTCAGCTTTCCAAGTCCCGGAGTCCCACTGTAATCTTTTAACGGGCAAAATCCGACACGTCTATTTTTATTCCGGATGCTGAAGAATTGTTTCCAATCTGTATCCTTATTACTTGGCTGGCTTGGCAGGGTATATGGTGCTTATCTCATAAAACGAAAAGATCTTGGGTATTTCCTGAACGGGTTACCCGGCGGCTAGCTTTCGTCTGAGCCTTAACTCACCTATCTGAAGTTCATCCTTGGCGGTATGTTTCGAGTTCTTATGGACCCGCAGCGTTGGGTCCGGCACAGGGGGGGTCTTATCTGTTGTTGACGAAATTCATCAACACATCCATGTGACGCCAAGCATCGCGAACCACAATATTCGTAAGTATCGTCTTATGGTTGAAGAGACACATCAGTAAATGCTTTCGTGTCTGTCAATTGGCATCGAGAGAGGAAGAATACGGTGTGTTGTTAGTTAGCGGTAAGTAGGATATGCACGACTGCAGCCAAGAGACTGGATCCGGCATTCTTATAGCTTATAAGAGCGGCCCGTTGGTAGATCCCGTCCGCCTTTCTTGCCAACCTCCCTGTTCCTGCAGCAACGGGAGAGGATATTCAGGCACAGCAAAAGCCGTACAAATAGAGTCGAGCTTGTAAGAATTGTAGGCGTGTATAGAGTAGGAACCCAGACAGGTAGGCTCAATACCTTGTAATTTCGTTGCCTTAGTTAGGAATATTCGCGAACATCGACCCAAGACGGTAATAAACTATCATCGAAAAGTGACACGATGGCCGATATCGAGCAAATCTACAGATGCATCATCAAAAGCGTCAACCAAAAGAAATGGGAGGATTTGCCAAGATATATGACCTCTCACCTCGTCAGAAACGGCCAAGACTATACGCCCGAGAGTTATGCCGCAGAGATAAAGTCCTTCGGCGGCAACGGTGCATCCGTCACGCTGACGGTGGACGTCCTCATCGTCGACCAAGCATCGCAACGTCTTGCCTCGACTCTGCTCGTGAAGGCCGAAGAGGCGAATGCGAACGACAACAATAGCGCCCAGCCAATCTCATTTACTGAGCAGCAGTTTGTTTGGTTCAAGGATGGGAAGGTATCCACGATGTTTACGCTGGCAGACGGCGAAGAGATGCTGCGCCAACTCTCCGAGCCTGAATACCAGTACACGCCAGACCTTATCAGCCTCCAGCCGCTGCCGCCGAGCCAACCCGTAGTAAAACTCTCCGCCGGCGAATTGGAAGAGACGTACAGGGCGTACATCCGCTGCATAAGCGGGCAAACAATGGAGACGGACCTGCACAAGTTCTGTCACCCCCAAACGATCCACAACACCAAGACCTTGACGTTGGACCAGTACAAGCTCCTGATACAGAACGCGCGCACGGCAATCCCAGACATCGTCTTCGGCCTGCACACCGTGATCGCGGACGAGAAGTCTCAGCTCGTCGCCGTGCGCCTCGAGCTCACGGGCACGCCAGTCGGGATCATGGCAGGCGCAAAACCGAACGGCCGCCACGTCAACTTCTGCGAGCACGTCACCTACCTCTTCCAGGAAGGCAAGATAGCACGCATATGGAGCATTCTGGACAAAGAGTCGTATCGCCGACAGCTGTCGGCTTAACGGCAACAGCAGCTGCAGCAGCGACGAGAAATCAAGAAAGGCAACCTGCGGTCAGAATATGCAATCCATACATACCGGTAGGAAGCCGCCAAGTCGACAGAACGGACCCTTTGGATAAGAATCTTTCCGGAGTAACAGAAGGCGAGGAGAGATTGGTGAGCATAAAGCTTGGGAGGATAAAAATACCAGCTCCGTGTATCATCGAGCTGTCGAGTTACTCCTAGACCCATAACATCTGTTTCGCATGTGATCGTCACTCCCTTGCTGGTAGCGGTAGTAGCGTTAGGTATAGCTGGTATGTAGAGCTATGTAACAGATTGTTTTTTTTATTTTAGTTTATTTTTTCCCTTCTAGCAAGGGTTCTCTCGGTGACGACGATGGCGCTGGCTTTGGCGTTTAGACGGTCCCACCTTGCCACGCCTTGCGTTCTCTGTAATGGATCTGTCTGTTCCTGTTAGAGCCCTCAGGTATGCTGTGTTGTGCGTGCTATGCTGCGCTATGCTGTGCTGTACATGCTGTACCGGTAGTGTAATGAGGCGTTCCTAAGTGTTCTTAGGCGTTCTTCAGCGCCAAGTCTAGAAATTGATCAAGCCGCTATTGAATATTGATCCAAGACAAGAAGTCTTGGCGCGACTATCCCGTCTATCACATTTTATGTTTGTCAGTTTACGCGCAAGTCTTCTACGTCAACGAAGGCGCAGTTTCTCCCAGTACGTCCGTAGCACGCAGACCATCAACGGATGATCGTGTACGATTTTTGTCTGACTCGTCGAGAAACAAAAAAAATTGTTCGGATGAAACATGTGCTTCTCATACGCTTTGGTCGGCGCGGGTGTTTTCGGATCGCTCACTCATTCTTCAAAACTCCACCCCCCCTTTTACGATAATTTGTGGCCCCCACTAAGCCTTCAGCCAAGACAAGTTGCCAAGAGTCGCTATCTATGAGGCTCATGCTATCCACTTTGTTCCACGGATGTGTACCGTAGCTTACCATCCGAACTAGGGTAAGGCCGTGAGATCTATTTTCAATGGGTCCGGCCCACCGGCCCACCGGCCTCAATCAACTTCATGTTTGACGTCGTCCTGTGAGAAACAATGGCCGGGATGACGTCCGTGTGGTCCAATGAGCTTCGATCTTGGCGTTATGAGGCTCCATGGTGATCTCCCTCGTGCCAAGTCGCCGCCTGTGTCTTGAGCATCTTTGCTGACACCCTATCAGGAACCAAGATATCTCAAGAGATTTCTTTGTTTCTTCCCTCCGTCTTGGCTCCTGATCCGTCACAAGGAGTACCGCTTAACAAAACTGGACTTCTATTTTCGACAGTGTCGTCGTTTCAAGGCGTGGGGGGCCCGTTTTGGCTCTCTTCGCGTTCATCTCATGGGCGGCAAGGGGTCCTGGGAGTGTGAATCTCGTGGTGAACGCTAGTATCGTATGCGGATTAGACTGATCTTGACCACGAGCTGGGACTTACAAGGACTGTAAAAATTGTGCATTTGTGAAGTTTTCTGTGGATCCATAGCATAGCACGTATCCCTCGTTGGGCAGCACGAAGATCGCAATGGAAGCTCGGCCATCTGCGTGCAACCCTGATTTAGCGGTAGGCCCTATCGAGACCCTCCGTCCTGATTCGGGTCCTGGGCAAGCAGGGAGAGAGCCCAGAGATCCTCTACCGTTAATTGTTTCTTATTTACATATGTTTCTTATGTCTTGGCTCGGACTAACAGGGGAGGCGGTGGTGCCAATCTCACATAAAGGATTCGTAATTTGTTCAAGTATTCTGAGTTCATACCCAACGTTCGTATCCTCTGGTACGATATTCGATTTCAGTTCTCCCGGAGGCCGGTACTCTATAGTTTGGGTTGTTTTTCCGCTTTTCTCTTTTTATTCTCCTTAGTTTCCCTTCAGTTCACCATCACTTGTTTCCTAGTATTATCTGTATAGATCTCACCTTTCCCCAGATCTTCTCTTCGTTTCCCTTTTGGCATTTAGCAGTACTGTAATAGTTTAGACTTACTTTCGTGGAGATGGAGCGGAACTTAGCTGGTGCCCCTATTTCTAAGGGCAGCACATCTTATCAAACATCGCCGACACACTCATTTATGTTTCCCGACTCAGAACGGACAACAATACAATACCCCTTAGATGAGAAGAGACCAGATGGGTCCGAGGAAGAGCGGCCCGGGACGCAACTCAGCTCATCTGCAAACTCGATTATCGCGATGAAGGAGGGCCGGGGTAAAGACGTCGAGCATGGCAACAACGAGCATGGAGAACACCACATCGATGTCAACGATCCGAACCGACCGAAACTTGGAATCCGCCAAAGGATGCACCACTTCACCTGGGCGTGGTTCACATTACCCATGAGCACGGGTGGATTATCACTTTTGATATTTGCTCAACCTCATCAGTTTCCGGGTCTTCGACAAATCGGGTTATTCGTTTATATCGTCAACATTATTATCTTCACCTCGTTAGTATTTGCTATGCTTACACGGTTTTTCCTTCACCAAGGCGACTTCTGCAAATCTCTATCGCATCCTCGTGAAGGATTCTTCTTCCCGACTTTCTTCTTGTCCATCGCTACTCTGATCACTAGCACCCAGCGATACGCCATACCCGACGGCGATGTGGCGCTAAAATGGTTCATTCAAGCTGTCTTCTGGGGCTATGTTGTTATTACACTTATTCTGGCAGTCGGACAGTACAGCTTCGTCTTTGCGACACATAACTTCGGGTTGCAGACGATGATGCCAACTTGGATTCTGCCGATCTTCCCCATCATGCTTTCGGGAACTATCGCTTCAGTCATCGCCGATACGCAACCGGATATCACAGCGATACCGATAGTGACCGCTGGAATGACCTGCCAAGGTCTAGGATTATCTGTCGCTGTTATGATGTATGCTCACATGGTTGGACGTCTAATGTCAGCCGGTACGTAATCCAAACGGAGAAGTAAATCTTTAAGTGTAATGGATATAAGAGTGGCTAACAATGGAACAGGTCTTCCGAATCGCGAACACCGACCCGGGCTTTTCATGAACGTGGGACCACCAGCTTTCACGGCGCTTGCTTTCATTGGAATGGCGAACGGCATGCCCGACACGTTCGATCGAGAGATGGATGGGTTCATCGACGTCTTCATGATCAGGACTTTCGCAATCATCGGTGCCGTCTTCCTGTGGGCGTTGTCTCTTTGGTGGTTCGGCATTGCTCTGGTCGCAACGATTAGCTCGCCCCCCAAGTACTTTCACCTGGGCTGGTGGGCGATGGTCTTCCCAAACACCGGTTTTATCCTGGCAACAATATCGATATCCAACGAGCTCAATAGCGAGGTGGCCAAATGGGTTGCAACCGGGATGTCCATCTGCTTGTTCTTAACATACTGTTTTGTCTTATACAGCCATATCAGAGCAGTCGTGGTTCAAGATATCATGTACCCTGGGCGAGACGAGGATGTTAACGATCATTAAAAGGGCATTCCAATCTCCACCTCCTACCTACTTCTTTTTACCGCAGGGTAACGCGAAAATTGGCTACACAGATAACGTGTGATGTTTTTTTATCGTTATGTATCCCCTTATTCCCTCGAAAAAATCCCCTCCTTTGTATACATAAAATGGTGTCCAGGGGAGGCGATAGGGTTTGATTGACCCTAAAACAATCGGCTGGTTTCCTTTTGGTTTTTAAGATATCCCCAAGCGTTTTAGATGGACATGGTTGTAGCCTCATAAGGTCTACATGGAATAGGTTGACAAGGGCTGAGCGAGTCCTCGTGGATAATAGACATAGAATATCATAAAATAAAACAGAAAAAAAAAATCAAATTGTAATATTAGCCAAACTTTGGTGCTCATTCGAAAAGGTGAATTTGAAGTCTCCATGGGCTTATGACCGAAGAGATAGCTTGTTAGCCAGAATTAAATTGTCTCTGCCTTCATGGGAGAATGAATAGGTAGTGTGATACAAAGAACATGGCAATTATGGAGGTAATGGCCACGGCTATCAAATGCGTTTCGGGTACTAGTGAAAAGACAGGTGGTAACTGGATAGCGACAAGAACCTTTTGAAGAGAAAATGCGGCCGGCTTGTGGTCGTTCTCCTTTTACCCGAGTTGCTAGCCGCCCCTTTTCCGGGTTACGCCAGACACGGTCGCTCGCCCCGGAAACCTCACATGCTCCGATATCCATCTCTTGGTGATTATTATCGTTGCTTGTTGATTGAATAATTCCAGTCATGTCGTTTGGTGGCTTTATCGTCAGTACTACTAGTACTAGAGAATTTCAAAATTTAGTATTCGCTCAATGGGGTCTTAGAAAATGGTCATAGTTTTATGCTCACTTGTTCTTGGACCTCCTTTCAACGGGTTCGGCGCTTGTGTGAAGCGTGGGCTGCTTCGCGGCTCAATATCTCATCCTCGATTAACTTGCGCCAGCGCTCAAGCTCACGGGTGGTAGCTTGTTCAAGCAGATCCGCCGTCAAGGAAAACCTGTCCGAGTCTGAATTGTCATCATCATCGTTTTTACGAGCCCTTTTTCGATTTTTGACAGCTCGACCTTTCTTGATTTAGCTTTATAGTACTTGATCTCCGTAATCGCTGAAAGTCACTGACCTGAGTAAAAAGAGCAAGCAGACGCCGTGCTTGAGAACTGGCAGTTTGTGCAAGCGCCACTGAAGGTATCTGGGCCAGCAGCAACACATTCCACGCAAGGGCCACGGGACTTTCTATTTAGACACTGCTTGCAGCTGTCATCATTGCTTGACGCGACTGTGAGGTAGGCTGCAAGAGCTGACATCTTTTGTTGTCTATCAAGTTCAAGCTTCGGCCATATTCTTTTGCCACTTTCTCGGAGCACCTTGAGGTCGATCAGGCGTAATATGATCTAAAGGCGTCAATTATCAGTTGTTTTGGTTTGATGTATCTTGCTTTACCTGACCGTTAGCTTCGATAATTTCTCGTACGTCATTATACCGCGATTTTCGAAGTTGATCAACGACTAAACACGTAAGTCCGAATTTGTCAGTATTTTCCACGGGTTCTTGAGCCGGCTCCAAAGGCCGGCCTTTGTACGTCCATTGAGATAACTCTAATACGTCTTCGCCGGCCATTATTGAGCAACCAATCTCGACGAGTTTAGTGGTTTCAATACAGTTTTTGATTGTTAAAGATCGAAAAATTTTTTTAAATTGTTTTTAATATTTAGTCTATCTAGGTAGTGTGGACTTATCTCTTTAGGTTTAGTAAACTCGGGTTAGCTTGATGTATTATCACGATGTGTTTCATTGTAAAACAAGCTATATCTGCTCTTGATCAAGCTTAATCAACCTCTAGATTATGTATGGCGGTGTGTTTTAAAAATTTAAAAAATTAAAAAATTAGAAGAGAAGAACAAGTATGCACCCCTGCTTGTGTAACATGATATACTGTGTAATTCAATAAAACCCATCCTTGCGTTTTTTTCAAAGCCAGGCTATGCGCGATAACGACATTCAAACAAATAAAAACCATCCAGGATACCAAATTCTCAAAGAGGAAGAAATCCCATCAAATCCCGCGCCTCGACTCGCAAAGTGCTTAAAAGACTGTAGGATTGTCGCCGAGAATTCTGGATTCGGAGCCCTACCGATACCTACCTAGTAGGTACGCTAGGATGTGGCTTGCCTGGGCTAGTAGCAAAAAGGGGTCTAGTCAGCACCTAAATCTCACTGCCGACAGGGTCTAGTGGCGCGATCTTAGGTACTGCAAGTCCTGAGCCATTCCCCAATAAGGAGGTTGTTCTGCCCGTTCCTGATCTCGGGCGTACCCGGATATCTCATATCATAGGTCAATTGCATTGGATGTGCTTACAGTCTTACTACACGCCCACGAATTTTCTGACAGTTTTTATTTTTATTTTACGACGTCTATCTCCGGCGCAGAATTATCTAGAGCCGCATGAGGCAAGTCGAGTCGCTTGACGTCGCGTCCTTCGCGACGGCGCTCCCGAGAACGCATATATTGCTGTCTGATTTGAATATATTGCGCACGCATCTTGTGTGATGATGCCATGGCATGTATATTGTCTCGTGCGCGTGATTGCATCGCGCAATATACCTTAGAATCGCCAGTCCAAGCACGACACCGCGTGAGGTGACATTTGCGCTCCGACTGCAGGATTCCAGGTTATTCGGGGCGCTTAACCACCGCCAGTCGATAGATATCGCTTTCCTTCAGCCGGGACGCCTTGCCGACACCGAGCCCCGAGAACTACCTACAGTTGCTTTAACATACCTACCTGGGTAGTTTTCGTGGCTCGAGTAATTCGACGCTCTTATATAAAAAGTCTTTTAAGAAGTCTGAATGCAACTGTCTTATCCAGCCTCGGCGCATTGACGATCTCTTTGTGTAATCGTAATTATCTTTGGATTCGCCAGGTTCTGTCTTATCTTGTGCTCCGGTCACATTGCACTAGAAGTCTGCCGCGGTCGAAGACCCCGGGGATGTCTACCCCAAGCGGGCGCGCCTCCGCGATTCTCTGCGTGGGAATAGATTGTGCGATAGGACCCTGGACCTTACACTGAAATTTCACCTCCGCGATAAGAATTAAGAGGCATAAGAGTCCTAGCGACGAAGATGAAAAAACAGTCTTAAGAGTAATCGTTGAATTCGAGCTCATACCAGAACATCGAAGTATTCATTAAGTGCCCCGAAGACATTGTCGAGTCTGATGTCTTCATCTCATATATCCATTTTGGAGAAACATGCGCGACCATCATATCATAAAAGGGAAACGTGGGGAACATGGGTAATTTCACCATCGATAAAGCTTCGCCTATTGCCCGCGCCGCCCCCCCTGCCAAGCTTCTCCAGATCATGGAAATATCGCTGTCCACGGCTATCCACCTGCCTCCCCTGTATGTTCTGCATCTTCAATACCACCACGGGAACTGCATTGGTCATGACGGGCGAAGAAAGCAAGCTAACTAGCTTGCTAGCTTGGACGGATTATCAACACTCACGCTCGCAATGCAACGCGACCGCGCAGCGAGATGGCACGTCTAATCTTGCATGCGTTGACTCGTAGCTTGGCAGGTCATCGATACTCGCCAGCCAGCTACAAATACTCATCGAGGCTCCCACCATCACTTGGAATGATGGGCACCAACCTCCTTCTGGTCTTTTCCTCGCCGAGTCCTTCGGTGCTCATATACTCTGTTTCGGTCCTTCGCTTTTAGACACTCGCTTGTCAAGTTAAGCTTCTCACAGCACTGCCCATTAAAGATGGTTCGAGGAAACTTCCTGCTGTCGCTGCTCGCCAGTGCGGCGAGCATTTTCTCAGTCGAAGCGAAAATAGCGGGGGAGACGAGGAACATTGCTGGATCGTACATTATCGAATTCGAAGACACCCAGGTATTTTAGCCTGAACGCGCCTTAAGAGATGGTTGCTGTACTAACCGAGGTTGAATTTGGGTCAGGACTCGGTAGAATTCTTCAATCACATTAGCTCGAAGGCTAAGACGCGGATGAATCTGGATTATCAGCTATTCAAGGGTGTCTCCATTCAATTCGACGATCTAAAGACAGCCGAGGAAGAAGCCGCGAAGCTTAACTCTCTTGCTAGCGTCAAGCAGGTCTGGCCGAACAGAGTATACACGTTGCCCAAAGATGAGGTCGTGTGGACAGGACGAAGCGGTGGAAAAGACTACATCAAGAATGTCAAGAGGCAGTTGGGAAATGACACCTTCACTCCGCACGTGATGACCCAAGTGGACAAACTGCGGGCAAATGGCATCACTGGCAAGGGAGTGAAGATCGGCATTATCGACTCAGGTGTAGGTATTTATGTCTTGGTCGAGGAATGCCAGCTGCTTACTATCCTCAGGTCGATTACACACACCCCGCGCTGGGTGGCTGTTTTGGTAGTGAAGACTGTCTGTTCACATATGGCACTGACATTGTTGGCGATGATTATAATGGTGATAACACGCCAGTCCCAGACCCCGATCCGTACGACGGCTGTGGCGGTCACGGTACTCACGTCTCGGGAATTATTGCGGCGCAGGCGAACGAATTGGGCTTTACGGGCGCTGCCCCGGATGTTAAACTCGGCATGTTCAGAGTCTTCGGCTGCACTGGTGGCGCTTCGAACGATGTCTTGATTGATGCCTATATGCAGGCATTCGAAGCTGGATCCAACATCATTACTGCGTCAATCGGAGGTTCTTCAGGTTGGAGTGAGGATCCGTGGTCCGTTGCTGTATCCCGAATCGTCGAAGCAGGCGTCCCATGCACAGTTTCGGCGGGCAACGATGGCGCGGCCGGGTTGTTCTACGCCAGCACGGCTTCCAATGGTAAGAGGGTCACATCGATCGCTTCCATCGACAACGAGGTCACACCGCTGCTTCTGACCGAATCGAACTTCAGCGTCGATAGCGGTGATCAACAGACGTTTGGTTACGCCCTCGGAGAACCGGCCGAGTGGGCTAATGTTAGTCTTCCGCTCTGGACTCCTTCATTCGATATCACCGATGAAGCCCAGGCTTGCGACGCGCTCCCGGAAGATACTCCTGACCTATCCGGATATATCGTGCTAATTCGTCGTGGCACTTGTACTTTCATTGAAAAGGCAACCAACGCCGCTCAGTACGGTGCCAAATATGTCTTATATTATAATAATGTCCAACCCGGCGCGATAGGACCTGCTGTCACTGGTGTCGACGGCGTTTTGGGCACTGGCATGGTAAGATTTCGAGATACGTCACCTTGTCCATTCTGAATATTGCGACTGACGAATAAACTAGGTTACCGCGGCGCAAGGTGAATCATGGGTCGCGGCATTGGAGGCCAACTCCACGATTGAGTTAGACATGCTTGACCCCCTCAAAGCACCCGTTAGGTAAGATTTTAACGAAAGATTCCGAGATCATCTTCTGACAGACGATAGCTTGTCGTACGAGCAGAATAACGTTACTGGTGGATTTGCTAGCTCATTCACGACCTGGAATCCGACTTTTGAGTTGGATATCAAGCCGCAGCTCGCCTCTCCTGGAGGTAACATTCTGTCGACTTTTCCAATCCCGCTCGGCACTTACGCGATTTTGTCTGGTACTTCTATGGCGTGTCCGTTAGTCGCTGCTATCTACGCTCTCATCTCGAACGTGCGAGGTACTCTCGATCCTGCTACGATTGAGAATTTGCTGTCCGCTACAGCTAACCCGCAATTTCTGAACGACGGAGAACAAACTTATTCAACGCTGGCACCCGTCTCGCAACTCGGTGGCGGCATAGTTCAAGCATACGATGCTGCTTACGCAACCACTTTACTGAGTGCGTCCAGCCTCGCCTTCAACGACACAGACCACTTTGTCGACACCCTAAACTTTACCATTAAGAATCTGGGCACTGAAGACGTCACTTACGAACTAGGTAGCGTGGGCGCCTCTACCGGGTACACTTTCTCGGATTCCATCTACCCAGATCCCTTCCCAGGGTTGGAACTGACGGATGAATATGCCACCGTTGTGCTAAGCGAGCCAAAAGTTACCGTTCCTGCTGGTGATGAAGTTGTCGTCTCGGTGACAGTCACTCCACCTGCCCTCGACGCCGCCCGCTTGCCGGTTTACTCCGGCTACATCACGCTGAACGGCACTAATGGCGATAGCCTATCTCTGCCATATAACGGCGCTGTCGGTAGCTTGCACAGCACTCGAGTCTTGGACGTAGGCTACCTCTCGATCTCGTCCGACGAGGAGCTCAACCCTGTCACCGGCAATGCATCGTTTGTTGTACCCGGGAGCAACACAACGAACGCCAATACTACGTACCCTGTCGCTGTAGCATTGTTAGCATTCGGCTCGCCGCTTGTAAACATCCAAGCTGTGCCTCTTGATGCCGCTCCAGGGGCTACCGCTAGCCATATCTTTGGTTCCCCGCTTGCCTATGCGTCCCGAGATCCCTATATAGTACAATGGGACGGCAAACTCGCGGATGGCACCTTAGCGTCGGCCGGCCAATATAAGTTCCGATTCGAGGCGTTGCACATCTTCGGCGATGCCTCGGATCCGGCTGATTACGACACCGACGAGTCATCTGTATTCACGGTCCGCTATGTTTAAGAAGGGTCCGGCACATGTATAATATATCAGGGAGGTATATAACGAGAAAAATGTACATATCATTGGATGTATATGTTCATTTATGTAGGAAACTAGTATAATAAGATATCAAGTTTCTGAATCGGTGTAATTTTAGCCTGAACGATCCTGTGGATCGAAGCTGAGCAGTGAAGTAAGTGGCTTATTCTCACCATAATTTGGACTGACTTGCTAAATTGGCAATTCTAACCCTTTCTGGCGAAAAAGCATTTGGCAGTGTTGATTATACGATGCCTCTACTAGATTGAATTAGGTTTGTTCGCATTCTAGGTGCTGTTCTCGGATAAAGGGATTGGTGTTGAAAAGGTGAAGTAGGTAAGGTTAGAAGCTTTATCCCGTCAATTCCGAATTTATGTAATCATAAGCTTCCCTTTATTACATAATACGTTCAATGGAATATTCCCGTCTAAGATCCATGCACTTAAGCTACTAGGTAGGTATTTAACCAATCAGCGACTTCGGGATGACGATTAGTTTCGTTATCGCGAATACCAAGCTTTTTATCTCTTTCATCTTTTTAATCCTAGCTTTTACATATTATCTCTCACAGCCTTTCGATTTCTAATCAACGCCGTTTCGTCACATTTTCTCTTAGAGCATTCTAATAGGCGAAATTGTTCAGGATGCTGTGTCACCAATGTCGACGCCTCGCTGCGACAATAATTCAACGAGGCACAAACGCCTTGTCGCAGCGCGCCCGCCTCATGCACACATCTTCGTCGCAATCTAGAATAGGTGCACTACTACAACCAGCCTTCCACAGCTCCGTAAGACCTCGACGAACAGCTATACGATCATATTCAGCATCCACCCCGACAGAAGCAAGGACAGCCAACGCACCATCGCTCCCCGAAAAGCCCGATTATCTCGACAATGACGAGTCCGCCATATGGGACAAGCTGACGGCCGAGTTCGCCCCAACAGAGCTCACCGTACAAGATATATCGGGTGGCTGTGGGTCAATGTATGCCATCGAGATTGCGTCGGAGAAGTTCAGGGGCACAAACATGCTCAAGCAGCAGAGGATGGTCAACGCCGTGTTGGGTGAACAGATGAAGAATTGGCATGGCGTCCAGCTGCGTACTAAAGTTCCCTAAGTCGAAGAGGCCGATGGAGATGTGATGGACTGTACACTAAATGGAGCAACCACAATACGGCTTGTGGAACCGCGAGCCATGAGATGTGTCGTCGTGGCTGTAACCGTGGCTGCTATACCTGAATATTAGCAGGGTTCCGGCCATTGAACTTGTACGTATACCGACTACTCGGCATTGTACATAATATAGTACTAATGAGCGGCGGAATCAGTGAGTTATATCAAAATAAATTCCCCCCTTATTGCCAACCGTCCTAAAGCTATTTTGTGCAGTTATGTTTCAACGCTGTGTTGACTTGTGGCTGAGACCTGTCATCTCCAGTGTGGTTCTACGATAATTGAATAACGCCAACGGTAGCATGTCTTGGAACATGGCTTTAAGCCCATGATAGCATGAACATGCCAAGTTCAAGTGTGTGGCTTGAAGAAACGTATGCCGCAGCCACATTACGTCGATCCTCTTTAGATTGCTACGTCTCTCAATAGGCTACGGCATCAGGTTGTCCGACGGCATCACTGTCAACTAGATAGATTAGTCTACGCCGCTACAGAATATCGAAGCGTTCTAGAATATTGACTATGTGCGCCACGGCAGATCCTTGGCGTTCGGATGAATAAGCGTTGTTTTCCTTACCCCAGCCTGCCCAGTGTCCCAGTAAAATGGATACAACATAGGCGACCGCACGAGCTAATACAGCCATTGTAAGCATAGAGGTGCGGAGTTAGGACTTCCCGGCGCAATACCGCCTCTAGCGGCTCTGGTCTATCCGAGACCCTTAGGGTCTTGCGTAGATGTCCTAAGCAAAGACATCAGCACGTCACAGCTTAGTATGCTAATCGGGCACTGAGTGGCTGACGGTAAGGGCGTATCCGAGGCCAATAGCCACTAGATAAGAGAAGTTTAGGGTCTAGTTAGAGAACTAACTCTAGACGGCTGTCGAGCTTGCATATAGCTATTACGACAACACGCTATGAATTCGTATTCATTCATGTACAATGTTTTGTAAACCATAGGTGCATAACTCCTACCTACTACCTACCTGGTAGGTAGCAACTCACACTACACATTTCGAGGATACTAGAGTGAAGTAGATAGTAGCTCGTAACATAATAGAATTACCGTAGCTCCCTTTATTTACACGATGAATAGATAACGTGGGTGGCCAAGCTTCGTCTCTGCTTACGGTTATGCAACCCCTTTTCACTTATATTCAGCACATCACAAAACAAATATAGTAGATATGTACGATTAGATTGAGCAATCGATGCTGTGTAAATCTAATCTAGGTTGACAAATAAAACCTGGTCTATACACTCGATATTTCTAGTTCTTGCGCACTACAATGCCCCATATAAAGCCCCATTTATGAAATACCCGGCTAATTTATCGTTACAAAGAATCCATTTATAACACTATCTGGGAGCTCGTGGGACTCCAAACCCGCCGTTTCGTCGTAATCTCCTCAGGAGATGTTGTTCGTCAGAGGCTGCAGATACAAGGATCAGTATTTTGTAACTATACAATGTAAGTGCGGTAAACTTACAAGGAATTTCAGCAGCAACGCTCTGGTCGTAGGCAATGATCTGCGTTGTCATCGTTGACTCAGCAATGACCGCCGCGGCGCCGTCAGGAGATCCGTAATCCATGCGTATGGCGCTCACTTGAAGAGAATAGGTACCGGCGTAGCTCACAACGAGATCGGGAAACACAAAATATTCTGTTGTTCTGCTGCTGCTTCTGGAAGAAGATCTGTCGTCTAGACCTCTGCCGGACATTGTTAATGTGCCATACAGTTGGTCCTCGAGGACCCGTCCGTACGGGTCGATAAGGGCGATCTGTATGAAATCATAGGCGTCGTTGCTCTCGGAGCTTACAACAAGAGGCGGGTATAAGACCGCACCTGCCTGTACTTGGGACGGCGGTTGTACTTCGACTGTGATCATGACTATAGTATTTATGTTCCTGATAGAACTGTAGATGTCCCAAATTCATCTAGCTGCAGGAAATCCAGAATGACTTTCTGTCTGACATGTCACTACCGGCCATCTTGTTCAGATCTTCGGGGGCTTTTTAAATATATGTTAGTGACACCACCGAGCCCCTGGAGCCTTGACCAGGGCTTTCTTATGACGAGAGAAAGAGAAAAGTATATGGATCACTGCAAGCCCGGAATGTCTCTACGGATACTTCCGCGGAGCTTCAGCGTATATGATTTGTTACAGGTCAAAGAATCATAAGACTTGTGACAGACTATAGATCTAGGATCGCGTTTCTAGAACACGACTCAGGTATTTGTGGCATGCCCCAAATCTAAATGAAGTACCTGGTTATGTATAAAAACTCATTTTATAAGATACCTATCAAGCCGTAACTACCTAGATATGTAATTGTTCAATGCAAATCCCCATTAGATAGAAATCTCATAATTAAGGTAAAAGTGTTCATCACCAGGAGAATAATACCTAACTAGACTTCGACCGATTTCAACTGACGTGATACCATCGTTCACATCGCCTTAAACTTTCTCTCACGGATATGGACCGAATAAACAATCGTCACTGAGCATGCTGCTGTCATCAAACCATAGGATATATTAAAGAAATAATCCATGTGCAGGCTACGCCCAAGGCTGTCGGTAGCCCAAAAGGTGTTAACCCAGGTAACGTAGTAGTGTATAGCTAATGAAATACGATCAGTAATCAAATTAAATATAGGTGCGAATCGTGTGAAACAGGAAGAGCCTTGGCCTATTGAAACTTCCATCTTCTATGGTACATTGACATTTGTGAGATCAAAAGAAGAGTTTTTATCCTGTCGTGACGTGGTGGGAATACTAACACTCGTGTCGACAGGGGTATCACAAGAAAGATCGACATGATGACGAGTAGTGCAAGGGGTACCGGACTCCTGGAATTTCCAAGGGTACTTCAGGGATCTTCTATTGTCTAAACCTCACATAAAGCTATTATTCTCTAGTCCTTAACATGCTCATTAGTTGAAATGCCTAGCTTAATCATGACAAGCTGGCCGAATCAGTACGATTCGACCATAGTAATGAACCAGTACATAGGCAATGGGAGCTTATTTATGGAATGGTGTATAATATAATATGTAATTTAGATAGGTTAAGAAGTTATGATCATGCCCATAAGATTAAGAAGCCTACTTGAAGACAAATGAATCGCAGGTTGCTGAATGGAGCTTATCTCGCTACGGATGAGATGTACCCCATAGTCGATCAACCGTTGGTTGGTGCGTGGTATGCTGAGTTACATTGGCAACTCGACACTGGCTTATACATATTACGGATCTTCCCAGGAGGTCCTGTAAGATTTCAAAATGCGCATTGGACATTCGTGCGACCAATGAGCAACAGTCATATGATGGTGTTATGATTATAGTTACGAGGTTTTTCAAATCCTCATCAAAAGTTAACGTAGGTAGAAATTGCAAGGAGTAGACTGAAAATGCCTAGCTACTGTGGTTTCTATAGCTGAAAAATTGAGGCTAGATATCACATTGATATATGATCGGATCTAAACCCGCCCGAACCAAACCTGTGGAATAGGGATGCGTAATACGTACTGCCGAGAAACGTATGATTGGGCAGCGTGACCATCTACAACCTCACTTTCCATTGAGCGACTCTTCCGCATGAAGTACCTAATTGCGGCCGACTGCGCGTTAGCGTGCTTTTGCTTCTGAAACGAAGCAGCGGCGTAGGGCCAATGAACCAGATCCTGGGGGACTTTTATTGAGGCTGCAGCTTCGATTGCCGATCGGTATCCAATTTCTGCAGATCTGAGATCTTGCATATGTACATACACTGTAGACCAGGGTAGTAGTGTAAGGTAGGGCTGACCCTCCGGAAAGAGGCATCGAATGTCCGAATACGGCTACATCCGTTTCCTCTTTTTTTCGGAAACGAAAAGATCCGTTAAGAAGCAAGGCTAGGACTTGATATACGAGGAGGATATTCTTTAGCTGGAATTGCCTTATAATTTCCCTCATTATATGTGCATCAGGCGGATGAAATCCGGTAGTCATCGTGGTTTCATAACAGCAGATCCATGAAGATTACATTCCTTGTGGCCACAAATGATAACATAGATTTCGGTGGATATTTCTATTCTAAGCTCGCAGCCCGGTTACGGATCACTCAACGTATGTTAAAATATACAGGTAATGTCGTGATGCTCCCTAGTAGGTACTCATGGATCTCACCTACATCGGATACGGGTAATAGGGGTGCTCTTATGAAGGCCAAGTAGGCAGGCGGGTACTGGTGCGACTAATTACCGAGACAGTCCTACATCAGACGTCGAATAGACGGGCTCGGTTACCGGGGTTGAGAAAGTCGGTGAGTTAAAATCCCCCGAGTGTTCCACCGCACCGGCCGCATTGGTGGCGTTGATGCCGGAGCTTTTCTCGGCTACCATCCGAGAAATTTCAGACTGCGCTCATTGCTTAGTCGAATAGTATATGAAATGGATCGGTTGGCGATTGTCGATATGCTCTTGACACTGTTCTAATTGTGATTTAACAAGAAACTAGGCTCGTTTATCAATCCAAGAGATTTACATTACCAGGTTTATCATGTGACGAATGCTAGGCAGGGGTTGAGGGTATATCGCGAAGCTAAGTCATCTCTTGACAGTATTACCAAAAATAAGCTGACCAACCGATTCAGTCAATACTCTTTTAGATATTCCCTTTGCATCGTTGCAAATTGCGCAAGTGACTAGGTATGTTTGCCTAAGTCTTTTCGCCCCAGAATTACCAAGTAATTTCAGACGTGGACCAAACGACATGGTAATTATGCGAGGCGAATAGGGGCAGCCGTCTACATTCTTGTCGCGGGGTCTATTCTCCAAGCTTTCAAGAATCCCTGGATAGGTAGGTATTCCCGCACCCTGCCGTACCACACGAATCAATAACAAGGTTTCTGGATCCGGAGCAGGTTAAATGCGTAAAGAATTCAGTGACGGATTGCATTAGCAATTCCAACCCCATATTCCCTCTCCACTCTCTTCTGCCAGTGCAACACATCAACTCACAGATCAGTATCATAGTTCATTAGACCGGCCTGTGTTATCAATAAAGCGAAACCGAAATTCCTAGCGGCATGAAAGGGATGAAGAAACGATATTAACAAAGACGATTTTAATTATTAGCCGACTTGAATCATCCGCAGTCTTCTCAGAGGGCGCGTCCATTAGGGCCTGAGATGCACATAAAGGCACCATAGCAAAAAGGCCTATTCTCACAATTCGTAACCTGGATATTCCAATTAACCTACAGCTGGTATCAACCACGCATCTAGGTTGTTGACTTTCCCCATTTTGAAGGTTGATGAGGCGTGGAAGATTGCCGACAATGTCTTTTGAATCGTGGTAAGGGGCTACTTATCCTCTTCTACAGCTAGCACAGCTTTGGCGGCTTTGGTGGAGAGAAGCTGGCGAGCCCCTCAAACCCGGAAACGGCAATCTCCTAGATGATAGGATCGATCAATTAGTTGGGATCGACATCAGGGCTCGACCCGGTCAGAACGGATTCAGAAAAGGTGTCCCGTGTGCTAATGCTGTTGTAATGCACTGCACGTGCTATGGAGGGTAGTAGTACCGCTAGCACATGGCGTACTTTCTCCGACTTAATTCTCCGGTGAACGTCAGGTGATCCCCAAGTTATGCCCCACAACTGGATCGGGAAGACCGGGGCACGCAGCGACGATGGTGATGCCGAACTTATCTCCATGAGACCCACTCCGGAAACCGTCGGGACCTGCGGGGATTGGAACGCACCGGTCGAAAGAAAGACTTCTTCCCTGGCCTTTAGGTAAAGGCCGGAGTTTACAATTATTGTTGTGGCTCGCTTCTGTTCATCGAATACTGGAAACCCTTCACGTTGTGTCGGACGTGACAGCAATTCTTGGGCACGTAAAATGACAACGCTGTTTGCTTTGTTCCATTAAAGTTGGCCCCTAATCCTTGTGGGCGTACCTAGATAAACACACTGATCATCCAGCCCTGAGGCTTCTGGAGGCTTAGTTTTCGCGGGCTCTATCACATTGCGGCCAGAATTTAATAGTTGAGAAGAGGATGGGAAAGGTGTATAAAATCCATAAGATAAATAGAGCTGTGGCTAGAATGTCTCGATCGTGGCTGAGCCGAGGTTGCGCCAGGTCACACTTCTTTTTCTCCCGGCTAAAACCTCTTCGAGGTGGCTTTGAGGTGGCCACTTTTTAAGCAGGCTTGCGTTGAACATGAAGGCCGAGAATCTCCCCGGAAATTCGAAAATATAATCGTTTCCTTCTTCGCCTTCCATAGGTAACTTATCTTTGTACCTTGAAAAACTTCTTTGGAGTTTAAACATCCCGCCTTCGAGATTATTTAGGTCAATAAGATCTACTTTCCAAAATGTAGGTCGGTATTTAATCGGCACCCTGCTGCTTGTCATGTTCAGAGATTCGCAGGAGACCAAAGAAGATTGAGAAGTGATGAGTCATCTCTCAATCACTAAGATGAAACCTGGTCTTCCGGATCTTAACGCTGCGGTGAAAGTCTTTACAACAAAACTGCGACCATTTCAAGACCTGACACGACAGCGAGATGAAGGTATCCATGACAGAGCTAGCCTAATGTGACTTAAGGATATCGGAAATAGAGATCAGTTGTCAACTCGTCCCCTATCCAAGGAGTGTATTTGATTATTGGGATCCTCTGCAGCGCGTTACCACACAGATTACCATGGCTAGCACACCGATTAGGAAATTGTGTTTCCTAATATCATTTGGGACAGATAAGAGGATCAAAAAACTTGTCGATGAACGAGGCAATGGCTGGAATGGATCCGAGAGGTGAAAGCGATATGGTTGCAACAACATAGACGACGGCGCGAGCAATTATAAAAAACCAAGCACTGAGTGGTAGTCAATATTCACATCGGTAACCCGTTTTTGTCTAATGGTGCGGGAATCGACAGGACTGCCACTCGCCTCACTGATCTGCCATGATTGATACTAGATGATGTACACGGCTAATTCCAATGACCATTCTGTCATACGGCACAAGAAGTCGTGGCTGACAGGTTTGAGTGAGAGTGAATAAGTCCTCACTGACCTTCAGCCTTAGTTAGAGGTTGAGGTAAAAACGGTAGATTCATACCTAGGTACCTACGAAAAATATAATTAGCTGAATACATACCTGATCCCACAGCACAACGCCCATAGGAATCCCAAGAGATACCTTTTCGAGTTGTTAACCTTCAAAAAGAGATTATTGTAAACCTTGCTACTGTCCTTTAGTAACCTCTCTAAACCTACTCAGGTGTTTATTGATAATATTATAAAGTAGAACATTCTTAAGGTGATTTCGTGTCTGCGCATACATTTACATATCCGCTAAGTGTAATGGTTTCTAAGCCAGGACGTTGAAGTGAAGGAGAGTTCGACCTCCTATATTACCTGAGAAATGGGGGGGATGGAGGAAAAAAGGGGTAATCAAGGCATGAGGCTTGAAAGTTTGTCCGAGGTATGATTAGCAGCACTTACACCATGCTGCAGCCCTATCGCTTATCCTCCATTTGCACTGCTTTGTCGACCTTACAACCCGCTTCAATCTTGCTAGGTTTTCGCAGCGATAAGTTGTTGAGGCAGGTCATCGTTTCGATTGATCGGAAACACTGACAAGTGTATTATGCTAGCTTTTCATGTGAACAAAGAATCGTAAATCGTACCGGGTGTAGGGTGTCACTGGGTATCGATGAAAATGACAAATTCGGCCAATTGAAATTAGAACTAGACTTCATGCAGTGATGAGCGGCATAAGGAGATCCTTGCCGATGCTGACACTAAGAATGACAGATTTGCGACCATGTTGGCATTTTCGTCTGAGCTTATGCAGGTTGGGCTGGGAGACTAAGAAAATCCGAGCAAATCTACCCCGTGAAGTTGGGTACGGCTTGAAACGCTAGACAGGGCAATGATACACCGCTCTGCTAATATAAAATTGTCTCAAGGTATAGCCGCTGGCGCATGAGCCTTTAAAATAACAACTGCATCATAGTAGGTACAACACGATGCCTAACCGCATTGAATGACTCCTTTAGGAGTGCAGCACCAAGTGGGTTGATGGATGTAGTGCTTTGACTATTACCTCTAAGTCGTTTTTGTGATAGTTTGAGAGTGATGGGAACATGGTCTAAAATAAGTGAATGTTGAAATCACTATGAAGAAGCACCGAACTTTAACAATCGAAGATTTAACGATGTCTTTTCGAATCTAATAATAGCTAATAACAATTGTGGGATAAACGTGGTCCTGCATAACCTTAAGTAAACAAATAAGTACATGCCTTACATAGCAGGCAGACATATAAATGCAAAGTATATTTCTAAATACACGACACAGTGGTGGGGCTTCGGACGAATAGCATTGGGGAAGCAGCAGGACCGAACGGGTTGTCAGGGTAGCAGGCACGTACGGTGCACGAACACACGTCCCGCGCTAAGCCCGAAGTGGGATTAGGGTGATGTTGTTTGAAGGGGGGAGTCAGTTGGAGAATGTTGACACTGGGAAAGAGGGAAAGCGCTACACTACAACGCTAAGTACAGTACAACAACCAATTCCCATCTGGACTCTCCCGGTTCATCGTCGACAACCCGAGTCCGTCTTTTCGCCAACCACGACACGACAGACGACAAACGGCGCACGGTAAGTTAAGCGACAAACTCGACATACAGACGACGACGACGAACACTGCGACACCGAACCTTAACACCCTGACGACCTATTCCATTCTCTCCCGCCTTGCGACCCTAATACGCCACGCAAAACACGAATCCTCACGTACCCCGACAGAGGAACACATGCATGTAAGTTTGTGTCTATGTGCGTGTGCGCTCTGGTGAACTCCGCAGAAAGAGATGCGACAGACAAAGGATAATAGGACAGACAATAGACAGTACTAACTATCAGCTTAGAAGAAAGGATACCTTTCTTAGTCTTCACTATCACTTCGCATTGCATTCACGACCGTTATTCATTCATTCACTATATTCTTGGCTTTAATTTTCACGACACACACATACACACATACACACACCTACATACACTGTATCTCTTTTGTTGCTTAACGACATTCGATTCTTCTTAACTCCAGTACGACGACACGACCTGAGGAACTGTCGCATAGTAGACCATCTTGTTATATCAGCACCAGGACCGAATACCCGGGACAGCCCCCTTCACCGCCAATGCGACAACAACACTTCTAGGCGAGATCGATTTGCGCACAAGGCACATTTTCGAAATCAACAATAAACAAACATGGCTGAACCGCCTTCTTCACCACCGAACGAGTCCGCTACTCCCGAAGAATCCCTTGCGTGGTATAAGAGACAGTATGAATTGTTGGCCGACGAACTTGCCGATTTTCGTGAATCCAGTCACGACTTGGAGGCCGAACTTGAAAAGGACTTAGATGCTGCCGATAAGCGACAACGCGAACTGCTTCAAAAAGCCGAAGAATTACAGTTTGAAGTCGACGAGTGGAAAGTAAGTACGCATTAATTTTATGGCAAAATGCATATTTTATTTTGTCTACATGGTATTGAGCAAAGACTAACTTTTTAACTAGGAAAAATGCAAGAAAGCAAAAACAGAGGCAAACACAGCGCAGAACGCTCTGGAGAAGGAGATTACGAATCTCCGCGACTCCAACCGTACCTTGCAGCTTAAGTTGCGCGACATAGAGGTGGCCAACGATGACTTTGAGCGGCAAGCACGGAACACCACGTCATCTCTCGAAGACATGGAATCTAAGTATAACGTGGCTATCGAGAGAACCGTCATGATGGAGGAGGAGATAAAGATAGGCGAACAAGAACGAGAGACTTTGCGCATCGAGGCTCAAAGATTGCGCGAGGAACTGTCAGACCTGAAGGTAGAGGCCGAGATCATGCAAGATAAGATCAAGAAAGCAGAGATCCGCCATCTATCCGCCATTTCCACAGATATCTCGATCCCTGAGTCACCTACATTCGAGGACTCGCCCCGCTCTTCTATGGCAAGCTCTCCCCTTGTCACCACACCCCCCGACGACATATCTTTGCCTCCTTCGAACAAGGGGGCTCCTACGCTCAACGAGCCTCCGTCGCCGCCTATGTCAGATGCTTCAGCGCCTTTCCCAAGACCTGCCTCTAGGCTGAAGACGCCCGCACCCTCGACACAGAAGAGGTCCCGCCTTCCTTCTGCCGATCGCAGCATTACTCCCAAACCGAAGACCGCCGTTTCTACCAGCACGCGCGTTCCAGGTATGCGCTCCGCTACTACTAGCCATAGCAGTACGGCGCGCACGCCTGCGCCAAAACGTACCACTACGAACCGCTCAGCGTCGAACAGAATACCGCCGTCGACTTCCCTTACCCATGTGCGGACTCTCACTGCGCAAATGCAACGGTTGGAGGCTCGAGTTCAGTCAGCGCGGTCTAAGTTACCCGCTCCTGTCAACACTCCACCACGCGCATCTCCAAGATCGTCGGCTGCTGGTACAGGTCAAGTGCCTTCTACAGTCACGATGCGCTCGCGGAAGCGCACTATCGGTTCTACAACCTCCTCTATAGCAGATGAGACTCCAACCCAGGCTACGACGTCCAGGCACGTGTCTAGGCTAAGTACATCCGGTGTATCGAGACTATCCTTCGGTCCACTGCCAAATCGAACCAATCATTATGATCCGGATAGTTCGTCTATTAGCATATCTCGTCCTAGTAGCCGAGCCAGCGTGTCGAGCTATGCCCGGCCTGAGAGGCCACCTAGTCGTACCGAGATCCCTCGTCCCATGTCCCGCACGAGCTTTTCGGGTGCGAGAACACCTTTGGGAGTAAGGCCTAGAAGCTCTTTTAGTGGAAGTATACATGGCCATTCCCACAGCGTTAGCCGTATCGACCCGGACGAGTTCGACGAACGTTTCGAGGAACGCACCCCAAGTCGCCGGGGTACCTACAGCAAGTTTGACGGTGATGGATCTGCTAGTAACATACCCATGCCTCGTCGACAGAGCGGTGGAATGCATTCGGCTCGCAGAACTAGTGGTGGCAGTACCAGTGCAGCATCAACCGACGCCCCTACCGGCAGACCGAGGAAGTTGAGCGATCTCGGGGAGACTTACTAGTCTCCCCCATGACCTTTTTTTTCTCTTCTCTTCTCCTGTATCTTACGGAAGTGCTACAATAACAGCACTCTCGGACAAGACGCAAGAGGTTCTAGCATTATACCTTCGTCGAGGCGTTGAGCCGAGGCGTCACGAGTTACGGACGGACTTGCATATCGATTCTTCGCCGGCTTACTTGCCGGCTTTCTCATCATTACAGGCGAAGGGGTGTTTTACGGCCAGATGGCGTGGGCAAAGCATCCCCCCTTGGTAGGCCTGGCAGGACGAATTGACGGTGCTTTTTCTCCTCTTTTTCTCCATATTTCGAGGCGAGGCGGGGGGCATGGGGGGGCGTTCGCGGCAAACCCGGACTCGGGCGGCATTACAGACTGGATGTTGACCTCTTTTTTCTCCTCCAACCCCCTTTTTTTATTGGACATACCCCCGGCGGTCGATGGTTTCCAAGGTTGATGACAATTCATTTTTCTTCCCCCTTTTACCCCTTTGTGTGTGTGTGTATTCAAGTGTGTCTGTAATGGGAATGGAATAAACCCGCCCTTGTACATACGTGTGCGGGAAACTAAGATGATACGATGGGCCAGGGTTTTTTATTTTCAAAGGACCCGAGAATCGCAGAGATTAGATCGAAAAGACTGAAAGGGAGAGTCGCGGATCTGGATCTGGGAATTGTTTGTAGTAGTAGTAATACGAGCCCGAACGGCGCACATTCTTTCCCTTTGTTAAAAAAAAGAGATTTTTAAGATGTTATCTGCATGTTAGTAGTGCCGCGTTAGGCGTGAGATAGTTGAGATGGCTGGTCGTTGTGGTGAGAGACCGGGGTTGAGCGTTGTGAGTTGTGGTTACTTGTAAGGTAGTGTAGAATGCGTAGTGTAGTATTAGATAGCTAGACTTGGGAGTAGACGAAATTTCCCCATAGCTAGATCATCTTGGTTGGTACCATACCTGTTTATACGTGATCGTCGAACATTTTTGACTTGTCCTGTATCGATACCCAAGGGCGAGTCAGATGTGAACGGTGTTTCACGTGCGATATTTGCCTAGGTTAGAGCAGTATGTGTGTATAATGAGTTGAGTATATTAAGGATACCTTTAGATACCGTCACGAAACTCGGGCGTCTGCCTTTATGTAGTTGTGCACCAATGAAGAGTGAGCGTCCTTCCTTTCCTCGAAGACAGTGCCCTCCTTAGACCATTAATGTAAGCAGGTATCATGGAATAGGGGCAGGTCCATATATGTAAGTATCAAGCCTTTATATAGAGTAGGAGAGTTTATGTGCTTAAGGGACGACTGGCTGTATATAGGGGCTTTGGAATACTGGTTAAGGGGTTCGCCACATAGAGTTAAAGCACCCTACTTAACTTAAGTAGGTAATGTTCAGCTAGGGCTGGCTGGGACGTTGTGGTACCTGACTGAGACTGCTCGGCACTTCAAGTATACGGTAGATTATTAGATCTACCATGCGCGACGGACCAGGGATAATAGAGATGATACTTGTGACTGGAAACCCAAATGTGTTGCAGGAGATGTATAGATACCTAGGTAAGTAGGGTATCTAGTCTACTCAAAGCCTTCTATAGGCAACATGACTAGCTTAGCAACTTAAGACATCAACACTGAAGATGTGTTTGGAATCTTTGAGGCATCAAGGCTTATAGTGGTTGGAAAATTATCCCCTTCTAATTACCGGACCGATCAACAGTACTGGTTACAAACGTAAGTCAGTATCAACGCCCGTTTCCACGTATAAAGAATGCGTTCGCTAGGTAGTGAAATGATGGAGCTCCTCGGTTTGAGTTAATAGACCTATGTAGGTAAAGGCTGATATACTATTTTGAAAGGTATCTGGTATATAGGTACCTAAGCATGTATGATATGAAACGGTATACACAAGTGGCGGATGATCTATTTTATATACACATTCCTGCCCAGATGCTGTGTACTCCAACCCCCGGATCACCGAGTCCACCAAAGTTAGTGTTATGAAATGTTAGGGTAATCTTTATCCCGTCGTGGAGTAATTCAGTTCATATGAACCGCTTCATCATAGGTATTAAGTTACCAACCTAGGTACGTTTCCTAAAGTACCTAGGTAGCCAACCTCGAGCAATTCAGATCAAGTGCCCTTATGGAGTTCTGTCTTATCCTATGCGTTGAATGATCTTTGAGCCCTATCGGAAGAGTTACCATACACCAACCCCCTGGAATACCCGGGAGTTTCTGATGATCTGCTAAACACTATCACATTTAGACAACGAGGTATCTTAACAAAACGCATAGGTAGTAAAAGGTTATTCGGTGATATTTCTGAGGTCGTGCGGCGTTAATAATTTCCTTTAACGACTAGTCTTCGTATCCCGAATTTCAATTTAGACGCTCAGGAACGCTCTACATCATATGCGAGAGCCATGTGCAAAGGTCGGTTAGAGCCCTCATAGGCACGTGTCTTCAGCATGGCTGATTGGAGTGAAGCTTAAGTGCCTGGTAATTAACCATGCTCGGCCCGTCTTATTCTAGAAGATCTATGCACACGTCTCCGGGTAGGACTCGTCGATGGCACTTCCTTAATTGGGTTGGGATAAGGCTGGCCTTTACTGTAGGGTTTCTAAGTTCTTACTATTACTGCAATAGGAATATCCGTATTTGGCAGTTAAAAGGATGGTTCATTCGTCATGGTCGCATCCAAGCTAGACCCGGAGTGGACCTTACAAGGCCTGTGCCGTAAGCTGCTGACAGTTGGGTGTTAGTAGACAATCTACAAGCAGGCATTCCTTGTATCGAGCCGCAGTGACAGAATAGCTCGACGAGTAAGCCATACTTTGATCTGTCGCGTATTAAGATCGGGCACATTCGCCTCTAATCGTCGAGGCTAAAGAATGCCTGCCTGGCACCGGTTTTAGGTAGGAGCCGAGAGTCTAATAGCGACTTCTCAAGACTTCATTCGCTGATCGATCTTATCTTCGCGACCAGGACATCGTGCTAGTCGTTAGACAAGACTAACATACTACAGAGTCCGAAAATATTTACCCAATGACAACAACTGGCACGGAGCCGTATTCGGACCACGAGCCTTTTACATATTCGACGCCGACTTGGTCTGATATCTCCGGCAAGCTAAAGCTGTATGCTTAGTGATAACATGCGGGGCATGCTTTGTTGCAAGTCCTTGCGTCCAGCGCCGGGGCAAGGCTAGATCGGGTTTGCTCTGGGGAAGTTGTTGTAAGCAACTGCTTACCCGAAAATGACCGGAGCTCATTGTCTACGCCGTACGAACAGGTGGCGAGTAAGAACGCATCTCTCGGTGATGTTTCCTTAGGTGCTTATATCCCATTCCACCTAGAGAATTGTTCGATAGGACTAATAGCTTACCGGCCGATGTCGTCCGCGGTCCGGGTAGCGTGCTTACCTTAGGACTAACGTGGATGGATGAAGGCTGGATCCTTCAGGAGTAGTTGCTTAGGTCAACCAAGATCCAACGGATATTCCCCATGCGGTAAGATAGCTGAACGAGGCACAATGCAGTCTTACCTTACCAAGTAAGACCAGGAAGATTAGGGACGCTTGATAAGATATGGGATCGTGATTTGAGGCGCGGCAAATCATGCTGGCAATCGGGCTTTATGCAAGCTTACGCCTCCACCACAATATTTTGGTTGTTCCGAACCTCACCGGACATGATGTTGGGGACTTGCGTCGTCGCTGTGGAGATGGGAAATTCTTCGATTTCGCTTGTCATTAGATATTATGAGAGAGAAAATTTTGACTTAGTGGCTTAATAGATCAACAGCCTAGTACCTAACTCATAATCTAATAATTGAGAGATGGCAGTCCGGGGCGATTAGAATCGATCGTGGATTAGCGTAGCTAGATGCCGGTACAGAAAAGAAATAATTATATTAACCAAGATCGGGTTTGGAACGTATTGACCCCTGAACTGGGAAGTTCGGTACTAACTTAGTTAAGCGACTAATCCGATAATTCATTAACTCGATAACTCGATATTTCGATAGTTGGCCAATTCAGGAACTGGGCTTGCTACGCTTAACTGAACTCCAAATGTACCCGGTCGATTGGGTTGATTGGGTTGCCGCAGGAGTTGTGGTCCCTTAGTCCCTACCTTTTTTTCTTAGTGCCAGAGCTTACCCCAACAATTGAGTTTACCTACCGTCAAGAGCCAATGTGAAACGTTGCAAACCTAATCTATTCTATACATAGATAGAGGTATCCCAGCTCTGTATAGGCACCGTATCTTCTGCAAGATGACATAAGAAGAGACATCAAGCAACAGACGAGTTTGTGACCGGGGAAACGATATAATTCGGAGGAGATAAGATCGTGAGGCATTTCATCATTCTCCAGTTCACCGGCAAGTAAGCAGATTCCACCACGATTACCAAGACCGTTCATATGACGGAGTTGCTGATAGTCTCGGAGGGGTGATGCACAGTAAGCACAACGGCGTCGTTTAACACTTATCAAGGGAATAGATATGGGATATGTACTTGTGGCGGCTTGTCACCGGCCGAACGGGAAATTGAAAGATATAAAGATACATAATGACTTAAATACACATAACTAAAAGTGATGGACAAGAATGGAAAAGAAAAAGAAAAATGATGGAACTCCCACCCAATCTTGTCACGCTCTCCGATTCGACTCTTGCCAGATCGGGAAACATTTGTTGGGCGCCGGGTAATAAGTGGAGAAAAAAAGGTAAAACCCACCGTTACCATATGGTACCGATGAGAAAGAGATCTTGTTACCGTACCCAAGTACAGTTTGTCTCAACGGTCAGCCACCCTTATATCCGCCAGAAAAGTAAAAAGTCAAGAACAACTTGTAGGGAAAACCTGGTTCAAAGATAAGTCGATATCAAAAGAGTGCAGATATGGGATATGGGACTGGGCGATGGAACCAATAAATAAATTTCATAGAAATTGGATTTGGATCTAGGAGTGGTATCTAAGACGCCGAGGGGAGTAAATAGTAAGTCCGAAGGCGATCTTTGAATATCTACCACGGACCTGGGAAAGCAAGAATTCATAGATCAGACATTGTGCTCGGTCTTGACTAAGAATAGTCTCTTTTCTGTTATTGATTAACTTTGATAGACTGGTTTGTTCATTGGGAGTCTGCGAACACTCTGATAGATATGATGATTGGGTCGACAATGCTCAGGTACACGTAGTTTGATGCTGATAGAAAAGTCATCACCATTCTTTAGATGTTTGAATAACTGATCGTGTACCAAGCAAATACGGATGGCTCCTTTACACCGGACTTAAAGAACATTACGCTAAAATGACGATGAATTTGAAATGTTCCGCCATCGATCCGATGTACCTTCAATTTGAAGTCCAAAGTCTTATTCAGCTAAGTGGAGACATTTGGAGCTTGAGTCTGTACTTACTATGACGGTACACATCTATCGGCGTTTTATATGTGACTGTAGCGCTTTTTGACCCGGATTGGTACAGCGTAGCACCCACACTGACTTGTACCTGTACCCACTCGCACGCGCGCCCGTCGCAGTAGACCCGACCCGAGACGTAGACTATAGGTACATGATACCTGATATATTTTCTAACTTTGGAGGGCGCTAGCTAATGGATGTCCCCAACACCCTGGGGAACTTCGCGATTGGCCAAATTAGTGACCTAGTCGTCGATCATCACCGTGCAAGTAGTTTATCTAGTTCACTTTAACCATATCAGCCTCGTTGGCCCCAAGTAGCCCAAGCTGGATTGACCAGGTTTTTAGTGCTAGGTTTGATCCTTTTTTTTCCTTCTGGGATTTCTGGGACATACATTACGATATCCCTTCCCGTCGAAAAAAGCTGGATGTCCGTCAATCCTCTTTGATATTTTTCAGTCCTTGACACAACTTGTCCTTCCTCCCAAACCGTTGTCGTCGTCCATGCTTCAACACCTCTTACCCCTCCATTCCACTCTTTCAACCTTGTCAATGAATGGGTATTTTGGACAGTTAACCTGACTTATTGCACTTGTAAGTTCGGAACTCTCTTATAAGCATATGTATTTAGGCATTGTTTACGCGCAATTCGTTACCGCACCTGCCACCTGCCGCTGTACCCGTTTGGATCGACGGGGAAATCGCAAGGGACCTAGCTCAACAACGACTTCTGTTTTGTTCGATTGTGGGATTAAATTGGAACTCACCAAATTCCTCAAGTGGTCCAACTTCCAGCTGACTTCATACTTTTTGCTCTGAACCAGATCCCCTCCATTTCTTAGACATAGAAACCAACCGTTTGGTTTTCTACTCGACTCTTCTCCCACCTCTTCCTCTGACCAGAAAAAACAAAAAACGGGAGGTCAGCTTGAAATTCCTTTACATCCGCTTACTCCCTACCTCGCTACCTCGCTTCGAGTCAGCATACAACCTCGACCGTAATTCGGTACCTCCGGCAAACCGAGTTATTCCGTCCGTTCCCGTTTTGTAAAATACCATTGCGAATCTTTGGCGCTTTGCAGGAGCTCGATTCGGGCGTCCATTGTACTTTGATGACCCATTAACTATCCTCTTCCGAATAATTATCCCGACTTCCTTAAACTACTCCCCAGAGGTTTCCTGCCTCTCCGTTACCACAGCCGATACAATGACTCCTCCGACAAATGGCAGTGCCGCTAGTGGCACTCGGACAGTGCCCGTCACCAACGGCAAGGCCACATACGCCGAGAAACACAGGCTACCTGAACACTTCATTGGTGGCAACAAATTAGAAAACGCCCCTCCGTCAAAAGTGAAAGATTTCGTCGCTGCACATGATGGACATACTGTAATCTCAAACGTGAGTTCGAAGAAGTTGGCATTGTAGTGGGAGGGAGCGATGAGCTGACATTCGTAGATTCTAATCGCCAACAACGGCATTGCTGCTGTAAAGGAGATCCGATCTGTACGAAAATGGGCGTACGAAACATTTGGCGACGAGAGGGCCATTCAGTTCACGGTTATGGCAACGCCGGAAGATCTTGCAGCCAACGCCGATTATATCAGAATGGCTGATCACTACGTGGAAGTTCCTGGTGGCACAAATAATCACAACTACGCAAACGTTGAGCTGATTGTGGATGTTGCCGAGCGTATGAACGTTCACGCTGTCTGGGCAGGATGGTGAGTTCTGGACATAACCCCATAAGCTGTGTCTTTGACGAGCTCATACTGACGGCCACTTTAGGGGACACGCCTCAGAAAACCCTAAACTCCCAGAGTCTTTGGCAGCATCGCCCAAAAAGATTGTCTTTATCGGTCCTCCGGGATCCGCCATGCGCTCTCTTGGTGACAAGATTTCTTCTACAATCGTCGCACAACACGCCCAAGTGCCTTGTATCCCGTGGTCAGGAACGGGCGTTGACTCTGTCGTAGTAGACGACCAGGGTATTGTCACGGTTGCTGATGAAGTATACATGAAGGGATGTGTCGGTTCTTGGGAAGAGGGCCTGGAGAAGGCTAAAGAAATCGGCTTCCCAGTAATGATCAAGGCCTCCGAAGGTGGCGGTGGTAAAGGTATTCGAAAAGCCTTGTCCGAAGAAGGATTCGAGCAATTATACAATGCCGCTGCGAACGAAATTCCTGGCTCCCCTATCTTCATCATGAAGTTAGCAGGCAACGCACGACACTTGGAGGTGCAATTGCTGGCTGACCAGTATGGTAACAATATCTCGCTCTTTGGCAGAGATTGTTCCGTACAGCGAAGACACCAGAAGATTATCGAGGAGGCACCTGTCACGATCGCCAAGTCGCCCACGTTCAAGGGCATGGAAGACGCCGCCGTGCGACTTGGTCGCTTAGTCGGTTACGTCTCTGCCGGAACGGTTGAATATCTTTACTCGCACGAGGACGACAAATTCTACTTCTTGGAGTTGAACCCTCGTCTACAAGTGGAGCATCCTACTACGGAAATGGTGAGCGGTGTAAACTTGCCAGTCGCTCAATTGCAAGTCGCTATGGGTATTCCTCTGCACCGAATTAGCGACATTCGGTTGCTTTATGGCGTTGACCCTAAACTTGCCACTGAGATCGATTTTGAATTCAAGGCGCCGGGAAGTGAGAAGACCCAGCGACGACCACAACCTCGTGGCCACTGTACCGCCTGCAGAATCACGTCTGAAGATCCTGGCGAGGGATTTAAGCCTTCAAATGGTGTGATGCACGACCTCAACTTCAGAAGTAGTGCGAACGTTTGGGGTTATTTCTCCGTTAGTACGGCGTCCAGTATTCACAGTTTCTCTGATAGCCAGTTCGGTCACATTTTCGCTTACGGCGAGAACCGAGCTGCTTCGCGGAAGAACATGGTGGTTGCTTTGAAGGAGTTGAGCATTCGTGGTGACTTTAGGACGACTGTCGAATATCTCATTAAACTTCTTGAAACAGAAGCATTCGAAGATAACACCATCACGACCGGCTGGCTTGATGAACTCATTTCAAACAAGCTGACTGCTGAGCGACCGGATCCCATGCTGGCCGTCGTCTGTGGAGCAACCACTAAGGCTCACATTGCTAGCGAGGCTGTTATCGCAGAGTACCGGTCTGGCCTGGAGAGAGGTCAAGTGCCCTCCAAGGACATCCTGAAAACGGTGTTTCCGATCGACTTCATTTATGAGGGCCATCGGTACAAATTCACTGCAACTCGTGCAGCCGTTGACAGCTACCATCTCTTCATTAACGGTTCCAAATGTTCGGTCGGCGTCCGTGCTCTTAGCGATGGTGGTCTACTTATTCTTCTCGATGGACGTAGCCACAGCGTCTACTGGAAGGAAGAGGTTGGCGCCACTCGTATCTCCGTTGACAGCAAGACATGTTTGCTTGAACAAGAGAACGACCCTACCCAGCTGCGCTCGCCCAGCCCCGGTAAGCTTGTGAAGTACAACGTAGAAAACGGCGAACACGTCAAAGCTGGACAGACGTTTGCAGAGGTTGAGGTAATGAAGATGTTCATGCCTTTATTGGCCCAGGAAGATGGTATCGTGCAGTTGATTAAGCAGCCTGGCGTCACCATCGAAGCTGGTGATATCCTCGGTATTCTTGCTCTCGACGACCCCTCCCGCGTCAAGCAAGCACAACCTTTCCTCGGGCAGCTCCCTGAATTCGGACCGCCCCAGGTCACGGGTAGCAAGCCTGCACAGAGATTTACTTTGACATATAACATCCTCAAGAATATCTTATCTGGTTACGACAACTCTGTTATCATGCAACAGACGCTCAAGGAGATGATCGAAGTGCTGCGGAGCCCCGAGCTTCCGTACAGCGAGTGGGCATCTCACCATGCTGCTCTCCACTCTAGGATGCCGCACAAACTCGATGTCCAATTGACTCAAGTGGTCGATCGGGCCAAGGCTCGCGCGGCAGAGTTTCCTGCTAAGGCCTTATCGAGAACCTTCACGAAGTTCTTGGACGACAACACAACACCCAGTGAAGCCGACACGCTGCGAGCAACCATTGCGCCCTTGGTCGAAATTGTGGACAATTATACTGATGGCCAGAAAGTACACGAGCTTAATGTTATCGCAGGCTTGCTTCAGACCTACGCTGACATAGAGGCCCGTTTCTCGGGACGCCGAAGCCAGGATGAAGAAGTAATCCTAAAACTCCGTGAAGAGAACAGAGAGGACTACCTCAAAGTCATCCAAGTAGTCCTTTCTCACAGCCGCGTCGGCTCAAAGAACCATTTAATCCTGGCAATTCTGGACGAATATCGCCCAAACAAGCCTAACGTCGGCAATATCGGGAAGTACCTCAGACCAGTCCTACGGAAGCTGACGGAACTCGAGTCACGTCAGACTGCTAAGGTTTCTCTGAAAGCTCGTGAAATTCTGATCCAATGCGCGTTGCCCTCGCTGGAAGAGCGAACTGCCCAGATGGAACACATTCTACGCTCTTCTGTGGTTGAAAATAAGTATGGTGAGACGGGTTGGGATCACAGAGAGCCAAACCTCGATATCATCAAGGAGGTTGTCGATTCCAAATACACAGTCTTCGACGTGTTGGCATCGTTCTTCGCCCACGAAGACCCCTGGGTCAATGCTGCTGCTCTTGAAGTGTACGTCCGCCGAGCCTACCGTGCGTACAACTTCAAACACTTGGAATATCATGATGACGAGACCGACTCAGTCCCTCTCTTCCTCTCTTGGGATTTCTCCTTCCGCAAGGTTGGACAGACCGAATTTTCGCTCCCTGTCTCCTCTGCCAATCCCTCCGTACCTGGCACTCCTACTACTGAAGCTCCCTCTTTCAACCGGATTAGCTCTGTTAGTGACATGTCTTATCTGAAGCACCGTACTGAGGAGGAGCCCACCCGTAAGGGTGTTGTTGTGCCTTGCAGATACTTGGATGATGCCGATGAGATGCTCCAGAAGGCTCTCGAAGTAATACCGACCAAGAAGCGTCCTGTGCTTATCCCTGATCTCACTGGCAAGCGCAAATCATTTGCTCAGAAGCCCATCGACGAGGAGCTAACCAACGTTATTAACGTTGCTGTTCGGGATGTCGAGTCTTACGACGACCAAGACATTCTGAGCCGTATTCATTCTATAATCGACTCCATGAAGTATGAGTTGATGAATCATCGGGTCCGTCGCGTAACGTTTGTCTGCGGCCACAATGATGGTTCCTACCCAGGCTATTACACCTTCCGTGCTCCCGAGTTCATTGAAGATGACAGCATTCGTCACGTCGAGCCTGCCTTGGCTTTCCAATTAGAACTCGCGCGCCTCGCCAAATTCAAGATCTCCCCTGTGTTCACCGAGAACAAGAACATCCACGTTTACGAAGGTATCGGCAAGGGTGTTGATACTGACAAGAGATACTTCACTCGTGCTGTTATTCGCCCTGGTCGCCTCCGGGATGACATCCCCACCACGGAATACCTCGTCTCCGAAACTGACCGAGTGATCAACGATATTTTCGATGCCCTAGAGATTATCGGAAACAACAACTCGGACTTGAACCACATGTTCTTAAACTTCACCCCGGTCTTCCAGCTGAAACCCGAGGAAGTTGAACAGTCCCTACAGGGCTTCCTCGACAGGTTTGGTCCCCGCGGCTGGCGTCTTCGTGTCTCCCAAGTCGAGATCCGTATCATCTGCACAGATGCGACTACGGGTATGCCTTATCCCCTCCGTGTCATTATCACGAACACCTCTGGATATGTCATCCAGGTTGAAATCTACGCCGAGAGGAAGTCTGAAAAGGGTGAAATGGTCTTCTACTCTATTGGCGGTACTACAAAGATTGGATCAATGCACCTACTACCCGTCTGTTCACCATACCCCACAAAGAACTGGCTACAGCCCAAGCGTTACAAGGCGCACTTGATGGGTACCCAATACGTGTACGATTTCCCCGAGCTTTTCCGACAGGCTGTTGAAAACACCTGGACGAAGACTGCCAAGACTTTACCGTCTTTGGCCGTCAAGAAGCCTGCCCAGGGTGAATGTATCGACTACAGCGAACTTGTTCTCGATGACCGCGATAGGTTGATCGAGGTTTCTCGTGAACCTGGTACCAACACATGTGGTATGGTTGGTTGGGTCATTAATGCTCGCACCCCCGAGTACCCCGGTGGACGAAAGTTCGTCGTCGTCGCCAACGATATCACCTACAAGATCGGATCATTTGGTCCCAAGGAGGACCATTTCTTCAACAAGTGTACGGAACTGGCTCGTAGCATGGGTATTCCTCGCATTTACCTTTCAGCTAACTCTGGTGCCCGACTTGGCGTTGCCGACGAGTTGATCCCGCATTTCAAGGTTGCTTGGAATGACCCGGAGAGGCAAGAGGCGGGCTTCAAGTACCTCTACCTAGATGCCGATGCTAAGAAGCGATTCGAAGATGGTTCTAGGCGCGACGTTATCACCGAGGAAATTACTGAAAATGGCGAGACCCGCTACAAAATTACCGCTGTTGTTGGTGCCGAGGATGGCCTTGGTGTTGAATGCTTACGGGGTTCTGGTCTCATCGCCGGTGCTACCAGCCGTGCTTACAATGACATCTTCACTGTTACGCTCATTACTTGTAGATCCATTGGTAAGTTCCGCTTTTTCATGTACACATTTCACTCTGCTAATGACTATACTAGGTATTGGTGCCTACCTGGTCCGCCTCGGCCAGCGTGCCGTCCAGATTGAAGGCCAGCCTATTATTCTCACTGGTGCGCAGGCTCTTAACAACCTGCTTGGTCGCGAAGTATACACTTCGAACCTGCAACTTGGTGGTACCCAGATCATGTACCGCAACGGTGTATCGCACTTGACGGCCAATGACGATTTCGCCGGTGTCTCCAAGATCGTTGATTGGTTATCCTTTGTTCCCGCCCAGCGTAACCTCCCTGTGCCTATCCTGCCTAGCCTTGACCCCTGGGACCGAGAGGTCATCTACACCCCGCCAAACAAGCAACCTCACGATGTCAGGTGGCTCATCGCCGGTAAGCAAGATGAGGATAGCTTCCAACCTGGTCTCTTCGACAAGGACTCTTTCGTTGAGACGCTTGGCGGTTGGGCCCGTACTGTAGTCGTGGGTCGTGCTCGCCTCGGCGGTATTCCAATGGGTGTTATTGCCGTCGAGACTCGAACTGTGGAGAACATCACGCCGGCCGACCCTGCGAACCCCGACTCCGTCGAGCAGGTCACCAACGAAGCCGGCGGTGTTTGGTACCCCAACTCCGCGTTTAAGACCGCCCAGGCCATCAATGACTTCAACTATGGTGAGCAGCTTCCTTTGATGATCCTTGCCAACTGGCGTGGATTCTCCGGTGGCCAGCGCGACATGTACAACGAGGTCCTGAAGTACGGTTCGTACATCGTCGACGCTCTTGTCAAATTTGAACAGCCCATCTTCGTATACATTCCTCCCTACGGTGAACTCCGAGGTGGCTCCTGGGTCGTGGTTGACCCGACAATCAACCCCGTCGCTATGGAAATGTACGCCGACATCGAGTCCCGTGCCGGTGTCTTAGAACCGGAGGGTATCATTGGTATCAAGTACAAGAAAGAGAAGCAACTTGAGACCATGGCTCGCTTAGACCCTACTTATGCTGCGCTGAAGAAGCAGGCCGCCGATACCAACCTCTCTAAGGAAGAGCATTCCGTGGTCAAGGAGAGGATGGCGGAGCGGGAGAGGCAACTATTGCCTATCTATGCCCAGATTAGCATTCAGTTCGCTGACCTGCACGACCGGGCCGGCCGCATGAAGGCCAAGGGCACTATTCGCGAAGTCCTTGAGTGGAAGAACACCCGTCGGTTCTTCTACTGGCGTGTGCGCAGACGTCTCAACGAGGAACACATCCTTAAGCGTATGGCCGCTGCCTCGGCTTCTGGCAAGCAGTCCGACTCGAACAGCGCCGCGGCTACGGAGAGTCGCCAACATCACCTCCGCCTACTCGCCGCTTGGTCCGGTATCACCAACTTCGACCGCAGCGACAAAGATGTTGTAACTTGGTATGAGGAGAACGCGCAGACAATCGAGACTAAGATTCAACAGATCAAGTCTGACGCGGTCTCGCGAGAGATGGCCGATCTTGTCAGGGCGAATAAGTCTTCCGCTCTCAAGGGCCTCAAAGACATGCTCCACATGATGCCTGTTGCGGAACGAGAGGAGATCATGAAATACCTAAAGTAAATGAATGAGGTATATGAACTTGTATGATGGTGGCTAGGGGGTTCAGGGTTTCTATAAGGTTTGATGATATTATAGACGATGAACAAGGAGAGGGATCATAGTGTATTGGTAGACCGAGGTATCTAGTCGGTTCGGTTATGGTTGGCGACTGTTTTTCATGCTTTTCACGGCGTGGGTATTTACTTGGTATCCGTTCGTGTTGATGTATAACCCCTATAAATTTCAATGTTTGTCTATTGAGAATACATATGCGATCTTCCCTTGGTTCGACTGTGTTCAATCCAGCGCCGTAGATGTAACACCACTCAATTCGCGCTCCAACCTTGATGACGCCACCACATTAAGATGTTTAGACAAGGCTAAAAATTATGGTAGGACGTTCGTGAGAAATGAGGTTGTGAGCATAGTTGTATTAAGTCAGGTTTTCTAAGAATTGCAGAGCTACGAAGAATTGCTATGTACTGAGCTAGCTAGGCTAGCGGCTCCTTGTTCTTGCCTTGATCTTGTCCTAACATCTGCCCCGTACGAACAAAAGAAGATAACGTCCTCGTCATCATGGTCGTTTCTTCGTTGGCGTTATGCGGTCTAGGACATCCTCCTCTCCTTGCTGTGCTAGAGCTTGTTTCACTTGTCTCATGTCAACCGTTCGCAGTGACTGCTGTCCGACAATTCCTTTTGTCGCTCCATGGTCTGTGATGACCTGAATTCTCTTCTTGCTAAATTACATTGCTCATCTCCACTTTACTTTTACGAACCACAATAGGTAATCTCATTAGGCAAAGATATTTACCGTTGGCCGCTCCTTCGCTCAGCTAAGAAGGCCCCCTGAAATGCCACCAGTTAAGCCGAGCCGATTGTAGTCGGTTAGAGAGTACCTCTTCTTTGAGATTGAGAATTCCAGCGGCGTACGGCAATCTCTGATGTGGTAGCTGAGGTGTAACCTCTGCCTTTCCAGCCCACATAATGGGTCCATCGGGATGCACTCGACCTCCAGTTACCTCCTCTTAGGGGAAGGATTGGACGTAGAAGGTCGACACTAACACCCCATTACTGTTCCTCGCACAGTCCTTCCCGAAATTATGTTAAGCTGTGGTAAGCTTGTATTTATGCCACGCCCAAACCCCGAGGCAGCTACACCGTAGCTGCACCACATTCCCATTCGAGGGGATTTCCTTAATAATTCCTTACGACCTAGAGGTGAAATTCTTCACTTGCTGCTTCGTATTTATCGATGCATTCGGTCTCCGGCGTGAGGGACCCGGTTTCCTCCATGGTCCTCTCGAGTGCCCTCTCAGTCTCCTCGAGTGTATTCTCTTTATCATCTTCTCAAATGTCTTCTCAATTAAAAATTTATGCCTAGGCTGAAGCAATGACGGAAGCGGCCAAGCTTCCAGGAACCGCTTATACCTTCCGACGAAGGTGAACACTAGATTGCGCAGCTTCCGCCTGACCAAGCCACGGCATTGCATCCTTCCTCGATATTCGGGAGGATGAGCACGAGCGTCTCGGGTCATAGTGTCGTCGACCACTCGTTGGATGTGATTCGATCCGCAAGCAAGTATACCTGGTCCGATCCTCTCAGAGCGACACCATGCAATGGAATGTTAAATCCTCAGGGGAACCCACGCATGCCGTTGGATGAGTGCCAAGCGCTGAGGTATCCAGCCTGGGTGGCCAGGAACTGCGTCGTGGAGGCGTTTAGCGTCTCCATAAGGTCGAAAAATTATATCTTTTATTAGGAATATCACTATCTCCCGCACCTGGTTGGAGAAATAGATTGCGTTAATGTTGTAAGAAGCCTGTTCCATTGGTGTGCCAGGGGGTTGTGGCGTACCTAGCCATTGGAATGGCGTCGCGGTTCAGAAATGGAAGCTGAAAGGGAAACGTGAAGTTACGTCAGTGTATGAGCGTGGGTGTTCGTTGAATGAGCTTTTCACCAGTTTCCCGCTATATGGCTTGATAGGTAGGCCTGCCAGTGTATAAGAAGGAATCTCCCTGTACAGGAGAAAACTGATAGAAATCGCCACATAGGATGACGATTGGTAATCGGCCAAAGTCCATAACTGGCTGCTCCCGAGCTGCTTGTAGTTGCTCATTGATTTTGTACAGCAACCTCCCTGACATCATACTACACTCGTCGATGACAAGTATGCCGGTGTCTTTCCACATGTGTATCTTGTCGGTAGAGACTTTCCTCTTGCTATCTCCGGAAAGGTATTAGATGATTTAGACTTGGTATAATGATCGTCGTTAATGTGTTCTGAACCTTTAACTCGCCCAGGACACCCGACGTAATAAAAACAGAGAGAAAGAGAGATAATATATGATAAAGGGGAAATTAGGCTCGTCGAAGCCCGATCACATCAAGCTCCTCAGAATGCGACGAGTCGCCGGGACAGACGTTGGCGCGTTGTTTGATTTATTGACAAGCGTCCAGGCAAAAGCCTGATCGTCAGTTGCTCCCGCTCCTATCACTAGGGGGGTGAATTGCATAGCGGCGCAATCCCGACAACGTCAGCGAGAGCATGGTAGGTGGCCGAGTTGGCGGACCAATACCTCAACAAGGCATGACGAACCTATATAAATATGTTATTAGATATTCCGGGTATTGCTATAATGGATTCGATTGCACTTACAGTGAAAGATATCGAAGGGGTTAATCCGTGAAGGGATAGCAGACTTGTTGAAGGTAATAGTTAATAAGGAGAGTCTAGTAAGGACATTGGACAATGGTCCAAGAGTTGATGGATTATATAGTTAATGATCCTTCAGATTATTGGTCCACATGTATGAGGAGGACTGCAGCGATTAGAATACGGCATGTTTCGAACCATACGGCTGTAGTCTTTCTCCTGTTCTTCACTGCCATAACGCGGGAGTCGTGCGGAACCAAGATTCGAATAAGTGGAATGTCAGCCTTGTTTCCATCAGCCATATAGGGGCACCTTCGTCGTCGGGATTAGTGTCCGGTGTGTGGCTTTATCATCCACCGCACGAGGAGCCATACTTTTTGTTGTTATCGTAGGATCATGATACATAAGAAGTTTCCCAGCTGCTTCTTTAATATGACAACGTTATCGTATCGGTCTCGGACCGGAGGAACATCGAGAATCTCCCAAGCTACGGCGCGGCATAATCGTGATCCAGTTATCTTTGATTCATTGGTACCTTCGGACAGCATTCTCCTGGAGATGTGAGGAAAAGTATAGATAAACGCGGGGCAAGGTCTTTCCCCTCCCCATTTATGCGTCTTCGATGGTTGAGGGCTAACGGTAACACAACCATCAGGTGGAGTTGAGAATAATGATTAGGTATAGTAGGATAGTGGCTTTCGCACAGGGCTGTCCCATGGTGTAAGGAAGCTCACGCAAAGCGGGACTGAGTTTGCGTCCCCAATTCAGCCCGGCAATGTCGCTACCGCATTAGGTTCCATGGTGGGATCTAGAAGCGTTCATTTATGTTAGTGCCGCCTTGATATATTTCAATAATTCTTTATAAGGGAGTAGTTCTGAAGTGGTGAAGAACTTTTGTTAGAAGGTAGGATAGGGAGGTGGATGAAGCTTGTTGAGAATATGTTCCAAAAAGCATGGTATGTATAGCTTGGTGTAGAGTAACGATAATCATGAAGAAGAAATCGTGTTTTCGGCTATGGTAGCATTGTGACGGTATCAGATGATGTTATGGTAGGATACAAAGAATCAGAGTCGTGATGGAACAATGAAGGTAGGAAGCGTGATAGAATAGGAGTTGGACACCTACGCAAGTGAAGGTTGGAGTGTATAGATTGCCATATGGATGTTATATCACAAGTAGAGCATATGAAGGAATTGGACGAGCCTCGCTAGAGCCGTAGACGAGCCATAGTGACAAGGCAAGAAGATATCATGAATTTGAGTGAAAAATTATTGTAATGAATGTGAATATGGCGAATGTAGGAAACTTCATAGAGGATTATTGTTATATATAAGGCGGGAAGAACCCAAACCGCCCAATGTTGATGATGAGAAGAACGGTAAACTGAGGGGAGATCCTATGATTATATAGTATTTCGTACCCCTGAGCACCCATATACTCGTAGGGCCGTGCGGCAAGAAGAAAGTTAACAGAAAATTCTAAAACAGTCACGAGTAGATGTTAAGAAGATCTATGACGCGCAGTTGACTATATTATCGGATTCTTCGCAATGCTATAGCAAGCAAGTGCCGTGCGAACACTGTATCAAACTCACCTAGTAGGTACCATCCGGTCTGTATAGTCTGGACACGATACTACCCACTGGCCTATAAGATGGAGTCTTTGCAGTACACACAAATACATACATACGTAATGGAGAGCTTAATCTGCGCAATTTTCACGGATAGAAATGGAAAATTTTTCATTGATGGTCATGTCCTAACCTTAGCTGCTAATCCTCTTCAATGTTCACTGAAGTTGACGTAAGCTGAAGAGCAAAAGGGAAGCAGCAAACAAGTACTCTGCCCGATTATGGGACGCCGCTATGACCCTCCTGCCATAAGTAACCGTCATATCTTGTCATTGGTCCCGGACCAATGCCGATAGCTCCTGGGTCCTCGGATGAGTAGAAGTTTGCATGCTGTCAGCCCCACCTAAGGCGTGGAGGGATGACGGGGCTGTATGAGAGGAGACCGATAAGGAGGAGGCGCAGAGGAGGTTCGGGTAATCTCTTCAGGATCGGAGACGTCCCAGGGTACCCGTAGCCATCCGTCGTGTCTGAGGACCATCTCCACCGTCATATACTGCGTCCAGTGCATAAAGCGGCTGACGACTATTGGCACACCGTGATAATAGATTCCTGTATTGCGTATAACGATACGCGGCATGGGCTTATTTCCTATCTTAGGCCGGCAGTCAATGATGCCGAAGTCATGAAAATTCTCAAGGGTGTAGTTGACGGTCATGCCGAGGGAATGGTAGGAATTGTTGCGAGCATCGTAGAAGAATGCGTGGTACCTAGGAACGAGCGGCATTGTGCCTATAGTGTGTGATTAGACTTGTCACAACGATGAAATATCAGGGGTGAGGTACCTACTGAAGTTGATGAGGAGCTATCGTGGGATAGTAGGTGCTGTGAAGGCGAAATAGGTTTCGCGGGTGATGGGTTGAGATGGTATGAGGTGGATTGTATGTAGGCCAAGTTATGACTGCTGTCTCGGATTCAATGAATGGAAGGTATGGAATGATACTAGAAAATACTAGACGGAAAACGAGACATGGAGGTCGTGAGTCGACGTGGTCCGCGATAGAGAACGAGACACGAAAGCAGCTCTGAGGACACCTAACTAGATACCTGCTAAAATATAAAGTGACTATCTATTTCTAGCACTTATTAATGTTGCGTTATCAGTTGACGGTAGCTAAAATGGATACTAAACGTGACATATAATAGGTAATAGGTAGTTATTGGTTCCAGCTAACATTGAAGCATCGAGAATTTCTAGCATCCATATGGTATATTTGGTGCTATCGTATTAATCTGTACTTGTTTTTATTAGGTACCTAGCTTTGTAGTAATTCACACTTTTCTCACCACACCTGGATTATACCCATCTCCTCTTTCTTTTTCCATTTAGTAGATTCCAGGCACGATCTTGTACTTCACGATACTCTTGTACTTCTCCCAGTCTGCCCCGTATTTCTTGGCACACTTCTCATCGTCTCGACTGTCACGGTGGACGAGGAGGACAGCAAAGTAGACGACATAAAAGTAAGTGAAGATCATACCCCAGTATTTGGCTGGGCCCTGTACGACTTCTCTTCCGTCAAGCATTTTGATCGCTCCTTCGACATTGCTACCTGCGGATAGGATTGTATAGCCAGCAAAGCCAGTTGGTAGTGCGTATGGCCAAGACTGCAGCCAATCTCCAAAGTAGTTGATATGTCTTGCAATACCCCACCAGCCGGATGTCATCAGCCTTGAGCCTGTCTTAGTTTCGATGTATGTGATATGAGCGACGCGCGGATCGTTAGGGTTGGTTCGGAAAGTGTTCTTCTGGGCATTGCTGAGACGGAAGATAGAGAAGCCAGTTAAAAGGATAACAGACATTGCCGTAGTACCTAGCCAACCTAGGATCACTGGATGGGTAGACAAGTATCGCGTCTGCTGGCTGTAGACAAAAGGAACCCAGACGAGATCTCCAAAGGACAACATGAAGCCAAAGCCGTCATTGATGATGTCGATTGTCGTGAGAATTGCAGGCTCCATGAATATACCATCAATAACATAGACTGCCTGCACAATCGTGATAAAGACGATGCTGTCGCTGACGAAACCGAAGGTGCGGTATTGCTTGGCGACAAAAGCACAGTTGAGGAGAATCCAGCCGAGCATGCCTGGACGCAGCTCCATCCATTCCTTGATGTCGATCTCGCCGATAATAGGGAGCGTGATACGAGGGTTGAGCTCTCGTCCCATGTAGAAATCGTAGATGAGATTGCCAGAGCATCCCCCTGCAGCCAGCAGTCGGTGCTCAGGGTTGCCTGGTTTCACCGAGAAGCTACGGACATAGACAAATGTTGCCAGGGCATAGGCGATTAGGATGTTGGCGGTGAGAATTTGTAAGTAGTTGTCGGTAATGAAGGTCCAAAGGGGAAACTCGGCACCTTGCGAAATGGTGCCGGCGAGGCAAATAACGAGGGTGAATATGGCCGAGCTAAAAGCTAGAGTAAATCATGTCAGCTAAGACGCCGTCTCTGAAGACACTCCAAGTATCCTAACCATTGAATCTGTACTTTAGTCTTCCTCCACTGGATAGCTGAGTACCCTCAACCTCGGTAGCAGGAAGAAGGCGATATAAAAGGGCACTGAAGAGGTAGTATGCTAAGGTCCAACCTGTAGCCTCCCAACTTGCCAGACCCCAGAAACCATCTTCTGGCCATCCCACTTCGGTTTTCAGTTGCTCAATGGATAGAGTTTTGGGGCTCAGTAGCGACGGCGCAGGACATCCGGTAACGTCGTTACAGGCGAAGGTGAAGACGTAGCAGAGTATGGGGAGACCGAATGTGATCGCAGCGGTGCCGAATCTAAACAATATGCACTATTAGTTTCAACAATGTCTCAACAACTGGTGATCTTTGACTATATATTCTCCACTCGGTATTTCATCAAGCACAATGTAAATAAACACATATAACACTTACGGGCCTCCGAATTCATAGCCGTGCGGACCATGCGCAGGCTCTGCCTTTTTCGACTTGGGCGCCATGTTGCTGTCTGAGGTTTTATAGACGGAGAATGGAGATGTTGCGCTGAAACTTTGGGCGGGAAGAAGAGCGCTGGAGCTTTTGTTGCTTCGTCCGTCTACTCTTTTCTGGGGCAACCCCCTTTTATTATAAATTGATCTTGGCCAAGTTGATAGTTCTATAGCCTCCCCCAATTCGTCCTCGAGATTTTAATTGGTATATTCGACGGAGGCACAGCTTCGACGAAGTAGGCCGGGTTGTAGGATGCCGTGTGGTACGATGGTAGAAAAAAACCAAAGCTTCATGTCGGTTAGCTTAGCTTCCGAGTGACACCATATGGGACAGTATTGTTGACTTCATAATTAGGTACTACGTACTACCTACATAATCTGGAGCTTCTGTGGGGATATGCAACTACCTAGAATGGTACCGAGGCACCAAACCGATCACAAACCGATCACGGAGGAACAGTAAGACCGATAACTATTTGATGAAGTGTTCAGGGGTAATGGCCAATCAGAACTTGTAGAATACTCGAATGTCAATCGCCGACAATCATTGACACTAACGGCAGCTAGGTAAGAACCAAAAACGTGCTGGGTACGTACCCAACTCTGGGATCTTCCATTTCAGGGGTCTGTTAGGTTCTGTCCGTTCTGTCCGTCGCGGCCGATGATGATGGGGCAGTGCACTAAGAATAACTCTGCGGTAGAACGGCAACGCAACTTGGCTTGAGCATCCTGAACAACTTTATGACGATGCCAATGAACGAATCGAATCAACGTCTTCACAAACATTAACATTGTTGCACTGACCGCCTCGAAAACCCCACGATTCCATGATTCAGATCCTTTCGATATTTGCCTAGCGCAACGAGCGCATCCAAGAGAATAGTCCCAAGTCAAAAAAAGGACCAAAAAGGAAGAAAAAAGACGTCGTACGCTATTTACGAGATATATCCTGATACAACGCCCCCCTCGAAATCATGCGCTTCTCTTCCGAATCACGGCCAGCCAGCTTGGCAATATGCTACCTCCTCTCCCTCGCCTCCATTTCCATAGCAGCCGACGCCGACAAGACGACCACTTCCACGGCATGTACGGCAACCTCGTCGTCGGGCGCCTTCTTCGACCTGCGGCCCGACATGGCCCTCAAGCCCAACGCGGACGGGTCGAAGCCGGCGCACAGCAACGGGGCGCCGACGGCGGACTACAAGGCCAAGGGCTACGACTACGGGTCCAACTTCACGCTGAACATCTGCGGCGCCGTGGTGGAGCCCGTCGACGGCGTGATCGGCGTCGACTCGAACAAGTGGCAGAACGTCAGCGCCTACTACACCTCTAAGGGAGACGTGTACAGCCTGGGTCTGCAGTCGAGCGCGCTGGTGTCGCGGGGCAAGGAATTGGTGTTGCAGTATACCGGGGGATCGCCCTGCGGCAAGAGCAAGAAGAGGGAGGAAGAGGGGCAGGAGGTGGAGAAGGAGAAGGAGAAGGAGAAGAGGAGCTCGATCCACGACGGCGCCGCGTACAGGGACCCCGACTATGAACGCGAGTCCGATGCGCCGTCCGTTACGGGCGCCTTCTCCGCGAGGCCGGCCAAGGAGACGGACGAGCCGAAGCGCAGGAAGTCCGCCACCATATTCTTCAGCTGCGACAGGGACCCCGGCGCGGGCGCGGCCCAGGTCTCGTTCATCGCGACCGATCCCGACGAGTGCTCGTACGTGTTCAAGGTCAAGTCGCAGAACGCGTGCGCCGGCGTCGAGCCGCATAAGCCGGGGAGCGTGGGGCCCGGCTCGGTGTTCCTGATCATCTTCGCCATCGCCGTCTTGGTCTACCTGCTCGGCGGCATATTCTACCAGCGCACGGTGGCGAACGCGAGGGGTTGGAAGCAGTTGCCTAACTACTCGCTCTGGGCCAGCGTGTGGAGTCACATATGCGTAAGTTGTTGCTTCTTACCCAAAACACGGGATAGATATCTATGCAAGATGTACGTTACATTACGAAACGGAGGCTAACTACCAACTCGCAGGATTTCTTCGTCATCGTCACCTCCTCTTGTGCCCGGTTCCTTCCAAACCGGAGGGGTTATCACTATGTCTCGGGCTCGCCGTCCGGGAGGGGGAGGAGTAGCCGCGAAGACGAGAATAGGCTGATTGACCAGTACGATGAGGAGTGGGAAGACTGATTTCGATTTGCTCATTCTAAATTGTTGTTTTGTTACCTTTTTCTTACGTGTTATTATCATATTAGACTTTTTTTTTTGGCAAGCTCGTAGCAGTTCGTTCTACGCATTGTTAGAACTAGACACTCAGTTATCGATCAAACTCAAACGCTGCATACATATAACAGAGTGTTGGCCGGCGTTTTTTGTTCGTTGATGGGATGGGAGCGGAGCATGGATGGGAAACGAAGGAGAGATCGGGACTTTAGTATGAGCTGCTTTTGCTAGGTACATGTACTATTTGGGGATTTTGAGGCTTGACGCAGTAGGACGGCGCATGTGTATATTCTGGGAAGCTGGGAAATCTTAGCATGTTTCATGGTCTCGAAACTTGTGCTCCCCTCAGTGTCCAATTGGCGAATCAGTAAGCCTATTCTGTTAGTCGCTTCTGTATCACATATATGCCATGCCATATGTAAATGGCCAACGTGCAACAGTTAAAAAAGAATACAGTGACGGACCGCTTTGCAGCTTGAGTTCCGACTGCTTATTCCAACAGCTTATTCCAACATTGCAGCATTGAGATTGCATAATCTACCAAGCCGCTATATTCGCGATTCGGGTAGCGAGAATCCAGATGAATGATGGTGGCGTAAGCCCAATGCGGCTATGGTGAGGTTCATGTGGTAGGATTTCGACATACTTAACCTGTTTCGTCGAGTTGGCAAAGATGGTCTGGCCCATTTTCTGTCAATACGAGACGTTGTGTGTTTTGAACCTCCTGCGAATCCTACCAGCGCGAGGAGATGGCTAACGGTGGGCTGCGGTGGGCTCATTCTAGGCCCATTGGCCCAGGCAAGCTGATTTGTTTTAGCCCTTCTTATTTCTCTCTTAAATGCCCGATGCGAGTGAGATGGGATGTCCGTCATGGATGTGATGGATCGTCGTCTGCATCCGCTGCTGCTTGCTTGAGCCTCACATTCAGCTCTTTTATTTTTATCCCTTCTCCTTTTCTTACGGTACAATTACGTTCATTTGGTGGCAGGACCTTCATTCGTTGTGTTTTATTATTCGCCTTCTTACTCTCTTTTTATTCGATTCGTGGGCACTTGTGTTAAATATGTACTTTAAGACCTTCTTTCTCTTGGCTGCAGCTCGTGTTGTTCTTGCGAAGGTTCAGTTTCTGGTATGTTGCAACCTACAACTCGTAAAACGAACGCGAATGCTAACTTAACCCCTGAAGGGAGTTGCTATAGCGGGTGGTGATTTTGGATGCCAGATAGATGTAAGTCATTAGAATAACAGGGTATTAAAGTACAGGGTTAACAACGACTGAAGGGTTCATGCCCGCTGAGCTCCACACAACTTCCAAACAACGACGATGGAGTTGCGCAAATGCAACACTTCGTCAAGGACGACGGCGTCAACATATTAAGACTACGTACGGTCGTCACAACATATACACACCTCCACCTTAGCATGTACTAACAAGCCCGCACAGCAATATCATGGCAATTCCTCGCCAACAATCAATTGGGAGGAAACCTTGACAGCACGAACTTAGCGAAATACGATCAATTGGTGCAAGCCTGTCTCGCCACCGGGGCCCATTGCATGTTAGATATCCATAACTTCGCACACTGGAATGGGGGGATTATCGGACAGGGAGGGCCGACAGACGACCAGTTCGTAAGCCTGTGGTCGCAGCTCGCCACGAAATACGCCGGCAGCCAGAACATCGTCTTCGAGCTTATGAACGAGCCACACGATCTTGATATCGACACTTGGGTGAACACATGTCAGAAGGCGGTTACAGCGATTAGGCAGGCGGGCGCGACATCTCAGATGATCTTACTACCGGGCACGAATTTCGATTCTGCGGCGACACTGACGACGGTCGGAGGTGCATCGCAACTTTTGGGGATTAAGAATCCGGATGGGACAACGGATAATTTGATCTTGGATATTCATAAATATCTCGACATTGATAATTCGGGGACGCATTCGCTGTGCACGACGGATAACACGGATGCTTTTACGTCCGTCGCCCAGTTCCTGAGGACGAATGGGCGGAAGGGGTTTGTTAGTGAGACGGGGGCATCGGAGGATGCTTCTGTAAGTTTTTCCCTATCATGGACCCTCCCACGATGTCTAATTAAATTTTTATGTAGTGCTTGACTGCATTCTGTGCCCAAAATACTCTGATCAACCAAAACTCGGACGTCTTCATAGGCTTGGTTGGGTGGGCCGCCGGCAGCTTCGATACTTCGTACCTCCTAAGTCTAACACCTTCGAAGCAGAATGGAGGCTTGGTCGATAACCAGCAAATGAGTCAATGTCTGCTCGGAACATGGGTCGACTCTAACACCACAGTCCCAAGGGCCTCAGAACCATCATCTTCTCTTCCTTCAGCTATCACTTCTAGCGCCCCTCTTACAGCATCTGCATCGGCATCCTCAACTCAATCTGGGAAATCTAGTGAGCCGGTTATCACAGTCGAGATTAACTCTGCCACGAGTGTACTCCGGACAGCATCGATACCCTCTAGCGTGACGACTTTGATAATCGCCTCCGGATCCCCGAGCGATGAGTCGTACAGCCTAGCCTGGGCAAAAACGACGACTACCTCGCAGACTCCGACCCAGACGCATGCGGCGGCAAGTGTGACAGCAACGGGGAGTGCTTCTTCGACAAAACCCATCACTTTCATCTGGAGCCTTATGATGTTGCCATTTCTTATATGAGTTTGATATGAAATATGTCATCTCTACAACGAGTTAGCTGATATACGATTTTGTACGGAGGAATGAACTGTTCGCTTTGCTCTTTACTCCAAAGGTTGTCTATGTTCGGATTAGACGATTGGATGTTGTATTTTTAGGCCTCAAATTAGTATGTAAATATTGTATAAGTGTATATAACAACCTCCATTGATACCCATGGGATCTAAGTCTATCTTCGGCTGCTGAAGATGCTTTTTCGTGACTGATGATTCCAACGTTCTCACCGAGATAATTGTATTTTAGATGGATACTTCCTCGGGCCCTAGGAGTCGATCAGACCATTGCGTTGCTCACCGACTATGTCGTGACTTATGAGAGACAGGAGTGGGTATTGGCAGAAGTATGTATGGAAAAGGGGTACGATAGATACGATAGACTTCGATATGAGAAAGGGAGTGGACGTTCAAATAGCAACGACGATCTTTGAAGTTTACAGCTCTTGCCTCGCACTGTATCGGTAAACCAAAAGGGCGGGTACTACCCCAGCCTTGTCCACTAATAATAGCTGACAGTCCAGTTAATGTGGGTCTGTATACACTGTACCTCGTACCTGTTTGCACTGCGGGTGCCCCCCTCACCCACGTCATTGCACTAAGGTTCCGTCGTTCCCAGTGGCCCGCGATTGCAGGCGCGTTCCTCAACCAGACATTCATAGTTCAGGCGATCAAACTCCAAATCGTCAGCCTCATTCCAGCCTTACCTTCTATTTCTCTTATCTCGGCTATTTTCTAATGATCATCAATGCCTCTACTTGATCAACCACAAGCCGCCATACATACTACGCAGTCAATCAATGAGCCGAACATGCCCGAATTAGCGGAATCAATCAAGGCTATTCAAGAAGGCGCCAAGGAAGACCGCTTCACCTATCTCACCATCCTCCAATACCATGTCACCTCCCCAGAAATCCTACCCACATTAAACGACGTCCTTCAAGACGCCGACCTCACCCAAGAAATTGGCTGGGATCTCGTACAGATGCTTCTGAACATCCAAGGTTCGGAAATATGTCTCGAGACGGTGGCCCGCTTAGGGAACCCCCGCGAGGTCGTCATAAAGGTCATGGAAGCCTTAGAAGGGCTCGCCGTCGCTTGGCATGACGAAGTCATCGTTGATGAAAATGAGCCTGGGGTCATCCCCGACTCGAAAATACCAGGAAAATTCATTACTTTGCTTGGCATGCTAGCCATTCTTCACCAACGTATCAAAACAAAGTACCCTTCAAGATTTCTAGGGCCGTCGCTAGTGAAGGTGTTTGAAGCCTACCAGCCAACACCAGAGATGACTGCATCCATTATCAACCTTGTCTACTCGCTGTCCGGACGTAAGAGACCACCTCTTCCTTCCCGGAAATCAAGCATCAATGTCCTCAACCCTGATCATGATGGAGACTTATCTAAGAACGCACCTGATCCGGAGGCGGAGCAGGAGGACCCCAAAGAAGAAGCCATGCAAGAGAAGTTACTGCAGTCTTTTGTCACATGTATCCTACAGCGATACGCGAACGCGCATGATATGTTATGGTCACCGCGGTTGCTGGAAGTCTACAACCCAAAGAAGAATGTGCCGGGTAAGAAAACGACGATCGAAGCATTCAGGGAAAATGACGAGCTTCAGAAACGGGATGCGGTAATCGGACAACTGGTTGTGAGTTTCTAATTCGCCCCCAGGTTAAATATTTTATGGACATTGACATTATTAGGCCTTACTTCGAGATCTTGGCCTCAGCAAATGCCCTGCGGATTTTGTAAAAAGCATATTCGAAGGGCCAGTACATATAGACCCTCTGGTAGCCTTCAACGACTTTTCTAGCGTCGATGATATCCACTTATCACCGGGTGGGGCGGTGTGCCTCATTGCGTACTGGATCTTCTCCAAGGACGTCTTCGGCTCCGATAGCCCCCAACCTGTGATGCACATCTTTCCGGAACACGCCGCAATACTTGGGCGATTCCTTGGCCAAGAAATGCAATCGGAAATCCTTTCAAGTCCCGGAATTGCTGATGCGCTATTAGCCATAGGCCTTGGGCTCGAACATAGACAGCTAATAAAGGCAGGTAACGAGACAAATCTGATGGCATATCATCACAACCTCACACTCATATCCGTATTTCACCCGGATATAAAAGTCAGGAATGCCGCCACAACCTTCGCCGGCTCAATGCTCCACTCGGAACCAGATGACCACATCCGCCTAGAAATCCTCGAAGACCTATTAGAAAACTGCATGTTCGCCTCCCTCAAAGCATGTTGCATCACATGGCTGAAAGAAGAGCTCATCGCCGCCAAGCAAGGCAACCTCTCCAACCAGTTCTCGTCGCCGGACGTCATCGAGAGACTTCAATATTCCTTATTCCCCGACATGCTCTTTTTAAACGAGTCAAGTACGGAGGCTCTAGTGGATTTCTGGGCGCAGAACCAGCTCTTCATCTTGCAGGTCGCCAACTTCGCGTACTTCCTCTTCACGGGCCTGAAGGAACTCGTGCCGGACGGAATGGGCGCCGCCGTAGGCCAGCGCTTCGTCGAGCCCCTGATAGCGGCGGCTGAGAAACTGCTGAAGTCGGAGGACGGCGATGGCGAGGATAAGATGCAGCTGAGCATATTAGTAGATCGGCTGCGCAGCTTGGGGCTGCAATAGAGGGGTCTGGCGCTGGTCTCATTGTGAGCGTGCGTAGAGAAGTGTGGGTACTTTGATGTTTTGCGGGTTGGGTGCGAGGAGCGTATGTGAGGACAGCTAGGTTGATAGGTATGACCTGATGACGGAAGTAGACGTTACAATTGACTCGTTGAAAGTTATGCTCAGATATATGGAAGACGCTTATTCTTGCGCCATCGTCTATGTCGTACTGCCTATTATGAATCAATTCCCCGTCCACGAGGAGACTAGAAGTGCCTGGGATTTAATACAAGTGGCAGTGGTGGTCGGTATTGGCCAGGAGGCCGCTATAGGTACCCTAGAACCTCTCTAAGTTCATTGTAAGCATGACGACGCTTGATAGACCCAAATCTATGATCTATTGTCTATTTGAGTTGTGCTTTATCGTTTCCTGCACGTATGTGTACCTAGCTGGGTACGTAACAATCAGCCCCACAAATGTACCCCTTTTCCATAACCTTGCAATCTCACGACTTTGCGAGATGATTCTAACCCCTTAGATACCATCACTTCTACTATTAATAGACCAAGCAATATTGAAGTAGCGAAGAACTGCGCTGCTTCAATATGACCAAAGATATGCCATGATTCCCTAATCCTGACTCCAATTGTATGAAAAAGGGGGTTGGATAGCGTAAGCAGAGCCGAACCCCTAATTATAACCATAACCATAACAACCAATTCAAACTCCTCCCTCATCAAAACCATAATCCACGATACCAAACTCGATTTCTAGAAAAGTCTTAATGGCGAGCTGAATGTGCGGGACAAGCTTGGCAAATGCGTGCGGGAGACGTGACTCGACTTGCTGAAGATCGTCCATCGCAATTCGGCGCGTCACCAATACGTTCGGTGTAAATTCAGCGTCTCCGATTATAGCGTCGTCCGTGTCGTCCCAGGTTGCGTATCGATCGAGCAGTTTGAGGGTATTGTCCGTCGGGTCCTGGTCGACCCGATAAGTCCAGTCGCGGAACATTTCGTTCGTGGGGTGGTCGAGATAGGGCATGGTCGGACGTTGTCTTCCGGCCGCTATCTCTCGGAAAACTGTATACCACTTAGATGTCTGGCGATACATGGCTTTCTCCGACTCCATTAACTTAATGAGAGGGGAGTCTTCGAAAACATATTGCGGTCGGCCGTAGATGAATAAATACCGTTCTAAGTGAACCGTTTGATAGCCTTCCAATCCAATGCTGTACGTCCCGCGCATCTCATGGAGACCAAGCTTCGACCGAATACTTTGATACCCTCCTGGTTTCAGTGTAGGTCTTCGCGACTGGGTCATCCTCTTGAAGAACATCGTCACTGGGGTTTTGGCAGGGCTCGGCATTTCTGGGTATATTATCGGCTTGTCGTCTAGGCTAAGAGCTGCTAATCTCATAGCCAACGCTGTAATTTCATCCACGCCCTTCTGATATGGAGACATCTGGTGATATCTATCGTGGTAGAGATCGCGATAGGTTTCGGTAAGTCGCGAGTGAATTGAGTAGATCGAGTATAATCCAGAGACTGATGTCCAACAGGTAGTCGAATAGGAAGGTATTTCGAAAATTTAGTATTCAAATATGTAAATATTTGAGCCTGGAAAACCAGAAAATGAATGGAACGAGCTGTAGGAAATTCCAGGTCAACTGCTGCTGAGAGTATCAGCAACATTATGTTTTGGGAAAGGCTTTCTCCGACGCCCTTTCTCTGTTAACATTCTCACTAAGACGACATGGCTGGGTATAGCAACTTCCAGGATAGGTGAAAGGAGACAAGACTTATGGTGGCTGAACTTTATATTTCCATCGCATGTTAAACTGTGCCGTGAATATATGTCTGCCTTTAGTAGTTATACGTTTACAAAAATGCGGTATTTCTTACTGCAATGATATTATTTACCTGTATATATTAGTAACTTAACCAAGTAGATGATACTCACGAAACTTGCCAATCTGTCTATAGTTATAAGAGAATCCCTTAAACCCATTTTATGGCGGATGTTATGGCTATCATTCAGGGCGAGACATTTGTTTAACATATTAGATTGAATGTGGATAGAATGGCGTATTTAGACTTTGGCGATAACGCCTCGAAGAGATACCTTAGACGATGGAACACTTGGACCGCGCATATATATCAGATTCATTACCTACACCGGTGCAAAGGTGGCTGTGTTATACATTTTGAATTGTCAATTCGTACAAGCCTCGCATAGTTAAGGAAGCTATCAATAGTGGGAAGAAAAGAACAAATTATAGCATTGGCCCATCCTCCTTGGGGAACTTGCGGAAAATGTCAGCGACCTTGTCGATGGGGGCAGACAATAGCGCCACAGCAGTCTCGAAGGGTGGAACGTTGGGCGCCATCGGGTGACTTCGAGTGGGCACAAAAAGTTTAGTACGCTCAAATGATCTGCTTAGTTTCAGTAACGAATCTTCATCGAGCTTGGATTCGAGCTGAGGTAAGTCGTGCTCCTCTTCGTCTTTGACGTGCTGCTGCAAGCTAGCGAGCAAGCTGCGGAATGTAGGCCCAAATTCAGGATCATTCGCCTCCAGACCCTGGAACCTGTATAGTTGTTCCTTGATCTAAACCGGTATATTAGCATTACACATGCTTCTTATCCTTCCAGCTTCGCTTCAAATTATTGTAGGGAGAGGCCAACGTACCGTCTGGTGTTGCTCACGATCTTTGGATGCCATTTCTCTACCATCATTCAGGTGCTTTTCCATTGCCGGGTACACAACGATCTCCTCGCCTATTGAGTGGCGGGCTAGTTCCCAGACAAAGATGTTCCGATACCTGATTCGCTCATCGGCACTCTTGTGGTTCATGATGTGAGGTTCGCAAGCCTCGAGTTCCCGATGATCATGTTTTATTGCACTCAGGAGAGGGCCTCGCGCCACGGCGGTTGACGAAAACGGGCAAGAAGATAGCAATAAATTGGGTCGCCCTCGTGAGATAGAGCGGAGGCTTGAAAGGGGTATTTTAGGGTATCGAAGCATCCTGATTTTGCGTGTACGTACTTCGAGTTGAGAATGTAGAGTTTATCTCAGTGTACCTAGCGAGCTTAAGAAAACTGACTCCAGGTAAGATGTGTTTGGTGATGCCTGGTGATGTTTATTGTTGATTTGCTGGATGATTAATTGTCGTTATATCGTTTGTGTGTCGCCATGAAACGTCATCCGCGGCAATCCATTGATGATGTAAAGACGTGTGCACAACAACGTCATCAAACATCAGTGACTTTGTCTGGGCAACTTTAACAATAATCGTCAGGAACTCGCCGTATCTCATGTGGGAAGCTACAACTGGGATATTTGGGACAATGCACTTACCTACCTGGTACTTCCTTCAATTCCTCGCCTATCTCCGTGCAATTGCACCCCTTAAGTATCGGACTCCACTGGGTATGCACAGGATTTATCATCCTAACCTATTTATTTAATAATCCTGCTACGACTTCGGCCCATTGATTAACGGTTCGGGCAGTCAATTGTTATGCGCGACGGACTCCTCACGTAGTAGATGTAGGAATTGTCGTCCTGATTGCATGTGGATGATATTCGCCGAGGTCGTTTATTACCTAAGCAATGCGGGAGATTTCTCCTTTCTACTATTTGATAATGATTTGATTATCATCACAAATTTTGGTTTGCGTATATTGTATAGTTCTATCCGTTAATCAGCAACTTGCATTGCATATGAGGTAATCCTGGGGCCCCGACGTCCTTGACTGCCTCATTCGACTGCTAACAGCTCAAAACCTCTGGAAAGGCGCTAAGAGCTGCAAGATCGGGTCGTAACCCTAGATTAAAGGGCCGTGGTATTATTACTTATTCACGATCTGTCACGATGACTACTCACCTTAGTTCAGTCACCTGCATAAGCCTCATCCGAAAACGAGCGGCTCTTCGAACCGATATGTACTTTTGGCAGTTTCGCCATGTAGGTTCTATATGATAGCCTGATAAATCTCATGCTCGTTGTGGCCGCCTCGCGGCCGCCGTTCATGTGGTTTCAGCTGCGTACCTGAGATGCTACTAATTAGCGTTGCCGCCTCGCCTCACCGAGAGGAAGAACTTTGAGCCCGCATGGTTTATACGAAAGGGGAATCCTTGGACGACAACGATGACAAAGGCAATACGGGGACGAAGATCTCAATCTTGAGTTCGGGCGCTGACACAAAACCTAGCCACGTAGGTATGTTGTAATATATAACTTTGTGAGGTTCGCGAGTCAAGATAACTTTCCCACACTGCACGACAATCCCTCGAACTCACGGCCCTCGACGCAAGGTCGGTAACTATTTGGATTATCTTCCTACATACATCTCAACTCTCAATTCAAAATGAGAGCCAGTCAGTTTTCTGCGATACCATTGGTACTAGGCGGTCTAGCCAATGCCTTCACTTATGAGAGACTGAATAAAAATGATACGGTAAGTATCTCTTTCTGATTCTGAATGAAGCATCTCAAGTTCGGCTAACTTAATCAACCGAAGCTGCTCCTCATTCTTGATATGCAGGAAGGACTCATCAGCCTGGCCCGTGATTATGATCCTACCGTCTTTCGAAACGCCTTGTACGCTCATGCGGCGCTCGGCAAGGCATTCGATTTGCCGGTGGTCATGACTTCCTCGTCCCAGTCTGGTCCGAACGGCCCGCTACCAGACGAATTCCTCGAATGGTACCCGGATGCACCGCTGATAATGCGCCAGGGTGAAGTGGACGCATGGGATAACCCCCAGTTCAGGGAGGCTGTCATCGCGGCGAACAAGTCCCAGATCATCATTGGAGGGATCACTACTGACGTCTGTAAGTCGAGATTCCCCTTTCCATTCCGTCCTTTCCCCGCATAATAAGCCCCCCTCTCTTCTAAACAAGCTTCACCGAACTTCCGTTCATAATGAAAATTCCAAGGCACGACGTTTTTAGCGCTCTCTCTGCGTGAAGCTGGATACGCCGTGTTCGCGAACCACGAGGCGTCGGGAACCACTAGCGTAGACATCCGAGAGAACGCGAATGAGCGTATGAGGGCTGCTGGCGTCCAGGTACTTTCGTACTTTGCCATCTTCGGCGAGCTGATGCGCGATTGGCGGAATGTGCCCGGCGCCGAGCAGTTGATGCCCGTCCTTGATCAATACTATCCGGCGTATGGTATGGTCGCTAGGGCTCACAGAGCCGCCGTCAATAACGGTACTGTACTTCCAGGCGAGGATATTCTGCCTTGAGTGCTAGGTAGTAAGAGGGTTAAGGATAAGGAAGTAGTTGAATAGGGTTTGCCTATTGCCATCTGTCCTAGGTAGGGAGGAATAGAGAGGTCGATAGGGAGACGGGGGCTCGAGAGGCGGAAGAACACAGTGAAATTTTCGATTCTTACGCTCTTTCAAGGTTCAACCTCCATTTAGCTAATTATTCCAACGTATAATTCATCATGTAACTTCGAGAAACCCTGCTTACGAGGGCTTACTCCAGACCTTCAGCTTCCTCTTTGAGTAAGCCGTATACGTGCATATCCATGATCTTTCCCTTTTTACATATAGCCTTCCTCCGTACACCTTCCTTGGTGTATCCAACCCTCTCGAGAACCTTCATGCTCCCGTCATTCCCTCCGAACACGCCAGCCTCCAGTCTGAGCAGTTCCGGAAATTCTTTGAAGGCCCACGAGGAGAACCCTTTGAGAGCGCTCGTCGCAATGCCCTTGCCCCAGTAGTTCTTCGCGACCCAATATCCGACCTCCCAAGTGCGATACTCCGTATCATCACGGGGCATAAGCCCAATACCACCCGCGAAGGCGCCATCTGGAGCGAAGATGCCGAAGTTAACCATTGGTTCCGCTTTCATACAGAAGTCAACCCAGAATTCAGCGTTCTCAAGCGTATAGGGAGAGGGGAAACGGTTGCGCATGTACTGCGAAATCTCCGGGTGATTGGCTGCCTCCGCAGTTGCCGGAATATCACTAGGTGTGTATGCGCGTATATAACATTTGTCTGTCCTTACGATAGGCGTAGGTTCTGGCTGAGGGGTAGTAGACGCCATATTGATTCGTAGTCCTTCAATGAGGCTTTTTCAAAAGTATCAAGTGAAATAAAGCTTTAACGCACGCTGATCGAGCTGATTTTGTTGATATGCCGCTGATAGTATAAATTCAAGATATTAGAAGATGAGGTGAGACTCGACTTTTTTATTATTTTACTGTGAAGATAGAAGGATTACGAGAACCCTCAGCCCCTGCGTGACTCATTCCTAATGCAGGAAAGGCCATTTCGACAGCATGATTTCTGACAACCCTTCGCCGACTAGCGGCAGTCGCTGAGATGTCCTATATGCATCAATATTGACCGCCGTTCCCCCCGAAAGGCAACATGGGCAGTTGATAGAAAAACCTCCAGTTAGTAGCCCTACTATACAAACAGCACGAGGAATGCTCGCTGTCAATTCGTGATTATGAGGGTCTATTCCGTACCTACCTGGCTCAATTGAATGGCATCTCCCTTTTCTTTTGTCGCATTATGCTTCAACACAGCAAATTATAAATTATATGAGTTGCAATGTCAAGCAACTACCAAGAAATGACTATGGAATACGTATTAAAGAAAGTAATAGGATATTTATCTGAGTGTGTACCTGAAATGAATTATTGAATGACAAAAGGTAAAAGATTCCCAAGATCGTCCACTAGTGGGCAGTTGTGGCTAATATTCTATGGTGGCTGAGCCCCATTATTAACCGCCCGGAAGGTTCAATCCGCTAATGTAACGCTAAGCAAGGATCTAGGAGATTGGTGGGTTGCGCCCTGACATGTGGCGTCAATAATGCGTGTTCTGGGAATACCAGTGATGTCACAGCTTCAATTAAACCTCCCATTAGTGCCGGCATCAAGTTTCTAAGCTCACACACCATACTTTTCTTAGGCATACACGCACTTTATATACTTTGCTTCCTATTGCATCTACCGTTTTACTGCTACATTTATTTGGTCATCAAGCATGAGCTCGGCCATGCATCTTACAAGACATAGACCCGAGCCTTTGGCTTCAAGTCTAAACCTACAATCTCACACATTTGGACAACCTTAACCTCAAGTAAAACCTGATACACACGTGCCAGGTCAACGTCACTCGATAACCCCACCACAACACAGTTTTTCCATCTTACACGTCTCATCTCGCCAGTAATTGGCTTCTTTTTTTCTATTTTTCGAACATGTTAGTCTCTCTATTCCGACAAGAAATCGTGGTTGGGCTTCTATGGCTATGAACTTGGGTAATTGGAATTAATCTGTGTGTTGATACCACAGTTGTGGTGAATTCTCCCGAGACAGTATCTCCCAACGCGTTTGCGTGCCCCTCGAAGAGTCTAAATGACTATGCATCCTATCGAACTCGACAAACCGTCTAAGGCGCCAATAGACGCTGGGGCATCTGAAGAGATCCGGCTTCACTTACACGATGTAGAGAATGACGGTCACCGTGGGACTATTGTCCGGGACGAGCAAGGCAATCTGGCATTTCCTAGTTATGTACCTCCCGATGTCGAACAGCCCACATCACGCCCGAGAGCTACATCGGAAGGTATTCCAGATCGCAGTAAAGCCCCCGACCTAGCTGAAGGCCCTAAAAAGACTAAGTCGGATTCTGTAGCTGGGCCGCTCCCTAAACTGCCAAAGTCTTCTTCATTCACCCATCGCCGGAAAGCACATCGATCGTCGACATTCTCCGCGCTTCCTCTTATGAAACGTGCTAAATCGAATTTGTCGGCATTTGACACAGCACTACGAGGTGGTTGGAATCGTGACGACGATGATCATGATTATACCGATGATTCGTCTCGTTCGTCGTCAGATGCAGAAGATAGTGAGGCGAATGCTGACGGGCATGCAAGCCCGCCAAAGAGAAAACCGAGACGAAAACGCCCCGATGACAAGTTCCGACGTTTTCGGGTAGTAAATGATCTCTACCACACGAAAGGTAAAGTGTCAAAGAGGGACGGTCGATTAAGTATCACGGTGAATGATACCAGTAGTACCGGATACCTAGCAAAGGCTCTCGGCACAGCCGTCAAAAAGATCGTGCCCCAGAAAAGCACCGAAATCAGGACAGACCAGCGGCCTACCCCCACACGATTATCATCGGCCACTACCGCGGCATCAGAAAAATCCAGACGGCCGAAACTGAACATAGTCATCATGGTTATCGGCTCGAGAGGCGATGCGCAACCTTTCTTAAAGATAGGCAAAGTCCTTAAAGAAGAATATGGTCATCGCGTCCGGATCGCCACTCATCCTGCATTTCGGGATTTTGTGGAGAAAGACTCCGGGTTGGAATTCTTCTCCGTCGGTGGTGATCCATCAGAGTTGATGGCTTTTATGGTCAAGAACCCTGGTATGATCCCCACACTCGAGACAGTGAGAGCTGGGGACATTGGGAGGAGACGCGCTGCTATGGCTGAGATGTTCGACGGGTTCTGGCGAGCTTGCATCAATGCAACTGACAATGAAAAGGACATCAATAACGTTAAGATGATGGGCAAGAAAGATCCATTTGTTGCAGATGCCATCATCGCGAATCCGCCTAGTTTCGCTCACATTCATTGCGCAGAAGCTTTAGGAATCCCTTTACACCTCATGTTTACCTTTCCTTACACACCAACGCAAGCTTTTCCTCATCCCCTCGCGAATATAAAGAAGTCCAACGTAGATCCAGGATACACCAATTTCATTTCTTATCCTCTTGTTGAGATGATGGTTTGGCAGGGACTCGGAGATCTCGTCAACAGTTTCAGGGTGAAAACTTTAGGACTTGATCCAGTATCAACTCTTTGGGCTCCTGGCGCGACGTACCGTCTTCACGTTCCGGTTACATATTTATGGAGTCCTGGACTAGTACCTAAGCCTGATGACTGGAGCGAGGAAATTGACGTTTCGGGCTTCGTCTTCCTTGATCTCGCTTCCTCTTTCGAGCCTCCCAAGGATCTTATCAACTTCCTCGACAATGGTGAGATGCCAATCTATATTGGCTTTGGATCTATCGTAGTTGATAATGCCGAGCGGTTTACCGAGATGATCTTTAATGCTGTGAGATCAGCTGGAGTCCGCGCCTTGGTGTCGAAAGGTTGGGGTGGTTTGGGCCAAGATTACGTTCCCGAAAACATCTATATGGTCGACAATATTCCTCACGATTGGCTCTTCCCACGTGTTCGAGCTTGCGTCATTCATGGCGGTGCTGGTACCACAGCTATTGCACTCAAATGCGGCAAACCCACTATGGTTGTACCCTTCTTTGGTGACCAATACTTCTGGGGCTCCATGGTTGGCAATGCGGGAGCTGGGCCGGCACCAGTACCATACAAGAAGTTAAATGAAGAGAGATTGGTAGAGGGCATCCGGTTTTGCATGACTAACGAAGCACTCGAGGCAGCACAGAGAATCTCTAGGTCCATTGAACTTGAAGGCGACGGTGCTAAAAACGCTGTAAGAGCTTTTCATCGCAGTCTGAATCTATCTGGTGAAAATTCAATGCGATGTTCTATCCTTGACGACCACGTCGCAGTTTGGAGGGTTAGGCATACCGATCTCAAGCTCAGTGCGCTAGCAGCCGATGTTGTTGTTAACCATGGCTTGATACCTTGGCGTAAACTACGTCTCATGAGGCATAAAGAATTCAACGATTTTGAAGGCCCGGGTGAACCTATCACTGGAATCGTCGCTTCACTTGTCGGAACCGTTGGCAACGTTTTTGCAGGAATAGGTAGTGTTCCGTACAGATTAGCAAAGACGTCAAACAGAAGGGCCGAAAAAAGAAAAAAGAAAGAAAAAAGGACGCGACAAAGGCAAGAAGCACGAGCCGGACATTCGGTTGGATTTCCGTTCGAGAATGCCTCAAGCTCAACAGCAACTACACCTGCGTCGGCGCCCCTTCAGCACTCCCACGAAGAGTACCTGAATGACGTAGAAGAAGGCGCGGGGAGAACAGGGAGAGCTTTAGCTCATGCCCCTGTCGATCTTTTCTTAGCTCTAGCTCAGGGCTTTCACAATGCACCTCGACTATATGGCGACGACACCGTGAGACGTCCGATCCGCGTCACGGGAATACGGTCAGGATTGAAGGCAGCGGGCTACGAATTCGTCTATGGACTCTACGATGGTTTCACTGGGCTTGTGCGATTACCCATCCGCGGCGCTAAGGAGGACGGTATAAGGGGCGCGATAGCCGGTGTTGCCATGGGACTTACAGGTTTCGTGCTTAAAGACATCGCGGCGTTGATCGGACCTATCGGTTATACTCTCAAGGGAATCGCTAAGCAGTGCGAACGAGGGAAACAACCTATCAAGTACCTACGTCGCGCACGAATCATCCAGGCACAACGAGAACTTTCTGCTCTGACTGAGGCAGAGCGCAAGATAATGGTTGAAACTGTTCTTAAAGGGTGGCAAGTTCTTCGTGACCTGGCGGTTTTGATAATGCTAGAAAGGGAAAGAAGACAGTTTATACCTCGTTTCAACAATAAGCAGAGTGGGAATTCTAAGGATAACAAATCGCTAACCAAGTACGGCAAGGGACTCGCCTTTGAGAGTGTTACAGCCGCAGAGAAAGCCATCGAGGCTATTGCGCAGGGAGAGAGTATCGACGCCGTACTTAAGAAGCGTGGGAAACCTTTGGATTCATTGAAAACGTCTACGGATGAGGAAACAAGTCAGGACGTCATTATGAACTCGGCTCATGGAGAAAGTAATGAAGATACCCATCGATTGGACCGGAGTGAGGAAAATACCGTTAACCTCCATTAGAGGTTCGGATCCTGTGCGAGGAAGACTGGGTGGCTAAGGGGATGAGCCGGAGTAACTTCGTAATGTCGCCCACAAATGAGCACGCTGTCTATTATCGTCGCATTCTCTTTTTGAAAGCCTTTAGTGTTTAACGTGCCATGACTTCGCATAATAGTCAAATAATCGACATCGGGGGAGGGGAGATATGGCGTTCGCGTTCTTTTGGACCAAGCAACGATGCTACGCATCCGGTAATGAGTTACAACGATATTGATATACATTTAGATTAAAGGACTCCAGGGCTGCATAATAATAATAATCGATACCCCGTAAAGCCTTATTCGACTGCTAGCCATGTGCACAAATCCACCTACCTATTCGACGAAGCCTTCACAATATGCATAAATACTACGCCTTTAATTCGCTTGAAAGAGGAAACTTCTCCAACGCTGTCAATCACTGTATTTCCTGCAGTTCGCCGTCGGTAAGCCTTATTGAACCACCAATTCCATGCAGCTAAACACCTAGAAAATATGAATTAGCGAAGTTTAGCTGTTTTATGGACTAACGAGTCCATTGGCCGGCAAATCAAATGAATTTTCCACCCGTCTTCACAAGTCGGCAGTTACCTAGGTATGTATACGAGAAGATTTATTAGAGAAAGCTACAACTTCTGAGTCCTACTAATTATGTAGGAAGGCATCATTGTTCGGTCGATAGTGATGACCCGGAGCTACTCAGAAAGATGTGGGCCTACGCTACCGTGAATTGCCCAAAGTGGAAACAGCTCTTCTGGCGACCGGGCTCCGCGATTTCTGAGCCCTTAAATTCCAGGAAGGTACGGATTCCTAACTCAACAACTCCAACTTTAAGGCTCTGATAGATATATAAGACTCTTAGTGCTTATATCGTTATTTTATATCTAGTACCGACAGAACTGATTCCATCAACACTCAAGCCCTCCACTGTTAACTGAAGCAGGGTGCGTGTGGCCCTATTTAGAGGGCTGATGGATTTGGTGGGAAAGATTTTATCATTCCCTGATATCATAATATTTAACCTACATCTAGAAGATATGAAATCAACTCATCAGTACACGATGTTTTGTTAAAGGCAGTTTCCATCTAGGTTGAAACGAGCTGAGCTGAAGCATGAAGGCCACACACAACTGGTCATAGCAGAACCCCTGCTACAGATAGCGACTCGGACCCCGCTGTTATCTTGCAAAAGGCGCTAGGTTTTCCGGACGATAGCAGGCAATAGGTAGGTAATTGAAAATCGAAGGACGTCGCCCCCGTCTGATTGCCCGTACCATAAACCAGAGAATCTCCTTGATCTTTCTAACATTTAAAGGGCCATAGTTTATTTGTTACAAGGAGTGCCGTGGTCCTTTTAAGTCTGCTCTGAACCTCAGTTTGGGTTGAAAGGCCAAGACGTACCTTGCATAGTAGGGGTTTATATCCTACAACAGGTTTTCCCAAGATCTCCAAGCTACCGACATAAGTCGGAAATCTAATATCATAGAATATTTATCCCAAAAATCATGTTAGCATTACCTATAAAGACGTCGAACTTAGCAGAGGTGCTGCTCGCGTTTTATTCCCTAAAGAAGCGCTAGGCAGGAACTAAACAGAAATCCGGATTCCAACATGCGAGCCTGCGGCTCAGCACTGGTCCAGATTCATTTCCACGTGGGTAGATAGAAGAGGCTCACAATGATGGCACTTTATTCACTCAGCCTCTATGCCCTTTAGGGATGAGGTGGTATGAAAAGTAACCAGAGTAGTAGTGAAGGGATCCGAGGGATTCACCTTAATCACCAGCATCCAATGGGAATCGATTATTTTTCCCTCCTTAGGGCAGCTCTTCTGAAGTGGTGATAGATGCATAGCTACATTCAGCTCTGAGCTAGGCTGGTCTCCGCACAGGATCCCGGGCCTATTATCTTTGTTCTCCTACTCACCTTCTTCATCTGTGTTCTGTACATGTTTACCAGAACGCCATTTCAAATCTCGAGTTGCTCGGTGATGTCTCGTTGTCCCGATATCGCGCACAGTTTGGGGTCTCCTCGTCACCACATCTTATAGGATCCTGGTGGCAGACAATGACATATAATACGGCCGTCGAGTCGCAGATTTATGCTACCTGTCCGCATTCGGATGGAAAGAGCGCACCAATATGCTGGGATTGTAGTGAGGAAAGCTGGAGGAGCCCGCCACAGTTTGAGGACTTCGGAGGGGTTAAGAAGCTCAGAATCCTGAGCGGGAAGAACCAAACTTTCGCACCAGAAGTACATCCACCCGCCGAGGGGATAGAAGTCGGCACCCCTAATTCCCGTTCCAGCCAGCCAGGCCTAGAGGTCTTCACCGGACCACAGATCGTGATTCCCACAGATAAACCCCGGAATATCGGACTGGATGAGAAGATCGTCATTACCTCAGACTCACCATCGCCAACCATATTGGGACTTCGAAGGAGGATATTCTGGCTTGTCCTAATATGCGTAGTATTGGCGTTGCTTGTGGGAGTGGCCGTTGGTACTGCAGTTGGAATAACACAGAAGAATAATTCTACCAAAGCACTGTCAGTAAACCATCACGAGATTTTCAACTACTTATACAGACGATTTACTAACCCTTTTTTACCTTTCTCAGATCGACATCGTCTTCGTCCACGGGGATTGGTGACCAAATGAGCAGCACTTTCTCATCACCGCCCGAAGTTATGACCGAAATCGTGTCGGTCATTACAGCAAGCCCCTCGATGACTGCAACGAGCGGTCCCACGATTTTAAGTGTATCTTCATCCACAAAACTTGACACTTCAACAACCACCGAAAAGAAATCTTCTTCTTCTGCATCCCCCACGTCGAGTTCCCCCGCAGGCGAAACTTCCAAATCCGTGGAGAAAGTGACAGTGATTTCTGTTCAAACAGCGTCGGTACCCACTACTAGCCCGGTTCAGTCCACGCCAACTCCGACAACTATAACAGTTACTCCTACCTCGAAGACGAGCTCAGAGACCACGGCAAGTCCAGCAACGACTAGTTCGGATGGCGACTGTCTAGGAGCTGACGGAAGCACGTACACGGATCCGGGGACGGGCTCGCAATTTAGGATCGAATGTGACATCGCTCATCAGGGGAAAGACATTGATAATTACGAGGCCCAAACCATGCAGGCTTGCGTATCCATGTGCGCAGACGACTCAGAATGTGTGGGTGCCATCTGGTACAGCGCCGGCCCGCAGGGAACGGATCTCAACTATTGCTGGCTGAAGAGCACTTTGGACGATGATCTCAAGAGCACGAAGGATGCACAATCGGTTGTGCGGTTGTAAAAGAGCGTAGATCACTCATCGAAGATCGAACCACACGTTGGTCTTACTGGGTAATGCCTAATATTCAGTGTAGGGGTGATGAAATACTTGCATTGAGTATATAACACTGCAATTTTATAAAACGATTGGCCGTATTGAAGTTTACAGTCACCTCATGGATATGTCGAGATAAGCGTATGTAGGTACACATATGTTCATATCAAGACCTCATATATAGGACTTTTAAGAACTTCAGTCCTCTGTGACTAGGTACGGATCCGACATTTATAACTATACAAACTGTTAGTAATAATGTTTACGTGGCTAAAATAAGAAGATCTACCGATAATTTAGTCTGAATGATTAGGGGCGTCTCTAAACAAAGATCCACGGTCATGGCTGAATATGATGGGATTCTTCGCGTGTAAATTGAGATGTGACTAGTAGATATTCACTCCTTCTCAACAACAGAAATATCTAGCACTTCAATGTATCACGAGAGTAAAACGGTTTGCATGCTTCGAGATGTGACTGTACGCGCCGTGAGCATCAGTCGGCCAACTGAAATGTGTAGCCACCACTACTCTTTAACAAGATATAAATCTATCCATGTCGATTATCATGCTCATTCTAGTTGACACCAAAACCCCAACCTTTAACCATAATACGCATATCTACCCTTTAATCATTAAATAACCTCAATTCCAATGGCTTCCAGCACTGCTTCCCAGAGCCAGCACGACATCACCGTACCCATTCGCCTATCGGTTGATACAGCCTCTCAAAATATGCCTGAACCCTACGACGAAATGGACGTCGACGATGAATATTCCTCCAGCGACACCTCTTCCGTAGAGGACAAGACCGAAAACATCGAACAGACAGAGCAAGTATCCCGAAGCCCCTCCCCAGAAATCGACCCCGAAAGCTACACAACCTGGGGCCGCGAGCACTTCGGCGAAGAATGGTACAGACAGCGCAACACCATGCTCAACGAGCGCAACATCTTCATGAGCCCGGACCCCGTGTATAAACAACGCCAAAGCGCTCTGAGGATGCTAGAGCGGCAGGTCGAAGGACGAACATTCATGCTCCCCTGCGGTATGGACGGCGAACCCGCCCCCTCCCCACATCCCGAAAGGGTCCTCGCCGCCGACGACGACAACGACCTAAACATCTCCTCCCCACCCCCTACCCCAACCTCCTCAACCCCCGCAACCACACTACCGTCCGACCCTCACGAACGTCTAGAGCACTACCGCAAGCTCCTGCAATGGGACGACCTAGAGTACCACATCGAGCTGCACCTGCTCTCCGAGTCTCTCGTCGACTCGCGCCGCAGCGCGCGCGAGGACGCGCTCGGCGACGCGCGCCGCGAGCACGAGCTCGAGCACATGCATGATGTGGTGAGGTCGTCCCAGGAGTACCTGCAGCGGGAGCGGGCGTTCCGGCTCCGCACGCTGGGGTGCACGGGGAGGCGCGTTGAGGCGCGGGGGCGTGAGGAGCGCGAGGAGCGGGTCGACGAGGACGCGCGTGCGGAGCTGGAAGCGTTGGAGGAGATGGACGCCACGAGCGACTCGTCGGAGACGGAGGAGGGGGAGGTTAGTGATGAGGATTATATCTCCTAAGCTTGGGGCTTTGACATCTTGGATAGGTAGTCATTGAGGGATGGAATACATTTAGACTAGGTACCTACATACTTTAGATGTCTAGATAATTATGACCAGCATCGCGGGGGCTGAGTAATCTTGTTTTAGAATAGTAATAACTAATTTTTAGAGAAATGCAAGAGCTATTTATATGTGAATGAGATTTATGTTTTTATGAGTTATCATGCTGACACGTTGATCTTTCTCCTGTGTTCCCCCTGTACTATGACATAACTCAGGGGTCACTCCTATTCCGACCCCAAGTACTACATAGGTAGGTACCAACCACACCTCCGTCCCGCACCGTCCACACAACAAATCACATCACAACTCATCCAACGTACAATCAAACACAACACAATACAACAAAGCATGACACGCAAGAGGTAAGCAATTCATCACCGCATTATCTTTACTTCATCTAGTTATTCACCAAACCACCTACCCCAACCTCAGCTAACCTACCTAGGTTACACCTCCAAAACCTCATTCGTTCCCCAACATCAGCGTAACACCATATCATTCATACCCAAGCTTAATACCTAAGTGTGATACCGCAAAGCTTGAGTCTATACCCCAAACCCTTCCCCCAAGTTCCCAGACCAGACCCGCCCCCTCAAGACCCCGGCCTACTAGGCAACGGCCTAGGCCCCACGATCTGCCTCCTACCGGCGCCGATCCCCGCACCGCCCTTATTCTGGCTATCACCGCCCGTATACCCGCTCCACTGACTAACGTCCCACCGCCCACCGATCCCTCCGCCGATCCCGTCCACGCCGTCCCCGGACCTGGCCGCCTTCGCCGTCTCCTGCTGCGCCTCCTCCCACTCGCGCTGCCTCTGGCGCTCCATCTCCATCTCCCTCTCGAGGAGGGACTTGCCCGCCCAGCCGGCGGCCTTGGTCTTGGCCTGCGACTCGGCTCTCCTGCGGTCCTCGGCGTCGCGTTCGGCCGTCGCGTCCAGCTCGCGGGAGTACGTCTGTTGCGGGGGAGGCGGAGCAGGCGCGGGGTTGGTCGCGAGGTAGCGGTCCGTGCGGTTGCCTCCGTTGGGGTTTGCGGAGGGGACGGGGAGGGGTCGTGACGAGGGGCTGGGGCCCGGGCTTCCGGCTACCTGTTTCTTAACCCGGTCCGGAATGGGGAGGGGCCTATTCTCGCCAGTCCTTTGGGGTTTGACGGGTAGGGGAGGCAATGCCTCTCCCGTGCGGTGCGTTTTTACGGGCACTGCTACGGGCACGGGAAGAGGGCGCGGCGGAGGTGGAGGAGCAATTTCTTGCGCCTGTTCCTGTTGCCGTTCCCGCTCTCGTTCGCGGTTCCACTGTGTGCTCAAGAACTGTTGCTCATCCTTAGGTCGCCACGAGTCTTGACGGCTAGGTGGTCTCTCCTGCTTTCCTGGTCGGCTGCGAGACCGCGCTCGGTTCTGTGACCGTCGTTGTCGTTGTTCCTCGTATTCTTGTTCGCGCTGCCTTGCTAATTCCAGTTCTTGCTCTAGCTGCCTAATGCGATCGCCATATCCGCTCCCGCCGCTTTTCTGGGGCGTAATGCCTTGCTCAGCTTGGTATTGGCTGAGGAACTGTCCTTGCAACCTTGGAGACCGTGCAAGACGGCGTTCTTCGGCCAGTTTTGCTTCGGCTTCTTCCTCTTCCCTTCGGCGCTTCTCCTCCGTCAACTTCCATTGACGTTCTTCTTCCTCCCAGCGGCGCCTCTCCTCGTCTGCTTTGCGCTTCTCTTCCGCTCGCATTCGCCTCGTTTCTTCTTCCCATCTACGTGCTTCTTCTAACCGTGCTCGTTCCTCCTCGGCCTCTAGCTCCGCCTTACGGATGCGTTCCTCTTCTTCTGCTTGTAATCTCTGGCGTTCAGCTTCGGCCTCTTGTTCTTTGCGCTTACGCTCCTTGTCGGCGAAGCTGGGGACTTGGGGACTGGCAGTTGTGATCTGACGCCGACCTCCAAACGATATACCTAAGTTGCCTTGGCTTGCGCCGCCCATGTAGCCGTACTGCGCAATATTCCATGCCGGGCTAGTAACACCTTCATGGTCTCTCTTACTCCAGCTCGACACATTGGGCGACCCCACTCGTTCGCTAGTTGGCGTCGGACTTTTTGTAGGACTCCAGCGCCCCGAGCCTGAATCTCCGGTCCTTGAAGGAACCATTGCCGAACGCGATCCGTACGTAGATGAGTTGTTGCTCACATTCGACGTACCCCGGTTTCTCGGCGTCGTCGGGCCTGTGCTTTGTGGGCTCATGGCGGGACCTCTTGCTTTTGGTCCGATAGGCGAGGGAAATGCGGCGGGATTGACGGAATGCGCGGCGCGGGAGAAAGCGCCGAGGCATTGAAGCACTTGGGCGGGGTCTTTTCGCTCGTAAAGATCGACGGTGAGGAACATGTCGTGATCTTGTAGATTTAGGGGTGGAGACTGGCAGGCGCGGAGGAAATGGGAGATATTTTCCATTTGGATAAAGGGCATCGCCGATGTCTTGAACTTGACGCCGGGCGGACCAACCGCCAAGTTAATAAGTCTATAGCGATATCAATATTAGCCAAACTACAACGTCGCGAGTTTATTTCCATTTTCTTGTACGTACTTGCATAAGGCGACGCCATCTTTGAGCCCATCAAGAAGATCATTAGACGGGAGTCTGCTTCCTAGAACGCTTTCGATCCACGATCGGGCTTCGTTCGCAGCGGCTGGAGTGTATTTGTCGAGGCGCAACTTGCGCAAGTCCTTATCTAAGGACGTCACTGATGCCATGATAACAAGATCCCTTCGTACCGGTAGAATGCGCGGCCGGTGTATATGCTAGCTTGGTAGGTCTCACGGACCAACACCGACAGTTATATACGTACAACGTGGGCGGCACCCGAAGTAAGTATTTTGCTGGTACGGTAAGTAAATCGTAAAGTAGGTTATGATTCGTAATGGCGGTTTGTAGATCGGAGATTTGTTGGAACTGTTGGCTGGAATGGAGTGTGAGTGGGATTAGATGAGACGACGTCACTGGTGAGGGTATTGGTATGTGAGCAGAGAGGCGGATCGCCCAGCGAAGATATTAATGGGAACAATGATGTGATCCGTAATCCTGCGAAGCATAGGAATTAATTTGCTAATAAATCCAGCAAAAAGAAAATGTAACGATTATTGTTGAACAAAGTAAGAAATGCGATTTACGCAGTCTAAGTACAAGATTAAGGAATATGAGAATGCCTTGAATGCGTTCAACGTTCCTTAACCTTCGAACAAGAACTTGAATTGAACCTGGAACCTTGGGGGATGACAGGGCTACCCCCACCACCGAATAATTGTTGGAATAATAGAGGAGGGTGGGTGACGTTGATTGGGCCAGTCGGGCTTATGTAAATTGGAGGGATAAAAATGGGGCTCGAGTGGCCTAGTCTCTGTGGCTTATTGGCTACTTGACGATAAGAGTAGTGGCAGTGCATCTTATCGCATCGTTAATAATTCTGACGTCTACTAGGTACTTTCACCCTCAACCCTGTGAACTTTTAGTCCTATAGCGTTGCCCCTAATTCACATTACCATACTTCTATTTGATATGTGTGTATTAGCACGCTCATCAAAATGTCGACGGCAAAGCCAATAGGCCCTTTACGAAAAGCTTGGTATCAGTGGAAAGCCATCCGGTTCCCGTGGAGGAAACGCTATCTCGTCGGTAAGTTTCTATATTCACTATACCCTCACTTTTCACCCCTTGTCATCTCATCTCCTATATCCTCTCCCAATTCACACATATCCTACCGCAACTCAACTCACCTCACTCACAACTCTCAACCCATACTAACACACCCAGGCCTCGACCTCCAAGGCAACACGTACTGGGAATTCCGGCTGCACCGCGGGGACCCGTCGACGCCGGACTCGCGCTTCCGGCGCATAGTCCAGTACCCGCGGTCGACGCACCTCAGCGAGATCAAGGTGTCGCCGCAGTGGCACCAGTGGCTGCGGTACCAGCGCCGGGAGGCCCCGACCCTCGACGAGCAGGCCCAGGACCTGGTCCGCGTCGAGCAGATGAAGGTCCTGGCCGCCCAGGCCGACGCCCGCTGGGAGGCCAAGCCCAGCTACCTAGACGCTCCCGGTAAGGAGAAGGGGCAGCCGGTGCCTCCGTTCGACACCGGCCGGAACCAGCCGCAGGAGCAGGCTGCCCGGGAGCAGTCGGCGGCGGCGGCGAAGAACGGGCGCGATAGTAGTAGTAAAGCGGCGCAGCAGCAGAAGGACGACCCCTGGAAACGAGCGGCGCGGAGCACTGGCCCCGGCGAGACCTGGCAACCGGAGGCGTGGACTCCGACGTCGACGAGGAAACGGTGAAGCCCGCCACGGCTAGTGCGGCATTGTATTATTGTGTACAGCAAAGTGTAGGTATATCATTCACGTCGTATGAACAGTATGAAGGAGCGAAGGGAAAACAGCATGGGAACACACACGATAGATGCGCCGGTACATCCACCGATTCGGCTACTTTTGCGCCAATAGAAATGCCAAACAGACAATACTCATCTCGACCTAATTCTACCCTTTGATATCCTCGTGACACTGATCCACGGCACTACATGCGTTTTTTCCGCGAAGGACTCGAACAATCGGGGCACAGCCACTTACCCCTGGGCTTCGACCTTAGGCCGACACACTTCCAGTGAAACCACTCGTATGGGCAAGCATTGTTGTCACAGGCAATCATAGTACCCGACTCCTTACGCCTACACACACAGTATCTCTTGTCATTACCATGTTTCTCTTCCTCATCTTCGTCTTCGTCTTCGATGTCATCCATGGCTGTCATGAAGGTTGCCTCTATCTCACCTAGGTATACCTAGTCAGTACGCATCTAGCAGGAGATCAATAATGAAAGTACTAACTCTCATCTTCATCCTCATCCATAGGATCAACTTCGGTCAACTCGGCATCTTCACCGTCTGCTTCGATGAGATCAACTAGTGCAAGCAGTCTTTTTGCGGACATTTCTAACACAATGTGGGCTTCTGCTTCCGGATCTTCGGCGTTCATTCGACCGCGCGCCGAAGTCTTCTTTTTTTTCACCTTGGTTTCTCTTGCGGAGATTCCCTTCTCGACAGCTATCCTCAGTTTCTCATCAAATTTCTCGCTCCCATCACACCACATAATCTGGAGCATATTTTCGAGCACCACGGAAAGCTTCGCATTGTCTTCTATGGCGATCGTGTTGGCAGGGTAGGGAAGAAAACATCGTTCTAGGATCTCAACCGTGATGCCGTCTGAATCTTGCCATCTACGGTCCACTTTCTGGGGGGATAAAGCTGACGAGGGCATCAAGAGAAACAAGATGCCTAAGAGTATCGATATCTGGGATTCCAACTCTAAGACACACATGCGGCGATTTACGAACGCGGTAAAGATGGGCAGTGGTAAGGACTTCACTGTAGTCTCAAATCTCTGATAAAGATCGGAGAAGTCCAGTGGAGGTCGAGGGAGATAGTGGCAGAGAAATGACAGCTAGCCGAGTCAGTCTATAAGTCCATTTTGAAGAGTTGAGGAGTTTCTAACTCACCAAAGAGAAAAGACGTTGTCGCAAGGGGACAGACTCTACATAAGCAGGTTCTAAAGCCTGAAAATCCGGGTCCCCTAGTCCCGAATTTGTCCTGCGTTTCTGTGGCGTTGGGGGTTCCGAAGTCTGAGAAGAGGATACCGACTCATCGTCCATATAGCCTCCGAAATTTCCCTTATCGATGTTGACCGTCTCACGCTTTCTCTTCTTTGCGATACTCTTAGGGTTCTCCTTGTGCTCCTTTGGCCAGATCTCCTGGAAGCGGGCGCTTGCGGTCACACTGCCATCGGCGAAGATGGCTTCCATAATCCATTTCAAACCCCCTCCGGCACCGCGTCCGGAACGTTGGGCGATGTAAGTAGCAAGAATGGAGTCCCGAAGCATAGGGTAGTCCGTCTGACCACTCTCCTCGTCCAGCTTTTGTCGCTCGTGTAGGTCTTGTTCTAGTACATCTAACATGAACTTAAGCCAATGCCTCCAATGTCGCCATCTATTTGGATAAAGCACGCTGCAGTTGAAGGCCCAGCCGACGACGCGGAAAAAGTCCTGCCCTCGACGCCACAGGCCATCTTGGTGGTATCCGCGCTTCAACTGCGCATATGTTCCGTCGCCATCGTCTTCGCCTCCGAAGTCAGGATCATCGCTATAATACGAGTCCGGGGTGCCATGACGGGTGGTATTTATGAAACGGAACGCCTGCTTAAATCCACTGTTGATAGGGCCGAAGCGAGAGAGCAGGCTGCGCAAGTAGACAAGTGACTCGGCGGACACTTCAGACCAACCCTCTTCTCTCGGTCTAGTAGTGAATTTCGGGTGCACGACCGCGGTATTGAGAAGCGATAACTGGCTAGGAGGAGCGCAGTAGGTAGGATTGTCTGGGCTGCCGCGGTTTGATGATAATAGGCTGTTTAGGAGGTTTAGGGTAATTAGATCTTAAGACGAATTAGTGACTACAAATTCCATTTTGTAAGATGGTGGTGAGTATAATCCTACACAAATTCTCTTCCAAATATATCTGACAGTGTTGTTTGAGTTCTGGGGGTAGTTGGCTGGCCTTGCTGTATGTCTTGTCGGCGGCCTCTTCGGTGTCGACAATAGGGCTGCTTATGTCAGTGGCCGCACCGTTCAAATCTTTCAATGGAGATTCGGTAGCGGTCGCGAAGGAGTCTGGCGAAGAGAGCGACGAGGAAATGGATGGCTGCTTGGTTGGCGGCATCGTGATTGAATTCGGAATAGAGTCTGGAGCTTGACGCGCAAAGACGTCGGGTACGCGACGAAATACCCTGGCGATTTTAATTGAAATCTCTAGGGCACCAAGGAAAATTGGCGGGATTGGCGAATTGGCGGGGGTACGGTTGCTAGCGCGGTGGGGGAACGTGAAGTATCTAGGTACCTAGCAGGGTACCTTCACTTAGTGCCGCAGGTACCAGCAGCTCTTTCTAAAAGTCGTCACATAATAATATCAAAACTCTGTTTTGCTGTGTGCCTCATTACGTCATCTTCAGTGTTTCGAAGAATCAATCATGATAGGCATCAGAAGTGTGTTCATTTCATTCATATGCAACTACAGTAACGAAAGCGGCCTCATTCTCATATATTGATGCTAGACATCATCAGTCCAGCTCGTTCATTGTGCCTCATCGGATTCATAGCTCAGGGTAAGTATCTACCGAGCACTCTTTTTTTTACTCCTATAGCTTACATATGAGCCTTAAGAACCTTGAAGGCGTCGTCTCGGCTTCCAGCGTAACGTGTCTCGGCAGTCTTCCAGTTGATGATCTTCCAGATGTTCTCAACGTAAGCTGCTTTGCCGTTGAGGTACTGAAGGTAGTAAGCGTGTTCCCACATGTCGACACCGAATAGTGGGGTGTCACCGACAACGACAGCTTCCTGGTTCGCTAGCGTCACGATCCGCAACTGTCCGGTAACTGCCTCCTTAACGAGCCACTACAGTACCGAGCGTTAGGTTTGGTTAGAAACGGAAAGAATAATGTACTTACGCCCCATCCACTGCCCTGGATGCCCAGAAGAGCAGTGCCAAAGACCTCCTTGAACTTGTCAAAGCTACCCCAAGTAGCCTTAATGGCGCCGGCGAGCTTAGGAGCAGCGTCTAGCTTAGCGTCAGGTGAAGACGCAGGTGCCAGGCCCTCCCAGAAGAGCGAATGGTTGATGTGACCACCGCCGTTGAAGCGAATAGCTCCTAGCTGGGCCGCGGCATCCTGGAGCTTGCCTTCAGATCCCGCCTTAGCAGATACCTCTAGGGCCTTGTTGAGATTGGTGATATAGGTCTGATGGTGTTTCTGGTGGTGCAGCTCCATGATCTGCTTGGAGATGCTGGGCTCCAGAGCCTACCTCAGTTCCGTGGGTGTTAGCAGGGAATACGTTGTTTGTCCGGGAAGGACGGCCACAAGTCGGATAGCGGGGTGAGACTTACATCATAGGCATATGGCAGCGGGGGGAGAGAGTAAGTAGCGGGAGGCATTTTGAGTCGTGAGTTGGGAAATATCTGTTGAGTTGGATCGAATAGCTGTGGTTAGTACGAAGAATTATTCGTAGCCAGGTAGAAATAGGTGAGACTAGGATGAGTTGTTTTCTCGCTGTGCCGAACGATGATGCTCTATGTTTTGAGTTGTAAGTGAAAGAGGAAGTAAGGGAGAAATCTGTAGGGCAGTAAGTGACGTGCTACCCAAATACCCATGGACGGGATGGAAGCTTCTTTGATGACAAACACCAGAGGAGGTAGGTACCCGATAGACCATCAAGGTTCCCTCCCCTCCATTCCTTCCCCGCGTCTTTACTTCTTTTACATGTCTCCTTACAGGCAGTTACACGGTATAGAATCTGGGCAATCCAAAAATATCAAACGCTAACGATTGTACCGCCATTTCCCGGAAGCGGGTCGTGAAACGGCCTCAAAAAGCGCAAACTTGCTCACCTTACGTGGAAAGCCGTATTCAGCAACACTCTAACATCGTCATTTATGTACCATTCTACATAATTTGGCTTGCAAAGTTACATTATTAAGAATAATCCAAGACAGAGCTAATGAATAGGTAAGTTAAAACGACAATGGGTGGCAAGGCCATTCAACGGTTCGCGGTTGCTTGGGATGAAATCGGTGTTACTGTATCAAAAGTATATTGTAGAACCTTGAGGTCCGACCTTCCCAAATCTTGTAATATCATTGACTCCTGAATCCTTGGCAAGTCATCCATACTTGGTAGCATATAATCTTAGAAATATTTATGGTGTCTGGTAATTGAATAATTGCACCTTTTGGACTTTCTCCTCCCAATATACTTTATCTTCGCCAGCAGTAAAACTGCACTGATTCGTAATTCCTCAGATCGCTTACAAACACTAACTGTCTTGCTTTACAATCCTAGAGAATCTAGGTTCGGGCTCCTCTACACCAATACATACTTTATACGGAGATAATGTGCGGTGATCCTACCCGGCAGTCCTGCGGCGGCGCCCTTGCCGTGCTAAGCCCTCCATTAAGGAATACTCGCTTCATGCCACCAGAAATGAGCGGAAGGCTCACTTTCCACGATTGTGGAAAAGGAGGTTCAGTCGCTACTCACGTCACGTTTACGCCAGACGAAAATAGCACGAGCAACAGCGTCGTCGGGCTAGACTCATGCGTCGTAGCTATTCAGTAAGCCATATTCTTCGCCCACACAAGGCTGAACCAAGAGTAAATAAACGACTGGGAACGCTAACAATGTCCTACCTAACAGCGAGACTGGCGACTTGACCAAGTCTGCCATAATCAGCCCGTTCCTATACAAGTTCAACATGACACAAGGCCTCCCTACACAGCAAGTTGATCACCAAGAAGGGTCGATAGAAGTGCCCCTCAGTCATCCGATGAAGATCGAGGTCGGTGGTGACGGAATTATTGGTCGAAGGGTCACTCTGTGGTCGCAACATGTCGCGGATCCAATCGCTGAAGGGATTATAGGGTATAACTGAGCCAGCCGACAAGGAAATAGAAACCAAACATACGGATAATGATCACCAACTATCGAGTTGGCTCCGAAAATACCTATGGACGACTTAGTTATTAGCCACGGTTAGGATTATGCTTTTTAACGGAATGCAAGAGCAGGCGTTTAGGCAGTGTCGAATTTAGTCATAGGGGTGTAGATTGGTTCGCATTGCATAGTCAAGCATCATTTGAGCCCTACTGTTCGTTTGTCTCATATCAGGAATGGATTAATGTATTGCATACCTCATACTGAAATGGGCCTCTCCTGAGTTGAATTCCTATATTTACCTATGTACGCTTCTTGGAACAATAACACGGGGGCCTTTGATCTTAGGACTTATGGGGGATGCAACACTAGGGATTCTTGTAAGCGGGCGAGCAACCAACTGTGAGGATATTCAATGCAAATCATTCATCTAGGTGGGCGTAATTGGAAATCTGAGGTGTATCTGACTAAGGCTAGTCAGTCAACCAAACCCAAGTCCGGCCATCGATTAAGACGAGTGCGATGGAGGGATCTCACCATTGATCGTAAGTTATGACATAAATTGCACGAATATAGCGATTCTAATACTTGAGAGGTAGATTTGAGCCAAATGGCTGTTAGATTGGGAAGCCTTCAAACCAATTCTCTCACATCAAGCTACTATTGCGGCATAGAGACCTGATAAACTATTTTGACTACTCATAAGAGTGTCAAAGTAAGCTGAGTATTGTATCAGCCCCGAAAAGATTCGTTAGCAGGACATAGCCTAACAATTCTCATTGTGGTCGATGAAATTCGGCTTTGCCGTATGGCTTTGATTGGTTGAAAAACGTCTTGTCGACAGCATACCAGGGCTCACTGAGCGGCTTCATCCAGGTGGCACGGCAAGGACACATTTCGGGGGTTCTAGGAATCGACGCAAAGGCACTGATTGGCGCGATGGCTGTTGGAGATTCGCCCACAGCATAACGAAACGATCGTAGCGAGGAAAGTTGATTGGTTCGCTCGTTCCCGAGCTATGAACCCCTGGTCCCCTCGCGTAGGTCCAAATCTGTGGTTCATCCTTGTTCCACCTCGTTTCGTCCAAATGAAATGATAGATCGGCCTATTAAAAAGTACACAGCCGCTAATTTCGACAGTATTGTCGCTCCAGTACAACGAAGCCAAACAAATATAGATGGCATCGAGACGAGCACAACGTTTGCATTGCCATAAATACAACGTAGAGTTGCGTCGATGTCGATGTAAAACTGCAAAGGTACCTTTTTTGAGTCCTCAAATATCTCATCGTCAAACTCAAACAGATCCTGCAAGCCTCCAAAATGATATATCACACCTACAACCGGAGGACCGATTGGGGGCTGAACATCATGATATTTCGCGGCGGTTTTCTTTCCAACGGCAATTCAAACCGCACCGCCTATCAGAACAATGCGATGTTACTAAGAAGACGCGCTAGATTCTCTAGTTTTCATCAAGCCTAAGGGGCTCCCTCTCGCTAACTAGACAAACCATACGGATGCGGTCAGCAAAGCTGGGGCAAAGTTCAAAAGACGTCGAGAAGGGAATAGTCAGCCAGCTGGTATACCAATAGGGCTGCCGCACCCTGCAGCGGACAGGGGTTCCGACCACGGTATCATAGCATCGGTAGTGGAGTGGGCATGTATGTCAGTCCTGCATGTCAGAAACAGAGCTGCCATTTGCTTATGTCGGTATGCTTCGAGAAGAAATCATATGTAGGGTCTGACTGTTCGTTTACCTTTCTCTTTCCTTCGCAGTTTTTTGCGAATTACACGCATACATCTCATCTACCTGCGTTTATCCGCATGATCTTCCTGTCGTTTGGCCAGTCCAGTATGAGAGGAGAAACTCATAGTCGAGTGTAATCTAACACCGAGCGATGTCGTACCAATTACGCCCATCACAACAATCGCCATCGCAGCAGGAAGCGGGATACGATTCATACATCAACACCAATACGAATACATACAGCCAGGAATATGGCTATGGCTACAATCATGGCCAGCATGCCTATGTACAAGGCCAACCGCAGCAGCAGCAACAGCAACAATATCAGCCGGGTATGACGCACGCTCACTCGCAACCGCCGTCACCGCTCCCGGCCCCGCTCGCGACGACATTTTACCCACAAGACGGCATTGCAAGAGCGCATACATGGATCGCCAACCAACCCCCCGTCATGTCTCCGCCGGCGGCAGCCAAGACGCCGTTCAGCGAGTGGACCGGGCCTACGGGTACGGACAGCACGTTCGACCGGCGGACGACGACGCTGTACTCGCCGTCGATGCCGCCGCGGCCGCCGAGGGAGGACGCGAGGAGGGTGTGCGGCGTCAAGCGGAACACCTTCTTCATCGTCCTTGCCGTCGGCTTGTTCCTGCTCGTCGTGGCCGTCGCCGTCGGGCTGGGCGTCGGCTTGGGCACGAGGAAGAGCGTCGGCGTGGCTGCTGATGGGGCTGCTGCGAATTTTGGGTGCGTTGAGATTTTATTTTGTTTTACTGGATGTTTCCTTGATTTTCCCTGATTTACTTCTCACGATGTGCTGGGAGCCCTTGAAAACCCGTGTCTTGTTTCATCGGTCTACTGTATTCTCCGGATTGGTTGCAATTCAACTGTTGAAATAGTGACATGTTTAGGAGCTGCATGATGAGATGGGTCACGAGAAGGACCAAAAAAATCGCACGAAGCTCACGTCAGCTTAAGCGTGCTCTTTTGAATATGAAAAAGCTTTATCTAGTCAAGCCCTTATCATCTAATGCGGCCTCCAATGCATAACCGAGGTAGATGGGCCAAGTCGCTAACAGTCATACAGCGCGGACTCTTCGTCATCTTCACTATCATCCACATCCACCACGCCAACATTAACGACCTCAACAACACCAACACCGACGAAGACATCCCCTACTCCAAGCTTCACGGGAGCCGAGATAGCGGGACCGGTGATCTGCCCGCAAAACAACAACACAGTATATGTAGCGGAGGGCAGCTCCAAGCCGTTCAACGTTCAGTGCGGCCGCGACTACAGCTCGCAAAACGGCGCGCGCGATATCAAGCACATGCACCAATCCACCATGGCCTCATGCATCGACGTCTGCGGGAACCGCGAGGACTGCGTCGGCGTCGGCTGGGGCTACTACCAGGGCTCCTTCGAGTGCTGGATGAAGAGCAAGCTTGGCGAGCCGAACTGGAGCTCCTCATGGTACTTTGCGCAGTTGCAGGATATGCCTAGTAAGTAGGAGACCGCGGCCACTAGGAAAGGTGAAAGGGCGGGTTTATAAGGTATAAAACACCTCGGGTGAAAAGTGATCGGTCGGCGTGGTCTGAGTGAGTTTCTTGGAATTATGCGAGGCGTCTGGCGTAGGATTTCATGTGATATCATTAATACCTACATCGTATCTCAGGCAGATGCCTAAGGAGAGGTATGTCTAGCACGGAGATATCACTATATAAACGTGAGAGGGAGGTAGCTGGGCTAGTCGTCCCGACGACCTGACGGTCGAAAAAGTGTGATGAATACGCTTCTAGTATAAAATCCCATACCTAATTTGATTAAGCCTCTGCCTGAAGTCTAAATCTGTGATGGATGGGATGTATTATGCATCGGATGCCACGGTGTTAACCATGGTGTTGAATGTCAGTAGTGACAATCCGAAAAAGCTTCCCGTGCGACGCTGCCGCATATAATCCTTAATTTATTCATGAAGAACGAGGCAACTGGCTCAGTATCACTTCTGACAGCTCTCATGGTGCCTGCTCTTGACAAATAGCGCACATACTGCTTCTTATTTACCTCGATGGCATATTGGCGTTGCAAATTAATATCTCTCGTCGGACTATCTTGGTAAATGGCCAAGCCATGGCTTTAATATGAGACATCGTTCTCCTATTAGTTATCCGATTCAAGATGAACGGCGACATTAGTCTAACATCAACCCGAATACTGAACGTAAGGATGCAGAACGCGAGTAATGGATAGGAAGTAATCGCCGAGTATTCAAAGATGATCTCCACTCGGCGAGTGACCGGCGACCCAGTTAACTTTTCGGCGACTCTTTCAAGTCGTGAGAAACCCGTTCCTAAGCTTATAGCCCATTGCGCATAGTGGATAGTTCATTCGTGACCCCGATACTATTACTCGACGGCGACCATATCTCCTTTCATCATCGGCGACGTTCAAAGGGCACGCGGGGACGTCGGCCTTCTATTCAAAGGCATGAACCAAGGCTTTCCGGTCAAGTAAAACGAGGCCATAGTCATCGGGGAGGCGAAGGTCGCCGTTCGTCGTGGCAGTGTTGGAAAATAGTTTCATCAGCGGCCTTTGTGCCTGCGAGCACGAGGCGTCGAAGTGAGACCTCGGCGAAGGTGCCGGCTTTCAGCAGTAGCGGTGAGCTCGGCGATCTGCCCGAATCCGGTGTCCAGCTCCTTCACGATACCCTGACCTAACCAACATCAAGCAAAATTGGTTAGCAAAATAAAAAATAAAGAAGGAATGGAATAGATCACGGCGATGTTGACCCAGAAAATGGCAAAAAAGGGGGAGACGAGATGAGACGAGACGACGATCTACAACACACGCAAACGGCTTTCGTAATCGGCTCCCGACGCCTCGGAAGCACAATTCCTTCGGCGACCTCCTGCTCCCCTAAACAGCCCTAAGTCGCCGGGACCCCTCGGCAACCCTCGGCCTCCACTTTCTCTACTAATGCTAACACGAACCGGGCACCAAGAGCCTGGTATTGTGGTGCCCGATCTATAAGCAGCAAGTAATAAATGCATTTTCCCAATTAGAGTGAACAATGAGTTGGCCGACTTTTCCTCGGCGATCTTCAGCACGACCCCGCCCCCCAAATCGCCGTTCAGAGTCCAATGGGGGACGTCCTCGTTAACGGCGAACTGGTGGGGTTCTTGTCTCTGCCCAAATGAGCGTGCTAGGAAGCCCGTCACAATACATAATAGTATGTAAGTAATATGGACTAATAAAATAAATCATCTTGTGATCCCTCGGCGTTCATGATAATATAGGCGTATCCGAATCAAATCCTTCAAAACCAACGTAGTAAGAAATATTAGAGACATATAGAATTCGGCGTCCATGGCGGGGTAGAAACCGAGGTGATCGCCGTGCTCAATATATCAAGCATGCCACGCATATCAATAACGTAAACGTAGTATTATGCATTTTCAATAGTATCATGAATATCATGGGATGGCGGTACGTAGCACTCGTAGCAGCATAAACCAAAAACGTCGGCGACGTCCCATCCCATAGGCCCACCAACAAACCGCCCTAACAGGTTACCATCACGCCTCGAAGCAGGATTCCGTCCACTGGGACGGCGATCTTGGTTCGGCCCAAGGTTCAGAACCTCGGACGAGGGCCCCGCCACACAAGCCCCCAACCGTCCTATCGGGACCTGCTGTACCGCACTCTGATGCGCTGTGTAGGTACGTATGTATGTATGTATGTATGCGCGCGCAGAGTCTCCTTAGGCGCACCGTCGAGAACGATTCCTTGACGAACGAAGAAGTTGGGAAAACGAACCGGCGACTCGTGGCCCACAATAGCCGAACTGATCGACTGGTATTAGACAGCGAAGCGTATCTAGGCATACGCATATCCGCAAATAGTCGACCGCAACTAACGCACGTACGGATCGCATGCGGATTAGAAAAAAAATAGTGAACGGCGACCAGAAATCGATGCTCCGCCCCCTCCTCCGCACGCGCCCTAACAGAGGCGATACCATGTCCTACATACATACATACATACATACATACATACCAACCTATCTAACCTACCTAAACCCGAAACCCCATTAGCAGAAAGGCAGATCATGCTCCCGCCTAAGCGCTAGCGAGGAGGCGAGCTAAGAAAAAAAAAAGATCCGTGGCCAACTAATACCTACCTACCTATGTATCATCTTGCAATAGTACGTGCTTTTATAGGGCAGCTGGGATAGGAACGCGAGGATCCGACGGAGTGGAAACCGTCGACTTGGCTAATTCCTTTATTATTATCTACCTATATTAACAAGAAAAAGGCGGGAGGAGCGTGTGATACTACTTAATTAAACCTACACGAGGCAAGGTCCCAGAAAAGGTCATATGTGTCGTGCTTTAAATATAAACAAATGCCCCCATCCCGCAACTACGATATTCTCCTAGGACCTAAGGTACTGCTGAAACGACGTAATACGCAGCGAAGGCAGAAGACTTGTGGAAGAGAGAGGAGGGGAAAAAAAGGAAAAAGAGAGACTGCTCGTAAGTACATCTATATCCAAGCTGGTCATTATTATAATAATAAAAAGTCCGATCTCATCAAGCTGTCCTCTTTTTTTTTGGTCTTGTTGTTTTGCCCGCCTACTGAAACGGTAACCCGTCTCTCAAGCCACAGGCTTATCGCCAAGGCCCATACCTCCTTTGCGAACCTGTACTACTATCCTGACCTTATAGCTCTCGCGTCCCTTAATAAGATATCAACCAAGATCCTTTTACTTATAGATTCAACTCAAAACTCCGAGCTAGTAAAGAGAAGCAAGATAACGACGACTCTTCCATGGTTTAACCACGTCATCGGCGAAGCGGACTTCCGTTCGACCACCCGATTTATGCTCGTGGCAGTGTGGGCAGGCCAGCTGATCGTGCCATCATGCATGTACCTCAGGAAGGTGGCGCGCTGGTGAGCATGGTGTTGATCTCGGACATGATACCCTCGTCGGCGGCCATGCTGCTGATGATCTCTTCCTGCGTGAACCCGACCCAAAACGTGGGGTTGTTCTGCTGTGCTCTCTTGGCGCGGTAGATTTCCTGCGCGACGCCCTTGACCTGTCCCGAAGCGTTGCTGGCTGCCTTCCACACGTTGCTTAGCTTGTTAAGAGCCCCGATGTTCAGTCGGATCTGCTGCCGAAGGTCGTCCTCGTCCTGGATGAGGAATTCGAGGGCCCACTTGCTGAGATGGACGATCGAGGATAGTGTCAAGACACACGTGAAGAAGTGCGTGTGACTGGTGATAGGAACGTTGTACGTCACCATCTTGCTGATCTCGCACGCTGCCGTGATGATATGTCTCGTGTGGAGGTTGAAATTATCACCACTTTGGACTGCCCGATGCGGAGCACAGGCTGTCACTTCGCGCGCCGGAGATGAGTCTAACTGCGAAAGAGGTTGATGCAGGATGATCGAGCAACTAAATGGGCTCGTTGTCAGTTTAGGGAACCTACGAATCTAAAAGAGCAAACTTACGCGTGATTGATCATGTGTGCCTGGAACATCATCTCGTCTAGCTGGCAGTGCTTGTTCAAGCTGTCTCTCTTGGATGCCGGCAGATGCATCCTCCAGTTCGACAGCAGCGATTCGATCCGATTTACGTTTTCCTCATTCGGAAAGCCGCCGTTTGGCAATCTCATCATGCGGCCCAAGTTCCTTATGGAAGCGACACGATAGGCGAATGAGGAAAACTCTCGTTCCTCTCCCGAGAAAATCTGATCATCAAAATCTTCCAGATACATCGGGCGTGGGATAGTCTGTTGAATTTCATTAGTTACTGAGCGGGTCATAACGCGCATTGGCGTCTATCCAAGTGGAAACCTACGCCTGACAAATATTCGTGTTCTTCACACGGAAGACCGACGTCGGCTACGATATCGAAAAGGAGGAAATTTGACTGCCGGTGCACCCCGGCAACCATTCCATCCACGACGAACAAATCCCACCATGTCCGTCGCCAACTCTCCTCCACCCTAGGGATGCCGCCTCCGTGCAAGGTAGCGAAAGATCTTGTATAGAGGCCGATCTCTATGGCGATCCGCTCGACGTCCGATAAGATCTCTCGCGCTCGTTCCTGCTGGCAATTGCCATCGAGTCCAATTAGAACGATAACCATTGCCTGAACTAGGTATCCATCCTTTGCGACGCCCGGGGCGTATATCAAGCGTATAGCTTCTTCGAAGAAGGTAGCGCGAGAAGGGCCGGCATCTATATACAAAGATCCAACCCATCTCATCGCAGCAAGCAGATGATCAAGGTCTCTCTCTTTTGATAGCTTGAACAGATGTTCCTTGGGCAAAACCGTTGGATGACCGGGGTAAAAGTAATAGTAAAACGAGTCGATGCAGCGTTCTGGGACCGTCTGCTGCGGCCGTTGATTGGCCTCTACCAAAGCGCCATTAGTGCCATTAAGGTAAGGTTGTCTGTACAGTTGAAGGCCGTTCATGCCGGGAGGCGCGAAAGGCGTGGCTGGAGACTCAGGGACTACCATGGCCGGGTTGAAAGACGCGAGGCTCGGCGGCGCAACTGTCGAAACGGCTGCGCCCAGCAGCATTGGACAGCTATCGCCGCCATTGGGAGACGGTGAGTCGTCCGTTGCATGGCGTTTATTTGGATTTGGAGCCGCATTCCTCCTCGGCCCTTTGTAGCCTCGACGAGAAGCCACGTAGACACATTCAGAATCAGATGTTTGACATCGTGAGCACGGGTTTCTACCATCGCATTTTAGATGCTTTCCCCTCTATAATACGTAGAAAGAAATCTAGTCAGTGAACAAGTTACGATACGGATATGCCATTTTCAGACTTACACAGGCGAGGCAGGCGGCTTGCACAGTGATCGGAGGCGACCGCGAATCAACAGCCCCCGCGGTAGAGGAAACCGGCGTTGAGTGGGGTTGCTGATTGTGTGCTTCTGAGCCAAGACCATTAAATAACTCGGGGGTGCTGCTGGACAACGAAGGCGCAACGCTAGTTGGGTGCGAGTAAGAATCCATCGTGAAATAACCTGGATATTATTTGATAAGGAATAAACGGTGAGGGTTAGGGGATGGGCGGCGACGACTTGGGCCGTTGAGCTGTTTTCCAAGGTAAAGTCCTAGATTGAAGTAGGGTGGGTAGGAGATTCGCAGGGAAGACATCGAAAGGTCGATGGCGACGGTTACTATTGGATCTGAGTGGCTACTACTGCCACGGCCCGGGAAATACGTTTGACGGCTGCTTCTATCCCGGATTCTCTTTACTATCAGCCCCTCTTGAGACGCTAGGCCCTATAATTCTTTTGCTCGGAATATTGGAAACTGAGAAACTGAAATTGGAATACTAGAATCAATAAAGATACTAGGTAAAGGCGGATCAAGTTCGGTAGGTATCGACGAGCCAGGCTGTGAGATTGTAAATTGATAAGAATAACAAATATATTATCATCAAGTCGCGGGACGCATTAAAAAATCTTTCTCGAGTTTTAGGACCCCCTAGATCACGAAAACCGGGAGTTATGCGTATAAAGAAGGTCCGAGATGGAAATCCCGGTAACAGCGGCTTTGAAGAAGAATTCGGGAGTTGGTTAGTAAGTAGTAACCCAGTGGCCCTTGGATATGTACGACAATAGGTAACGAAGCTACACCATCCACCTGGCACCTGGGCAAACTAATATCTAATCAGGGGCCGCGAAAAGAGACAGGGGTGTGCTGGAGTAATAGTGGTCGTGATATTCGAAAGGATTTTTTTCTTCTTTCTTTTGACGAGGAGGGATTGGTGAATTAATTTTTTCGGACGAATAGATTAGCAGAACTGGAAGAAGCTAGCTAACGTCTTTGGATCGAGGTGAGGGGTTGAGAATTTCGCGATGGCCAAACGCCATGTCCAACCCCATTCCTGTGCCGGACCGTGCAGGCAAATCAGGGGATTGCGAGGGTAGATAGATGGGTAGCTACTAGCTAGGTAGAATAGATAGATAGACCCATAGGATGGATTGACATTTGTAATAAAGCAGGAAATATTCTGGATAAGTGACAGGGATACCGAACACCCGCTCGCTACGGTGTGCTGGGTGCGCTGGGCGTGTGTACGTCTTGAGTACCAGTCGAATTTCAGCTGTACGAATCCTGCAATTGCGTACCTTATGTCCTTGTCTTCAGCAGCTCAGCTCCGTTCAATGAATGGACATGTAATCCAATGTAGTAGGATTCATTGCTTTTAATCTATCTTCGTTGACGGCGGTGATGCTGGATCGGCCCTTGATAGGTGAGTCTCCACGAAGGCCCACTAAGAAAACTACCCAGAGTAGGGCTGTTCCTGGCAAATGGACCTTTTTTCTTATTTACCGTCCAGTATAACTGTACTTCGTAGTACATGTGTAGGTGTTGATATTGATATAGCATTTGATTATGTGCTTAATGCGATCAATGATCAATCGTCACACACGGAACACGGATATCGAAGTAATCGGATGGCCGGGAGCAGAAGTCCAGAAGCTCCCATGTTTGCTAACTGGCTAATAGTCCTGATAGCCCTGTCCGCCCTGTGAATTATGAATTACGCAGGGAGGTCTGTATGGGGACACGCTTGCTCGATTCGCAATCCGACCACACCGCAACCATTATCGCCCTGCCAGCCTGCCACTCAAAAGTCCCAGACGGCAGAGGGCGCAGGTTTTGAGTGGATTGTTACGGCTTTTCGCGGAATCATCTTTTTTATCTGCCATCGAATAATCGTGCAGGATATCCGGTCTACAGTGTTGAATTGGTTGGTGGCAGCTTGGGAGCGGTGGAAATGACCTGTCATAATATAACCCACCGTCCCCTTGTAACGTGTTGATCGGTCCAATGTTAGCGAGCGTTGTAAGTGGTAGGAAGAGTGAAAATTAAGGTGTGCAGGGCGTGTGAAGGGGTCCCTGGAATGTGGGGTAAGATTCATTCATGTACACTTACATAGTACATGGGTACAATTAGACAAGGTTGGGTTACCAACCCAATTACCAACCTAATTACCAACTGGCGGTTACGCTGCTCTCTATACATGGATATATGCTGCCAGCTGGCACTTCCTCCTGTCATCTCTTATTTCAGTATGCCAATATTCAAATATCCGACTCTCCCCGTATCTCGGGTCCCAACCCTGCGGGTAATGACATGCAGAAAATACCCAATACCTGACCCACCCAGGACAGCCAGGAGTCAATGCTCACTCTTCAATATTTCCAAGTTATCGCCGTCTCTTATTTCATCATGTATGTATTAAGTACCCTTTCCTTCTTCCCTCTTCACTGATCAGTGATCATCTCGAATTCATCAATTCTTGGAGTTTGACACCCGAATTTCATGCTGTCTCATCTTATCTGATAACATCGATCTCTAGACCCCGGTTACTACTGCGCAAATCTCATCCCATATTACATACCAATGACCAGAGCATATTCTATATTTTCCTGCTTGCTCTTATATCATTTCAGTATACTACGTCAATATGAGTGGTAGTACCACCTTTTCCGCCTCATCTTGCCCCAGTTCTCATCCACCTATGTAATAGTCCCTCGACTGCCGGCAAAACCTACTCTATTCTCCTAGAACCTCGTATACAACAAGTTGATAATTAAACAGATGCGAACTTTTTTATAGTGAACACATAGGGCCAAGTAGGTGAGTGCCCAGTATAGCAGTATGACGAAACGATCTCAACCATGCTGACGAGTTTTAGATGCTCGTGACACACCATGGGGAAGAATTCGACGACGTGGCGTAGAAGTGTAACCCATTAATATCTACTCGGCTAAGCAAACCCGGCCTTCCATGGATCTTCCCTGGCCATCCCATCACGACGAGTCCAGTTCAATTCGCACAGTCGAAGCAATGAAACTTGTAACGCGCAATGCTGAATACGATATTGAATCAGAATGAAATGTAGATCGGCAGGGTCCGTTTCAAGATACAAAGGGAAGGCTCTCAACACTCTTCGTCCTAAAAGGGGGAAATAATGTCTATCTAGGTAATTAGGGGGAGCTTTTGCCGAACCCTAGATTCTTAAACAACCGAAGCGTGGTGGTTATTTTTACTCCAAGACATGGGATTCTGATAAGACCAACTTAGCTATTCTTGTCGCGTGTCCTAGCCGGCAGACCGTAAGCGTGTGAGACGGCACATTAGCGTCACGTCAATTGGTAGCTTATCGTTTTATTCATATTAGATGCCCAAGTGGTTTTAGCTGATATCCAACTTTCTATCCCTCTATCAGCATAGGTTGCCCCGGAATTGTCGCCGGAATTGCGGGATAGTGGATCCTCTGTTCGATGACTTCTCGGCAGCCATCCAACTTCATCTGCGGACGCCTGTTCCCGATCCTTAGGCGGCCTGGTCATGTGCTCCGACCGATCAGCCCCTTAGCACCCTCGGTGGTTTATTGAAGAGTCTCTGGTTCTAACATCTAATAAGATAGTAGGTCCAACTAATAATAGATATTGTCCTACTACGTACCTTAGGCAACTATGCAAGGTCATGAGTGAAAATATTAGACGGTATTTTAGCAAAGCTCCTAGGTAGTACCTAGATATCATTACCTATGCAATCCATTTACAGCGGCAATGGCTGCTGAGTTGTTAAATATGCATGTCAGCTGTGTATCTAGTTCTTGGATAATGATAGGTTCATATCAGGGCTGCTGACCAGTTGCCCCCGTCACGAAGGGTTGATTTCAACCATCAACCGGGCTCATCAGTCGAGAGGAGTATTCAACATAGGTACACACTGAGCTATACCATATGTAGTTACATACTAGGTATCAAGTACCCACCGCATACACCCGTCTATAAACCAGTTATAATCAGCCTGGCAAACCTATCCCCCATACCAACAACCTCAAGTCCCCGTTCCTACGCAGGCAAATACGCACACACGCACACACCTCATCTCACCTAGCCTCACCCATACATGAGATCTATAGACACCAAATTATCCATTAAAAGAAAAGAAAAAAAAAAAGATCCGCGAAGATGCCGGCGCCGCGCCCATATCCGATGATCATATCATGCCTTGCGTTATATCGTATCAGTCTGTCTACAATACTTCGTGCTCTTGCGTACGTACTCCGTTGGAATAACCCTAAGTACATGCATCCATATCCATATCCTACCCACTAATCCTAATCCCTACCTACTCGTCCTGACCTAATCCATTACCTCGATCGATACGAACGTCATCCTCCTTTTCTCCTCGCCGCACCTCTTCACCACCGTTAGCGGCGCTCTCAGTCCGTGGCCCTCCCCCTCGCTATCCGAGCCGGTGCTGACCGAAGCCACGGACCCCGTGAGCGACCCCGCCGCGCCGCTCGTCTCGCTGCCGCGATCGCTCCCGACGTCATCTTCGTGTTCGTGCACGACGTCCGAAACGACCGCTGGCGGACCATTATGTTTTCCCTCCCCCAACGGTTGTCCTATCTCCTTTTGTAGTAGCATTTGATTCCTCTCTTCCTCCTCGTCATCCTCGCCCTTCCCCGTCTCCCACATGCGTTTCAACAACCTCTCCTTCTCATCACTTCTAACCGTGGCGTCGAATTCGAATGGCGCCGGCTTGGCGATTAGCAACGGCGTGTAATCGTTCCAGTGGACGGGGACCTCGGTGCCGTCCGGACGCCTCTTCCGACGGATGTTGAAGGCCCATGCCATCCCGCCCATCGTTAGGAATAAGTCCTGGTCAACGATCGGGATTCCTTGGCACGTGCGGCGACCGAAGCCGAACTGGCTGAATCCGTTGAGATTCGGATGCTGCGTTAGCGGCTCCTTGTACGTCGGAAACTGCGGATCTATCCACCGCCCGGGATTGAACGCGTCCGGGTCCGGGTAGATGGACTCGTCACGTGTGATGGCCCTGTAAATGGTTGGATTAGCATGACGAGAGCCTAGAATTTTACGCCGTAATAGCTTTGGGAGATTCGGTAGACCTACCATTCTAGCGCGTGGATGGTAGCACCCGCAGGAATGAAGTAGCCGTTGTACACATCGTCCTGCTCGATGGCATGCGGAATTCCTTCTCACTAGGTTAGTCATATTGCATTTATAAGCATAATCGACCGAGAAATAGGGCTTATGTCTCAGTTGTGAAGATCTTGAAATGAAAATCCTATCATCTTGGGGCAACTTACCGGTCGGGACCGGTGGGCGCCACCGGATTGTCTCCTTAACCACGGCTCGGAGTAACGGCAACTTTTCACGGTCTTCCCATTCGGGACATCTTCCCTCGCATGCCACTTCGATTTCATCTTGGAGTTTTCTCTGCCAATCGGGATAATGTAACATGGCGAGAATGAAACTCTGGATTGGGCTTCCTATTGTTAAGGCCCCGGCGATGGCCATCTGGCCTACAACGTAGGTCGCCTCCGCCTCATTTCCCCATTTATGGCCGTCTTTTTGGGTGCTTAAGCTATCGATAAAAGTGCGCACAAAACTGGGCTCAGCATTCCCCTCGTTCAGGCGGTCATGTACATACTGCACGTTGCCTTTTAGGAGCCCCGCTTCAAGCTTATGTCGAGCATTTTCTTTTTGCTTCCACGGGCTTAAGAAGGTTGGTAGGTGCATGAGCCAAGAAATTACGTTAGGGAGGGCCCCTGAAGGGGAGATAGTCTCGAGGAGTCCGAAGGTGGTCACTCGTAAAAGCTGAGCGGGGTGAGGACTGCCCCAAGAGAGACGGGATACCGTACGTGATGTGAATTGCTCGACATATTCTCGATATTGTGAAGGATCTCGTGAGAGTAGGTATAAGAAACGGTCCCGCTCCTTGGCTGGATAGTCGTGTAACAGTGATTTGGCCGATGTCGCCATTAATTGTTGACAAAGCTTTCGTTGGCGCTTCCACGTCTCTGTAGTTCTCGTTAGTGAGAGATTACCCCTTAATCCCACATGCTCGCTTACCATTTCGTCCCGACAGAGCGAGATAATTCCCGCTAGTTCGATTGTCTGGGAGATTTGGTATCAGCGGCCGATCCGAGTAGTTGGCTGCTCGTCGAGACAGCAAGTCATTGGCGATTCGTTCCGACGATATCCAGACGTGGACCGTGCCAAACATTTCCGTCTGATATATCGGCCCATACTCTTTGCTCCATTCGTGAAACTTTAGCCATGTCGACTCTGTGGGGATGTCATGCACGCGGCCGATTAGGGGTAAGGCTACGATTAGTTAGAGATTTTTCTTCGTAGATGTTATGAGCAAGAGAGGCCAGGAGCGAGAGTAAGGGGCCATTGGAATACTAACATCTAGGACCAGGCAGCGGTCGAGCACCTGGTGGTATTCTACGTCTCTCTCGTATCCAACTCGTCAAGTAGAGCGCGCATGACAACAGGAAAGAAAAGATAAACCAAGAAGCGAGTGCCATTGCTATCGCCGTGAGGTGAACTGGACCCAGGGCGGCAGATCAATTATTATAAAGCCAAGAGACTTTGAAGTTTAAGAATTAGACCAAAGGGTGTTGTCCTCCCATGTGGCCCTTATAAGACAACTGACTTCGATGCCCATCCGGGCGGCCATTCGAACGTTTAATGATACTATATCTTAAGGGAGACCACATCCCTACCAGGTGGGGCCAATGGCCCCCATTGCATATGTATATGATCTGATCGAGACGGTGGCCATTGTTGGGCGCGTCCTGCAATCCATTCCGGAGGAGCGGCTTAGAATGTCTTGATTTAGCATGTCTCACGATATAGAGTCCGACACCTCTAACTAGCCAAGCTCGCAGGCACATGAATGGAATATAGCTTCGGTGTTCGAAGTGAAGGATGTCTGACGAGCATGGTCATCTGAGATAAGATTCACGTATCATAGATCCAGCCGAACTACCATGTCGGAACTGCCGACCCAATCCAATCCGTGCTTACTAGCAACACTCGCACTTTTAAGACGAGGGCGCGAAAAGTTTTCTATCCCATGTTGGACACATGGGAGGGTTACAGTACCTAAAGTCGAAACCTATAAGGTTAAAAACGTCCAAGTGGAGGGGCGTCACATCAACAAAGTCCTAATGGTACCTTACCGCGTCTCTAGCCTCGTTGCCTCATACCGCGGGACCGGATAATAATTCCTGCGTCATTATAACTTCAACTTGCTTTGATTACGAAGGTGGGTGCATCACCAGACAGGGCCTCGCTAAGGTTGGCACGTGTAGATCCCCAGAGACTGGCCTAATGGCGTTTCATTCACCAAGGACGGAATAAGGGCCGGCTAACGCGACGAGCTGCAGGTGGTGTGGGAAAACCTGGGTTGATCCCTTGTCATCGAACATCGTCTAGACTCCAGTACCGAGATTTGTTTCATAAAAGATGATTTCGATAGGGCTAATGTTACGATGGATGTGGCGTGAGGCGAAGTAGTCAAGTATGCGACATGGTGTGAGGTCAGCTAAAGCCGACGTTTGCAGTCCGTGTAGCCAATAAGAATCGACAGGCCCAATCATGATGTGATGTCGTCAATCGCATAATTTAGCCCGCTGTGGCGTTTAAACGGTAGAACCAAACAGCCGAACGTGAGTGATGGACCGCGCTGAAGAAAAACCAACAACGCCACAGCCGGTATGCTTGTCGAAACCGTCTTAGAACCATGACCGCTGCTGCCTTGGCTACACAGAAACCCGCATGGCTGCATGAATCGGCGAATGAGATTCGTTAGTTCCGGCGAAGGACGGGAATCCCCCAGGCTCGTGTGGAGGATTAAACCACTGAGATCTGCCGGGCACGCGAGGCTGGAAGTAAGGGAGCCCCCACACCATACCAAGCCCCTGGGACGATTTTAGGCAAGTGAGTTGATGGCCGTTTTCTATCTAGGAGGATTTGGATACGACTAGATAGGTAAGGATCGATTTCTCGAAACTTTCCCAATCCTTGCCTAGGCATTCGACTTCAGCTCGCCGCGGCGGTAGGCGCTTTTCGCATGACCGCTCCTCTTGGAATCGACCTACTCCTTTCGAAATTCACGCATTCTCGGTCGTATCATCGAAATGAACTTGATAGTTTGAGACCTCGTAATTGTGCATTGATCGGAGTCTGAGTGGGCTCCCGATTGGCGCAACAGTTCTCTAGGGGACGCCACATTCATGTGAGGGTATGTATGTAGCTCGTTATACATCGCGTTTATGCCTGTAAATATTAACTTTTGGCCATCCAATAAGACCCGGCTGGCTGAAAACGCTCTCATACATCGCCTTGACTTTGAGGTGAGGCTAACCTTCTAGCTTCTAAGAATAAGATTCATCAGACCCTTACTTGGGTTTGGCTTGAGACTGATGAGGGACGACCTCAATCCGCGCCAATTACTAGAACTCTCACCACCTTCTAGTATTAAGGCCAGTATGGAGGTGTATTTCACTTGCCAAGGTGGCTCATGTCTGGAAGTCAGGGAGCGATGGCCGTCTATTCCTTGGTTAAGCTACCCACCAGGCACCGTTCGGGCCCGAGAACCATCGAGAGGCTGTGGGCAGATAGGTAAACTGAGAAATTTTCAAGGTTATCACCTTAAAAAGCAAGATTGAAGTGGTAGGACCTAGCTGCCCGAAGGTTATGTTGTGCACTTCGATATGCACCCCAACCAAGGCGCATAGTTACATCAGTTTCCAGTCGGCAGCTGGACATCGGGATATGGACCAGGATTATTTTTTTCACGGTTCCGATCTTCCTGGTAGATCACGCATAAAATTACTTGCCAATGCGGTTCTTCAAAGGTAGACATCTTCTCGTGATGAATCGGCAGTGATCTATACTCGATTTCATCGTGGTTGATGTTCCTTGTCGGCCTGTACAACCGGAGACGATGAAATATCAGAACAACTCACCGAAAACTGCCTATTCATGATACATATCATGACGGCACAAGGGTTCTAAAAGGCCCGCGGAATTTCCGGCGGCCACTTTGAAATCCTCAATCCATCGATTTCTTGAAGATCAGTTATAGCACAGTATAACGTATGTTCGTTCTCCGACAACGAATATGAGTATGGCATGGTCAGGATTTGGCGTCTCTTTCTGATAGTTAGGACTGATGCGTCTAACGTCAGACCGGAGGCCGTTCCAATCATGAAGCGTAGGCGAATCCTCCGAACAAATACTGGGGCGAACAGAGCAATAGGATGTTATACAATTGGTTCGGATGTATTTTATCGCGACTGACCCTTTAATTAGACACATCATATCTTATACGTGAGTGGATATTGACACGACTTGATCAGTTGATTTTACTAACATGTTTCATTAAGCTCGTAATAAAAGGGTTGAATTCGTGGACTCTCGGAAGTTCGATTTTGGTCAAAGCTCGGTAGGTTTTCTTCTAGATCCAACGTCGAATCGCACGCTGAGCTCCTTGCATCGGGCGGCTGGGGAAGACTGGTCGGACCATACGATCGTTATTGATCTTATCGAGTATTCCTTCGAGGTTTAGGTCCTATATTCGCCAAGGCCGCCACCCTTTGGTCATCGATACTTCAACCACTACGTCATCTTCATCATTTTCGGGGAAATATAACTCAAGATCTCATAATAGGATTTGACGTGTGGTAGGCTTGAAAGGACTTATAACCTCAAGGATGGGTGGTTGATCCATTCGTTGACCATTAGTCTCGCCGTTCATTCAGCGATGACCTTGCAGGATCGAATACCCGGATGAAGAGTTACGTTGAAGTTCTGAAAAGGAGGGATCTGGAGCGCCGTCGATAGCGTCTATCTCAATGACGAATCACGGACGCCATCAGCAACTTCTAGCGTTTACTATAATCGCATCGTTGATGAAAGCTGAAATGACCAGTGTGGGCGGAAACCCCCCAGATCCTTCCCTTCCCAATTTGTCATTTCCAATGCCGACGCAGCTCTAGTCTGGGTAATCTTCACTTCATTTCTGCACTTGTGTAGGCTACTGGCGTCGTACGGACAGGACTAATGCAGATGTCACAGCCGGATCCTGCCATGTCAAATACCGTGGCTATATTGCGCCCTTGGCAAAACAGGTACTGTTGTTAAGTGTAATGTAAATATTACAGTAGACGCACAATTCTGAATAATAAAAATAGAACTTATTACTAGGTACCAACAAAGGCAAGATAAAAAAAAAGATATGCTTAAAAGTAAGGGTCGTAAAGGGAGAAAGATGCAGATGGGTTGTCCGCCGTCAGCCTCCATTAACGGAAGCCTCAGCTACGCTAGGGCTCCTAGGGAGGGGCTTAGCTGACGAGTTAGATTAGGTAGGTACCTTCAAGGTTGCACGAGAATAAATTACGCATCAATAATTATCCGAAGCAGCTACCATGCTGTGGACGTGACTAGGTAGATACTCATCGCCCCTGGTCTTCAACGAAAACGAAAAAAAAAGCCCGAATATTTTGGCATGTTAAATTAAATTAGGAAGCAACCGAGTCTTGTGTGGAACAACAGTCAGGCAGACATTACACCTGTTTCAAACTCGTAATGAGTACCTGCCAAGTAGCTAAATGCGGTAACAGCATCATCCATGACACCCTCTTACTGCAGACACGCGTCGAGGATACTCAGGGTAACCGGACTGGCCGATACCGTAACACGTGTACGGACAACGACAAATTTAGGACTATGAGGCTACCCTCTCGGCTCGGGAGAGCCGGGTATTCCAGACTGATGTGATAAACGCCGTTCGGTTTTCGGTCCTCCGAAATCGTCTACCTAACCGCATGTTTGAGCTACTTCTAATGTACTAGAAAGTCGGTGTACCGTCGAAATCCTATAGTCATAGCATTCACTTCATAGGCTTGAATTTTGCCTGTCAAGAATCGTATAGAGAATAAGGGCATATCATTTCTTAGCTATAGCTAGAGCCTCTCCACCCGCCGCCTCAGATAATGGCCGACAACCCAAGGGATTTGCCGGGGCGAAGGATCCGAATACACATTATCAATCTTAGACAGTAAGTAGAATCCCAACCAGCAGTGGAATGAAACATGAGTCCCAAAACTATAGCAAATCGCAAACCTTGGTCCCCATGTTGCAATTAATGTCACTCCTAATATAGACGTTTCCAGCATCTCCATTAGAAGCAATACTCTTCCACATGCAAGTAGATTCCCTGGGCACCAGTACCCTTGTGAACAGCGCGTTCGTCGCTCAGCTTGGCCACGCTCGTTCTCACCTTGGCAACCAAGGATTGTCCACCGCAAACGACCACGCCAGTTTCACCTCCAGTAGCCTCAACCGCCGTCTTGATAAAGCCAGCCACATCAGGTCGCGATGTCAAATGCTGGATGTGCGAGTCAGAGCCTGTGCTGGGGACACGGCTTGACGATTGGTTCATCAATGGCTGAGCGACTCCTTCGACATTTGCTGCTGCCTGGGTCTCTCCGTCAATAACCTTCTTCTCATGATTCGCCGAGGACGTCGAAGACTCTGGGAATGACGTGGTAACCGCCGGTTCGGGTTGTCTATCACCAGTTACGGCAATGTGCACGGACAATTCAACGCCCACCGACTTGGCCTCCTCGATAGCTTCATGTAGACGTTCATGGTAGAAAGAAATCTCCTCGCCTTGCTTTGCTGCCAAGAGAAAATCCACTCGCTTGATACATGACTTAGCCGTGGATTTCAGCACATTCTCCAGGACAGGGAGGGTGTAGGATGCACCAGTCGAAGCGGATATAAAGACCAAGGTCTCGAAGATATCCCATCGGGGTGGGTTACCATACGGGCCTACTACGAATGCCGTCAGAGTCTGCTTCTTTCCCGATTCCTCTAGCTTTCGGGCAAATTTGTTGAGACGCTTTGAGAAGCCCGAATGGGATCGTACTACCAACTGGATGCTGTTGCAGATACACGTGTCCGGGACTTGATGCGCAGAGGCAATCGTGTATGGATGGGCTTCGAACAATGCCATTCTCGGCAACCACAAATAGAGGTGCTGTCCCGGACTCCACTTGAAGTGAACATCCTTGATAGTGAGCACTGTTGTAGACTCGCCAATGGGAGAAAGCTTGGTTAGATGGCCAATCCACTGTGCGCCCTCGCAGCATGTGCGGTTCGGGCGCAATTTGACATTCTGCCAAAATAAGAGTCCCAGGCGAAAAGCGCGATCAAAGCAGATCGAAGCAATCGCGAACCACACGTTGTATCTTCCGCCTACAGGAACATGGCGGTAGATAGTCCAGAGGAATACAACAGCTGCTAAGACGTGTTGGATGACAAAGAATTCGTACGCCATAGAGCGGAATGGCTTGAAGGATGTGACAACCATCCATAGCAAGATTCCCCAAGCTCCGAGTCCATAGCGAACCATTCGCATCATGCTAAGTTCTAGGTCAACCATATCACCTCTAACCCACTCAGTCCAAAAGAACCAGCCATGACAGGTGGCGGAGACGAACATGGTTCGAGCTACCCATCGATGAAGCCAATTCAATCGTTCGTAGCTTGTACCAGTGACCAGTGCGATGACGTTGGTTCTAGAGGCTAGTAGGTAGAGAAGAGGCACTTGAGTAACCGTCACCCAAGCATTACGATAACCAATTCGCTCATAGTAATTGATATCGTATCTCACAACATCTTTGGCCATCATATAGGCGACGACAGCCCAGTAGACGAAGATGATGAAGATGCGGCCCATGGGGGGCGGCGTCATCCATGACAGACCTCGGATTGGGATGTAGAACTGCGGATAGCTGATCTCCCTACATAGGGCAGTTAAGGTTGCCCATGTCTGAGTGAATCGGTTGGTTGGCTTGGTAGGAATATGCACCGATTGACTCTTGGCTTTGCGCAATCTAAGTACAAAAGTTAGCTCAATAAAATGAAAACACCACGGATGTCACTGCAGTCATTAATGGGAAACTTACCTTGACCAATTCAGGGCAAAGTTGATGGTTCGGATAACGAGGAACAGTGCGACCGCGGCTGCAATGAAGTACCAGTAACCCTTAGCATAAGCTCGATTGGTTACGGGCCAGTTTTCATCATTGATGTTCTCCATGGGCATGTCGCCCATGTCATCCATGTCATCTCTACCGATCATCGACATCTTTGCACACTTCCACTTCTTGTTTATTTAAACCAGACTGTAGCGAAAAATGAACATGAGAATGGGAATGGGAATAAGGTCGACAATGTGTTGACGGTTATCTGTTGATTTCCTACCGTTGAGAACGGAGTTTGGAATAATTGCGGTTAATGAAAGAAGTGTGAAAAACGTGAGACGCGTGAGAGACGTGAACGTTGTAGATCTTGTGCTGGTTGGAATATTAAAAAATCCCACGCGGCATCAATCAGTAATGACAGAACTTTGAATTAATCGTCTTTGTCAAAAAGACGGGAAATGATCGTGAAGAGACGTCTTAGCACATTCAGTCCTGCCGTCAAGGCGCGAACTGATATGTGGGAAAGTCGGAAGAAGACGTGATGATTAAGTGGGAAAGATGGTAGGATCTGGTCTGGATCAGATCAGATAAAAGGGTTAGGTACGAATTAAAAAATTGAAGGCGATGGGCTAATCGGAAAAACCAGGTAAGAAGACGACCTCCTAGGTAGATGATGGGCTTCACAGTGAAAGAACGCCTAGGGCCCCAGGGTTTAAGGTTCCCTGCAGGCACCCTTATACTTAGGCTAAGGTGTACCTGCCTTGGGGTATACTTGAGCCTGTGGGATGGATTCGATAAGGTGTACGTACCTAGGAGTTACATGTACCTCCACGCATCTCCCATAAACTGGACGGAATACTCACATGCACGTAATTATGCATCACAACATTCGTTTTATCAAGGCACCTGCAAACATCATTGGAATATGTTTGCTATCATGATAAATCTGGTAGTACATAATCTAACAGGCGGTCTACTTAAAGTAGTACTTGAAACCATTTTTCTAGTCGCCGCTGTCCTCTTGTAGAGCAAATCCTGAACGCCTTGTCAGACGGGGTGTAATAAACACCGCATCACATTGACTACGCTTCATGGAAGTACATAGGTTACTTCCAAGTGTAATATTCATGTTAAAGATGTCTATAATCTCAGGCAGGTGTGAAGCTTTATGCGCACTTTATATGCTCTCTTCTTACGTGTATCTTCACACCTCTGAAGCAATTTCCATACCAAAGTACCCCCACAAGTTGCTCAAATAGCCTCAATTGGCAGCCGTTAGCCATTGAGGGGCAGCAGAAACAGGTGGGGCAGCACTAAATGACCCGAGACTGCGGGAACAGGCAGGGGTTCCGGGGGCTCTATCCATGTCATCTGTGGGGTTGGCCCATGCAAGAACGTCCCTAAGAACCAGATTGGTCCATCTTAGCTGCAAGATCAGTTGATGCAAGATGTACCCGTACAGGGGACCCCACACATTTTGACGACAGTGACGATGCACAGGAACCAATCAAAATGATTCTAGAACTGCGTCTCTTCCATGTGTACATTCCATATGAAGGAACTGTTGACGAGTGTGGAAAATTTATGATCTAAGAAAGGAGCTTTCTAATTTGTATATCATACCTAGTACTATTAAATGAAGGGGTTCTGTAACCTGTATCAGTGTTCATTACCCCAGGTAGTAGGGCAAGATCTCGCTATTAGATCCCAGCTTGTGAACATTGAGATTACAAACATGTAATGTATACCTAGGGGAAGACACCGCATGTCAGCAAAACACATGTACAATGTACCTGATTATCTTGTTTACGTATCTTTCAGGTGGCAGGAAAGACCACGTTTTGGAGCAACGGCCGTAGGTTACGAGGGTAGGTTGCGAGGGTAGGTACCGAGTGCGAACGGCTCACAACTTGATGTGTAAAATACCTACAAATACGTCGTACACCAACTTCACTTTCCTTGTGTTATTTTTCTAATCTTTCCACAATAACCAAACTCGCGACTGCAAAATTCCCAGATACGTAGGAATATTGAAGGCAACCAGGTACGTCACGTCACATACATGATATCCAGATAAATAAGCAGCATTTCAGTCCTTTTTCTCTCTCGTGATCCCATCTCGTCAAATTCAAATTCCTCAGATTCCAACATACCTATCCATAATCATCATTACCTACACAGTATCACAAGGCGTCATTCTTTAATCCTCAATTTTTTGTCTTGTAACTGACGCAACCCTACTATCAGTCATTCAGCAGTCTGTCTTACTTACTACAAGTTCCATCCACAAGGTAATTGGCCGTCTCTACCCTTGCCTATCCTCTCCATCTATCCATGTTTTCGTCCCTTTAACCTTCACTCAACAATATTCGACGCGGTATAACTTTCACTCTACGGAAGAAGAAGAAAGGAGGGAGAAAAACATACTTTCATTTGTCACTAACCGTCACCTAGACAATACACGGAACAATCAATCAATCATGATGCCTTCCATCGCACCTTGCGCGTCGGCGATGCTGCTCTTGGCCAGCGGCATTCATGCCCACTTCACTGTCCAGCATCCCCCTGCTGTTGGCCCTTTTATCGACGACGACGAGCCTAAGGAGCCATGCGGTGGCTACCATCCCGATATCAACAACGTGACCATCACTGACTTCCACGTCGATGGTGATGCCATTGGCACCAAGCTCACCCACTCTCAGAGCACCTGGCTGTACCGTGCCACCGTTGATCCCTCTGCTGCGAACGGCTGGGTCATGGTCTACCCTATCTTCGACCAGAGTGGCTCTGGTGGCTACTGTCAGCCTCATGTGACCGTCCCTCACGACTTCATCGGTAAGAAGGGATACATTGGCATGGTTTCACATGCTAAGGACGGTTTCCTCTATCAGGTATGTCATGACTACCTAGTAGCGCATGTGACACGTGCAAAAAGTACTTCTACCTGTTGCTGTGACTGACACTGTACTCTACCTTATCTAGTGTGCTGGTGTTAACTTCGTCGCGGGAACCGGCAACATGCCGGAAGACTGCCAGAACGCAACTGGCGTCTCTGCGACCTACACCGATGATGCCACCCTGAGCTCTGACCCCAACGACCCCGGCACCCCTTCCGCAACCCCTACTTCGGATTCTCAGCATGAGCACAACGCCGGTGTTTCGACTAGAAGCCAGTCCCTCCAGGCCCTTGGTGGTCTTCTCACGGTCGGCACTATGATGGCTCTGGGTGCAATGCTCGTGATCTAAGATCTCGAATTGCAAGAGTGATTCAATCGACGTTCGACGAGAATGGCATGTTTTCTTCTACACGATGGACTGATCTGCGCAACACACGACAAGTTCTTTCGATATGACCCAAGACTGAAGATTTCAGTGCCGAGTACCTCGAACAGCACTGGATAAGGTCATTAGTTGCCAGTTTTTCATTCCCGAAATCCTATTGAATAGGTACTTAGATACCCCCAGATATGCATTGCGAGTTGCTTTATCGCAATACTTCTATGCCCACAATACAGAAATTTCCCCTTTCCCCCCCAAACCCGACATGTTCCATATTTGTGATACTCGTAGGACTCCGATATTCGCCTTGAATGTAGACGGCCACTCAAATACTACCATCAAGGTGTCTGCCTAGGTAGGCACTGCCGTAAGACAATCAAGAAACCCTCGTAGCAAGATTACACAGGTCTCACTTCGAAGCTAGGCACCGGTTCACGGAATCACAATACCCATAGGAGCCGATATAGGAGGTCCCACGAAGAACCGTTAGAGTCTTAGATTTCGGTCCGACGCTGATTAGCGACCATCATGTAAGCAGATGTCCCGACGGAGCAAACCCCGAGCAATACACAAGTCGTCGTCTGAGATGTCTATCATTCGGGCAGCACTTGGGTCGAAACGGGAGAAGAGTACGGTAGTGAGCTTTCTCGTATGAGGTATGAGGTATGAGGTACGAGATCGTCTTTGGGATTGGCGTGACTGAAATTGGGTATCTAATCATTTATCGTATCGCATCGTTCCATCTCATCCCATCTCATTCCATCTAGACTTCTATATATCCCATCACATCCATCGTATCACCCATAGGTACCTATTTACCAAAGTAGGCTTATATGTGCATCTTATCCACGTCGGCAGCCAACGCCGTACCCTCGTCGCGGTGACCGTACCGCTGCTCCCGCTTAACAGCCGAAAGCCTCTTCCCGATGTTTGGCGCCCCCGTACTCCCAATGCTTTTCGTCTCGGTGGCACTACTCGCCCCATGTACTTCTTGCAACTGCGGAACCTCGTCTTCCTCACCGGCTACGCTCCATTCCTCCTCGTCCGAGATCTCCGCCACGTTGTCGGCCTCGCGCTCCACCATGCTGACGACCGTCTTCCCGCCCGGAAGCCGCACGTCTCTCGCCTCCAACGTCTCCGCGATGTCGAGGAGCAGGACCTCCATCGGACATATGTACGCGACCTGCTTCCTCTCGCTCCAGGCCAGGACGTGTCCGCAGAGGCGACCGTTCGGCCGATCGACGACCCACGCGCCCGAGTCGCCGGGGACGCCTAGGGGAAGGGTGGAACGAGGGTATACCTTAGGTGGGTCTTCCGTTGCCGGGAGGCGATATCCGCGCGAGGTCGAACACCTGCCGCTGATCTGGTAGGTGTGGCTGGGAGACGATCGGCCGTATATCTTGACGGAGGTCAGGGCGGGAAGGATTTGGCCCATCTAGTAACGAGTATTTGTCAGCTGTCACGTCCGAGGCATGATGAAGACTATAGGGTTAGCTAGGTACTTACTTGTAATCCACTTGTACGTGCGATACATTGGACCTCTAAGCCTGGCAGAGACTTCGCGGGGACTACTTCTGTGGGGTTTATGATTCCGACAGAAGTTGTCGACCGAGTACTAGTAGATGCAGCACGAGGGATAAGATTGTCTGATGGTAGTCTCTCATCTTGGAAATCGAATAGGGCCCAGTCAATCTCGTGAACTAATCCATGCTCGTTGCGGCGACGTATGCCAGACGAAGCATAGACTTCACCAAGCCTATATGTATCGATATGATCCTGGACAACGCATTAGCTCCCTGCTGAAGATCTTGGCCAAAGGAAATGGTATGATGTAGGCTACCAAGTAGCTATACAGCACTGAAAACGAACTTACCTCATCCATAGTATCTTCTGAAGGATAAAACCCGTCAGGGACGTCATCAAAAGCAGGCTGGGTAACTATATATCCTACATATGTACAGTTTAGCGAGGGATCTGCAAACCAGAATTGGGTAAAAGATTATGTATAATCCGTTGAAGATTTTTGGGATATATGATATACTGAGAAACTTATTCGTATTGTTTCTGACTGAGACTAAGTGCATATTCAGGGGACAGCCTTACATACCGTCTCCGCAACCAGGTTCTACGCCTGGAATATCTCCGGGATCAGCGTATTCTTCGTCGTCACTATCGTCTTCGTCGTCACTAGTGATATCCGTGACCGAAAATTCTGACTCAGAATCGGAGAATTCTTCTGCAAAATCGTCGCTGCTATCGTCGGTTGAGGATTCTCCTTCGTGTGGATGCGTCATGCTACGACGTGGAGGGGCATTTGCTCTCTTAGGTCCCTCGGGTAGGCTGGAAGGATACAACTGAGCGTCCGGGTCGTCTAACATATGATGGACTGTCATCCCGTATGGCCTGTCGTCAATAATAATAAGGCCCCCAAAGCTAACAGGCGGTAGATGTTTGTCTCCTATCCATGCACCAATACTAGCACCATTTTGCGGCCTCTCTTGAAAGCCGGGGTTTGCGGCTTCAGTCTCATCGTCATCACTTTCACCCGCAGAATACTGACGCTTGGTCATGCTCCTTACAGGTCCTTTACGAGAGCGCACCATGGATCCACGACAGACCTTCAAGCCGAATCCCGTTCCATCGAAAAATACACCAAGTTTCTTATTTAATATGGCTCGAACTTTGCTCACCGAGGTACAGACAACCAATACAGTTGGTTTAGTCTTATTGGGTGATTCGCCGATAGACTCGAGTGAGATTTCAACAGACTCGGGGTTCTTGCGGTAAAAATGTCGCAAGGCTAAGTTGATCTGGGGCATAAGGGTACTGTGCCATTGCTCGATCACCTCGGTTGAGAGTGGCACTTGAGGGTAAAGTCGGAGCTTAGGTCGCTGGTTCTTAGAGGGCTCTGGGGCATTCTCCGCAGGTTTTTCAGCTATCAATATGTCAGTATTGAATAGTATACTCATCAAAACAAGGTCTATCCTACATTTGGTGGTTTGCTTGCTATCAGCCCCAGCTGACCCAAGGGTTTCCCTGCTTGTTAATGTTCGCAGACTAGTTTCACGAGCTTTTCGGGTGCTTGCGGAGGGTCCTGCGAGAGGTTCGGTCGCAGTAGCAGCTCTCCCCACTCCAGAAGAATATCTGTCCTGATCATCGCCCAACTGCTCATCCAATCCGCTTACACTGTCCAAGATACAGCAAGCTTCTAGGTAGCGGCTGACCCTAATTTGGATTTGGCTAATGATCTCCTCGGTAGAGCCAGGATGTGCAAGTTCCTGGTCAACCGCATTCCAACACGCCTGAACAGCTCTCATGTATGGTGTACCACAACGTATGGCCAGCTGTTGAAGAACGGATTCCGAAATGCTAGGGGAAGTCCGACTCGGAACAAGGTTCTCGAGTTGGGTCCAGAGGCCGATGGAGACGAGTATCATAGCCAATGAATATAAATCGAGAGTCCTAGTATCACTATTCGACGTAAGAGGTGATTGTCTAGTTGTTCGAGGGTCAAGTGGATGGCGATGTAATGGAAAAGTCGGCTGCGACTCGTTGTGTGTTGATTCCTCGGGAAAGACATCGAAGGATGACACAAGAGGCCTTCTAACGTCCACCTCACCTACAGGTAGACCTGGATCGTTCCCAACAGTATTGCAAAATGATATTGCGGAGGCACTGAGGTTTCCATGGGTGATCCCCCGAGCGTGCAAGTCGAATACCGTGTTAGCAAGGTTATGGGCAAGGCGAAATTTAGCCTCCAAAACTGGTTCAAAATCTGGCCGGTTGAGAAGCTCCCGTAATGTGCACAGGTTATCGAGAGGGTTTTGGGTGAAGTTTTCAAACGTCACGGGGTTGAAACCAGGAGGAAATTGATAGATGAGGGCCAACCTTGATTCAGCCATATCTTCGTAGTAGCCCAGAAGGAGAGGTAGACCAATCCACGATCCAGGAGTCCTTTGCGATTCTGTCTGAAGGCCGGCGCTTAGTTTTTCGAATCGAGACATGTCAGGCATGATACCGGTTGCGGAATATATCGGGTCAAACGGCGCATATTCCACAAGTAGAGGGGATGAAGGCTGCGGTCCCTGCCGATGGGCTAAGTCGCCATAGGCTTGCTTGCTCATGAAAAAGATCTCTTGATTCCGATTCCGTGCAGTCTCCGTGTCTGATATCGGCGTGACTTGCATCGACTTTAAGCTTGTTAGAGTTTGAATATCGATCTGCTGTGGAGTCCTGATCCTGGTGGAACTATATAGCCGTAGATCTTCGGTTGAAGTGGTGGACTTGAACGACCTTGCTCCTGCAGCTCTAGAAGAAAGTGCTGCGGATGATCGCGTCCTGGAGAGGTCACAAAGGGTATCGATAGAGGCTGTTAGATCTTTAACAAGATCTTCGAATCGTCCTTTATCCCAAACGATCAGAGGAACCTTCCTGTCACCAGATGCCTTCTCCGACGCCTTCTCACTCCCAATATTTTGTCTTGAAGCAAGCCACAGAGGCTCGGCCTCAGCAAGAATATCTTTGATAGTTGCCATGATACTACCCACAAGGTCGCTTAAGCCTGCTTGAGATAAGGACTCGTCAATTTCGGCGGCTTGATTCGGATCGGACCATTCCAAACCCCAGCTGACCAGGCGGTCCTTTTGGATGCGCAATTTGCGATGCAAAGCCTTGATGTCAGGGTCGTCAAGACTCGGGGCCGACTCCTTCACAAAATCCGAAGACTTTTTGGTGTCATTGTAAAGCCTGCTGAGCCGCCGCTGGAAAGGCAGTTGGAAACCGCCCAGCGGAAGAAAGGAATCCATTTTGACGATTATGAATAGCGGCTTGTGTATATACAGTCAAGGGCTTATAATCGATCAGATTTTCTTAGTTGTCGACATTAAAAAGGGAATTAGATATCCTGATTTTTTTATATACAAAATTCAGAATAATTGATGGACCCTCTCGCATGATACTAGAAGTTGTAGTCACTCATAGGAAAAAAACTGGCATAAGTCGCGAGTAAGTTTAGAAGTCATATATTTGACGAAATGGTTAAATCGAAGTGAGAAGAAATAAGATCAACGCCACTTGTAGGAGCGTTAATGAAACTGAGAGGGACGAGCCTTAGTATGCGCGCAAACGCCGAGAGAAGCAATTTAGGCATGCAGCACAAGGTTCCTCGCATCGCACAACCACAAGATGGCCCGGCTTTGCGATACGCGAAGAATAATTCAGCTGCCTTAGCTTCGGTATAACCTAAATGTGAGAAAAATCTCGGTGCCTGGGTGCTTCGATGCAGGTAGCCGGGTCCATGGATGGCGTATGATGCGACGAGGGAGGCTCCGGTTGGACGAACAAATTGGATTTCTAGGTAGCGGTTTAAAGATTTTATTGGCACTCGCAATCCTCGCAACCCACGTATAAGTCCGAAATGGAAATGCTGCTGCCTGGATTTGAAGGGAATGAAGTTGCGAAAAGAAGAAGATCAACTGGTCGGATCAAACCACTAAGCCGCAACCCACTCTTCTTACCCCGGTCCACGCCAACGCCCTAACAGGGATTGATTACGCGGCGTGGCGCTAGAAAGCTAACAGCGCAGCTGGCTGGCAGCTGCGGACGGACGGCCGGTCGTAACACAAGTACTCGCTTTATTGCGGTTTCCGTCTAATAACATTCGATATATGAATCCGTTTATTATAATATGCGACTAGATAATTTCTCATTGTTAATATTTGCGATAACCACATACTGGGTAATCAAAACTGAATATGCAAACATGAAACTTTGAGCATTGCTTCGTAGGGAGGACATCAACAAAACGTTCCCGTAGTATTTATCCATTACACTTTTATAATAAGCCCAAGGTGAATAACCTGATCCTTCTTATGACACGGAAGTTGCATACTTAGGTAGGTTGTTAAGTTAGTTATAAAACTTGGAAGAATCTGTGGGATCCCGATCGCCGCAAGGTAGCTAAGATTGGAATTACTATCGTCGATTTAGCCAACCACTACCACAGCTTACTTTCGTATAATCGTGTATGATGCTAGCCGATTAGGCTCCCGCGATATATGGGTGAGCTCTAATTCGGATCGGCCGTACTTTTGGCAGGCTTTCCCATACCGCATCGTTGCACTACCCATCGATCGTCTTGTCTTCTTTATGAAGCTAATATAAGTCTATGCGCGAACGATGATGTTTTCATCGCGAAATATTAACAACACTCAATGAAAGGTTCTCCCATCTCACGTATGGCAGCCGTAGAGGCCTCTGATAGATGCGACTGTATGTTATAAAAAGGTCAGCCTCCATTCTTCCTAGACGACAGGATGAGGGAGGTACCAAACATTATTTGCTAACTTGTCTAGCAGACAACTTAGTATTGTTGTTTATCGGTCAGCCCAGATGATCAGCTCCTAGAAGCTGTATCATACGTAAGCACTATTCATCCATTAACCAATGAACGATAGTAACATCAAAAAGAAATAGAAGAGCATTCTAGTAAGTTTCTAGCTTATATCTAGATAAAGCAACCGATAAATTGCTACTGTGAATTATACAGAAACAAGGCCAAGTTTTGAGTCGGTAAACCTTAACGCCAGCAGGGAGCTCCTAGAAGCTGTTCGTGAGGTTGAAGCTCTCTTCATGGGCCCTCAGAAGCTGCTGGCTTATATGGCGGTAATCGTAAGTCAAGCTCGGAAATCTTCTTCCAAGGCCTGCGCATCAATGCGTGGACGCTGGAACTAGTATTATGATGTGGTTCCGTTGGGAGCTCTCCTAGAATTCAATGTCCCCGCCCTCGTCCCGGTGGAAGGGACCGTAAGCATACTTGACTTGGCCTCGGAAAGCGGTGTATCTGAAGATGAATTGACGCGCTTTATCCGCTATGCTACTGCCAATTTTATCTTTTGCGAACCTTCACCGGGCGTTATTGGTCACACAGCAGCTTCGGCTGCCCTTGCACGGGATCCCTCGTTCTGCAACTTTCTCCGCTGGCTCACGCTTGATCTCGCGGCGGTCCAAGCTTCCCTTCCAATCACAACTAGAAAATGGCCTCAAGGCGAGCAGATGAATGAGTCCGCTGTAATTTATGCATCTGGAATGAACAGCAATTTTTGGGAGAGGATGAACAAAGACCCTTGGCGCCAGTCCAGATTCCATCAAGCCATCGCGGAGTTTGCAAGTGGCGGCGGTGGATTAAGGGATCGATCCCTGGACGTTGAGGCGTAACCTTGGGTTGAGAAGCTCGGATAGAAAGCCGTTGGTAATTATAGACGTCGGTGGCGGCTGTGAGTCCGAAGCTTTCATCCCCGTATCCCCTAGCCGCTAGGTACTCCGCAAATCGAGATCTGATTACCTACGGGTAGCTGCATACTTCTCCCGTGTTCTTGCATTAGCTTGTCCGGACTTCACCATCACCGTACAAGATCACACCGTGGACTTTTCGGCTTCTGCAGCCGGGACCGGTAAGCTTTCGAATAGGTATTAACTTCCAGGAACACGGTTTCTTTAACCCTCAACCACTACGCGACGCAGGTGCGTACTTCTTACGACACATCCTACACGATTGGCCTCGCGCCGAGGCCGTCTCGATCTTTCGGAGTCTTCTACCGGCCTTCAAACCAGGTGCAAGAGTGTTAGTCTCGGAACATCTCATGTCAGGTGGCGAGCGGGGCGAGTCGCTCCTTGAGGACAAGAAGAGCTATATCTTTGAGGCGGTTTGGGAGGCAGATTCCCAATTTCCGAATCGATTGCGGGAAGCCATCAAGATAGCATATTTACACAATGTCCTTTGAATATCTAAGGGCTTATTATAAACAGGGCTAGCTTCATGGGAAGACGCTTTCTAATACATTCCCATAGTCCGTGTACGATGATCCCATTTTCTCGATATCATAGTCGTTCCAATACCCACCTCCGGCTAGGGTAGTTTGCGCAGTCCACCCCTGGAACTTAGACTGTGCCTGCGCAGAGGTAACTCCCTGCGATGGTTTCGAATCATTCGTAACCCACACGAGAGGTACAACCTTGAGACCGAGAGTAGTCTGCCAGCTTGCGGGGTTGTTGCCCGCTCCGCCGTCATAGCACTGCAAATACACTCTATCCAAGAGCAGATTCGGTTCTTCAAGGTCCTTGTTAGCCTGCGTCTTAAGAGAGGTCCAAAAGGCTATGTTGGTGTATGGCGCGATGGTGTATTTATATCCCACGTTGCCAAGCATCTGCGCAAATGCAACCGTGCTGGAGACGTCGTATATGGACTCGTCATCGTTGTTCACGGCGTCGAGATCCCATGCCTCTTTTAGCGCCGCGAAATTACGGTATAGCGGTGTGGAGGCCCCGGTCCCCGGGGTTTGGACGAGATCCGCGACGTGCTGAGAATTCATTGAGATCTCAACCCGATTGACCCCCGTATCACCTGTCTTAAACGACCGGACCTTCTCAGAGAGAGCATCGCCGCCGACATAGCTGCCATTAGAAGCGATAAGGACATCAGAGCTTCCCGGTGTGTTCGAGTAATACATGATGCCGCCATCATCTAGGATGCCAACGCCGAAGATGATGAGTGAGTTGAAGCCAGATGTCTTCAGCGCTGTAGTGTTCGATTTCATTACATCTTTGAATAAGTACATGGCCCTTATGCTAGATGTATCCGCGAGGGGGGCGGCAGAGGTATGTTGTAGAAAGAGCCCTGATAGGAGGGCTCCTGCTAATGCGAAGCACTTCATCTTTCAATTTCGATATACCCGTACAACCTCTTGACAATAATGAGTTATGAGTCCTATAGTTAGAGGATTTGCTGTGGTTAGAATTTAAATCTACTCAACACTCCCTTCGGGTCAATCATATATTAATCTTTTCTTTGACCACCGAGAATTCTAGGCTGTGGTAGACTATACGGAAGAACTATTTTCTTGGTCTATAGTAACATCGTCGGTAAAATGGGGCGATAGGGTCTCACTAGGGTTGCATTGCGATGAATAAATACGAGTGACCTTCTATTCTAGGCTTAACTCACGGCTAAAGTACCGTCGTAACTGGCCTAGCATAAATACCACCGCCTAGGCCAATTTTCCCATGAATTGAATATTGCAATAATTCCATGGGGTTTCATGGTAGATCGAAGTAGAAACAAGCATATTGAAAGCTAACATTCGATTCGAGTGTAACCACCTTTACCCCTTTTATGGATCCCCTTTCCCGTGAACTCCGTAAAAAATACTTCGAATCAACGGCTTGTGTTTTGCATGTTTACTAAATACATATATACCTAGGTATGTAATCTTCTCATCTCAATAACTAGTACTAATAATTTGAAACTCGAACTCTTGATAAATTGAGGATTAGATACTAAGGGCGTACGTATGGGAGGCGTTGCGTTGGATAAGGGGTATCATGTGATCAGTGACGAGATGCGATTGAAACAATCCGAATATGTACTGATATGTGTTACACAATTGGCTACCAAATGTGAACTACGTGAAAGTAACCCAGCCGTTATGCGTGGGTGGGCTGTAACGTCCCTTCATCAATATACAGTATTATGACGTAATATATTCGTAACGTTAGTATGCTTTCCCAATACATTCATTGCTCTCAAATGTAATTCGAAACTTAGCGGCATACCAAGTCACTAAAGAATGATTGAATTGTATCAGCTTAGAAGGAGACATCTGATATTGCTAGGTTATCTATCCATCTCCCCTTCCAATGCTGGCTTCTATACCCGGATATCTCCGGAAGCAGGCACATAGTTAAGATACCATCAGAAGAACATTGCACCACCTCTCCATTCAAACCATCCCCCACCCCCCTCCCCTTTCTTTTAACCCCACCAAAAAAATGCCCCACCACAAGCGCGCCGAGCTCCTCGAAGCCGCAACAGCGTTCTGCTCGAGCTTCGCGCAGAAGAAGCCGCTCGACGAGATCCTCAGCCACTTCTCCTCCTCCTCCTCCTCCTCCTCCTCCTCCTCCTCCTCCTCCTCCTCCTCCTCCTCCTCCTCCTCCTCCTCCTCCTCCTCCTCCTCCTCCTCCTCTCCAGACATCCTCGCCTACGAGCACGGCCTGAAGGAGCTGGCGCCCTTCCTCGGCCGCGAGTTCCGCGGGCGCGCCGGCGTGCGCTTGTACTTCGAGACCGTCGCCTCCTTCCTCAACTACGAGGACATGCGCTTCGCCGACTATGTCGTCGACGCTGCGGAGGACCGTGTCGCCGTGCGGGGCACCGCCACGTTCACCTGGGTCGCCACCGGCGAGAGCTGGGGCGAGGTTTTCGCGTATGCGCTGAAGTTCGACGAGGGGCGCAAGGTGACGCGGTATGAGATCTGGGCCGATTCCGGCGCGGCGTATCTTGCGAGCAAGGGCCAGTTGCAGAGGTTAAGGGATGAGAAAGCAGGATAAGTTAGCTTCAGTGTACTGGGGTGAGGATTACCTTCATGACATTGTCACTCAGACAACAATTGGCCAGATTCCAAATCATTGGGTGATTTTTAAGAAACAATACCAAGAGATAGATAGGTACCTAATGATGCATGCCTTTTAAGATGAGTTGTGATTTCATGATTAGGTCTCTAAAGACCTACCTATGTGAGTCCTCAGCAGATTCAATCCCAATGCCGTAACCTGTAACCGAACATGCCCACATTACACAATCCCCCCTTTATATCTGTCTATGATCAAGTAACCTAAGAACCGAGATGAACAACTAGGTAGGGAAGACAACTGAAAGCTTTTGGAGAGTAAAAGCCTTTCCCATAAGTTCCTCTACAAACCTATTCACGAACATAAATATCCCCACCCTCTTATTTTAATAGCCGTTATCTCCCCTAGCCTTCTAGATGTCGCATTATTTCCATCCCATTACTTAGTCTTCGCCTCAATCGCAACTTTACTCTCTCCCTCCTTTACAAGCTCATCGCGATCCCAGAGCAGAGCCAGAGCAGCGCCGGTAGGGCCGCTGACGAGCGTCCAGAAAATAGCCGTACCTAGAGACTTTGCCAGGGAGCGTCCGGAAGTCGTAATGTGCAGATACAGGGCCCACAGAAAGAGAGTCGTGTTGCCAGTGTACAAATCGTATTGGAGGAAATTGATGACTAAGGGAGCAAGGTCGCCCGGCCCGTAATTGGACGGATCCACGGTTAGGGGTGCAGAGAGTGGGTGGGGCACGAATGTGCGCGCGAAGGTGACTTGCGAAAAGAGGGACGCGAACTTGGGAAATGCGGAGGCGAGGGAGGAGCGGAGCGGATCAGGAAGCAGAGAGACGGCGAAGATGGGAATGTGCGTCACGGCGCTGATTGTCAAGCCGAACTGGTACACGCCCGATACGGCCGCCATGAAGCCATTCCCAGGCGTAGTTGGTTTGCCCTGAGCGTCCTGTGGGGTGAGGCTTCCGAACAGGAAGTAGCAGGCATTATGCAAAACATCTAGGATAAGTACCGTCCACTATAAGAGAAAGGTGGTCAGTGAAGACAGGAATTTGGATACGGGATTTCAGATATGGAAAGGGTGAATAAGTGTTACGTCGCGGGATAAGTCACTCAATTTATTCTAACCCTGATCTTGCAGGGATATACAAGCATTTCAAGTCTTAAATGGAAGCCACACCAATGCGCAGGAAGTGGTAAGAGATTAAGGGAAGAACAGCTTTTAAAATCAACATACCAGAGGAAACGCCTGCCAGAAGGCAATCCAGTTATAATGAGTGGCGGCGGACTGGTGGAGAAGCGAGGGCAAGCTCATGACAATAGTAGGCACGACGAGCCCCAGGGTCACGGCCAGGGGGAGGAGTGCGAGGTCCCAAAGATACACGAACAGGCTCTGTCGCGCAGCATCACCTTTGCTCTTGGCATCTTTACCGCCCAATTTCGCAATGGGTGACGTGAACAGGTGCAGAGTAAGATAGAGCGGCACAATAAACGTCCACGTCAAGTTTTGGAAGATCAGACCGGCGGTCCCAACCCAACTCACGATACGTCCGCGATTTCCGGACCTCCGGCCCTCGAGCACGAGCGCGGTCCACCCGGCGGCAAACTGGGCCATACCCCAGACGTAGAAAGCCGTGACTTCCCAGCCGGCGCCGCCGTCGTCGACTAGCGCCGCGAAGAAGGCTACAAGCACCGACAGGTGTTTGTCCAGCCCTTCTATGCCGGTGAAGGCGCGTTTAAAAGGCGTCGGGGCGCCGAGGATTTCCGCGCCGGCTCCTGTGACTTCCCGCAATAGCTTGCCCATTCCGTTTGAGCCCATCTGGCCCATGGAGGCGCGAAACCCGAAGACGGAGAGCCCAGCGAAGAGGGCTGCGAGCGCCAGTTTCCCTATGGGAGCCTTTTCGAGGAGTTAGTTTGTTTACATGGTATCCGAACATCCGACGTGCGGATGACACAGTCTTACCATGATAGATGAGATATCTGGCTATATTATATCTATTCGAAGAGAAAAAAAATGAAGATAGTATAGTATTCAGAACAACATAGTAGTCTAGCAGGCTTCCTTTTTAACAACTACTTCGTATTGAAGTAAAGGAAGGAAGCTTGGTAAGCACTACGAAACCAGACTTGTCATCTTCCGAGGTAAGTGGAGCAATACTTCTCGGTGAGACCGCGCCGCCAAGGGGGAGGGGTTCAAGCCACATATGTAGCTACGGATTTCGGAGTGTCCATATACGGCCGCGGTCCCGTGGCGCATTGTGGCTCAACATGAATAAGACATTAAAGGAGATGAGCCCGTCCATGTCAACGATTATCGCTAAAACTGAAGTTGAGCTTCTATTGCTGTACAAGCTAATATGTTGAACATTAAAGTTGCATGGCTCCGACGATCAAACCTCATGGCCAGAAATCGTCATCCTCTACAGCTAACGCCAGTTCTTTCTCGGGCACTAGGAATAATTGATGCAGCGAGTCTATCAGCGAGTCTATCAGCGACGTGATATCCTCGATGAGTTTTATAGCATGTTCTGTTAAGAGCACCTATTGAGCAATTGCTCGACTGACTTTTTTTCCGTCTGTGACGCACGATTATGTCTTAAATCTTCTTGTCTAGAGAGAATAGAACCCTCTCTGATTGTGCTGCCTCGTCTGTTGGGCGGTCTTCGTCTTGTTTGCCCGATACTTGGAATTGTTTTGACAGCTTATCTGACTCCTGAAGAAGCTCGAGTATTTGAAAAAGTGTCTCTTTCGCGATTTTGATTTCGTCGGTGGCTGCTGATGAGTCGTTGAATTGCGGCCTCAAAAACGGTCTTCCTAGTTCCAACATGATACCATTATTCCCGTGGAATTCACCGCAGCCCGTACCATGAGTATAGCGGCGCCAGTCGTGTCTCATCCTGAGCACCTTGATTAAAGATCTCCCCATCTCGTTCGGCCCACATCCGCCGCACCGCCTCCCATGTATACAGGTTCCCGTCAACCCCGACTTCCTCGAGAGAGGCATGTTGGAGCACGCTTTCCACCCAAGCATGGCAAGCACTCTCGCGCTCTTCCGTAAGCATACCCGATCCCCGTCGCAGGCTCGGAAAGGCAGCCTCCTCTTCGGCCTGCAGCTCGAACAGGAAGCGCATCGCCACTTCAACCTTTACCCGCACGACGCCGAACTCTCTAGCCATCTTCCCCTCTTCCAAACCCAGCGGAACCGTCTTCCCATCCCTAACCAGCCCCTCGAACGAAACAGGCCGGCTAAGATGCTCATCGTCCCCCGTCCGCACCATCAGCACGCTACACTCGGGCATCAGCCGCTCCAGCCACGCCGCGACTTTCCAATGCTGGTTGTGGCCCCTGATCTCCGGAACCGGCTGCACCGGACACTCCACGGGCAACACGTGCTCGTCAGCCACGAGGACCACGGCGCGGAACAAATGGTGCAAGGACAAGCCGTGCTCGCGCCACGTCCGCGCCGCCCCGTCTGGCGGTGGGAAAGTACTATCGGCATCGGCGGTGTCTTTGCATAGCAGCCGCACGACCTCGGTCCCGAGACGCGCCGCCGTCGCGTCGCATAGCCGGCGGTGGACGGCGACGAGGCCGGGGACGCTCCAGCTCGCGGCCTCGCTCTCGGGCACGCGCAGCGCCTTGGCGAAGTAGTGCTGCCGCTGCAGGTTTGGCCGTCCGCCGTGCAGCGCGTGCCATGTGCGGTATATGTAACAGCCCAGCCGGCGGTCCGTGTAGCCGTGGCGGTCGCCGGCTCTATCGCCCACGAAGTACACGGCTGTCTGCTTGTTTGCGTAGTCGCAGATGTCGGGGAACCAGCGCATGGTGCCATTGTCTTGATGCTGCTGGGGCGCCAGCGCCATTTCGAGATTGCGCGCCCAGCCTGTCCGGAACGTCGAGTGCCAGCGCAGCGAACCGGATGCTTCTTCGTGGAACATGTCTCCGAGGTGGCCCCGGACTAATCCTAGCTCTTCGGGGGTGAGGGGGGTGGATGCGGCACGGGTGGCACATATCTGGTTGTAGTCCACGTCGTCCGTGTGTTTCGGGCCTGAGTACGAGTCCCGGGGCAGCATGTAGGGTGAGAACGGAGAGTTGCTGTCGATTATTATATCCGGTGTCTCAGATGGAGTTTGCAGCTCGTGAGAAACCATCGTGCTTCAATGATGCGCTGTGTAGTCGCGATACGTGGTGGGTGATAACATTGAAATACCCAAATTTTACGAGGGTTATTATATCGAGCCTAGTCTCGCTATTAAGAATTTCCTATCGCGAGGGAAATAAGTACCGATCTTGGTGGCGTTTTTTTAATTTTTTATGCAAAGGCAATTTGAATCTTGTACAAAGTGAAAACCTAAATTCAAGGGATTGAACCATGTACTTCCGGTTAAACTAGGAGTGTTCCCATCAACGCTTGTCGGTATCATGTTGGATGTATCCTCTCTAAATATTTGAGGATGCGGTCGGCGATATCCATAGGAAGGAGTCAGGATAATCGATGAAGTCTCGGACCATTGCAATAATAATTTATGTGCTTGTAGAGAGAACATGAAAGGACTTGAAATTTTGAGATATCAGTGAAACAATTAGATGAGGCTTCATGAGCGCTAATACTTACGATAACCATTTATATTCAGAAGACAATACAGCGCAGATGGTCTGTTAATGCCCATAAAGTCCATTAACATTGCCTGATAAATCCATGGTATCTCATCAGTATCCCGCCTTCTGCCCTCTATCCACAGACCAGCTCATCAGCCGGTCTCTTCCCATCCAAATCCGGCTCTCTAACACCCTCCACGCCATCCGATCTCGGCAACTCCTCTTCAACACCCCTATTCACCTTCTTCAATGTAGCCTCTTCCGCCGGAGCCTCATCCGCGGCTTTCGCCGCTAATAGTTCCTGCTTCTTCTTCTCCTTCTTACTCAGACTAATACTCCCATTCGCCAGGGCCTCCTTCGGCAGCGGCCTTACAATCGGCTGCGCGACCCACCACGGTCTCTTGCACTTTCTGACCGTCGCCACCGAGCTCTCCTGGTCCTCCTCCTCCTCCTCGTCTCCACTTTTGCCCTCCTCCGCGGACCCCTTTTCTTGTCCCACCTCCTTCGACTCCGGCGCCGCTTCTTCTTCTTCGACGCTCTTGCCCCCCATCCTCTCGTACTCGACGAGGCCCTCGGCTACCCTCCGCTCCACCATGTCCAAGACGTCCTCGATGGCGGGGACGTCGCCGGCGCGGCACCTAGCGAGCGCGTCCCGTATATCCGTGTGCGCCGATATGAAGTGCCGCAGGAGGTGGAACAAATGGGGCCGGATCGCGATAAGGTTCGGCGACGTGCACCCCTTGCCCCCTCCTCCGCCATCCTTCCTCCGCTTCTTGCGCGCGGGGCCCTCCTCGTCCTGTTCCGCGTCTCGCGCCTTCCCCTCCGCGATCCACGTCTCGTCGTCTCCGATGACGAATAAGGGCCTTCGCGTCGGGAGCTCGTGTTGCAGGACGTGTTTATGTATGATGTCCATGTAACGCCTGAATACGGCGTCGACGCGGTAACCGCCCTTGCCGTCTTTGCCTCGCCAGTACTCTCGCCCTTCTTGCCCTGGCGCTGGCACTTGCGCGAAAATGGCGGGGTCGCTCAGGTTGCCCTCCGCGCTCATTACGGCGTCGGCCCCGGTCGCCTCGAGACATCGCTCTAAATCGTCGTGCTGGAGTACGTTCCCATTGGCGAAAATAACCGTCTCCTTAGGTAGGTTTTCCCTCAAGTAGCGCAGGTATTGCCAATCCGCAACTCCCATCAAATGCCCTTTCTGTTCCCGCCTCCGTCCGTGCACCGTAATGATACTTGCGCCGGCTGCCAGCACATTCTTAGCGTAAGCCAGGGTGGCCTCCTTGGTCTCTAATATCCGAATCTTGGCTGTGACAGGCACAGGAAGTTTCTCGTGAAGAGTGTTGATTAACTTGTAGATGAGTTCTTGGTTCTCTTGCAGGAATGCGCCGTAGTGGCCTTTGCGCGCAATGCCCTGCGGACAGCCTAAGTTTAAGTCGACGGCATCGCAATAAGGCGCAACTTGCGTAGCTGCGCCAAGCAGATGCTCTGGGTCATTGGCGCAGAACTGTACGAATAAAGGGCGATCGAATGCCGGGTTGCCGTCGAGGAATGGTACTGGTTGTGGAGGTTGTTCGGGGTCTGTGGGTGTGGAAGGTCGGGTAGCCTCGAAATGCGACTCTCTATACTTGGGCGTCTCTTCGAATAATCGTGCGTGAAACATGGGCGTGTAAGCTAACACTTTCGAGTTCTCAGTCGGTGTGAGGAATGATCTTGTGAGCATGCGCCAAGCCTAATATTGAAAGAGAGTTAGTACTCGATGTTTCCAAACAACTCAAATTAGCTATAAAGAAGACATACAAACTCGGACTGGTCGACCATCGGCGCAAGCACGAACTTGGGACTGCCAATGCTTTCATAAAAAGCCCGCCCATGCAATTTCGGCTTGGCCGCGGGCGTCTCTCCATTTGTCGGAATAGAAGCCATTGTGACGTAGTTTCTAGCTAGTAATTTCCAGCCGCAGCCGGGAAATGTCCAGCGGGGACCTAGTCTTCTTGCAACCTCCAGGATGACGATTTCGCGATCTCAATTATTGCCGTTGAAATGTCTACCTTACAAGAAAGTTCTCATGACACTATAGTTGTCTACTAAAATTCACGATATCGTGTCTTATCGATAAGTGTTGTCGAATATTTCTTATCAGATTAAACCCGATATTTCCGCGCTAAAATTATCTAGGTAAACTATACTATGTACCCCTTTTTAATGATTTAGTTACCGGGCCGTAGGATAAGAAAATGTGATTAAAGTAACCAGTTATTGCGGTAATCCATCGTGTTTTACTTGGCCAATACTTCATTAACATGTCAAACTACATCTATCATGTATATATCTGATAAATTGACTAGTGGGGTTTGGTGTGCGGAAATGGCATCTGATATTACCTAATGAGAATATGGGTGAACGTGGAGTTGATTGAATATCGTTCTACGGGATTTTTAGCATTTGAGTGGTCCAACGGAGGGAGTCTATCTACGTGGGAAATATCGTTTGTAAAAGCTATCATGTGTACTTCATTGTAGTAAAAGTGGTGAAGCCTAAGGGTATCACATGACCAAGGAACGACCCGGAGATTGGACAAGCCGCCAATAGCGTTAATAAAGAAGCTAGCTATGTCATTTGATAAAGCAACATTGAAGCACCCGAGCATTGAATTTACCAAAATCCGCTATGCGGCGGCTAACATCTCGTATTAATCGTCCGAGTACTTGTACAAGTGAACAATGGCGCTGGACCGTTGCGACTTGGCGAACCGTCTAATCCATTTACGGTTAGTCCGGACCCTCGCTAAGGGGGGACCCTGGAGAGAACAAGCGTCACGATACTACGTAGAAACAAGGTCGTGCGGACGAATTCTTCCGATCATTTAATATCTCTTCACCGATTCGCCTCTGTACTGAGGGAATCTTAGGGAACACTAGGAAATAGGATACAAGGCCAACACATCCATACAATTAATGACTCGAAAATTGATGTCGATATTCACTCTTTAACCCGGCTGAAATGCGTGGTGTGCTCAAATCTCTCACTAATAGTACATTACTTCCATTCTCCTAGAGCAAACGTCATCATGGTCTCGAGGTCGTGAACGAAAAGACAATGTATTATTCCTCTCTCGCTCGAATTTCAAATGCTAACTCCCTTCATATCCCTTGTCTAGAATTAGAATGATGCAACACCCTGTAGATACATACATCTATGCTAGGTTCCAAAATGTTGACCTCGCTCAGTTGCATCTTCGAGGGCGAGGTAGAACTTAATGTGATAGATACGTGAGTAGTAGACAAGGGGTGATATGAAGATGCCGTTTTATTTTTCAATACTCCACCAACAGGATCGAAATCACACTCTCGGCCGGTTCGGTCTTTTATTCCCACGTGCTAGCCTCAGGGCGATGTACTCCTCTCTCCATTCCGAGAAACGGGCCGGGTGAACTAGGTCAACATACCTGCACCTAGTTCAGACTCCCCCTCCAGGATAAGCCGGACTGTGCGCTATCATACATGACACACCAAGTACCTGACTCTGAAGAAGAGTACAAGTAATAACTTGTTCCAGAACGGAATAGAAACGGATCTCTAAAGGTTGCCTCTCGCAAAGATGCTCTGACAAGTTCGGTGTTCTTAGTAATCATCGGGTCCTCGCTGTTGCTAGCGCTGCTCGGTTCGATATTATAACAACAGGTTTGTTTTTGTGCTCGGAAAATAACAAGATAATGTAAATTCGAAAACGCCGTGACACCATACTATGCTGACCCTGTGCAAACGCCGTCGACTTTAACAGTGTCAAATACATGATTGCGGGCCTATAAGCCTTTAATCGAGAATCGAATCATTTTTGCTGATATTTCATGGTGTGGCGCTTGTCATCATTAGAAAAAGTGCGTATAAATCTTGGACGTTTCGTGAACTTCCATTTCCTGTGACCCAAAGTTAGTAAAACATGCTAAATGAAATTATGGATTGCTTCTATCCGCGCTCACCATTTTGAAGCTGTTCAATTCCTCCTTGATCTGTTGAGCAAGCATTGGCGTGAGGCGATTGCATGTTGCGATGTCGCCACGACGGTCATACTCGCCACTCGGCCATGTGTCGTAGAAGACAATTCGTGGGCTGAACGTAGCATTTCGCTTGCTGCTGCTACCTTGGGGTGTCGTTGGTGCACTCCTAGTGTCTTGACGAAGGCGGAGTGCTGACACGAAATAGTCTTCACTGCCGATAGCAACAGACCCGCTGCGTCTATGACCCTGTACTTCGTCATTCGGGGTGCTAGGTGCACTGGAACTGGGGGAATTGGAAACATTAGGGATTGTCGGGAGATCGAAAGTAGGACCTTTGGTCTCGGGTCCGCGGTTTACCGGGCTCGGAGAGTTGCTACGGGCTAAAATACTGTTAGAACTGAGTAGCTGTAATCAGATTTCAATATTTGGCTTACTTTTCAGAATACCCTTCCGGATCGTTGCGAGCACCTCAGCCCTCTCCCTCTCACCACCCACAATGCTTTTTCTCGCACCGGAATTATCTGTGCCTGAACTTCCAAGACGGTCGGATGATAGAATGTCTGTTGTCGCGTCCACCGAATTGTTCTCCAGATGGGGGAATCCAGTACCACCAGCTTGCTGTGAATGAGGGTCAACGTTGACATTAACTCTCTCGCGCTCAGCTTCCACTGTTACCATGGACACTTCAGCCTGAGAAACCTCGGGTAAGTTCAAGTCTTCGGCGGGTGAACCGATGATTGATTTAGGCCGGAACAATCCAACTAACGATCTACCACCTTTCTTCATCCCACGTCCCATCTTACGGAGCATGATTGATGCAGATGATGCCGTGGAAGAAATCGAAAGATTATCAGTCGATCCGGAGAATAGCTTAGTGCCAGAATAAATACTGCTTCCAATTCCGCTCTCTTCTTGTTTCTGCGCGATCCGTGCTTGCTCCTCCTCATAAAGGTCCTCCGGCCTAGGTTCCTTGTGCAATCTTGAGGGTTCATTTTGCGATATCTTGGCCGCATCAGAAGGTGTGATATCTTGGCCGGTAGCTTTCCTAAGTTCAGCGGCGCTCCCAAAGGAGAAAGCTCGCCGCAGCCGCGAGGTCTTGGTCTTAGACTTGCCTCCCTTCTCATTAATCGCGGCGAGCTGCTTAGCCGCGGGACTGTCGGCCATCGAACTGGAAGACAGCGCCGACGACTTGGCTGGGGGCGGCTCCGATGCATTAGCGGGGGCTCCCGAGTCATCGGACGAAGATCCGGGACCCATGGTTACCGGCTTCGACAAGGGAGATGGATTAATAGTTCGTTTGCTGACATCAGTTGATGAACCGCGAGGCGGAATATTCACCTGCTTTGATTGATCGTGGCTGGTCTTCTTGTCTGCAGAGGTGGAGGTGGAGGCGGGGCTGGCCGTGGGGGCAGATGCACTGTTGTTTCGATTGGCAGACTGTGACAGCAGGTTCAGTTAGTATCTTAGTGAGGCAATACTGTCTCGCCGTCACCTGATTGGGCAATCCATCGGAGACTTTTTCTCGACTCATCCAGGGGTGACTGCTTACCGAAGACGGCCTAGAATTACTGCTCCCGCTTGAAACGAGACTCTCCGAACTACCATTAATGCGATGCATAGTATTCTTTTCGACTGGCCCATTGGCGGTGAGGTTAGAAACTGGTCGAGGAGCAACTTTCTGGCTCTTATCTGAACTACCATGCTTCCTCGACGCGGCTAACGCTTCTTGGCGGAATGATTCCTCCGCTTTCTTGAACTCCTGCGGGGTCGGGGGATTGGGATAATCGGAAGAATTGATGGAGTGTATGCTACGCCGTCGAAATCTTTTAGCTTCTTCCTCAGTAGGATGCCGGTATAGCTGCATGTCATCCGCCGTCACGCCAGCCATAGCCCCGTACGCACTATGCGGCCTACCCGTCGGGACTACTGGATTCCTAGACGTTCTTGCTTTCTGGTCGGGCACGGCTCTAGGATTGTAAAGATGAACAACGGTGGCCATGCCGGAACCTGATGGCATCGCTGAGCCCTGTTGCTGTTGTTGCTGCTGCTGTTGCGCTTGCTGGGTCTGCATAACGCTAGGCGAAGAATCTGCGTATCTCGCAGATGGTCGCCTGTATCGTTCCGGGGTTACTTTCGCAGCAGCAACCTGTGCAAATGTTGGTTGGTTAGATGAAATATTCAACGGTGCAAGCTGAGGCCGAGGTCCAGATGTAGAGGCAACCCGAGAGTCATCTTGAGACATCCCATTGGGTATTGACGGATGACTATTATTGTTACCCGGTATGCTAGAATTCGCAGGACGGGAACGCGCCGAAGTGTTTGGATCTGCCATCTGCATATTCGGGACACTTGTCGACGAACGGTAGGCTCCGTATTGCTGCCATTGTCCGCCGTTAGCTAGATTTGGCGTAGCCGTGAAGGCGTATGGCTGGACGGGTGCGGAGGTGTTGCCACGATATACAGTCGGCCCTCCACCAACACTACCAGATAGGCCGTGATAATTGTTCCTTTGCGCGTTGCCCATGTAAGCCGGGTTAGGCTGAGTTCCTGATGGTCCTGGCATCCTTCCCGAAGCTGAGCTGGGTCTGGTCTGAAGCAATGTTACTGTTCCACTTTGCTGAGGATATGTTTGGACCAACGCAGCCATATTCAAAGATTTAGAGCCCGAATGGTCGGATGAGCGGGCTTACGAACGAAGAAATTCGATTCGCTTGTTTAATCTATTGGCTATAGAAGAAGCTTTGAACGAAAGAAGAGGGGTTCCGCGAACGGGGCAGGGCGGATGTCCTTAACAGCTGTGGTTAGCGACCGATCAGGTAGGTATGTAGATGATAATTCCATCAACCTAGTGACGAAACCACGATACCTAAGATGGGGATTCGCACCCAAATAGACACCACACGTAAAGCAAAAAAGAAACACACACCTTCAGATTACCGACACCCAATAATTAGTACACTCAGCGAGGTAGAAATGTCGGTCAAGTGATGACAATGATCCGAATTGGAGATTAAAGATGGTAACGTTGATGGAAAGTGAGAAGGGCGCCTGCGACCAGGGAGAAAACGAGTGATGATCTCCAGAGGGAAGTCTACTATTACCGCAGACAACCACGTCGACCTGAGTGTGCCGAGTATCTCACGACAGCTGGTCTCGGAGAACGGCCGGATCGGGTTCGATGGATTTTCGGTGCCACGATTGACACGGAGAGGGAAGAGACGAAACTCTAACGGGAGAACATGGGAGAGGCTATCGTAGTGACCCTATCCGTGTTGTTGTCGGCCAAGAAGAAAGAGAATAATCTTGTTTTTTGTGAAGTTTGTTGTTTTTTAATAGATGCGAAGGCCACTTAATCCGATGGTTAAGTAAAGCCTGAAACAAAAATCAAATGGGAGATGACTCGGAAGAGACGAAATGGGATGAGAATGGGATTGGATTTGAAAAGGGATGACGGGAAAGAGAAAAAAAAACGTTCAGGGACCTTGGACTAAAGGGGGGGAAACCGCGAGAGAATCACAACAACAAAACAGAGTGCAATTTCTGAATAACGCTATGTACTGGGTAGTCAAGTAAATAGAGAATATGACTAAGGGGGGCAGGGAAGAAGGAGAGAGGTGTAAGGGGGGGAAAGAGGGTTGATGTTATTCAGAAGTGCATTGGGATGGAGAAGGAAAGAAGTTTGGAAGTTGAGGTTTGAAATTCCATATTCCAATCTTCCAGGCAAGGCAGTGCCAGTTAGTGCCAGTTACCTAGCAGATTAGCGTGTGTCGTAGCGTTGTTGTAGCGTTGTATCCAATTCTACAGGAACGGTATGGGATGTACATGCTGTATCCTAGGGTACTACGGTACCTGGGTGCATGCTTGAAGGGACTGCCCAGGTGGAAGGTGGAGCATGGCCAAAGTTAGACCCCCCGTGTAATGACCGTCTGGTTGCTGCAGGTGCTAGCCGGATGAAGGTAGCTTGTACGAGGGAAATGACCCACAGTCAACCAGAGTAACTACAGCGTATGTACCTAAGTGAGTACATCCTGCTTCTTTTTGGAAGATGAACGAACTTGAACGTCGAATGTACCCGCGTATCTAAGTATTTAATCCGTGATGGTGGATAGGTACTTCAGCGTTAGACGTTTAGTGCTAAGCAGGTATTAGAACCTTGAAAAACAACAAAACCAACTATCCGTTAACCGACGACTGTAAAACCCATCTCGCCTCTTCAATCACTCCCGTCCTTGAATGGTTGGACACATGCTACTATACAATGACACAGATAAACGAACTGCCCGCCTTACGACGATGCGGAATAAGAAAAAGAGGAGAGACAAAATTCCATATCGACGAATTGCATCACTCGCATGAATTCCTACCCGTATCACGGTCCATCATATATGTAGATATGGGCTGATGTAGGTGACTTGACTGCATGACAATATTACAGGTCGTCCTAACCGTTCTAACACCGCCTGTTCAATACAACGATGTCCCCTATTCAGTAACCCTACCTACTGGATTTCAGTGCTTTCATCGGAGAAAAGGGGGCGCTAGCAAGCGTCGAATGTTCTGTTCCCGTCGTTGTTTTTGTTTGCTGCAGCGGATACGTGTTTTTTCTAGTAGGTAAATATCCAAGTCTCGCGACCGCGCTATCTCTTATTACAGGGCTTCCTCCTAGATATGCTACTAAACCCCTTCCATCCAAGCCCCGTGTGCCAATTGGCCGGGATTGTTGATGAGACAATGGCCGTCTATTGGTCTGCCCTCATCGTCCATGTCGCGCTAGACAAGAGCCACGACAAGGGATCGAGGGGGATGCTTTACAGCATGACGCGGCGGCCATACGGAGTACTGTACATAAATCGATGGAGCCCTGGAAGAATTCGCCGCACACCGTTTTCTGCATCCATGGTTCGATTGCTTTGTCCATCCAAGAATTCCTAATTCTAATGCGAGAGCGATGTCTGCGTGTGGGGAGGTTGGAAGGTCAAGTGGATTTTTTGTTAGCGAACTTCGAGAAGACTTTGATGTTGAACACAGCGAGCAAGCAAGCAAGCAAGCAAGCAATCACCGTCTTGCAAAAAGAGCCGAGCCTCGGTGACCACACATACAATACTATGTATCTATGTGTATCATAGCCTCAACTCAGGGAAATGACGTGACCGTCGTACGTGGAGGCTCTGAAATTTACATATGCGAATTCAAACGACGGGATGACCTCCGTCATACCTTGCTAGCCTACATATATGTATACGACCAAGGGGTTACATCTTACTTATGTACATATGCACCTATACTCGCGCAGCGAGTGTCATCTTTCTTTTCTCGTCTACTCACGAAAATTACTAAGACATCACTTTTCGGAGTCTTAAGGACTTGAGTGCTTCGAGTGCCGATGCTCCCAAGCCTGCACTATGCACAGCTTCAAACTGCTTCCAGAAAGAAAGCCTTGGAACGGGTAAGCGCCGGTTCGGCAACCACATGTACATACGAATGCACCAACGATGCGTCTAAGCGGTTCAGGCTTAGCAACCGTGAAACACATATACCTAAACAGGCACCTAGGTATTATTAAGATGTCCTCCTTTTCAAGGCCTAAAGTTTGTGTTTTAGCATTGATCGGCGGTTAACAACGCAAGAAGACATATCTTGATAGATCGACATCAAGAGATGCGTAGTCAGATAGTTGAAAGCCCATGTTTTAGGGGTGTCTTGCTTTCTGCAGGTACCGTGGTTCGTCCTCTTGTACTGTAAGGAGTGACGGGACCACCGGAGATCATTCATTTCGAGATGTCGAAAAGGGAAAATCCCCCAGCATTGAGAACCAATCCACACTAGCGATCAACCCTACTCTTTACTTGTTTAAGTCAACGATTAATGATTCCTTGTGTAGACGGAACTGCGTGAGGGAACAATGCGCCCATAGCTTCATATCATAAGGAAAAGATGGATTGACGTGCTGGATGACGACCATAGGTGAGCCATCAAGAAAAAAAAGCCCCGAAACAAATGGTGCGTGGCTTCGAGCTTTCAGTTAGTTACCCGCCCACTTCCACTATGCATAGGTACGAACGCTCCTATATTGTAGCTGTACACATATGTAATCAAGTTTCCGTACAAGCCGGAATTTTTAGCTATGCAATAAGCCGACATGTAAGCCGGGATTGATACAGGATAGAATTAAAGCAAGGCAATCCTTGTATGACGTTTAAAGACATAACTAGCTACTTACATAACCACCTGCATATATTATTGTAAGTATTGCAAGTATTCATAATGATAAATGCCATGTAAAAAGCAATATCGTTTCTTTCTTTCCATCTACATCCAATGTGTCCTTACGCTGTTTTACATTCATCATTCAATCATATTATCACCAAGCTATGCATGTAAGTAGATCCACCGTGAGAAGATCATCGATCTGAGGATCTTTAAAAAGGATCTTTTAAAAGAAGCAGAGACCAATGGGTATGGCGAATCGGTTAGATGCAAAACGGGCCAGTTTTACCGTTTCGACATCTTTAAGCGACAGTTTAGATCAATCCGTGGAGATCTTCCCCCCCTTTTCCCCACGTCCATCTTATTTCTTTGTGTTATTATTAGAAAGACCCCCGTATTGAGCCCCTATTTTTCCATTTGATCTACATGTCCGTACTTCGTATAAGAGCTTAATGCGGAAGTGCTTCTTTTTTATAGAAAATTTCAATTGAAGTTGATGACATTATGCCAATTTGTTCCGATATTTTTATGGGCGATGACATGTTAAAGTGAAGGAAGCATACCTATATCCCATTTACCTAGTCTCATATAGGAATTTTGAGGTAATCTTGTTTATGAGCCCTGTGGTTGGCGTCAACGGCCGAGGGATGATGTCCTTCCCTGCCTTAATTAGAAGGTATGTGTTCCTAAAAAGGCCTTACACATGAATTCCTTGGATAGGTATTTCAACGACTGTAGGGTTTCTCTTGGAAATGCGATCCAAAATCAGTAAAGCGCCGCCCCATGTCCAATGTGGAAGGTATCTCTACCTTCTTTATCTCCAGGCTTGGCTATATGCGACAGCAGCCGCTGCAGGGATGTCATTGAGATTTCCAAGTTTGAGTCCGAATATCTAACAACGCACTACATAGTAGTCTTCTCAATGCATATATTACATAGTACACGCTACTCGAATATAGAAATAGGATCGCGGTAAAACGCAATGCTCTTCATCCAGCGCTTCTTAATATTCCGATGACTCTCATAAGACTTCGATCTCCAGTTACCTAGACGATACGACTTTGCCTCCGAGTCTTATAACGTGGATAAAAATGACTGTGGAAACAGGTCTTGGATATAATGCCAGTCCTTAACCAGTGACCTGGTTCAAACAATGAAGTGGTCTTCAGCAATTGAATCAGTGGAAACACCCACGACACCTAGGTATTTATCGCGCAACTAGCTCTTATCGAATCTCTTCCATGCAACCTCCGAGTCTCACATTGGCCTGTTTCCCCAGATCTGAATTAAGTCCTCCGCCATGTGTCAAAAGCCGAGGTAACACTTTAATGTGGTTAATCATCAACTTCCAACTTATAGGTTGCCAATAACAAGTTACCAATTAACGAAAAAGAAAAAGAAGAAGAAGAAAACGGAAAGGCATGGAGATGGCTTGATGAATGACATATCAATGCCTTCATTCTGCATCTGCACTACGGGTCGTTGCATGTCCGATGCTTCACATACCTAGGTACAGCATGGGTTGCAAAAATATTGGATATAATCCACTAAACAATTTCATGGCCTTCTATCAAAGAATTCATATGTATGTTAGGATAGCTATCACAGCGTACGTCAATCTAATGTGCCAATGCTACAGTATTCAAATTGCAGGAAACCGGAAATTTCACCCAGATCTCACATATGTATTCTAGTCGTCCCTATCCTACGCGAGATCTCATCACTACCGCTATACCACGCTCAGTCAGCAAACAAGTACATCCTGCACCCAAACTTTACCACGTTCTCGTTACAATATCTGGGATGTTTGATCAAACCCGGGTCGACTTAGACTACAGGGACGTCGAGCAGCTACCTATCTAAGGCAGTCTCCAGATCTCATGTCACACGAGGAGGATTGTGTCGCCAACATCACAAACCTCATGCAAGACAATCCGTGACGTCTTCCCCACAGACAGATCAGTTGATCTAGGCACGTCTACGACGAAGATCTCGTCCCAAGGTTAGGGATCGTGGGTCGTTCTGAAACGTACTTGGTTGACCGCCTGTGTAACTGAGCTGGGGGTTCAAATCCACGGGATCGAGACCCCTCATGTCTAAGCGGGCGTATACCAGCCATTCGGGCGTCGGACTGAGGTTCCACGAGTGAAGTGTACGGCTCGACACCGATAGTCCGGACCTGAATAAGCTTGTTGCCCCGCGGGTGTCCGCTCCCTGTGTATTTTGACCACGGCATATATAATCACGACATAACTCATCCGAAGCTTCTTCTCCAGACCGCGTTCAAGAGTTTCCCAATGGGATTTCCAATAGCAATTACGCGTAATGGCAGTTGCTTTAGTTCAAATCTCCCTCGTTCTCGCCCAGTCGCCTGCAGTGACGTACGTAATCCTCGTTGACACGAAGTTTCGAGCCAGAGATTCTCGACGAATTGGGATGACATCTCCATCTCTGAAGCAATGCTCCGAAGCTCGGGCCCTCGTATCCGGCGCGTTCCGCAGAAATTCCCCAGCACAGGACTTGCGGCTAGCGACCTCGAGAATAGCGTTGCTTACCGCGGGTAAATCGGCAACATACTGATATCTGCTGCTAGCGACCAAAACACGCAGAAATTCGAATGAATCGGAGATAAATATGCGGTCACCACGTATCACCACTGTTAGACTCCATAGCCATGTAAGATACCGATACGCGGAAAACCGGAACACTGCGTGTGAGAGAAGAATTGCATCCAACGTTTCGGTCATACTCTGATCCCTATAGGTGGTTTGTTTGCTCATTCTAGTTCGCTCTAGAGTACCCTCAACTAGGATACAATCAGCCTATCCCGTCTCATACGGAGACAAGGTGCTCCTAAGAAAGGCAGAACATCATTGAAATGCTCGCCGTGGTCTGGAATCCCGCAAGCGAGGTAGCCGAACCCCGGTCATATATAGCCGAATCAACGACAACTACAGCGCCACTTCTATGCACTACAGAGGTTGGGAAATGGGAACCGAGTTGTTGGGAAGTAGGAAAGTGGGAAAGTAGCTAATTGAGTAAGGGCTTTGCGCGGGTAACCGTCGCTGTACTTTATTGCCAAACTACCGGATGCGTGTTACGCAGGTTGCTACCCGAAGGTTGGGTCCAGTGCGCTCTTCAAGGCAATGTTATTGGCCAATGCCGTATTCTAAGCAAATATATTGATTGAAATAAAGTTGAGGGTCGTCTCGGACGGAATCGTCCCTAAAGATTGATTATATGTTCCTATAGATACGGATCATGGCCCCTCAACCTTTTTAACGGAAGATACCTACCAAATACCTACAAGTAGACTAAAAAACACCATCTTACATTGACATATGTACCAAGACAACCTTTCGTTACATAAGTATAATTTTGGAAGTCCTGATGATGGTGTAATCTGCTAGCGACACGACAACTGAAAGATCGTGGCGTTTCGTTGGTCCTCTTAAGCACGTTCGTCGTCGAAAATGCCAAGGCCACCAAGAACAGCTCCTCATAACGCCACAATGTCACTGCTTATGTTAGCCAAAAGCCAAGGATGGGGAACATTGAATATTCTATCATATAGTATATAAAATCTACATGAGTACTAGAACTAATGAGTCAGTTGACATCTCACATTGACACAATCTACTACCTTAAATGTGCACAAGGTACAAGAAGGATTTGTCAACTGAAGATTCTCGTTTCACTATCTCTACGTCTCTCTTCTGTATAAGGAATCGACGTCCCAGCTTGATATGAAAATAGTTAGCTGTGGAACCATCGTTTTTTTACTTCACTGCTTAGTTAGGTGTCTTCTTGAGAAGATAGGAAGGTGACTCAAGCTCCAATCTACTGTTTCGCTCCTGGCGCGAAGTTCGGTGCACCCCTTTTCTTGAGCTCATCTCTGCATGTGTGTGCTCTAGAAAGGGCGTCACGAAAAGACTTTCCTCTCGAAAAATCCTTTTGCCAACGTAAGTAAGTCTCGCATCGTAGGGTAGCTACTGAATAAATCGCAAGGGCTTCATCCTTTCAAGTAAGATATGTGCTAAGTTATGGACTCCAGTTGGCTGCGCTATTCCTCTCCGCTCCGAGTTGTCGAGCGAAAGGACCTAGGAGCGAATTAACCAGACTAGCACAGGCTTGTCACCGATGCAAACTAGAGGGACGATAGATTTCGCTCTTGAGCAGATTTTTATTCGTATCTCGTTTCACATCCAATTATAATATCAATATGCGAGGTAGGTATAATTTTGATCGTGACTCATTCCCGCGCAACAAATGCAATTGCGCTTTCGATCCCAATCAATTCCAAAATCGCGGCCGCAGAGCGAAGACTGTATCAAACAGAGAAATTATAGACGGCGAGAAGCGCGCCCTTCGAAGCCATTCTCAGGCTTGAAAGGGCGCGCGCTTAGTCCTTTTTGAAGGCATGCTTGAAGGCGTTGGACCAGCCGCCGAATAGGTACTGGTCGGTGTGTCGCCCGCAGTGGGTGTAGACGTTCACAGTAGGTGAGTGCGGTTTCGAGGATTTGTGGTTCGGCGATGGTTGACTGTGATGACCGAACGATTTGCGGTATTCGTCGAACCGACTAGTCCTTGGGGTTTCCTGTGGGCGGTTAGACCCGAGGAGTTGGGTGTTGCTAGCAATGCTACCAACCTTGCTATCTTTGTCAGAGTAGTAGGAGTCGAAGCTGCCTTGGCGGCCATGGGTGGTCTCGCTAGAGCCTCTAATGTCGAGTGGGGTGGGAGCTACACCTCGTGACGAAGGCATATTCAATTGGGGTTCAATTGGAGTTGGTTGATGCTTGTGTGTATCGGTAGTGGAGTGGATGAAGTCTCTAATAGGTAACTAGTTATAGAAACTATAGAGACCGACGACGACCCTCAAAGCTAAATAGTATTTCAATATAGCTTTCTGGTATTGGAAGCTTCTGACCCTCAATGGTATGTCGAGCTTAATTAATATATATGGGTGTGCGTGTGTGGGTGTATGTGTATGTGTGTTGTGGTAGTAAGCTTCAAGCTTGGAGCGAGACTGTTGGTAACAATTATAATGTAAATCAAAAAGTAGAATGAGTGCCCTCCAGGGTTGCCAATTGCGCACTCCTGGTGCAGTTTATGTATGATGGCTATAAAAGAAACCTAACGGAAAGACGGCTTTGAAAATTGGGGAGCTTGGGAAATTTTGTTGCCTGGGAATGGTCTATATATATATACATGTATGGTATGTTTACCACCTACCCGTACGTATTCTTCTTTTTGACAGGGAAGCTTGGCGGCTCAAGTGACGGAGCACCCAGGCCGGCCTAGGAAGACCGCTGATTAGCATGCTTACGAGGGGCACAGAACTGGGATCGTTGAATGGATGGGCTTTGTGTGAGGCAATCGACATAGGGTGTTATCTGTCCTCTCGGCCAATGGGTATTCGGATGAAGGAACACCATACTGCAGGGAGATTGAGTAAGAGACGGTGTGTGACTGAGGCCAGAAGCACTACAAGCACTACTGTTAGTCACCCCGCAAGTGATCTTCTGGCGCAAGTGGAACTCCCTAGTCAGCCCTATTAGAATCGGAGGTGTCGTGACACGCAGCCAAGACCTCTTCATGTATGTATTTCGATCAGGTCGGTAACGTTCCAGGGTTAGTCGTGAAGATTGGGTGCAGCGATGATGCGTCTCTACGCTCGCTGCCCGAAGTTAATACTCGGCTGCAGGTGTTTCTTCGCCTGAAACTGCGTTACGAAGTAGCGAAGCTGTAGCTATCCGTAAGAGGTATTTCTAGGGTCCAGACACTACTATGATACCGAGCAGGCTGGTCACGAGGGGCTAGAGAGGACGTATATTGATGAATAAAACAGGATATTTGAAATGGCGGAGTCACAAATGATTGGAAACTTCCGGATGCCGCCGATGCCATTGATGCCATTGGCGAAGCGCGCATCCAGCTTGTTGGTTTTGACGACCGACGGCCGCTCTCGCTACGGATAAACGGCATGTGAGTAGATTATTCGACGGTGCGCGAACCACTGCCTTGTCCGGAGCTGTGCCGATGATCTAGTCGAAGAGTGGGGATCATCCTCCATGTAGAATCCGTGCAGCTGGAAATGCAGCTGGAAATGTTGCTGCCTGAGGCGAATCGAATCAAACTAGCCTGGCTGACTCAACTTCGTCATTCGTACAGAAGTTTTGTAAGTTTGTAAGTTTGTGAGTTTGTAATTTGAAACGTCTTGAGAAAGTTTGGAGAGTCGGAATCAACGAAGACCTTGTAACATTTAAAGTAATGAAACTTCGACTCATAATCTTCAATAACCCGGTAGAGTCACTTGTATAGTTTCTCGAAATATAGCAAATTGGGCTGTTTTGAGCCGGCACATAAAGCCGACCAAGGCACGTGCGACGTTTTAATCCAATACTGTAACCTGACTAAGCAGAATGAGTCTAATGGTTTAAGGTTACCCTACTAAGTTGCTGCCTCAGGCACCCATCAATAATTCAACCCACCGAGCACGGCGTCGGCAAACGAGCTAAGAGTAAAAAAAAACATTGGGTCCTCCACGTACCTGATTGTACCCACGCAACCACGTTCCCGACCCCTTCGAGCGGCTCATAGGGCTGACCTTGAGTTTTGAGCCGCATGGTAGCGCCGTCGATATGATGCAAATCTGGGGATGGGTCCTTGAAGATATTCAGGTCGAAGATGACGAACTTGCATTTTGCATTTGATTACATGTGCATCCCTCGCCGGGCAGGTGAGGGGCGAAAACTAGTCAATTACATAGTAAATGCGCAGGCGACCCAAGAAAAAGTGATGTAAGATGAGTTTCGGTATTGGGACCTGAAGATATCCAGGATCTTGAAGTTGTCAAGATTTAGATGTTGAAAATTGGGAGTGAAGATGAATGGATTGTCGGAGTCGTCGGGGTAGAGTTGTTTTGGTAGATTTTTGGTATGACACGCAAAATCATTCTTGGCGGGTAAGATTTAATCAAATTTGATTGGCTACTGGCTTATTTCATTGTGGGACATTAGTGTTTTGCAGTGGCCCGTGCCTCCTACCCGCCTGCAGAAAGCAGAAAGCGCAGAAACGCGCGACGAGTGACTACCTAAACCCTTACTAAATCCCCCCCAAAGCTCTTTCACTCTTCAGCTTGCGCTTTTCACGCTTTTCACGCAATTCGTAACTCGCCCCGACAACTTCCTTCATTTACCTTTTCATTTTTATCCTTCTCCATCTCGACCAGGCTACGTTACCCCTATTGAAGTTCCCCTTCGTCACTCAATGTTATCGGTCTTTGTCGTCAGCCTGCGCCTCTTCTCTATTATTTGATACAACATATCCGATATTTTTGCATACGCCTTTTAAAGACGGCCCTTGTCCGGATCTTCCTACATAGCCATTGATTTCAATCGAGACCCCTGCATCGTCTTAATAACAGTATTTAACTATCAAACCATTTAACAGTCTCGACTTCGAATTCTCCAATCTCCCGTCCTTGTCGCGTCATTGTCATCGTGTCTGTCTATAGGTACCATATCTCGACAGCCGTCCGGAGGATCCCTAATACGTCCACCTGTCGATCCCCTACCTAGCCAACCAGACCCAACCAGATAACCGCGATACCATTGAAGACACAACCGGACCAGTATTCATTGACGAACCACCCAATCGAATTGCCATATGCCGTAGTCCGAATATCTGAAGGCACATTACCGTGTGAATGGAGGTGATCTTTACGTGATTACTTCCATACTGCCTCTTCCGAGTTGGCCCTGAAGTCCGAACGCCAGCGGCGATACCTCTGCAGTGCGGAATATTGTCAATAATCCTGCCTATAGTCTTTCCTTGTCTCCCCCGAGACAACTATTGGGTATGCTTACTCTGTCATGAAGTGATGCATCCAATATAAGAGAGGGTAGATTATATACTAATTACTTGAGCCTTTAGCTTTGGGAGTTGTCTTATATCCGTCACTCCTTTCGTATCTTTTGGTACGTTCGTCGCGAACTCAGGCTCTTTGCCCCTTTCATACTTCAAGGTGGGTTTCCCCTTGTCTCATGTCGTAGCTATTCCGCTATTCAGTATTGTGCCCGGGTGACGATTGGAACGTTTCCCAGGTCTTATCACTGCCAGCTTGTGGACGGCTGTATCATACAGTCGACATGGGCTCTGGTGGTTGTTGGTTCATTTATTTTATGTTTTGATTGACCTAATCTTCTCTGTCCTTCCCTATATCCTCATTTCCAATATCGCTGGTCTATAATATATGCTGCAATTCTGAATTTTCCCTGCTGACTGCCAATTTATGAAGTCTTCGAATTTTGCCTGAAGGCTCCGCTTCAGCATGGCTGGCAAACGAAAGAGAGATATTCTGGATTTCGATCCTAACAAATCCGACTCCGATGACGAGAACTTTGAACCCGACGTCGACCGCCCACGTTCACAGAGAAAATCGCGCGCGCATAGAGCGAATAAGCCTATCGGTCGTAAAAAGGGTAGGTATCGGGGCTCTGATATTGAGGATGATGAAGACCTCGATGATAGTGACCAAGAGAATTCATTCGCGGAAGACGACGAAGATGAACCTGAACCTCCGATCAACGAAACCACCGGCCGTCGCATCAGAAAGGCGGCCACCAAACATCAGAGTTATAAGGAGAGCTCAGAAGATGAAGATGAAGAATTAATTCACGACTCGAATGAGGAGAAAGATGATCTCATCAAGGAACCCCCCAAGAAGTCACCCCGCCAGAGGAAGCTAATAACTCTTCGGGTTCCCCCGTCTGCGCGGAAGACGCGCGCTGCTTCTAATGCGAACCCCCCTCCGGTCGGCATCAGGAGAAGTACCCGAGCTCGTACCGTTGAGGCGGATGATGCTGATTTGGTCGAGTTATCAATTTCTGGCAGACATGCAAAACCAGCTCGCGGCTCCAAGAGCAGGAGCCCCGAAGCTTTAAGTCGAACCAGCCGACCGACTCGTAGTGCGAAAGGCATCAAGCAGACAGTGCCTACTGTGTTGGAGGCTGATACTCAGGAAGAAAACCCGCCTCCCGAGGCTGAGATTGCCGAAGATCCTGTCGTCCAAGATGCTGCAGTGACCGAGGAAATTGCAACCGGTCAAGTGGGTGCCGATGCCGATGCCGACGCTGATGTAGATGCAGATGCAGATGCAGATGCAGATGCTGACGCTGACGCCGATGAAGATGCCGCTCATGACCACGAAGAGCCTATCGAAACGGTGGAAACTAACGACCGCATGGATGTGGACGAGGAAGATGAGGATGCTGCTCCCGTTTCACGCAAAACTCGTGGTACGAGAGCTAACCAGTCGACGGCTGCTGCCGAAAATGTCGCCATTGAGGATGAAAGTCCTGTGAAACGAACTCGCCGACTGACCCGCAAGTCTCGGCTAGGAAAGTCGCTCAAAGAACCCAGTAGTGACTTTGAGCCTGGGAATGACTCTGAAGATGAGAACGAGTCCGCATCCGAGGCTCACCAAGATGATGTGGGCGGCGATGATGATGAGAACTCGAGTCCCAGTGCCCGCGGACGGAGATCGTCGAGAAGTAAGGGTAGAAGATCCGCAAGAAGATCCCAACGACGTAAGGAGTCGGGAGATGAAGATGAAGTCGACGGGGATGAAGTGGCAGAAGAACTCGCGGATCTTACACAAGATTCTCGTCCGCGTAGGACGCGTCGCTCACCCGAGATCCTTTTTGACAGCAGGGAAGCAACGAGGCGCCGTAGAGGCCAGCCGGTGAACTACGCGATACCACCGCTCAACGCCATCCCGCTTGAGCAGGAAGAAGACAACGACGATGCAGCCGCGACAACGAGTCGTCGCCGTGGACGCGGGAATGGGGGTGGCGGCTGGGATCATAACCTACACACTGTCGCGGGTGCCTTGGGCGGTGTTGGTCTTACTGGCTCACTGCTCGGTGGACCTTGGGGAACTGGCGCAGCGGGTGGTGCCGATTCCGACAGCAGCGACGATGAGATGAACCATCGCTCAGGTGGAGGAGGAATGGTCGGCATGACGCCAACTTCCGCAGCCCCTAATCTTGGACCATCAATCGGGAATAGAGAGAGTGGCGGTCTCATGGCGGCGCCCACGCTCAATGTTGGCAAAATTAAGAATTCGAAGGCCCTCGCCGATGCAGACCCGTTAGGCGTTGATATGAATATCGACTTCACCCAAGTCGGTGGCTTGCAAGGTCATATCGAGCAACTTAAAGAAATGGTGCAGTTGCCTCTCCTTTACCCAGAGCTTTTCTCCAAGTTCCATGTCACCCCGCCGAGAGGTGTATTATTCCATGGTCCTCCGGGAACGGGAAAGACGTTGCTTGCTCGAGCTCTTGCAAATACCGTTAGTCTTGGCGGTAAAAAGATTACGTTCTACATGCGCAAGGGTGCTGATGCGCTGAGCAAATGGGTTGGTGAAGCTGAGAAGCAACTGCGCCTTCTCTTCGAGGAAGCTAGGAGAACGCAGCCCAGTATTATCTTCTTCGATGAGATAGATGGACTTGCGCCGGTTCGCTCCAGTAAGCAAGAGCAGATTCATGCGTCGATTGTGTCGACCCTGCTCGCTCTAATGGATGGAATGGACGGTCGCGGTCAAGTAATCGTCATTGGCGCTACCAATAGGCCGGACAGTGTGGACCCTGCTCTACGCCGTCCAGGACGTTTCGATCGAGAATTCTATTTTCCCTTGCCCGATGTCGATGCTCGCAAGTCAATTATCGATATCCATACCAAAGACTGGGGTCTTTCCGACCAGTTCAAGATGTCCCTGGCTAGAGATACGAAGGGTTACGGTGGCGCCGACCTACGTGCTATGTGCACTGAAGCCGCCATCAACGCGATCCAGAGAACGTACCCCCAGATCTATTCGTCGAAGGAGAAACTCGTCGTCGACCCGAGCAAGATAGACGTGCACATGACCGACTTTATGCTCTCCAAGAACAAAATCGTGCCTTCTTCAGAAAGGTCTGCGACTTCTGGGGCAGCTCCGTTCCCCAAGCCCGTCGAGCCACTCCTTCGAGAACAGTTCAAGGTCATTACCAATGCGTTGGACAGCGTTTTTCCTCGTAAGAAGAAGGTGACGGCACTAGACGAGGCAATGTTTGAGCCTTACGACGACGCCGACTTCGGGTTTAGCCGGGAGGCTCTGCAACGGGAGTTCCACCAATTTCGCGTCTATCGTCCGCGACTTTTGATTTGCGGCTCCCAGGGGATGGGTCAAGTTTACATTAGTGCTGCTATCCTGCACTATCTCGAAGGCGTTCACGTGCAGAATTTCGATATATCTAACATACATGGTCAATCTATGGTAGGTCTTGTCAAGTTTCTTTAGAAGATTTCACCTTAGACAATGACTAACTTATCAATAGTCTCCTGAACAAGTCCTTTTCGGACTTTTCGCCGAAGCTAGACGTCAAAAGCCGAGCGTCATCTTCATTCCGAACGTCGACATATGGTATGATGCGTTGGCTGGATCTACTACTTTGACTACATTCATGTCCATGCTGAGAGCGATACAACCTACCGATTCCATCATGGTCGTGGGTACTGCGGAAACTGAACTGAAGCATATCAGTCCCGATCTGAAGCGCGATCTTTTTGGGTTATCGAACTCAAATTTCGTGGAGATTGCCCGTCCGCTTCGCGTAAGTCTATTGACTATCCTACCTAGTCTGATCACAGCTAACAACGCATAGGAGAATCGACAGGAATACTTTAGCAGGATACTGGAACATATCCAAAGATACCCCAAGGATTTTCCTGATCCTGCTAACAGGAAAAAGAGAGTTCTGGAAGTACTTCCCGTGGCCCCGCCGCCGCCTCCGAAGGAATTTACGCTTGAAGAGATCAAAGCCGAGAATCTACAATATCGACGGAATCTTAATGTTTTGAAAGTCCATTTACTGCCTATCATGGAGCAGGTCAAGCGCAAATACCGCTTGTTCCGCAATCCATTCATACCGCAGTCAAAATACCAATACCTCTTCGACGAGGCAGATCCCAACTACGTTAGACCCGACGTACCGAACGCTCCGCCGCGCCCTTATGAGCTTGGTAAGGACGCCGAAGGGACTCCTGGGCTTATCGACACAGCGACCAAAAAGTTTTTGTACAATCTTGACACCGTCACAATCGAGACGAGACTTGCCAACACCTTCTATATCACCCCGGAGGCGTTTTTGAAAGATATAAGATCTTTTGTACTCGATTCTGAAGCTCTTGGCGACCATGCCACTTATATTAAGGCAAACGAGATGTATGTCAATGTTGAGGTAGACGTAACCAACACCGCTGAGAGTCTTCGTACCAAATTTGACTTTGAAGAGGAGTGGAAGAAAGAGCTGTTCCGACAGAAGGAATACAAACGAATACAGAAGGCCCTCAGGAGAGGGGCGCGGTCTAATTCCGGCCAGCCACGACCAAATGCTACCAATGGCGCCGATCCTCCTTTGGGCGGTCATCCTCCGAAGTTGCAACAATTGCACACAACAGCTGGCTTCAAACTCATTGAGGAAGAACCCGTCTCTAATGGAGAGGGCCCACCACACCCGCCTGCCACGAATGGGACGTCTGTGCCATCTCGAGCGGCAGACGAAGATGTCCCTATGACTGGTGCTGATAGCCCAGCTGTTGGTGGTCTCAATTACGCCATGCAGCCGCCATCTCAGTGGCCCGGTATGGAAGGGCACCAATCTCCCCAGACCTCTATGCGAGCGACCATAGGAAGTATAGACGCACCTCGATCTTTTAATACCCCTGTGCGAACAACTATGGGTGGAACGTCCCGGATGTCGCAGGTCTCGGCCGTGCAATCCCTCCCTGCTGGGGTATCACCGTCAGCGTTGTTAAACGATGCGTCAACCACCAAGACATCAGACCCTTCCAATCGGTCCTCCAATTTCGGCACACAGGCAACCAACGGCGTCCACCAAGAGCAATCCAGCATTCCTGATACTCAACCACATGTGTCAAGCCAGTTAACGTCCACCAGTGAACAGTGGGCTCACTCGCAAGCTCAGGCCATATTGCAAGGAATCATACAACCACCCGGGTCGTTCCGGGGATCTCGCGTTCAAGCATCTCCGGCAGGCAGTAAATCATCACATGCCCCTAGTATGGCAAATTTGCTGAATGATCCGGCCCCTGAAGACCCGTCTCAGTCCCAATCCCAACGCCAGTCAGGTTCCTCTTCACAACAACTGGAGTTGGATGAGGGATCGGCCCAGTGCTTCCTCGATCAGATTACCGAACGCACGTCGGGCTGTACGATTGAACAGCTTCAACAGATCTATCGTGAAATGATGGTAGAGCTCTGGAAAACGCGAGGCGAGCATAACCGCGCGAAAGTGCTTAGTTCAGTCACTCGCGTTTTCAACGAGGTGATAAAAGACATCGAGTCGATCCAGGAGATGTTCCAGGCCAGCCAATATTAGCTCCTGGATTGGACCAAACTAAAATTGCGGGGATCGTGGCTCCTGCTATAGCTTGGGAACCAGTCTCGCCAATGTACTTATAAATAAATAGCCAAGGGGCGGGAGTGCTCAAGGATTTCGTGATGGCTTTAGAACTCGGGGAATATTTGCAGGAAGGTGGGCTGGGCGAACAGTCACGGCCTCGGTGCAGGAAACGTTTGTAGCTCGCTGGTTCACAAAGGTTTTGGCTCACGCCCCCTTTTCTCGACAGGTGTGCAATCTTAGGTAGGATTTCACCTTAGGCAGGAATTGGCTCTGGCCATAAACAAAATACGAAAGCTTATGCTGTGGATGATGGTGCCGTGTAAATTTGCTATAGTGACTGCTATCGAATACCAATCGTTGGAGTTCGTGAGTGAACTCGCACTTTACGCCATTCTCCCAAGCGAGGCCATGGACTAACTGAACATATCCAAAGCTCCAAGGATATCTTCCCATGAAGTTGTTGTCGAAGGAAATGACACCTAGCGCTTTATTCTACCAACTTGTAAGGTATTTACTACCTCAGGACACCTCTAGAGGGGACGTGGGTCTGAGGTCCGCAGGTAGATGTTTAATCTGGAACTGTTTTATGAATGTCGTAGAAGCCTCTAAATGATCGTACCTAGGTAGACATCACAAGCAAAGCTCATGTCTGGAAACAAACGAATTGGTCATCAAGTACAAGGTTTGTCCTTAGAACCACCCACCTATCTACATCGTAACTGCAGCCAAAGTAAATCCCCTAAAGGTAGGTAATAATAATTATTCACTATATATATACTCTAAAAATACCATCTTAGTGTAGTAATGTGTAATATATACGTTCGAAGTTTTCAACCCGAAACATCCCGTGCCATACCGTGTCATGTCATATATCTTCAATCACACATCCATTAAAACGTCTTGCTCATAGCACATACCAACTCTGCCCCTCGCTTTACGAATCAAACACCGTCCCCGGCTCCGGCATAGTCAAGTTGACAAGGTACGCGTTCATCGCGGCCGTCGTGGCGCCATCCGACAGGTAACTCGTGTGACCCGTACCATTGCGCACGATAAGAACGGACTTATCATCGCCCAATTCGGCATGCAAGCCCAGGCCCCACGCGTAGCTCGTCGAAGGGTCGAAGGTAGACTGCGCCTGCAGGATTTTAGTCGCGCCCTTGTAGACAATCTTCTTCGGCGGGTTCGTCAGCGGCGCCGGCCACCCGATGCACGAGGTCTGGATCTTGTAGCTCTGGCAGGCGCCGCGGGTCAGGGGGCTGAAGTTGGCGCCGAGCGTGCCCTTGGCGAGCACGTCGGCCAGCGAGGCCGCCGCGTGGTCCCAGTCCTGGCACGCGATCGCCGTGCCGGCGAACAGCGACGAGTCCGTGTACGGGTCGCCGACGGCGAGCGGGTTCGCCTCGGACATGAGGGTCGCGTTGCCGGCGTCGGCCTGCTCGAGCGCGCGCGCCAGGTTCGGCCAGCTCCCGACCGAGATCAGGTAGCTCTGCACGGTGAAGCGCAGGTCCTCGTCCGTCACGTTGGCGCGGCAGGAGGTGTCGTCGCAGCCCGGGGCGGGGATCGGCGACGCGGCGGCCTTGTCGCGGACGCTGACGAACTTGGCCTCGACGTCCTGGCCGGAGAGCACGCAGTCGGCCGTGGTCGAGTTCGCGCACCACTCGAAGAACTTCTTGAGCGTGAGCTCGTACGTGGTGCTCTCGATCAGCAGGTTCGACGACTCGCCCTGGCTGTGCTGCAGGTTCCCGTCGAGCACGAGCGCGCGGATGTTGTCCGGGAACAGCTCTGCGTACTGGCTGAAGAGCTGCGTCCCGTACGACAGGCCCAGGAGGTTGATCTTCTCGCCGCCGAGGGCCTTGCGCACGGCCTCGTGGTCCTTGACCGCGGAGATGGTGTCGACGAAGTCGATGAGGCGGCCCGTCTTGGCGCGGCAGCTTTCGCCGACGGCCTTGTTGTACGCGACCAGGGCGTCGTACTCGGCCTGCGTCTTGGGGAAGAAGGACACGCGCCTGTTGTACGTGTCGGTGTCGCACTGCACCGGCGTGCTGAGGCCGACGCCCCGCGGGTCCAACCCGATCACGTCGAAGCGCGCGAGGATCTCCGGGTTGACGACCCCCGGGCTCTGCGCTATCGAGCTGACGAGGTCCGAGGCTTGTCCGCCGGGGCCGCCCGGGTTCACGAACAGGTACCCGATGCGCGCGCTCTTGTCGGTGGCCTCGTGGCGCACGAGGCCGAGCTGTATCGTCTCGTTGCCCGGGTTCGACCAGTCCAGGGGCACGGTGTAGTTCGCGCACGTGAGGTTCGCGGCGAATTGGTCGGAGCAAGGCCCCCAGGTAATGCTGCCGGTGGTGTTCTGAGCGGCGGCTCCTCTCCTGGACGATGCTATTCTCGAGCCGGGCATGGGAACTGCCGCGCCCAGAGTCGCGAGCGCGAGGAACGCCGATGTGAATACTTGCGAGCGCCCCATCTTTGTTGTTTGCCTGTCCTGCGCAATACCGATCCAATTAAGTTGTCGTGAAAGGTGGTATTGAGTTGAGGACTCGGAATGGGAAGAGCGGTATCCGGGGTATATATAGGGCTTGGCTCGTAAGATTCTGGCGATGATGACTACCTAGACATAACCTAACTAATCATGTCACGGAGCAGGGTGTAGGGCGAAGCAACAGACGACTAGGCCGGCATGCCGGAAGCAGAGGACAATAATAGAAGGACGATGCGTGGGCGCTGGCGGAGCTACCTAGCTGCTGTGTTCCTGCATTGTCGATCCTTGCCCGGAAGAACGGGCAGGTGTTGCACTGCACGGCGTCGATTGGGCGATCGCAATCGATAGCAGCGACGGGCTGGGGTTCGGGCCTAAATTTGGGGTCGAATCCGGTAGCTGAAGAGCTGGTAATTTCCATAAACCCTGCTGACCGGCTGCTGTGCCCCAGGCCTTGAGTGACACAGCCGCCATCTGACGGGCAGAACGGGGAATAGCTGTTTGGCTGTTTGCTTTTTGCTTACATAGCTGCATAGTAGGGCACCTAGTGAAGTCCTATGAGGCGATTTCAGCAAGTCCATCGTCGAATCTCTCTACATTAGTGCTGAGGGATAAGCCATCTTGGTGACGAACGAATGTGAACCGAGCCTCCATAGTCCTATCTTCTGTTGATGATTCGTGATTCGTGTTCAGCGGACGCCCGTTTGGAGAAGCGGGTACAAGCAGATTTCCCGGTTTGGGTTTCGCGTCCATTCCTTCCGTGCACCTTCCGTGTCTGCTGTCTTGCCCGAAGTCCTCCACATTTTTACTACCTACCACCTACCTGCTATAGCTATTACTAATTCATGTTTAATGCGTGACGTCACGGGCGTCAGGGATCATCAGCATAAACTTTACTCACTTGCACTTTCTAGATGAGAATATAGGACGGAGCGAACCGAAACCTAACCTTAGCTTCCCGCAGAAGAACTCTATTTTAGAGCCTCAACCTTGGACTAAATACCTAGGTACCTACTACTAAGGAATGCACTTATATAGTATTTATCACGACGGAACCTCCATCACATAGATGCGCGAACGACTTTTCATTTTCAATGCCGAACTCTCTTCCCCTCAATTGGTCAATCTCCTCGGGATCTTACATGTTAACAGACTTTGGAAGTTTTGCATCACCCCTAAGGCCATGGATCATGGCTCTCGAGAGTGCCGTTCCTCAATGATTCCCAGTACTTCTTGAGGCCTGCATGCAATGATTAGCCATCGTTAATCAAAGGTAATCGGTATTGTCTGGGGAGTGGAAGGGGGGGCTTACTGTGGTCCGCAAAGCCACCTCCAAAGATTCCTCCCTGGACGTGATTTTCGTCCTGATCGATCGCCTCAAGATCGCTCTCAGCCAGCGTAACTTCTTCCGTGGCTCCATCGCTCGTATATTCGTTGAGAGCACCGAGTTCCGAAGCTCCTAAAGCGATTCGCGCTGGAGTAATGTTCACCATCCTGTCTACATGGTAGTACTTCTCCAACCAAAGGGTTACGCCGGGCATCCTTGCGACCAAGTCATTACCGTTGACAAACCGCCATGACTTCCGAAATCCCTTAAGGGTGCCTGCATTGGTGGCATACGTCTCATTACCTACTCGCGGGCTTCCAAACGTCATCAGACCGCGAATTGTTGTATGCATAAAATGCATATCTGCTAGCATGCCTGCCCAGCAGTTCGTGGCATATGCCCCGCCAAGAGAATGGCCCTAATGAAGACGTAAGAGACTCGCATTATCACTTGGTGTATTTGGAACTTGTCCTTGGAACTTACGGTCACCCAAGCTTGGACTCTCAGTCCAAAGGGAAATGTTTTGGCTAAAACCTTCCTCTCAAGTTTCCAGAGCTGATTTCTCATCATCTCTACGAGTTGTCAGATTTTAGAGCGGGCAAAGAAGAAGGCGATATGACTTACGAAACGGCAAAGCAATGCGGATTGATTTGTTTGATGACAGGTCACACGGGAAGTCTTTGAATACGCCATCGAAGAATCCGATATGACATCTACCTTTCAAGGGGCTAGACCCGACCGCATCCTTCATATTGAACTTGGCATCCGTGATCCATTCTTTGAACTTTCCAGTCCCCTATGGTCTAGTCAGTCCAGCACGTCGAGGACACGAATATGGATCGGTGATCACCTTGAACGCTATGACGATAAACGGCTTCTTATCCTCGCTGTGCCCATAGAAAGCGCCGCAGTAAGGACCGTTACGGAGAAGTTTTCCATCGGAAGAAAAGTCTAAAATATCGATTAGCCACCAACAATTGTCACCTATACTCTAACCACCTACTGCAGAGGGGTAGATAATCAAGCCCCATCCTTGATGCCTGGATACATATTAGAGACTTTGTCAAGACTCCGAATCATCTTCTGGTCATAACTTACCACCTCCTGTATTTTCTGTGTAGCTCTGTCGCCCTTCACCTGCGCTTTCATCATCGCGTCTAAGGTAGCCTGGCTGAGTGGCCGGGAATGTTTAACAGCCTCTTTGATCTCAGCTGCATATGGCTGTAACTCCGAATATATCTGTTCCTCATGTTCAAGGTCCCTACGATACCCCATTAGCAGTTCAGAAATATGTTGACGGAAGGCATTAATAACCTCATGTAGACACATTGATCCATGATACATAGAAGCTGAGCCACTTTGATGACAGCATCTGGCGAAACACTCTGGTTTTTGGAATCTGGCACTGTTAGATACTCAAGTCAAGCTGTTAAGAAGGAGGGGGATATAACCATCGTATTTCTCCTCGGCGAGGGTGTTGATAGCTGTTCGCAAGTCTCCCGTCCTCTGCATCTCCGCGACCTTAGCGAGTTGCTCTGAATTGTCAAGGTCCGACCCCCCGCCACCGCCGAATGCCATTACTTCAGCATGGTCGTCTGACTCGTTAGAGGAATCCTTTTCCCCAAGAACGCTTATCAGAGCGAACTGTTGTTTCCATGACTCATCAACGCTACTTGCCGGAGTTGTCTCCTGAAGAGAGCGTACGAACAACTGGAACTCCGTGCTCGCGTTGTTGGGGTCATTGACAGGTCTGGCGTCCGCGGCCATGATGTGAACGGGGGCGCCATCCTCGTCATAGGAATGCGGGATGTTCGGGGGATACGCAAAGCGGAAATATTCGGGCGGGGGAAACTGAACATGGCGCATCATAAGTCGTCGGTCACTGATATTGAAGCCTAGGTACGCATTGTTTAGCTTGGATTGTAGTGCAAAGTGGTCTTGGCCTCCTTGCTGGATTGGCACTAAGTTGAAAGTACGAATCAGACCAAAGGCTGTTTCTTTGTTCTCGAGGCTTCTGTCACTGAGCCGGTCCAACCTTACACCAGGCCCAGATCCATTGAAGCAGGTCAGCGCTTGGATGAGGGGGCCTGAGACCTCAACAGAGACAGTTTTTGGGGTAGCCATCTGGGCTATGCTTAGAGGATAGTCATATGAAACAGACTCATCTCTGACCTTTCATCCCCTTATATAACCTTAGACCTGGCCAGCGCTTAAGATCTGCTGAACTACTAACGTTGCTGATCGTCCAACTTTGCATGTGCGATGGGATGGCAACTGCATTAGGGGAAACGACATACCCAATAGCTGTCATACCTATATACCTACACGGTATATGTAGTCTTCATTGGCTGATATGTTGCAAGACAATTTGGTTGTTATTTGAGTGTCACTGCAGATGCGGGATCCAATAGTGCCTTGTGTCATAGGAGCTGAAACATCGCTAAGATGGGGTCGGCTTGATTCAATCCATCTTACAGCCTATGTTGCCGCAGCAAGAACGTCAAGATATTCCCATTCTGGATGTATGGAGAGGTCTCAACGATATTGGAGTTCGGTTTCTCATCGGGTAGAAGGAAAGTGGCCGCAGAAGCCAAGCATCTCAGGGGGGCAGCCCGTCTATTACAATGGGATGGTCCATTCCTGCGTTCGCATAACCTCATCTACTACTTCAGTATGGCCTTATTGACATCACTTTAGGTACAATAAGACATATATGGTTTCCGTGCGTCATTAATCCCATTTCTAGGACCTTGCCATACGGTTGACCCATCGTCTGACGGTTGCTGTGTAACAACATAGAAGCCTTGTCACGACGTGAATATAGGTAATGAGAGGGGCACATCATCGTCATGCAAGGAATGTTAAGATACCTAGGTAGTCTACTAAAGAACGTGGTATACATGAAGTATCGTCTTCTCTGTACTGGTTTAGATCACCCCTCTTAACATGCCAACCTCCCTAATGGGATGAACCCCTGACAAGTCAAATCTCGAACCAGCTGGGCCTCTGGAAGGACCGTTAGAATAGTGCCCATGTGCAAAGACTGCATCCCGCGGCAAAAATCACTCCTCGAAAGTAACTGTGAAGATTGCGACGCAATCATCGGCTTGACCTATGTTGCTAGTGACCTGGTTAATGAGATTAGCAAGTGCTCATAGAGTGACTGGTAATAAGAATCTATCCTTACTGTCAGAGTCCCGCCGTTGAAGGATTTCGAGTCGTCCTTCTCTTCTCTGTAGTAGAGCCAGTTATAATCGCCCTGGCCAATATTTGCATCCCGAGTCAAGACAGCCGAAGTACAGTAGTTGTCCTTGGCGCTCATGTAAGGATTGGAACCTAGAAATCGGAGATACAACGCCTCAGAGCCACTTTTGACCGCATAACCGGACATGCCAGCCGATCCAGTAAACGGACTACGAGAGCTGATGACGTGTCCGCCGCTGCCCGAACTGTAGGGTTTGATCTTGCGAATAAAGTTAGGATAAAAGCTCCAGTGGTAGGACAACTGCTTACCGTAGATGGAGGTTCCGCAAAGTCTCCCCAGTCAGCGAAACAGCCTTCCGCTTCTAATTCAAAGGCAGTTTGATTTTCGACCAGGAACTTAATCTGGTTCCTGCTGAAGGCCCCAATGTTTTCTCCCTCTTGCTCGAAATCAGACATGATGGGCCCTTATAAACCAATGAATTGGGAAGATAAAACGGAATTTATATAGCAAACAGAGAATGGTTAGGCTGATATAAAAGATTCTTTCCAGAGGTGATTTTACACCAGATAAGTAGCTCCTCTTCCTTGGAATGGAAGAAGCATTTATAGATGACTGGAAGCACCAAGTGAAGTATGTACCTCATGTGAATGCATCAAAATCAGCCGCAAAGTCTCATTGCTTCTGAACAGAAACCACGGTCCAATTGGTGGCTAGTACCTTTGATGCATCGCTGATCATAAAAGCTCTCTGAATCAATTTGGTTTAAGCCCAATTTTTATGGGAGCTGAAAGTACGACAATTGTAGAATACTCAAGAGACGTTTCTACAGACGTAAAGATGTGAGTGGTGTGCAACACCTTGACTACCTAAACGCACTTGCCTACATCAACTCTTCCTATTGGCTAACTGCACTTAAGGCTAGCAGTTCAAGTTGTGAGCTCTGCATTGGTATGCATATGGCAGCAATAAAAGTTGCAGTAGCTTCTAGTCTGAACTACCCGTACGGTGTATTGTAGATCTTTGAATCTAAGAATGGTTAATACTTCACTAATGCTTTGGTGAAGCTGAGCTCCGGACCATGCTTAAGTTCCAGTCGGGAGTTTTATTTCATCAATAATTTGTTGATAACACTCCACATCTCTGAAGGGAGAGACCGTACGTTCTGATTGGCTGAGTGTACGGCTCGGGATATTTATCTTGCATGTAGATGAAGACAAAATGGGAAGAGACAATCGCAAACGTAAGAGCTGAAAGAATGATACACTTAGAGAACTGGCTGAGACCATTCCTCAATTATTTCATCATAGACGAACCCGTGTCACTGAAGCACTATTGAAGATGAACTGAGGCATTGGATTCCGCGGGTGGAAAAAAAAGGGGTTGTGGGTCCATTTATTTCATCTTGGCATCTTTTCAAAGAGGCGCCTGAGTATTCTGTATGGTCCGAGCAGTCATCGTTGAATAGAAACTTATGAGTGAATCCAACTTATCATGGTTTAGCTTTTTACTCTTGTCCTAATGGACTTCAATCTTCTAGGCTATCAAACCGTGATTGACATCCCCACCTCTGATCGTCGTACCTTGCAGGACTCTATTGGGTTTGTGGATACCACCCCTGATCCCCAGCGGGTGACAGTAATAGTCTGACTTTCTTTAGATGACCGGGACTCTGAGGTAAACCTTCGTCGCGGTTCTATCATCTGCAAAAAGTCGTCTCTCTCGTTTCACCGAAGCTTCGCCCTACTTATCAGACTCCTCAACAGCTTGTATGAGAAGAATGAAAACTTCCACTAGATCTAGTAGGTGAAATTGTCTTACACAAGAGTATTTATCTACCAACCTATCTGTAATCATCATCCTATAACTCTTGCCTACATTCTAGCAGGTCTCTATCTTCAGTTATCATGAAGCTCACCTCCTCAGAATTGATTAACTTATAATGTTGACCCTTGTATAAATTGAAAGACAGTATCAATATTACCGTGATGCACTGTAAGTGTAGCTGTTTTAGCTATCTCTTTGCTACTGGATCGGAGGTTCCTATTGGCTAAAACGCGTATAGTTGCCAAAGTACCTAGGAAGTCAAGGGATAACTAAGTACTATGTAGAATCCCAGTATGTTACAATAATATTAATACTAAGTCGCCGATAGCCCATTTATTCTGACTCTGTTCTATTACTGTGTTAATAACGAGTCAATGACCGTAAAGACCTCCTTTGTTCCCTCACTCTTCCTTTCTGCGAACATTGGTGATTGTAAACATAGTGAGATATTATTAAACAAGAAACGTTCCCTTATGGTATATATAGTAGCATAAACAGGGACTTCCCACCTGAGCTCTTCTAAGTAGCTTCATGCTAATCAAGTAACCAAGCTACTTACTCAACCATGGATACCAGATCTAGCACATCTTCTAAGACAAACATGGGTACGTATGAAAATGGCTTTGATCAAGCTTCCTCCTATAGGGAGAAGTTGAAGCATATTCAAGATTTGACACCCATTGACGAACCACTAATCTCATGGGACGGCAAGCGTGGAAGATCACCACGTGAGTACTTGAAGCCACCTGTTAAACCATATGGGCGAGAGGTTGCGGAATGGCAAAATGCGCTTTCGGGCAAACACGAAGTGCCACAATTCCGAACCACTTCAGAAGTGGCACCTATTCGCCAGGACGCACCCACTATGGTCTTGATCTTCTATCCCCGCCCGGACGAAGGTGATGCAAGGCCTATCCACCAGAGCCCCTCTTACCTAAAGAGAATCGAACGCATAGCTCAGATGGGAGAGCAGACGATTCTCTACATCCCGCCCGAGCTCGCGGAAACAATCCGCGCCATGCGACCAGACCCGCATTGGCACATAGTGGACTCCTACGCCACGGTTTGGGATATACCGACTAACGACTACCAGCGCGACAACTTCGCAAATGTGCAACCGAGACTTTTCCGGGAATTTGACGGCTATGGGGATGCTGATGGTGAGCTGAGGCCCGTGGACAGATACAACCGCGCCCATCACAGCGCCGTATGCAATGCGAAGGCATTCATCATGTACGACGCCATCATGCGCAATCCCTTCGGTTCTGACCGGTGGATGTACGTAGACGCGGGATTCCTCTTTGACGACGGCCCCAGAGACTCCGATGGCATGATTTGGGGTGACCTCATCAAGAGCGGCCTCGACTCGGCAAAGATTGATCGTGCCATCAGTGTCTCACGCGACACGGGGGTGGTCATGGGCGAGTATTCGCACCGAGATGGCTGCCCGGACATTAACGACGAATGCTGGAGCAATCCTAGACGGACCTGGCGCAGCCGCCAGTTCATTGCTAATGTGTATGTGGGCAACTCGCTCGGCATGCTGAACTACAGCGCGCGCTTTATGCAGACGGTAGATGATATGGATGCTAACGGCTTCTACACCGGGCGCGAGGAATTTGTCGTAGCCTTTGTCGCCCTTCGCTACCCCAACTCCGTTTTCTCCATCCCGTGGTTTCCTCTGCCTCGACGGCTTGATTACCGTTGGCAGTTCCCCGGGAAGCTGGTGTTTTCTCGCGTTGGTGGCCCCCAGTCGGTACCCCCTATTGTGGACCCAATCGCTACATTGTACGTTCGCGACTATGTACCGAGCCGCCAGAGGCTGGCTGCGGGAGGGATCTATATCACGTCTCCAAAGGATCATTATGAATGGGAAGTCCGTCATGGGCTGACGATACCTGCCTAAGAAAGAGTAAGTAACTAATATTTTAAGGGATTATCTTAGATAGCTTACCTTACGGGTCTCATGTAGCACATGTTACAGACTGAGTGAGAATAGCAGTTAGCTTGCCTTTGGCTCGCTTGTAGGTAGTAAAAGACCTTGATTAACGGCTGTCCCTCTCCTAAACCCCTTTGAGGCCTTCGATCCCTTATATATTCGTCCCGGCATTATACAGGCTGCAGCTAACTAGCTGTTATCTAGCTGTTATCTAGCCCCTTGCCTTGTAACCCCTGACACAATTGGTACTATTGGATTAGTTATCTGAACTCCAAACAGGATATCCCAATAAGCTTAATGTAGCCTCCCAGAAATCAATGAGAATTTGTTAGGTCCCATCAGCCCTCTACTGCTGAATATCTCCAACCTTAATAATAAGTATATCCATATCCTTGACGCATGTTGTATTAATTTTGCTAGTTCTTTTGTGAGAAAAGAAGTTGGTCATCTGTCGGTCGCGGTCTTGTATATCCGGGGTTAATTCAATACACTTAGCCGCAATATTCCATTTGACCATCCCACTGAACTTTGGTAACCAGATTCCCTCGGTCCCAACAATATCAATAGAACTATGGGTATATTAGCTTATAAATCAAATCTGTTAACATGCCTGTAGAAAAGAGGATCAGAGGGGATAAGATGTTGTATTTGTTTAGAAACTTTAGATCCTGGATCTTCATTTCGAAGATCTTAAGTACTTGCACAGTGCTCGTCGCACCTTCCCATGATGTACACTCTATCTCCTATAGTCATAGGAAAATGGAGAATAATACCGAAACAGGCAGATAAGAGTTGCATCTTTTGCAACTTCTTTCAAGCAAGTCCCAAGCGCCTTCTCAGGTGCTATTGGAACCGCACTCTTCTTCCCGTGTTTCGGACTCCTTTCGTAAATTAATACGCCATCGGCGTACTTCCAGCGTCCAGTTAAGCCGTGGATGCTTATCCACTCTTGTCTTTCTTTTAAAATTACAGCCCCGGCGACTGAAGAGGAATCGATTAAGACCCCGGTATTTGCGCAGCGCGCAACTCTATGTCTCCCGATGTCGTAATATTGGAACCTGAAAAGATCAGGGAATCTTGCGTCGAGGAGGGCCGCGGCCTTGAGTGCAAATGATGTGCATCTGCCAGTGGCAGATGACCACGTGGAGGAGAAAGGGGCTTTGGATAAGTCCTCTTCGGTAACCGAGTTTTGGTCAAACTTTTTCAACTTTGCCGGTTGGCAAGGATATCTTGATGGCTTAATTCCTGTCAGAAGCCTCATCTGTGAGAGCTGATAGCTAGAGCCTCACCAGGGGTAACTAGTAGCCCAGAAGGATCGGGAGTCGGCTTGTACGAGGCCGCCCTATTGGCAGTTGGCCCTTGGCTGCAGACAAAAGGAAGTTCTATGCATGTATAACGCATCCCTTGGAAGGGAGTAGTTAGAGCTCTTCGCGCATAAACGTCGTTATTCCTTAGCCCTTTGGTTCCGCCTCGTGACACATAAGCCCTTGAACCTTCTCGTTGCCCTCGTACAGTAAAATCATATTTCGTCCCAAAGATCTGGCACTTCATTGTAGGTAACCCCAGAAACGCCTTTGTATCGTTCTATAGTTGTTAGTTTATTAAATGATTAATTTTGATATATACGACTTGAACTTACCAAGCCATGGGTATGCTTTTGCCACCTCCTCGGGAGTCATCTTGGCATTTTTTTCGCGAGCTTTGTCGAACAGTTCACCGATCTCCTCTCTTGTCAAGGTTTTTGATTTATTCTGCTTGGTGTTGGTATCAGAGCCGGGATCTTTTTTATCCGATTGTTGTGGTACTTTAGTATCGGAAGAAGATGTTTGTGGTTTTTGGGATTCTGTAGTAGAAGGCATTGTAAAGGTTGTGAAGGATTTTGTTGTTGGGTTGTTTTCTAAAATTTGGGGTTCCAAGTTTCAAATAATTACTTGCTCAATATAGGTAATTAAGGTTTAGGTTTTAGTTTTTTCCACGTATGTGTGTGGTATGAGGGTTATTGGGTTCAAAGTCGGTTGATTAATGTAAGTTCTAAGATGAGGGTTTATTAAGAATCTAGTAGTAGTCTGGTGACAGTGACCATCCGCTGCGATTGAGGTGAAGAGTCAGGAGTCACGTGGAACGACCCATTTTATGTGGGCAGGCAGGCCTGATAGGAGTTGCACCTAAACTTTTATTTGTTACTAGTATTGAAGGGATGCCCATTTTAGATCATAAACAATTTAGTCCCGGAGGCTTTTATGCTGTGTTCTAGGTAGGTAGGCATCATTTATACGCCAAATCTTAAAAGCATCATCTATAGGTACGTAAAAACAGGCTAAATAAAGAGTATTTTACAAAATTATGCCATGAGCAAGAAATCTTTTTTACCTGAGCAGTCACTGTGTTACAGTTGTGTCGAGAGGTCATTCAATATACCTATGGCTTGGCGTTTGCGTATTTGAGAATATTATTACGGGGTTTACACCACTACCTCCGCGCAAATTCCGGGCCTCCTGCCCCTAAACCAACCCCTGAAGCGTTTATCGCCGCATATATCCGTCCACTATGCATTATCATTTGAAGCGAGATAGCCTCATGTAGAGATCACGTAGAGTTGAAGCCAATTAGGCTTCGAATAAGTGGGACATCCTCACTTTGATCGTATATCGAGTCAATAACCAGATTATCCGGTCAATATACCTACACAAGCAGGGAAGACGTAGTATGTCGCTATGGGCAGCAAGTAAACACCCTGTGGGACTAAGGTTAATAATTAGAAATCCAAAAGGTAAATTGTTTTCGCTCAAGCCATGCTCATAGATATCTGCCCATGTTAGCCGGGCCAATGTAAAAGACGAGAATATTTCTAAAGGTTCCCTGAGCATCTCTCAAAGAAACAACAGTTTAAAACTACGAATACTACTTCCTACCATTTTATATCATGGCTAATCAGATACGTGACACCCAATTTGGCCAGCTTGTACGTTTTGTATCGAGGCACAAACTTTTCAGATATCCCGACGAAGACGATGCTTCGTTATGGAAACGCTGTCTCCAAAGGGATACCAGTTCGACAGCCACGCCGCAAGAGGAGCAAGCTAACCAACTTTCTGGAGGTGTCTGTTTGACTCCTGCTGCCGAAGATGGTCGAGATACATATCTAGTAGAGTGGTATGGGCCTGACGATCCGGAGGTATGTACCCCTTATATCTTCCTATTTCGACTGATAAATAAGTACCTACTTAACTGACGCCGGCATAGAATCCGCAAAACTGGCCTGAGAAATGGAAGCTGGTGGTTGCTTTCGTAATGTGTCTCCTCAACTTCTCCTTCTATATTGCGAGTTCGATATACGTCCCCGGCATACCGAGTATCATGGAGGACTTTGGCGCCAGCGAGATCGTTGCAACGCTAGGGCTCTCGCTTTTTACCCTGTATGTAAGATAATAAAATACGCCTGAGCCAATGTTGGCCCTGAGATAAGAACGCTACTAACCTGCTGTTTCGTTCACATTAGCGGATATGGGCTAGGCCCTATGCTTTGGTCCCCAATGTCGGAGATCCCCCAACTCGGACGCAGCCCGCTGTATTTTTGGACGTTCCTCGCCTTTATCCTGCTTCAACTTCCAACCGGATTCGCTGTCAACATGCCCATGTTCCTTGTTTTCCGAGCTCTTACTGGCTTCGTCGGCAGCCCTCCATTGGCGACTGGAGGTGCCACAATCATCGACATGTATGATCCAGCTCGTGCTGGATACGGCATATGTATCTTTTCATCATTTGGGGTGCTCGGTCCCGTCTTTGGTCCGATCATTGGTGGTTTCGCGGCCCCAGCTGAGGGGTGGAGGTGGACAATTTGGATATTCACGTGGCTATGCGCGCTTGTGCTCATCCTGTTGTTTTTCTTGCTACCCGAGACCAGCGCCGCGAATATTCTGTACAGGAGAGCCAAAAGAATACGGGAACTAACCGGAGACAATCGGTTTAGGAGCCAGTCCGAAATCGACGCCGCGCATCACACTGCGAAAGATCGTTTGATTGTCCTTGGCCGAGCGTTCACGTTGACTTTCTCAGAGCCTATCGTCTTCTTCATAGATCTGTATTCGGCCCTCCTATACGGAGTTTTGTTCCTGTGGTTCGAATCGTTCCCTCTGGTCTTTGGCGGTATTTATGGATTTAGTGCCAGCACAGAGGGGCTAGCATTCCTGGGTATCTTCATTGGTGCTCTTGTTACTGTACCTTTCTTCCTGATCTGGATTAAATACGGAATAATTCCGAAATTCGCTAAACCGTCATTCAGGCCGGAAATGGTCCTCCCACCGACATTCGTAGGGGCTGTCACCCTGCCGATCTGTCTTTTCTGGTATGGCTGGACAGCTCGGGAAAGCATTCATTGGATCGTTCCTATCATCGGCTCCAGTCTCTTTACCGTATGTGTAGTCACAATATTCAACACGGTATTCAACTACCTAGGGATTTCATATCCCACTTATGCAGCGTCGATATTTGCAGGGAATGCGTTATTCCGTGCCTCGTTTGGCGCGTCGTTTCCTCTCTTTGTAAGTTCCCACGAAGACTTTATCTCTGTTCGTTGGTAATTAACTTGTCAACTTATCTGACTAGGCCCGAGAACTCTTTCGCCAACTTGGGATTGGCCCCGGCAATTCGCTCCTTGGGGGGATTGCAGTATGCTTTATCCCTATCCCTTTCGTTTTTCATCGGGTAAGTGTCCATGAACGTTGTATTGTAACTTGGAGGATAAGGGGGCTAACCGCGCATCAGTATGGTGTAAAGATCCGACACAAGAGCAAGAATGCCCGACACGATATCTAAAAAGGGAAATACCATGGCTCGGGACCCCTGGGAACTTCATACCCCGATGTAAGCCTTGAAAGTCTACCCAGGTATCTTCGGAGGTCTGATTGGACACTTTCGTACGTAAAGTGGTTCGAGAAGCAGAGGTATTGATGCCAGATGCTGACCAAATCCATTGTTGAGTCCCAAAAAATCCTAGCCTCCATGTATTGCTCATAGGCTCGAAGCAACATCATCTGAATAAGGCTATTGGCCAAGGGTATTCTGGAGGAGCTAATGTCGATTATTATCATTCCTATTGTATTTCGGAGCGACGTCTCTTACTGTGGAAAAGTGAATAGGTCTATTCCAATATCTTCCAAACTGTAAAATTTAGTTAGTTAAGCGTGTAAAACTGAAATGTAATTTACTGACTTGAGTCCTATTTAGGATATCTGCAACGAAACAAGCCGAGGAGTCTGTGTTGTCGATGCTAATGGGAACTGGATGTTGATCTTAGAGACATATTTTAAGTCTCGCCAACTGAGGTTGCTTAATTGACTATGCTCCTCTGAAGATTTCCAAAACATCATAGCGATAAATTGTTCCAGTTATAGTGATCGTTCTATGAGAACGTTTGGTATTCATTCCATAGTGATGTTGTTATTGAGTCTCTTCAAGATTCCGGGTTTTCGCCGAGTCGACATCTCTGACAGTCATCAAGAACGCCGCACTTAGTTCGGCATCTACATCGACGGGGTAAACTCGCTCGGCTTTCTCTGTCTCTCATTTCTGTTATACAACAACAAAAAGAGGCTTCAATGAATGAAGACACCATGTTGCGATATAGCGACAAGGCTTTCGGAAATGTTTGCGGCCCTACGGGAATAATTTGATATTCATTTTCTCCAATTCTTTATTCGGCATCGTTCGCATTCATACAGATTATTAATCATCTCGGATAGGACATGATATTGGAGATGCGTTTGTGTCCTTCCCTATTTTGATAGGACAGCAGGGGTATTGGCGTATGAAAAGCCAGTAGTATACCGGCCCTGAGTAACACAACGCATGATGGCGCTTTCAATCGCTCTCAAGTGGACGCCAGTATGTGAACGCTTACTCATTGCCACATACATAATATGCATGAGACTTGAGCCAGCATGTATACCTTCAACAGGTTGGGGGAGGGTGAAGCATGAAGGGTGAAAGTCCCGCACCATATTTGGGATATAAAGACATCGGAATCGCGAGCATCATGAAGGTGTTTTGTCCATCAGCATTCACATCAAACCTCATATCAGCGCCAACAATCAACTCTTCTCTATTAACTTACCGAAGAGCCCTTCATTACATATCGAGCTGTCTCAGCTGGCCCCAGCAGACTTCAGACTTAAACCAACTCTTACACATCTATAACACCCATCATCTCAAAGAACCAACACGTACAACATGAGCAATCAAGTTGACTCAGCTGAACCGTTCGACTTCATCGTCGTCGGAGGTAAGTTGTCCTATAATCAGGCTTCTAATCCGGAACCGTCAACTCACACAATCTCTAGGAGGCACTGCCGGATGCGCCGTCGCCGGCCGTCTAGCGGAGTCGCCCAAAGTCCGCGTCTTGGTTATCGAGGCCGGTATTGGTAACCCGAAAGACATTGACGCTATCACGACGCCCGCTCGAGCTTTCGAGCTGCGTGACAGTAAGTATGACTGGGCCTACAAGACCACCATGATCGACCGCCCAGAGTATACGCGTGTTGAGAAACCGAATACTCGTGGTAAGACCCTAGGTGGTTCTAGTTGTCTCAACTATTACACATGGATCCCCGGCTCGGCTGGCACCTTCGACGACTGGGCGCCGTACGGCGGCGACGAGTGGAAGTGGGACAACATCCGGAAGTACTTGTACAAGCCGGCCACCTACCATGACGACAGAGGTCTCTACAGCGAGGAGCTGAAGTACATCGGCACCGACGGGCCTGTGCCTGTATCTCATTCCGATCTCGTGCCTGAGATTCAGCCTTTCCGAGATGCCCTAACAAAGGCCTGGGTAAGCAAAGGGGGAAAGCTGACCGACGACGTCCACAACGGCACCATGCGCGGACTGTGGAAATGCACCAATAGCATTTACAACGGCAAGCGTTCTTCGAGTTGGATGTACCTCGAGGGCAAGACCAACGTCACCGTGCTCTCGGGTACCAACTCCAAGCGCTTGCTCATCGACCCCGCCACGAAGAAATGTACCGGTGTAGAAGTCATTCTGCCTTCAGGTGAGACGCACAGCTTCACATCTAAGTACGAGACTATCGTTTCGTCCGGTGTCTTCGAGAGTCCCAAGCTGCTCATGTTGAGCGGGATCGGGCCTAAGGCTGCACTCGCCAAGTTCAACATTGAGACCATCGTCGACTCAGCTCATGTAGGTCAAAATCTGCTAGACCACCCCATCCTTCCTCACGTCTTCCGCCTTGAAGACGGGACCGGGTTGGATCACCATCTTTTGAGGGCCGGTCTTGAGCACGACGCGGCCGTCAGCGCCTATAGATGGAAGAACTCGGGGCCATACACCTCGGGCTTGCTCGAAATGGTCGGTCTTCCGCGTATCGACGAGCGTCTGAATAAATACCCCGAGTATCTCGCCGCCAAGGCTGCGAACGGGGGTCTCGACCCCTTCGGCCCGGCAGGCCAGCCACACTTCGAGATTGACTTCGTGCCGATGTTCAGCGACGCCTTCCAGTGGCACATCCCTACGCCGCCTACGGGAGACTACCTCACAGTCATCGTCGACCTGCTCCGACCGCAAAGCAAATCCGGCACCGTAGAGCTGAACAGCACAGACCCGCTGGAGCAGCCCAAGATCAACCTCAACTTCTTCAAAGACGACCTGGATATCCTGGCGGTACGCGAAGGTATCCGCTGGGTGGACGACGTGCTGATGAACGGCGAGGGCATGCGCGACATGATCCACGAAGATTACCCTTGGCCCATGCCTCGAACCTCCGACGCGGCTATGGATAAGCTGATCCTCGAGCGTTCGCAGACGGGCTTCCACCCCTGCGGCACGACTCGCATGTCGAAGAACGTTGGAGAAGGAGTCGTCGACGGCAAGCTCAAGGTCTTCGGTGTTGACAAGCTTCGTGTCATCGACGCGTCTGTCATCCCGGTGATTCCCGACTGCCGTATCCAAAATGCGGTTTATGCGGTTGCTGAGAAGGTACGTGCATTGCACCTTGTCTCGCAATGTGAGAGAACAGGCTGACTTATTTTACAGGGCGCCGATCTGATCAAGGCTGAATACCCGGAGCTATTCGCGTAAACCTTTCCGGGCTCTCACGTATTAGCGATGGGATACCTCTCCCAGGTATATTGAATGACGTTTCTGGTTTCATCATTATTTGGATGTTTGTTTTTTATTACTCTAAAGTAATTGGATGGTGAACATGGTGAGATTAAAGGGAGTGGAAGATCCCGGAGGGTTTGAGTTTAGTTAGCCATTTATTATTTTAGAGGGTATTACGTACAATTCAATTCCTTTATCCATGCTTGTTCCACGCTTAATTGAATTGATAGAACGCATTAGAATGGATTAACGATATTTAGCACCCCCATTAACCCGGTATGCATCCATGGATAGAGCCCATCGTCCCACCAGTTCCTTGGCTAGAATTTCTTTCTGAGTCTACTGACATCAAGAAGCTAGGTAGTTACCTCATTAGAAGGCTCAAATTTTAGAGCCTCAAAGATGGTACTGCATAGCCGTTAGCACTTTCATGTGAAGGGGTGAAGAGCCAATCATCAGTTTGGTGATTTCCTCTCGATCCACCGACCCCCATTGTCAGCTGCCCACTCAATCCGAGATGAACGGATCAGACAGGTCTTCGGCGACAGCAGCACGGTAGAAGCCTAGCTGGTAGCGATAATGAACCGGCAGAACGGTTCAAGTGGGGTCACAACTTCGCTGACAGGATGTGGGGATGGTTTTATTCGAACTCGATTTCAGGTGAGGTCTCGCCACTGAATGAGGCGCGGGCCCTGGGCGGATTGAGCGTTACTGGATTCGTCCAAGCCGCCAGCGCTTCGGTGAGGCCCGCAGCACCACCATCACACCACTGTATCGTGATCAACGACAAATTGTCGTCCCACGTCTAGCAAGTCGTCGACCTACCCGACGTGAAGGTAGAAGCAATGACGGTGAATATGGAAGAACTATCGAAGGACCCGAGAACTTTATAATGTCGTCGTTAAGCCGACCGTCTCGGAATGTTTCACTACAGCCTGCATCGCAATCAAGTTTTGATTACATCCGCACAACTCGTCAAAAGCCAATCCAACCCTTTGGGTTTCAGTTACCATCGTTGCATGTACCTACAGTACACTCTACTAAGAGTACCGCACCACCACTACAAAGCTCCAACCAGCCCAATCAAGAAGATGGCCATCACCCACCCGCAAGGTCTCCGCCCGCACATGCACGCAGCCGCCAGGGCTACCGCCCCAGTGGTAGCGCCTAGGCTCGGCCCTGTCTCATCCAGAGTATTACCAAGCCTTTTGGTATTGGGAGTTGGTTAGTCTCTCCCCACTTACATTAGCCTCCTGTTTACCTAGTAATATACTGACATCGACGAAATAGCTTACACCGTTGGCTCATATGTACGCTCGCAATTGACGCGCGAAGCCAGCACGATGGATCGCATCTTCGCCCAGCAAAACACGCCCGAGGTCGAGGAGGTGAGGAGAAAGAGTCTCCAAGTCGAAGTCAACGGAGACCCGCGAAACAACCTCCTTAACTTCTTGGGTTGGTCTTAAAGTATCGGAATAGACGGGAATGACACAATTCCCCTCTAGAGATTTATACGAGAATATCTACGTCTTTGGAAAGGCTATTCGGGTCCATACTCCAGATTTCCTTATTGTTATAATCTTCATGCCGCATGGATTGGGCGTTTTGGGGAAAATATTTGGCATCGCATGCGACAACCATGCATCGGTATTATTATTCGAGATACCTTGTGTAACTTTGTATTTACACGTCGCTCTCACAGAGCATAATTGACATTTCATTAATATTCATGACTATAATCTTGAAGAATACGCAACTTGGAAGACGTGAAATGTGAGAATGAGCTACTTGCCTATTTGCCCCTTTTTTGATTAGGAAGTACCTATCTAGATCCCACACATGCACTCAGTCAATCAACGACCCCTCATGCACACTGATCATGATAACTTGTAACTATTTTAACTTCTGCCATTGGTTTATCCTTCTCTTACATAATTGGATACATATCTCAGTATGTGTACGACTAGAATGTCCGGAACCTTTCAGGATCCCGCTCCTTCCCGCCGCTACCGCTAGGTTTAGCTGCGGTCGATTGCGGCACCGCATGTCCGCTAGCAGTTACGGCATTGTCGTCAGCGTTTTTCCCTCCCCCAATCGGATTGTCGGCGGCGCTGTGCAGGGAAGTCGCGCCGATGCCACCTGCGGCGTGCTGTGACCTCTGCTCTGGGTTCGGCACCGACGGGATCGTGTTCTGCTTTCCGGCATCGCCAGGAACTTCAATGAAGCGCGTTAGTTGGATTTATACACTAATTGGGAAATGCATCGACAGGATGATAATTCAAGCATGAAGAAACCTACTGCTTGTGCCATCTTTGGCCATTTGGTTGAGATCTCCACCTTCCTTGGACATTTTCCTATTCTTTTCTCAAGACGAACTGAGGACTTAGTAGGTAGTTGGCTCGAAATTTTAAGATGTCAAGGTAATCTAGTGATGACAAGTTGGAGTGAGATGGATATTTCTAGAGGAGAGGCTTTGTGATGTCGGAGAAGACTAAAGTAAACACCTTGATGTCGCTATTATGATGTCATTATGAAGCTTCTTTCTTACGAAGACGTCACACAGCTAATGTCATAGATATACAATATTCTATTGTGTTGGTGAGGCCGAGGTTTACTCTATATCTTAACAACTCCTAAATCATCATTCCTGGATTTCTTTGATTCGCTCCCATCGCTATTGTCAGACTCGTTGTCCTCTCCCATCTTTCTATGCTCTACAAATCCTAGTAATTGATTCTTCTACACTTTTCTAGCAATGCCAGTTCCAGCTGTACATTATGTTGATAGGAAAAGCTAGATGATAGGTTCAATGCGACTAAATCGGTGATGAGCCTTGATTGATTCTAACTACGATGTTGGAGGTGGGGTGTAGAACGCTTCCGGAAAAACATCCCAACTTGTCCAATTGTCTCTTCGCTGTCCGTTCAACCAATCTATGTGTGGTTTTCTTTCCTTTCTCGGCCTCTTCCATGAACCCATCTTCTTTGCCGTAGTCCACCATCTAACAACGTCTTATTAGTGTTATCTAAAACCGAAGGGATTGGTAATTATCACGTGACCGTTTCTAGTACGGACAGACAGGCGACCCCCCAGTCAACGATGGTAGGCTTTCGCAGTCAATTCATAAGACCTACGTAAATATCTTTCCTAAGGGACGAATCGCTTAAGCCGGTCTTCGTGGTATGAAATCGCCGACATTGGTCGTCCTCCAAATTGTAGCTATTGGAACGATGATCTGTTACACATACCATGTTCAATTGACTTTGAAGGATAGAGGTAAGCCATCTCGGCGCGCATTTCACTTTAGGCCCATGTCGACGGGTCTAGGACATTCCTGGTAACTTAGATTCGACTCTTAGCCCTTGCTTTGTTCTCTATACGTAATTATACTGTTGAATCCCTTAGAGGGCTCCATTTGGAGAACTTCCATGTGAGAGAGAGAATTAGATGGGGGTAAAGATGTTGTGATATACCCCTCACAGTGTACGATGTAAGCGGGCTCTTCATCTGTGAGGAGCTAGTCTTAATACACTCGCATTACTTTAAGAAATTGCCTTAGATCTGATCTTTTGGTGCTGATCTCATTGTTGGCAGGGTATCTAGAGCCGTCTGGTTTGATGAAAATGTTATCTTTGGGTGAAGTATTCTTTTGCGGCGATACAACTATTTATGTTGCGTCTTGAGCAAGTATTTTGAAGCGGTCGCTCCTTTCTTCTTCATTATAGGTACTTTTATTAAGCTCACTTCCGGAATGTCGACCCTACCAAAGGTCATTTCACCATTGTGCATGTTTAGAGTTTGGGTTATACTCAATCTCAAATTAGACTTGGAGTCTTTCGCTATTAAGTTTTCTTATTGGGTGTCTTATTGTCCTTTTAAACATTCTCACCTAATAATCGCGATGGTGAACCTTGAACTTTATGTGAAACGTGCAACCAGATCGTCGGATCGCTGCTACCTAAGTGGATATCCTGCAAATCGCTGGACTTTATCTGCATCTCATTGTACATAGGAAATTTCAACACTCATAGCGTCAGTGCTAATGTCTTCATAATTTATGATTGGTGGGAACCTTAGTAGAAAGCTATGTAAGTCAAAAACAGTCCCGGGACTGGCCCGCAACGGTTCCTTTGCTTAGGAACGGTTCCAGCTAGTTCCATGTGCGTGCCACCTGATTGCAGCTGCAGGATAGTCAGCTTCAATGCGAACCAATCAATTCCAAGAACATATCAAGTGATACAAGGATTTTGCCAGGTGTTCCAGCATTATTCCACATTCCAACAGCTGATTAGCGTTACAGTATTCGGATCACGTGACAGTTATGCGGGGTCATACTCAGTTGCAGCCAATCAAATCTAAGGGCTTATATAGCTGCATAAGACCCAAAAAACCCCTTACGTAGAAATGGTGTAATAGTAAAACTTAAAACGCGTACCGTAATCCTTAGAGTTCGAATCCAAGTAAAACCTTAAACTTTAAAAATTTATAAATAATTAAATAAAATACATAGGTACATAGATTAAATTAAATAAAATAATTCATTATATAAATAAATAAATTCATTAAATAAATATATAAAATCGAATAAATGCATAAAATAACTAAATAAATAAATAATTTTTTTAAGTTAATTCCGTATTTTGGAACCGTTCCCACAATGTAATGGTCCCCACTCCATTCCAATAGTGTAACCGTTCCATAATAAGGTACTGTTCCGGGACCGTTTTTAGGGTGCATATAGGTCTACTAAGGAAGTATTTGCAATATTAGATAACCTGGTGTTTTTCTTCCTTTTTGCAATTATTAAGATGTAGGTAAATTGATCTACTAGATGTACCTCCTAGGGAGGTAACCATCAGGATGAACGCCTGTAAAATAATTGATGGTCCTAAGTCAAGGATACCTTGATCTTGGTCCCGGAATTCGGATTCTTTTTCCTTGGCGCGCTTGCATACAGCGTAATGATTCTCCGATTTCCCCGGGTTTGCTTTCACATGAAAACTCTTTCCCTTCCAACCCGCTTCTTGGCATACATAAGCCTTTAGCTAAATACGACTTTAGCATCAAAATCCCCCTGACGCTACCGAGATCGCGCGCTCCCTTCCCGTCGTTTCAATTACACATGGACATATCTATTCGCAACATGATCAAATATATCAACGAAACAAGTAGCCGCCATTTCAGGGTGTTTTCACTCGCGCCTCATCAAAATGCAAATATAAGTGTCACGTTTGCGCTGCTGGAGGTTTAGTGAAGCCCTCGAAATGTAAACGGGGGAGATGACGAGGTCTCACATGGTTCTCAGTAAGGCCGAGAATGCCTAGGTAAATATAGATGTTTAATATGCAAGTAATCACTCGCTTGTTTCATCTGATATCGTTGTTCCTGGACGACGCCAAAAACAGCAGTTGGCTTCGTTAGCTGTGTTAACTGCAAATAGCTTAGGGGTGTTAAGGATCATGGGGGTCGCAACACTTTTATTGGCTTAGCCACTCGCGTGGGCGAAGCCCCGGTAAGCGATTCGCTCCAACTTCCTTTTGTATCCTATGGTAGCTGTTTAACTGCTGCTGACTTACTCTAAGACGATATGATCGACACCAATCTAGCGCTTCCTCCTGAGGGCGCTGACGGCGTAGGCGCATGTGGGCAACGTTGCTTCAAAAAGGGGTCGTGCTTTATATATTTCAAAATGGAAGATGACGTGCACTCTCTGCTCGCTATGCTGCCATTACTTTCCTTTTTACTATCGACATGAGGAAATCGACGTAGAGAATTAGGATAAAATATGACAAGACTATCCAGTATCGCCGCGGGCGCTGCGCTCACCTCAGCTGTCGCCGCCCTAAACCTCAACGTAAATGATCCGGCATCCATCAAAGATATCGCGGCCCAAGTCGCGAAGGGTCTTTACATCTACCATGACCCTAGCTCAACGGCAGGCCAATTCAAACAGCCGCAACCTTGGTTCTGGTGGGAATCCGGCTCGGCCTGGAATGCCCTGATGGACTACACCATGTACACCGGCGACACAACATATAAAGCCGACCTTCTCTCCTCCTTAGCCAAGAACGTCGGCTCCAACTACGACTTTGCGCCGGCAGAGCAGGCAAACTGGGAGGCAAATGACGACCAGGTCTATTGGGTGTACAATGCGCTTAGTGCGATGGAGTACGACTTCGACGCGCTTCCTTGCGATACTTCCAATGCCAAGGGCGATGACAGCTGTGCCAATTCTTGGCTTGCTATCGGCACGAATGCCTTTAACGACTTCGTGACGCGGTGGAATAAGGACAGCGCCACTTGCGGGGGTGGGTTGAAGTGGCAGTACATCGAGACGACGAGTGGATACTATTACAAGAATACCGTATCCAATGGCGGCTTCTTCCAGACTGCCGCCCGGCTCGCTCGGTATACCGGGAACCAGACATTCGGTGATTGGGCCACCAAGGTTTGGGACTGGTCTACTAGCGTGGGCTTCGTCAGTGCTGACTTCCATGTTTTCGATGGAGCTGGCGACAATCAAGGCGCAAACTGTTCCGCGATCAACAAAGATGAATGGTCTTATAATATCGCGTCCTACCTTCACGGCGCGGCGCACATGTATGCATTCACCAACGATTCGGCTTGGGAGACGAGAGTTCAGGGTCTGCTTAAAGCGGCACAGAGCACCTTTTTCGGACCCAACTCTAACGCCACCAACGTGATGTACGAGCATAACTGCGAGCTAAGCTCGGGCTGCAATATCGATCAGACAAGCTTCAAGGCCAGTCTGTCGCGTTGGCTCGGTAAGACAGCAGTGCTGGTCCCTAGCGTGAAGGCGACCATCGAGCCTTTGCTTCAGGCATCCGCTTCCGGGGCCGCGTTGAGCTGCAGTGGCTACGATAACTCGACTTGTGGTGTTCAATGGTACACGGGGACTTTCGATGGCCAATCGGACTTAGGTGTTGAACTGAGCGCGCTTGAAGCCATCCAGAGTCTACTGGCGGCGAGTGCACCCAAGTTGGCGGTCAAGTGCTAGAGGTGCAAGTTACAGGTCCCTACTAGGTAATTTGTATATACCTAGTCTTTGATACGGGTAATATACAGATGGATTCTTATTGTCATACTTACTGTTAACAGTTAATGTATATATATTCATGGGCAATAATTATATTGTATATATTGGAATTTATATGTGGTTACATCTCAGTTCATTCTACAACCTTGTAAGTTACGCTTACGTGTTATTCTATCCGCTGTCATAACTCGAGGACGTGCCAATGCATATGAATAGAAGTCTTGAATAAAACCTAAAGTCATATGCCGACCACTTTACTCCTTTTTTTGGAAAAAGAAAAATGAAGGTGATTAGACAGGCCGGATGTAACCACAACATAACTCCAATAACACATTCAGGTTAAGGTATCTCTTTTCTGAATTATACTTATACTACGTTGCCATATGTGTAACAATCATGGTTTCACAGCTTTCGTCTCATGACAGAAGCCATACATAGTCGTGGAAGAAAGGTCTTATGCGGAAGCGAGATGTCATGTCTCATTGGGTAAAAAGGGGGTGTTAGTTTGTGAAATCCTCATCAGTTCTCGAGAAACATAGCAGAGTAGGTATATTCTTATATACCATGGGGTTACCTACGTAGTCGAGTATTGCATTAGAATTCCTAGTGATGTGTTTTATTCAACAAATACCTACCTATCTACCTCTTAACTCGGGAGGTTCGAGACTCCCTCGTAAGTTCCAACGATATCAATATGTTCCTTCAGCACTTCGTTAACGCTGTTTTTCTGTTCGTGAGCCTCCCTAGAAATAGTTGAACTATCGTAAGAGCTCAACGATATCCGTCATGTAAGTGGTATAAGTCGTCATGCCAAGATGGTCTCTTCATACATGGTTACACAACGTAGATCTGGGGGAGCCCAGCGCCATTCAAGAAGTTTGCAGCAGACAATTCAAGTCGGATCGACTGGCGATCCCGTCACTGAATCGAGAATTCTGTGAGAATTTCACAGCATGCAAGTATATGTCCAAAGCGTGTTCTCCTGTCCTTCCCAAAGTCCAGGTTATCACTTGGGTACCTAGGTATGTATACAGCAGTCGTCTCCCAGACATGCAGAAATTGGCGTCCACTTACATATCATGACAACCCTCCTTCAATATATAGAGCGACTCCTTTATCGTGTCAACTTGTATCGTAACTATAGTCGTCAAGGAATACTAATAAGTTCTCGAGTTTTCTAAGTATAAGTACTAAGAGCTATAGACAAGTTGAGTCAAGGGCAGCAATTAGAGGTCAGATCAAGATTCCTCCTGGGTCCAATCTCCCTTCGACATTTTCAGGTGCTCTAGACACTATAATAAACCAGTTGAACACACAGAAGTAATATCAGCCACCTTAAATCTAACCTCGGCAACTCAGCCCTAAGCCGTTGTTACTACCTACTTGAACTGCTAACTCCACTTGATATCAATTAATTACCTACCGACGTGGCATCCAGGTTCTAAGGTGTGTACCTACCTACCAGGCAGGTACCCAGGTAGATAACCATATCGAGGTTAAGAGGGATGGACTAACTCCGGCCAATTCAAGCCACATTACAATACCAAGACGGGTAGCTACCTTGATTGCATGAATGTGAATCATGAGATTGTTGATCTGCTTCTCTGGGAAGTGTTTTTCGGGTTAAGGATGCATTATGGTCTGCCGTCATTGTCTCACACGTCGACTACCAATTTAAACATATCCTCGCCCATCGTTCTAGACCTAAGCCTATTCCTAAATTACCGGATATGCGGTATCTGTACCTACTACATTCCTATTTAGCTATTCTCAGAAGGTATTCTCCGGGAGTCTTCAAGTTATGAACTGGTGTTCTAGAAAAGCTAGACATTTCAGATGCATGTACTTTTCCTTAGACCCTTCATGTGTAACTTTCTCTAAGCCGATTACGCCACTGTCTCTTCCAGTACCGTTGTGCCGCCTTTGTACTACATCGCATGGTATCTTCCGAACTACATTTCTCCTAGAAGCCGAGTAGCTGTACAAGATACTGCAACCTCAGCGATCAGTGTCGTGTAGCGGGGATCAGAGAGTGGCTTGTAGACTAGAAATTGAGATAATGCTGTGGAGTGAATCGTGGTCTTGATCATGCCCGTCGCAGAATTTAGTCGTGGATTGACAGTTCTAATTCGTGCATCCTTCCGCCCAAGAATGCCCCCACGTGTTCCCAGCCCCGATATCAGACATGTACGAGCTCTCCGATTTCAGGGGTGTCATCCCTGGGAGTCCCTTGGTATGCTCATTGGATTTCGAGGCAGATATGATTGGCACTACAAGTAAGAGTAACCGACTCCATAGCTAGTATATAGCGGCTCCCAAAGGTGGACAATCATTATTCAATGCTCATATTGATAAAACATGTTGACCATCTTGGGTTAATTCTATATTCGAATTTAGACTTTGAAGAGTTATAAACAACATAACAACATCTAGAGATCACATTTAACGGTGAGGATAACCTATATGCAACCTTACTATATGGATTTACACTAATTCGCAGTTTAGCGGCTCAACCCCTTTTCAAAAGATGGATTCGATCGAAAAGGTCAGATATGTCGAGACTCAAATCTCGCACTCGATCAGTATCACTACTAGCGAAAGTCAGGAGCTTTCACATCAGTATACTGATGCAGAGCGTAAACATCTCAAAAGAAAGGTCGATAGATATCTTCTTCCACTGTGAGTAACTCTTACAATCATCATGTCCTGTTCGAATATACTGGAAAATATCTTCTCGAGGAATATGTCATAATATCCTACTATTACTCCATCGACCTGAAAGATAGTTCCTAACCGTGGATGTAATAGCATGTGGCTTTGCCATGGCCTTCAACAAGTCGATAAGGCCTGCGTGGGCACTCAAGCGACCTTCGGTTTACGTGAAGACACAGGACTCGTTGGCCAACAATTCGCCTGGCTAACAACCATGTTCTACCTAACATATCTGATCTTCGAACTACCATCCGTTATCCTATTGCAGCGGTACCCAATGGGCCGAGTCCTCTCCTTGTATATCATCTGCTGGGGCGTCGTAGTGCTATGCATTGGCTTCGCTCAGAATTTCACACAGCTCATTACGCTTCGCGCACTTCAAGGGATGTTCGAGTGCTCCATAAGTCCGGGGTTCCTGCTCGTCGTCGGCACTTGGTATACGACTCGGGAACATCCATCGCGTGCCTTGGTCTTCCAAAGCGGATTTGCTGGGATGAGCGTGATAACCGATGCAATCATGTACGGAATCGGGTCTGTAACTGACAGGAACCCGAATTTCCAGGCGTGGAGATATATGTCCTTCGTAAGTTATATTACATGAAATATACCTAACTAAGCTCGGAATCGGGCTAACATCTCATAGTTCCTTGGTAGTCTCACTATCCTTGCGGGCGCTGTTTGCCTCCTATTTCTTGGAACGCCATCCGAGGTACGCTGGCTTTCCGCAGAGGAGAAAAAGATAGCCGTAGCTCGTGTCATGGCTAATAATACCGGCCATGACCGAACGGGCTTCAAGGATTGGAAGTGGGACCAGGCCAGAGAATGTCTCACAGATCCAACAGTAAGTACCAGTGATACGCCCCTATCACAGTTATAAGTTTCGGTGGTTGACATTAAGACACAGTTCTGGTTCGCTGGACTAAACGCACTCCTAAACGCAGTCCCCAATGGCGCATTGACGACTTTTTCGGGGATCCTAAACACCACTTTTGGTTTCAGTAAATATACAACCGTCCACCATTAACAGCTATTGCTAACTTTATTACAGCAAATCTACAAGTCCTTGTACTAAACATCCCAAAATACATTTTCTCCATACTATACTTCGTTTTGGTTGGCGTTGTCGCCACTAGAAAAAAGAACACTCGCATGTAGGTACCTATATAACCCCTGAACTTAGAGACTCTTTCTAATCGTCGTACTTTAGGTGGATTATGATGCTTTCTAACATAACTCCAATCGTTGGATTTCTCCTAGTCACAATTCTTCCTAACGATCCGCAGTATAAGTGGACGAAGTGGGCTGGATATTTCATAACGAGTCCTTTCATAACCGCCACATTCTTTGCGTGGTCGTTAGTCCCGTCAAACGTTGCTGGGAGAACGAAACGTACTCTTTGCACAACTATTACGTTTGTAGGGTATTGTGTCGGCAACATGACTGGGACGCAGATTTTCAGAGCCAAGGACGCGGTAAGTTATCTACTCTAACATGACCTATTACCTACCTCGTTTTTAGTACTAACGACGAGCAGCCCAGATATGTCCCAGGGCTTATTGCCTGCACCGTCTGCTTAGCAGCCCAGATTGTTGTGATTTTCCTGTGGAGGATGGTGCTCGTCATGCGCAATCGACGTCTGGAAATGCGGATGAGCGAACTTGGAATTACGGAAGAGGATAGAATTAAGGCTGGTAAAGAGATGGGAGAAAATGATTGCACGGATCTCCACAACCCCTTCGTAAGTCTCGCAACTGATGTGAAATTGCACTGAAAACTAACAATTTTTGAAGTTTCGATATGCAACATGATGGAGCCCCGATGGGATGAAGGAGCTCATGACTTAAGTTAGGTAAGAAGGTATTGAGGAATTCTATCCTCCGAAATAGAATCACATCAGGATTTGGTCCATAGATTCAATCTTCGGCATTTCTAAGTAAGTCCCGCTTCATGTGGTCCTTGGGTTGTTTAGGGCTGAGAATAGGAGATCATGTCGGCTTATTAATGTGGGCCGACGGAACTTAACACCTCATGACGACCATTCTTTATTCAGGGAGGGAATTACCTATAGATCCTATAATTACCTACATAATTGATTAGGTATCCGAGGCGAAGTATTTTACTCCATTCTAAAAGTTTATGTGACTCAACAAGGTTGATGCGCATCTTGATAGGATCCCGGAAACTTTTCGGAGACTCTTCGCGAACTAATATTATGTGCCCGACGCCCTATTAATATCCCTTTTATTCAAGAAGAGTATATTTAAAGGGCACAATCCGCGACTGAAATATTGCCAGTATCATCAATTTCACACCAGTTTCACGTCTTTCTACCCTCAAGTCTTTAGAATACAATCAGCAACAGTCACTTACAATATGGCCAGCATATTATCTGATAAGTCCTCGATCAAGTCATATTTCCAGAACACTGCTTCCGAGTATGAAAAGTATGTGGGAAGTACCAGCTCGCGTCTAGCTGCCGCTGCACTATCCCTCTTACCGCTGTCGAGCTACACTTCATCAAGTCACATCCTAGACTCTGCATCGGGGCCAGGAATAGTGACCAAGCTCATATTGTCACCTTCGCCAGAAGATGTTGCGGTTCCGGGCCTACCAATTTCGCCGCCACCGCGAGTAACTGGCATTGATTACGTCCCTGCCATGATCGATAATTTCAAGGCAAACAAAGCTTCGCTCAACTGGACCACTGCGGACGCGTTTGTGCAGGACTCCCAGGACCTTGGCCGTTTCAAGGATGCAGAATTCGATGCTGTCGTCATGAACTTAGGCATGTTCACCCTCAACGATCCGGTAGCCGGTGCGGCGGAGATGTACCGCGTGCTCAAGCCCGGCGGTTATGCTGTAATTACCACATGGAAGACGCGACGAGCGGTGGATGTGCTCCAGGCAGTTGTGGATACAATCAAGCCGGATGGTGGTCTAAGGCCTATGTATATGCCCCCTGAGTGGCTAACGAAGGAGAAGCTCATAAGCATAATGGAGAGTGGCGGGTTCCCTAGCGACCATGTCAAGTCTTCTGAGTCCAGTCCCAATTGGGAATGTGGGTCTGGAGAAGGAGCCGTGAAGGCATTGAGATCGCCTATGTGGACGACGAAGCTTTGGGAGGGATGGAGTCCTGAAGAAATTGGTCGGTGGGATGACGAGGTACGAAAACAGTTGAGTGACGAAGAAAAGGAGACGGGGACGTTGGAGATGTCTGCTTGGATTGTTGTGGCCCACAAGGCATGACGAGTTTGATCATGAATTGGAAGTAATTAGGTACTTAGCGACTGACAGCCGATCAAATCGATATCTTCAGTAGAGTTACACAAGGCAAGAAAGGTCCAGTAGGTATGAAATCAACCTCGCTTATCCGGCATTACGGAGGAAGAGATTTGGATCTTAGTAACCGGGGTTTAAGGTTGAGCAAGGACCGGGGCAACGGGGAGCTGTATGGGGTAACTCCTAGCGCCCCGTACGCCCCGCAATCTGTTTCCCGCTACCCATACTCGCAGCATGGCCCCTATTTCGTAGCCACCCTTTTCGTAGTACAATGCAATCACATCAATGCATCTTTCGTACCTCGGATATTATTCCCTTGCATATGGGCGCTGATCGGCCTTCATCTCATAGCTACCTAGCTATTTAGTCCTTGTTTATTATTCCTGGTGATGAATCCCAAACATACCCCCTTGATCTGTCCATCTATATTATCGGCTCCTCATTAGAAACAATTCTAGACATACTCTAAAATGTCCGGACCGACATCACGATTGAAGAACATTCTTAGTCACTTGGGCTCTAGAACGCCTAATTCTGCAGCTAAGTCGCCCGCCGGTTTCGATCACAGCCATCACCTTCACCAATTATCACCAACATTTTTCCTCGAGAGAGCTGCCACAATTGAACCGGACGCTCTAGCGATACATCACGTTACGGCCAATAACAAAGTTTTGAGAAGGCCGTACTGCGAATTTGCCGATCGCGCGAGAGGGCTGGCCTATTACCTCCTAAAACACGGCTTTAAGAGAGTCGGCATATTGGCGACTAACACGCCGGCATTCCTAGAATCGATATTCGGAATTGTCGCCGCTGGTGGGGTCATCGTACCCGTGAATTATCGGTGCGCCCCATGAGAGACTCACTCACTGTTCTTGCTGGGCCCACGTAATGAAGCGCTCACAATTAAATAGCTTAAAACCCGATGACATCACATACATATTCGACTTCGCCGAAGTAAACTCCATCATCGTTGATAACGAATATTTATCGTTACTCGATGGCTTCAAGGAGAGCCATCCGAATGTGCCTTTCATCATTGACCTAGTGAGTAACCGCATTGATGTCTCATTTCATGAATCTCTCTCCGATGTTCTTACGTTAATGAACCAAGGATACCGACGCGACTGAAGGCGAGCTTTCTGGGCCATTCGATGAAGCGGTCCTTGAAGGCTTAAAATATGATCAAGCGCAAGGGAGCAAGGGATGGAGCGGTCTACATTCTCACGGTACTCACGAAGACGACATGATTGCCATTCCATTCACATCGGGAACCACGTCGAGACCGAAAGGATGCATTTTCACGAATAGAGGCGCATACCTTGCAACCCTAGGCAATGTCATTGAATCTGGGCTGAATTTCGATCATGGGAGATGCAAGTATCTGTGGATTTTGCCGATGTAAGGTTGATCAATGCGACGATGCCTTCCTAGCTAACATGTCCAGGTTTCATGCTGTGGGCTGGATGTACCCGTAAGTCTTCTTCGGATGTATCCATACCATGCATAAATAAGGGGCTTACTCATACAAATGCAGCTGGGCGGTAACTGCCGTGAGGGGCACTCATTACTGTCTTAGAAAGGTTGACTACCCCTTAATCTGGAAGCTGCTCAAGGAAGAAAGTATTACTCACTATTGTGCGGCGCCCACGGTAAATACTATACTCTGTAACTCGAAGGAAGCAGAAAGGTTGCCACATCGGGTGCGAGTCACCGTAGCAGCAAGCCCGCCGACAGCGCATCTTTTTGAGCAGATGGTATGAGCCCAGTATGCTCATCTTAGAATATTATTAACACTTACCTTCAGACTAATCTCAATCTACATCCCGTACATGTATACGGCATGACTGAGACGTACGGCCCGCTAACCAAGGCTTATCACATACCGCAATGGGACTCGCTTCCCAACTCGGAGAAGTACGCAATGATGGCACGTCAGGGACACGGCTTCATAACGAGTCTTCCGATCCGTGTGGTCAAGACAGATCAGCCAGAAGGGGTTCTCGTCGACGTAGCGAAAGACGGCAAAGAGATTGGCGAGATCGTCTTCTTCGGCAACATTTGCACCAAAGGATATTACAAGGATCCTGAGGCTACGAGAAAGCTCTTCGCGGGTGGTGGCCTGCACTCCGGCGACCTGGCCGTTTGGCACCCAGATGGAAGCGCCCAAGTCCAGGACAGAGCTAAGGACATCATTATCAGCGGAGGAGAGAATATATCCTCTGTCGCGCTCGAGGGTATGCTAGTGCAGCACCCCGACGTGTTGGAAGCAGGCGTCGTCGCGGTACCAGATTCTCACTGGGGCGAGAGACCAAAAGCGTATCTGACCGTCAAAGAAGGAAAGACGTTAGAGCCTCAAGACATGATCAATTGGTGCCGTAACCAGAGTACGATCAGCAAATTCATGATTCCGAGGGAGGTGGAAATCGTCAAAGAACTGCCGAAGACGAGCACGGGCAAGATTCAAAAGAACGTGCTGAGAAATTGGGCGAAGACGGGGAGGAAAGAAGCTTGAGTTCTGTCGTCGAGATTGTACTGCCAATTGTATGCATTGGAGTAGAGGTATTTGGGCGCTAGGGAACATCTCCGGAAGAGTAGATCTGTCGAGGGCCAGGGTATGGTCATTTTCGGGATAGATTTCAGACAGTTGGATCCTGCGTCTTCGAGGTCGGAAGAATGGATAATGAATCTATGACATATTATACCAGGTATATTATCATATAAAATAAATCAGGGAAACAAATAGGTCTATGTTTACTTACATCAACAGTAATGACTTCTCTTTCAATAGGACGACCCGACTCGGAGAAATCGATCAACTTACTTGTACCGCACTTCGGACGGAACCTATGAGATTTGAGACTGTTGCCGAAGCGATGATAATAAATTCGTCCTAACCCGACCGGAACTTGACAACGTTCCGTTTCGGATACATTAGGGGGTATCTGCTTCTCGTGCAGATGAGCAGTTGGAGAGATTCACTTTACTATGTAGAGGGGCGAACGACAGGAATTACACTGTGAATCGTGTCTGTCCGTAGTGGCAATTGGCTGTTTTAGGGGCTGCAAAGGAGAGGCATACTACAGCGAGGTCACACTCTATATGCAACGGGTATAATATTAGCATCGCGTCTTTAATCCTGCTAATGATTATGAATTGGGGGCTATTGTAATGAGGAGACCTAATGAAGTAGTGCGAAAAGGCACATGTGCAGCATTAGGGATTCGTAGATCATCACAGCCTCAACTACTAGTCCGAACAGGGGGTAAGGAAATATCTAGGGAAATTATGAGAATAAGTGTATCTAGAGATTCGCGATTCTGTGCTCGAAGAGATAACTTAGGCTACCCGAGCACTAAGTCAATCCATTCCCTGTCCTGCAGCTCCCACGCATGCTTCTGGACACGCCCCAGACCTTTCCTATACGCTATCTCATCTCTCCACTCGATCCAGAGTACATAATAATATTCATAGCAGGGACCGCCTTTTGGTCTTTCATCTAGAACCCATTCTTCTAATATCTGGTTAAGGGGCTCGAGATACCGCGCGTCGTTACGGACGCTACCGGATGCGATTTCTACCAGCTCGACCCTAATCCGATTATCCGTATTCCGGTTGGCTTCTTCAAATAGTGGTTCATGCAGCAGCAGGGCTCCTGCCCAGTTGCCTGCTTGGTCCCGAAGAGATATCATGCTTCCTCGTTTCCGTCCGGGATTTTCAAACTCCTTCGCGGCTAGTAACCACCCTCTCCTAGTCTTGCAAGTGATAAGGGGAGCAAATATTTGAGGTTCTATACGTTGGTCTGCTTTTCTTGTTGGGAGAGGGTACCAGAACTCTGATCCTGGCTCAGAGTCATGAGTGTAGTAACACAGCGCATCCGCCTGCGAGTCTGGCTGGTTGGCAACCTGCCAGCCAGGGACAGATTCAGGGTCGATTATACGATGCCGAGTCCAACCCATCGGACAGGGGTCTTCTAGATTATTCCAGAACTTATTTTCATACTCGTACCAGTTGTCTTGTATGTGAGTTCTCGCACCATTCTGTTCTTCCAGCCAGCTCCATCGAACCAATGGAGACACTCTCTCTGAAGAGATTCCCTGTCCCCTCGTAGAGCATTTCTTAGCAAGATCTACCGTCAGCTCTGTCCAGCACCATATGCTGCCTCTCCAGCCTGCCCAACTCCAAGAAGGAAGACAGGCATTATCGCTAGAACGTCTGGGCGTCCTTCGACTTAGGACTGATATCGGCCTCTATAATAAACCGATATGAAATAGTAATGCTGGAAGACCTGAAATGAATCCACCATAATACGTGCCACTAAGCGCAGAAGCAATCCCGGAAAAAGCAAATAAGGCATCTTCGGAAAACGTCAAGTCTTTACTGTTGTATGTCATGATGATCGCACTCAACTGCCTTATATCGGGAACGGCTCTAGCAAATATTCGGGGGTTAGAAACGCCGCCGTTTCCAGGCTCCTTCCAAACTTCTTCCTGGCACGCCCAGTCGATCCAGTCGTTTTCGAAATTAATTATTCTTCTTTGGAATGTCCACCCTCTCGTGCTCCAAGTAGTTAAGTTTCTGAGGGTTTTCGGTCCGTCTGTCTCGATGGCCTTTACATTTCGACTTAGGGAGTGGACGGTTTGCCTGAGCGATCTTGGATCAGATATCCCCTGTAACCCACGTAGACCGCTGTTCGCATCTACTCCGCCTGCAGCGACAATGGTTACCATCGCATTGGCGTAGATAGCGGCCATTTTGGCGATCTCAAGGAGCTTCTGTTCGTCATCCTGGACGATACATAACGTGTCTACCCATAGATACCTTTCTCCCAGCCTTTGAACCAAGGACATCGCGTGTCGTATCGTCCTCGGTACAGGAGTACTCGTCTTGCCTTCGACTAGTGAATAAGGCTTTTGCAATTGATCCACATTCTCCCTTAGAGTCATGAAGGAAGGGATACCACCCCATACATAGCTCAAGGCTACGTATACAATTGAAGGCGAACACGGAACGAGGCATTGCAGCCACGTATCAACAACCCATGAAGGATGCTCTGCAGCCATGTGGCCGAAGTTCTGAAGAGAAGAACATTTATGGGTCTTAAGACACGTCTCTTTCCACCTCCGAGGAAGACTATAGTCTACCCAATTCGGATTGACATATCTACCCCACCAAGTTGATGGGCAACGGGGTGTAGGCAGGAGCCTCAACTCTCCGGACTTCAAGAAATAATAATCCCGGTCTTTCTGAGCGAAAATCTGTATGTATTCAAGGCCTCTAAATCCCTCAATACGAATCCCACTGAGTTGAGAGGAAGCCAAGTCAATGTTGAGAGATCTGGTAATCAACTTGAGGTGATTTTCGCATTTTGTGTCCAGAAGCTGTTTGGAAGACCCAAGATGGAGATGATGTCGAACATCACCTCTAAGATCAAGGGACATCGTCAAGAGGGAAAGTATTCGGTGGCATATATCACACTCCTTACATACCTCCAAAGCATTAGAATTCGGGATTCGCAATAGAAGAGTAGCCTCGTTGACATACATTACCTTGTGAGCGTCTTTTGGGTTCTTGTTTCTTCGTGGCAGCCTGACGGCGACCTATCCGTCTTTTACCTGCATTCACCCAGCGTTTCTTAGCCATTTTCTCCCTCCTTATCTTGTCAATTGAAGCATTATATACAGACAATACAGCATTAGTCAACCGCCATAAGTTCATTGATTGGGAAGTTGCTGCAGGAACTAGGTTCTGCTTAACAAGTACTCCACAGTGTATATAAATAGAAAGATACAGCCTCACCTCGCTTACCTACAATTCCAAACTCTCTATGGAGACAAGTTTAATCTACCAAATTTGATGATTTATGAGGCACCCGAAAGAAAAAGAAAAAGTCCTTACAGTAAATTATCAAGAAAATAGATATCGAAAAAAAAGAAAAAGAAAACATACAACACCGGGGATTCGCTGGTCGTCACCGACCCAACTACTGATCCGGCAGTAGCCAGCTTATCTAAGGGGAGAGCGGACAGGATCCCGAGTATTCTAGCTCCTATGGTCGTATGTGATAATCCAAAGAACTGATAAGACTTATATACCTAAATTGTAGTCAATGTCAGTTAGAAACCTCACAAGCTGGACAGGAAACCGGAATTGAACACGATGGCTTCAAGTCGTAGATCTTAAACAGCCCCTCACCACAAACTCACAAACCACTAACATCACGAAACAATCTCTAGGGCTCTCATATTAATTGACATCACGGTTCGTCATCTATTAATTGATAAACCGAATTATATTCCTCTGTATAGAGCGAAAACAATGCCATACATGCGTGACATCTCTCACTGCGCGATCTCATCCTAACTTTTCTCGACCCTACCAAATTTATCCTCCGGCAAAGCGAAGACCTTATACGTCTGCAAGTCATTTCCCAGTAAACAGACCCGCGGCGGTATTTTGCCGCGTTCCGAGCTAGCCTCCTTGACCTCCATGAGCACTGGCATAAAGCTTGGGTCGCAGGGCACTGTCATGTTCGTGAACACGCTGGTGACTTGGTCGTTGCTGAGGACGTGAGGGACGACCTTGTCCCCAGAAGTATACGGTTGGTAGCCCAACTCGTCGGATTTGTGCGGTATTCTGATAATCCGCGGTGGTTGACCTGACGAAAATTAGCGATGATTGAATATTGAATGCATGTTCTATAGCTACCCTTTGGAGCCCATAGGACGAGCAGGCTGTGGTTATATAGGAATTTCAGATCAAGCACTGTTCCATCGCCGAGATCCATGCAAGAGACCTCGGTAGTGACAGAGCCGCTGATCCCATTGAGGACACTCATGGACGTTCGAAATATGTACACTAGAAAAAAAGTTAATATTTGCCTATTTTAACAGTTAATGAACGACTCATACCGGTGTGCTCTTCCTTCTCTGTTGTGAGGGCTGTGTACGTCATGGCTTGAGACATATCCTAAAGTATTCAAGTTAGCAGCGAATGGACAGCAGTCAGTACACAGATTCTACGCCTTACAGATTTAGATATGACAGATATCGTGACGTCGATCATCGAGACATTGTTCTTTAATTTGAGAGCGGTTGGCTGACCAAATCGCACACTCCGCTTCTCGGCCTCTGCGATGCCTTCGAAGATGGCATCAGCCTTGTCATCTAAGTAACCACATAAGAATTCGACCTGTGAGAATACGCTTTCATCAGGCTGCGCGGTCTCCTGCTTCTTGAGCTGCTTGCTAAGCAATTCTAATAGAGAGCTTCCACCTTCAGCCTGCTTGCGACCTTTCTCTGAGTTATCCGCGGGTACATTACTGAGGTGATTTCGCAAAGGACTAGCAGGCATGTATTGTTGGATGTAGGCTAGAATTTTCCCATGTTCCATCGTCGCCTCTTTCTCTGTTAGCTCATCTGTCCCTGATGAAGATGCGAGCCTATCGATCTCGTGGCGGAGCCAGACTGAGAAAGATTGGAATAACTCTAGCTCTTCCATAACGAGCAAGAGGATCTTGTTGCCCACTAGCATTAAGCAGGATACAATATCCATTACTCTAGTAATCTGCGCGCTGGTGAAGCCGGTCTCGGCCTTCGACTCATGGAATCGTGCAATGCCGAGGAGACGGCTGAGAATAATACCGATACGCTCCAATGACGGAAGGAAATTCTCATGGACAAGACTACGGAGCGCCTGAAGGCCAGATACGACGGCTTTATCCCAGCGTTTGTGACCCTATAACAGATTATTAACCTGGATACGCACCAAGAAGCATAGCAGAAATAGACACTTACTCGCTCCGCTAACTGGTCAACCAGCCATTCTCGGACATCTGGAAACGTGTGGCCTGTTACAACTGAATGGTACAACGCCTGTCCGATGGTCATTTCACCATAGTTTCCTGATTCTCGGAGCGTCTCGTTGATGCTATTCAGAAACCTGGTTGGGAGTTCTCGAGTAGACTGCCACTCATGTACCATGTGCATCTGCACCTGCTTAACATATCTTAACAACTTCTGTAAAGCTGTGGTCTTAGAAGCTAAGAGGGACAGGTTCTCTGGCGAGGAGTGTATGAAAGTCAAGTCTATGGGAATGAGATATATGGTTGATGCCTTGTCGCCTTGAGATGGTTTGAAAACTAGAATGTGCGTTGATAAGTCGGGGTGAGAAGCATGGCGGCACAGTTGTAAAGTGACATCTCTCCCCGAAGGCTGAGGTAGAACGTAATTGAATGTCCCAATGATAAATGAATCGTAGATACTGAGATGTATTTGCCCATCGTTGGTGCCAACAATCATGACGTCGACTTTATCGCTATCGTGAGGGGCGAAGGGCTGGAACAGAAACTCTAGCGAAGCTCTGGTGGTAAATACGAAGGAATCATCACTGAAAACTGGTTAGTAAGTCCCTACGATAAGTGTAATATCGTGTCCTACCCCGAGCCCCCTGATGCAGGTAAAGGACTAAGCTTTGGTAAAGCGGTTTCGACCTCGAGAAAGGTAAGCTCTCGAGGAAGATCCACGACAGGCCTTTTACCACTTGGAAATAGTCCCGTAGTCAGAACGTCTTCTAAGGGTAGGGATGAAGCCATAGAAGCCGAATTTGGGCGTCTTCCAGCATTGTTACGTCCCCAGCCAATGCAGGTGATCCGAGACTTGCCTGCTTCGCATATGGACATCTGGTGAACGGCTTTATTGGTCTCTAGACCCATCAACCTCACCACTCCATCGCTCCATCCAACGGCGAGGAACTGACCTGAGGTTCGTCAGTTATCAGCCGTCACTTCATCTCGGTTTAAAGACAACCTACCATCAGCTTTCCAGCAGAGAGCTTCGACATTATCACGCTCACCGCGATGGGTGCTCTTGGTCACGACTTGGCTATTTGATCGCCAAATCTGGAGAGTCTGTGGCCCAGCCGCGCCGGCAAAGAGTTCGATGCTGGGGTTATAGGTGAGAAGGCCATTGTGCGGCCTGGGATCGAGTCGTGATTCACTAAGCAGAGTGAGCTCAATTGGTTCAGTCATGTTTACTCTTCAGAGTAAGGACTTCGGGAGTATCCGATAGGTTGCTAATCATCGTGCATCCCGAATAAGTTGAGGTCGATTATATTATTGTTCAAAGTTCCAAGTTGTTTCCTTCCTTCGAGAACTCTTGACTTGACTTGACTGGTGGGTGGTGGTTACCGTCTTTTACGTCGCGCCTCTCAAAGTTGCAAAAACTAAGGTTAATTTACTGAGGACACGGCGCGCTAAATTTGTCAGTCCCGCCGAGGATACTGTACAGTACAGACTATAAATAACGACACCACCGTATCTGGTACGGTATTGTTTCCATCCCGTTAATCGCACCTGTCTCACAACGTTCAACTTGCAACATTGGATCTGTATCCATGAATAGCGTCTTAGATAGTATATTGACGTGCTTAAAGGAGTAACTCGTCAAATAGAAGATCCACACCTAAATTTGGAGGCCGATATTGTTGGCAATTATTCACAATCCATTACTAGTAGCATGCTCTATTTGGACCATCGCTCTATATAACATCACATCACAACTCCTTTTTAGAGGCCGTCATTTCATACATGACTCATTAGTATTTGCCTAAGCCTACCTCTACTCGACTAAATACGAATCGGCCACCGATCTGACATCTTTAGAGAATGTGACCTCTTCATTTTCCTCCACCAACGATACCGACGTGACCTATATTAAAATTAATACAATCAGCTATTTAGGATGAGGGTATGGAACTTACGTCGACATCAATGAAGGGGGTGGTCTTTGAAAACCGAACTTGCATGGGGAAGAACTCGTTCTCGTCGTCCGCCTGAGCGTCGAATTCGAAAGAGCCATTGGGATTATCGTCGCTAATCGTCCCAATAGTCCATTCGAGGCTATCTCCAGATACTTCGTAGGTAGCATCAAAGCTGGACACAGACGGCTCGCTTGTGGCGTAAGGAATGACGACGGACACGTCCTTCAGCGTGTCACCTCCTGTGAGCTCATATTCGACCGTGATCGTGAAGTTGCCGCCTGAGCCCTTGTTCACCCAAACCGTGAAACTAATGGGCAAGGCACTAGTGTCATCCGTCTTCGGCGTGACTCGCCATCTTAGAACGCCGACGGCGTTGTTGACTGGAAAACCACGCGCTACATTGCTCATCTGGATGACCTTGGAGCTTGTGAAGAGGCCACGGTCAACGTTGGGATGAGTGCGGAACTGGACACCGTGGGATGCATTTGCTGAAAGATCGAGCTTGATCTTGGTCAAGCTAGGATCCGAGACTTTGAGGCTTAGGTCACCGCTGACAGCTAGAGAGTTGAGTGAACCTTCCCTCGACAGTTTCGCAGTAATACTCTCGTTGATAGTAATGTGGATTGCGTCACGATCTAAGGTGGAGGAAATCCGTGGAGCGGCGGGTTCGGCAACAGGGGTGGGAGCGGATGGTACCAGCGGTGACTCGTCTACTTCAGCTCCCAAGTCTCCTCGGACGCGCTCGAACATATCAGTAGTTTTCGATTTTTTGCCCAGCTGCATTCCCTTGCCCTTCATCACGGTCGGCCTATTTTCTTGTTAGCCTCAAATTCCTCCGTAGCCCTGATTTTCCGTACTTATGTGACTTGTTCTTCTCAGCCTCGTAGGTATCGTACGTATCTACAGGCGTGGGCCGAGTAGGGGGAGTGTAAGTCGGATACACCGGCGTTCTCGGCGCGCCAGGACGGCCGATTCTCGCGGATTCCTTTCGCTGCAGCTCCAGTTGCTTAGCCTTTCGCTTGCGCTCCTCGGTGGCTTCGAGTTCCTTGTTCTAGAAGGACGTCAGTAGGGTAGCGATTAATCTCTAGAAAACAACAATATACCCGTGCGATAATCTCCTGGATGCGCTCCTCGTGACTTTCCATCTCTAGGAAGGTCTTGATCTGACTGATGGTGAGATTTTCTCTGTAGCCAAGGGAAACCAATTCGTCGAAGGCGCTGAGAAGTTCGTAGGCATTCTTGACGATCTCCCGCTCGTCCAAGGTCCTACACGTGCTAGTAACCACTTGGGCGAATAGGTGGAGGGAGTCAATATCCTGCAAGATGTTGGATTGGCGGTTGGTAATCAGCACCATGTAGAGCTCGTCCAGGGGTTGGTAGACGAAGCGAACATTGTCCTGCTCGACGGTGGTATGCTGAGTTCCAGAATCGGCGAGTTTGGGGAAGGATGCCAGAAGGGCTTCGATTCGCGATCTGGGCATCTCGCGGAACTGCCTTGAAAGGACAGCTTTCCCGCCTCGAGTGCAGATAGATGCGGCTAAGACAACCTGGCGGAAATTGAGAGATTAGCATAAGTGGCTATAGTATTGGGATTGGTAGATTACCATTTTATACGTATTTAAAGCGCAGTTTCAGTAGACAGAAGAGAACGGAGTGAGAGATCGGCTTATCCCACGAAAGGGAAGTTATCTGGTACTCTGAGGCTAGCAGCTATTCCGACATTCAATGTTCCCAAGATGAAGCCAATTCACCTTGGATGGAAATGTGGTGCTTGAATAAGTTGCACTAGCCCCCCTGTCAAGCCACATGTTCGAATTGGCTAGACTGCCACCTATGTATGTAGGTGCTCCTGCCAGCTTACATCCGATATTTATCCGAATGTACCTATGTCACCTTAAATGGGCAAGCGGACTAGTGGGGACGTGCCAGACCAAGGCAGCTGCAGGGTTACTAAATATCCCGCTAAACTTGGACCTTATTTCATTTGGAGTCCTAACTTATTTTAGCCCCAAGACCATTGAACGATCATCTCAGCACTTCACATTCACGTCAAATACAACTTTCAAACTTCCACTTTACAACTTCATTCTTCGTCTCATCGAAATTTGACTCATATTCCCATCTTGTTTCATTTGGAACATCCACTGTAATTATTCACATCCTTCCCGAAGCCCTTCTACGTGCGTAATACGTCGCTTGAGACCTTGGATTCCTTGCGACTTTACCTACGCAGCTTACGTTGCCTAATCCGCGTTTTATTCTACTACGACGACCAACACCGGCCTTGGTAACCTCTGATACATTTTCTATTTGAAGAATTGCCGTCGCATTCGATAATAATATCCTCGACGAGTCCAACCAGTGTGCTAAATTCAAACGCCACTTTAATCCATTAGGTCAACTCAATATAATCACAACATTTCCGACTACGTCCCACTTCCACGACGCGCTCATCACAAATTCATGACATCGGAATTTTGGCAGCTGGATTATTTTTCACTACAAATGATTCCTTTGTATCCTTCCGACTTATCACTCGTACCTCCATTTACGCTTAATCCGTAATCGACCAACCGACGACATAGCGAGACATAACCACGGTGTTAAACTAGCCAAACTTTATTGACCCTCCACCATTTCACGTACAAAGCAGCTCTAGGGCGCCATTCCAAAACCAAAGTAGGCGCCACGGAAAATTGGACGAGCAGAAACATCGCCCCTCCCGGAAGTAGACGTTCTTTACTCCCACCGTCGCTGCTTTGTTAAATGCTGCAACATTTTCATTTTCTTACGACTATTCACGTATTACTCATTTGAGATTTTTTACCTCTACCCTTCACCTTTTAGGAACCGTTTGATCCCTATCAGGTCCTTTATCTGGTTTACCAACCTAACCCCTCCAAGGATCATACCATCAGTTGGTGCATATATCCTGATCATAATCCTACATTCCTTCCTAGCCAGTTTCGCCAATACAGGCGATCCTCTACAATGCCGGGAGAGGAGATGGAGATTACGACCGATTTCGGTCATGCCGGGTTCGGAGAAGATATTGACATAGACATCGATTTCGCGGTCGGGCAGCCTGACGAAGATCTAGAACTTGCAGATTTTGATCAAGCCCAAGAGATGCAGAATTTTAACACTGATACGAGAGATGAGTTGATGGCAGAAGGAGATGATGCATCGTATGGCATGATTGATGCCGATGATATCGAGCACAACGAGGGAACTACGACGGTTAACGACATCGAGATCGACCTCGCCGATCCTGATGAGAATCTATGGAATCACAACGCTTCCAATGGGGAGACCCTCCAAACTCTTACAGAAATCGACTATGTCGAGGATGCCGATGTAGACAACTCTACTGCAGTGAACGTCGGTGAAGCCAGCTGGCTAGAGACAGCTGCTTATCCTGTTAACACCAACGAAGTGGAATTGGCGCAATCTGATGTGGCCGCCCTTGATGCAGCAAGTAGCCATCTGCCTCAGGATAATACGATTCCTACAGAGGGCGTAGATACCCAAGACTTTGGATTATCCGAGACTAGAGATGATACGAAAGCTCCTGGCAATGATGGTAGCGTCGATGATAAGCCAGAAGGTGTAGTCGAAGGTGCGACTAATGAACAGCAAAATGCTGCCTTTGATGCCGAACCCCAACAGTCTGCGGAAGGATCTGTTCTCAGTAAAAACGTCTCAGAGGATAGCCATGATGACATCCAATTAAATGGCGATGTTAGTGAAGGTAATGCTGTTCACGAAGCTCAAGGACATGAGCAATATCAAGCCCACTCCAATGAAGTATCTGAGGCTGGACACATCCAGGCTGATGGCTCCGAGCATGAAGAGAAACCTTCCACACCCGTGGCTTCGGCTCACGGATCAGTGAGTGAGCACTTGGACCAACAAGAAGACCAGACTGGTCAGCATAGCCCTCATTCGGAGGCTTCTGAACGACAGCTAGGTGGCGACTCGTATGCCGAGTCCACCAATGACCCGGAATCTGTTCGATCCCCTGACCAGGAGAATAAGGCCCATAATGTTGACGAGACACATAGTCAGTCTGATTATTATGATCCTGGAAATGAGGATCAAGAAGCAGCGGATGCTAATCAGAATGACCAAACTTCCCCTGCTGGCAAGGCCTATGTAGAGCATCCGCTTTCCATTGCTACACGCCATGAGATGTACATCTCATATGGCCAGACGGATTATAGACTCTTCGCTAAGTCCGAAGACGATGATCCCAACCAGTACTTTTTGCGTGATATGTCAACTATGGAACTTCCCCTGGGCCAATTCTTGTCAAACTTGAGAGAAGTCATTGCAGACGAAGTATCTGTCCTTGACGAGTTAGTGATGCATGTCGATGGACTAGGGCTTGAATTTTCTGAGGTATTTGCCAGCCCCTAACCTCTCATCAAGTTTACCAGAGCTAACTGCAATCTAGTCTTCTACGAATGATATGCTTGAAGAATTCACATTTGGTGATATTCTTAGTCTCTATGACAAACTTGTTAAAAACGATGGAGCGGAGTCAGCACCGTGTCTTTACATGTATCTTATGGTAAGACCTAACTGTCGCCAACGTCTTGTGGCCCTTCTAGATAGCGCGAGCGCGGGTCGCGGACTCTCCGAAATTGCCGTCTATCGAGAAATGACGCCTGTTCCCGATGAGCAAGCCGACAACCCCGGGCATCATAGCCCATATGCCTCGTTTGATGGCGAGGAAGACGATGAGACCAGACGTGGTTCCAACTCACCGGCCCAAGATGAGGAAGGCGAGGATTCCTACGAATACGGAGTAAACGGTCCGGCGGAAGATGAAGATGAGGGGCACGATGAGTATGAGGCCGAAGAATATCCAGGCTCCAAATCATCTGCAGTTCATACCCCAGCTGCAGAAGCGAACGCAGAGCTGGAAGCACCGGAAGGCCAGGCTGAGGAATCCGAAGAAAATACCAAACAGAACAACGAAGAGGACACCGGTGCAGACGTTGATGGCGAAGTGATTGACTTCTCTGATGACGAACTAGATCTCTCTTCATCGAAGCAGGGTAAATCATATCCTTCTTTTAGCCCTTTGCATTTCTCTACTTTTTTCAACCATACTGGACTGGCTGGCTGTCAGTGTCAGGATTGTTTCGAGCTTTCTCTTGATCAGCTCGATATCTCTATGCCGGACGCACCAACCTTGCTAAGTCCTACCGTGACGGCTCCGAATCCCGAGCCGCGATATCAAAGCAGATCTTCCTCCCAGTGGTCGATAGTTTCGCCCGCTCAACATTCCACCTTCCTAGACCGAACAAAAACATTTGGCATCATTACTAACCCGTATTTCCCTGAAGATCAACAAGCAGATGCGCCTCCGCCAGATCATGAGCACGTGAATCGAGATGAGTCTAACGGTGTGACCACTGCCGAAGACGGCGTTCCGAACCAGCATACGCCACCAGCGAACGACTCGGCCGATGTTGCCCATTCCGAGGTTACCAGCGCGACCGCTACGCTCAATGGCGATGACAATGACGAGATCGATTACTCGGACAACGACGGAGAGGAGATTGAGGGAGGCCAAGATGACCCTCCCAACGCCTCTGACGCAGCATCGACGAACCTCAAAACGCCAATCGATGATGAGATCACGTGGGAGTCAGATGATGAAGACGTCAAGAATGAAACCACAACAGTTCCTAAAACAACGGTACAAGTGTCACCGTCATCTGGAAAACGCCGCAGATCAAACTCGGACCTACTAGATGACTCCACTAGGCAGAACGGTAAGTAGTAGATCTGAGCACTATTCCTTTAGATCATCTGCTAACATATCTCAGATGTCAAGCGTCGTCGTCCGTCTTAATTCTTGGTGGACCTTTTCTCAACCCACTTCCCCCTTAACCCCCCTTGTCTCTTTTCTATCGACCTTCGGCGCATTTGGACGGATCACTAATGAGCTGATGTCGAATTTGCGCAATTGCAATCAACTTACAGATACATGATTTCGTTCCCGCCGAGAGACAAAGTCGATTTCGGAATACTAACACAGATACAGTGCCGAGGTATGCTGGAAAACAACTTAGGTTTTCCCGATGGTAAGTTCGCTTTTGATAATGATCAAGCCGTAAGATCCCCTACGATAACCTCGACGCAACATACGACGAACACACGGCGGCATGACGGAAATTATTACTTTCTCATTTTTACCACGCCAGATGTGTTGTCGTTCTTGATACCCGTGGTGCCTGTACTTTTCGCAGGAAAATAAGTGACCGCTCTGTACCGGAGGGTCATAGGAATGGAAATATTATGGAGTTTCGGAAAGGAAAAAATCTACGGAATTCGGGTCGCGGCTAGCTATCATAATGGGAGGCGTTTTAAGGCGTAGTCGGTGATATGCTGACTATAGAGGGTGAGGATCTTTGTCATGGAGGTTGCTATTATGTTGTGGAGGGGTTAACTTAGGCACGAGTTGTCGGCAGTTCTACCTAGTTTTAACTCCTTAACGGAGCTGACGTCGACTAGATAAGTAGAAGCTACGGACATTTTACTGTACTTCAACTCGGCCGAGACAGTTCCCGAAAGGCCTAGTTATGCACATGCACCCTGCTAGCAATACAGACATATTACGCTTGTTTTCATAAAGAATGGTTTATTCAGCAGTATTACCAAGTATTTTACTGGGTATACGTGGTCATGGTTATCGATATCATATTTCGGATGAGGCGTAAAAAAAAGGAAGAAAAAGTCGAGCTTGAAAGTAAGTGAGTGGAGACGCTTCGTCATCTGTAATTTGCACGCTGGCTTAGTTTATCGTATCACGAATGAAGCCGTTTAAGTGTGCATGCAGTCAGCACATTGTACATCCTATCCCGCAATACGAGGGCCAGGTCGGTAGGTAGAGAACGCCGTGTACCACAGTCAAGGAAAGCCACCGGCACTTTAACAGCCTCCAAAGGAGTCAGTTGCATTACGATTGATGTACCTGGGTAGGGATCGATCGGATTTAGCGATGATCAACCGCCAGGAACAGGAAACAAACAGGACGAAAAACAGGGAGTAGGGAAGTGGGTTGTTTTGTGAAACCAGTTCCATCCGCATAGCACCCGCAAACCTATACCGTATTGGAACATTGGCTTGGGAAGGCCGAGGTATCTTGGTTGCTTTGCTACGCCGTTACGGATCAGTTCTGCCAGTCAGTGTCAAGAGTACATACATACCTACATACGCGGGCGGCCAGCGGCGAGCTGGGAAAGTTGCAAGGGGAGGCACAGCCTCATAGTTGCGGGTCTATCAAGAGACTTTAGGCCAGATTCTTTCTGAGAAAGGCAATAAGGGCAACGAGGGTTTCAAGGTTTCAAGATGCGGTAAGATACATTGAAGATCTGCTTTGTAACTCGATGTCGTGTTTTTATGAGCTTTTAGTTTCGCGCCGTTTTTTGGACGATTGGTTCTCGTGGCCTTATTTAATATGTATGTACATACATACTCTGTTCTTTCTGTTCTTTATTAATAGAGTACAGATGTATACCTACTTTCCAATATTCAAGTACAACATTTCAGTATGTGTATCTAAATATGCACATTAGGTACATGTTTGTAATCGTTATAAAAAGCGTTTATGGAAACATTTGAATATTTGATGTTGTGGGAAGGAAGTTACCGGTACATACATATATAGCAAGATCAATTGGGTGATGATACGTAACTGACGATCGTTTCTCCAGGCTAAGTGCATATCAAGTCAAATTACGGGGGGCAAGGGTTTCGTTTAGCGCATCTCTAATTGTAGTAAACGGACGATGACGCCCCTAGATGCCCCCTATGCAAAGCACAACTGGGCAGAACTGGGGTGGCTGGCTTAGCGGCTACGAGTACCTTAATACGTCGGGGTATTAATTGCAAGTACCTTGGTACTCTGTACGCTCCGTCCCTGCCCCGTACCTGTCCGAATACCTCTGAAACCCCAGCGTCTCCCACCTCTTTACTGTGCAACTAGGAAGTTGCGGTTTCAATGTCCTGCAGGGCAAGCTCTCTCTTACTTTCTCTACCGAATCTTAGTATTCTTAGTGACCCTCTTAGCGATCACGAAGACAAAACCCAAATTTCTTCAACTTCTCAAGGTTTATTCCCATATCGCGAAAGAGAAATAGACGTATTCATTCACTCCCTTTGAAGTCCTTTTTTCTTTCTCGTCTTGTTTCAAATCAATAAACCCTTCCATCGTGCCCCCCCGGGCCCCTACTAAGCCGACACCTTTTTACGTGCGACCGTCAGCCACCGGTCTTTTTTTACTGGCGCAACCGATTCGATCGCTTCTCTCGGGTATTCGTGGCATCTCTGCTGATCGAGGCGCAACACGAACACCTGACTATCCTTCGTTGGTGCTGCCCTCGCCCGGCGCGAGCCATCAAATCTCCTTTTGCGACGACTTCCTTCCCTTCCCTTTTCCACCATACCCATCACTTTCTACTAGACGTTGCGATTGCGCTCGCAACCATATACCTGTCTTCATGATGATGTTAGACGAGAAGTACGAATCACCCCTGGACATCCGGCGACTGTGACCCTCAAAAAGTAATTGGTATTGCCATTGACAACCACGGGCTAATATGGATTTCTAAATAGATACATCGGATTAGCGCTAGCTATCTCCTCAAGTTTAGCCATTGGTAAGTCCATGAAATCCTCGTAGACGAATATTTCACCAGGATGGTAGACATTAACATATTCTTTGTTCTATAGGCACGAGCTTTGTAATAACGAAGAAGGTACTGCAACACACATCCACGATCGCGTCGTCCTTCGACAGCCTATAGGGAGCAGCAGTGCTAATGTCACGTAGGGGTTATTGCAAGCAGAAGAGAAACATGGCTTTCAGGGCGAGGGCTTCGTCTATCTAAGGAATCCAATGTGGTGGGCCGGGATGGTAACAAGTAAGACTACTACTGGGAGACTACGCATGCAAGATAGACTGACATGCGACCCTCTCTAGTGATCACTGGAGAAGTCTGCAACTTCGCCGCATATGCCTTCGCACCAGCTATTCTAGTAACACCTTTGGGTGCGCTGTCCGTCCTAATAGGAGCCGTCTTAGGGTCATACTTCCTGAAGGAAGAGTTAGGAACATTAGGAAAGCTTGGATGTGCCATATGCTTGCTCGGCGCTATCATCATTGTCCTCCACGCTCCTCCCGATGAAGATATCCAGACTGTCGAAGTCATTCTTAGATATGCGCTTAGGCCGGGTGAGTTGGGCTCAACTTCTGTGCAACAAATTTAGTCATACTAACATGGATTCTTAGGGTTCCTTCTTTACTGTACGACCGTAGCCATCTTCGCGACCGTTATGATCTATAAGATCGCTCCAGTGCATGGCAAAAAGAACCCTCTGATATACCTCTCGATCTGCTCTACTGTCGGCTCCGTTTCCGTCATGTCTGTGAAAGCTTTTGGCATTGCGCTAAAGCTCACATTCGCAGGAAATAACCAGTTCACCCATGCCTCGACATACATCTTCATGATTCTTACAGCATTGTGCATCCTGACCCAGATGAATTATTTCAACAAGGCACTCAGTCAGTTCAGCACGCAAATGTATGATCTCCTTAAACCTGATATATAATCTGTGTACGAAGCTAACACCAGCCTCATAGAGTTAACCCCCTTTACTATGTGACTTTCACTACCGCCACCTTATGTGCTTCGTTTATCCTCTTTTCTGGTTTTAACACTACTGATGTTGTTAATACCCTCTCCTTGCTATGTGGTTTCCTTATCACCTTCACTGGTGTCTACCTTTTGAATCTCTCGCGTCGTGACCCTAACGGGACGAGAATGCTTGCCGGACAGAGCACAGATGCTACCGGCACCGACATGATCTCGAGCCTCCAGACGCGTCTCAGTATGCAAGCTCGCCGCAGCACAGGTTCGCGGATAAGCATAGGAAGCCGAGGGCAGTCTGATAGGGAAGGACTTATGCGCGCGTATGACTTGGAACAGGCGGCAGGCGAATTTGGCCTTAACGACCTAACCTCGGATAGTGATGACGAACCGTCGTCGAGGAGGAATGGGGGCCCGTCACCAAAAGTCCATGAATCGATTGAGTTGCAAAGCCGGAAGAAGTCGGGCGAGTGATGGACGTCGACATACCAAGATTAGCATCTCTTAAAACATCTCCACCAAGATCTCTACGACCGCATTGTATATTTTCTCATTCGCCGAACCGCTTCTTCGAAAGCATTAGAAAGTTCAATCCCACTGGTGGACACGATTGATATCATGGATTTTACGTGGGAACCTAAGGTGTATAATGGTAGCCATACCTCCCTCCCGATATTGAGGAGGGGATATCCGGCTCGATAAAGGAGTATAGAAAGGCAACTACGTTTTGGGTTCTTGGTTGGGATTCTCACTGCGGCGTTCCGGGGGACATTGGTCACTTTGGAAGTACCCCTTCCGGCACACAGATTCGGCGTACGGACAAGGAATCCGGTTCGTTCAGTTCAGGGGGCACGAAGAAACGGGTAGTCGAGCTGCCGGCCCACCCCAATTATTTTTCCGAGTTTGTGAGATTATTTTTTGCCAAATTTACTTGGTTGTACGATTACCACGCGTGGAAAGAGAGATGACGGACACGTTTCTTGTTCCCTTGTCTCAATTTTTTGTTCAAACAACGACGGCAAGGGTTGGGAAGCTGGCATGGGAATCGAGACGGGAACGGACGGCGGGGTTCCTAGGTTGGTCCGGTGGCATCAAATAGGTAGCCGCCGCTGAGCTTTTCGAGGGACTTATGTAGGTTATCTAGCTTCTGGGGAGACAGCGAGTAATTAATGCACGCCATCTTCCAACGTATCGCGTATACCCGTGGTAAACTTGACAAGTGTGTGCGGTGTCTGAGTCTCGTTTGGTCTGGGAGCGAATAATCCTAATGTGTGCTCCGAGGCGCGTAAGTGAGTGGCTTTGTGAATTATAGGGACAGAGGTACCTGGTTTTACACACTATCATCGGTCTTCGTCGTTAGGCTGGATAGATCTAATCATCTTTAGAGGAGCAAACCCATTATTCGAGTCACGTATGCCAAGCTAGGGAAAATAAGGATATTGGATGGAAATAACTCCTCGGCATGTATGCATTCTACACATGCCAACTAAAGCATATCACTAGCACCCATCACGATACCAAGTCACGAAAAATATTAACAAGGTTGCGTAACGATTTGCTATTACCGTAGCATAGTCCAGCTCGACATCGCGTCGGCCATCCTAGAAGAATCGCAATTCATCCATCGGTTTGTTGTTTCCCGTCCCTGCAATGCAAATGATGATCAAAGTACGCCGAAGTAATTCTTTCCTTTTCTTTGCCCTCGTAAGTAGTCATAGGAGCAAAAAGAAAAATACACGTCCCTTCGTCACATGTGTCTCATCTCTCGCCTTCCCGTTTCCATTGCCCAAGTTCTTTTCCCAGTTTGGTTTTTGAGGAGTCCAGCACCGACTGCTCAAATCTATTCCTCCGCGGGGGCGGCCTCCTCGCCACCTTCCTCGGCGGCGCGGGCGGCCTCGGCTTGGGCCTGGATCTGGGCGGCCTTGGCGCCGTAGTCCTGGCTCATGGGAGTCACGATGCTGGATTCTTCCTTAGGCTCGATGATGGTAACAGCGTCAGGTAGAGACTTGGAGGGGCCGGCCTTGCCCTCGGGGTCGGAGCCGCGCATGATCTTGACCTTGATTCCGAGCACACCCTGGCGGAGGAGAACGTGACGGGTGGCGCTGTCGATGAAGTCGCGGGCGGGCTGACCGGAGTGGATCATGAAGCCGTCGGTGAACTTCATGGACTTGGCACGGGCGGCGCGCAGCTTGCCGGAAACGACGACCTCGCAACCCTTGGCGCCCGACTCCATAATAAAGCGCAGGACACCGTAGCAGGCACGACGGACGGCAAGACCGTTGAGGAGCTTGTAGCGCAGGGACTCGCACTGGGCGACGGCGGAGAGACCACGGTTCTGGACCTTGGCGGCGTAGAGGGAGACGGAGTTCTCGGGGAACTTGAAGCGCTTCTGGATGAGGGAGGTGAGCTCGCGGATGCGGCGGCCCTGCTCGCCGAGAACCTCCTGGGTGTGGGTCGCGCGGATGATGATGTCGGTCACGGTGGGAGTGACGCGGACCTCAACGCCGGAGTAGCCCTCCTCGGCCAGCTCGCGCTGGAAGAACTCGTTCAGCTCGGCATAGAAGACACCGTCAGCGACGAACTTTCTGCGCTTGGAACTGTACATCGAGATAGATTAGTATGCGGTGAAGTGCCAAAGTGAAAATGTGGAAAATGAAGAATTGAAGCTATCGCGAAATGTGGAATTTGCATTTCGCTTAGGAGGGGCAATGATTTTGCCATTTGCGACAACCAGATCGTCGGATTAAAATGGGAGACGGGCAGAAATGGCAAATACTCACATCTGAGAACCCGGGATAGCCATCTTGAAGATTGATCGAAGTGATGACGGTTGAAGAAGAATTGAATGTGCGGGTTACGAAGGTTGGAGAGGGAAAGATGTCGACTGCCGGGTCAAGTGTGTAGTTCCTCACGAAAATTCGGGGTAGTTGCAGTTGCTTGACAAGTAATTTTTGCCCGTGAATTTTTTGGCTTAGGGTTCAGGTTTGTGGGCTCTCCAAGTCAAAAGACGATTAGATAAGGGGATCTTGTAGCGAACGGGTTGCACTAGTGGAGATCAACGGACCTAAAGTAACGAGTCCCACTCTTTCCACTTACGCTAAGGTTACCTGGGTACGTACCGTGAACGCCTGGGCATTGAATGAAATCGATTTGTGACGTCGGTTATCAGCCACATGCAATTCTCCGATTTTTCAATTTCCTACACCATATTTCTCAGCCTCGCCTTACGTATACCCAGGTACCCAGTCTTAGGTAGCACCACATGTACAAATTAAATGTACCCCCAGCTGCCCCACGTTCAAACTCAGCACAAAGCAATTGACGTTCTAGCTTTTAGCACTTAGCTTAGATGCTTAGATGCACTTAACGCGGGACCAAACCTGAACAATGTGACCACTTTAACACTTCTTGTTGACTTTGACATATGATGCTTTGCCAACTCAGAATACACCACAGAAGACGCCAAATACGCCATGGTGTAATATCTCTCTGTCATCATTCAAAGACGAACGTCCATGAAGTTCTACCTACATAGGTACAATACGCTACGCTGCCATTCCCACCTTATTCTTCGCTGTCTGTAATTACTTAGCTATTTTTCTACTGGTTGATCAGGATCTCCAATCAGCTTTTGAGGGCTCTCAAGCACCTGAGAGTTTTGTCTCCTTACAGCAAATGCGACAACGCGTGCAGCCTAGCCTTTTATCCCCTTCCATGTAATTCTATTACCTGTACGGCTTCCAAGATGCATATTAAAAAGGTAAGGGCCTCCTTCCGCCTGCCTCCGTCTTCTCACGTCTTTCCTTGTCGCTAATGCACTTCGACCAATATAGATACCCGATGTTGATGCCATAAGGGGCGGCGAGAGACACTCCGGCGAACTTCACCTGACAGAACACCATATTATATTCGTATTTCCTAATATACTTCCCGACGGGGCGGTTCCGCAGCCGAACGCTCCGAAGACCCGCGAGGTTTACATCGCTTACCCCATAATCGGGAACTGTGTCTTTCGACCATGTCCTAGTGTAACAGGAAGACCCTCTTCAATAAGACTGCGATGTCGAGATTTTACCTTTATGAACTTCAACTTCCACGATGAACTTCATGCGCGGGAAGCGTTTGAATATATTCGTAACCGCACGTGCCGACTAGGTTCTATAGAGAAGCTATACGCCTTTAGTTACCAACCCCTGAAGCCGGAGAGGCCGTTCAATGGATGGCACCTGTACGACCCAAGAGCCGAGTTTCGAAGGCAGGGGATAAGCACCAAGTCTGTTGATAGAGGATGGAGGATATCTTCCATAAATAAGGACTATACCTTCTCCCCGACCTACCCCAGCATGCTTGTCGTTCCCTCCAAGATATCTGACAACGTTATAAAATATGCTGGTTCATATCGATCTAGACAGCGCATACCCGTATTAACTTACCTACACTCCCTCAACAATTGCTCTATTACCCGGAGTTCCCAACCCATGGTAGGCTTCAGGGGAAATCGAAGCATACAAGATGAGAAGTTGGTCAGCGCCTGCTTTTCCGCTTCGGCTACCGTCGAGTTTAACGGAATAGACGCTTCCGTTTCGGAAACGGCAGAGCCAAGTCCGGCATCTAGCCAAGCAGACCTTGGAGGAGAGAGTTTCGAAGCGGAGACTTCAGATACCGAACGATTAGAAGACGAACTCATCGCTGGAAACGATGACCATAATTACGATTCGAAAACTGGAAAGCGACTGGTATACGGTGCACAGCAGAGCAATCTCATCGTAGATGCTCGGCCAACCATCAACGCTGTCGTTATGCAGGCGATGGGAAAGGGATCGGAGAATATGGAATATTACAAATTCGCTAAGAAAGCCTATTTGAATATTGAAAATATTCACGTCATGAGAGAGTCCCTCAATAGTGTCATAGAGGCGCTCAAAGATGGTGATATTTCTCGTCTACCACCGAATCGCGAACTATTAGCAAAGAGTGGGTGGCTAAAACACATCACCGGCATTCTCGACGGATCGGCTTTGATAGCACGGCAGGTGGGTATAAAACACTCGCACGTCTTGATTCACTGCTCGGATGGCTGGGATCGCACGAGTCAACTATCAGCCCTGTCACAGCTGATGTTGGATCCTTATTACCGAACCATCGAGGGGTTCATCGTTCTGATCGAAAAAGATTGGCTTTCTTTCGGGCACATGTTTCAACAACGCTCCGGTCCCCTCAGCCACGAAAAGTGGTTTGTGGTTGAGAAAGACTCATTAGCTGGCTCAGCGATTCAACCTGGAGAGTCGGATGGTCGTGCTGGCGAGGCTTTTGAAAGTGCTCTCGCAAGTGCGAAGCGTTTCTTCAACAAGAGCCGAAATAATGACAGTAATATCGAATCTGACGGCGATGGTATCGCTTCACCACCTGAAGATCCATCGCAAGTCAAGAAACCTGCAGCAAGCACTCCAGAAGCCAACGAAACTACTAAGCCAAATGAGATATCCCCCGTTTTTCACCAATTCCTCGACGCTACCTATCAACTCCTCCGGCAACATCCTAACCGTTTCGAGTATAACGAACGATTCCTACGACGACTTCTCTATCACCTATACGCCGCACAATACGGGACATTCCTGTGGAATAGCGAAAAGGCCCGAAAGGACGCTCGCGCGAGCGAAAGAACGAGGTCCGTATGGGACTACTTCCTATCCCGAAAACAGGAGTTCATAAATCGCGACTACGACGCGACGATCGACGATCGGCAAAGCGGCCGCGAGAGACTCCTCTTCCCGAAGCTCTCCGACGTGCGGTGGTGGCACCAGCTCTTCGGCCGCTCGGACGCCGAGATGAATGAGTATCTCGACTTGGCCGCGGCCAGGGACGAGAGGCTCGGCACCTACGGCATGGGCAACATGTCCGGCGGCTTCTCCAGCCCGCCGAGCAGCGATTCGAGGTCCCCCCGCCCTCCACCGAGTCCGCAAACCCAGCCCCCAGGCCTGCCGACGAGCAAGAGCGTGCTCACGGGCGTGGAGTCGGCGCACGAGGCCCTCACGCCGGAGGAGAGGGTTGTGGGGAGTCTTAGGCACAGCGCCAGCGCGGACACGCCGGGCGCGTTCGCGACGAACCTCGCGAAGATCCGGGACGGGGTCGCGGGGCTGGAGATCGGGAGGGGTTTGTTTGGGGGCCAGGGCCAGGGCCAAGGTGCTGCTGCCGCCGCCGGCGGCGATAATGGGAATGGCGGGAATGGCGTAGGTTTAGGGTTAGGGAGGACCGGAAGTGGGAATGGGAGCGGGAGCGGGAGTGGGAGTGGGAGTGATAATGGGAAAGGGAATGTGAAGGGGGAGCAGGAGTTGGCGGATATGTCGACGACGACGGGTGGCGAGAAGGGGAGCGTGGAGTTGGCGTAGTCCGCCTGCGTGGTTAGGTGACGAGCGCTGAGAGCGGGTTTGGTTTGGTTGCGCCGGAGATGGTGTGTCGTGGTTAGTTTTAAAGAGCCCTAGAGCCCTGGAGACCTAGGGGATGGGTTTGAGAGGAGGCTGAGAGGCGGAAAGGCTGGGACGCGAGAGGCGTGCCGAGTACGATGGTAGGGGATAGGAGGTAGGGGGTAGGGAGGCATGCATGGTTTGGTCGATTATGAAATATGGAATACGAAATGAAATGTGAACATTTTTATGAACTTGGACTTTTATCTGGACTTCGTCTAAGGTTTGGACTTGGACTTGTAAGAATTATGCTGCGTTGCGTATGTGCGTTGTGATTATAGAAGTTGAGGATGGGGATTATGATGGAGAGTGGGAAAAGGGTTGCTAGGTTATTACCTGGTAAGAGCAAGATGGTTAATGGACGAGAGGTGGAGTGGTGAGGGATGGAGGATGGGGCAGGGTGAGCTAGGTAAGGAAAGAAAGGGGGTGGGATATATATGGCAGATGGGGGGTAAGAAATAGGAAGACGCTCTGAGTTGTGCTGGTTGCGTGGTAGTGTCTGCTACTCTCTAGCTTCGACGTGTATGTAAAAGTGTCCAGGGTATACTGCGTGTTGGTGAGGTGGGCCGTATATCAAGCTCTACGTGGCTACCTATGGTTCCGAAGGGTTCATACTGGTGGTATACAGAGGTTTGTAGATTATATGATAGCCGAAAAACCGTGCCTAGTGGGGAGGGAGATGGTCAATTTTAGAGAGAAAAGTCCTATATGGAATCGTGGGCAGATCACAAGCAAACGTCGAGCTGGGAATCTAGACTTCATGTCACGTTAGCCAGGTTAGGTGTCTATTTAGCTGGATCTTTTTATCTTCACCCAGTTCATCATTCGTCCCTTTTGGGTTTCATCTTCCGTTTTTCATTTTTCATCGTTGATAGTATGACATTTCCACTATCTACCTAGCCAGCTGCTAGCTAAGGTGTGTAGCTCTAAGCCACCTCCATCCCCAGCCTCATCTCCACATCAGCATATCCCCTTAACTCCAACTCTTCCGCTTATAAGAAGACCTCGAGATTAATCTCCAGCGTGCTGACGGGGTACTTCAACTCGTAATTCTCGAGCACAGTAGGGTGAAGGATGCCAAACTCCCCAATCCTCGCCGTCTTGCCGCCTAGGCGCGCGTACACGGCAGCCGCGCGGCCGGGGAAGAAAGTGGGCTCATCGTCGATCGGCTCGAGCCAGTATCCATCGCGCTTCTGCGGCGAAGCGGTCACGGAGAACCCGACATCCTTCCCGGTCAGCCCTTCGTCGTGGGTGAGGAAGGCCTGGCGCAGCATCGCCATGACGCGGTCCAGCAGGCCGTGCACCTCCTCGAAGCCGGACGCCTTCCCGTACCACGCCGCGGCCCAGTGCCTCTCGTTGCGGGCGCGGCGCTCCACCGTCGGGTCTTTGAAGACGACGTCCGAAGTCTCGAAGACGCGGATCGGCACGCTGTGGCCCTTGTTCTCGCGGATAGTCTTCAGCAGGCCAGGGATGAGGGACGTGCGCACGATCTGGTACTCGGCCGTCTTGGGGTTCGCGAGGCGCACCGCGGTCTTGCCATCGTCCTTGCGGTTCAGCCATGCGAAGTTCTCGTCGTGGCTGCATAGGATGAGGGGCATAACCTCCGACCATCCGGCCATACCGCATTCCAGGCGCACGATATCCGCGAGCTTGTTGAGGCTCAGGGGCGCGCCAACGGTCTTGGTCACGGATATGCGAGGCAGTCTGTTGAAGCCGTACGCTATGCCCAGGTCCTCCATAATATCGCATCGTTGCAGGATGTCGGCGCGCGTAGGGGGTATCGTAACCTCGACTAGGCTGTTCGGGTCCGTGCTGGAAGGTTTCGCGCTGAGGGCCATCTTCGATAGTAATTTGCTGATACTCTCCGATGATTCGGATAGTCCAAGGCAGCCGTTCAGGTAGTCGATCTCGACGGTCTCGGTCCGCGAAGAGAGGTTGGGCGTTATTCGGGTCTGCCCATTGTGATCGGAGATAACCTTGACCGGCTCGACGGTAAAGGGCTGCTCGGCGTAGACGGAGAACATGGTCACCATCATATTGATGACGATCTCCAACTTGGTCTTGTCCGTAGCGGTACATTCTATGAAGACGTTCTTGCTACTAAGTTTAATCTTAGAGTGGTCGCCGTTGATGATAGGCGGTAGCGAGCAGACTACTCTGTTCGCGTCGTAAATGACGGGGTACACTGGTTTGTCCTTGATAATATGGAGGTATCGTCCTAAATGTCGGTCTTTTTCGTAGAATGTCATCAACTCCTCTCCGTTCATAGACTTGGTTTGGTTGAGTGGCACGAAGTTGATGTCCTTCGGCGGACGCGCTTCGTATGTGAAGGGACCCTTGATGGTGTCTAGATCGTGGGTTCCGATGGCGACGAGAGTACGATTTCGCGCGAGGTTCTGGTGTAACTTATCTTGCAGGGCAATGAAGGAGTCATAGCTTTTCTGGGTGAACTTGATATTACGTAGAATGGCGCAAGCAACTAATGGCCGAACTTTCGTAGTATCCTCTAGGACTGTAATGGTCTCTAGATCGCCGCTGGGGGGCTGGACCAATTTGAAGCTGGGCGTGGGTTGCTTTCCCCGGAAGATATTGAGCATGAGGGCAATGCCCTCGAAGCAAAGCATGTCATATCGGTTGGCGGGGATTTCGATTTTCAGTTGGGGCGGTTCTTGTACGCCATCCACGACGGGTCTCTCCTCATTCTCCGTGTCCTCGTCTAGTTCAATGCCAAACTCGAAACATAAGTCTTCGAACTCCTCGGTCGTGTACCTATACGTCGTCGTGTGTTAGCCGGGGGGATTTTCACGTTCAGGTTGCGGCAGAAGAGGGGCAGAGGGGGTCACGTACTTTTGACCTAGGGCCTCGAAGAGGTCATACTTGTCGACGGAAATGGTAGGCATCTTCTATATAGCCCTATCAAAGGGTCGGGGAGAGCCTAGAGACCAGGGAGCTTTGCGCAATTCGTCGGTTGTGAAATGTGGTTGTTTTGAGTCACCAGCGATTTCACAAATTCCTTTGCGTCGCAGTTGACAACCCCACCATGAATATCGGATAATGCAATAGCCTGCCGATATTCGGTTCAGGGGTTAATCGTTTAAGCTTATCATTGTGGATACCTACCTAGGTAGGTACCTTAGGTAAGTACGAAATCTGTTGTACCTCGAAGCACCAGCCACATCTAGCCCTGGGGAATTCATCTAAGTACGGTGTCCCTTCATTCCTTCTCTATTCTCTATTTCTACCCATGACAACAGCTGCTGAACAAAAGAGTATAGACACAAGACACGAGGGCATCCTATCCAAATATTACACATTTTCATTATCTAGGCCTGTAAGTTGTCTCACAAAGAGAAACCCTTGGGCTTCTTCGACAAGAAACATCTTACATGATACCCCGTAAAGCACAGACGAGTCATATTGTGATATCTCATGCGCAGCACTAAAGTCACATCTGTCTCCTACATCACTAAAACAAGATATAGAGCTCACGATTCCTCCAATCAACTCGATCCATGCCTGGCCCCTTTCTCTAATTCGCAGGCCAGAAATTCGATGAGATTGTTAGACATGAAAAATTGCCCGTCCGATATGGATGGAGTTTTGGAGTGACATCACTGCTTACCATTGTTATCGTCCAGATCAAATTTGAATATTATGAGCTATACCAACCTAAATGAGAGGTGCATATATTAGTCCACCTTGTACGTAGGACCTTCGCTTGATTTAAACCAGACAAAATATAGCCACTGGAAGAATATCAGTTTCATACAAAACCACGAACTAAAGTAATCATAATGGCCTGACTATATGTAAATACTAAGAAAATACCGGATGCCATATAAGATATCGGTATATAAAAAGCTAGATATGGTAGGTAGATACATAAAACCGATAAAGAGTAGCAATTCAGGGGTGCAGGACGTGCAACGCCGTGGATCAGATTGCCTAGAGCGGGGAAGTGCATATAAGGAATACTGGGGCTAATATTCGAAGTGTCAAGTGTGGGGCAGCTGTGGCAGGGTGGTGGCAGGATCCAGAGGGTAAGAACCTTAGGTAACAGAGATTTCAATCTCGTCACAGGCGCCTAAGCCACATCATTCAGTCCCTTCAGTCCCTTGTTATCTCTCACAAGCCATACCTGAGGTAACCATAGCAAGTAAAGCTCCAGCCCGCGTTAAACCTATTTCCACCAAAAGCATCTTTCTTCTTGATCACAACACAATCCACAACACCCAAAGCGAACCTCCATACTTGATGATACCCCTCGATGATCTAATTACTAGACCGAAATCAACGGTGCAGAGACGAACCTACGTAAAGACCTAAGACAGAATCATTTTTCTTGGCGAGTTCGATAATTTATTTTCGGTGTCGGAGCACGAGCGACGTCGATCTTTGTATCCGGTTTCCCAAGTCGCCAAATTGACCCGACATCGACCTAACTCCCATTGCATCACTCCACCACCACCCTCTCCAACCCACGCGATCAGCAGCGCAACCTAGCCGGTATTTTTTTCTTACTTGCCGGCCCCTACGCCTACATAATTCCCTCGTATTTGCAACCGAATAGCTACATCCCAACATGGCTGACGCGCCAAATGCGAACGATGAGCTTTACCCCATCGCCGTACTCATCGACGAACTAAAGGTAAGGCGGTGACCTAGTCGACGCACTAGCATCTCAACTTCTGACTTTGTTTATAGCACGACGATGTCCTTCTACGATTGAACGCCATCCACCGTCTTTCGACAATCGCGCTTGCTCTAGGTGCAGAGCGCACTCGTGATGAACTCATTCCCTTTTTAGACGGTCAGATAGCGACCCCCGCGCTCGAACTAAGAACAGGTCTAACCCCAGAATTAGAGTCGGTCGAAGACGAAGATGAAGTACTCGTGGCCCTTAGCGAGGAGCTGGGCAGCTTCATCGAGTACGTCGGCGGTCCCCAGTACGGCCACGTCCTCCTTTCCCCCCTCGAGAACCTCGCTGCCATCGAAGAGCCCGTCGTTCGGGATAAGGTCTGTCCCGACAGCCTCGCAGATCCTTGATATCCTTTACTAACATTTTCCTGCAGGCTGTCGAGTCCCTTAACAAGATCTGCAACGAGCTCTCGCCCCAGCAGGTTGAAGAATACTTCATCCCCTTAACTATTCGCCTGGCCAAGGCAGACTGGTTCACCTCCAAAGTGTCCGGATGTGGTCTTTTCACTACGCCTTACAAGAAGGTCTCTCCACCTGTCCAGGAGCAACTTCGCCAACAATTCGGTCTCCTAGTGCACGATGAAACGCCCATGGTGCGAAGACAATCTGCCACCAATATGGCCAAATTTGTGAAGGAGATGCCCGCGGCTATCGTCGTCGAAGAAATGATACCCCTTTTCCAACACCTTGCACAAGACGATCAGGATAGCGTCCGATTACTGACGGTGGAAATTCTCATTTCTATTGCCGAGGTTGTGCCCAAGGAACAGCAAGGTAGCCATGGCGTCTTGCTCACGTCGTTACGTAACTTGATAGAGGACAAGAGCTGGAGGGTTCGGTATATGATTGCCGATAGATTCGAGAAGGTACGAACTTGAATGTGTTTACTATGAGTTAAACTAATGGGCGATCTAGATTGCGAAAGCCGTAGACGAAGAAGTCGTCTCCCGAGACCTAGTACCTTCGTTTGTCAAACTGCTCAAGGACAACGAAGCTGAAGTTCGAACTGCTATTGCCGGCCAGATCCCTGGCTTCTGCAACCTCGTCGATAGAACGACCCTGCTCAACGAGATCATGAGCTCCATCGAAGATCTCGTCTCTGACACGTCTCAGCACGTCCGTGCTGCCCTTGGCACCCAGATTAGCGGGCTGGCACCCATCCTTGGCAAACAAGAGTATGACCGAAATCAGTTTGTCTCTCTGGAATTCTAATTGCTAATAATGTTTGATAGAACTATCGATCACCTTCTGCCGATGTTCTTGCAGATGCTGAAGGACGAATTCCCCGAAGTGCGCTTACACATCATCTCTAAGCTCGAACTCGTCAATCAAGGTATACACCAATGCAGATCCTTGTTCACAAGCGTCTGTTATTCTAACATTTTTATAGTTATTGGCATTGATTTACTTTCCCAATCTCTCCTACCGGCCATCGTACAGCTTGCGGAAGACAAGCAATGGAGAGTTCGACTCGCTATTATCGAGTACATCCCCCTTCTCGCAAGCCAGCTCGGCGTCAAGTTCTTCGATGAGAAGTTAAGCACGTTGTGCATGGGGTGGCTCGGAGACACGGTCTTCTCCATCCGCGAAGCTGCAACTCATAACTTGAAGAAGCTTACTGAGGTCTTCGGTGTGGAGTGGGCCAGCGAAGCGATAATTCCCAAGGTGATGGCTATGGGCTCTCACCCGAATTACCTGTACCGGATGACGACTTGCTTCGCCATTTCAGTAAGTAGTCCCATTTATTCCAGTATCGATTCATAGGTTCTGACCTTTATAGACTCTGGCTACCGTTGTCAGCCTGGATGTCATCGGGAAATCGATTCTCCCTATGTTGGAGAAGCTCGTCGAAGATGACATTCCTAACATCCGCTTCAACGTGGCGAAGACGTACGCCGTTCTTATCGACGTTCTAAAGCGACTTCCGGAGGAGGGTACGATCTACAGCCTGGAAAAGGCCGGAACTCCGACGTCTACCACACCGTCTCCTCGCGCCACCGAGCTTATCCAACAGCGGATCCTGCCAAGTTTAGAGAAGCTGCAGAAGGACGATGACGTGGATGTGCGCTACTTCGCAACGACCGCAGTGGCTGGGATTCCCGGGATGGGTGGAGAGCCGATGAACACGTCGCCGTAGATGAGACACTGAAAACAGAACTCTTTCCAAGGTGCGGCCACGTCCTAGAGTGTCCTAGTTACACCCTCTCGCGAGATAGCCATCCCGAATCTGTCTAGCACACTAGTTCGTACAAAGAGGTCCTTGAGAGCCCATAATTTTGAGGGTTCGTAGATCAGAAGTCGCATTGGGAGACACGCACAAGGTCATATGCATTTTTTGGAGGTTTGTGTTCTGCTCGGCATTGAGCCCGTAAATGGGACTTGAAAGTTGCACAAGCTCCTATAGAAGGTCATTGAGAGCCACAAGAAGCCCGGTAGGGGCTAATCATCATCTTGGCAAAGTTGCCTGGTGCGTGTAAGATAAAAAGAACGAAAAAAAAATCACGATGAGTTTAATAGATCTCAGTCAAACCAAAATCAAAATTTCAGTAACGCTTTCATGTTGACTTGCTTCTGTTTTATTTACTTTATTTACTACTATAAGGGGCATCTTTTTATCCTATTTCCAAGTGCCAAATTTCCGTCTCCATGCTCGTAGCGCTTATATAAGTAATAATAGTCACGCTACTTCTCGATATTCCTCACCTTTCTAAAGCACAAACTGCTAATAGTCTGCCCCTTGACACCTCCGAAGCTAAAGCTGGGATACTTGACCCGGCCAACCTCCTCGAACCGCCACCTCCTCGTCTCCTCATCCACCTCGCCCTCCTCGCCCTCCTTGGCGGGGCCCGCGAACCAGCCCCGCAGCTCGGCCTCGGTCCAGTTGCAGCTAGTGACGAGGAAGAGACCCCCCTCGCGCACCAGGGGCGCGATCTTCGAGCGGTAGGACTCGGCGACGCGGCGCCCCGTCGCGGGGTCGGTTTCGGAGGACAGCGAGATGGCGTCGAAGGTGCCTTTGTCGAGGACGACGTCCCAGCCGCGCGACTGCGCGGAGGTGAGCAGCGCCGCGGGGGAAGTGCGCAGGATGTCGTGCTCGAGGAAGGTTATGGGTTGCTCGTTTTCTCTTCGTCCTACTACTCCTGCCCTTTCTTCGTCGTCGTCGGACCGCGCTGAGTCTGGGTCCGAGAGGGAGGATGAGGAGGATGAGGAGTCTGGCGAGATGCGCGCTTGCGCGAGGCGTCGCGCGAATTCGATGCTTTGACGCGAGTAGTCGACGCCGAGCATCCGGCCGGCCCAGCCGGCGTCGCGTAGCCCGAAGAGCAGCGACCCGTTGCCGGTGCCGAGGTCGAGGAAGCTGGTCGTCGCTTGCGAGAGGTTAAGGGAGGGGACGAGGTCCGGGGCGCTGAGGAAGTCGATTAGTTTGGTTTCGGCGTCGGAGTCGTCGAACCAGACTGTGCCGGTGTCGGAGGGGTTGTGCGCGTGGTTGGTTAGTTCGGTCGTGTAGAGGTTGTCCCAGCTTTTTGGGGGGTGGGTTTGTTAGCTAGATGGGAGGAAGAGCGGCTGGTGTTGAGGGTTGGAAAGGATTAGAGGGGCGCCATACTATTCCTTTGTGCCCAGCTCGGAGGGCTCGAGATTTGTGGGTTTGGACATTGCGGATTTAGATTCACTTGGGTTGGTTTAAGATAGCTTTAGATTTTCGTGTGTATGCCAATATAAATCTGTCAACTAGAAGCGTTTAAGATACACATATTGAGTAAGTGAGGATAATATTTGACTGGAAATTAGAATCTAGTATTTAGTCTACGCGCACTTCATTATAGTGTTACACTTGGATAATACATTTGGCAAGTGGCGGCTAGGGACGTTAATGGAGGGGCACAACGGCAGAAACTTCCGTCAAAACCAGTTAGGCAGGCGGTATCCATTTTTTCAATAAAATACGGTTGCCAAGATGACTTGAAATCTATATATGTACGTAGGTACATATAACAAAGCCCCACATCTAACAGCACCGTTAGATAATCGATAAAGCGATAAGCATACAATAATTCTTAAACTTTTCTGTCGTCACTCGGTCCTACAATTTAACAATCTCACTCTCACAAGTTCAATGCCGCCAACATGTATCGCGCGCGCTTGTCAAGTCAATTGAACAGAGGCATCGCCGCCTCCGTGCGAGCAAGCGCTAGGCCGTTCCGACCGCTTCAGACTCGATCATTAGCCAGCGCAGTGAGTGTGCCGAGCGGAAAAGTAAGTGTTCCACCATTTGTTACCATGCCATACTTATCACACTATGCTCCTCAACTCGACCCGAACATGCGAACTTACTATTAGCAGGAACCTACAGAGCTTAGTAGCTTGTCCTATCTACCAAATGGAATTCGCGTGGCATCCGAGGCCCTTCCCGGAAGCTTTGCCGGCGTGGGTGTTTACATCGAAGCCGGTTCGAGATATGAGAACAATTACTTGAGAGGAGTGAGCCACATTATTGATCGGATGGCTTGGCGGTCGACGACGACTAAGAGCTTCGATGATTTGCAAATGATGGCGGAATCTCTAGGAGGACACATACAGTGTGTTTCCTCCCGAGAGTCTATCATGTACCAGGCCGCCACCTTCAACTCGAACATTCCTATCGCAACCGAGTTCCTCGCCGATACGATACAAAATCCCCTACTTCTAGACCGAGAAATCCAGGCAGAACTTGCGACAGCAGAGTATGAGATCGACGAGATTTGGAAGAGACCAGACTTAATCATACCTGAATTGGTACACATGGCCGCATACAAGGGCAACACTCTCGGCAATCCGTTGTTAATTCCTAAGGAGCGCATACCAGAAATCGACAGTGCGATCTTGCGCACATACCGAGACACATTCTATCGCCCAGAGAAGATGGTCATAGCCTTTGCTGGCATCCCGCACTCTGAGGCTGTGCAGTTAGCAACTACCTTCTTCGGCGGTATGAAGGGTTCCGAACGACCGATCTTGTCACAGACGGGATCCGAAACCTCTGTCGACTCGTTACCAGACAGTGCCAACGCCTCAACTTCTTCACTATCATCTACCTCATCCTCTTCGCAGTCATCTGGATTCTTGTCAAGAATGCCACTCTTCAAGCACCTCTCTACTTCTGCAAGCCGTAGTGCTTCAGTATCTAACCAAGCTCTCGCACCGACACTGGAACAACTCGCCATGCCCTCGCACTACACCGGTGGCTTCGTCGAACTTCCGCCGCAACCTCCTTCTACCAACCCTCAAAAACCCTCACATACTTACATTCAGCTTGCATTTGAAGGATTGCCTATTCGATCAGATGACATCTACGCACTTGCAACGCTTAACACTCTCCTCGGCGGCGGCGGATCCTTCTCAGCCGGCGGACCCGGAAAGGGCATATATTCAAGACTGTACACCAATGTGCTCAATCAGTACCACTGGGTCGAGTTTTGTCAAGCCTTTAACCATTCTTACACCGATTCCGGACTGTTTGGTATCGCCGCTCAGTGCAAACCTGAACGAACGCAAGACATGCTCAACGTCATGTGCCAGGAGTTGAAGGCGCTTACTATAGATACTGGTTTTGCCGGCCTGAAAGAGGCAGAGGTCGAGCGCGCCAAGAAGCAGCTGCGTTCCAGTCTGCTAATGAACCTCGAGAGCCGAATGATCGAGCTGGAGGATCTAGGCCGACAGGTACAGGTGCACGGGTACAAGATACCGGTACAAGAGATGTGCCGAAAGATAGAGAAGCTAACAGTCTCTGACTTGCGTCGGGTGGCGAACGAGGTTATGGGAGGACTGGTACAGAACAAGGGTAAAGGAAGCGGTTCTCCAACCGTGGTAATACAAGAGGTACAGGATCCTCTCGGGTCTAGGAAGCATGCATCCTGGGAAGAGATCCAGGACAAGATCTTCAAATGGGGTTTGGGTAGACGATGAGCGCCGTAGGATATGCCCTCTTCATTTGACGGTAAATACGGCAAAGGTATCTGGAAACCAAGCGGGCGATCCGTGGTCCTAGCGATATGACCCGCTAGGGCTCGACATAGCCTGCTCGTTTCTAGATGCTATACGGTGTACAAAAATGTACAATAATAAGGACAAACGTGGGATTCATACCCGGCTGATCAACGCATTCCCAATTCCATCAAATATTAGAACATGGGCCTCTTACATGAATAGAGGGCCCACGATCTTTAAAATCGCCGCGTAAGCCTTGGTACCGAACTACGAAACTGTGAATTCCGTGTCTTACCCCGGGTATCAACTCTATCGGGTATATTAGCAGGAAGTGGAAATGGTTACTGTAACGATGTAAGACATGCCACCTTAACTCAACTGGCTTGCGAATTACGATGCGCCGCAGTAGTGTGACCACGTTCGAAAGCCATGCCATGAGCCAACTCACCGTGGCCTCGAACGACAGGAAATCGGCGTGTTTTTACCAATATACCATCTTGAAACACGTTTTTTCCCTGGGACCCAATATGCCGGGGTGTCACGACCATCTATAAACTCGCGAGTACGAGCACACGTGCTGCTAAATCTCGACTTCGTTCCGTTCCACCAGATTCGCTTCCTAGCGTAATCTGTGCTCGTTCCCGTGTTTGCTCTAGTGTTCAGGTCAGGCTGTGTAAGTGAGCCGGCTCCTTGCGCCGATGATGTAGGGTATATATAAACATAGGGTTCCGGATTCGAGTGATAACTAATTGTGTTCTCGTGTCTGCTTCAGCAGGTAGTTTGATCCTTTTTTCGGACAACCATCTAGACGGCACAAATTTCAATATAAGGGGAGTTGATACTCGTTAATACTCACTACTACCCACCCCAAAGCCAGAAACCCTCATTAGGAAACTAATACTTACTTCAAGAACCTGCTACCATGACGGCGGTAACCAGGACGTCGCGCGGCGACGACGGCACGATCTCGGAAACGACGTACATCATGCCGGAGCAGACGACGCCGTACGCGCCGCTGCGGTCGGCGAGCGACACGCTGACGGGCACGGGCTCGAACATGCCGAACTCGTGCTCGCTGTCGGTCTTCTGCCGCAGCGCGTCGTACTACGTGTACAGCATGGCGACGGCGGCGCACAGCCCGCACCCGCTGTCGGGCCAGCACTGCAACGCCGTCCAGCGCGACCCGGGCTGGGGCCAGCTCATCGGCTTCCACGACGACTGCTGGCCGCAGAACTACTTCGCGCTTTTTCCGTACGAGTGGGCTGAGATGAACGGCGCTAGCAAGACGACTAATGAGGGCGATGGGTCGACCGTTGCGTTCCCCGGGGGGCACTGCCTCGAGGGCTGGACTACGGCGTGTACGACTACTATTACGGCGGGAGGGCTGAGACATGTTGTTAGGGATGGAGCGGGGAACGAGGTTAGGGCGCATGATGGCGAGAAGGAATACTACCCCCAGGCGTGGTGCTGTCCGCCTGGCGAATGGGCGTGCGCGACGCAGACGGGCGACGGCGATAGGCAGGCGCCGCAACGGCTGTGTCGCAGCGTCCTCACCGGCACGGCGACGACGCAGATCTGGATGAGCTGGGACCCGGCCTACTACACCTTCACGCCGACCGGGTCGTCGTCGTCCATCTTCGAGGCGTATACTTGGACCGCCGACGTGCCCGAGGACCCGGACCCGGAGAACGCGGCGACGGTGTTTCATAAAGTTTTCCCGCTTGTGCTTAGCACGTCTGGGTCTTGGTCGAGTTCGACGACTAGCTCGAGTTCGAGTTCGACTTCTAGTTCTAGTTCCAGTAGTAGTGGTAGTGGTAGTGGTAGTGGTAGTGGCAGTGATGATATGCAACCCAGGATAGGCGAGGACTTGCCCACGGTCGAGGGCTCGGATATCGGGTGTTTGGTCACGCTTAATGGAACGGAAACCGTTACCGTGTCCGTAACGCCGTCGGTAGAGCCCCGGATAATAGGGAGGGAAGAACCGTTCGCTTTTGGTGATGCGGCTCTGACGTCCAGGTGCGTGGTTGCTGGTCTGCTGGGCGCCGCTGCAGCCACGGTCACGCTTCTGCTTATGGGGTTCGGGATCTTGTATCGTCAGAAGAATAGGGATAGAAGACGTCGTGACGCGGCTACTGCTGCTGATGGTGTGGATAAGGGGCTGTTAAAGGATGAGAAGTTTGAGACGGAGATGGGAGTGAGGTTTCAGGGGTAGGAACGAGAGCAAGGGATAAAGCTTGCTTAACAACTTTTGGTATTTTGACACTGCCTTGGGGCGCTTCTGGATCTTGGAGATTTCCTAATCCTACCTTTTCCGGTTGGTTAACTTTCCTTTTCCTGCTCGGGGGATAACGACGGGAGTTCCCTAGTAACATATTTCTCTCTACGGCTGATCTTGAGAAATAAGAGAGCGGCATATTCAGGGAATATACCTACCAATTCAGTGTCTAGAGATTGTCTCCTAGCTCACTTTTATGGTTTATATGAGCAAACCCCTTTCCTAGCATGATTACCCAGTTATCGCTCAAACTTGGGAAATTCCTCTAGTGTGGAATCTGAAGTTCTAGCAGTCCTCTTTGAAACCTTGTTATTTCCACATCCACTACTAAGTAAAGGAATCTTAAATAAGGCGTCGATTCCCAATATGTCCAGGTGATCACCGAAGAAAATACTGCCTGCCACCCTCGGTTCTGAACACAACATCTTTACCAACCAGTTCTCCCTTTAATTCAATCCCATCATCAGCCCACGCCCTCCGATTCTTCCCCTCTCCCTGTATCTCAGGAACAACGACCGTCCCATTAGTACCCGGCGGCGGCGTAACATTCACCAGAAGTCTCCCATCCGTCTGGTTCCTCTCCCACTTCACACTTAAGGGCCCGTAAGGCGTCGGAACAACCCCCCTAGCCCAAGCCAAATCCTCACTAGGAAGCGGCCGAACACTCCACTCCCTAAACCCAGGCCTCAGGGGTCGCACACCAAGAACATACGTCGTAAGCAACGGCGTAACCCCCGTCGACCACCCATGCGCCAAACTCGTAAACCCGCCTTCGTACTTACTCCCGTTAACCCCGACGCCCTCCCACATCGTGACCCCGGGGTCCGAAGCCGCCATGTGCCCGTACGTCGCCCGCATCTGCGCGACGCCCGACTCCGCCATCCCGCTCTCGAACCGCGCCGCCGTCTCGAAGTACGATACGAACGCGTACACCCTGTCGCTGAACCCGGCGCCTAGCTCGTCGCCGGAGGCGTCGTAGAAGGCGTGCCCGTACGGCTTCGCGGTCGCGTTCGCGAGGTAGGATAGCGCTGATTGCGCATACGGGATCGAGCTACTGGAGTTGGAAGACGCGACGCCGGCCAAGATCGCGATGCTGTTCCCGTCCTGCGCGTGCGCGCTGCACCCCGTTCCGGCGCACTTCCGGTCGTAGAAGGCGCCGGCTGAGGCGTCCCACAGGTTGGCGAGGATGCTGGCGGATACGTTGGTGGCTCTTTCGCGCCAGCGGGATGCGTCGTTGGGCTTTGAGAGGAGGGAAGCTAGGTCGGCGGCTCGGTTTAGTGCTAGAACGTATAATGCGCTGTAGTACGTTGCTGAGCCGTCGCGCGGGATGAAGGCGTAGTCGCCGTACCCGTCTTGGCGGACGAGGAGCGATGTAGCGTTGTCCGTGTGGGAGACGTAGTACGTATCGAGGACCTTCACGAGAACCGGATAGTACGCTTCGATGTAGGATAGGTTGCCGGTGTACAGGACGTGGTCCCAGCTACAGGTTACCCAGTATAGGGGGTAGTCGAAAAGTTGGAGTTGGTAGTTGTTACTTTGGTTTTGTTAGAATATTGTCTCTCCCTCTCAGCAATAACGAGATTAATTGGAAACATGGGGGAGATAAGGGGAATAACGAACATGCTCGCAGGTGGTATCCACCCATCATCCCTCTGATGCAGCGCCAGATCCACCATTACGTTCCGAGCTGCCTCGGGGAAATCGTGTGAAAGGTAACTCGTCAACGCGGCGACCGCCAGATCCCCCATATACGGATCCCTATCCCTCTTCGCCCCGTCCAAGAGCACCCACTTACCTAAAAGCGAAGGGCTTGAGGCTCCACGGGGCTCCGTGTCGTTGTCCCGGAAGACGTCCGTACCCATCTCCGTGGTGTACGCGCCGTCGTACCACCACTGCGTGAGGTTCGCGTCTGAGCATTCGAACCAGCCCGTGTAAGTATCAGGGGTACCTAGATATGCGGACCATTGCAGGCTGACGGAATTGATGGCGACCTCGCCGTACGGAGACGTGTACGGTGCGTCTTCGGCAAGCGCGTCCAGTTCAATTTTCACGTAACGGAAGCCGTGAAGACCGTCAGAGCAGACCTGGCTTCCGTATTCACAGCCCCATTGATCGAGCCAAGTAAACGGTTCATTTTTCACGGCCACCTAGATACTAATTAGAACCACGCGTACTCATCTGAAATTGACCATATTATATCCGAGCATATCTCACCTGATCAGTTCCGGAGGTAATTTCCGGGGGATCCTGAGAAGTCAGCGACTAATCCGGAGTCTAGTTCCTTAAGAAAAGCTTACGCCCGACCCCTGACCCGCGTTATCAGACCTCGTAAAGTCACTCGTATTCCCGAGAAATTCCAAGCTCTCCGAGAAATACACTTTCAGGCCGGGAAATCCGCCCGAGGCGTTAGTCGAGCGCGCAAAATCGATTTCCAGCAGGCCCACGACGTTTTGGCCGAAGTCGAGGACTACGGTGGGTATGACGGTGTCGTTTTCTTTATGAGATAGGATCGTCACGTCGCTCCCAATGATGAGACCTTCGGGGTTTGTTACATTCCCCAAAGTATACGTGCTGAGAACGGCTTTCGGTTTCACCGTGCTATTTGTTGGGGCGCGCACATACTGGTGCCAGCTTGTATTGTTGTCTTGTGCGTAACTGCATCGGGCTGACACTAGAGCCAGCCCGCAAAGCCAAGAAAGTGACCTGAAGCTCATGTTATGTATCTAATAATCTGAAAATTAAATAAATTTGTGAAAATCATTGCCCTTAAAGCTGTGTAGACACGATCATTGAAGTCTTCATGGGTTGATTATATCACGGGGATGATCTAGCTACCAGGAGTTACATGGAGGTGGCTGAGGATATATTAACGGCCGTACGTACGGAGTACCTACTCCATGCTCACCTCTGCAAACCTGGTTCGGCAAAGAGCTGATGTAGATCATGATGACCCGATCTCCTTTGGATCAGACGCTGTGCCGCAGCCCAAGACCGGGGTAGGCCAAAGCTGTAGGTTCCAGATTAGGAAGGATACCTAAAATTAGACGAATCGCGTGGCAGAGGGGAAGGTAGGATTATACGGAATTGTAGGGCTTGGAGATGATTCTGACCTATCATCTTTGATACGTCACCCTGTGCATTGGGCTAAGTTTATGTTTACCGGCTGTATAGTGTTATTCACGGGCCAGCTTCCACTGAGTTTATATTCATGGCAGCTCGTAGGGAGGGCCCTTGTTAGCAATATCAGCGAATTCCATCCTCAACACGATCACGATTCACTAGCAACAGAGCAAAAGAAGGACTGTCAAGTTGTATGAAGTAAAGGAACTTTTCTTGGCCGCAGGCATCACCAAGCCAGGCCTATCTATTAGTTTGTAATTTCCCACCCGTGCACCGTTGAAATTAGAATAATTCATAAGTCATCAATCCATCTCTCCCGGCTCACTATAGCCGTCAACCATAGGTTGACGCGACGTGATACTCGATGCCACTTTTCGGAAAAAAGGAATTAACAATATCGCCCATGAAACTATGCAAAACTCATTTTTTTGGATCCCCTTTTCGTTCCCCTTTAAATAATATGCAAGAAAGTTCGTCAATCATTGGATCTTAGCCATTCTCTTAGACATGCTGCGAAAAAAGTTAGTTCCGGATCAATTGCTAAGCGTGGGCATATTTCATCGGCAACTTACAAATCATAGAAAGCAAATTGGCTGGGGCTGCTGCCAAACTCATACACGAAGCGAGAGGCAAGATAGCTTCCGAAGATTGCGCGAAGGTAAGAGTCCGGTACGCGGCTGATGATGGTGTCTAGACCGATCTTGTCGATAAGCAACTTGGGTAGAGCATCCGCCAGGACCGCCCTTCGGATCTTCGGGTTCTCCCACAGGTCTGACCTCTGTAACTCCTCATCTAGCGTGGTGATCGCAACAGAAAGTGTGTCCGAGAGCACAGAGCGCGGCACGCCGGTCTCTTCGTGTTCGCGCCAGATCGCCTCAAATTCTAGGCGGGCATTTTCGCAGATCGTGGCCTGCACTTGCTTGACGTAGGCCTGATAGAACTCAGGCGCCTCGCCCTTAGAGTTGTGGCACATGTTCTCGACGAAACCTTCATCGTCAAAGCTAAGCGAGGCAAGGACCTCGAGGGATGAAGAAGTTACACCACCCTTGTTGGCGGACGCATCCTTGAAGAGAATGGCGCCAGCTTTCTCGAGGCGTAGCTTGGCGTCTTGAGTGATGAACAGATTGGCTCCTTCAACAATGTAAGGAATGGTAGTCTTGCCATCCTTAATCAACTTTGACACGGTAGAAAGATCAATCGACTCAGGACGTCCACCACACGGAACGAAACAGTCGGTAAATCCATTGTCCCTGAGGTGGTAGAAGTTACGGAAAGGCGTGCCGTTAGGGACAACTTCACCACTGGGTAATGTGACGTTGCTATCATCGCACAGAACCCTGTATCCGTCTTTGGATAACTTGGAGAGGTCGAACTGTGAGATCATGGCACGCTTCTTGGCTAGCCGAATGAGCTCTTCCTTGTCGAGTCCGTTGGGGTCGGCGAGAACACCAGACCCATCTACAATCGCGGTGTATTTTTCGTTACTCAGAAGGATTTCGTTGCTTCCAAGGTCACCATCTGGACCCCCAGTCTGCATCTTCTTGACGTTGGACGGATCCAAGTTCAGCTTGCGGTAGATACCCTTGACGTATTCACGAACGGACAGAGTCGTCATGCCATATGCGTCATGAGGAATTCCGCCAAGCTTAGGCGACTTGCCAGTGAAGAATGACTTCCACCACGGCGCACCCCGAGCGCGCGCATGTTCTGTAGCCCAATCGACGAGGTCAGCGGTGTTCTCATCCGGACCTAGGAAAAGAATCTCCTCTTTCCTGTAGAGATCTACTATCGGGTTCTTGATGCCGGGGGTCTCGGCGGGAAGAAGAAGGTCCAAGATACTATCAATGTACTTCTCAAAAGCCTCCCGCGCGCGATCCTGTTGCTTGGCGTCGAGGAGAACGACACCCTTCGAACCGCCTTCAGGGATATCCTTGTTTTTGCGCTGCTGAGTACTCGCGAGAGCGTAGTTCTCATCAAACAAGCTTCTGGCGTTGATGCTGTAAGCCTCCTTGCTACGAGACTTGACAATTCGGATACCGCCCCGGGCAACATCCTTGAAGCGGAGATGGAAGCCACGGGCTTCTGCGCTGATCACGAGGAACATTCCATAAAGACGTCTAGGGTACTCGACCTCTGGGAGGAATGATGGGTCCAAGCGGAAGCTAAGAGCAACTTTGGTGGGGGTGAAGTAGTTGGTCTTCAAGATGGCATTATTGAAGATACGGAAGGCTGTCATCACCATTTCTTCATGCTCGTTGGACACTTCTCGGGTAATCGCATCCTTAAGTCGAGCATCCGATAATACTTCTACGGATGGGGTAGGCGCGATGATACTCTTCTCGAAACCAGGGCCGACGCTCAAGTGGACGCTAGCGAATGCGGCGTAGAGAGTTCGCACTAAGTTTGGGTAAGATGCGATAATCTCAAGGATATAATCCGGCGTGAACGTTTCTGTTCGAAGACGGCGCTTCAGCTTTGAGAGGATCTCCACATGTGCTGGGTTCTTTGGGTCTAAGGCTTGCTTGATAGACACATATTCTGTGCCAAGACGGTTGAGGAAATGCTGGACGAAGACCCAGACACAGTGTCCGTAAACGGTCTCTTGCAAGCTTAAAGCACCAGAAGCAAACAATGAGTGAAGCTTGTTTTGAGGTATGCAGTAAAGGAGGGAAATCTCCTTGGTGATCTGATGAATAGATTGCTCGATCGGCATAGGCTTGGTTTCCAAGTTTGTGGCCGGTTTCAAGTAGATACTCATGACCGTGATGCCGTTGGAGAACTGCTCAACGTACTTCCTTGTGCTCGTCACGCCGTAGTAGTGGTAGAGGTCACTCAAGGCGCTGAAGATACCCCGAGCGGTACGGGAACGGAAAGCCACAACGAGACGTTTTTCTTCGGAGCCTTCGATGTCGAATACCTCAATCACCGGTCCGGTTCTAGCGACGGCGAGTTTGATAATGTCATCGTAAATCTGCTTGGTGTTCTTTGTTGCTTTGGTCAAGAACATTCTGTCGCTGATGATTTCAAGACGAGTCTCGCCCGGCTCCGGGTTTGGGTCCACAAACATGCATTGGTAGACGAAATAGCATCGCAGAGACGCTTTGGACGAGGGGTCATTTGATATGGTGACAGGGGAGCGGAAGGTCTCGATACGGAAACGTTTATTGGGGTCTGCGTTGTCAAGATACTTCGCCTCGAGCCTATTTTCGAACCGCGGGCCGTGTAAGGAGGTCTTACCCGGTACACTTGTGTCGATGTAAATAGCATGGTCGGTGGCTTCCATATCTAAGCGAATCTCTTCGCGCTTGTCCACACGAGCGTAGGCCGCGACTTTGGCAGCGTACATAGAGGTGATGTGGGTCGCGATGACGTCCACCTTCTCCATCTGGAAGTAGACATCATCTATACCTAGCTCATTGTAGAACCATGAGACTTGCTCGTCAAGGTGAGATTCAGGGATCCAGCCCTGCTTAAGGATGATGCTCTTGACTGCTCCATGTTAGAAGATCCAGAATTGTGAGGGCTGTTATAAATATTGCTGACTAACCCTGTGTGATCTGCTCATCACGTCCCTTGAATTCGGGCGCAACGTAGCCAACCGTGGCAGATCGCAAGACCCTGTGCCCATTGGTGCCCAGACTCCCCAGAGGTACCGAAAAATGAGTGGGCTGGGGTGAAGGGTGACGGGATACGTCGTCCGTACCCTGAACCTTGCCCAACAGCTTATTAGCTGGGACAGGGCTCGGGGATGGGGCTATCCCGTTGGTCGTCATGATCTGAGCTTTGGGTTCTATGACCTCAAACGTCTCAAGCGGATCCGAATAATCTGGGAAACTATCCAATCCCAAGTCAGTCGTCTGAATCGTCAACATCTTGACCACCATAATGAAGACTAGGAGCTAGGTAGCTCGTGGGTCTGAGTGGGTTATAAGAGAGGATGAGGATGAATAGAAGGAATGAGAATCATGACAATGAGAGAAGGGGAAAACGACACAGATCTCTGGGGAAGGGGTCAATCATTTATAGAGGAATAAATTCGAACGATACCACGGCAAGGCGTCATTGCCGTGTATCATGGTTAGATATCACCATGTTCTGGTACTTGGGAACTACCCCTGAGATTGATACTGAGGTACAACGAGCGAGCAGGTGAGTAAGTAGCTGGTAGTATATACCTACCAGACAATTACTGTTATATAATGAGAAATGTATGAAAGACAGGTCTCGGGAATTTAGAAAGTTCTCATATTGCACATCATAAGAATACATAGGGATACTGGAGACCTGCAGGCCATGAGAGGCTAGTGAGGCCAACTAAGCAAGATATTGCGATTATCGTATCTCGAATTGCACTGGCCAGGAGTACCTAACATGGAATCTCCTACACCGCTCGATACTTCGGGCAGTGTTTTGAATTCAGTTGATGGTCGTGCTCCTGATAAGGAAAGGAGCTAATAAGACAAATAGGCTGAACAATAAAGAAGAGACGTACCGTCAAAGCGTTAAGGGGTGTTTCTGCGTTTCTCCGGGAGAGAACTTGAGTAAGTTGCGGGTCCACAATTAAGTCAACGGGAGACTGGTGGACTTGAAGGAAGTGAACTGCAAGATCTGCCCTCGCGTGAGTAAGTGGTGTCGTGGTGTTGGAGAGATCAATGGTCGGTTAGAGTGGCGTTATAGTGTGTGTATAGGGGGTGGTATATAGTGGTATAAAGTGGTATATGCAATAATACGCAAAAGACGACAGTAATATTGGGAATATTAGAAATAACGGAAATAATGCGAGTGTGTGGTTGGTTGAATGAATGATTGGTTGCCGAAATAAGCAGAGGGAAAGGAGGTAGCAGTACCTTAATAAAGATGATGCAGGTCCTCGATAAGCTTCAGGGCTTCAGGTTTTGAACCAAGTTGAAAATACCGTAATAAAGGGATTCTTAAGGGAGTTAGAATCTACCCTTTCTCTTATATTGATTTCGGTAGATAGGTAAATACAGCGAGTTGCAGGGCTAGATCGGTCGAGCCAGGTAGTATCCAGCTAGTAAGTATCCAAGAGGAATACGCAGGACACGCAGGTGATATGCACAGCCCAATTGCGGCGGCGTTGGATATACGATGACGGATGACGGTAGGAGGTAAAGATAATGACGGCCCCAAGCAAGATTAGGCGAGACCGAAGAAGCAAAAATCCGCAAAGATAAGGATAATAACGAGATAAGACTGGCCGGGCCAAAGAAATACGATTCAGACCCAATTTATAGCTTCATCCATTCCCTCCTCAGTCGATAGAGAAGCAGACAATGGCGATTGGAACTTGACGATCGTGAAACCGAGAGTTGAAAAAGGGAACAGTCAGCTTCTTATATAATGTAAGAAACATTCGACGACTATTACACATTGAGAAAGAAGAACCACGTCTTTGCTTCGTTTTTTTACAGTCTCGATGCACTGTATTGTCAAAGTTGCAAGGTTCAATGCTGTCAAGGTTGTCGAGGTACGTTTTTACATCAGTTTTCCAGCTTGTGACGAATATCCCTGCTGTCACCAGGTCCGGTTGTTGAAAGTTCCCAATGTACAATACAATACGGTTAGGGGACTAGACTAAAATAAACCAAACCAAAGGTTGAAAATCGAGGCAACTGCTCTAGGTGCGGATCCATAATTGACCATGGGAATGGAAGGGACAGAAGGGACAGAAGAATACCAATCGAAGATTCTTTCATCACGGTGAACGCAAATGGAACAAAAGCGAGAGGCTAAACCTGCAGCTAACTAAAACGAGTTGTGGGCGAGAATCTAATTGGCCCAACAGTCTGGGTACCTGAAAATCCGAACAGCCGGGGGTATCTGCTCGCCTACAATTGTATGGCGGGGGTACATGTGTACTTGCGGTGACCCGAGTTCCCTTTAAGTTCAAATGATCTTCTTTTAGTTACCGCGATCGGTACCTAGATACTTCGTCTCAGCAGTGCTCACCAAGCGGCAAGCGAAAAGCGAACAAAGACCCAGCAAGGGGGAAACTGATCCATTCCCATGGCCACGCGGTGGACATCGTGGACATCGTAGGCACATCCAGAACAATTCAGGGCTCCCAAACTCCGTTTTCAAAAACCAACTTCAGCATCACATGTCTTCTTGGGCCGGGGTTTAGTGGATCGTGATGGATCTCTTATGCGATCCAGCGGACTAAAATTTTTACAAACTTGAACGAATATGGTGTGGATTATTGGCCGGATCAAGTACCGACGGCTATTCGAGGCAAGATGGATGGTGACGGTAACTAATCGCAGGAATTCAATGTTCCAAGTGTCACCTTGATGCCAAGTATCCCAAGTATCCCAAGTACCAATGTATCTAAATTTCTAAATATGTAATCACCTGACCTTCAAGGTACGAATATACGATTTCCTCAACATAACCTAACATTACACATTACTTACCCCTAAATCCTTTTCAGAGGTCATTCACCCATTCTTTTACCTGGCTCATATTGAACCAGATCTCCCTCTTCTCCAGAAAAAGAGTGACTGGTAAGATAATATGCAAAACATAGGCTTGTTCAAGCGGCATCGAGTTCCAGGACGTAGTCAGCTAGTGTCTGGTTCTGCATGCTGATCCCGTCTATCAATCACAATCTCCAGGACTGCCATTTCACCTCGTTCCTTATCTTCAAGTGAGACCTCGAACCGAATTAAGGAGACGAATTATCCGTCCTCGAATAGAAGAGATCATTTAGCTCAGGTGCTTCCTTGATATGATAGGAGAATAAGAGAATAAGAGAAACAAGCTCGTCCCGTCGTGTTGACACGGGCTAGTGCAGCGCATCAGCGCCTCAATTTCACACGATACCGAGATGACGGTGTGTGTAGCCTTTACCGCTTCTTACCAGCAGCACCGATGGCGGCTGTTGCGCAACTATCATAGCCAATGAGTTGATGAATGTTGCAATAACTCTCGCTATCAAGACTATGGATGATGAAACATCATCGAGATGGAATTGGCCCTTCATCAATGGTCAATGGGAGGTCTAAACATGTAAGGATTCGAATTCGTTCGAAATTCCAATGCTGTCATGTACTTTATCGGACCGTCGGTCTGCGGAACTGCAGCATGTACAGATGTACATTCAGAAAAGTAGCGTAGATACTTGTGTACTTGGGTACGTACCTGGGCATATATCGTAATCGATTCATCGGGGCAACTGCGACGGTACTGGTACTTCGTACGTAAAAATGCAAAATTGTAGTAATGCGTAAACCAAGCTCCGGCCAGCTCTTACCAGTTTTTGCTATACCTTTAAAGGGTAAGGCGCGGCTCCCCCGGCTCTGCACCTCTCGGGTGACTTGATTCGGACCCATCAGGCCCCATCGGATCCACTCTGCCCCGCGATTTCGAGGATTTCGACAGCAACATCCACGAACTTCAAACGTAAAAGTACTGCGGTTCTGATTTTCTATTACCCCCATATTACTTGATAGCAGCGTCTATCAAGCCCAATGAAGCAGCACGAGGTCAGCCGATTTGACGCCAGACGACTTGCACGGCCTCGTGATAGCTCAACAACTCGCTCTTGGCTCGCCGGTGCATATTGACAATCCCAGGGTTTGGACTTATTATTACTAAACTTGTCGTGAGGTTAGTGGTCGCCAACAGTGTTCGGCGCCCATTAATTCCACTTGGGGCCTCCTTCGGTTTTCATGGCGACATTTGCTCCGAAGAAAACGTCATGAGTACCGGCAAAACGTCAAAAAACGAAAACTACGTCTCCTTTTTTGCGGAGTCCTGCGTCGACAATTATTTCCTCGCGGACTGTGCTAGGTGACACTGCAGGGACAATCATCATCTGTTGCCATCGCCGTGGCCAGGATAGGGAGTTGTGTTCAGCGTTCGTTCGTTGACTTTCGACGACATAAGCACAACTTCATGCCGGCTACTTCTGCCGTCAATTCAAGGATGGTAGCTCTAGCTCGGATATCTTGTTTCTAAAGCACAAGCATGTTGCTTAGGTAACAGGTATTTGACTCGTCGTCATTTCTTACTTTATTGCTTCATGGCAACCTTGATGAAACGGAAGGTGTCAAATCTAAGAGACGATGAAAAGGTCAAAAAATTTAAAACCTGGAGAAACGCTACGGTAAAGATCCCGACCATGCATAACGGAGCGGAATATCCGTTCTTGAGTTACATTGTACTACCGTACAGCAGTTCTCATCGATCGAGGAGATAACGGTCCAGGCCAGAAGGCTATTTTTAACATCTCTTCCACGTTTTCGCCCTGCCTGCCGCCTATCAACGATTCTACGCATATCAGACTGGAGTCGTATGGTCGTACTAAACGTAGGCCGGGGAAAACTTACCCTATCCAAGCTGCAAGGACCTATTCTAACCCCTGAATTGAAGATAAGCACCGCCACGAGTGTGGAGCCGCGGGACTCGAAACGGTCAACAATACGAAGCAGATTTTCAAACCAGTCCAAAAATGTACCCTTCAGGTCAAGCTTTCTCAGCCACCAGACCCTCTCCATCCAGGTTCCTCGCCTCTTCGACCAAACATTGAAATCAAGAAGAGTTTTTTCGATGCTCCCTTCAGGATAGCTAATTCGACCTTGCGGTACTACGGTATGATTCAAGCTTACGCTCAGGGGCTCGGAGGTTTAATCCCAACATTTAGCCAGGCCTACCAATTGCCAATAAATTAGTATCATGCGGCAGAGAAGACTCGATGCATGTGGCGTTTAATCAATTCAGGAACGGCCCGTGATATGCAAAGAATGGTAGGCTTCGGTTGGGACCGCACTGCCGGTTTGCATCTTAAGACTGCAACGGTATCTATCTATCAGGGTTGGATTTGCCGATGGGCATCGAAGTAAGCGATGGAGAAGGCCACGCAATTGAATGATAATTGCAAATAATTCGGTGGTTAATATCTCTGTAGCCGTAAAGGCATTTCGATGTTCGCGTCGTCTTCGTGCGACTCTCCCTTTGAGATGAGTTTCAATTTTGAAGAACTGAAGTCAAACCGCTGTTGCACTGCAGTGGTGATCTAACGACTGACACCATCCCTACGCTTCTCCAATGCTTGAATGGATACTCGATGAATGCTTGACCAATATATTCGATCTGTCCAAGAAAGCTTGACGAAGCTTGTTAGGCACTCTGTGCGACGCGACACGATACGACACGTCGCCATCGCCAATGTTCTAGTCATTGAGTCATTGGACACGTTGCGGTTTTGCATAAAATTCGAGGATTTCCATCTCGTAAAGAGGTTGAATCGATTTGTCTTTTTAGATCAATCGTGACTAACGAATATCTTCGCTTAATTGAAAACTGATATTATCTATGTACAAAGTATTCAACTACGTAATTGCTTGCATCGATCATCCGGCTCATTAACCCCACCTACCACTTGCCGTAAAGGATGGAGTAGATCGCGGGGTTATCGCGAGCGAGAAAAAAAGTGAAAACTTAGCTGGAAAGGACGGACTGCCGAAAAGTAACTCATGACACCACTACGTTTCAAGGTTTAACGAAAAGCCGCGACAACTATTATTCCACGAACTCAATTTGATCTAGTCGATTCAGTTAATCCAGACCGGCGGGAAATAGTCTGCGCGCTAGTCGAACAACCGATTCCATCGCTCAACATCTACGCATCTACTGATAGCCGTATACAGCTATATACCTCATAGGTACAACAGATACAGATACAGATACAGACACATACATACGCGGGCGCATAGACCATTAGGATGGGCGCCTCAACCGACCAATCTCGGTTTTCGAATCTTCGTTCTCAGGCTGAAGTCTTAGATGGGGATGATGTACTTCGTCACCTGAGAGACGAATTTCGAATTCCCAGCAAAGCCGACATCAAACGAACGACTCTCGAGGACCAGCAGCAGAAAGAAGGTGAACTGCCTTTTCCGGTCTGTCTGTCAGCAACCGAGAAAAACACATCGCTCACATTGAACTTCCGTAGATCGTAATAGTAACGATCCCGATCCCGCCCCAATCCCAACCGATGAAACGACGACATGTACATACCTCTGCGGGAACTCCCTTGGATTGCAACCCAAAAGGACGGCAACTCGCATTAACCAGTATCTCCAAACCTGGTCCACCCAAGCCGTCCAGGGCCATTTCAAGCCACTAAGCGACTCTCCTTTACCAACATGGCTTGACGCTGACTCCCGAGCTGCCAAATTGATGTCCCCCATCGTCGGAGCGGATGAATCGGAAGTGGCGGTCATGCAGACCCTGACGGCCAATTTACACTTATTAATGTCAGCTTTCTACAGACCCGATCCAAACGGGAAGCATAAGATCATATTGGAGAATAAGGCCTTTCCGAGCGATCATGTAAGGGATGGTCCGCATGACGACAGAAAATTGTGCCTTCGCTGAGACGTCTTAGTTCGCCGTACTGAGCCAAATACGCCAACATGGCCTCGACCCAGCTACCTCTATGGTGACCATAGAGTCTCCTTACTCGGAGGATTCTCTTCTCACCACCTACGATATTCAGTCCGTCATCTCGAAGCATGCGGCAGATACCGCTCTAATCCTGCTACCTGGTATCCAGTACTATACTGGTCAGCTGCTGGACATACCAACCATCACAGCGTTTGCGCACAAGCACGACATATTTATCATCTGGGATTTAGCGCACGCGGTGGGCAATGTCCCGCTCCACCTTCACGATTGGGACGTAGATGCCGCGGCCTGGTGTACGTACAAGTATCTCAATGGAGGGCCGGGCTGTATCGGAGGCATGTTCATAAATTCACGTAATAGCCTGGTTTCAACGACCATAGCCGACCCTGAACCCGAGAGGGGCTACGGCAAGCGACTTTCAGGCTGGTGGGGGAACGACAAGGCCACTCGTTTTCAGATGGAAACCAAGTTCCATCCCGTCAAAGGAGCAGCCGGGTTCCAGCTGAGCAACCCTAGCATCCTCGACATCACGAGCCTGAGCGCGTCGCTTGAGGTTTTCGAACTCGCGGGCGGCGTCTCGGCACTGCGAGAGAAGTCCATGAAACTCACTGCCTTTCTCGAGCAATCTCTGTCTGCCTTATCGGAAGACGCTAAGAAGCTCTTCAGGATAATCACGCCGTCTGACCCAGACCAGCGCGGTGCTCAGCTGAGCATACTACTAGATGACGGCCTCCTAGGTCCGATCATGAAGGAGTTTGAGAAGATCGGCATCGTCGTAGACGAGAGAAAACCGAACGTTATTCGAGTCGCCCCCTCGCCCTTGTACAATTCCTTTGCCGAATGTGTCACGTTCGCCGAAGGTCTCGAAGCAGCGTTGCTCGCGACGCAGAAATAGTTATACGTTAGCCTTTGTTGGTGGTAAATTAGGAATTTTCTAGACTCTCTATTGCACCAAGTTGGATCTCATTGTGTACCCAAGGGGACGAGACGCAGACTGTATGTAAGTTATGGTATAGAACAGGAAGCGTAGCGACTCGAATGATATTTTATTGCCCATTTAACTAGAAAACTAGAAGTCCATAAAGATCTAACAACTACTCATACCGATGGAATCAATATAGTGTTTTTGTAGGTATCAACCTCTTGAAGGGTGCTTCCTCCTTTTTGCATCACTTATTTATCCCTCTTATGCTAACTAGACGAAGGAAATTTATAGGTAGTTTCGCGCATCAAATAGATCAAATATTATTCACTACGCATCATCAGCAACAATTGGGAGAACCTTTTTATTCCGCGTCGATCCTGCAACACGAGGATAATATGTCGAGGCAAGCTCTGAACACTGCTATATGACAACAATATCCTCCCTTTTCATCCCATAGTAACCCATACAGTTCGTAACTCTTACATGAGCAAGTAGCATACATGAAACCTCTGGGGTACGTGAAAAAACATTGACAAAATAGGAAAATTTGAAAGAAAAAAAGAACCTGTTAAGGCGAATCTGTATCCAGTACAGCAGACATCCGCGCATTCCCCCTGCCTTCCCAAGACCTGTCGTGTCGTACCCCCTTCCAATCCTATCATCCATCACTCTCCAATCCTTCCTATCGAAACCACCAACCCCCTTCTGGTTCAGGGTCCGGACCAGATCTTCAGCTTAGCACCAATTGATCTAGGTAGGTACTTAAGGGTCCATAGGAACCGGGTTCGTGGCCGTGCTGCCGTCCGGGGTGAGAGGGACGATGGTGTGGAAGGTAGGCGGGTTCGGCCTCTCGCCCGAGACCACCTGCCTCGGCTCGAGGAACGGGAGCGCGGCGCCGCCCTTGGCTTCTCCGCCTAGGCCACCGGCGCCCATTCCCTCACCGCCGAACCCGAAGCCGGGGGCTTGAGTCGGGACCGGTGCTTCTTCTCCGCCTGCGACGGCCGGGGCGGCCGTGGGACTGGAGCCGAAGTTCGGGAGCGAGGGTACGGCGGGGAGGCCGGGGACCATGGGGCCGGCTGGGGCGGGGGCGCCGCGGACGGCGGTGGCGAGGAGGGCGAAGAGGGCTAGGGCGTTGGAGAACATTGTGATTGTCTTGGTTGGTTGATTGGAGGTAAGTGAACTTGGTTGAGAAGGTTGATTCCTGGGCTAATGAGGGTATGCCGGTGAGAGAAGCAGATTGGAAATGAGTGTTTTAAGCTGTTGATTGGTAGTGAAAGGAATGTTGTTGTTGTTGCTGGCTGAGACACATTACCTAGATGTCGTTGACGACCCCTTTATATAGAGAATTTGTTCATAGTAGTCGTCGCTTCGCCGGCTATTGCGGTTCGCCGCGACGTAAGGGGAGTGGGCGAGATAGTTTCACGTTGAAGTGTTTGTTCTGGTATTTACTTTTTCCTAATTAGAGAGCGGCACGCTATAATGCAGGCACGGAGCGACCCGTCAGATCTCACGTTCAAGATGTTGGGTCAGATGTGATGTTGGTGAAATCTCATACGATGTTCAGTATAGCGCCTTTCATGTTGGTTACACGATTCAGGGGTCGCATGCCAACCCGATCTCCCCGGAGAACCTATTCATACAGAACGCATCCCGTCAAGCGAGTTTGGTGGAAATAATAATACATCTTGCTCAAGTGAGCCGCAATCCCATCCAATCCTAGACTGATCCGCTCAATCGGGTCAGGGGCCTTTTCGGTCCAATATCATGTACGCCCGGCACCTTCCTGTCGTCAAATCGTTATTGTCGGGGCCGACTATGCTAAAAGCCTCGCAGAAAATGTTAGTCATAACTCATTTCTCAGTCCGCAGCGTCGTAAGTACGGCCGCTATAACTCCGTCCTTCATTAAACTAGCCTGATCTCGTTCATATCCCCAGCCCGACAAGCCGAGCCATCCATCCAAGGTGCGACGAACGCAGAGCATATGACTTCATAGTCTGCGTTGAACCAGTTCTTCACCTTCGGATCCGTCGGCCTCAGCACGAGCGGTGCCGGCAACCCAGCCACGAGGGCAAGCCGATCTCCCACCGCTGCGCCCTTGGACCCGCACCCCACGACGTTCTCCGACGCTACGAACAACCGTCGCTCATTGCGCGCGAGATCGTTAACGAGCTCGATGAAAGTCTTCAGGACCTTAGTATCGCGACCTAGAGCCCGTGCCGTGCCTATGCGGGCCTCGTACGAGTTGCAATTCTCGACGCCGTAGCTCTCCCTCGACCACGCGAACACGTCGAGCACTTTCTCTACCGCGCAGAAGGTTTCGCTGGTGCCGTATGTGGCCGTCTGTTGCGTGAGCGCGAAGTACGCGTCGAAGAGATCCGCGTCGTCGCCGGGTTCCAGGACCGTCGTGGTCAGGCTGCGTTTGCCGGTGAGGGCTGTGTACGTGGCGCCGCTGGTTTGAAACATCGAGACGCGGGGGCGTAGCGGGCGCGAGGTAAACGCGACGATGCACGTCCAGTCTATGAAGGAGGCGATGGGGCCGCGAGGTGCCGCCAAATACTGCAGGATGTCGTTGTACATGAGGTTGTTGGGCACCGCGTGGAACACGTCGGTCACGTAGGTGATAGAGCCGTCCCAGTGCCCGCGAATGACGAGCTCGTTTGGCTTCGCGGTGAACCGTACGTACTCCTCGACCCCCGGCGTGGCATCAAACTTCCTGTCTTTCCCGCTCAGGAAGAAATTCGCGGAAACCGTGGGCTCGGGAAGCGGGCTGCTCCAGTCCGGTACCCAGCTCGGGGCGTCGCGCATATCTGGGTTGTCCTTCAATCTCGCTCCGGCGTCGAGTAGCAAGGTCATGCTCGATTTCTGCCATCTCATTATGTCTTGGAAAAATTCATGGTAGATTATTCCTTGGGGCTTGCTGTAGTCAGGCCGTGGCAGATCGCTTAGCCCAGATCGCTCTAGCACACCGTAAAGCGCGAAGACTCGATCTTTCGGGTTCGTGGCTTGGCGCTGTCTGAGCGTCTGTATGACGCCTTCGACGAGGGTGCGTGTGATGCGTGTGTCGCTGTATTCGTCGGCTTCGCCGAATGATCCTTTCCGCGGGAGCCACCACCAGGACCAGCGCGTTAATATGTACTGGGCTAAGAGGAGGAGAGCCGTGATAAAGGCCCATGTGCCTAAAGCCGTGTCTGCGTTTTTAGAAGGTCGTGTGTTGTCGAGGTAAATTAGGACTGCGAGAGGAGGGATTAATATAAATAGAAGGGACCCGAAACTTGTGAGAGAATAGTAAATTCTTCCGAGCGTGGAGTGCGGGAGGAGAGAATCGTGGAGATTGATGTAGGATTCTTGAAAATGGTAAAATGATTCTGTCCATGGACCGGAGTCTATCGGTCTGTCTCTAAGCCCTGCCCACGACCTCGAAGTGCCCGTCCACAGCCGTACAACTCGTTCAAAAGCTCGAAATGTGTCTGGAAGATAGCGTGTTGACGGCGTCTGCTGTTCTTTTTCGAGAACAACGACATTATGCGCATTGCTGTAGTGAGTGAGCCTCGTAACCGGGGTTATGGTTCTCGCTCTGGAGCTATTATACAGGCTTCCAAATCCCCTCATAAACTCGATCCACGGGAGAGAATCAGAGCCGCATACGAAAACTGAGTTGCGAGCCAGGATTATCTCTTGGAATGTCCAGGCTCTTGAGAACCAATCTCTGCCGAGGAGCTCCTCGAAGTCTTCAGGTTTATAAGCGCGCCGGAGTCTGAATTCTTTCCAGCCATTGTAATAGGATTTAAAGAAGATATATGGAGGAAGTAATTTTAGAGCGAATTTAGCTCTATCGGACCGGCTCGCCTTTCTGTCGACGCTATCTGGATCCAGAGGCAAGTAGTTGCGCTGCGCTGCTAGAGAAAGACAAGATATGGCGCGTTTGCTTGCGAGAGAGCCGTTGCCGAGCCAGATGTAGACCATCTCCGCTCGACTGTAAATCTCCCCCATGAGGGGTATTTGGTCTTCTTTTTCTCTGTCATTCCCTTGGTTGATACAGATAGCATCGACCCATATGGTCAGCTTGCCTTTAGTATTCATCCGCAACTGTCGCAGCGCATCTCTGCAATTCGTGGTGATTGGTATCCTATCCGTTCCACATTGGATGGTGTCCTTTGGGGTAGAATAGCCTCCCCACACATAGGAGAGGGCAGTGAAGGGGTTGTCGAAGACCCGATCTAAAGAAATTACCTGTATATAACTAATGAGAGGATCCTCCAAGTTGGCGGAGCCTTTGATGTCTAAGACCCTGATAAACTTAGACCGCGCAGGCAATGGTAGAGCATCGTAGATTGTGCCGCCTGCCGCTGGCATTGTTGACGGTTGTTGAATACGATCGTCGAATTGCTGGTCTGATGTTCCGCAGAGAGGTTGAAGTTCAACAGTTGCGCCGTCGTCCATACCAATTATTTCCAATTCTTTTATATTCTACCATTCTCACCGACACCGAAAATATTATAATTATAGTCAAAAAGCCCCCGAAACATAGTATTGCACAGGCAGTGATAGTTTTTAAAAAAAGTAGAGAGCGAGCCTTGAGACGAGATGGAACACGTTGGGGGCCATTTTCAGCTTTCAGGATGCGTTAAGCGCCCTGGCGATTTCAGCTGAAGCTATTTTTAGGCTGCGATTATCCAGTCGCCAAAGACGTGATGGTAATAGGCGCGAAGGAAGAGGAGTCGCTTAAAGTCTTCATTATACCGCATCATTATAGCTTCAATAGATGTTTACCTAACTACCAGGCGCCTTTATGTTGAAATCGTTCTAAGCAAGATTTAATAGAAGATGAAAAGGCTGATCAGAATAATTACTAAGAATTTATTCAATTGGATTATTCCGCATATTACATAGTGTTAATACTGTTATGCACAGTATTATTCACTGAGGAATAATTGCTGTTCCCCCAATTCAAGACATATGAAGTATCATCGAATGGTTCATGTACGTAAGCCTTTTCCTGTTGCGAATGATTCTCGGTTACATTTAGTCAGATGATCAATATTCACATGTATTTGGAGAAATCAAAACAGGTTTCATTCGTGGAGTTTTCATAGGACCGCTTCTATGGGATCTCGCGGTGCCTGGATTGTTACGTGAGCTTGTGTGTGGAGAAGATCGTTCCTGGACTAGGTTCCCCGCAAACAGGATTTCGTAGGTATTTGGAGATGGGAAAATCGACTCCACGGAGAATTACAAATGCATTTATATGGTGACATCGAGCCATCGTCGGCTTCGATCGACCGAGCAGAGCTTCCTTGGCAGCTACCACAACATACCTATTAAAGGCATCATGGCTCTCAAAAAGGATCATAGGTTGCCAAGAAGTTCGCACGCCAAGTCATCACAGCGACTCATCTCCAAAGCCGTCAAGGCTTAGTCGAGGAAGAATAAAGGCACGATGAAGACTGTAATCGTATCAGCGCTCCTCCTAAGGGCTTCGGTAGAGGCTGCCCTCTATAAGTCGAAAACACCGCCGATGGGATGGAACAGTTATAATTATTATGGCTGTAACCCTACCGAGGACATTATGCATACCAATGCTCAAGGACTTGTGGACCTGGGTTTGGCCGACTTGGGGTACGAATACGTGACGACAGATTGTGGATGGATGGCAGAAGAGAGAGATTCTGAAGACCGTCTGCAATGGAATACCGACCTATTCCCATCCGGAGGAGTGGCTTTAGGGGATTTCATTCATGGCCTGGGCTTGAAGTTTGGTCTCTACTCGGGTGCGGGATATTACCAATGCGGCTCGACGGATCTGCCAGCTTCTCTCGGTACGAAGGTCGAGAACATTCCGGGTGCTTCGGTAATCGTTCTAATTCAAGTACAGGATACGAAGAGATAGACGCGCAGACATTTGCCAACTGGAGTGGTGATTCTTTGAAGTGAGTATGAAACTCCTGAGGATGTGAAGGCAGTTTTTCGAACTCAACTCTTACAGATACGATAACTGTTATGCTTCGTCCCCAACTATCGAAGCAGACTACACGTCAGCGGTGTCCACATCGCCGGCGCGTCACGAGAAGATGGCCGCTGTGTTGGATGGGGTAGACCGAGACATCGCCTATTTCATATGCCAATGGGGAGTCGGCGAAGATATAGGCGACTGGGCGCCGCCTATTAGCAACGTCTACAGGATCAGCAATGATATCTATAACGCATGGAGGAGCATATGGCGAATTACAAACCAAGTCGTTCCATATTACAGGTCGACTACGGTTGGTGCCTATCCCGATATGGATATGTTGATGTAAGCTCACATCCGCAAAGTCGCATTCGTCGAGATATTAACACATGCAGCGTTGGTCTTAACGCTCTATCTCTCCAAGAGGAGAAATTTCACTTCAGCATGTGGGCACTTAACAAGTCGCCTCTCAACATCGGAGCGCCGACAAGCACGAAGCTTACATCGGCCGCCTCTCTTGCTGTACTAAGCAACAAAGAAGTCATAGCGATCGACCAAGACTCTTTAGCAAAGCAAGCGCGGCTCGTCCGTCGGTACACCGAAGAAGAATGGGATATCTGGGCCGGCGAACTATCCGGATCGCGAACGGTCCTCGGCATCGCAAATTGGAAAAACGACTCGCAGACGGTAGAGTTCGATCTCTCGGTCGTGAACATCTCGTCTGCCAATGCTCGCGACGTCTGGGCAGCGGAAGACATCGGCGCAGTATCCGGCGTCCAGAGCTTCGAGCTTGCGGGCCACGAACTACGACTTCTTGTGCTGAGCGACATCATCGAGTCAAACGCTCTGCCCAAGTCGACGGGGAAGTATTACTCGGCGGCAAACGCCACTTTTGGTGGCAGCGCGCAAGAAGTTGATTGCGGTGCGGGTACGTGCGCGCCCAAGGGCAACAAGATTAGCATTCCTAGCGAGGGAGCCACCGCGACTTTCAACTCTGTCGCTGTAGGTTCCGCGGGAACGAAGCTGCTCGGGATTGACTTCATCAACTACGACGTAGCTCTCGACACCGCCTGGGGCTGGGGAACTAACACGCGCAATATGACGGTCGCAGTCAACGGAGGCACCGCTAAGAGATGGGCATTCCCTATCTCGGGAGGTGACTGGTATGAGTCCGATAGGATGCTCATCGAAGTGGACGGGTTTGTGGCTGGCGCAAACCAGGTTGTGCTCGCAGCATACGAGGCTTCGTCTGCTCCGGACATTGTCGGATTCGAAGTTTTTGAGTAGAGACCAGCCTTCTTAGTCGGTAGTATGGATATAGCTATAATAATTTACCCACCCCAGGTCATAGCTCGGCATAGTTCGGCAACCATATTATCGATTGAAGGTTTAGTGAAGTCATCCTTGATCTAATGTCTAATATGAGCCCCAAAAAACTAACGGTATCGATCCTGCCATTATAGCTCATAGTGTAGGTGGGCTGAATGAGGAGTCGATGAAGACGCGTCCATTGCGTGTTTTCAACCTTGAGCTCTTCCCTCCAAGGTTCGAATTTGATGATCAGGAGAGTGATCTACAAGAGGCTGTGAGATCTCAACCCAAAAGGGTGCTTAGAGCTGCTTAGCCACCGCTCATCACCAAATCCACCAAAGCCCAACACCCAATGAAAATTGGACGGATGCTAAAATGGCGCGTCCAATAAAAAGCAATCAAATTATGTTCATGCGCCCAATGAAATCACAACGCCATGATGAATTTCGACGATGACGAAAGCTTATCCTTACTACATCTTGCAGCTCGGATCGACCGTGTTAACTTTGTCGATAAATTACTCGGGGCCTCTACTTGCGTAATCCGAAAAGCCACGCTGCCACGACGGTCAGGACGGTATAGACATCAACATCGGTAACAAACCGCGGGCTTATTCTCCTGACGATCGCTAACCTGTCGCCTTTGTGTGACGAAGAGACGGCCGGCCGCATATCAGCTGCAAGGAAGAGCATACCTCTATGATCATTGGTGCCACGTATGGCGAAAGCACAGGGCACTTTGTCCTCGGTCTCCTCAAGATTTATTTTCACCCGTTATAGCGCGCATCATCGGTAATAAGACCATGTCACTTGAATAGGTAGGTATGTGCCCTGGCATACTAAAAGCAATGACACACAGTCCCCGGACTTGTACGACGTCGATAATAGCAACCTGTGACTGTATTTGACACAGGCAAAAGCTGTTAATGATAAAGCCGTTGCAGTATATGCTTTCAAAGCCTTAATCTTTGGCAGAGATGGCGTTTCGGGTAAGCTGGGGATACCTAATTGAAGATTGTTATGCGCTGGGATTGGACTAGGAGGCACCATTCTATAATAGGTCCAATGGGAACAGAGGTGGTGATTGATGTCGACGACATTGTTCATGTGGGTTTAGAGATACGCAAGCTTCAAGAGTTTGCAGAGGTAAAAATCATCATTTTTTGGGGGTGTCATTAGAAGGTGAGAGTGAAGGATTAGATGAGGTTGTACGAAGTATTAGGCAAGTGGTCTCCAGGCTTACCTGCTTTACCTAGAGTTGGCAGTGCTAGGGGGCAGTGAGCACAGCGAGTTTAAAAAAGCGGGGTACGGATGACACGCAAAACTTAGCCCTCAGCCTCAATCTCCGTCCTTTTTTTTTCTTGAAGTTCAACCGACATTCTCAATCTTAAACTTATCGAAGACGGCAAGTTTACAATAGATATGATGGGTTCGCAACAGACTAGTAAGGCGGGTTATCCATCTTGGTATCATGACACTTACTCTGTAAAAACAGACCAGGCCGCCGAGGCGCTATGGCCGTGCTTGGCCTCACCGAGATCCACATCCCCGATATCTCCAAGTCCGAATCCGAATCAGGACCCGGATATCCCCCGAAGGCGTATAACTCTACCAAATAACATTGTCGCTCGAGATTCGACTCACGCTCACGGAAATGCCCAAGAAAGACAAAGCGTCAGTTTGGAATTCGGTTCACCTCCCGTTATGCGAGACGAAGAATGGGGACATAATGGACTCATCCACAAAATGATTCCTGGCGTCTATTTCGCCATGTTCTTATCAATTATCGGATTGGTATCTGTTATGATTCTTTTCTGGTGCTCGCGTATTCACACTGGTACTTGCTCCCAATGCTATTTTTATTGTTATCGCCTTTCGCAATATTTCTTGACGCTTGCTTTCCCTATGATGATATTTCTGTTCTGGATTTTACTTAGGATGGCTGGAAATGGGGGGATAATGAAGTTGGAACTTCGGAAGAAGGTCATTGCCATGCTAATCTGTTTCGCATCCTGGACTTTCTTTCTCTGCATATTTTATTACGCCATCCCACTTATCAGTGAACCCTGGACGGACACTCGTCATGGTGGCTCTTTCTCACCATGGGCTACCGGACCTGTGCCTCTGTCTCCCAGAGGATGCGAAAGTCGTGTAGGAAAACAACAATCTTCACTCTTTGCTGAGGACATCTACCGGGTACAGTTTCTTAGGGTCTTCGACTTCAGTGATCCTAGTGATCCACCAAACTTCTCATGCCCCAAATTCGGCCTGGGGGAATTCCTCAACATCAGTTCTAATCAGGAATTGTGTGATCAGGGATTTGAAGGTAATAGCGATTTATATGGGCTCGGAGTTCGCTTCGGCATATATATACAATGGATTGCGTCTATATTGTCGAATAACTTCCTGTCGGAGAGCCGCAAGGAATTCCAAAAATTCTATCTGATATTCTCACTGGCAATATGTACCGCCACTTTCGTGTCATCCTTTGACGAAGCGTGTATTTTCGGGATCGAGATTGAAATCCTCTACTGGTTCTATTGGGGAGGCTCCCTATGTGTCTTTGCTTTCTCGCCAAACGAAGTACCACTTGGGGATCATGCCCAGTGGATCGGTCTAGAATGGCACAGAGCAATTCAATATCTGACACATATTATGATGGCATATCATGGAATCTTCTATTGTTTTTATGGCTACGACCAGTTTTTCGCTCGGATGCCATGTGGAACATATCACTTCTTCTTCGCACCAGTTTTGGACCCAAGCAAAAGCTTTTGCGACCTCCGAGACATCTTTTCTATATTAATCATGCCTCTTCTCCCCCCGTTGGTTCCACTTGTTCCCACAGTTGGCTTTCTCCTGATTCCAGAAATCAACACTGCTATTCGGGACTCGGTTGTGTATCGGCTGTTCTTCTCAGACTACGACCAGTTGCAGACCGCAGAATCCAATGCATCTGATGATCCGCTAAAACTAAGCTCGAGAATCTTTGCACAAATGAGACAGTTCCGGCACAGAATCAAATTGGTTTATCGCCGAATGCGACAACGTTGTCATCTTCCTCCGCATGGAGAACGTGGTATCCGCCTTGTTACTCCTATTTAAGTGAAAAACCACAGGTAATTGTGTGGTCGTTATCTTGATTATTCACCGCTGACATCCCTAAAGAAGTTATCGTATACCTTATGGAATACTTGGTCTGATATCATTTATCGTATCCATAACAGCTATCGAGCTGATTTTGAAGTGGAATAGGATAGTCGACGTATCCTCTCTCACATCGCCAGGGCAATATGTTCCTTTGACTACAGGAGTCGCTACTTTAATTTCCTTCATCTGGCAATTAATAAAGCAGGAAGGGGTGAGCACATATCCATCTACATACATATCCTTTCTTTCCACGTACTTATCTGCGACAGATTCGCCGTCTTTAAATAAGCTTCGAGATCCATTAGTTAAGATTCTAGCTATAGAATTATTTAATCTCACGGGCATGCGCATTGCTACCATGTTCGATATTAAAAAACATTAAACTTTTATTTTTGAAACGATATTTTTTTTATAAACCTGAAATATTATAATTAAATAATAATAATTTACTTAGAAAAAATACCCCCGATTTTTTTATTCGAAGCTTGCGACGATATATATAATAACAACGAATATACTTAAGTATTCATATCAATATTTTTGCTCCATCGCCTTAACTTTCGAAAGATACATACGTACCGTCATTTATAGATTAATGAAAGACGACATTGGGAAAGTTCCAAGAAAAAACACCCTTCACAACTAATCAAGCTTTTTTAAGATATTCTGACTATTTTTTATATATATTAAACGCGACCGTATCTCCTTCCCTAATACTTCCCCCTCTAAGTACAAGGCACATAGCAGATCAAAATTATCACTATGCTAGATCACCATTACCTCCTTCCGAAGATGAAAAGGCTTATCAGAACTCCTCCTAAGCAGACTACGAAGCCCAAATTGTAGGATTTGAAAAATATGGCTTGTTGGCTCAATTCGACCTCTGACCATCTCTTATCCATAATTATTCGCAGCACGTCGATACCGGAGAAGCGAGGTTGGAAATATGTTTGAATAGCGTTCTCGTAACCTATAGAGGCTACTTCGGTTCGATTCGGCGAGGCTTGGCTACCTAATCAATCGGGGAATAATTCTGTCGTAGGAGATGTGTCTCGCCAAGGGCCTCTGAGTTAACCGTATAATTAGATCGATGGACGAAGTCTGTTGTCTCTCATCCTTCCATACCGACTTCTACGGTCGTATAAGCGGGTGAACGTGTCAAAGTGATAAGCTCGTAGATATGGGCCTTGGTCACAGTTCCAACCACCAAGAAACATCCGCCGCATTTCTCTGCCATGGGATAAATTCGAGTAGAACTGTTGGAATCTCTGGACTCAGTCCAACCGGGGTACACGAAAATCTTGCACGGTTCTTCCCGTCATTATTCTACGGACTTTTGATGCGATCAAAATACACATGGGCGCCTCTCCAGCTCTCCTTAAGGGGCGTAAAATTATTCATTCGTCGCTGCTTTTCTGCAGTGTGCCATTTGCGGCCATTTTGACAAGGGGTTGTCATGAAGTTTAGCTGCATGAGTCGGAAATTTGCTCAGCTGCGGAGGAGATTGATGGAATGTGCGGTCAAGGAGCCCCCTAGGAAAATAGGGAAGGCTGAGCTATCCCAGGTGATTTTCGATCCATACCGACGACGGCGACTCCTATGCCTTCCCTTTTATGATTTTCCATGTATCTGGCAAAATATTCTCTACCTGATTTTCCTGTGTTACTCAGGTCCGTCTTGACTGGAAGACTTGCTAGAACCAATAATGACAGCTAGGGCAGTAATTCCCAAGTCTTGCCCTAACCTAAACGAGTAGGGAAATACTCATATCATATTGTTTCCGTCATTAGCTGCTTGTGATAAAACTCTTGGTGTATTGCGATGTGGTCTCGCTCGGTCGCCTCAGGGGTTCAAGACACAGCCATCTGTATGAGCAATGTCGTCAACATTCGGACCTATTTACCCAATTAAGGGGGTAGAGCTGCAAGTTCACGAATCTGAGTACAGCGCAGGAGCTAAGATTTTTCTGGAACGTTTTTGCGGGTTGGTACCCGTCCAATTTTATTTGGAGCTCACAAAGTTTGGAACGACTAAACCACGGTCATTGGGATTACGTACGCATTCAAGTCAATCATTTCTATGGTACGATGAGCGATCTTCTAGTGTGTTTCCTGTAAGAAAAGCGGACTCCCAGCGCTGGCTGCTCCTCTACCGTACTATTGGGCCCGTTCCCCATCCCTTACCTCCACATACACCTCGGTACACATGCAGAAGTTCACAATTCGATTTAGGGGGAGAATAAGCTTTTTTCCAACTGCCGAATCCACGAGGTGCTTGACAGGGTGGGTTGGTGTGTCATTAAGCTTTTACAACTACAAATTACTATTGGTTTCCAAGGGATCCAGAGTACTTGGGAGTCTAGATTTCTATCTCCTAGGGTGGATGTGTCCTCGTGGTATGGATGATGACAGTATACTACTACACGATAGAACATATCATCTTGTAATAGAAACGGTCATCGTTACATCTATCACATCTCGTATTGCGTGAGCTGTATGAGCACTATATGTCGTCTTGCTTCCTTCGAATGTCATCATCCTCTCATAGCTGTGAAGGGCGACGTGTCCACGGTGATCTCCTTCCTTCTTGAAGGAATTTTCGTATTTTGCTTTTCGACGTACGGGCCGCTTGGACTTTGACCTACAGCTGCTAAGTTTCCATTTTATTAACTTCACCGCCACGATCAAGGAACTCACGGATATCTCGTCTCCTGACTAACGGGTCATCGAGAGGGGAAGGCTGGTAAGGCAGTCTTGCATGCCTTGTGTTAATCCATTACGGGAATCGATAATATAAAAAATGAGCTCAACGTACGCGTCTCTTAGAGTTCGAGATGCAGGTACCAAGGATTCTTGACGGCTGTGGCAAAGTCAGATCCGGTGAGGCCTAAAGTCACCTGGCTGGGGCTAAGCTTGTGATTTGCTGAACGGATCATCTATCCATGTTCACTCCTCATCCTCGATTTGAAGATCTGAGGTAGAGTACCAACCCGTAGGATTTGGGCCATATGAGCTGGCCGTTTGACTGCCGAAACCCTCTACCGCGCGTCGCCAACAAATCTCAGTCATATTACCTATACTCTTCTAGTGAGATCTTCGGTTTCGAGATTTTTCCATGGATATGTTTGATACTAGTTAAGGGGGGAGCAAGACGCAATAATAATTCTCCATATCTTGTTTATGATCCCGGTGACACTACGGCATGGACTCGGGCCTAGCCCTGCCAGGTGCCTCCCTGGGGTGTCCGGAGATCGAACGGCAATGTGAATCTGATCCCGGGTGTGCCTGTCTGTACGTCCGCCCCCAAGGAAATGACCCAATCATGCGACGTTGTCATTGTAAGTTTTAGGTAACTCATGCCATTACTTGGCAGGTACCGATTTGAGTCGTGTCGAGTATCATGTCTACCGAGAGCGGAACTAGCTTGTTGTGTTGCTAGTGCCTCACTTTAAAGTAAAATAGGAGCTTTCTCCAGGCCAAGGGCCGTCAGACCCGGTCGGAATAAAGAGCTAACCCTTCTCCAGAAGCGCAGGGGTAGAGCTGTCAAGCTCATTTGGTACTAATCCACCGCAGCTAGTGAAACGGCATATCCAATCTGGTGTCTTCAGATTGAGATTTAAACGCGTACTTGTTTGGACATTGCCTGAATAGGACTGGACTAGGGCTGGGCTCGACCGGGGTCGTCGAGGAATGGGCGGTAGAAGACGTTAAAATTAGCTTGATTATTAGCAAGGGTTCCGGCATTCAAGACGCAGGACACGCAAGCTCTCCCAAGCCAAGATCCACCCTGGCCGCAGTCGTCCCCACAAACGAACAACGACATCACCCTATCTTATGTCGTGAGCTCAGGCTTGAATGGGTTGTTCCCCTGCTAAGCAATAAACGCGGCGTCGTAAGCTGTGACAAAACGGCTGAATTCGATTCTTTTCTGACATGTTTCGAGGTAGCGTTCGTGAAGATCGGCCTCCGGCACAGGGCTGTGGCAGGGCGACGTCAATTTACATCATGTAATGAGAATTAACCACATGCCGTTGCCGTGAAGGGGTTCATTTCGCAGACATGGAGTTGTCTTCACGATGGCAATAAACGTGTAGTAGGGTGCGCATTGGGCAATGGAGATCATTGATCTTCGTATGGATCTCTGAGGGAGGATGACGACGCGGATAGCTCAGAGACAATCACATCATCAGTGCTCAATAGATGGAAATTGATCTTTGTATGCCCTCATCGATGCGTATAAAGTCCTGAGTTCCCAGACTCATTCATCTCGATTTTTTTCTTCTCCTCATCAGCAACCACAACACTGAGTGTCCAACAACAGCTGTAATCTCAATAATCACAAAAAAACAATTTTACATCTTAATTCTTATTTACCTAGTCTTGACGACGACAAAAAATCCGACAATATGAAGTTTTCAGCTGTCGCCACTACCCTCCTGGTCTCCATGGCCGTCGCCATGCCGGCTGACCACCCGCCGAAGCCGAACACCCCTCACCCCCCGCATCCTCCGGCAGTCAGGGACGACGCCCACCATCCGCCTCACAAGGGCCAGGTCCCGCCTCCTCACCCGCCCCCTCCGGCCGTGAAGCGCGAGGACGACAAGAAGCACCCGCACCCGCCTCCTCCCCCGCCTCCGGCTCCCAAGAAGTCGCCTCCCAAGGAGCGCCGCGGCGGCCCCAAGCCCCCTCCTAAGGGCACTCCCCCGCCGCCTCCTCCCCCGGGCAACAAGCCTCACCCGCCCGAGGCCCGGGACGCTCCTCCCCCGCCTCCCCCTCAGGGCGGTGCTCCTCCCCCACCTCCTCCCGCCAACCAGCCGCATCCCCCGGCTCGTCGCGGTGGCCCGAAGCCGCCCCCAAAGGGAGCCAACCCTCCCCCTCCCCCTCCGGGAAACAAGCCTCACCCTCCTGAGGCTCGGGATGCTCCCCCACCACCTCCCCCTCAGGGTGGTGCTCCTCCCCCACCTCCCGTCAACCAGCCGCACCCTCCGGCTGCCCGAGGTGTCCCTCCTCCTCCCCCTCCTCCCCCTCAGGGACCTCCCCCACCTCACGCTGCTCGAGGTGTTCCCCCTCCTCCTCCTCCTCCCCAGGGCCCTCCCCCACCTCCCGCCGGCAAGCCCCACCCTCCCTCTAACTAGAGCGGGTTCGGCATCGCGGGCCAGAGAGGCAAAGGACGAGTTTCGATTCCGTCGCCACCTTCTTCGGGAGCAAATCCGGTGACAATGACGACAAGTGATGGATGATAGACGGGTTGCTTCGGTTTACTCTTTGGACACTCAGCGGAGGACAAAAAGGTGGTTGCAGAAAAGAGGTGGTTTTTGTTGGAAGCTGGCAGCCATCGCAGGCAATGGTCTTTAATTTGGAGGAATTTGATTTACAGTACAGAAAACGCCTAAAAACTAAAACATAGTGTCCGTTCTTTACTAGGCTGGCTTAAGCCACTCTTAATATTAGTCTTTATTTTCTTTGCTTTGGATTCCGCACTATGGTGACTCGCTATGCAACTATTAAATGTGCTTTTGGGAACTTTTTGATTGCTATCTCGGCATATTCATAAATATAAAATGGGGCAATAACATAACCTCTTTTTAAAGCTTCTTAAAGTTTCTCATTCTAACAAACTCTGAAGAGAATTGAGTTTCTATTTAATATATATATGTAATCATCAAAGGACCTGAGTTAGGTTAAATTATGTAACCCTTCAGGGGCATTGTTAAATGTTTAATTGTGAAAGATTAAAGGGGAATCTCGTCATAAATGAAAGTATCTTAGGACGGTCCATAACTATTAGATGACTGCGATTTATATAGAAAAATGAATAAGCGAAGGAACTATTGTTGTTTTGATGCAGAGACTAGATGTACTTGGAACTATGCGGTGGTGAACTCCACGGTTTGAAAAGGGGTATTTGATACACCATTCCCATAACCCGGCCCAAACAATTTTATTTTATTTTGATGGAAAGCTGCGTACCTAGGTCGTTAGGGGACTTAGCAGAATCGAAAACAATCAGAAATCTCTCAAATCATCGGAATCAGGAGATAGCTACCTACCTGGGTAGGCATCCATGGAGTCATAGGTTCAACAAACCAAAGTCGATCTCATGTATAACGTTTCGGATATAAGAAAACTCGAAGGTATTCGTCTTCTTAGTTGTGTGATTATTACCTTTCAGACTGAAGACGGATCTACTCGCATTTAGTCATCCCTAGCTAGATAATCCACGTCCAATAATAGGGGCCATGTGACGGACTAGCTATATCGCCTGCAATAGATCGCGAGTTGTCCGACTTGTAGATTCTCGTCTTTTGGTGGTTTGGATCAATGGGCAAGTGGGACTATCAAGCATAGGGCTCAGTCCCTACGTCCTAACAGGCCATAGTCCAAAAATATGATGTATCAAGTAAATATCCTAGGGGTATAGTCCTTTAAGCTGTAATAGTGAGATTTCCAATACACCAAATTTCACCCAGTGACTCATCTCTATTAATTACCTTTACTAGATCAAGAAGCAAATCCGAAACTACATTCCATATGCGTATGTTACACTACTTTGGTAGGTAGGCATGTGGCTAAACTAACAGATATTAGATTGATACCTACTTTGAAGATATATCATATCATTTTCTATGGTTTCCAATAAGATATCTCCACGTCAACTACACTACCAATAATGGTGCCTCCGGAGTTATGAGGCCCAGCTAGCCAAAGTCTCCGATACTTTAACGAAGTAAACGGAGGCTCCGACTGGATATATCAAAATCGGACGGTTTTATCACCTACGTCGAATGTGATCGGAGATATGCAAACACTCCATGACACGAGAAAACACCGATTAGTAATCATTCGTTGCCAAAGTGACTATGAATAGGTTGGTAATCGGATGTTATGGTGTAGCTGCCTAAGAAGAACGTAATAAAGAATGTACTATATGCAACTTAGTTACATACGAGCCTCTTCCATACCTCTAACGTGTAATTCTTTAGGGCCGACCTGGAACAAAACTAGTGGAGTTAATCGGATTTGGAATTATCCCATCGGCGGTGGAAAATTGATAGATTCCATTTCCCCGTATGTAGATTTCGGCACGATCGCAGCTTTGTGCCGTATGCAACCGTCGGCCTATCTACTCAGGTTGACGGGTGATCATCTTTAGCCCCCCCTTAAGACTTCCCCTAAGACTCCCCTAAGACCCCTAACACGAGTAAGCAAAGTGAGGTGGCTTAGCCAAACCCCGGTCCAGAATCTCGGTAAGGGAACCGAAAGATCCATGCCGAATCTATGCTGGATGATAGTTTAATCTCATAGATATAGCATCTAATCAACTAGGTGGGTAAGCTATGTGATGGTGGTACCTGACACCTGACATAGGCAGCTTATTTCCGAATGTCCAACGTCGTGAGGTCCCCGACATGATCATGTACGACCAGCTGGAGGCTCGTACTGACGTGCGTATATCCAAACGCCTTCGGAGTTCGGTTCTGTAAGACCCTGAGGCTGAGTCCGGGATTCTGTCGTGGGAATAAAGTAGCTGAGATAGAATGTGTGGTAACGTTCGTCGCTCGAACCACCACTTGAAAGTCCCCGAGTGGTCAAAAGTGGCTGCCTGGTTACCTACTTTTCCTCCAGGCAGCTAAGTAACGTTGCTCCGAGTCTCAGTAATTATACCGATAACTCAGCTACTGCTAATTAGTAGATTCGAATTCGATAGTCGACCTAAATATAAGACGAACAAGATATCGAAGCATGCTACCACTAGGTAGATGGGCCCGAAGGGTACTCGTTGTTACCTGCTGGCGACAGGTATCGTGTTCAAGAACACGCCTAGTCTAGGCGTAAGCTTACGAACGGTTGGGTGGATGGTAGCTGACCTGCAGACAAGTCATGACCTAACGGCGCTGTTAGGTAAGACTTGGATCTAAACTTGAGTCTATACATGAACTTAGCGGTGAAGGCTTAGGTGAATCAAGACATATGGTATTTTGATTCTGGTCTGCCTCGCAGTATCTATAATAGCCGTCAATCAGTCATGAAGATTCGGGTCGTCGAACGGCACGATCCGACTGGAGTCGCGTGGCAGGCGTAGCAAATTCAGAGAGGCGCAGGGACCAAGAGGCCGAAGCCAGGTGCCCGGATTCCAGTGACGATTTTGTGTAATCGAAAGCGATGGTGTGACGTATGGAGGGAGATATTGTATACGATACCTGTCTTACGACTGTACCTTGCTAAGTTTAATCTTAAGTCAGCCACCGCCTTTAATATCTTACTGGCTCCAGCGTACCCATAGAAGCTTGGCTAGTATGAATGGTCCAAGTATCACAAGGATCGTAGAAGACGCAGGAATATGAAGATATGCATCCGTGATTGTTGTAGTTGTCTTCGCCTAGCCAAGATCATGTTAACCGCGTTGATGTGTGCGAGCCCAAAAGCCCTTGCAGATGTTCGATACGTGGGGCAGAAGTAGGAACACGGAATGGAGATTGGTCAGATCGGACCTTACGATACCTACGCTCAGGCATGTGGGTGATAATAAATGGTAGGTACGGTAGCTACAATAGCGCAGTGCTACTGCCCGGAGTTAGAAGCTGCCCCGAACACCGGAGCCGACAATTGACAACTTCCCATTCATGGATGGGGTACGACCGGGATGACTAGAACCCCACCTGCTCACCCGCAGACATGTAGCACCCGGCGACAAAAAGGAATGGGAAACTGCAACTCTAATTGCTACTTCCATTCGTCGTTTCGGGGACCCTAGTCTCGGTACCTAAGTTTGGTACGAGGTAACTAGGTAGGCATCTTTTCCTTACAAACATGGCCTCGGCGATGCGAGATGAAAGGAGAGTAAGGTTCCTGAAAAGGACGAAAGAGAAGAGACAGTCATCGCTGCGGGTGACAAGAATTAATATCGACAAGGCTGATTTGAGCGCCTAGTTTCTCATTGAAACGGTCGAACGCGACACCTTGGGAGGTCACGGGCATGATCGCTTGCTTTTGCTCGTGTAAGGACGACTAAGAGAGCATCTGCTAAGGCGCAGACCGGTTACACGATAGAAATAAGAACATTATGTATGGCTTGTGTAACCGAACAATGTCTTGGGTCTGCTCAGCCATTGGTGCTCTGATATGCGGAGAGTTGGCGATTTCGGGCTGTGAGGGTTGCACAAAAGGATTTCGTTGAGCTGCTGAGAATGCGAATGTGAATGCGGGAACAAGCGAACCCTTGCGCAGCTGAGCTAGAGAAAATCAAGAGAAGTCGAAAATCGCGTGCTGAAAATAGAGCTCTCCGTCTCGAAACCAGAAAATAAATTAAGGGAAAAAGGTGATTAGAAAATAAAAATAAACATTATAAGACCAATACACTAATCATAATATAGGTCATTATAACCTATCCTCATCTTCCTTTTGTTACACAAATGAGAATCAGTGTAGAAATTGTTAACGTACTTTGAGGAGATGGCATCAGACAGCCGCGGAATCATGCCGAATCCTGCGTTGCGTGGGAGGTTTGTGTAACATTATATAAAGAGAGAAAGACGATAAGGAAAGGGATCAGCAAGTTGTCGAATGAGAAGGCGGAATCAACTCGGTTAAAACGCAGCCCCCTCGGTGATCCCATCGGTTCCGACACCAACCCGTGGAGAGAGAGCCCTGGATGTTGGCACGAAGTCGGTACCACACTACTGTACGACCCTCACATAGCGCCTAACATGCGCCTAGGTAACCAATTCAGCGCTAGATCCCCCTCGAGATCCTTCCGCGATTATAAACAATTGATTAGCTCGCGAACTCGCGTCTATCGCTCCCGAGCTGGCCACAGGAATCTTCTCGGCTTCTGGGTGTTGCCTTCGGGACCGGGGCTGACGTCCTTCCGCGTAGCACACACCAAGTTCCACGAGTCTTGGTATACCATCCGCTCGTCGTATTCTATTATAGCGCTGGCCATGAAACACCCAGAGGCAGGGCATTGGTTGTTTTTAAGGTTGTGGCTTGCTTTAGACGCAGTTACTAAGACATGAAATCATATCAGAAGTACTTTCCGCGAGCGCAAAAGTCCATTTTACCTACATGTAGTTATAGGACTGGGTAGCGTGCGACATCGTAGCGTTCACCTAGCAGGACTTCCTAACAAAGGCGAGAGTGTTCCCGGTAGCCGTCCCGAACTCCGTTCCTACATAATGATATCCACTAATGGTCAGCGATTCTTTAGCGAAGCATTAAAGGAGGACGCTTCCGTAGGTGGCTTGACTTTGGACCAAGCAGAATGGGGAACGTCATGGTCAGCCCCGGACTGTCCATTTGCCGGCCGGGGCTGATCCTCGAGGCTGCCTAACTAACCCCCCCTGGGCCACCGTGGCGTCCTTTTGGCACATTAACTTCTGACTCACGGAGTCTATCAGGATGGCTTGCTCTGGATTTATCCCCAAGACCCCGTTAATTGGCCTACGCATCTCGGCAACTCATGACTAATTCAAAATACGATCAAGTCGTTTCCCCTCTCTCAAATCCGGTCGAGAATTCAAACCGCTCGAGTTGCGCTCGTTTCCGTCGATCACGTTAGCCTTTGAAAGTCCTAGACATAGTATTCACATGGCTCTCGTTCGGGCCGATCGTGCTCGACTGCCGCAGTGCTATTCGTAATTTGACGACTCGCAGAGCGGCAAGCATCTTCTAGGCGGTCTTGGGGGAACTCCTGCTCCAGTTCTGCTCAAGATTGCTACTTGGCGAAGCGGTAGGATCGGTTTAGACCTTAGGCTCCCGTTCGGATATGATGTGGATTTAGGGGTGGATGAATTACGAACTCGCTCTCCTGAATCACGATGGTGAGCAATCCTAAGGCGCCATACGCCTCCACTGAAACTCGTAGCCTCTTCGCCATGCCCGCTCCAATTCTAACGTCATAATATAATGGACCCTCCATAATGCGGGATGGTGCTCCAAATAGTCGGGGTGGATCTCCGAACCAACTGATCGTGCCGTGGGATGGATAAACGTTGCCGCTATGAATGCATGAAATATTCCATCAGCTCGTGGCATTTAATTGCATACGTACCGGCTGAGCACATTATACGACGTAGTAAGCCCGAAAGCAAAAACGAGAGACTACCCCCAAGCGAATCATTCCGTGCGATAGTTGGATGTATCCTGTACCCGTCTAATGCGCGCAGCGTAGATGTGCTGGCTGCCGAGCCTCCGATCGTAGCCCTGCGTCTAAATAAGTAAGCAAATGGTTCGATGCCGTGGTCCGAGCCTAGAATCGTCCTGTTCGTCACGTTCACCAAGATCTAAAAGTTCCGAGTTAGACTTCCAAAGAATCTGCAGCTGGAACAGAGTAGCCGCGGTGAGATCGCACAAGACAGTACCAGCGGATGTATAGAGAGTGTGACGTTTAACGAGCTCGTGGGTTGAAATTTTGGAATTAGCTGTCAACATCTAAGACACCTAGGGTATTATTGTTAGCACGAGAGCCGCTAGGCATGTCGAGAGAATTTCCCCACTAAGTAAGCTGCGAGGATCGACCTAGGAGTCAGACTTCAGATTGGCCGACGTAGCTATTTGAAGGACCTAAGGATGGTCGAGTCTAGACTCATCTCTTGTAGCAATCTGCAATGGGCTTAGATGAGTAATCACGGCGTCGGGAGGCAAAGACCCGCGACTTTGGTTGCGATGACTTAAGCTCGACCAACATCGGGGGCTGCATTTCTATGCCGCAGCTGGCAGTCTGGCAGATGTCTGCGATGTTTCTTTTGCTTCCTTCAGAATGTTCTTCGCGTCCGCCATGCCGTTGGAACAAGCCATCGCCGAGCACGATGCCACGTGCAGAAGGTAGTGTAACCGGACACAATGGGTCGAAGTCGATCGAGAGGCGTGGGTTACACTGGAGGCATGGCCATTGGCCACGGCGTCTGCAATACGCAACCCCCTGCGGGCTCGGGAGATCCACCATTCCTAGTTCCTGGTCATAGCTACTGGTATGCTTGGCCCGTGGTGTCGATGGCAGGCAGGGCAAGGCAGGGCACGCCTGTCAGGTTGATCATAGCTCTATGTCTGATCTTGAAACAGACGCCACGGGGAGCTCGCGTGCTAGGACTAAAAGTCTATGTACGTTTCGAAAATATTTTTGGAAACTCGCTTCATCGCCAAGCTTTAATTCGATCCGTCAATATTAAGCTAGATCTCCACGGATCAGGTCCTTGGAGATGCTATCTTGTCTCGGCCGGAACAAATAACTAGAACATCCGGGGTAAGTAGCCTCTACTGCCGGGCGTAATGAATCCATGGCATAGGTCTAGCACATACTCGACGACAACCTTATCAGATGCATCTGGTCTCCAAATCCCGAATTAGCAGTGGTAGTAAGGGATAAAGCTCTCGTTGAAGACTATTGATGCTTACGTCGCAACAACCTCTGTAAGTGAACGATTTGGATAGCTTGCTCCAATTCGTGGTTGCACAAAAATCGCAATTTGTAGCTTCATCTCAGGTTGTCGAATCAAGCTTCGAAATAGTCGGATAGTTTAAGAGCATTCCAACGCCAATGCACTTCCCGGGGTCCACACAACCCGCAGCAAACCCGCCATTTCGTTCTCGGATCCGTAGCGCATACCCATATGGATGCGAAATGTACTAGGTACATCGATGGATGCGGTGGCAGTTTCTCGGTTCTATTTCCCCTGTCTACACAGCCTTACAGGGCGTCCAAAGGCCTTGAGCGGCGGGCAAAACTCCCCCGTCCATGGATGTCAGCGATGTGGCCTGCAAGCCTGCAAGCTTGACCCCCTCCCCTTCCTTAGACGCTTAACCACGATCATATTTTGTGCTACCCCAGACGCCAACCGATGTACCCTAGGCGTTCAATGGGACGAATAAAATTCCGCACGGCAGGATCGCAAGTACCGCTGACATCGCGAATGTCCAAAAGTACTCGTTCCTTTCCTGCCTAGATTCGGTTTCATTTTGTCACGTATTCGTCATGCTAATAACCTCCTACGAGCGTAGGAGTAGAGGTACAACCTGCAGCCATCTACCAAGACCTTAGCGATCTTGGGAGAGAAAACTCCTTGGTGTTACTATACTTGTCTCTTCCTGTCAATAGTGATTTGTTCCGCGTGATATATATATCGTGGCAGATATAGGTGCAGCTCAGATACATGGATTATTTGCAGAAGTCGGGACGAAGCCGTTTTGTGCAGAATAGTCAGTAGAGTCGTCCATCTTAAAAAATATCTGTCGTCCTCAAACGATCGAATTCTTTATATACCAAAGCCCGCGTCGAGTCCTACCTTCGAGATTAAATCATCATAAAAGACGTATCGTGCAGGGTTTTATAGAATCGTACTCATCTGACAGGTCAGTCTTCTCTAATTCTAACCGCCGGTATCAGGTACGCATAATGCGACATGATGATGCCAAAATTACTCACACGTCTCGCAGAACCGAGTATTTGAAATGGTCGGCGTTCCTGGAAAATACAAGGGATGCAATACTTGTCGAGCTAGACGAGTCGCATGCGACAACGGAAGACCGTTCTGCAAGAAGTGCACGGACTACGGTCGCGAATGCGGCGGATACGAAAGGGAGGTGAGTAGTTAAACTTCTAGGTTGTCGATATAAGTCGATTCAAGAAGTGGTTTACTCCTGGAAAAACCCCCGTTGTCGGCTTTCCCTATCCTATCCGCGGATACACCTCTAGTGCTTTCCCTTTTTCGTTTTCTTCTTGATATTTAAACCGAAGTACTGGGTGATAGCTAATAGTCGAACGCGAACCAGACGGTATTCATCGTCGGCACCCCAGACGATAAAGGGAGATGTTCGTCTCATCCGCCGCGGAACCAGCAAGGCAGTAAGAAAGCTAAAATTAGCGAGGCTCGACAAGCAGAGAAGCTACATTTCGTAGCTACCGAGCCGTGGCAGCCGGCATGGATGGATGTGGTATCGTTGTCGTCCGCCGCTGGATCACATCGCGTCCGATTTTTCGCTCTTCAGACAGACCTCAGCTCTGCGATTAGGCCCGAAAGTGGATCTCCACGAAGGAACGAAGTGACATTGTCTTTGGGTGGACCTCGCGTTCCAGATGCCAATCTAACCTTCCGCCACGAACCCTTCAGCATGAAAGCCCGTTGTCTCATCTATCTACCACCGAAGAGTAATAGCAGGCAAGCCGCTAACGGTAACTCGGAGGGGCTTTGCCTATTTTTATACGAGGTGCGTCAATAGTGCGAAATTGTTCTCTTCCTTGCTAAACTAGGGCTTCAGCAAAATTCGTCGGCTGTTTATAGCAACGAGCCGCCATGGAAAGACCCTGCCGCCCTACACGATCGAATTCGCGAGCCGGGCCCCGGGGCATATCAATCTTTCCCTGAGCATCATTTCTTCGCTAGAGTTTATCGACCAAACGCCGTGAGTTTCCCATCAATGCTGATGGAATCAACAGCTAACCACAGGAGATAGATCTGGGCCGCGTTACTGAACCGCCAGCCCACATTCCTCTGCTCGCCGGAATGGACAGTCGTGCCCTGGGAGCGCCACCCGAGGACACCGCTTGACGATCTCCTCGATATAGTTGTCCTTTTGCCCTCTATATTCTCGCGAGCGGACCGCATAACACCAATGGAGGCGAGCGCTTCTCGCCGTTTGAAAGCAAAGGACCTTCTAATCAGCTGTATCAATATCGAGAGGCAATTTGATATCTGGTATAGCGTGGTGCACCAGAGGGTTGACGAGCAGGGATCCCCGCTCTACTGGGTGGCAGACGCGACAGCTAGCGGTGCTCAAATGCCCTTTTTGGATGCGTTCAGCTTCCCATCGCCGTTGATGGGATTGGTCCACGTTTGCTACTGGGCCGTTCTCGTCAGCTTCCACCAATGTATATGTGCGCTCTTAGACACCTTTTTCGAATCCGGAAGCGAAGATCCCTCGGTCCTGGGCGTGTGTGAGATACCGCTTGGTGTGGATATTAGGAAGTACCAGCCAGGTCAGACGAGGATGATCGCGGCAAACTTGTGCCGAAGCTTAGACTTTACCCTCCAAACTACAGGACAACCGGACCTTTTGGCCGCGCCGTTCTTTGTAGTGAGCGAGTTTTACAACAGCATCGCGTGCTTTGGAGAAGGCGGCATGGAACGTCAGTGGTGCGCAGGTTTCAGAGGGAGACTAGACGCGAAAAGTCGCGAAGCCAGTTCATGGCTCGAAGAGAGGAAATGGATTGAAACCAGGCAATTTGGATAGGCACGGTGCGGTATTCCATAAAGGACCTAATTATGTTGTATAATATGGTGTTAGGGCTGGAAGGGAGGCATAGACTTGACTTTTCATTAGATCTGAATCTGTATGAAGCATAGGCAATGATTGCTACTTTGTATATGAAATAGACATCACGAATTCAATGTTTTATAAGAGATATTTAGAATGTATCTGTGTCACTGAGCCAATCAAAGTAGATGCCAAGCGTTATGTAATCATCTAGGATGGACCTGCAGACGAGTCCGTTCCAAATATTACCTACATAATTAAACTTTTGATGTTCCTTGTAGAATAGGTACGTGGCTGTGCTAGTGGCTGGAGCTCACTGTGAGTCGGGAGCTTGGAGCTTCGTAACTCTGGCAGCCTTGCGTACCAAGGTACCTACTTCAAACATCACTGAAATCCACGGCTACCTACCAACCTAGTCTTGAGCTTCAATTTATCTCGCAACTCACATCTCAAGACACGCCCTCTAAATAACACGACCCCTTAGTTCCTGCAATCTCTAATCATGGCGTCGGGATATGATAGAGCTCTTTCCGGTATGTTTTCTTCCCTTGGCAATATTGATGTTCACAATATACTGTATAATAGGAAGTACTAGTTTAGCTAACCCTTCTTATAGTCTTCAGGTCCGTATTAGACGTACGCGCTTCTCAATTTATAGTCTTCTGACCGATCTCTAGTCCGGACGGACATGTGTTCCAAGTCGAATATGCTGGTGAAGCTGTCAAACGAGGTACATATATATGACGGGTCGTCAATTACTCGGATCACCTAACATCACGCTAGGAACCTGCGCCGTCGGCGTGAAGGGCGCAGATATTGTCGTCCTCGGTTGCGAGAAGAGGTCTGCAATGAAGCTGCAAGACACACGCATTACGCCTTCCAAGATCGGCCTCATCGACACCCACGTATGCCTAGCATTCGCCGGTCTAAACGCCGACGCCCGAATCTTAGTCGACAAGGCACGACTAGAGGCGCAATCGCACCGCTTAACCGTCGAAGACCCCGTGTCTATCGAGTATATCACGAAATACGTCGCAGGCGTACAACAACGGTACACGCAGAGCGGTGGTGTGCGACCATTCGGCATCAGCACCATGATCGTGGGCTTTGACAAGAACAGCAAAGTACCAAGACTCTACCAGACCGAACCTAGCGGTATTTATTCCGCGTGGTATGTTTTATTCGGATTTATATGGCGACGATTGCGTACTCATACGTTATATATATATACATGCTAATACGCTTTGCAGGAAAGCAAACGCGATCGGCCGTTCCAGCAAGACGGTTCGGGAATTCCTAGAGCGCAACTACAAGGAGGATATGGACCGCGAGGCGACTATCCGGCTAGCCATCAAGTCGCTCTTGGAAGTCGTGCAAACGGGTGCGAAGAACATCGAGATCGCCATCATGGCCCCTGGTAAGACCATCGAGATGCTGCCGGTCGAAGATATCGAAGGTTACGTCAAGAACATTGAGCAGGAGAAGCAAGAGGAGGCCGCTAAGAAGAAGACCGGCCGAACACCGGGGACGGGTAGCGCGGCCATCTTGACGAGGGAGCGAGAAGGTGGCAGCGATTAAGGGCAGGCCGTAGCCGCAGCTGTAGCCGGAGTTTACGGGCCTCTAGAAAGGTGATTGATTCATAGAGGATATCATTACGATGCCTACCTGGTAGGTATACCTAGGTAGCAAATCTGTATACTACCACCCGGAAGCATGCACGGTTTCTTGATTTCTTGTCATTTGATCATCTCTGTCCTCTCTAAAAGTCTAAACGTGTGGTATCATGTGAAATGCATCGCCCCGCAACCTAGGATCGTGTCGTCCATCTTCCTTTTCAATCTTTGATCTCAACCCGGTACTATTAACCCAATTTATCCGCGTCGGCCTGAATATCGAAGATAGACTTGTGCTGATCCTGCTTCACACGATCATCCTTCAGCATACGGTTGTTCATCCGCGCATCGTCGCCTTCGACGGTCAAGGCGGGCTTGGGTATGACGGCGTCGATGACGAAGTGGTTGTCGCAGTGGGGGCAGTATTCGTCGGCCTCCTCGAATTCCTGGGCGTCTTTTCGGAAACACTTCTTGCACTTCTTGCAAGCGAATGTCATCTCGAATGCTTGTAGTAGCTGGTGCGACTCCTGCTCGTGGTGGCACTCCGCGCAGTCAAACCATTTCTTGCCTTATCAGAGCGTCAGCAGCAGCGAACTCGTTTGATATCCTAACTAATGTAGCATCGTGTGGAAGGTCGTCTCGGGAACATACAGCATGGCGAGCGGATCGCGACTTGGGCATTCAAAATGTGTTTACTATACAATAATCAATATCCGGTGAATTTACATGAGCTTGCGAGATACAATCTTACCACATGTCGATATTTGCTAACACAGAATCCAAAATCCTGGGTGAGCACTTGTAGGTATTCTCCTTTTCAACTTTTTGTTACGCGTTATGAAATTTTGTTGATTACATATACCGGATAACTGGAAGCCGTACCCATCTAGACGTTTCTAGCTAATCGATTTGCTTATCCTTGGTGGATCGATTACCTGATGAGGGGCACTTAACGGGGTAAAGGCTCCCCGCAAATCCTCCGAGCCAGGGGCTGTCTTTAGCGCAATACATCCATCCATACCATGCATCCAAAGTCCTGACCTTGACCTTCACAACGACAACTCAGATTTTCAAAACCTTCAACGAACACTCAAAATATCGATATCTTTCCTTGCTTGCTACCTATAACGTCTACTATAGAGGCGGGGTAGTGGAAGAATCATTCATTCAGGCCTCGAGATTCTCTTATTACCTAAAGTCATCATATCACACATGACGATATCCGTCGAATCTAGCTCCACTTAGGAACAACGGTAATTCTAATGGCCGCGCACTTGTGATACTTCAAGAGATCCTCTCGCCCTGTTAGTACGACTAATTAGAGAAGCACGTCAAAGAGAAGCTCGTGATACGCTAGTGTAACGCCGTATCATTCTTCATTCGACCAAAGGAAAAGGACCACAAATAATACTCTAAGTCTGGTCTGAAAAGACTCCTGGTGATGATGAAATATTGAGATTATATCTAATATTTTATATCACCCTATCATATCCACTTCCGGCCAAAAGTTCACCTAAGTGAGTTTCTTGCTACCGAATAGGGGCTGATAAACGTAAGGCTTCACGCCGAGGATCTAAGTAATTTAAATGTGGTCCTACACGACACCGATGATGGCACCTTCTTAATATCTAGGGAATTATCGGTGAATTGAATCTCGATACTATGTATCACATCAGGCAACCAGCGTCCTCCTGTCCAATAGGCTAGACGCCTTTATATCGACAACCTCACTCCCTAGGCTACAACAGCGGGCGCGAGCATCGAGGTCTCCATAACACGAGATTATGAACGGTGACAGCCGTCTGCTGTATCACTTAACGAAAACCGCAGGCCCCAAGATCGGCCCGGTTGCTCAGCTCGTTCGCCGTTCCGAGATCTGGCTACCCGCAGGACCATGTTGGCGAAATAAGTTCATGAATATCTCTCTTCATCCTCGAGATATCCGGCAGGCTACGTCGGACCAAAGACGTGGCATTCTGCGCGAACCAGAGCGGAAACAGATTAGACTCGCCAATGAAATGGGAAACCAGACCCAACCAAAGATGCATATGCCGGCACGCGAGGCTCATGCGGTGTAAGGTATCGGCGTAGGGTGTTTGCAGGACCGCGTAGAAAGTCGTCGTCTCCGTGGATAGCTGTCAAATTTCACTTCCCCTCATTTATATTGCCGGCGCACAAGTGGCGCCGTCATCTTAATAGAAGTACGATGACTTTACGGTGCTTCACGAGGCTCTCGGGATACCGCAGGCTGTTGTGGGGTGATAGTAGGCCGAGAAGGTGAAAGACCCATCTCGAAAGCCTGAAGGAAAAGACACCGATGGGTCAGTAGACCAGATAAATACTTGAGCACAGACGTTGAGGGTATGGGCTAGACTAGATAACTTCTCGATACACACGTATGTCTCGGGAAAGCGAAACGGGGGGTTAACAAACATGGATTCACATGATCCACGGGTTAATACCAGAACCGATTTCGTCAAACGCGAAGCTCTGTTGCACTAGAATAAGACAGCAATCTCGAACTTATATCCGTAGACAGGCCAGAGCACCAATCTAAACTTCTCGGCGCTTTTTTGGACAAGACAACTGAAAGACATGGCTGATCAGCAAGCTGGAGATGGCTCTATTCGCACGCAGACAATCGTATGGCCTGCTTCAACATTCGTCACAACCTGGACTCTAGGGGGCGGCAACTCTGACCCCACGGAATCGCCAGCAACGGTAGTTCCCGCAGGGAATCCAGGCTCGACGGATGACCAAAATGTCGGCCCTATCCTTAGCGGTGTGGTCGTTGTATTGGTGTTGACACTATTACTATGGTACTGTTGTCGGCGAAGTGAGTCAGCGTTCGCCCTCTCATCCTCTTGTTTCCACGCCTTCGATGTTGTACGCAGCGCTGACTGCCGTCTACTTAGAGCGCTCCAACGGTCGTTACTCGCGACGTTCAAGTAGGCGGCAAAGCTCAGGTTACGCAAGTAAAGGTAGCTCCGGCAGCTCATCCTCATCAAATTCTTCGTCTCGTAACGGCGGGAGTGTCGGATCCGCGGCGAGTGAGATGGCTGAAGATCAGTGGGACCACCAAGAGCCGATGCCAGAAGGACCGATGCCAGCGATGCCACCGCAAGCTGCGGGAGGATGGCCAGGCCCGCAACATAATCCCGGAATGGGACCAGTACCACAGCCGGGTCTAGGTATGAATTTTCCTCCGGGCCAAGGCGGACCTCCCCTCATGATGGGTCGAGGTGGACCGCCGCCGCTAGGTAGGGGAGGACCTCCACCTATGATGGGCCGTGGCGGGCCTCCTCCTGGAATCATGTAGTAGCTTGGCAAGCTATAACTGTCACTCCAGAGATATGGCATTAAAGGAATGCACTTCGGATCCCAAATTCAGTGCTAAATAGCACAGGTCACCACCAAATGAAAAGAGAAGCCCTGGATGACGATATCATCATGATAACAGTATTATTGGATTTCATAGGAGCGCATGGCAATACTTCTCGGATATCATGATCGCTCATGATATAACCCCCTCGAAAAGTCTGACGCACAGAACGGCCGCAACAGCAGCTATGCCGCCCATGACAACCATTCGCACACCTTCTAACGAGCCGTGTTTGATTCGCTTCCATTTAGCAGACCCTCTTCTAGCACTTTCATGCTGCCAGCGATCCTCCGTGGACTTGGGGTGAAGTAGGAATTCCTTGGTGAATCCAAATACGAATAACGCCAGGATACAGACGACGAAGCTCCATTGCAAACCACCGTCCACACTGTCAACAAAAAAGTACGGGAATAGCGGCAGCAATCCACCGAGCATATACCCGAAGGATATTGACAATCCAACAATCGCCGGCGAAAATTCCTTGGCCTTGCCCGACAAACTATCAACCGACGAATTCGTGTTGCATAGCAATCGTCGCAGGACAGCAGGGTGATGATCAATATGGGCTTTCACGCTGTGAAGAAGGTCCGGAGGGAGATCTAGCAGAGCAAGATAATTCTGAGCACTGTCTTGATCGGCAGTTTCCAGCTTTTCGGCGTCGTCATAGTCATCCGTAATCGATGCTGCCTCTCCTCTCGCAGCGAGATATCCGCCAATCCCCATGCTGATACATCCTGCGCAAATCTCGGCTGCGCCAGCATAGATAACCGTTTTGGTCTGACCGAGGGACGATAAGCCCGCGGTCAGCGCGAACGGTACTGTGAGGCCATCGGCAAAGCCAAGAGTAAAGTGGGAGAGGAATTGGGAAAGACGAGACTTTGTCGCGCCTCGTTGGGAATTTATTCGATAGTCGTTAAAGCTGGAATCTGAGCTGGCTCTTCCGGAAGTTATCGAGGTGTCAATAGGTGTTCTCGGGCTTGAAGCTAGAGCAGCATAACTTGATGGGCTCTCTTGGACTGGTTCATATGGAAGACCTAGTCGAGCGAAGAATGCTCGAATCTTCCCGGCTGGCATTGTTGACGTGACTTAGGTGTATGCAGTGCGAATTAGATAAGATGCTTGTTGAAATGATACTCGATGCCTTAACCATTCGAAGTTGAGGAGAGAATTAAGTGTACCTAGAGTAAGTGAATCTGCTAACCCATCGCATCCTTGAAGGTCCTCGTAACAAGCTTCGAAGCTTAGAAGTCGTTGGAATACACGTGGATTTTTTAGTCGATACGATACGGACTGCGCTTGCTCAGCTTCATTTCATTTCTTGTGAACGAACTCGCAAGCTTGGCCCATACGAACTTCCCATTCCGTCTTAACTTGGAAAGAAGTTGGCGGATCAACCTCGATTCTTAAGGCGTGTTCCTGCGTGTACGGCAGGGATAATGCTGAGCTACAAAATCGCAGCCAGTAAGGAGCGAGACATTGTCAGCTGCGCCCTGTTCGGGGCTCCCTAAAGACAGGGGTTAAAGCAAGGGATGCTTGGATTCTTCCCTATCTCGACAAGCATTTACTATTTTACTAGCGCAGCGCGCTCCGCGATGCCAATGCTTGGCCACTAGAATCTACACGTGCTCAACTTCTAACAGTTTGAACAATCCGCCGACGCCGACGTGACCGAACGTATTCTTCCTAAGCAGGCGCTCCCGAGATATGTCTCGGGCCAAAAGAAAGCTTTTGAAATACGAATCTGTCTCTAAGAGCTGTACTTCTCCGCATCGCGACGCCAAGAATTGGGATCTAGAAAAGTTCTAGGCGAGATCATCAACTGCTACGCTGCTACTGTGAAATCCTCAACTCTGCCCCCGATCCTCAATCCGTACCAACTATATTTAGGTGGGATCGTCGAAATACCCACTCGTTCGCTCGAGCCGGCTGACACTACCAAGACCAAGCCAGCTTAACATACAAACCAGCCTCGGACCGGGTCGACCACGTATAGGCCCATGGCACTGGTTCTCTCGCCCACTCACCATCGCCTTATCGACCACCTTCCGAAGTGGAAGAGATGAATGTAACCCAAGCGGGTCTTACCCCGTCCAGCCCGTAGGAAGAACTTGATGACCCCATGGAAGAGGTGCCATATTCCGGCCAATAGCCGCAGCAAATCGCTCACATGTGCGTCGGCAGGAGCCGTTTGGAGTTAATAAGGCTTCCTTTACCTAGCCAAAGTAGAGAAGGAAAAGACATGCCTAGCAATACGCCGGCAGGGTCGTAAGGGGCCCATGCTAAGCGCTAGACACATTTGCTTGCGCGGTCATAAAGGTCTTAAAGGAACTTGGCAGCTCTCCGAATTTCACCTGCCGGCTGCTCTGCTCTCTTTTTTTCTGATGCCGTCGCCGTGATCCTCAGACAAGCCCCCAATTCACACACCATGCGTTCCTTCATTCTGTCGACGTTGGTCTTGGCGACCAACGTCGCCGCGCAGGCGGAAAACACGTATACGGCTACCGCCACGAGCGACGTCGCGAAGGCCGCCGCCACGGCGAAGACTCTTAGCCCCGTTACCCACGTCAAGGGCAAGGCTTTCGACCGGCTCGCCATCGTATGGCTGGAGAACACGGACTACGACATGGCAATCGGAGATCGTAAGTTTCGCTCAGACATTTCTTCCGCCTTTTTTTCTTTTACCCCCCGCTATCCAAGAAATAAGAAACGGATAAGTAGAAGTGAGAGCTAAAACGGTGGCACCGGGCAGCGAACCTAGCGTGGCTCGCCAAGAAGGGCGTGACGCTGACGAACTACCACTCGCTGACGCACCCGTCGCAGCCGAACTACATCGGCTCGATCAGCGGCGACTACCTGGGCATGCAGCACGACGACTTCACGCAGATCGACGGGAACGTGTCGACCGTCATCGACCTGCTCGAGGACAAGGGCATCTCCTGGGGCGAGTACCAGGAGGACATGCCGTACAGCGGCTTCGAGGGCTTCGCCTACGTCAACCAGCAGAACGGCAAGAACGACTACGTCCGGAAGCACAACCCGGCCGTCAGCTACAACGCGAACGCCCGCTCCCTCGACCGTTTGGCCGTCATCAAGAATCTGACCAGTACGTATTACCTCCCTAGCCCCTATTCCACGCCCAGAGGGCAGGGTCTATTTCGAGAGTCTATCCGGCGCTAGAAAAAACGCTCGGGATAGCTCCATTCTCTGACCAAATGGAATCTTTATTCCCGATTCAGCTGCTTAGAGCCCAAACGTTAACCCGCGATTCCTCCTCCTAGCCTTCTACAAAGACCTCGCGGCCAACACGCTGCCGCAGTGGATGTTCATAACGCCGAACATGACGAGCGACGGCCACGACAGCGACATCACCACAGCAGGGACCTGGACGCGCTCCTTCCTCGAACCTTTACTAAACGACAAGCGCTTCATGCAGAACACGCTCGTCCTCGTCACCTTCGACGAGAACGAGACGTACACGATCCAGAACCGGGTCCTCGCCATCCTGCTCGGCGACGCCGTGCCCGCATCGCTCGTCGGCACCCAGGACGACACCTACTACAACCACTACAGCGAGCTCGCCACCGTCGAGGCGAACTGGGACCTGCACACGCTCGGCCGCTGGGACGTCGGCGCCAACGTCTTCAAGCTCGTCGGCGACAAGACCGGGGACAAGCCCCGCTCCTGGTCCGGCCCCGTCCCGCTCGCCGACATGTACTTCAACTCCTCGTACGCGGGGCCCCTGAACGAGGAGGTCGGCGGCAGCAAGCGGTACCCGGGCCCCAACCTGACCAGCGTCTGTGGCGGCGGCCGCCGCACCGTGCTCCCCAGCATCAAGAAGGCGTGGCAGGGCAACCCCGCGCCCGTCTACTACGACTCCGGCCTCGAGGTTCCCGACGGACAGCACCCGCCCGCCGGGTACGCTCCTACTTCTTAACCTTGAACGAGATCAACTATTATGTAGGTAGCGTACCTACCTACGCAGGTACCTACCTATTTACATAGTAGTAGCCTCAAGTACATATATAGCTAAATAATAAACCTAGAACGTTAGTAATATATAAATCTCGATACGTAACCTACCTTACATACCTTGCTCTGCGTAGACGGGCCTCGGCCTCGGCCTCGGTTTACGTTCGTGATACCTGAGGAGCAAATAAGGACGATGTCGGAGACGGTGGTCGTATTGGTTCGATTGCTCGATCACGATTCATCGAGTTGCCTTTGGCTGACTTGGGTCACGCTGACTGGCTGAGGTCTTTCTTACCCCGACTCTTGTCTGAGGGGTAAAGAGTCATGTAGGTAGGCGCCTCGATCTGAATAAAACTACGGTGGTATATGTCGGACATAGATCAGTCATTCATCGTCGCGGTATACACGGGACAGCACAAAAGAGGGGAAAGTAAAACTTCATCAAAGTTCAGTTCAAACACATCCTCGCATTTCCCTAAGGGTCGCCGGGATGACCAACCCATTAAACTACCTGCCTAACCTTATCGTGTATCCATTTTATGTTTTGTTTCCCCATCCATCCCATTTTCCTACTGATGGTACAAGTCGGCACGATTCCAACGACCTTATATGCCGACGGCTATGCAGCACGGGATACAAATCCCAGCGCACGACGTCCACCGAACACTTAAGGTGCCAGAGCTACGACGTACTCGACAAGATGCCGTCTTACAGAATGCGGTGGGCCGTAAGGTGAAAGTATTTAATTGCTGTATCATAGCAATATACCATATCTCATCCTAAACCACAACCTCGCCTCTCAATCCCGCAGCACGCATAACTTCATTTATAACCCAACACAACCCTGCCGTGAGAAAAATGCATCGTTCTTTGCTGAAGTTCACCACGACACCAAACACCCCATAAACTCCTCAATCAGTTTCCTCGATCATTTCCGAGGCCTTAGAGAGTTGAGAATGGCGTCGATGCAAAAGTCGGGTGACAGCGTAAGAGTCATGCATCAGATCCCCAGCTCGCTTACCAATTCCATCCATACGCATCACGACGCTCCCTAACGCAATGAGAGTCATAAGTCGCAGACGTCGGTCAATTGCCGCCCAAACATGATCACCTTTTCCGTTTCTAACCGTATCGTGTGCTCGGTGATATCATAAAAAGCATAAAACGCCTTGATGCATATCTCTTGAGACGCCGTAACCAGAGGGATGCATGCCATGTGCTGACGAAATGTTCGAGAGGCAAAACAAATAAAGTGTAAAACGGACGACGGATGCTAAAACCATTACCGACATCGAAGCTAGGCCTGCGGAGCAAATTATGGACAGTTCGAAATTCCAGCAGGCCAGTTTGACGTAATCGCGAAAATCCAAATCGGTCGAAACGACGCATAATCGTCCCGACATTCTAGGGCCCTAGTGAGATGGCCCGGACGAGGTTATGCCTCGTCAAACCCCGGTTGAAGTACTCAACCTCTGATTGCTGTCGCAGTATAAGCCTCTGACGCGAACGGGAAACGATATTGAACAGACTGGGCGAAAGGAGCAAGGTCGGCGGGGGATTTGATTGAGGACGTACCAGTACCAGCAAGGGGAAAGAAGCTAGCCATCGATCCCGGGGATGCTGTCTTATCCTTCGGGGTACCCGAACTAGGCGGGCTAAGAGCCGGCTGAGACAGCGGAGATTCTGCAGGGGAACCGCCGATGGCTGGCATGTATCCGTTGGCAAAATACGGACCGAGATTTTGTCGGAGTGAGTGATGTATCGCGGTATCCTGGTGATGAACCTGACGCGCCATATCGGCCTCGTTCGGGCTACCGTTCGAACTCGAACTACTGCTGTTCATACCGTTAGATGGCGAATCCACTCCGTCGTATCGACCAGTACGCGTAGTTCCGTCCTTCAGCTGGGGGCTAGATTGCTTTGATCCGTTGAACTACATCGAATAAAAAGGTTAGTTAATGTCTCGTTGATAATTTGCGTCTCCGGGCGTGGTTCCCGTGTCGACGAGAGGCCAGCCTTTGTCGGGATGTACGTACAAAGCAATACTTGTTGAGGATCTCTTCGTACGAAGCCGATGCTATGCTGGCCGAAGCAGGGGAGCCCGTGCCGGGACCGCTGGGACCGTGAGTAGGAGCTCGCGGGCCAGACGCAACAGGAGCCGAAGGGGCGTAACGGGCCGGGTTGGCCTGAGATTCCCTCGATACCTGAGCAGCAGGGGCGAGGCCGAAAGAGGGTTTCTTATTAGACTTCATGTACAGACCGTCGCCCTGCTGACTCGACTCCCGGCGAGCTTGCTTCGCGGCATTAAGGGAGACGCTGAAGTCATACCGATTGGCAAAAGCCTGCCCGCTGGGAGCCGACAAGCGACTCGGCAGATTATCGCTGGGTAAAGCAGACGTCGACTTCGAATTCTTGAGACGTAGAGCCGGTCCCGGCTCGCCAAGGACTTCGTGAAGAGACTTGTCGAAATTGGGAAATTTCGAGCCGTGTCCAAAGTCGTCCATGGCGCCGACGGGCATAGACTTCGGCCGCGCAGCCGTCGAGGGCTTAGCTCGTTGGTTGCTGCGCGGCAAAGCGTTAGCGGGTCGAGAAGAGGCAGGCTGGACACCCTTCTTGCCGTTCATGGGCAACATCTTCTTGCGGAAGTCGACTTGGAAGTTTTGGCCGTCGTTGTTATCCCAGTATTCGAGGGAGTTGACGTTATATCGAACGCAGAAGAATAGGGTCTTGGATTCGAGGTTGGCGAAATCAGACAGCTTCAGACTAAATTGGAAGCGGTCGTGGCCGGTCTCGGTGTCGCGCGGCCGGGCGATCTCGTGATGGTACTCGGCGGCTACTTCGGAAGTCGTCTTCCAGTAGTCGAATGTGAATCTGCACACCACGGTCTTCTGGAAAGCCAGATTGGCCACTGCTACTGACCCTATCAGGCACTTCTGGTCCGGAGACATCCACACTCTTTCCAACCGAATAGGAAGAGCCTTGCGAATCGGAGTATCCGCGGGGAAGTTGTGGACGACAAGCTCCCACTCGAACGGGGGCGACCGCGGGCTGGCCTTCTCTTCAAACCCAAAGGGGTACTCGGTTTCGCTCTCATAAGCCTCCACCGGAGAAGAGCCAGCACTGACGGCGAGCGGCCGGTCGACCTGCAGGAAATGCCTCACGTGTTCGAGATGCGAATCAAAGTGCACAGCTTTCGAGAAGGTCGGCGTTCCCGGCATGCTTGAGGGTCTCCTGTGTGCCCGCAACGCCGGCCGAACTAGCTCGCCCGACTTCTTCCGTACCATCGCCGGCTTCTTCACGGGCTCGTCCTGCTCGGACCCTTCCTCAGACGTAGTGATCGATATCTCTTCTGACTTCGACATGTAAAGGTTAGTGTCAGTGTTCGACCTCGAATGAGAGATCTTCCGGGCGGAAGTGGTGAGCGCGGGCAAGCTAGCAGTAAGCATTGACTGCCGGGATTCTCCCATCAGGTTCTTGGCCTGGGACGGGAGTAAGAAGATATCTCCGGGCGAAGATCGGACAGGGGACGGTGCCCGATGCAGCGGTATGGCGCTAATAGCCTCCTTCAGCTCTTTGATATTCTCGATCTCCCTTCCCCGCTTCTCCGATTCCGTGTTCCCTTCATCTTCACTAGACGACTCAGGCGGCGAGATGATAGCCCCCGGAGGCATCGTCTGCCCATCGGCAACCGGAGGGGGCGATTGTCTGACCGGAGTGGCGAGAGATGCTACCATACCCTTCAAGTTATCCGAGGTGCCCGGAGGAGTGATATCCGGAGTCGGGCCATCCGAGGGTTTGGGGGTGACCGAAGTTGTGCTCCCTGCCGAAGGCGTCCGCCGGTGTCTGGAGAGGTAAGAGGAGGACCGTGGTAAGACCGGCTTCGGCGATGTTGGGGTCTGGGAGTTGAAGGAGGACCTTCGACTAACTTCGGGCGAGGGGGGAGCTGAGGAGGCGGGAGAACGGTGGGACGGAGGTGTGTAAGGCATTCCCAAAGATTCGGGCTGCCGCGTGTCAGGAGAGATGAGAGGAGTAGAAGGAAGAGGGGGGACGTCCGCAGGCGTGGTGCTACTAGACTTAGGAACGGATGATTTTAGACGAGGAAAACAGGGAAATATTCTTCTCCACCAAGCCTCAAACCGCGAGTCAGGTCTGGCAGCGATAGAGGTGGCAGTAACAGTAACGGCGTCTTTTAGTTGTGTAGGAGCGATTGGGTACTCGCAAAAACCTGAGAAAGCGGAAGGTTCTATTAGCATTGTTTGACTCGGTCCAAGTTTCCATGATATAGCTTGAGGTTGGCTTTCGGGGCTGTCCTGTGGCCTGCAACTTCTGACTCTTCCTCACAGCTGTATGACAAAAACAGAGAAAAGCGGCGGTGGTTCAACAGACAACGGAAGCAGCAACAACATCAGAAGCATCGGGCAGCACAAGCCATTTTAAAGGATAGACCCAGAATGTAGGGTGATTGAGGGGAAAGCGGGAACGCGGGAAAGCTCATGGAATGAGACAATCCGGGGCGTGTGGCGTTGTCAGAGGTGACGGAGTCGAAAATCAATATTCTCCATACCCAACCCAACCCCAACCCAACCCATCTCCTCCTAATTTTTGTTGTCTCACATATTCCTCTCCACGTGGTTCGCAAGAAGAGGCTGAAGCTGCAGATGCGGGTCACGATATTGGGAGTGGGGAAACGTTTGGGCAAAAAGAGGGCAAAGAGGGCAAATCGAGCATATAGGAGAAAAGATGACTTACACAAACAGGAATGGGCGGTCCGAAATACTCAAAGAATGCCCATGGAACCAGGAGAACCAGTTATGTTGCAAAGTCGTCGGAGCAGAAGAGCGGAGAGACGAGCCAAAGGCAATATCTCAGCAGCAGTGCTTATCTCTTTCTCTTCTGTTGACTTTACTTGCAATCAACTAGCGGTGATTGGCACAGGGGGGAAAATCCGGTGCTGAAAGAATATGCCAAATGACGGAGGGAGAAGAATATTTATTATCAGTCGAAAATGTGCAGTATGTGGCGGCAAGAAAGTTGTCGAAACCGGGGAGATGAGAAATTTGCACGGATGTGGGATGCTAAAGCAACAAGCACAAAGGCAAAGCAAATATATGCTGTTTGTTGGCTTTCCGGGTCGTCCAATATGTAAGATATCGAGATGAGAGGCGTGAACTTTTTTTCCAATATAGTTCCTTTGTTAAGTTCAATAAGCTTTGTTGCGCGGAAGAATCTAGGCCAGCCAGTCACATACCTTTAATCGGTCATTATCAACTCTCTCTCGTCCTATAATGGTTCCCGAGCCTTTGGTTTAATGACAGCGATGGAGGGGACGATCAACTGTCAAGGCTACAGTGAGTGGTGAAGTGTAAATATGACGGAATCGAAATCGGAATCGACATAAACAATACAACCGGTCGATTTTGGTCCAGGTCGAATTCAAATTCACACGATGGCAAAGAAGGCCTTCTTTTTTTTTCTCGTGTTCGGCGAAGCGAAAAGCAACAGAGAAAGAATTAGGAATTGCGGATGAAGCGATGAGCAATCTTCTACAATCCTAGGCCTGCCTTTGAACTGTAGGAAGCGGGAAGGGAGAAGGGGGAGGTTTAGTGGTGAGATGGTGGTTGATGGTTGTGGTGGTGAGAGGAAGAAAGGCACAAAAAATCGGCGGACACGGATGAGGTGTGGGTTGGCTATTAGCTTAGGTTTATTCAATTCAGTGGCCAATGTTACCAATGCAACCAATCGTTGAGGCGGCGGGGGGGCGAACAATTGGTGACAGGGATCAACTAACATGCACTACGGGCCAGGCGCTATGTTCCTACTACTACGTATCTTACGTATCTAGGTAGTTACATAGTTACCTACTAGCTACCTAGCTGCCTAGCACCTACCTAGAACGGGTATCAAGTACAAGTCGTACAGAGGTCGTACAGGTAGCGGTGCTAAGTTCACTGGCTCATACTTTTTGGCGGGTACAGTGGTTTTTTTCTTTAGTTCCCTACATCTTCGGTGGGTTAGTGGGATGGTTCTGATAGCTGACCCACTGGGCTTAACACCCCCCGACTATGCGTCACTACACTACCAACCTAGATATGCATAGCTATGGCCACTACTTATGGGGCCGATGGCTGATGGTTGATAGTCGATGATAGGAGCATGGGCTATGAAGAGACCGGGGGGTTAGGAGGGGTTCTTCATCTGTTATCCAATCACATTTTTAGGATGAGATGTGCGAGACCCGACGGATTGATAACATCATTGGACGCACAATATCGATATTTTTATTCACACTGTAAAATGTCAGATACCTAGTAGTTTGATATGCCCGGGTTGTAAAAAAAAACATAAGTTGTACTAAGCAGGAAAAAATGAAAAAGCAAAAATATCACGGTCCGAGGTTGGAAAATTGCATCAAATTCAACACATCCAGCCAGAAAACGCCTCAACCACATACTAAGTATCTAGCGGGTTACTAATCCCTTCTTTCATACGTGATACCCAAATCAATATACTTGAGTAAGTTTTGGAAAAGCTTGAGGGTTTATCAATAAAACGCTATGGTATCACACTACTCATCTACTAGGTAGATATCTGAGTAAGTACTAGGTATGTTATGTAATAATACGATTCGTTTATCAGTTCTAGTTGCACATTTAGTTACATACTGACATCTTTCGAAGGTCACAATCGTTCAATGTTACAATACTCAGATGAGTTCAAGGTATTGTAGGTATTGATGAAACACCGTTGTCGGATACCTTTACCTGCTTACCTTACCTTGCCTTACCTTACTAAGTACCTCCCTACGTAACTCGCTCCGTCGGATACGAATATCTTAAACCGCCTACGCATTACCAACTACCTAGTACCAACACAAGATCCTCTGATACATGACGATTCTACACAAACGAAAGCGAGAAGAGACATTGAAGCGAGCAAGATTGAAGGTCTCAACTGCGTACGTGATTCCGTTCCCATCCCCCGTGCTTAGAGCAATATCAAACGACGATGGGGCCATCTGCAAGAAAGCATACATTATGTGCGTAGATGAGGTACATACGGGTGCTATACACCAATACATAGACCAATACACCAACAGGCCAATACACCCATACAACATACAGCCATACACCTATGGCTGAGAATCGCTATCCGACTGTCGAAGTTGTTTTAGTTGCGCCCAGCACAGTCTAGCGCAAAGGTGTCACTGTCTACCTAGGTAAGCCGCAAATGGTATTACATGGATTAGATGACATGGAACAGGGGTCAAGGATCGGAGGTGGGAACTTGCAAGGCTCTGGAAGCTAGAACCGAGTGGGAACTAATAGGGGATTAAATTCTCGCGCGAGCTACCACGCTGAACCCGAAACGGTCAAGGAAGGTATATTTATTTACTACTACATCTGCAGTAGCACCTCGCTCACGTATCACAATGACCAGCCATGACGTAGGGGAGATACTTGGTTATCTCCGTCCTCTCTATCGCATTGGTCAATCCAGCCATCTCGCAACGTACGCCGGTACAGCCATTTTCGAAGACGCAATACGCAATACGCAATGCGCATGCAAGAACACAGGCCAGCAGCAGCGGTATCAGTGCAGGAGGATCATGCACTGGTTGATTAAATGCCATCCAGATATCAATTGATCAATCCCATCCCATCCAGCCCATCCTTTTTACTTACCTTACCTAACAGCCAAGTAAATACGGCGTCGACAATGGTACGTTGTGACGGTGGAAGTGACGGCGGTGGTGGCGACCACGCGATAGACCTCCAATTTGAGATGTAAGAACTATCGTGAAGCAACCTTTGGGGCCAACAGGATTATACATAATCACGCTTCGACTTACGTATAGCGGAACGCGTCGATAGAATCATTGGCGGAAAGTCATTTCGTTTCAGTGAGGTTTTGGCGTCTGAGTGTTATACTCAACTAGGCGTGCGCCTAAGTAATAGCTGCATCCGCCATCAAAGGGTAAATGCTATGTATGTGGGTAGGCATGCACTATAGAAGCGGCAATTAAGGAGATCACTAGGGATGGCCTAGTGAAATACCCGGTTGGTGAAAGTTTCCCAAGAGGCTTCGACTTAATATAATAACTCTAGCTATTTATTAAATTTGACGTCCTGTAGGCAATTCTTAGCCCCGTCCCCCTTCCCCTTGCCCTGCCCCTTCCGCTAACCCCCTGCCTTCGTGCCGTCCTACCCATCGCGGCTGTTTTTCCCTTTATAGTTCATCTGATAAATCTGGACTACCGCACATAAAAGTATTGTTAGCGTCTATTGAATCTTCCTATCTTGGTAAGCATACGTGATATAGTTCGACGAAAGATGTTGAAGATTCTTTCCTCTTACTCGCAAACTCAGAAACTCCGATCATTCTACATCAGCCTCTTCGAGATGTTTAAAGTTATGACTAGATTACCAGCAGTCCAAAGGCGCATCATTCTCCTACTGGGTAACCCATGGTGTTACCGTACCTTCATTGCCTCGATTAGCTATCTGCTTATGTGCCTAGGGTCGTGTTCCATCATTTCTGCAGCATCGTCACACTTTCCGTGTCCGAAGTTACCAGGCTGCATATCCGGGGAGATTAGGAGTAATTGTGGCATGGTATCCGGTGTGTCGATACAGTTCATACGTGATAATGGTTCCCAAGGTTTACCCAAGGACGAAGTGCTTCAGCTATCATTCAACTAGGTAACTTACGTAACTAACATAACATGTCCGGATACTACTTATATATACGCGAGGTTTTATCATTCGAGTCGGATTACCGGCGTACGCCATGATGGATATACTTCGTGTCGATAGAAGACGGCGCGGTGTAGCTTATAGCATGGCCTCGCACTAGAAGGAACCCCGATTACTGGCGGAACCAACTAGTGAATTTCAGCTCTCGATGGCTTCTGAGTTTTGTCAGTCGATGGTTCTCATATAGTAAGGATTTAGTCGGTTACTGTCAAACTCCTGGCTACATATTACGT